ACAGCTGAGGACCCAGACGCCACCAGGACTGACTGAGGACAATGCTGCGTTTGTCCGCCATCTCCAAGAAAGGAAGAGACGATTGCTCGCAGATACACTAAAGGCAGTTATACATATGGGAATCAGGAGGAATCTCCCATCTTCTGAACTTGAAAAGCAATCATCATGCGCCAGTGTTCTAGCATTGGTGGCGGATTCGGCAGTGAACCAACTCCCGCCAACTGAGTCTGCTGCCAGCGCTATCTTCCACCAATTGCTTGACGTAATGCCTCAAGTCCGCACAGCTCGAACGGATCATTCGGATGACCTCACCGAAGGAGAAATCAATCGCTCTGTTGGGCTTTTAGAGGGCTTGCTGTTCTTGACAATCCGTCAAGAGCAAGCAAATCCTCAGCAGGCATTCGACATGAAAGCACTGAGTTCTCAGTTATCAATGCTCAGGTCCATCGTGTGTTCGTCCCCGGGCGCGATTGTGCGATCTACTCTCTCCACTGACAGCATCGGCGTTGCACAAGAGCGCCTCGCATGGTTGGCAGAGATCTTGAATCTTGCCTGTCGCATCTTAAGATTCCAAGCGCAACACGGAGGATTTGACATCATCGGGTGTTTGGACTCACTGTATTCTTACGCAAAGCAAATCGCAGACTTGAAACTAAGTATCCTTGATCTGCCCGAAGCACCGGCGGGAATGGCATGGAAAACCTCACAAGATCTGCTGGACAAAGCCCCCGAACTTCTTTCCCAACTGAGGTCTGTAGTGATGGATTGGCAGGTTAAGGAGCCTCGAGTCGGGTATCTCCTCCGCCAAATTGTGGCCTGGACCGAAACAATGTCACAGCCGACCAGCGCGACGCAAATATATCAACGGAACTTCACTGTGCGAGAACTGGATCAGAACCTCAAAGATGTTGTAGACCAAGTTTTTGTGGTGCTGCAAAGACTGTCTGCCCTGCAGATGGAGATGCCAAGCTCAGATGAAAACCAAGGTTGGGTTTCAAAATCGGACAAGCACATCGTTGAGGCACTGCAATCACTGCAGATGAGCACTATTACCAGACGACTTCAGTCTTCAGTGACTCAAAAGCTTCAATATCTGGCGCCCGAGGACTTCGAAGCCGCGAAGTCATTGTTACTTGTGGCAATGCCAATTCTCGATCAGTATTTCTATATATGTGAGCATCTTCATAACCGTCACGCCGCCCTGTATCTGGAGACGTCCCGACTTGCGTTGCAGCTGGCCCGGTCTTTCACTGCTGTTGCAAAACAGGGTTTCTGTCGTCCTTCAGAGCCTGCCGATGGCCAAGAGCAGACAGGCAAGCTAGAGTCTGGAACTGGGTTGGGTGAAGGGGAAGGCGCAGAGGATATCAGTAAAGATGTCCAAAATGATGAAGATCTGTCTGAGCTTGCACAGGAAGGGCAGAAGGAAGAGATAGATGGAGAAATGGAGAACACAGAAGATGCAGTTGACATGGGCAATGAGGATCTTGAGGGCAAAATTGGTGACTCTGACGAGACTCTGTCGGATCGAGACGATAACAAGGACCAGTCCAGCGACGAAGAAGAAAACGATGTCGAGGAAGAAACAGGCAGTGTTGATGATCTTGATGCCGATGTTGTGGACGAGAAACTGTGGGATGACATCAAGACCGAGTCGGAGAAAGACAAGGAGATGGAAAATGACAAGGCTAGGGGAAAGAAATCCGATGAGCAGACTGCAGGGGATGGGAACAAGGACGAAGGAAAAGAGATGGAAGAGATGGAAGGGCAGGAAGAAGATGCACATGAAGCTGGTGAAGACCGAGATGAAGGAGGGGAACGACCTGAAGGTCAAAAAACGGATGCTGATGTGGATGAAGAGAAGGCCCTGGACCTTCCGGAAGAGCTACAGTTGGCTGGTGAAGATGAGATTAAGGACGATGATATCTCAGATGATGGTATGGACGAGTTGTCAGATATGGACCATCCCAGAGAGGAAGTCGAAAGTGACGATTTTGAGGAGACTGAGGAGACCGAACAGCAAGAGAATCACATCGATGAGAAAGGCGATCAAGATGAGGTTGACGCAGAAGAGGCCCAGGTCGAGGACGCTGTTGCTCGAGATGACGAGATTATGGAGGATCAATCTGAAGAAGCCGAGGACGACAAGAAAGACGACCGTCAGACCCAGGAAGACGACACTGTCCACGATGCGAAAGAAACTGCTGGTGGAGAATCCGGAGCCGCGCATGAGATCCAGGACATTGTCGATGCTGAGCAGAACGTCGAGGGCATGAATAAGGCCGACAAAGAACCTAATCCTCAGGAATCTCAAGCTGGCAGAGCTCTGGAAGACGAAGAGCAAGGAATGACGGGTAAAGGGGCCCTTGAACGCGGCACTGGGCGGGCAGAAAGCCTTGAATATCAGCAGAACCAATCGCTGAAGCAGTTGGCAGACGTCCTTGATCGATGGCATCAACGTCGGGAGATCTTGCCAGCTTCTGAAGAGCAAAATTCAGGCGACGAGGAGAAGGATATTGACATGGCAGATGTTGATTTCGAGCATGTTCAAGAGGAAGACGGGGGCAATGCAGTGGCTCTTGGTGCTGCAGCGTCAGATCAGGCTCAGAATATTGACCCAAGCAAAGCCGTAGAAGATGAAAATGCGCCAATCGACAAGGACACGCCACTTCCCGATGTCCTGGAGCCGGAAGAGCAGGAAGATATTGCGGAGAGATTCAGTCGTCTCAAGGCGCAGGCAAAGCCAACAGAAGCCAGAGAGGCTAGTGCTTTCGTCCCTGACCATCAGTCACAGCATAAGGAATTTGCTGACCAGCAAGATTCTGTCGACACCGCTTCGGATGACTTATCGCCTGATATTGAACAACTCGAGCTCTGCAGCGACCAAGCACAACCAGCTGCCCATCCTACAAGCAGTTCTAACGCTGCTCAGCTTTGGCAGCAATGTTCGACCAGCACGCATCAATTCTCCCTCCTCCTCACCGAACAACTTCGCCTGATTCTCTCACCTACGACGGCCACAAAGCTCCGCGGCGACTATCGCACGGGCAAGCGACTCAACATCAGACGCATCATCCCGTATATCGCATCCAACTACAAAAGAGACAAGATATGGATGCGTCGCTCGGTGCCCAGTAAGCGGAACTATCAGATCATGATCGCCGTGGACGACAGCAAATCCATGAGCGAGTTCGGAGCCGACGTCCTCGCTTTCGAAACACTGGCGCTTCTCACCAAGTCTCTGGCCATGCTAGAGGTCGGCGAGATCTGCGTTATCGGATTTGGCGACTCCCCAGCCATCACGGTCGCGCATCCGTTCGGTCAACCCTTCTCGCCGGCCGAGTCTGGCCCAAACATCTTCCGCTCATTCAGCTTCGAGCAGCGAGGAACGGACGTCAAGAGCTTGCTCAGACAGAGTATTCGCTTATTCCAGGACGCGAGAAATCAACGACAAGGCGGTGGACGAGGGGAAGAGCAGTGGCAGTTACAACTCATCGTGAGCGACGGGCATTGTTCGGACCACGACGGCATCGCGAGGATGGTCCGACAGGCACATGACCAGGAGCGCATCGTGATTGTCTTTGTCATTGTCGATGCCGGCGAGGAGAGCATCCTCGATCTCAAAGAGGCCATTTTCGAGCCCGACACCACTGCTAGTAGCTCTTCTGGATCAGGCAAGGGAGCGGGAGCAATATCGGAAATGAGAGTCCGCACAAAGAGGTACCTTGACGGCTTCCCCTTCCCGTATTACCTCATCGTCAGAGACGTTAGAGATCTGCCTGGCGTCCTTGCGACCGCGTTGAAAGGATGGTTTGGGAGTGTCGTTGATGTCCAGGGTTGATTGACAGATTGATTGATAGATAGATAGATGGGCATTCGGTGTCTAGCCTGCCTACCCAGTTGGCAGTTAGATTAATGGTTCAAGCACAGACATTCCATGTATGTCCATGTATGTAGTATCCTACTGGGTACACGAATTGACATCTAGTATGGCGCCAAGACAACCGCCCCCTGATAATATATATACGTATAAGTCACTAATCGCGTCATCCGTTCAATAAGTACCGATATTGTCACGTGGCTCTGCCACATGAACGCACTAGCCCATTCCAGGACTAGCCGTGACACCCCTCTCTTTCCTTTAGTTAGTCCTTCTGACTCTCTACATTACAGTTAGACAGAGACTCCACACAGAAAAAGGCTTGACCACCAACCAACCTGGACAGGGTCAGTATGACCCTTCCGCCCGTTCGCTAGTCTGAGTTGTGATAGATATAACGTAGCCTTCCCAACAATCACCATTCTGTGCCAGTTGTGGGAACATGAATTCAAATTCCAAATTCCAAATTCCAAATTCGTGTACATCCTTGGACCAGCCATATTTTAGTCTATTTGCCTTGCCGCACCTCCTGTATCGGCACAGCTCCAATGTGAGGCCCGGATCGTGACTCAGTCAAACTGCTTACCATTCTCTATTACGGGCTGAAAATGAACGTTGGACAAATGCGCCATGGGCGGCCTCGCTACATGTAGCCTGCAGGTGGCAAAGACACGGCTAGGGGGGGCCCGAGGCCTCAGGACTCACCTCCCAGCGAGATGATACCGAGAAAGCCCATGTGTTTCCTCGAACGCTCTGATCACGCTGCATTAGGTTCTCTATATCGAGTGCTCAGGACGGCGATGGAAATTAGATAAGACGATGTCGACACGCCGTGTACGAGGTACAACACATAAGGCCCAGTCGAAGTGATGCAAATAGGATGGATGGTTTTGTCCCTCCCGATTTCACATCCATTGCTTTGGTCTCTAGGCTCGGAGCCAGGTATCTCTCTGCCTTAAAACTAGTCGTTATTACCTAGGTTTGTCTGTTGTCGTCGTTTACTCGTATCCAAGTCATAACACATCCCACATGAGATCCGGACAGAATATCAAACTCGTCCTCCAAACAAACCCTTAACATGAATGCCGGGACTCAATGTCATGGCCGTAATTCCAAAGCTTGATCAAGCTCTGCTTTTCAGGAATATCGCCGGGAACACGCCGGCATCCCCTGCGTATACCCCAAACCACCACTCGTCGTTGATTTCCTCCACCTCGCGTACAGTCGCATGCTTCGGGAACATCAGCTCGTCCTTGGCCTTGTTGTCATGTTCAGGAGGGTAATAACTCCACCTGGCGACGTAAGCCTTACCCCAGCCGCCATCCGGAGGGAGCTGCACCCCTGAGCGTGGCAGAGTGGCGGCTCTAGCTCGAGTTTTGCGTCGCGTTCCGGCTTCGTCTTCTCGCCAGCTCCAGTCGCCTCGCACAGCGGAAAGAGTTGCTCTATCAACACGGTGCAGATTTTTCATCGCCAGTTTCCATGCCGCCACATCTGCATCCGCCATTTGCACACCGCCAACAATATCACGGGTGATGATTCGACGTTCGTTGCCCTCGTCATCCCGTTCAAATGCCACAGCAATCATTCGGTGTCCGTCGGGACAGAGACGCCAGCCGTCTGGCCCATCTTCATGCTTGATCTGGCCCGTCTCGACGAAGCGCCTGTAGCAAGTGCTGCATATATCGTAATCACCTTTCAGGCCAGAATTTTCTGGAGAGGGAGTCGGGTGCGTAGGACAATGGTACCGGGTCTCTTGAGGTGAAATCGATCGAGAGCAAATATCGCAATTAGTTTTAACATCCAACGGTACAAAGTCGGGCCGGACACCAGGGTAAGGCCCAGCTGCGGAAGTAACACTCGAAGCTGCGCTCTGAGCAGGAGAGACATCGCGCCCGCCAGCACTGTATGGGCTCAATGTGACAGCGGCCGAGCCTCCTCCGATTCTAGAGCTTGCGGCGTTCAAGTCGGAAGATTTGTAGGCCACTGGCAACAAGGGATGATCACAGCAATGGTTGGTATTCACACAATCGTTGCAAAATCCCCACTCGCCCTCATTGCAGTAGTCACACGACCAGAAGTAATCGTTCGCAAGACTACCACACCGATCACAGAAGTTTCCCTCTCTTAAGCGCGAGGATGCATTTGGAGTTGTACTATGTTGTCTGGACGGCCTCTGATATTGCCGACCAACCAACAAGTGAGGCAGTCCGACAGACTGATTGTTCCGATTTGGCGGATGAGAAGCGTTGAATTTGGGCATAGCGGAGCGATAGAAGCCGAACCAGTGATTGCATCCCCGACCGGTTCTGTAGCACCGCAGGCAAAGATCAACATTGCAAGGGGCACAATGCTTGTGGACCTCGTACTGGATATTCGGACGCGAACACCGCGAGCACACAATATAGGGTTCCTCAGACCTGTTCGGCGCATTGCCAGCGGATAACTCCGATGGTTCAGGAGCACGGGCTGCTGGGTCCAGAGTTGGAATTGAGGTAGGAACAGGACCGGTCGCGATGCTCGACATGAGAGGCTGGGCAAAATCAGGCCTTGGTGACTGTTGAGCCGGCGAAGCAACTTGTGGCGGACTAGATATATTACGTCCACCAGCAGCTTGCCACACTTCAGAGGCTCTTGGAGAGGTCCTGGGCTCTGTGTTTGACCTGTGTGCCTGTGGGAGTTGCTGGAGTTGCTGAATGCGAGCCGCGCTACTTGCATTTGAGGAAGGCCTGTTGGAGAGATCTGTTGCCGACCTCGCTGCAGGATGAGGTGTTCGCTCTGTTCTCAGTCCAGAATTTTCGCTTCTTCGACTCTCATCAGAGGCTCGCCGTCGTTGAACCGAAGTATGTGGCGGCGTCAATAACTGCTCCGCTGCTGACTGCGACGAAGCCGTTGGAGGTCGAGTCTCGTTACCCCCGATAACCACATTATGACTCGATCTTGGACTTGGCTGCGTCCGTTCGCGATTGTTATTCCTAGATGACTGACGGGAACGACGAGCGGGTTCTTCAATCTGCGATGCCGGCGGCCTCGTCGTAGCCCCATGACTGTCATGCCTACTGTCATCTGAACCTGGTCGACGAAGTCTCTCCGGGTGCAATTGCCTGATACGCTCGGCGATGGTTTCACTGAGCGCGTCCTGTTCTTGTTCTGTCAATTCATCAATGTTGATGCCGTCCAAAAGGCCTTCGGCTAGAATCTCTTGCATTAGCCGCCCCTCGTCCAAACTATCACCAGTGCCAGTGCCGCTTTCCGAAGCGCTCACAATGGAAATCAAACTTGCTTGATGAGCCACAGTTCGGGCACCCCTTTGACGCGCCTCGACGGCCTCGGGATGCCTAGGTGAGCTGGGTGGAGGAGAGAGTGAAGATAGATCCGCCGAATTGGAAGACGCTGCTGTTCGCGGTCGAGAGGAGGTCGCATCTGAAGCGGGCTGCTGTTCATGTCTCTGGCGGCGGTCGGCATCTCTTTGTCTTTCTGCTGTCTCTCTTCGCTCCCGACTTCTACTGCTTCCACTAGTGCCTCGTCTGGTATCAGCCGAAGCGGGGTCCAAGTGTTGGTCACGTCTGCTTCTCTCACGCTGTCCGCCCTCCCCATTCCTCGAATCTCCCGGCGCCGACTCCTCCTCTTCGCGCCTTCTTCTCTCCCGTCTCCTGTGATTTTCCACCTTTGGGAGAATCTCATCTCCTGGTTTATACGCCTGCGACATCTCGGCCTTCTCTTCCGGAGTCCTATCCTTGTCAGGGTTTGCGATCAAGAACATTTCCAACAAGGTATTGATCTTCGCATACGGCCGGGCAGTTTTGACAGGGGCGCGACATGTTGGGCAGGTGTACGGGTTCGTGGACGATGGGGTACGCGAGTGGATTGCTTTGCGGTATTGGTGGGAGAACCATTCCTTCAGACAAGAGCCGCAGAAGGTGTGCAGGCAGTCGAGAAGGGTGAGCGGTTGGTAGAGGACTTCAGTGCAAATGAAACAGACGAGCTCTTTCTCAAGGTTGAGAAGGCCTGTCGTGGGGGTTTCGGTGATGGCAGCCATAAGCTCTTCGAGGTCATGATACCAGGCACGGTCCAGCTTTTTGATGAATGTTGCGGCTTCAACCTCGGGCCATCTGAGCGCCTCGCACCGTCATCATGAATACGTCGTTTATAGTAGAACTTGGCAACAGCGAGGGAGGAAGGGGGAGGGAGAAGAGGTCGGGAAAAGGCGTCGGCGAGCTGAAAAAGATGGGCAGCAGCGGAAATGACATGGGTGTTGTGGAGTGTCTTGAGTGTCACGGTTGTGTATTACTCTTCTTGCTCATCCCGCGGCGCCCAGCCCAGCCTCCCAAGCACCAAGAGAGGCGAACTTTGCACTTTGCCTGCCTAAACCACGGCGGCTATTTTTACTTTTTTGTTACTATTAAACTGCAGTTCGTTTCGCTAGCTGAATCTGGCTCCTGGATGTGTCCATCGTCACAGCAGGCCTTGCTTCTTTCCGCCTTATTTTGGATCGGGCTGCAACGCCACCCTCTAAGCGCATTCCTTCTAGATGTGTTTCACCAGAGCAGGAAAGTAGAAGACACACGATAATATCATCTTTTTTTATCTGGGCTCCCTCTGTTTCAAGGTGAAGATGACAATAGATACGTATCGGAACGAACCCTAACCCCAACCCCAACTTCCAGGTCTGCAGCAGGTCCTCGTTAGTCCCGACCATCAGAAACTTCTTCGCCCTAAACCCCATCTGTTCATTTCAAGATATTCTGAGTCGGCCAGTCTTCGCGGTAGAAGTGAGGGGTCGGAGACCGCATGCCCGTGAGCGTCACATGGATGCAATTGAATCATGCAGCCTCGTTCTTAGCAATCTCCTGCGTCTGCTGGCCGACCTCGGCATGCTCACTATCTCCACGCTCGCGGTGAACAGCGTGGCTCAGTCGCTTCTCAGTATCGACTTCGCCTGCCTCCTCCCTCCTGATCTTCTGGTAGTCGACGTGGGTGTTCCATGGTTTGACGTCGCTCAGGAAGATCTCCTCGACCTCTTCGAGCGTCTTGCCGGCCGTTTCAGGGAAACACAAGAAGACGTGGATGGTCATCACGGTGCAGAAGACGCCAAAGATGATGTAGACCTTCCACTGGATGTTGACGAAGGCCGGAGGAACGAAGTACGACAGCGCAAAGTTGAAGATCCAGTTGGCAGATGTTGTCAGTGCCACTGCCTTGCCTCGCACGCGGAGAGGATACAGCTCAGGCGGATAGATCCACGATACCGGACCCCAACTTGGCGCGAACGACGCGACGAACAAATATGTGCAGGCGATGACTCCTTTAGCTGCACCACCATGGATTTGCCAGGACTCCTCTGGCACGTGATCGACTCCTCCAGGAGGAGCTGGTTTACCATAAGAGGCCATCAAACCGGCATTTGCGTACATCCAAATAGCCATGAAGGTAGAGCCAATCATTAGGGGCCATCGGCGTCCCCATCGGTCAAGGAAAATCAGCGCAAAAATGGTCATCAGCACGTTGATGACATATTGGATTGACGAGGCCACGAGGTTAGTGTTCCCGGTAAGACCGGCCATACCTATGACACATGTCAGAAAATTTCACGGCGCTGATGAAAGACATTCTTACCGAAAACATAGGTGATGTAGTACTGGAGTATCTGTTAGCCTGTACTCACATCGATGGAGCGAATAAAGCAGCCTCCATCCAGGAAGGGACAGTCTCTGAACCGGAAGGAGAAACTTACCATCATGACATTCATTCCGGTAAGCTGAGACCAGATTTGAGTGGAGACACCGATGTGCGTTCGGTTGATCATCCTTGGTTTGAAAAGCTCCAGGTAGCTCACATCGGCGTTTCTTCGCTCAAATTCACACATCTCCCGAATCTCGTTAAGCTCAAGCAGGACAAATGGCGCCTCACGGTTCCCCTTTCCATGTACAAGGGCCAAAACGTTGTGGCAATCTTCCCAGCGATCTTTGCGGGCAAGCCATCTGCAGCGACATTAGCATCTGTCACCATGACTTCGGATGGGTGGTTGTACCTGGGACTTTCCGGGAGGCAGAACAACCCAAAGAAAAGAATGACGGCAGGAATCATCTGCAAGCCCCATGGAATACGGAATGCGGCGGGTCCCGAGACGAAGCTGCAGCCATAGCTAATGTAGAACATAATCAAAATACCCCACGTAATTGCCCATTGCTGAGCCCCCACGACCCTTCCTCGCTTGCTGGGAGGTGCCAATTCGGACACATAGACAGGAACTAGATGGAATGTCAGAAACACATTTTCGAAGTTGGGAAGATGATAGAAGTACCTTGGGCTGAACAGATGCCCACGCTGAATCCATTGATGAAGCGGCCAACGACAAGCATGCCAATGTTCTGAGAAGCGCAGACAATAATGGAACCAATGCACCAGATGACCGCGCCGATTTGGATGGCTCTCTTTCGTCCAAAGATATCAGACAGCTACACATTGTCAGTCTGAATCACAACCAGATGCGTCCACAACATACGAAGCCAGATGTCAAAGCGCCAACGAATGAGCCGCCGGGCATAGAAGCAGTAATGCCGCCCTGGACATCGGATCGAGGACCAGAGCACTGCGGAGGTCCATTGGGACCTTGGTTGAAGTAGCTGGGAGAACAAGTCAGTCGGTGTCTTGCACTCGCGACCACGATTGATTGCATGTCTGTACCATTTATACTGGTTCGTGCCGATGCTGGCGGAGAGTCAGTCAGGGTCATTTTGTTGGCATCGGTGATCACTACTCACATGGCAGACATGGATGAGATATCGAAACCAAACAGGCCACCGCCGATGACGGCGATGGCTGTGATGAAGTAGATATTGCCTATCTGATACATGATGACGGCCGGCCGCTGTGGGCGTGCTCAGGGGCGTCAGGGTGCAGTGAGAAGTTCACAGAGGTGAGAGGAGAAACTAGCAACGGTGGGTGGAAGAAACGGTGTTCTTGTATTTCCGCAAAGGAAGAATGAGGGCCGAACATTTCGAGGGATTGGACCAGATTTGCCATTTGCAGTGTGTGACAGAGTAGGTAGTCGAGGATGTTCCTGTGACCTCTGGCGGAGAAGTGTTACATGGCGCCACCTCTTCGTGCCCTGCTTTCATGGTCGACACAACCTGCTGCACGCTCGTCCATGGTTTGTGGAGAGACGGGGGAGAAACTGGAGAAGTAGAAGGCAGAGTGCATGATGTAGTGGAGACCAGGCTCAAGGCTCTCGTCCAATCAGCATCCGATGCTTGTTCCCTGTTCCGTAGGCCCCATCCCGCCATTCTAGCCAATAGTGCTCGCCGCCTGTATCTTGGCTCTGTCTTAGCGCATCTTAGCGCATCTTGGCAGGAAAATCACTAAAGCTAAAAGGCTCCTCAGTGCCACCAGCAAAAAGACCCTTGTGCGTCATCTGCGCCACTGACCACATTCAGTCCAGGGCCATGGCGGAGATCATTCCCTTTTCTGCCCTTCTCACAACTCCCCAGCACCCAGTATTGTTCCACCACGGCTATCAAGGCACGGCAGGCTCCAACCTCGTGGAGGCCTGAATGCAACAGACCGTCGATCAATCATCCCTCTCGTCTATTGATGGGACCATCACTTTCCCCCCTCACGTCAATTCCTGTGATGTTGTTCGATGCAACCTCGCCCGTCTTAAATTGACGCAAGCGCACCAATCTATACACACTGGACGTTTGCACACCCTGCATGGACTCGGTCTATCTCTGAGCGAGAGTCAAGGGGACTGGCTGTTCGCGGCACCACATATCCGACATTAGCCACAAGACATATTGGGAGTGCCGTCGAGCCGCGTATCCATGACTCGCGTGGACCTCGCAGCGCAGTATGTATCCCAATTCATCTTCATGTCCGAGATGAGCCCTTTCGACCTCTCGCCGGATCGTCCCCACGTGTTGGTGGTCGGTTGCTGATCACACAGCCTCACCACCTTTCAAGGTCTATCGCATCACCAATAGAATTCTATTGAGTTCTTAACAGACCCACGAAGGGTGAAAAAGGGTTGCAGTCCAACTAGGATCCACCTCGCTGACTCCCTCGGTCGCAACCTGATTCTTTTCGTTTAGTTCAACTTGTCCTGACTGATCTCCATACTAGATTTCCATCTGCCAACATGCTCCCACCTGCAATGTGCTTGGAGGCGATGAGTTTGTGGTTTGGCACAGTTCGAAAGAGTTATATGTATTTCTTTCAAGCTCTCGGCTCAATGTTGATCGCCTCTTACGCGTCTTAAGAAGTCGAAGCTTTTTGCCTCTTAGCGAGGCGGAGGTATACCTTCGGGCCATCCAGTGACAGCCAAGTTCCAGACTCTGCGCACACTTGCTAAGACGGGAACAAGGGGACTCATTGTTCTGCCGTAGATTGTTTTCGTTTCTTCGAATACACAACGCGTCTTTCAGAAAGGTAAGCTGCATTAATGGCAACTTGGACGATTTTATCGAAGTCGACACAGGAGACTTTCGCAGAATGTGATTGGTCAGCGCTTGACATGAGGAGTCATAATTCTGAGTCGTCAATTGATCACAACTTCTCTCAAAACCAGCATTTATACCTCAAACATGCAGGGAGGAGGGTTGGAAACCGTGTCCTGGAGCGTTTATCGACCCAAATTAATTCGCCAGTGAAGGGGAAACTTGATTGTCGATAGTTTCGAAAGAATCGTTCACGACCTTAAGGAGCATCATCCCAGGCTACGCAACCAGAAGATTGTCCATTGCTCAATGAACATGACCTCCTCCCCGTCGCAATCATTGACCACTATAACAATTAAACCAATCACATCCGAAACTGACATCCCAATCTGCGCAAGGCTCGCCGATGCAGCATTGAAACCAGATGCCTTCCACGAGTTTCGGAGCCGGTACATGGAGAAGAATGTGTATGACAACACTATTGAGAAGCTAACCGAAGCGTTGCGAGATGACCGGGGCCGGTTCTTTGTGTTCAAGGCCGTTGCCTCGCCAGTTCCGAGGGAAGATCCAACCATAGATCTCGAGGACACCGCCAGCACAGAAACCGAAGGGGAGCAGCTGGAAACCATCGTGGGCTTCACGCTGTGGACGAAGGGATACGTCGAGGTGCCTAAGATGGACCCGTTCGCATCAAAAACTAGGACAGCAGCGGGACCGCCCTTAGAGACAAGTATTACACCCGCGCCCACGTCGGAAGGTGTCAGTACTGGAATTGCCGTTGGCGTGCCGAGGGATCATGCCATTGCTAGAGGCGACGGTGCTCCTAGCCCAGCAGGAAAACCAAAGCCATTCTACGCAAATCCGGACGCGGAATTGAGTCGGAAACTGGGCAATGCGTACGTCGGTACCATCAGGGGGAAGCGGCATTTGTGTAGGTTCATGAAAAACACTCTCCCCAGATTCATCGCCTGCATTCCCCGAGATCCTGAAGATATCGGAAAGACATCCTCATAAGCATGCCACTTTGGCACTTTCGCTGACACTGGACAATCCACGCCCGCAGATCTCCACTGGTTGGTCGTCCACCCGTCGTACCAACGGCAGGGTATCGGGCAGAAGCTGCTCAACTGGGGGATTGAAGTTGCCGACGGCGAAAATATCGTGGCGTGGTTGTTTGCACGACCGGCTGGGTCTAGACTGTATGAGCGCAATGGCTGGAAAGCCGTACTGATCATCGAGGTTGACGTTCCTGATGAGGATTTGATGGTGGCGCCTGTCGTGGCCATGTTGAGGTTACCTGCCCAGCAAAGAGGGTAAATGGCTTCGGAATCTGACTGGCGCCATGGCCAAGGGAGTGTGACAGTATTCATTTACAACCAAGCTAGATCCTATCCACTGTGTATTCTGCCTCACCTGGCTCTTATGTATCACACAAATAACATAAAATACTGCAAAGTTTCCAGGGCAAAAAAAGTTCTGTTCCACTACGGATCGAACCATAGTCTTCTTCTCTCATGTACAGAGGACAAAAAATTCAAATCCCACAGGTCTAATGTTACCTTTCCCTTCCTCCCAACAATTAGATCTCACAGCTGTTGCTTGCTCCATGGGTATTCTCACAACACCCACGGCATCTAATTGTTGAACGACAATATGGCGAGACCTCCTGCTACCTCAAGGTATTGACTAATAGTTGATTGAGTGGCACATCATGGAATGATGATGCATCAATTCTTCTATTAGAACCTCGGGCAACAGCAAAGCACATATCGTCGTCGAAGAGGAAGGGAAAGGCCCCACCCACCAAACCCGATAGAACATGAACTTTTGCCACAGATGCCAGATTCAAAGTGTAGCCCGTTGAGGTCTCATAACTGCTGTTGCACTTCTTGCGAATCGGAAAATGTTGAAACAAATTCCGGCCCTGAAAAATATAAAATCATGATCTGGGCCAGAGCCGTTGGTAATATGCTGTATGGTCGGCTTGGCGGAAGAAGTGACGCACACGACATTGTGAAGTACTACTAGTGGTGTAGTTGATTCATCCTGAACCTGTGTTTCATTCTGCCTGGTCCGGGGTAAAAGGCTTATCTCGTCTTTTTCGCGGACGGGCTTTTGATCGCGAAGGCCGTGGAGATCTCTTGGAAACCTGCATACAGAATCAAGAAAGGTATGAAGACCCACAACATGTTGAAAAAGACCAAGTACAGCCAGAGATAGACGGGGTCGTCGCTAGCCAGTGCGTTGCTGCCGCTCAACCACTCCGGTGCAAACGTCATAAATCCTCCATAGAGCTCCCCGGTTGCGAGAATGATTGCTGTAAACCAAAGCCGGGACTGACAGCGACTTTTGATATTTTCATCTGTGGTGTTGGCAATCTTGGAAACCAGATAACATATGTACACAGCAGCCGGTCCAGCCAATCCAACGGTGAGAATTTCCAGTGATATGACGTTCAGGTCTGCGCCTCCCCATCTTCGATCAGCTTTTGCATATTCCTGCCACAGTCTGGCCATGGGCCCTTGGGAGTATAGAGCACCGTATCGACGGTCGGGTCGATTGAACAGGTAGGCTTGCGGCTCACCGCCCCAAGACGCTGGATGTGAGACGTCGGCGGTTTGTGGCGGCAATTGCGCATAGGAGAAGAAACAATGGTACAAGAAGCTGCCCTCAATGATGAAATGGGTGAGGAAATCATAAGCATGCCACAGGAAGAGGAGGTAAAGCTTTCGAGGTGCGGATTTGGGTAAGGCATAGGCGGCAAGTATTTGCGCTGATGGCATCAGAGAAAAGGCAACGGCGAGGGAGAAGGCGGTGCCAGCGTCCAGTGTGAAAGGAGGTGAGGTGGCCATGACTACAGCAGACGCCATGATCGTAATCCAAAGGGAAAGAAGGTCGTTGTAAGTACCTTTGGTTGCAGTGACGATCGATCTGCTGGAAAAGGAGCGCGGATGCGGGACGTTTGCATATTGCAGGAGGACGACTGGCTCGTTCGGGAACAGGCTGCGAAGGGCGGGAAGAGCTTGGCTCCCTTACAAACCTTGGAAGCCTGGCAGCGCTTGCTGACGCCCTCCAAAAATAGTTAGGTGAGCCTAGGACTAGCAGGAGTCCAGGACTACCTACAAGAGGTAGGCATAGGCGGTGTCTGCCCCTACTGGTAGACCACTAACCTAGGTAGCTTTCCCCAGCTTTTACCCCTCTAAGCGTTCCAATTTACTGGCGGCTGACCTGTTTGGCTAGATCCCCCCCCACGCAAAACACAGCGCATTGCTTTTCCGGGGATGAGGGGTGTTGGGATGCCCAGGATTCCTCGCCATGACAAGTCAAGGTTCGCATCACACGACGCACATGTGCTGGGCGCCGCTTAAGGGATGCTGCTCTCCCCATTTCTGCCCCCGCCCACTGCGTTCGTTCAACTCCTCAAATCTCAATATGGCCCTCCTTTCCAACCCCTTCTTTTGAGACTCGCCAGTTTGGACTACCTTCAGTGAAGGATAGAGTCAGGTTGTTTGCGCTAATCCCAACACCTCAATTCAACAAGACAGCTGCCAGCGCGTATACGAATCGAGGCCCAGGGGCACGGACATCCGGTCGTGTTCTTCTGCAACTGCCCTTGGTGCATTCGGGCCAACCTCATGGACAATCTGTCGTTGATGGCAGACTCTCTCGAAGACCAGCCTGACGCTCCAGCCACGGCTGAATTGTACCAACCCCTCCTACCCTGTGACGCTTGCAGAAGGAGGAAAGTAAAATGCTCCAAAGACGAGCCTTGCGAGCGGTGCATATCGTCGGGACTGAGATGCACAAGAGAGATTGCGCGAAAGAAGAGAGGGCCAAAGAAGGGATCAGGTTCTGTCCTCGCAAAACTGCGAGATGAAACCCAGGATATGTCACCGCCGCAAGAGCAAACATTCCCGCCACTCGACCTGCCTGAGTTGCAACTACATATCCCCTCTTTGAACAGAGCAGTGGCACACGACAGTCCTCTAGCCTCGTCATTGAGCTCTCCTACAAGCTCATATTTCGGCGACTCGTACGGCCCAACCTCAGATCCGTCTGCTGTCCCGAGGTCCTTTCCCGTCTATCAGAATGGCGCTGCATTCGATCCGACTTTGCATAAAGAATTTTCTCAAGCAGGCATTCAATTTCCCGCATCATGGCAGATGCAAAGCTCGGAGCTCCTGCAGTTCCAAGCACCCCGTTCGCCCAATGGATACATGTCCATCAAAGATCTCGCCCAAGAAATCTTCCAGGAGACGTATCCTCCAGTTTCCCGTACGCTCCCTCCAAGATCAAATGCACAAACGCCATCAAGAAGTCCAACGCCTCTCACCAAACCCACCTCCCTCGAAGCTATATTGAACCGTGCTCCCACCAGTGCTCCCACCAGCGCACCCTCCCCGACTCTAACCGCTACAAGCTCGCCTATGCCGCTTCATGGACCCAAGTCGTTATATCGAAGCGACTCTGGAGATTTCCAATGTCCACATCAGATACTAGTATTAGCAGCAGAATTCGAATTGTCGGCAAACCTCATGACCCAGTGCATTCGTCAATATTTTAGACATCTCTACCCGATCCGGCCTACGATTCACGAAAGCTCATTTCTTCAACGCCTCAATAGATTTGATGAACTATCCAACGAGGAGAAGATCCTGGTCTTATCAATTTGCGCCAACACGGTCCTTCACGCGGCCCCTCAGTCAGACCTTTCATTAGATAGGAAAATGCAACTCGGAAAGCAGTTTGTGGAACTGTGTTTCCGTTTACGAGGTCAGTACGACTGGGCAGAGTCAGCTACACTTCTGTCAATACAAGCCAGCTACCATATTAGCGTGGCGCTGTTTGAACTCAAAAAGCCTCGATCTCACGAGTTGTACCTCCGCGAGGCCATTTCCATGGCCATTGAACAAGGCCTACATCTTGAATCCACCTATTTCGGCATGGATGATATCCAAGCAATCTGTTCCAGGCGAACCTTCGCCTTGCTCTTCATCACAGAGCGTGGCCTGGCCATACTCCGTAACAAACGTGCCCAGATCTCTCGGCTACCTCTTCTATCCAACGAGTATTTCGATGAACAAGACGGAATTATTCTGGCAGGATTCACCGCTCTGGTCAACCTCTTCTCCATCCTCGACGAGAAGTTCGTCCAACTTTGGAGTACCACATCCTTCGAGTCCGTATCTTCGGGCTACGAGCCGTACGACAACATTGCGGCAATTCAGCACTCGCTCAACGAGATGTCTTTTGAAAACTTCCCCATGACGGACATTCAAAAGGCCGATGTCCTCATCACCCATCACTGGCTAAGATTAATTTTCTGGCAGGCCTCAATGCGTCAGGGCCTGGTCAGCTACAGCGCCTCTGACCCAATCTTCACCTCTACGTATCCCATCACCATCGCGAAGGACCTGTGCGCGGCTATCAGCGGCTTGACACACAACGCGATCCTAGTGCACGGGCTAGGCATCTTCGAAAAACTGTTCGAGGTTGCATATACATTGATGGATGCGCTGACGATCGCGAACACATATTGGTCTGACAGTCAGGAGTTACGGCATCTCTTTAACCTGTTAAGTGCGAGCCCGAACAGTCAAAGTACGTATGTGAAGATGTTGCGGACGAAGATCCAGGAAGGCAGCCCGGCTGCGAGCCCGCCTCATCGGGTACCGCAGCTAATGTAGGTCATGTAGAGAAGGGCCCACTGGGGGGTATCGCGTTCGAGTATGGAACAGGCACTCGCGAGAAGGACAACTGTCAGTCTCAGAATGGGCAAAATGCCCCTGGCACACGAAATACGTACATATCCTCCATTATTTCGCACATGTTGTCCAGTTTGTTACATTGCACTGGGTATCTTAGCTACCGCCGACCTCTTTCTCTGCCAATTGCACAGGTTTCTAGTTTTGTCTAGTTTGTTTGTTTGCTTGCTCGTTAAATCATCCATGCATGGACGGAGTACATACCTAGCTATATATAATTATATATATATGCTACACGACAAAATGTGGAGGAGGCAGGGAAATCAGTGTGACCTACGTGTCTCATTTGTGATCCCTGGAGGCCACGTTGCTCAATCAGCACTCACGGAGGATGTCTATCTGCTTCCACATCTACCTACGTGCATAAATTCATACAAACACACCCATCTGCTACTTTGACAGCGGCGCAGCAGCTGAGTTGAAATGGACTAGTGTTGCGTTTACGCCACGCCACGCCACGCCACGCTTCTATTGCATATATATCTGTACTTGTGCTTGACTTCTTCCGTAAGCTTTCTTTCTTTCTCCACATCTCTATTCGTCTTGACAAATATGTGAAAGGGATGGGTCTCGTATAGATAGCATGTACGGTCCGATGGACTAGCGAGGAACTAGAGAGAATGGCAATCGTATCGAGTCGGTTCGTCCACTGGGGGGGAGACTCGACACTTAGATTTGAGGAGAGCAGGAACAATTGTGGTCCAGAAGATTAGTGGCCCTCAATCCGGATTATCTATCGTATCGAGCCAAAAAAAAAAGAAAGTAGATCTCTCCTTCAATGACCTAGCCTTCTTGTTCAATATGCCATCCCAGCAATGAAGCCACCATCGACACACCAACCAGCTCCGGTGACAAAACTCGCCTTGTTCCCCGCTAGAAACACACACACGTCGGCGATTTCCTCTGGCAATCCGAACCTCCTCATCGGCGTGCTCTGGACCGGATTCGTTTCGAGCCACTTCCTGGTTTCCGGGTCTGGGTTTGTCATCGGCGAATCCACGATGCCCGGCAAGACGGCGTTGACGCGAATGCGTTCGGAAGCATAGTCAATTCCATCGGAGCGGGTAACTGCTAATGCGCCAGCCTTGGCACCGCTGTAGGCAGGGCAGTTGGACTGCGACACTAATGCGAGGCCGGAGGAGATGTTAACAATGCTACCACGCTGGGCGCGAGTCGGCGGAATCTGAGCTTCGGGGTATGCGTCGCAATCTAGAGACTGGGAGCGCATGATCCGCAGGGCTTCGCGGGAGCATAGCCACAGGCCGCGGTAATTCACATTGTTCTGCTTGTCGAAATCCTCCAGCGAGAAGTCAGTTGAACGGCCAAAGTAGATGACTCCCGCGCAGTGTACGGCATAGTCGAGACGGCTGAAGGTTTCTTTGACACCGGTGTAGGCTCGCGTGACACTGTCCGGGTTGGAAACGTCACATTTGAAAATGTGGACTTTGAGTGAGGTGTTGCTTCCAACGGCCTCCTCGATGAGTTCTTTGGTGGTCGAGAGGCCCGCTTCATTCAGGTCCAGAAGGGCAAGACGAGTACAACCTGCTTGCGCAAATGCTAGAGCTGTTGCTCGGCCGATGCCCGAGCCCGAGCCAGAAATGAGCGCGACTCCCGGGACGTCTGTTTTGCTTGTCATTGCGATTGGTCTGAGGATGAGGATGGAACCCAGTTGCTTGAGAGTTCTTGAATGAGACAAGAGTTGATGGATATGCTGAGGAGAGATATGTCGTTCTCGTTCGTGATACTTCCCGGATGTATCGCGCTTGCCACGTCAGTATGGATGCAGCTAGAGCAGTAGCAAGTGCGGAGAATATCAAATGTAAATGTGAGACGGAGCCGGGAGTCACGTGTGCGTTAGTGTGAGGTTCTCCAGAATCCTGTACGCCCTTGCATCGTATACATCTGATTCTGGTGTGGTGGATTCTGCAATAAACGTATGAGCCGACCAAAGATGGCTTTGAAGAAAGAAGCAAAGATTTCGTCCGAAAGAGGTTCTCTCGTATTCAAAAGAAATCGTCGTCATCATCGTCATTCCGTCTCACCATTATCGGTCGTTGCTGTCTAACTTGGGCCTCCCTTCCAGGCTGATGGAGTGCAATGGCTTCCTTGAATGCATTTTCAAATCCGTTTGCAGTTCCGCACCCTGTATCTGCATATATTCTCTCTGCATCTGGAAGCCATTTCTTGATTTGCTCAGCACGATTGTAGTGGCTGGGATGCGTGGACAAGAACTGTGGTGGCTCGAATTCCGACGCTTGCTTCATGCGTTGCCAGAAGTCCAAGGCTCCTCGAGGGTCGTAGCAGGCTTCGGCCATCATAAGGAGGCCAATCCGGTCGGCTTCAGCTTCTTGCGTTCTTGAATTCGGAAGCGACAGTAACAGCTCAGCGATGGTTCTTCCGGAGTGGCCGCTAATATCAAAGATGAGGGAAACAGCCCAAGCAGCGAGGAGGATGAAACTAGATCTCGAGGCCCTCTCAGCGGCATGGTGGGCGACGTTGTGAGCGATCTCGTGGCCCAACACGGCGGCCAGGCCAGTCTCACTCTGGCAAATAGGCAGAATACCCGAGAAGACGAAGACTTTTCCGCCAGGCATTACGAAAGCATTCTTCTCTCGAGGGTCGTTGATGACATGGACCCGCCAGTCATCGCCTGCAAGACCTCGAGTGGTTGGAAGTAGCTTTTCAACAACTTTGGCGACTTGCATGGTTAAAGGATGGTCGGGCGGAAGGATATTGCCTTGAAATTCTTGCAGCAAGGCTTTGTACATTCCGGCTCCGCCGAAGAATTCCTTCTCTGCTGACGGAGAGATCATATTAAACCGTCGTCTGTGAGTGACTGGGACCTCTTCAAGATTGTAGACGTAGAATACGCCACCGCCCACACCAATCACAGTCAGCGGCCTCTGGTAGTTCCGCCAGAGGTACTGCATGCGAAAGACGGGGCCAAAGTTGCTCCATTGCTGTTGCTGCCCCTGCTCCTGGCCATACCCATTGCCATCACCAAATCGCCTATAACGCGAGCGAGGACCCCAAAAGAGAGACCGTCGTGGTTGAAACTGCGGACCTTGTCCGAACCTGAAAACAGTTTTAGAGCTGTGCTGAAAACGCCGGCAAGCTGCTTGACTGGCAGCTCGCTGGAACACCCGGAAGGTGAACATGGGAGAATAGAGGCGTCTCAGAGTATCTCGGGCGGCCTGTATATGTCTGAAGGTGGATGGATGATGCGTGATGAGATGGCTGGCGCTTCTAATCACTGTATAGCATGATTATTGTTTGGTTGGTCTTCGAAAGTCAAATACTTATAACAAATAGTTCGAAGGCGAGAGGCAAATAAGGCCGAAGTTGAAATGACGCAGGCAAAACAGTGGCATTGGTCATGTGACCCTCATGTCTACCTCGATGTCTTCATGCTTTCCGCTGACTTTTCAACCACCTGTTTCGATACATCTGTGACATCTCAAGTTACAACGATGTCGTTGGTCGCATACTCAGATTCCGAAAGCTCAGAAGATGAGAAGATCCAGCCGCAACCGAAGACCGATAAGCCCTCAACGAAGATTGCCATCAAGACGAACACAAACTTCACAGTCAACAAAGCGAACCCCAGAAAGATCCAGGTCAAGCTACAAGATGCCCCCGTAAACGGTGATACAGATGGAGAGCCTGCTCCGAAGCGACCTCGAATCGGCGGTGGAGGGGGGACGTTCAGTGGTTTCAACGCGATGCTGCCTGCGCCCAAACGAGATGCTGATTCCAAAGCCCCTCTAAAGCCTGCTGCAAGGAAAGTCTTTAGCCTGAAGACGGGCGCTGAGCCTGGCTTCAGTCGAGAAGCGGATGAAGAGCTACGCAATTTGTTTGCAGACCAAGAGCACCAAAGGGAAAGCACAAACTTCGATACGGATGAGACTATACCTCCGATACCGAAACGAGCAGGCCACGCGAGAGACGTACCGAAGCCGCAGCCGATACAAGGAAATCCCTTCATGTTCAAACCACTCTCCGTGGTGCGAAATAGTAAGAAGACAAAAAAGAAGCTTGATGGCCTGAAATCAGCAATTGCGACAGCGCAGGGTGAGGCGACAGCTGCTTTATCGAGTGATGCGGGTTCTGCGCACTCCCGAATTGCTGAGCCTGGTCCTCCTCTGAAGAAAGTCAGCCTATTCTCCATGGATGGAGGGACAACGACAGCGCCACAACCTCAAGACCAACAAGAAGAGGACGAGATCGTCGAGTTTTTAGATGAAGCTCCTGAAGAGGCCATTCCCTCAGTACCAATAGAAGTTCCTGTCACTAGCTCAGCAAATCCTCAGCCTCAATCCCTCGACTCCATCGCTGCTGATCTGAATCTCTCGAAGGCAGACCGGCGGCAGCTGTTCGGGCGCCGCGGTCGGTCAAGTGGTACAGCCATCAACGTGGTCAACTTCAACACGGACCAGGAATATGCGGCGAACGAACTCTTGCGCGCGACCGGAGAGCAAGTGCAACACAATCCAGTTCGAGCTATTGCTCCAGGCAAACACAGCCTGAAACAACTGGTAAATGCCGCCACCGGGCAGAAAGAGGCACTCGAAGAAAGCTTTGCCACCGGCAGGAGAAACAAAAAGGAGGCTGGAAGCAAATATGGATGGTAAATTGTTTTCATCTGACCATGGCCGACCTTTGAGCACTTGATCTAGTTCTATCTTTTGACGAGAGGTTTTGGTGATGGCACCAGCAGCCCACAGCCTGTTGCCTCGACATACGGAAAGACCCATCCGGAGCCCTGGTATGATAACAATCGCAACATCTCACTTTTCACTGTACGCCTCGGTCATTTCTCTCTCCATCCCTGATCGCTTCACCAAGGAGTTCTCCGCAAGGGGCAGCCGCCTCCATCAATAGTCCCTGACAGAAGAACCGCTCTGAACTTCGTTATCGACATTTTGTTCCCAATCCACAGAGCCATCCATGAAGCTATCATCCGGTCTCTGGCCAGTAGTACCGTGGTTGATAGCATTACGTTCGCTTCGTCTAGCGGTCTCGGCCGAAGTTCCTGCTTGATTGGTATTGTGTCGACTCGGATGTTTGCCACCACTTCCTTGATATAGCGGGGGATTGTAAGTTCCGTGCGGATCGTGCCAAACTGGACCTGTTGCTGGAGCAATCCCTGGTCTAAATCTGTTGGCTTCATCTCGCGAACGCCAGACACCATCACTAGTCTCGGGAAACATCGGTTGGCCCGGTTGGTATGGATATATCCACATGTGTCGAAACTGACCTGGACCTATCACCACCACCTGTCGCTGACGATGACCCCACAATGGATGATGAGGAGGCACTGTGAAATGAGTGGTCTTTTGATCCGCAAACGCGTTATATTTTCGACCAAAGGTGGGTTCCGTGTCTGGCTCAAGCGGCGTTATGCTTGGTAGACCGAGTCCGTTCTTTCGGGGAAAGTGTGGAATCCGGGGAGACAGCGAACTGTGACTTTTGCCCTGGCCTTGACATTGGTTTTGATTCGATAGGACTCTCGAGGTGTCGGATCCGCGAGGAGCTTGCATTTGGCAGCTGGGCATGGAAATTTCCTGGACCATGCGGTATCCTTTGTGAGGATTTGAATGGGCTGTTGACCTGACAAAGCCGATGGAATTTGCGCGCTCACTCTGTGAGTTCTTGACAGTGTAGGAGGAGTTGGAGCGAAGGGTTGAAGTGGAGCTGTTGTCGTTGCTGAAGACGTCTTGGGATAGAAGATCAAGCAGGAGGAGCAAGCGACTAATATGAATTCTGCCGAGCAACCAAGGCAATGGTGCTACAGCACTTCTGGTCCACATGCGGGCAGTGGCAGCTCGAACTGTCGTTACTCGAGGCAGAGGCGGAGGTGAGGGAGAAGCTACAATTGCGACTGTAACTGTCCTGATATTCACTTGCAGCCCTGCCGCGCGGTTCGGCCAGCACTCCTGGAGGACAGTGAAGCAGCGCCGAAAGATGAAGTCGCTATGGCCTGCTGCCTTGCTGCCTGCAGTTGGCGCTGTGTCATGGGCTCTGGCCATCGGCAGTCTGGGTTACGCTTCTTGTTTGCGCAGTTGCCACGTACAGGTTTGGTGCTATCACAGCTCTTACGCTGGAGGATGCAGCGCTCACATCGTTCACATCGCTCACAGCGGTCGCCAGTCAGTCGATTCGTCCCATTTGATCTTCTCACACTTTTCAGCTGAACGCTCTCGTTCGGGTCGTTCCCGCTTGCATCGCTTCTACCGTCATTGTCATTCCTGTCATGCTCTTCCTCTGAATTGTCTTCCAAAAGTATTTCCTGTCCTTAAGGGTTGCGCTGATGGTGACACGGTAGCGATAGCTGCAAAAGCACTCTCCGGATTCCATCGATTCAGGGTTTTGCGAGGCACCGAGTCAGATAAACGAACAAAGCTAAAAAAATGTTGTAGAGGGATCGCAGCTGTTGAATGGAACCCACATCACATTATAACATACCTGAGAATCCCATTCATAATCCAGTACTAGGAGTGCCGCTCGGGCTTGTTGTCCTCGCTCACTCGAACGAGATGGGGTGTTGTGCATGTCGGGAAAGACTTGGGCATGGACGCGGATAATGGGCTCTGGGTTATTCATCTTCCAACACCACGGGGAGAGAGACACAGGGCGGGAAAAGGAGAGAACGGGGGACATCTCAAGGTTGCAGGTAATAAGAAGCTCAAGGGAGTGTTCTGAAAAGACAAGTCCTGATGATGGATGAAGTCGCACCCTCTTCGACAGAGGGCAACCACTCAGTTGTTGTGTTCATCACTCTCCTGTTTCACGCCCGCTGTATATTCCCGTCCTTTACACGCGCCTTGTATTGTAGTGAGTAAATAACGACTGATCAATCTCATAGACAAATATACTACTTACTACCTCTTCTTTGTCTTTGTTTCTTTGGCTTTGCACCGAAAAGAAAAAGACGTTGTTACTTCAGATACAGCCTAATTGAGACTGGCTAGGTCTTGGCACTGCGGCAGGTACCTGACACCTAGTATTTAAACTTGTTCTGTCAAACCTGTTGGCACTCTCGATAGATTCTCAATTAACGAACCTTTAATATGACCCTAACTGGTTCCACAGAGTGCTGCGCACCAAGTAGCTGGCGCAGGGTTTCCATCTTCTTGTCTAGGTCATTAAAGGGCTTTTTCACACGCAGCGTACACATCATAGCCAGAAGGGAAGCCAACCAATGCCAGTCAATTCTTCAACAGCGGGATCATCAGGGTGTATCAGGGCGACAAACCTGAAATCATGTTGCACTCGTTCAGCAGGCAAGCGACGTCGGGGTGTTGGCCGCGGTCCCGTCCAAGTACGGCACCGGTTTCTCCGCGACCTGGCTTTCTCGCCCTAACAGTGGATAAAATCTGCATGCAGAAGGCCCGGTTCTTCAGGAGAAATCCCAAGGCTGCCCCGTCCTCCATCCCTTGGGTGGCGCCCTGTTCGCCGAACGGCAGCATCGGATGGGCGGCGTCACCTATGAGGACGACACGTCCGCAGGCCCATGTGGGAAGCGGATCGTAGACGAAAATGGGCCAGCGCTGGACGTCGCTGGACAGGATGATCTTCCGACCTCTTGAGTCGAAGTGGCCGAACTAGGTCATCATGGCCGGCTTGAGTTCTGCGGTGGCGTCTACTACAGTTTTTGAAGCCGAAGGGTGAATGCCCACAAAGTCTTGCGGCTCCCCACTGGACACGTCGAGTCGATTACTATTCTGTTGCAATTTATCGTGATTGAAGCGAAAAACAAAACTCACTCGTGACATGCGTACCCAACGATGTGCCTCTGATCCACTGTTTCAGTCGTATCTACCAGTAAGTTCACTACACCCTTGGACGTCTCCAGCGACGCCAGCTCCTCTGCAGCACGACTCCCATACCATCCTCACTCACACATTGGACTGCCGGGCCCAGACGCACTTCTACTGGCGGGCCCCACGACGTATCCTCCTCACCCTCATCCTTGATGGCAAGCCTCAGGAGCTCCCGGTGCAAGTCGGCACGGTGCGCTGTGAGCGCTCACGGCTCTGGGTGGCCCGGCGTGGCACTGAGCGGCATGGAACTCAGTTGCTTAAAGTTGTCCCCGCACAAGACGTTCCAGTGGTGTGAACGACAAGCGTGGCCTCGCACGGCGTCGAAGCCGAGATGCGCGAGCACGCGGCCCCCATTGAGGTTGACATGGAGGCCAACGCCAACCACCGTTGACAGGGAGGACTTTTCGAGAACGGGAATGCGGTGGCCAGCTTGTTGGAGAGAGGAGGCGGCAACAACGAGGCCAGCGATGCCAGCGCCGACTACGACGATTTTTAGGGACATATTGGGTGGCTGGGAGTATAGTATCTGGATATGATGAGCATGCCTGGGTTCAAATGAGCCCGAGAGTCGTATTTGAAGGTCCTGTTACATCAAAAGGGAGGGTTTCCCGGGCTGACGGGTCTCACCAGGGCAAATTCCTCACAATAATGCCCCAATGATCCACAATCAATCGAAACTAAATAATAAGAGCTTTTACCATGTTCACGGAGCTTTCTCTCGAATATACATAAAGTGGATTTGGAAAGGGGGTGTCGATGCATATAGCATTAGAGTCCAAGCTGTACGGGGGCCAGCTTCAATATCTCAACTTATCAACCACGTCGATTGTACCAGACCATCTCACGAGCTGGACACCATGCAGTCACCATAAGCAAGTCAACCGCCTGCCTAGAGTCCCTCGCGGCCACCATCGTCGAGAAAGTCACTGCCCTCTCGCACCGTCTCGGCGCCGAAGGCATACCGAAGCCTACTGTCGAGGAGCTTTCCGAACAGGGTGTCCAGATTAAAGTGATTGCATGCGATGTATCAGTGGCTGCATCGCTCGCCACGGCTCTGAATAAATGCAGGGTTGAGCTCGGACCCATCCATGGCGTCTTCCAGTGCGCGGCGGTCCTGCACGACGCACTCTTTACAAACATGACGTACAGCGACTAGACTGGAAGCATTCGGTCCAAGGTCCAGGAAGCCAGAACCTGAGTGACTCGCTCCCCGAAGTTGACTTCTTCATCATGCTGAGCTCCTTCGCGTGGTTTCTGGGAGCCATGAGTAAGCCAACTATGCTGCTGGCTGTGCATTCCAAGATGCGTCGACTCTTGCGCGTCGCGTTCTCGGCCAGTCCGCAGTAAGCATCGACCTCGGTGTGAGGCGCAATGTGGGTGCCCTCGCAGAGAACGGCGCCATAGGGGGACATCAAGGAATGGGAGAAGGTATGAGGGATCCGCGAAGACAGCTTTCTCGCCCTTATGTGACTGAGTATACAGACCGACCAGATGGGCATTGGGGCGCGGGTCGTCACCGATCTGGGGATGCGGGCAGGCTCTCTTGCCGTAGGCATCAAGTAGCCGTGCTATTTCGAGACCCATCCTCGCTTGACGTCTCGCTCATGTGGGCTGAGGTGGCAATCCGGAGACCGGAGGCGCTCGGCTGGGCGACGAACGGCCGCCATCTGGCACGATTGCGCAAGCTGCAACCGTCCATAGTTACGGCGTCGACTCGCTGGCGGCTTTTGAGATTGTAACTTGGGCACTTGAGAGATTTAGATGCGCATTGCTGTGTTTGATGTCGTGGCGGCCGTGCCTATGACTGTCTTTTCCGAGCGCGTTGCTGCTAAACCTGGGCTGCTGTCTCAAAACGTGATCATGGCAAATTAAAACTGTTCGATTAGCTTGTAACGATGTTGCTCCTATACTTAGGTATATTATGTTCTTCCTTCATCCCACCAACACATTTTCTCGCTTTCTCGAACTAGACCATTTGTAGGGTCAAGATGACGAGTCCCTCAGCAACGTGGTCTAGACGTCTGATTGACGTAGAGACGCTGGGATAGAAACGAGGACACGCGAAAGGTTTTCTGAAGAGGTTGGAAGTGCTCGCCAGGAAGCGATAGGGATGAAACCCTCCACGTGACCCTCCCAAAGCAGCGGCACCTTCTGCCAAATTCGGGGGGAAATTTCTCCGCCCTACATTGTTAATTCCACCTCTTGCACCTCTTCCTAGTCACTGCATCGTCAAGTGCCTCTCCAGCATGGGTCATCAACGGTCAGCCTGTGATCGCTGCAGAAGTCAAAAGCTGCGCTGTCCTCGCAGCGATAAGTCGAAGGGTGACCCATGCGCCAGATGCTTGGGAGTCGGGGTCCAGTGCGTTACCAGCAGTGCACGACCCCTGGGACGACCTCGAACAACAGGCGTGGCCGAACGAAGAACCAGATCCATTAAGACAGGAAACACTGCACCAGAAACCCTTAGTGTGGGTTTGACCTCTCCGCGTCCGCCATCGACGACGGTGGGTGTGCAACCATGTTCTAATCTGTGGACGTCTGCGAGCTTGGATCCGTTCTCCGACTATCTTCCAGATCCGTCCATCGTGACCGGTTCTTATTTCGAAAATCCAGTCCCTAGCTTGACATTCCAGACGAATGTGGAATGTGCCTTCGATCTTCAATTGCCGCCTCACGATGACCTTTTCGACATTAGACTGCCGACGGAACTTTCCCAACGCCCGCAGAACAGCTTTAGCCAACCGGCCTTTGCCGAAAGCCATTCGCAGGGACCATCATTGGAGCCTTCGAAACCTGCAGACACACTCACTGCCCTATCAAGACTGAATGAAGATATCGTTAGACAGCATTCCCAGCTAAATTCGTACCTCTGGGGACCTGTGAATGGGGCGCAACATTGTCTCGATAAGTTTCACAAAGTTGAGGGAAACCCCATGGCTGAGTTGCTGCAAAGCACCTCTCAGTTCGTCGCTATTCTCGAAAACTTGGAGCGGTTGTCGCTACCACCAAATAAAACTGTCGACAGGTCTCTGCCGCACTTGCCTCCGGCCTCGGACTCTGATTTCTACACTTCGATCTCCGAACAAAGGGAAACAATGTCGCCTGTACATGGATCCTCCACAGACGTGAAGCCATTGAGCATGCCAGTTGCGCTGATGCTTCTATCAAGCTATCTCCTTCTTGTGGAGCTCTACGACGCACTATTTATCCGTGTACGTGATGCTCTGTCTAAGTTGGCAGACGTCTATGCCTTCTTTCATGAGTTGCCCGAATTCCGAGTGGCTGGCCTCCCTTCAATGAAAGTACATCTATACGCCAAGATCATCCTCCAAATCATCGAGCATCATTTCGATCGTCTTGGACGCCTGCTGGGCCTCCCGAAAGAATTTGATCTCTCTGAACAGACTACGCATTGCAAGGGGTTATTGGGCACTACAGACCTATCTCAGCTTCTACAAGTCACAATGACACAGATGAGCGGCAGTCCTAGAACATCGGGGAGTCTAACACTGAAGTCGTTCAGGTCCAATCTGAAGGGTATCCAAGCTATGCTGCCGGGATAGTGAGACTGTCCTCAACCCTTTGGACATGGTCCTGGCAGGGAATTCCGTAAGTGTCGGTTTTCAACCTCGAGTGTTTGTTAGAAAATGTATCAAAGGGCTGCAAAAAATTCAAGCTACATGTTCTCTTCGGTCCTGTACCATTTCATCCATTTCAGAGAAAAACCATTCGGAGAAGTTTAAGTGTTTCACACCATCCCGTTAAACGACCATCGCGAGGAACGGTTCAGACTATACAGCGTCCTGCGCTGATTCGGCCGAAATCTTCTGGGCCAGGACTGATGGTCGATCTCCTACTCCTTCGAGGGCTTTTTCTCGGTCTTCGCCTTTTCCATGCCGAATTCAGTTTCAAGTTCCTGGCGGAGCGGAACCTCCTTCTCCAAAAACACCAGCAAAAACCCTAGTGCTGCGAACCCGATCCCAACCTGCCATGTCCGACGGAGGCTTTCATTTAACACTGCAATGAACTGCTCGCGAGTGGAAGCAGACAGTGTGTCGAGGAATGCAGCTGTGGCATGGCTATATGCTTGACCATTGACAAGCTGACCCCTAACGACGGGATCTGTGATGAGCGTCGTCGCAAGCTCGTCGAAGCGGTTGTTAAATATTGCAGCAGGTATTGCGGTGCCCCAAGTCCCGCCAAAACTGCGCAAGAAGGACCAGGTGGATGTGGCAAGTGCTGTGTCACTTTCTGAAAGCGGTGCCATTACCGCAGGCAGCAAAGTCGAAACAATAAGTCCTACTCCCGCGGAAACAATAATTTGATAGCCAACCCAGGCGCCCGTGGAGGAATTCTGGTCGAGGAGGTCGAAGAGGCCGAAGCCCATGACTATCAATGCAAAGCCTGCATTATGCGTGGGTCGATAGCGGCCGAATTTGGACATGAACGTCCCTCCCATTGCTGCAAAGGGGACCAGAGCTAGAATGCTGGGCAGAAGCTGGACTCCTGAGTAGGCGGGCGATGACCCAAGAACACCTTGGAAGTAAACAGGGAGAAAATAGATCGACCACATGGTGACTATGCTGTGCAATAAGGTGAGGATATATGCGGTGGCCGACGTGCGATTCGCCATCAGGTGCAGGGGCATGGTTGGCTGAGGAGCGAAACGCGAACCTTCAAATGCGAGAAAGGCCGCTAGGCCCACCAAGCCACTCACCAAAGGAACAAGGACATGGTATGATGACCAGGGATATACGGCGCCGGCCCATGACAGCGCGATGAGGACGGCGCAGATGGCCGCAACGAAGAGGACATTACCAGCCCAGTCAATCGACGACAGTCTGGTGGCGAGGTTGACGTTCTTGTTCCATCTGACCTTCAAGAAGGTAAAGAGGAGTACCAATGCGACACCGCCAATAGGAAGATTGAGGTAGAAGACCCATCTCCACGTGGCGTAGTCGACAATGAGGCCACCGAAGAATGGTCCAAGAGCCGTGCCGAGAGCAACCATGCCGAAGAGGATGGCAAAGTAGTTGCCTCGTTGTCGCAAAGGAACCAAGTCGCAGATAATCATCTCAACAAGAACGCTGGTGCCGCCTGCTCCGACTCCTTGAATCACACGGCCGGTAATGAGCATCGTCATGCTGTTAGCTCCGCCGCAAATACCGCTGCCTAGAACAAAAGCCGTTGTCCCGGCGATCGTTGGCCACCGACGTCCGAAGACATTTGCCAGCTGTCCATAAAGGGGCTGCAATGCCGTCCTATCGTGCAAATTAGTCAAATCAAAATCGATGCAACGAATGGAACAAGCTGACTGAAAGAAAATGCCTCTTGGACTTACATCGTCAGGAAATATCCATTGACAGCCCATATGTACAAGTCACCCCCACCCAGATCCGCGATGATAGAAGGCAAGGCGGTAGATGTGATGGTTGCTTCCAGCGCATTAAGCAGACTTGTGAAGCTGAGGGCTACCAAAATCATCCAGAACCGAGGCCCTTTCTTCAACTTGGTCGCTGCGGGCTCGGTAGATCCTTGAGCATCTTTTAAAACGGCTGTGTCTGTCTCTTTGTTGGATGTCTCTTTGTCCTCGTTGGCAAGTGAGTCGAACTCGGCCTTCTCACAACAGAGGCCCATCTTCAAACGCGGATTCGATTCCAATTCTCGACACTCTCTTTTCGGCACATCCATCCTTTTTAGAACAGAACTTTCACACTGTTTTCGGTCGATGAATAAGAGGACAAGGCGCACTGATGGGTCAAGGGGCGTATATGCGAAGATGATGCTGGTGTGGGGGCAGTGCGTAAATTCTAACATCAATGCCACGAATCGAGGAATGCAGGGAAGAAAGGCTAAAGATTTAAACTCACGGGGGAAAAAAAAAATAACACCAACAGTCTTCGCAACAGGTTTTATAGATGGCGGTGTTATTGCAGACAACACCTACAATATATAATCGGATGCTATTTCCTACCCGGAGGCTTTTCTTCTTTTCCGGTTCGGAGGCCTTTCTCTCGACCTTCTCGGATACCTTTCAAGGTCAGGGAAGCACACGGTCATCTTGCGAAAGCATGTCAATGCCAAACCCCGCGCCTGGCAAGGTTAAAATCCTGTTCGGACATCTCTCAGCCTCGTTGGTTAGAAGAGGATTGGAAAAAGTGGTGGCGAAGATATATCGCACAGTTCAGGTTTAGGGCGGCATCACTCTCGTCCCAGTCCGACACGGTTGCGAGCAATGCTTACTGGTTCCTTGGCAGTGGTACCCTTCTTCCCTCGCCTGTATACCCTTCTCCTTCCTACGAATCACAAGTATCTCCCAGTTTATCTTGCTGTGACTCGGTCGCACAGTATAAGGCCGTGGTCCGATTATGTCAGGAAGCCGTTTGCATTCAGCCACACTGGTCCAAGTCCTTTTGCAACAATTGTGAACAATTGGCAGGCGAGGCTACATACTATTGGATCCTGCAAGATGCGTATTCAACGGGTCAGTTATTCGCACTGTATTTACTTCATCCCTTTTTTGGGAGCTCTAGAATAGGATGGCCCCTGGATTGGCCTCCTTCCCTCTTGCCCATGCTGATCTAAATCTCCTCTTCGCGTTTCACAGCTCTTCATCTACCCGATCAAATCCCTCCTCCCGGTCGAACTTGCCGAGGCAGAAATCACGTCGACGGGACTGAAATATGATCGGTCGTTCATCCTCATTAAAGATACCGACCATGCAGACGTTGAGGCCCCCAGTCCGGCGGTACAGGAACATCTGACTATCAAAACCCTGTCAAAGCTGTGTTTGTTCCAGCCGTCAATTCGGTTCTGCAATGGAACAACTTCGTCTGCATTACTGAGCGTTACGCACACGCTCAGTGGCGAAGAGATCGAGTTTCCACTTACACCCACATCACAGTTTCTGGGTAAGGCAAATGAGTATATCGTCGAGCTCTTTGGCACGAGAGCTGTGGGTGAAGACATGGGTCATGAAATCGCGGGGTGGTTTTCAAAGCATCTAGGGGAGAAAGCAAGGCTGCTGTATATGGTTGGCGGCAGCACAGGGACGCGAGATTGCCCCGCTCCAGCACTCATTCCACGCAAATCAAAACAGCGGACAGGATTCCTGTCCTGGATGAAGGTTCAAGATGAAGAACTTCATGCCCAAAAGATTCAGTTTGCCGATGCAGCGCCTCTCTTGATTACGACGGTAAGCTCCGAAACGGACGCGAGGGAACGGGTTTCCAAGAACGTGGTAGGCGATGAGGACGGAGAAGAGGATGTGATCATTCGTTTTCGCTCCAATATACACATCGACAATGTCTCTGGCCGTGGAGACAACGACAACCCCAATGGCGATGAGGATGACAAGAAACGGTCGGCGCCCTATGCAGAGGAGAATTGGAAGACCCTTAAAATCATCCTCATTAGACTCGGCGAGGACACCCGCGATGATATAGGACCCCCAGTGAGTCTCGATCTGGTCTTCAACACGGTGCGCTGCATGTCTTTAAATGTTGACTTCCGCACCGGTGGCACTGTCCCGCCCGAGAGGCAGCTCTACAAACTCCTCGCCAAGGACAGGAGAGTCAATTCGGCATTTCCCTACAGGCCGTGTTTTGGAAGGTACGCTTTTGCGGAGCCGTTTGGGACGATTATAAGGGTAGGCGATCAGGTACAGGTGATGGAATGGTGTTGAAAAGCCAGGGGATGGAATTTAAGGGTTGGCCGGGATGCGCGAGAATACTTTCCAGTTCTCGCTGCAATATGAGCGTCATGAGCTTATAGCTTTGGACAAAAGTGCTATGAGCAAGAGCTGCTGGCGAGGTCCTGGCGAGGTCGCTGGAACTCGGATGATTATTATATCATCAGTGCTTTTCCCTCTCATCTTCGCGCTTATCTTGTTTATCCTCGCCCTCACCCTTCATCCTGAACTTTTCTACCGCGTGCAGCGCCAAAAGCGATCCAGGATGACCGCATTCCCCTAAAACCAGCAGTGACATTTTCTGGGTGGAGCGATCTCCGGACCGCGCCAAATGCTACGGTCGTGCCCCTGGGATCAAGATGAGCTTCAGGAAATTTTTATAGGTGCAGCTACACTGACGGATTTCGGGATACAAGAACCTCAATTGGATACTGTACGAAGCGTTTTTCCGGAAAGGTATCTTTGACTCTCTCGAACACGTAGCAGTTCGCCGAGAGGCCCCCAGTAAGGAAAAGATGCTGTGGATGGTCGCCTCGAAAGAACGCCCCGTTCTGTGACAATTTGCATCTCGATGTTTAATTTCCTCGAGCGATTCATCGACTTCCCGCGAGTAGCAATTGTTTGGTCCCCCAGAAGAGAGAGGATCTCGTGGGCAACAGGGTCTAATACGTTGATGCGTAGTGCCCTTCTGCCTGTAATCAGCATGCAGCAATGTCCTTCAGACGCTTGAACGTTGCCTTGAGATCTCCACCCCGGACCGGACAAACCCGACCGGTAAGTCTTCTCTCAGACCTGGGACTAAAACGAGTTCACATTCTGAATCGTCATCAGTGTTGCAGAACGCTTTGAGTGTAGGATGAAGCTAGTCTACGGCATCATCTAGCATCTGCTCCAGTGATTGACCGCGGAATCCTTCGAGGTACTGCTTGGGAACATCTTTAAGATGGTCTTCAGAAGTCTTCAGAAGTTGTCAACTATGTTTCCTGCTCCGCATATTATTCCTATGAGATTGTTTGTTGAGGATCAAGTGAGATTTTTGAGCTCTAACAACCTTTCACTGTAGCAAACCCGGCGAGAGAGAGAGAGCGGGTCAAGTGTGGACACCAAAAGAAGTCGCGCAGTCCTTGAGATGAGCAACTTGGCGAGTTTCGTTGGTCATGTATCTGTCACCTACACTCATTCCTCCTCCCAAATCCCCAACAACGGCTGCAGCTTCGAGCTATAGGGACCGATCATTAGCAATCCTATTAGAAGAACACAAAGAAGGACGGTACCTACCAACAGTTTCCTTCTCGTCCCAGCTCGCTGCTCAAGAATGAAGAGAGCTGTAGCCTCTGGCTCCAAGATAAGCTTAACTGGTCCTGCACAACCATCGATTGCTGAAGCTTCGAGCATGGTACGTCTTGCACACGGAGACCAATCTACAGGGACTATCAAAGTCCACCGCTGTTTCCATCCCAGATTGACTTCCCACTCGCACGGCCTTCGGTAGGACCAGAAACGGTCCCCTTCGGAAACAACAAGGGAATCGTCCATTCCTTGGGAATGGGTGCCTTTGATCGCATTGCCCCAATCATGGCGCCTCAAGGACGCGTAGGGAGGATCTGAATGGATCTGCCCACTCTCCCGCAAAAGAGAGGGGCCTTTTCTGACTCTCACGAAATCATGTCGAACCGCGTACCATCTCCCATCTTCCATCTCCTTTCACGCATTCGACCGAGTCTATCCAAAATTTTGCGTTCGAACCTGCCACCGCGAGCCTTATCTCTCTCTTTTGGGTGCGGAATCCCTCCACTACCGTTACTGTCCCACGTATAGGTGACCTCTCCGCACCCCCGGAGGAACCGAAGTAGCGATGAACGCAGCCGTCACACAGTTCGATCGCCAACTCTATTGTGAGGATGCGGAGGAGTTCGTCCTGGAGCGGTGGATCCGTGACGGCGAACCAACAAGCGGCGCACAACAAGCGGCGAAGATGGACAGACACTCGCCATCCTCACATAGAAAGTAGACATGGCAATAGCAGTACATACGACCTTGACGACGAAATGAAGGCTGATCCAATTGGAATACCGACCAACCAACATAATAAATATATGCTGCTTATTCACTGAGCCGAGTAAAGTGGAGCCAGGTAAAACGCAGCCAGGCCCGGTCCAAAGGCAGATCAATGGCAGTCACTCTCTCGCCGCTGAGTACCGAAAGCCAATAGACCAGGAAAAGACATTCGGCACCAAATATACTGTAACAAGGCAAGGTGGCTGTGCTGTGATGGGCTGTGCTGGGCTGGTAGAGCGGTGGCAGGGAGGAAAAGTTGTCTGGTCACATGTCAAACCTAAATGGGCTGGCAGAGAAGGGGGGTGCGGAACAGTTTACAGTGCTGGCAGTGTGCCATTCATTACAGTTTGATCAGAGTATCACAATTCTATGGCTTTTTGGCGCCGTCTACCTAATTCCTAAGTGTTTTATCAGTCCTGTCCTGTTTTTTGATGGTGCGGCTGTGCTAGTTGTTTGTCGCCCTAGTCGCTGCCCCTCTGGGTGGTGTTGGACTTGGTGGTGTTTTGTCAGTATCAACCAGAAACGCGTTCTCGATTCCCGACCTGCTGGACAGGCCTCTGTGCGTTGTTGCACGTGCACGCCGAACCCTGAAGTGCTCTGTTACACTACAAATTACCAACGATGCTTTACGGGCCGCAAAAGACATTCGGCACCAAATATACGATATTCACCGCAGCGGTTGGATGGTAGCCCGTCAGCCAAACGCGCTCGCGAAAATGGTTGGTCAGGACGATCCCTTTTCTTCGGTAGACGGTACAGGCGGCTATAACCACTGATCCTACCTAGATAATTTGGAGGAACAATGCACGTCCTTGGTGGCAGAGGAGTATCAAACAAGGAGCCGCCAAATTTCCATCATGATGGATGTATCAAAGGTGTAGCAAAGGTCCATGAAAAGCCTGTGACCGGGTTGCTAAAGGAGGGTTTGAACTCCGTCTCGATTCTGAGCGAGGCGCTACATGATGGAAATGTGCCTTGTTGCCGGATGCATAAAAAGGTCGCAACACTTTAAGGGCGCCAAGTGTTTTGCCTGGCTAGTTTGGCGCTTTAAAGACCGAGATTCGCGCTCTTCCTGGTCGTAGGGCGGCTTGATGGGCGAAGGCCCTTAATCGCGAGCCAGGAACTTTATCGAGGCCCAGTCCATGTTTCGTGTTCGCTGGGTCCAAAGCCTATTCAACCAATGCAAGCATATCTAAAGAAAAATGGATATGGCATGTAGCAAAACACATGTGCGGCGTTCGACACCCTACTTCTCGAGATCCTACTAGACTGTGCTTGGACGCGTTTACGGCCGTCCGTGACCCATTTGGCAACGCCATGAAAAAGATTGCGGTTAACGACGACTATGAGCCTCTAAACGGTGTGTCAAAAAAGACCTCTATACTTCCCACCCTGACTACAAGCCAAATGTTCCGGACGAAGTGTCGAGAAGAATCGATGAAAGCATTGGTCGCTAGCGTTTTGAACCTTGATATGGCGGAGAAATTTGAATGCGCTTCTTTCTCACGCAGTCTTTGTCTTTCTATCGGCTGATGTAGGAGAACAGCAAGGAGTACCTTCGCTGCCGAGTTACGCTTTGCTGGACCCAGAGATAGCCGAAATTGGCTACACAGTAGGGGGAGATCTGGCACACGAGAGATCTGTATCATTATCTGAGCGGCAGGTATTACAAAATCCCAGAATCACGTTGATCAGGAGGTGAGAAGCAGGATGAGTGGTTCACATTCGGGGCACAGCCTATGCGACGTCTATGCCACGCCAAGCATGCGAATACAAGATGCTCACATTCTGGCATCCGAGCTTGAAAGGTTCCCCGGCCGGGCCGCTTATCAGAATCTTGCATACCGTCCATGTCAAAAGGGCCGGACCGCCTGAACCGCAGACGGATCTCCCGGTAACAACTTTACAGGGTAAATCTTTGATTCAGCCCTGCCCTGGCGGCTTGGCACTCTGGTGCCCTGATAGATAGGGAGAGCAGCCATGACTCTGAGATAGAGATACCATGCATTGACAGTGTCTTCGATTCCCCCCCTTCCCCTAACACGGCAGTCCACTAGCAATAGTAATGGAGCAAGACCAGACTCCCAGCGAGAAGCCAGGCCATCCGCCCGCTCAAGCGATCCTCCACGAGTTGCGCACTGCCGAAAACAGCGCTGCCCATTTGCTGCCCAAGCTGCAGTCTATGAAAGAATCCAACCCCCATTTGACGCTCTTAGACGTCGGTGCAGGCTCAGGCACCATCTCTGTGAGTTTCGCCAAGCTCATCCCCGACGGTCACGTCACCGGCATCGACCTCAACCCCAACATCTTGCCACGGGCACGAGCTGTCGCTGAGATGGCCGGCGTCAAAAACATTGAGTTTCTGCAGGGCACCGTCTATAACCTCCCCTTTGCCGACGAGACATTTGACGTCACCTTTTGTCATCAAGTGCTAATCCACATTGGCACCCCGTGGGATGCGCTACGTGAAATGCTCCGAGTGACAAAGCGAGGCGGCATCGTCGCGGCCCGCGAAGGCGACTACGAGACCGAGTGCGTCTGGCCCGAACTTCCCAAGCTGCGCTGCTTCCATCAGCTCATGGCAGGCCTTATGAGTGCCGGCGGTGGCACTCCAACTGCAGGCCGAGAGCTGCTTTCTTGGGCACTCAAGGCTGGTGCTGAGCGGAGGCAGATTGAGCTCAGCTATAGTACATCGTCATACCATACAACGAGCGAGAGGAAAGTCTGCTGTAGGTGTCATTATCCCACTCTGCTTCTCGTGGCTGCAAATATGGCTCTAACGGCTGTGTTTTCTCTAGCCCAGGGGTTGTGTGATCAGCTCAGAGTGGGTTCTTTGCGCGAGAAAGCCCTCAAGTTCGGTTTAGGTACCGAGAATGATTTTGAAGAAATGGCCAAGGCTTGGGAGGAGTGGGCAAAGAGAGATGATGCATGTTTGGCCATGCTGCATGGGGAAATTCTCGTCCAAAAGTAGTGATTTCGGGACTCCAACTGACACTTCACCGCTGGTCCATATACCTCATACACCGGAGGTAACGGGGAAATACATGATAACTGAAAATGAGCTCGAGAATGGTGGAAGGCGTGGTTTGCTCCGCATGACAGAGGGCATGCGGATCTCGTCTTTGCAGGATCGTGTTTCGGCACACAAGGGAAACATTGTTCTCACCATGGGAGCTTGGCTGTCGTCAAAGGCTCCGAATACCGCCTAGCAAAGTCTCTTCCTACAACGCTAGTTGCACAAGCACATCCTGAGATTTGACTTTGCGCAGACTCTGCGGCTTTATAGAGCTGTTGCTCAACTGATGACTGTAGGATGAACTTTGCTAGAGCACAAGGTTGGAAGTAAGTGAGGCAGTAAGCGAAGAAGTAAGTGAAGAGATACCTTCCCACGAGCTTTTAATTTATTTAGAACCCTTGCTGCTAGACGATCTTGATCGTTTCAAAACTCGAAGCTACTCTCTCTTCGCATGCCGAGTTGGTCGTGAACGCCTGGCCTTGCATCAGCCCATGAACGTATGCCTCTCCAATGAGTCGATATCCCCCTTCACGGCGACGGAGGATTACCGGTGTCCTGCATCTTGCAATGAGCCAAATATCAGTGGTAAGCCCCAGAAACCCTTTTGTCGATATGAAAAGTTTCCGACCAAGACAGACTTCACCCATCCATTTCTGCAATGCGGCCGTCTTTGGATGCTGGATCGCTCGTGTCATTGCCTTTGCACCTCCCATCACATATTTCTCTATAACTTCAAGTTCCTCGTCTCTACCTTGAATCCCCTCTAGGTGCTCGTAAAGGGGTATGACTTCCGGTGGCAATATGACCGGTCCCGAGTAGTTTTCGCGAATGAACTTGACTAATGTAAATATCCTGCCGGCTTCGACAGTCTCATGAGAAGGATCCTCCAAATGATTGAACAGCGCGTCGAGAAGCTTGAGATCGTGAGCACCCCAGGCTGGTTAAGAAGATCGCTTGCGTAGTTCTTCCTGTGATAAACCCATCATGGATACTCCAGTGGCAAACATCCGAGTGTACAATGCCACATCTCAGATTTGGTCGAGAATAACTGAACCCTGTGATGCAGGAGCGGGCTTGGTGCTTGCGGGATCGTACGGATCAATATTGCAAAGAAGAGTCCGCCAAAGCACACTGCTTCGTTGTTGAAGGACCAGACGGAGTAGAATGCTTCTGATTGGGCTCGTTCCGCCATGAATCACCAGAAATAGAAAAGTTCATGGCGTTGGTCTTCGTGTGGAATGAAGTTGGTCGAAGAGATTTTCCAATGGAAGCTCCTTTACGTCCAAGACATCTCCGGGAAGACCTTTTGGAATAGGTCTGCAGAACAGTCCGCATCCGATCTATGATATTGTGTGCCCATCGCTAAGGACATTGGGGGAGGATGTAGCGCTGAATTCAGGGACCCATGAAGGAAGGCATTTCATTGTAGGGCAAGCCTCCCTTAGACAAAGTGTATATAATGACAATGAATCCTGAACCATGAAGCGAGCAGCATCGATATACACATCCTGGGCACTATGCGACTAGTCTATTGGAATTTTAGTTCTCGAGGACGCTTCTTCGAGTTCTACGGAGAGACCTGTTGTAACAGAGCACTTTAAGGCTCGGCATGCACGTGCAACAACGCACAGAGGCCTGTCCAGCAGGTCGGGAATCGAGAACGCGTTTCTGGTTGACGCTGGCCGGGCAACACCACCACCAACACCACCCCCGGAGAGGCAGCGGCTAGGGTAGCGAGCGCCTAGCACGGCGACGGCACTGAGAAGTAGGAAAGGGCCGACGAAACACTCAGGAATAGGCAGAAGACATCAAAAACATAGAATACTCTGTCAAACTGTGAATAATGGCACTCTGCCACCACTGTGAACTGTTCAGCACTCCCCCTTAGCCCATTTTGGTTTGACATGCGACTAGATAACTCTCCTTTCTGCTACCCCCCAATATCATCCCAGCACAGCCACTTTGCCTTGTTACACTATAAGAGCGTAAGCTTGTCCTTAGGGTCGGTGGTTTGATGGTCTCTCAGCAGCTGTAGAGCACCCAAAAGAGGCTTGCGGGATCTGAAATCGCTTGGCATTGACTCCTTCCACTTGAATATCTCCGTGAACCTCTCAGCGTGAAATGTGATATGAGAATCTCTTTGGTATGCACTGTCCTGGTCTGGAACAATGTACCCGTCGAACGTCTGAATCTTGACGAGCTTTCCAGCCGGCTTCCCAGCCGGTAGAGCGCTCGCATCCTGCTCTAGATTGCATATAACAGGTCGCAGTACTTCAATCCGTCCGTTGCGATGAAGACACTGGACAGTGTGCTCGATCCAATCTGAAGGAAAAGTACGCAAACCGCAAATCAACATCGATTCTGCGCCGTAGCGGACTCCTGAATCACCCAGACCCTTGAAAACCAACATCGGGTGAAAAATGCATATAAACTCAACCATTCGATGTGATGGATGGTTCGTATCGGAAGATAGTAAAACTACAAGCCTCGCACGACACTGGACTGGTGCATTTCGAGCATACGATAGTCCACATTGTTCAGAGTTTGGGCTGCGGTTGAGAAGGATCGAGGATGTCCGGGGCTTTTTGCATGAAGCAATCCTCGCCGCCGATCCAGATACGAGCCTCTTCTGCTTGCTTATACACTCGTACCATCATCCTGAACTGCGGGCCTCTTTCGATCACATCACCTAGATTAATGCAAAAGAGCGTCTATCCATATTGGAAAGCTGTTCTGAGATCGAGCAGGGTCAGAAGATATTGTCCAGTGGAGAGCTAAGAGAGCTGTGTAGAGGTTGGTGCTGATGGAACCGGGAGAACTACCACACGTGATGGTCTATGATCAGTTTTCTCATGCTTCATGTGGTAGAGCTCCCTGTTGGGAGGGATATGCTTCTAGAAGGTCAACCCATGTGTAAGACCGTGCGTGGTGCCTTGATGATGGGCAGCTTGATTAAATGAAGGGGTTGAACGTCCGATCTCTTGACAACCGGCTGCGCTTGATGCTTATCTGGCTGCGTCGTCGATCTCCGCATCCTTTTTTCCGAGCATCCTTGCTGTCTCTCGATGATGCACTTTGGCAACTCTTCCACCTCTATCGTTGGGGTCTGCATGAGGGAGAACGCAGCTTCCATTCTCAAGGCCGTCGGTATGGATATGGGGTCTAAGCCCTTGGAATGGATTGAACAGGTTTGGTTGTGCACTGAGTCTTTCAAGCATACTGTGCGCAAACGGATTGAAGTCCACGGACGGGGTGCTACTGTTGTCCAGGTCCTCATCCGACATTTCGAGCAGTCTGAGGCTGTGTCCGCATGGAGTTCATCGGCCAGTGTAACACGCAGCCGGTGGTTCTTTGCTGTGCTGGATTCTGTGAAATCAAGGAACAATGGATAGAAATCCAAGCGAAGGCAAAACGAAATGGTATCAGAACTCCAAGCGCATCTCCTTCCTTTCCAGAAGTCACGTGAAATGCTACCATGGGTCAGGCTCCAGGCTTGGCAGGGCCTACCGGGTACCCAGTAATAATAATAGTGCTCACGAGGCTCAACTGGGCTGGGGATCAAGCGGGGAAAAGCTGCCATCAAGCCGTCGGCCATCTGCAGAAGCTTCTCCAGAAGCACCACCTTTCTCATTCGATAGGTCCCTCAGCCATACACGCAAACGCTTTTTTCCTTTGTTGAGCCGCTCACTCTTCATTTGATCAATTCATAACCACACGATGGTAGTTACTCCAACAGCATCGCGCATGCAACAGGGTCAGAAAAGCGGAAGAATGGCAGACAAGTCGCAGCATGACGGCCCGAAATCACTTGCACGAGCATGTCTGTCCTGCCGGGCTCGAAAAACACGCTGTGACACTGCACGACCCCGTTGTACGTCTTGCACGGTGCAGGGGAAAGATTGCATCTACAAGCAGGAAACGCCGCAGAGAAGGTGGGTTGATACTCGCAACAGGCCCATGATGTTTCTGTACGTTGGCATTGACGGGCGTGGAACTTCCAGACCGACATTGGCACGTATTCACGAGCTGCAGAAACAGAACGCTGCTCTTGGTGCTTTCATTGCCAAACTCAAATCCGTACCATCCGCCAAACGCGAGAGACTGTTGACATCGGTGTCAATCTGTGATGGACATGTCCAGTTACCAGACGAGGGTAACGATGACGGCAACGCCGAACCACAATTTTCACATCAACCACAACTTGCTATTCCGACAACGGGAAATCAAGAAGCTGTGCCTAATATGACACAAACTCTCCGGCGCCGCAGTAGCCTGGGGAGCCTGGAAGATTCATCCGACGAGGAATTCGATATCGGGCCATTCCTTTCTGTTGATGAGGCGGGAAAACCCAGCAGTTTCGGACCGTCCTCAGCCCTTCATTATCATCCGAGAACCGGCAGCATTTCTGTGCAATCTGCTGCCTCTCTCGCGAGAGATCATATCAGAAACTGCTTAATCGCAGAAGCGGCCCTACAACGGCAGAACGAGCGCCATTTGGCCTCTCTGCCCGACGTCCACGGAGTACCTACAGAGCTGGCCATGCATTTGCTTGAATTACACTGGAGTCGTCAACATCACACACTGTTACTGACCTACCGACCGGCGATCGTAAGAGATCTATTGCGGAATGGGCCTCATTGCTCCAGGTTCCTGCTTCATGCGATATTTGCTTGCACAAGCAAGTTTTCTGCCAGAGTGGAAGTCCGGGACGATCCTTCAGATCCTTCAACAGCAGGTCGACGGTTTTTCCGGCGCTGTGACGAACTGCTTGCAGAAGATTCCCTACTCATATACCCGAAGCTTCCAACTGTGGTCGGACTGTTGTTGTTAGGATCGAGCTATAATGCCAAGGGCGAGACCTCGAAAGGGTGGTTGTACACAGGCTACGCCTTGCGTATGATCTATGACCTCGGTCTACATCTCGATCCGAAAGAAACCAGCGATTCTCCAGAGCAAGTGGAAATCCGTAGGAGAATATTCTGGGGAGCCTTTGTATCCGACAAACTGCAAAGTCTCTATCTTGGGCGCCCAGCGGCCATCAATCTCCGCGATTCGCATGTGTCGCGAGATTTCATGGACACTCTTGAAGAACAGGAACTTTACGTACCCTACAAGGATCCCAAATACCCAAGTCCTCAGAGTACTTCAACTTTTACTGGCCTTCCCATTTACTCGGTCTCAACGTTTCAACAGCTGTGCCTATTATCGAAGATTATGACAAAGATTATCAACACGTTCTATGTCGTTGGAGCAACCCCTCGCAACGCCCAGGCCAGTCTGCAGCTTGTTGATAACGCTCTGCAAGCATGGAGGGAGAACCTGCCAACAAACCTAGATTTCCAACCGCGACTCCTGCAATCCAATCCGATATCATATCCTCCTCCAAACTTGATGAATGTGCACGCACTTTACCATTCTCTGCTGATCCTTCTCCATCGGCCGTTCATATCGGACGGGCATTTGCGCTCCACCGCTACTCCCTCGCTTTCTTGGGGTCGCTGCACATCTGCAGCACGAAGCATTACGAGCATTGCGTTGGCATGGAAGACTGCATACAGTCTCAGAGGCGCACCGTACTTGTTGAGCTATGCAATATACGTTGCTTGCACGATCCACGTTAGGAACGCAGCAGCCGATGCGACCAACGGCAGCAATAGAGAGCATACATCCCTTCTTGCAGCAAGTTTGACCTGCTTGGAACAGTTGTGTCTCGCCAATCCTGGCGTTTCTAAGCCCATGAAGATCATACAGAGATTGATGGAGGCCAGCAAGATTGTATTACAGCCAGGTAAATATCACTCGAGCAAGGAGGTCCTAGTTGCTGACTCTCGGACAGAGGAAACTATATATCCCAGTTACTCGCCGTCATCATTCGACTTTGATACTATCTTCAGCATGTTTCCCACAAGAAATGTGACAAGCTCGCACGTACAGTACTCCGGTGAAGTAATCTTCGACTCTGACATTCCCGATGATCCTCTTTTTGGCCTCATGGACGAGCCCATGCTGCCTTACACCGATATGTCCGACACCTTCTTCAGCGGCACTAGATCATTTTGAGGGCCAGATGCATCCATTTGAAGCAAGTGAGCGACATCTGGCGGGGGCTACGTGAGTAAGGCTTCGAACCATCGCCCACTCTCTAATGGATTGATGAGAATGATTGAAGCGAAGAGTTATCAGCCCGCGGAGAATGATTCTCCGACTGAGGGAGCATGAGTCTCCGCCACCACACTAAAACCCCCCTCAGACGAAATTGGTTTAACCTGTCCTGCTGTTGGGGTATGGCTTCACTACGGACTCCAATTAGTGAACTCCCAGGCCGCCCTGGTCCTCGCCACGGTCTGGAGTCGCGAACCTCTATATTAATACGTCGATGCTTTGGCACATCCAGGGAGCTCTAGCCAACCGTATTGGAACGAGGCTAGAGTTTGACGAATGTTCGAAATAGCCAGTCACAATGAGCGGCGAACCCTCATTATACGACAAGGGCAAAGAAGTCCGCATCGCTGTGCTGGGAGAGGCACATGTCCAGAGATCACTTGCGGCGCGACAGAGCGAGTTCGCGAAACCTTTGCAGGACTTCACCACCGAGTTCTGCTGGGGCAAGGTCTGGGCTCGCCCCGAGCTCGATCGCAGGTCGAGAAGCCTCGTCAGTACGTTCTGAAGCCTCCTCTCTCAGGAATCCCTTTAGGTGGAAATATTACTTGCGAGGAAAACGCATAGGGCTTTTGCTCTCTCTCAATAGCAGTGCAGTTTTACCAAGCAACTTCTCTGACGAATCACCAAACTTAGATCTCGGATTCATGATTGCCTTGCACAGCTGGCATGAGTTGTCTATCCACACCAAAGGAGCAATTCGGAACGGGGTGACGGAGGTCGAGATCAGAGAGGTCGTTATGCAGTCCATGGTGTACTGCGGTGTGCCTGCCGGTGTGCAAGCTCTGAAAGTTTGCGAAACGGCTATCAACGACATGATCGAGAGTGGAGAACATCAGAGACAATTAAAGGAGAAGGTGTGAAGTGAGGTGGTGAAGAAAAGGGGCCAGCTCGAAGGGGAAATCTTGTCTTTTGAAAACAGAAACAAGAAGACGTATTGAAAGTCTTTGTTTATCACTTAGAAAGATAGACATCAACCCTCTCTGCATTGATGATGCTGATCTCAATACATCCACCGTGGGAAAAAGCGGTTCTGGTTCTCAGAAGCCCATTTCCAGTCATGCGCAACTATCCACTCCACCGCATCACCATTGACAGCTATCAGTTTCTGGATGTTCTCAATCGTCTTCCGCGCCTTGGGCAGCTCGGCATGAGCGCTTTTCAACTTCCCCTGTCCGTTGTCGTACTCGAGGATCTGCTTCTCTCCCGTCATTATCCGGCGGTCGTGGCAGCAGTCTCCTCCCAGATATACCCATCTGTTTGGCCCAACTCGGAGCAGGGCGTTGACGTGTCCGTGGATGTGGCCTGGGGCGTCTATGATCCACAGACTGCCGTCCCCAAAGAAGTCGACGGCGTTGGGCAGCGTGGATATTGGCTGCCACTGATGCCTTGTCTGGGACGCCGCGGCCATGTGTTTCCTCTCCGATTCTGGAACGGGCGGAAGTTCTGTCGTCTGGTCTGCTGACAGGGCGCCCTTTTCAATCCGCTCGTGCGGATAATGTGGCGCGCCGTTCTCAAGGATGTACAGCGTGCCTGAACCTACGATGAACTTGGAATGGGGATAGTCGGACGGCAGGCCGATGTGGTCCCAATGGATGTGGCTCAGGATCACGTAGTCAATGTCCTTCGCGGGGTCTAGGCCGCCGCTCAACAGGCTCGACCTCGCATCTGCCGACGAGTACACAGGCTGTCGAGTGGTAATGTGGTGCTGGGTTGCCGGTTGAGCGTACTTTGTCAGGTCTCGTTTGATGCCCAGGTCAAACACGACACGTGTGGGCTTTGAGGAAGAGCCTGACTCTCGGTGCTCGATCAAGAAGCACATTGACGGTACTGTCGTACCTTTCTCCGGATCTGGATCCGTTACAAAGTTGCGTTCAGGAAGCGTCAAAAACCCTCCGTTCAGCGCTGATACTTTCACATATGCCTGGTCTGCGGCCGGAGGGGGCAGACGCAGACCGTCGTCGCTCGGCCTCTGCTGTGAGTCTCCCATTGTTGTTGCGGCAATACGTCTGCCTGTTGGATTCTCCTGAGGTGGCTGTCCCTGATGGCATATATTAGAGTAGGACTGATAGTCTGATCGAAGGCTCAACCGAATACGATTCAGGGAGGGAGCCGCTCAAATTCGCAGACAAACATCTTAGTATCATGTCCCGTTGGAACTTCCTTTGGAGTTCCAGCCTAACGTTACTGAAGCGAGTGCTGGGAAGTTGTCACTCGTACCATTACTCATTGCCGACGTACCTCGTGCTCCGGCTATGGGACTGTCAAGCTGTGTGTGGGCTCTTCCCCGAGGGCAGTCTACAGGGGACGGAGAAGGCCCGATTGGTCGATGGATATGACGGCGGGGTTGGTGCGGATTCTCGACTGGGTTTCTTTCGGGGTTCGCCCGGGGTAACATTGAGCTCCAGTACCCAGCCTCGCTAGCCGAGCCAGATATTCACTCCAAACTCTACGGCCCGGAGACTGATACTCCGAGCCAGCCTTGCGATTGAAGATCCCCTCACCGAATGAGCGTTGTGCCGAATTTGGAGAGTCGATCCCCGACTTTGACGCTGCCGAAGATTGCCACAAGGACCCTTGTAGGATTTTGGACAACCTGGTACCCTTGCGGGCGATGGACTTCAAAGATCACGAAGTGGCAATCGTTATTGCGAGTATTTAGTGAGTTGTTGTTGGCAGCCGTTCATAGTGATTTTGCATAGATTTATCATACAGCAGCAGCAGCACCAGTAACACCAGCAGCGAATCCAACATGGGCTCTTATTCGGAACCACAATTACCCGCCAATATTGGCTTCATTGGACTTGGAAACATGGGCTTTCCGATGTTTTCGAACTTGGTTAGTAAGCTGCCGGAAACGTCGACAGTACACTTCTACGATGTCAACCCGGAATCGATGGAGAGAGGATTAAAGGAGTCAGGTGCGGTGGCCAAGCTGGATCCTTGTGGCAGCTCGAGAGAGGTCGCCGAGAAGAGCGTATGCATCTCCTATGTCCATACCTTTCAGAGAGGATCGCCCAGTTAGCTGACAGAAACACCTGTTGATAGGACGTGCTTATGTCAATGGTACCAGAGGGCAAACATGTTCGTGCCGTCTACCTGGACCCCGAAAACGGCGTGCTGGCCGCTAAAGATCTAAGTGGCAAAATCCTCATCGACAGCAGCACCATCGACACGGCCACATCACTCGAGGTCGGCGAGGAAACGCGGAAACAGCACCCAAGAGCCAACTTTTTCGACGCCCCGGTCTCCGGAGGCACCGCCGGTGCGAAGAAAGGTTCCATTACGTTCATGATTGGTTCTACCAAGTCAGATCCTCATCTACCGTTGCTCAAAACCCTGATGTCACTCATGGGCCACAACATCTACACGTGCGGTGGCCCGTCTCTAGGCCTGACCGCGAAGTTCTGCAACAACTACCTGAGCTCCTCAATCACGCTCTTGAATGCAGAGATGTTCAACTTCGCCATCAAATCGGGCATGGACCCCAGGACGCTGCAGGAAATTCTCAAGACCACGACGGGCTGTAACCGCAATGCCCAATGGGCGAATCCGGTTCCGGGGCTGAGTCCCGACGCGCCATCGTCCAGAGGCTACAAGCCGGGCTTCAAGATCGAGTATGTCAAGAAGGATATTGGATTGGCCATAGCTGCGTGTGAAAGGGTCGGGGCGAAGCTTTGTGTTGGTCCCACGACTTGGAACACGTACGTCGAGGCAGGCAAAGACCCCCGCTGTGCTGGCATGGACTCCAAGGTCATCTATCGGTTCATCGGTGGCGACGAAGAGTGGCAGGATAAGTTTGCGAAGGACGAGTGACTGACGCTGAAGAGTTGATGTTTTGTTTAGGATTTGCAGATTAGATACCGCTGAATATACAATGGGATACAAGAACTTTACAGTGACCAATAGATATCACTATGGTCCCTACATAGGCTCAATGATCCACGAAACGGGTGTCACTACAAGCAAGAGGCCTCGAGCGAGTTAGTAGCTGGCAGCAGAAGGGCTGCTTGCAGATTACGCACAATCGAAAGCCAGTTTGCTATCGAATTGACGCCTAAATCAGCAAAGGAAACAAAACAGCCTGTCGTTTTTCATTTTGCTCCGTCTATCAGCCCCTGCAAACTGTCCAGGACGGATTTTTCCACCTGCACATAGCCGCTCTCTCTTGTGCGTTCGCGGCTCTCCCAGCTTCGATCAAACGGCATCCTGATCGGTCCGTTCCCCTTGAGCGGCTGGCTAGTCCTGATGGTTTGCGAGTAGGAGTCCACCTCCCGCTTAAAGTCGTCGATCGGTCTGAACATCTCCGGGTCCATGGCGATGACGAGAAGTCCCCAGCCCTCGGTGTTGCCTGTATGGGCTGGGGCCCCAGCCAGTGCACCCAGCAGCTGAATAGCTATCGCGAGACCGCTGCCCTTGTGTCCGCCCCAGACCGCCATTGCCCCCTCCATGGCTTTGAACGGGTCCCTGGTCGCTTCGCCGTTCTCGTCATACGCAGTGCCCTCCGGCAGCTCCTCGTTCATCAACTGCGCCAGCTTCACCTGCGCGTGGATGATCTTGGACGTCCCTATGTCCCAGATAATGGGCTGCTTAATGCCCGACGGGAAAGCAATGCACATCGGGTTGGTCCCGAAACGAGGCGTGTAGCTGCCCTCGGGCGCAACCCAGGGACCAGCACTGGCAGTAATCATAACTACCAAGTCTTGTCTCGTACACATCTCAGCATAGTAGGACAGCATGCCGGCGAAGAAAGTATCGCTTACACCAACGATGCCCACGCCGCCTGCTTTCGCCTTTTTGATCGCCAGTTCCGTAGCTCGGTAGGCGGCCAGATAACCTATTGCTCCCTTGGCGTCGACTTGCGCTGACGCCGGGCTCTCACGAGTGATGACCATGTCCGCACTGCCTACTAGCTTGTGGCTGACTCGGTCGGCAATGGTGAGGACCCTGGCGAGGCCTGTAGGACCGTATCCACGAAGCTGCGCGTCCATGATATGAGAGCAGATGGTGTCGGCGTCTGTATCGGTGTAGCCCACCGCTCGCAGAGCGCGTTTCGAGAGTTCTGTTGCATCAAGGATTGAGATTTTGACCAACTCCTCCCGCGTCATCTTCCAGCTAGAGCCAGTAGCCATGGTCGTGCAGACCTGATGAAACCCCGTCCAGACAGAGAAAAAGAACGAAAAAGTGCCAGAAAATCTATGCTGTCGGACAATTCTTATGAGAGAGGCCAGATCTATATCCAAGAGCCGAGGACAGCCAAGACGGGACTGCAGTCTCAGAAGCGTCTTTTTCCCCCTGGTAATATGGTATTCTAATTCCGGAATGTCCTACGTTGATGGGTTGTGCGGAAGTCGAGAATCCGGAGAAAGCGGGAGAATCTCTCTCCGAAACCTCCAACTGGCGATGCCATGGGGCATGGAGACAACTATCGACCATCTAACACTGCAGGGCCAATCCCAAGTATTGTCATCGGTGTCAGCTGGTCTCAGACGCTTTTGCTTTTGAAATCGTTACTGGCAAAGCTTGCTGCGATAAAATGAACAATTTTGATCAACGAGAAAGAGAGGCTTTGCTTTTACATTTGGTGAGAACACTGGTCCAATTTGAGGCGCGAAAGGCAACAATAGCATTCATTTCTACACTGGAGCTTTCTGCTTCATCCCGATTCTTCATTTGCACGCAACAACCAGTGGCCAAGAGGTGGATACCTAACAGCCTCGAGCAAAATCAAGACCACAAAACTCGTAAGCTCTTGACAGATTTGTGCATGTCTTCCCTCGGCTTTGAGTGGTATCAGTATGTGTGTCGGAAACCTGGTTGTCCCTCGATGATGATCTCGCCACGATCCGCTCGCTTATTTTGAATGTAAAAGATGAAAATGTTCTTCAGTACGAGGACGAAATATAGCATCTAAAACCGAAAGAGGTTAGCGAGAAATAATGTGGTTGACGCAGCGTTCTTCGAAATAAATAGTCTTACCTGAAACCCAATACAAATCCAGAGACCAGGTCTGTAGCCCGGTGCATCTTTGGACTGAAACACATTGCCCGCGATGATGCCGCCAAAAGCACCTCCCATGACCATCAAGGACATGGTGAGACCCTTCTTGTTCTGTCCGACCATGTTGTTGTGAGCGTAGGCCCACTGCGTGGGAATATTGGCAATGATACCCATTACGCCTAGGAACACCCCAGCGTAACGGGCGTGCACGTTCGAGGCGAAACCGGTCAGAGACACCCCGACAATGTACATAGATGCGTTGAAGAGCATGATTGGGCCGCGAATCTTGAAGTGGTCCGCAACGAAGGCGCAGATCATGATCCACGCAGCTCCCGCTGCATAAGGGGGAAAAGTCAGCAGCTGAGCTCTGCCGGTGGAGTAGCCAAAGTCATCCTTCAAGATCACTGGGAGAAAGTACGAGAAGGCGTAGACTCCGGTGTTGTTGAGCAGAAGGTACAGGGTGAATTCCCAAAGCTTCCAGTCTCTGAAGTGCTTCATGGCGATTTTGAAAGTGATTTTGTCCTCGACCGCGTCTCCACGATCGCGCTCCACACGAGCGAGCACAATTGCGGCTTCTTCGGGCGTCAAAAAACCGGGCAAGCCAAGGGTGTTTTTGACAGTGGCTTTTTCTGGGAAATCAACCATGACGAAAAAGGAAACGACACCGACGACGGTGCTAACGATGCCTTCCTGTATCGAAATGATCAGTAAGAAGTCCTCTGTGAAGCGAGAAAAAGGAAGCTTGAGCTTACTATGATAAAGATCCAAGACCACCCGTTCAAGCCGGAATCACCGGCCATCTGCTCAATCCCATAGGCAAGAAGCCCGGCTAGGCCACTGGATGCATTTCCAATAACGTAGAACCCGGCGATGCGAGCCTGAATTTCATAACGGGTGTACCAATTATACAGAAGAAACATTGCCGCCGGAACGAGACCACCTTCAAGGAAGCCTAGGAGAACACGGCACAGGGCTAGTTCGCCCCAGGTCTTGACGAATCCTTGACAGAGGGTCACAATACCCCATATAGTTGTGATCGAACCGATCCACAGAGCAGGGCCAATCTTTCGGACAAGGAATGTAGCGGGAATGTCGATGAGACAGTAACCAACGAAGAAAATCATGGCCAAGACAGAGTAACGGTTGCCGATGTTGGTCTTGAGATCTTCACTCATGCCGGCGATGTTTGCCTGCAGCATGGTCAGTCAAACTTTGCCGGGGATAAATTCCAGAATGATATTAAGGGGTTCCTCACATTTCCAAGGTTCGACCTGTCAATGAAAGCCCACATGTAGAGCAGAGAGAGCATGGGCACCAGACGTAAGTCGACCTTCCGCATGACCCTGCGAACGGTTCTGGAGTCCTCCTCAAGATGAGACTCCAACACTGCTTTCAAAGGGATATGGTACTTCTGCTCGAGCTCGTCGGCATCGTGCTGCGCCTGCTCGGAGATAATGTTCCCCAGTTGGCTCTGCTTCTCTGCATCCTCGACATGATGCAGAGCAGAGTTCTTGACGCCAGTGTTATTGCTCATGATACTGACTTAAAACGAAGAACACGGCGAGACGCCTCCGTGATACAAAACAGTGCCTTCGCTGGTAGACAGTGGGTAGCTGGGCGTCAAGTCCGCACAGGAAACTGATAGCGGAGAGATAGGATAGAGACGATGGCCTCACTCTAAGTATCAGGAGACATTGCCTGGAATCATCGAGGAGAAATGCACCCCGAGGACTAGGCGTGATACCAGGCCCATTTCGCTGGGGCGGTGCGAGGCTGGGGCGGCACATGCGGGTTTAGAACAACTTGAACGGCCGAAGAGGTCTTAGCATGGAGAAAGCTACACCCCGCAGATGTACTCCAGAATATCGCTAAGGCGCGGAGAGATTGTAGTTCCAACTAGTTCGGGTAACGCGGCTTGAGACCCTTAGGGATTGCGGAGCTTGATGCAAATCCCAAGCCCTTACTTCGGAGAGAGAGTCTCCGATCCTGGGAGCCTGCCGGGGAGAGGTTGGCCGCCGTCAGACCGCACCACAAATTTCAACTCGAGAATCATGCCACCAATGATATCGAGGGACAGTTAAATACTGGAAAGGACGGTGAATCGAATAGCCTCACTCACAGCAGCTAAGGACGGTATTCTCTTCTCGTGTTCGCCGACATACCCTGCCGAGGCTACAGAAGCCAAAGTGTTCTCGGTACAACTTTTCACTGTCTGAACCTGTCGATAGCTTTCTCTAAAGCCCCTAGAGCCTGCAGAATCACTATGGATATCCCTAGAGAGTGCGACGTGCTTGTCGTGGGCAGTGGCAACGCTGGTTTCGCTGCAGCTCTTTCAGCTTCTCAGTCAGGAGCAAAGAGAATTTTACTGGTCGACAAATGTCCTGAATCCTGGGCAGGTGGAAATTCTTACTTCACTGCTGGAGCGTACCGAACCGTCCACGGAGGCTTACACGACCTCTTGCCTATTGTCAACAATGTGGACGCCAAGCTGGCAGAAAAGGTTGACCTGGATCCGTATACCGAGAAGAATTTCGCTGATGATATGCACCGGATCTGTGGGGGCAGATCGGACCCCGAACTCTGCAGAGCTCTCATCAAAGACTCGAACTCAGCCGTCAAGTGGCTGGCCCAAAATGGAATCAGGTTTCAGCTCTCATTCAACAGACAAGCGTATGAGGTCAATGATCGATTCAAGTTCTGGGGAGGCCTACACCTCAAAACTGAAGATGGAGGTAAAGGTCTTATCCAAGACTACATCAACATTGCACGACGACAGAAAATTGTTCTCTCTTGGAATACAGCACTTACCGGTCTATCAACGGACGGCAGCGGCGGCGTCCTCGCGACTGTTCACAGGGACAGGAAGGACCACACTATCACGGCTGGGGCCGTGATTCTTGCTGCTGGAGGCTTCGAAGCTAGCCCTCGCCTCAGGTGTCAATACCTCGGTCCTGGGTGGGATATGGCTCTTGTCCGCGGAACGCCCTTCAACACCGGCGACTGTCTGGAGATAGCGATGCGCGACGTCTCAGCGCTAGCAGCTGGAAACTGGAGTGGTTGCCACTCGGTCGCGTGGGATGCGAACGCGGACCCTAATACTGGTGATCGCGAGGCATCAAATGAGTATACGAAGTCTGGATACCCGCTAGGTGTCATGGTAAATACTCAAGGCAAACGTTTTGTTGACGAAGGAATCGACCTCCGGAACTATACATACGCCATATTCGGCCGTGCCATCCTCTCACAGCCCGAGAGTGTGGCCTTTCAAGTGTGGGACTCCCGCACAAGTCCTTGGCTGAGGCTGGAGGAATACCGCGAGGAGCGCGTGGAAAGAATTACCGCCAATAGCATTGAGGAATTGGCGGATAAGTGCCTTCAACGGGGTTTGCGCGACCGCGAAAGCTTCATCAGCACACTGCGTGAGTACAACGAAGCTGTATATGCTCATAGAAAGGAGCATCCTGAGGCCACCTGGAATCCAGCCATAAAAGACGGGTTGTCGACACAATCTTCTACCACAAAACTATTGCTTGCAAAGTCGAATTGGGCACTTCCGATTGACCAGGGTCCGTTCCTCGCCGTCAAGGTCTCGTGTGGAGTGACTTTCACGTTTGGTGGGTTATCCGTGAACCCAGAGACCGCTCAGTTGAAGAGTGCAGTGACACGCGAGGGCATCCCTGGGGTTTATTGCGTTGGAGAAATGCTGGGAGGATTGTTCTATTCAAACTACCCTGGCGGTAGTGGTCTCACCTCGGGTGCCGTGTTTGGTCGGAGGGCAGGCAGAGCAGCTGCCCAATGGGCTGCGAGATCGTCCGTGCAAAGAGGACAGATGGCGAAGCTATAGGGAGACGTATTAGCACTGTCGCTGCTGCATCCAGTTTGCCAGGCACTATTCTCTTGTGACTCCAGGGCTCGAAAAAATTGAATTGAGGACAGAATCAGGGATTTTTGGAGGAAGGCTGTCACAAGTGACCAGAACCCCTACTGCCGTTTACGAGGCCCACCGCAAATCCATCTCCTCAGACAATTTAAATCTTTCTGTGCTTCTTCGAAATGTTTCTGACCTCTAAGCGCTGAGATCGTTCCCGCCTGTTCCTCACCCTCACAATGGATTTCCATGTGCATGAAGCCCAGCCCTGGATGCATAAGCGCGGGAACAAATCTGGCACGTTTCCTGCAACTAGCTACAACAAAAGCAACTAGGCAGAATGCCGAAGCGGAGATTCACTCTCCGCAGTTGCAACAAAGCCAAATTTGATGATTCGTTTCTCAACCTCTTCTCCCCACAGCCCGAGAACATTTGGAATTACGAGGGATCTTGAGCCTGCCGAGCCCTTGGACGGAGAGTTGGAGGCCTTCAGAGGCTTACCTAGACGCAATGCGGTTAAATTGGACATGTCTTTCGAACATCCATGGGGTTCCATACTTCCCGCTCAGACCTTTATGTACGGCCCAAAAGCGTCCTGCAACACCGTCTGTATTCACCCCGGTAGGAGCAAGGTGCAAGCATTACGCCACAATGTCAAACAAGTCGCCAATCAAAAAGTCCATACCATATGAGGTAAAAGACCTATCAGTGTCAACGCGATTAAATGATCTGACATGTCGCATCAGTTCCAAGACCTAACTTTGATTGACACAAGGTCGTTGATTGGAGGCCAGTGGGTTGGTGCCGCATCTGGGAAGACCTTCAAACTTTTCGGTATGTGAAGAGCGTCGACACGTCCTCACGCAAACATCTCCTCCCTGACCTGAAATCCAGATCCAGAAGACAATGCCGAGATTTGCGACATCGCCGACTTGAGTGCTGAGGACACCCGAAACGCCATTGAAGCCGCCAGCCAAGCCTTCGAGACGTACAAACTCACTCCCCATCGGGAGAGGAGATGGCTGATGCGACGATGGGCTGATTTGATCAAGGCAAACAGGGCAGACCTAGCTGCATTATGTACGCTCGAGCTCGGCAAGCCGTATACGGAGTCACTCGGTACTGTACAGTATGCTGTTGACTTTATTGACTGGTTCGAGGGTTCCATTGAGCGCACATTCGGCGAAACCATCCCCGCAGCCCGCGGGAATAATAGAATCCTCACAATCAGAGAACCTCAAGGCGTTGTCGCATGCATAACACCCTGGAACTCACCTGTCGCAATGGTTACTCGTAAAGTGGGTGCCGCAATCGCGGCTGGCAATACAGTTGTATGCAAACCGGCGCCCGAAACGCCACTTTGCGCCATTGCACTCGCAAAACTTTTTGAACGAGCAGGCGGTCCACCGGGCGTATTTAACGTCGTGACAGCCGGCCTTGAGAACACCCCGTCGATCGGTAAGGAGTTATGTAGTCATCCGGCAGTAAAGCACTTGAGCTTCACTGGGTCTACTACTGTTGGCCGCCTGCTCAACACAGATTGCGCCAGAACCATCAAAAAGACTAGTCTCGAACTCGGTGGAAATGCACCTTTCATCGTGTTCGAGGATGCCAATATCGATAAAGCCGTGGCAGGTAGGCGCTCTCTGCCCCCATGTGCCGAAGCTCCGTCGCGCAAAAGCAGTCTAATGCTCTCTAGGCCTTATTACGTCCAAGTTTCGATCATCTGGACAAACATGCGTATGTGCAAATCGCATCTTCATCCATGCGTCCATATTGGACAAGTTTGCAGATGCTTTAACGGAAGGGTTGAAGCGCACTTTTACATACGGTTCCGTTTGGGACAGAAAAGTGAACTTCGGACCCTTGTACGCTGGCAAAGGTATTGCAAAGGTGGAGGATCACTTGGATGATGCTCTAAGCAAAGGGGCTCGGGTTCACACCGGTGGTAAGGACAGTAGCCATGGGCCCAACTTCTTCCCCGCCACTGTCGTCAAAGGTGGCGAGGTCGGCATGAAGTTCATGACAGAAGAGACGTTCGGGCCCTTGGCCTTTCTTGTACCCTTCCAGACCGAGCAGGAGGTCATAAAAATGGCGAATACGTCCGACGTCGGCTTGGCTGGTTATTTTTACACCGAGGATATTTCGCGCCTTTGGAGAGTCAGCGAGGCTTTGAAAGTGGGAATGGTTGGAGTCAGAGTCGGGCTGGTGAGTGCTGCTGAGGCACCGTTTGGTGGTGTCCTCGAGAGCGGATTGGGCAGAGAAGGAGGAATTGCAGCTTTGGAAGAATACTTGGATATCAAAAGTATAACAATCGGTATCTGAGCTTCTGTTTGTGGTGCTGGGACCCATCAGATATACAAACGATTAATGTCGTAGGAGTCAGGCCTCCATGCTGGAATAGAAGGCTCACGCTGTTTAAAAGACTCCGTTGGCCCATGACGAGCTTGGCAAGGCAGCTTTTCAACTCGCTGTGCATTACCTTGAATTGAGTCCAATTAGAGACCTCAATTGCCTTGTGGTCATATCCATGTCAGGGTCGTGATATAAGTCGCAAGTCATCGCCGTCTTCGGCGTTTTTCCCGGTGCTCAAGCATTACCTATTCGCCGGAGCTTGTTTCCCCGCAGAGGGATTGCCGAGGAAAGCTCTCCAACGAGTAAAAGGGGAGATTGACCTTGCATCAGTCATCACATGTGGGCGAAGGGATTTTCATGAGATATTGGAAGCGTATTATTGCTAAACGCATCAATTCGATCAAAAAACCTTGTTCGGCTGTCGCAAAGATCGCGGCGGTTCGATTTATATCTGCCAAAAGGGGAGCCAGCCTCGCCGTTTATCGACCTCCCAAATCGTCACAATGGCTGCTTCTGCAACAATGAAAGCACTCATTTTTCATGGCCCATATGATGTAAGGTTGGAAGACCGACCAAGTTCGTTGACAATAGCCTCTGTTTTCTGGCAAGCCGCCGCTAATGACCTCCATTTAGTCCCTCACGTAATAGACCCTACCGATGTTGTGGTGAAGACTACCTCGGCAGCTCTATGTGGAAGGTAATGCCGTCTCCTCTCATTTGTTATTATGTCTGCCGTCTCTAATGATGAGATATACCAAAGCGAGTTGCATCGTTACCGAGGACACTCAAAGATCAACATGCAACCTGGTTATGTGTGCGGGCACGAAGGCATGGGCATCGTCCATGAGGTTGGTAGCGAGGTTAGAAGCTTCGTGAAGGGCGATAAAGTGATTGCGCCGTTCACGATCAGTTGGTTAGCACTGCGCTTCACTTGTTGAATTTCAACCACTGAATAGTTACAGCGGCGAGTGTTTCCATTGCAAGAGGGGCATCACCGGTCGATGCGTGAAATGCAAGTCGTTTGGATCAGTCGCTCTGGACGGGTCACAAGCTCAGTATTTCAGAGTGCCGTTGGCGGACTCTACTCTGTTTCACACTCCGCAAGAAGGAGATCTCGGGGAGCTGCTGATCTTGATGACTGATATATTCCCAACCGGGTAAGCACAGATTCCCCCTTTCATTTTTCTTTTCGGAAACTGGACCTGGTTGACGAGATGACATGCTAGATTCAACGGTGCGAGAAATGCTTTTCGGGAAACTCCAAGTGACCAGTGGAAGGACATGACCGTGGTAGTGATAGGTTGTGGTCCGGTCGCGCTGTGTTCAATTATATGCGCACTCGAATACAAACCTGCCCGAATTTTCGCTATAGACTCGGTCCCTGACCGCCTGCGGCGTGCGAAAGATCTAGGCTGCATCCCACTCAACTTCAAGGCGGTAGATGTTGTCAAAGAAGTGATGAGGCTCACTGACGGAAACGGAGCCCATGCAGTCATTGAAGTGGTCGGTCTCAGTCCTGCTCTCAAAACTGCTTATGATATTATTTGCCCAGGAGGCAAGATAAGCTCCGTAGGTACGTTGTCGATCTCGTTATCCCCATTGCAATCCATTATCTCTGACACTGGCAATAGGGGTACACAACGGCGAGCTCCCATTCACGGCCGCAGACTGCTACAACAAGAATATTCACATCCAGTTCGGTCGATGTCCAGCAAGATACGTATTTGGTGAAGCCTTGCAAGCCCTGATACGTAACAAAGACAAGATAGAGAAGATGAGATTCATAGATCTTGTCTTGCCAGGATTGGATGACTCGTGTGTGGATGCTTTGCGGCGCTTCGAGCGCGCAGAGGTCAACAAAGTGGTCTTCAAACCCAACGGTATTGACGCTAAGTCAGAATGAACAGCATTTAGCATTGACAGGATTGGAAGAGGGCATCTATCCTTAACAAATCAAGTACGGAGTAAAGCCAATCATGGTACTCAGCGAGCGTAGGAAGAGTTTGGAACGCAGTTGTGGCGAATATTTGTAGCTTGTCGTCAATGGTGCCGAAGACGCTTGATGCGTTGTAGGCAGCAGGGTTTATTGCGGCGCGCTTACACGAATGTTCTTTAGCCCTGTGCTCCAGCATGTCAATGGTCCACATAGTTAATTCGGCCGAGCCAGTTCCAAAGACAGAACGCTGATGTTGGCGAGGACGCAAGTACTTTAACTCTTTAGCACTCCTCAATTCTTCTACTCGTTCCAGCACTGCTCATCCAACGTGCAGAACACTTGTATTTGAAATTTATTGAGAATACTTCACTTCGGACTATCTTACCTCAGCGTGCGGTATTTAATGTACATTTCACATCCTAACTCAACGGCGGGATATAATATGTTCCAATGGGGAACTCAGGGGACAGTCAGCCTAATTACTACTATACTAGGAAAATAATAAGGAGGCTACTAGCCAGCTCGGGAATCCTTCTGCCTGGCTGGGGGGCTAGTGGCGAGCCTAGCCAGGTCTGGGCCTAGCTGTCGTTACGCTCTTGGCTTCCAGGCACCACCGAAAGAGTTCTGCTTTCTGTATTGTCCACAACGGCCTATAAAAGTTGGCATTCGATTAAGAACTCGTCACCACCAAGTTCGACCGATAAAAATTCACATCTGCCAAGTCCTCAAAAATTGGAAGGCAATGGCAGCAATTGATGTCTATGACAAAGCAAAGGGAGAGGGGGAGCATATCCTCAAGTTACCAGGAAACAGACAATTGGCATATGCCCACAATGGCCCCGCAACGTCCCGAACGGTTGTTCTCTTCTTCACCGGCATCATGAGCGTTGGCACCGCACCAAATGTCCCTGCGCCGTGTCGCGAGCTTGGAGTGTACTGGATAGCGCCAACTCTCCCGGGTATGGGAAATTCTAGCACACGCGATAAGAAAGTGCCCTACCACGTCTCGCTAGCGAGGGACATGATTGCCTTATTGTCGCACCTATATCCCACAAATGAATTTGACACTCTCTACGTTTCGGGTGGATCATATGGCACAGTCCAGGCACAAATGCTGTATGGAGCGCCATATGACTTGTTTCCTCCCGGTCGCAAAATTGTGGGGTGCGTCTTGTTAAGCGGCTTCTCGCCTCTCAAGTACCAGAAAGACTATGCGAAGACACTGAGCTGGCAGAACTGGTTCTCCTTTGGACCGCCGACACAAGTGCTCCCTTGCCACTTTCTACAATGGCTTTTTCGCTTTGCCGTCGGATCTAAGTTAAAGACCTTCGGCGGCGCGAAAGCTTTCCTCCAGCAAACGCTAATCCACAACATGGATGAGGAAGAAAGGTCGACCTTCAGTCAATGGCTGGAAAAGAGTTGTGTGACTGAAGATGCTTTCTTGGACCAAATGGCCCGGGGTATAATTAAGTGTTGCCGGAACTGGGACGGGTTCATGGAAGTCTCTGACGTGATCCACTCCGACTGGGGTTTCGAGCCCAAAGAGCTTGATGACCAACACGCGTCGAAGCCTCTGCTAGTCGTGGGCTCAAAGGCCGATCAGATCGGCGGGAGCGCGAACAACTGGCTCGTGGAGAATTACAGGTCTGCCAAGCTCAAACTTGTGCCCGGAGGTCATATTTCATCCTTGTTTTATATGGACGAAATATGGGAAGAGATCGTTGGCAGTAAGTCGTGCAAGACAGAGGTTTTGTTCGTTCTTGTGAAACTGACGTCCGGTTAGTGGTGAAGCCATAGGCAGACCATCCGCGCCCAGGGTCGGAAACGGGTGAAAAGATGGCTTGTGCGACAATATTTGTCCAGACGCGTCTAGGGCAGGCCGACTCCAAATGCAACCTAGGCATAAGAAAACACAGGCGAGAAAACCAGTGTCGTGGCGAAGGTCTCCTGCAATTTTCACGATCCAACTGGAGAGGCTATCTTTTTCCGCGCCTCTATTCCGAGTATCTGTGGATGAGCAACTCCAGAAGCTGCTCGGTTGTTCGAAAAGGCTGGCAATGCTTTGGCCTAGCCCCTGGAGGGAGAGTGTGCCGAAACGTGTTATTCATCCCACAAATTTGTCTCTGTTCTCAGACCCATCGGCTCAGTCACTATTTTGTGGGCCAATTGGCCGGCGCTTTCGCTAGTCTAGCTGATTAGGGCGGAGCCCCAATATAGGGAAATATCATCGTCACTAGATAGAATTCCTCTTTCTCTCAATCAATCAATACTCAGAACTTGTATCCAACAAGAAATCAAGGTAACAGCCTTACTGCACCGGAGGTACGGGAAGTGGCTTATCAGACCATCTGCCGATTCGTTTCCCACAGTAAATCTTGATGGACTCGACGGAGTCGGCGACGCGGCTTGTTGACTCAAATCAACAGACCCCAGACTTCAAGCCCTCAAGTACCGGTGACTGCGACTATGATTAGGATTTGTCCTAACTGTCTGATACTAATATATAGCCGCTACGGCCGTGGTTCGGCCGGTTCCTGACAATAATAAGGTTCTTATCTCCAGCTTACTTTCATTAGCCAACCTATTACTCCTACGGGATATAGGCAATTCATGCAATTTCTACCTAGACTGAAGTCTTTGACACTGAATTGGCTCCCCAAATTGATACACGGTCCCTGAATCTTGGAACTAATTAATGACAAAGGAATGGAAAACCAGAAAATTCCACTCTACTAAGAGCCCGAACAGACGGGTCACGATTACGCCGATCCTATTTGTGAAAATCTCCACTTTCGGTTTCGAAACTACATGAAACAAAGGCGTTATGCTCTCGTGCAGATGGATGCTACTGTATGTACTGTCGACATATCCTCAAAATCGGCAGCATACTAACACTGGGAAAGTCGTGATTACCGAAGCCAGCAAAGGAGGGCTTGGAGCTGAAACAGCTTTGTCTCTCGCCAGCAAATCATCGCCTCGTCTGCTTGTGCTAGTCAACTGTCAAGCAACCCGCCTGGGGCTAGTCGTTGCGGAGATCAAGAAGGTCAACAGTGCAGTTCTGGTACACACCGTCACGTTTGATCTAGCAAGCGGGACTTCTGTGCGAGACGGAGCCTCCAAAATCACTCGGCTTCCAGGATGCCCAAATGATGTTCTGGGGGCTGACGTTGACGGTTTGAATAGGACGGTAAAACATAGAAGCCGTGGTTTGGCTACAGACAATCGAAAGCCGCAAACATTCTGTTCACGCGTGCTCTCGCCCCACCGCTGAAGCCTCGCGGCGTTCTCAGTTACACGCTGCACTCAGGAGGTGAGTCTTTGTTTCCCCTTTTCATCATGTTCGTGACTCACTCTGAAGAATTACAGTCGTGATATTCCGACATGACTCCTTCAGTGGCTACGTCCTGCGCATGGTCTCATGCCTCTAACATTGTGAGCAAATCTAGGCATCATGTCGCCGTTTGGGCGACGTATGGACCAGAAGCTGGTAGAAGATCTATATAAAGTAGCCAGATGTGAGTTGTGACCGCTCCGGTCCACAATTTAGCCATACTACTGCCACCTTACTGAAATGCATCAATTTCACTGTGCATGGCTCGCAGGAAATTCGCTTCAAGGACCTCCAACAAGGCTGCTCGACTACGTTGATTGCCGCGCTCTCCCCGGAAATCGAGGTCGCATCTGGGGCCTATCTTAACGATTGCAGAATTTCAGTCTGTAGATAATACGACCGGCGAAGAAGACACAGAAAAACTGTGGACATCGAGTGAGAAGTTCGTTGGAAAGAAGTTCGACGTTTAGAGTGCTCTATTCGTCGAGCTTGCCGACTGTCATCTCGGCTTACTAGATCCTGCAACAGAAATTTCGACCCCTTTCAAGTCGATGGGCTCTCGAGTCTTCTCCACTCAAACCCAACTTCAATTTGCAGACATCGATATCCTCCCTAGGCCTTCAGACACATTCAACTTATCCAATACCGCAAATCTAGGCCCAAATCCTCGAACAACTTCTTTGCCTCCTGCGGAGTCTTGCGCTCGTAGTCATAGGTGGCCTTGTCAGAATACCACGCCTGCATCATTCTTAGCAAACTAAGCTCAGCGTCAATTGTTAGTTCCGGGCTACCTTTGATAGTTCCCAGAGTTTATCCAGGCTGATCACATCGCCATAGTGTAAACCGTGTTTGGCATGGAAGTTTTGGGCTTCGAGCTCAGATGTGCAGATTTGAATCCCGCCGCAAGCAAAACGAACATCTGTCCACCACTGGGATGGAGGCGCAGAGAATACGGTATAGTACTTCTGCAGCGGCGCTTCCTCCCCTTCACTGATTGCTTTGGTGATGTTCCCCTCGGCGAACTCGAATGTCAAGTGCTCTCCGTTAGAAGGAGTCATGACTTTGACCTTGACCTCTCCTGGTGACAGCATAGCAGCAAGACCGAAGGCACACCAGGCGCAATTCGCCCACCAAAGTTTTCCCGCATGGACCTACCGCGCTCAAAGTGAGAAAAAATTCGTTCATACTCGGTTGCCAGCTACTCAGGTATCTTTGGATTGAGACTCTTACAACGACATATGGTGTGGGCCTACTTCATTATCAGATGCTTGAGCCTTGCAGTGCTTCTGCCGGCACACTCACAAATGCGAGAACGGGTGTGCCATTGCTATTGGAGTTGGTGTCGGCACGTCCTGGTCGTACAGCTTTATATGATGGAGGTCATGAAGCTGGCGAAGGCTCTGCGTGACCTGAGATTCGTCACGCGAGACACGAACTACAAGATCTTGAACGGTAGGTGGACGGCAGTTCTCAAGAATGAATTGAAAGATCTCATATCTAAGCCGGCGGGTGTCGCGATCCATGGCTGTGTTGGACATTGGAGATGAAATATTCAACGCAACGGCTGTACATCCTTCAGACGTGTTTCAGTCACAGTCGGACGGACCCCCACCGATGTACACGCCTTGTGACATCTGGCTAGGCACTTTTGATAGTTTCTGCTAACTTAGCTTTAGAGGGGAATGGTTCTGTCGCCGAGGTCTAAAATAGAGCATGTATTTTCCCTCGCATGCAAGGGAGTCCGCCTTTAGATATCGCGGATTATCCTGGTTATAGGTCAACATTGTGGACCCAGGGTGGATTTCGATACAGAATCCACAAGTTCGATACCGTACTAGCATTGTATTAGGTTGGATCGGTATTATATAATATTCTTGGCAGCAACCTATGGGAGTAAGCAGAGCACGTGATTTCTAGATTAGGACCAACCAAGGACCAACGTGTATTAGTTTTCTTGGTTTTAGACTCTAAAATTAACTCCTACCCCTTACTTTTATCGCCAAGAGCAATGCTAAGAAGTATTATAATACTTGCGATGCATCTAACAGCAGCCAGTACTAGTATTGTATTAATAATTATCGACAGCTGGGGTACCGAAAACCAGCCTGTGGACGACGTTGAGAAGAGCCAGAAAGAAGGCGCAACCTGGAAATAAGAGGCCGACAAGAGCGTGTTAGACTTAGCGTCGGCGAGAGTACCTACGTTTGCTGAGCGATTATCTATTTCTACTCCGAAACAAATTCTGCAAGATTGCTCAATAAGGCTGAGGTACTTTACGGAAAGGATCACGGGGTTCGAGAGAACACGATAGGATGGGGTGGGGAATGAAGATGCCATGCGGAATGAATCAAGCGCCGCTCTTCGTGCCACGGCCACGCAAGGAATGAGTTCTTATCGTCTCGCCGACGAACATACCGAGGTAGTGATGACTGAATTTAAACAAATTGAAATCCATGCGCTGAACCATCCAGATATATCTTTTTAGATGCATTAAACACTGACCACTCCAGGGTGGGGAATGACAAGGACGGCAAAGTCGATCAAATATAACTCTTCAAAGTTTGGGTACAGGTCCTCGGAGACCGGCCAGGACTTCTACGGCTCCGCGCTCTCCACTCCTGACAGCGCCTTCCATGTAGCCTCTCCAGACGTCGCTCGTCTCGGTGCCGACAAAATGGACATCGCCTACGCTGGCCTTCAGCCAGCTACCTACTTCGCTCAACACGCCCGGAGCTGTTGAAGAGCTTGGACATCCATAACCACTCCATGCCTCATCGTTCCACTGGTGGCCGATCATGTCGACGTACTCACGGTCAACCAATTCACGATCTTGGAAAATGGCTCCAAGTTGACTCAGCAGTGCTTCCTTCTTTTCTTCGACCGTAGCTAGCTGGGACCAGCCTTCGCCGGCATCGCCAGAGAGGAATAAAGTCAGAACGAATTTTCCATCGGCCGGGATGCACGAGTCGCGGATGATCGAAACAGGGCCGATGAAAGATTGTACCAGACCACAGGAGCCTAGTTTGACCCAGAAGGCAGACTTGAAAAGAACCATGACTTTTTGGTAATAGCCATATTTGTAAGAATCGAGCAAAAGCCTCTTGCCAGGTGGCAGGGGAGGGTGGAACGCAATCTTCTTGACGATCCCCGGTGGGACAGCCGAGATGACCTTTTTGGCTCTGTACACCCGGTTGTTGTTTGACGTGGTAACGAGAATCGACTGTGGACCCTCTTGCTGGATCGATGCGACAGGGGATTCGAGATGAAGTGTACCGCACGGAAGGCCTGCGGCCATCTTTTTCGAAAAGTGTTGAGTTCCTTGACGCACGCGCAAGTACTGGCCTCCATCCTTGGCATCGGAACGCATAGTGTACAGACCACCACCCGCTGCGCAGTAGTGGAGGAAGAAAAGCGCCGAGATCCTGCTGGGCTCCTGGCCGAGCATTGCTCGAGACCAGACTGCGGCTGTGTTGGTGGCGGCTTCACCGGCTCCAAGCTTCTTCAGGTAAGCGAGGAAAGTCATCGAGTCCAGCTCGGCCGAGCGGGCATCCTCGTGGCTAGTGACCGAAAGAGTCGCGGAATCTCGGTGCACGGTGTCTCGGATACGAGCAAGATCATCCCTAATATGCTTGGGAAACTGCAACTCAACTCTTTAGATGTTGTGTTCTGCACAATTAATTCGGCTCCCGTGGAGCGAGCCAAGGCCGCCATACGGCTCTGGTTTGTATCGTTGATCCATGCTGCTCCCAGATCAATGACGCTCATTCCGTCCGGAAGTGGCTGACTCCAGGTACGGCCGCCGACTCGGTCACGAGCTTCTAATAGAAGGACCGAGTGCCCGGCGTTCACCACATCGCGGGCGGCGGTCAAACCAGCGAGGCCAGCTCCGATGACAATAACATCGACTGACTCTGCAGAAGTTGGTGACAACTGATTCAAGGCAAGCGGAGATGGCTTTGCCAGCACGGCATCGATCTCGACTAACCACTCGGGCACCGCCAGCTGCGCCACAGGGACCAGGGCCATCGCAGGTCGATGACCATTGTAGAAGCGTTGAAGAAGTTTGGTGTGTAGACGCCGGTTGGGGTCGTAGTTGACAATGTAGATTGTTAACTTGAGGATGTCCGAAACCGATGCGCCTGCGGCTACAATGATACGATGGATGTTGAGTAGAGCGAGGTGAATCTGACTTTCATAATCGGCAGGGCAAATGTTGTTTTTGGTTGTGCCGGGCTGTCCAGCGATATGGATCAAATCTCGACCGCCGGAGATCGTGCCTGGAGCATAGTATGCCGATTCACTGTTACCGATGTCGATGAATTTCACGGGAGAGACCATGATGCGACAATCTTCTTGGGCTGCTGTGCCTTGAGAGCTTGCTAAGCATATGCAAGACACAACATATTTATCATGTTCGTGTGCTCGACTTGTAGATACTCTGATGGCCTCACATGAGGTCGGCTTTGTCCGCCCGGTGAAAGCTTCCTCTTTTGTAAACGTGGGCCAAGGAGAGCTGATCAGGAAGCCCACAGCGGCGAGAGCTCGGGAAGGGTTTCTGATAGAAACTGATCCTCCGGAATCGCTTCGTTCGGGGCCCGCTGGGTCTTACGGTATCGTCCTACTAGTATCCAACATGCACAAGGGCATGGTGTCTACGTCCGAGGCGTATCACCAACAGTCTTCTACTATTCTGACCGAGAGCCAACCGCATATCCGGGATGAAAGTGAAGAATGGCCCCCAAACTTCAAGATCCAAGTCTCTTCGTTGAGAAGGCGTATATTGATGGAAAATGGATTTCTTTTCGGGGAGGGAAAGTGTTTGACGTCTATGGTAAGCCACTTCGTCCTGGGTCGCGGGGACGCGGCTAACGACCAATGCAAGATCCGGCATGCAATACCAAGATTAGGAGCTGTCTAGAATCAACCACAGCAGATTTGAACAAAACCATCGTGGCAGCACAAAAGGCGATGAAATCATGGAGAATGCTCTCCGGACGTCAATAATGCCGAGCGTTGAGGAAATGGTATGAGATTGTCATCGCGAACAAGCAAGACCTGGCGACTATCATTGCCCTGGAAATCGGCAAGTCCTAAACGCATGCCAAAGGTGAGGTCATGTTTTTTTGCTGGCTTCATTGAGTGGTATGCAGAGGAGGGTCCCCGAATTTACGGCGACATCATTCCCCATGGCGATGCTTGGGCAAGGATCAGTGTGGTCCGAGAACCGGTGGGAGTCTGCGGCATGATTACTTCATAGAATTTCCCATTGTGTATGGTGGCGCGCAAAGTCGCCCCAGCCCTGGCTGCTGGATGTACGGCGATTGTCAAATCTGATGGGGCCACTCCCTTCTCGGCCAACGCTCTTGCAGTGCTGGCAGAGCGTGTAGGAGTTCCCGCAGGAGCTTTCAACTTGATCACGGTTTTGGAGGGTACACCAGAGCTTGGATTGGCCGTGTGCGAATCCGATATCATTCGAAAAATCTCCTTCACAGGGTCGACTAGAGTGGGAAAGATTCTTTCGGAGCAGCCGGTAGCTTTCTCAAGAAACCAGGACTCGAGCTTGGTGGCAAGGCGTCATTTCTGGTCTTTGATGATGCAGACCTTGCCCTGGCAGTATCGTGTCTGTTTATTTGCAATTAAAGGTGACCAGTCAGACCTGCGTATCAGTGAATCAAATATTTATCCACCAGAAGGTCTGTGATACATTCAGCAACAAGCTTGTTGCAGTGGTGAAGTTCCGCATTGGCCCGAGCCAGCATGGAGGTGGAACAGCATATCCGAGATGCAGTGGATAAGAAGGCTAAGATTCTACTCGGCGGAAAGCATGGCAGTGGCCCAGCTATGAGGTTTACGATGGTTGTTGTCTCACCGAGTTCTGACAAGGCTGCGACAGGAAATTCCTTTGAACCAACCATTCTGACCGATGCAAATCAGAGCATGAAGATTGCTCACGAGGAGATATTTGGACGTGTCGCCGCGCTGTTCAGGTTTTTCAATGAGGATGATGTGATTGCAAGAAGCAACGACACCGATGTTGGTCTAGCGTCCTATATCATGACGAACGACTTAGCAAGAGCATATCGCGTGGCAGCACAACTGCCAGATTAGTATGGTCGCAATCCACTCGGGACCTGTGTTAGATTCAAGTGTGTGCCGTAAGTCGCTTATCCTGAAGCCGGCCTGTTATTGAGTCCCAGATTAACAATGTACCTCAGGCTCGGCGGCATGAAGCATGTTGGAATGGGGAGAGAGGAAGGAAAACTCGGCATCAATGAATACATGGTCACCAAGACTATGATAATGGGTGAAGTTCCCGTTAGACGAGCGAGCCTGTAGAGACAAATGCAGGAAAGAAAATGATTACTATCGCCAATCATCAACCCGAGTTTTACTGCTATTGCGCGCCGTCTCGAAGTATCTATGACCATGTTGGACAAGTCAGGTTCTGCATTTGCACGGATTGGTCTGCCTATCTGTTTCGCTATATTCTGTGTGAGAGCGCTCCTGGCTGTCGTATCTCGCATAAGGAAGAGGAGCGCCGCAAGGGCAAGAAATTGGCTGTAATAGCTCAATCAATGGCTAGTGGGGCTAGCTAAGGTAGCTATCTGTTTGTTGGTGTGCTGTCTCTGAAGGAGGAGAGAAAGAGGAGGGGAGGAGTAGGGAGAGAAGGCCAAATAGTCGTCGGCACACCTTCCGTCCGCTCATCACTACCCAGTACCCTAACCGCCAGATCTCCCCTGGCACACGTTCCCACCCAGCACCTGCGTGTGACACTGGCTGTTTATTATATGAAGATTGGCCTGAAAACAGAAGGTCTCTCCTAAATCCTCTCACCACTCCTAGCCTGTTACAACGACGGCGGACTTGGTCAAGAATGGCCAGACAGGCGTCTCTGAGACCTTCCCATAACGTTCCTATAACGCGGTCGTCAACATACCTTACGACAGAAACAAACCAGGACGAACACCTTGCCTACAATGTATGCCAAGCAAAAGGCTCTAGACCTTCACCGAGTCAATGATCAAGCCGAGCAAGCTTTACCAGATTACTATCTAAGGTCTCCCGTTGGCGTTGATGGCGCCCGCCCTATGATGGGCACGACGAGTCTGTCCCGCGAAAGGATTCGACCAGGAGCGTCACGTGACGTGGGAAACTTACCGTTCTCGAATCGTGGGTTCCTCAATCAGGATACAATTGGCGATTCACGTCTGCTGAAGAGCGGCCGCCGGGTCGGCTCACCGGAAGGATCCCTGTCAAACGTCCATGTCAGAACAATCTGGATGGCAAAGATATTGACTGCAGGCACAGACTGTGGTTACGTAACAAGCAGCCTTGATACCGAGCTGGCCACTGTATGATATTGTTCTTTCCAGACACAATTGACACACACCCCATCCCGATCTTGGTTCCCTTGCGTTCAGTCAACGTCCATGATGGCAAACAGGCAACCGGATTTAGACCCTAAAGTCTTGACCATTGCTGACCTCCTGGTCGAAGGACAGAAGAATGTCACGCTTGCAAGCAAGGGTATGTGAAGGGTTGGACCGTGTAATAGGCCCCGGCGGACCATGGCTCACTGCGAATACAGAATACTTCAACGGAGGCGCCGGGGAGATGATTACGTGAGCAGATGAGAGCGCAGAGAAGCGTGTATCAAGATGTTGACCAGGAAACGGGATCATAGGGTCCGCGACAACGAAGATGCATACAACCGGTACAAGCTCCGCCCGCGTGTCCTGCGTGACGTCGACGGTGTCGACATGACAACGTCCATCTTTGGCGTCCAAGTCGCTGCTCCCCTAGGGTTTGCTCCGTCAGCCGCTCATAAACTCGCCCATCCGGATGGCGAGTTAGCAACGTCGCGAGCAGCGGCAAAAAACAACATCCCTATGTGCTTGTCGTCTTATGCCAGCATGGGGCTGGAAGAGGTCAAAGCAGCCGGAGGCTCCAATCCTCATGCTATGCAAATCACCTTTGTCCGAGACCTCGAAGCAACCAAAGAGCAGATCAGTCGCGCTGAGCGTGAGCATCCTCCCGAGGCTTCGGTTGTGGCCTTGGGTCCCTGACCCCCATCTTTTCAGAAAATTGGATCGCTGACTTTGCTCTTCCCATAGGCGCTGGGTACCACGCCATCTTCGTCAGTGTCGACCTCCCCATCCTGGGGAAACGACTCAATGAGTCCCGGAACAACTTCTCTTTTCCTGCCGGCTTGGAATTTCCAAACATCCGGTGTCGTCCCACTGAGAGCGACACCAATGGTCTGATTACCACCAACAGCCTAGACTATGGCAAGTCCATTTATATAGTATCTCATTTTGCGAGATAGGGCGGCTAACAAGTCTAGACCCGAGCATCACGTGGGAAAAGGCCATTCCCTGGCTTCGCGCCCAAACAAAGATGGAAATCTGGCTCAAGGGGAGTGAGCCACCTCCTCCCTCCCATAACTTTCCGTGCCTATGCTAAAATCTGTCATAGTCTACACCCCCGAAGACGTGGCCATGGCCATTTCTCACGGCCTCGACGGGATTATCATTTCGAATCACGGCGGTCGTCAACTGGACGGCGTCCCGGCAACATTGGATGCATTACGTGACTGTGCGCCTGTCGCGGAAGGCAAGATTGCCATCGCCATTGATGGTGGCATCAGGCGAGGGGCCGATTTATTCAAAGCGATTGCCCTGGGAGCTCAATTTTGCTTCATCGGCCGAGTGGTGATTTGGGGTCTCGCTGTGAGTGGCTTGAAGCACTTTGCTCGCCTCCTTCACTCCACAACAATGAGCTGGCCTCCCTGGATCTCTGGATATGAGCCTGTTCTGATTCACTTTTGTCTTCCACAGTACAATGGCGAGAAAGGTGTGGATCTTGCCGTCAAGATCTTGCTTGATGAACTCAGGCAGACTATGATGCTTTGCGGGTACGTTTTGACATGCACGTTTGTTGTGTCCGCTGCTAACCACGCAATTGACAAGTTGCCATTCCATTCGCGACATCACGAAGGGCCATCTTTCTGTTCTCCAAAGCAACGGAAGATTGTCCAAACTGTAGAGATTGGAAACCCAAACTTGCATTGAAGGAGGAAGCATGAGCATATGGCGCGAGTCACTTCCCAGCATGACCCATCTCGGATAGAGAATCATCGGTACTCAGTTGCCAACATGGATCGGCGCATGCCATTGCTGAGGAGTCGATGTCGTTTGTTTGGCAGGCGGACACGGGCGTCAAGTGTTCACCTCAGCGCTGGAAGGTGCCGAGTTACATTTGCTTAGCATTAGAACAACGTGACGATCAAACAAAAGAGATATACTGGATTATGTTCAATCCTAGAGATTTTCACGTTAACATGCACGAGATCCTGCACTCCCAGATCTTTCCATCCGTCGTTTGACATGCCGTCGGCGAGGCCTACAATAACCGACTGGGGCAGAGACTTCGAGTCGAGCAAAGGGCAGGAGGGCTCCAGGACCGTCAGGAAATTGCTACTACGAGCATTACGGGACGACTCTACGCTCTCGCAATGGGATTAGGTGGTTCCGGAGATCAGAGGTCACAAGACGTACAACCAACCTGATCGAGGATACGGACTAGGATCAAGCTGCTACCACCCTCAACAATGCTTTGGTCGTGTTTTGATCTCGCCCTTGTTCGATCGATTTAGCCGGGTTCGGTGCCGTTCTCAAATCAGGAAACTATTAGAGACGCTGATGCAGGATCGCCATGGCCGGCTATTAAGCGATATGCCCATGCTCACAGAAAGAGACAGAAAGCCAATGTGCGCCTAGACCCTCGATCCTTGATTCCTTCTTCACTGGGGGCGAATCCGGATCCAACGTGTACATAAGGGCCTATGCAACACATCCTACAGCCTCGAACTGGCAGCAGACATCAAAGTTTCGTGCCCATTGGCCCGTTGATTTCATCGATCCAAACGTTGTCCGATCTCCATCGTTATGTCGACTACAACCGAAGTTGGAACTATTCAAGACACCCGAAATGGGTCCAACACGCAACCCGAAGCGCCAGCATACAATCAAAAATCTGCCATCGAGGCCATTTCACAAGGAGCGACAATTGCAGGTATCCCGTCGTTCACATCAATGGATAAGAAGCGACGGTGGATGCTAGAGCACATGGCGGGCGCTTTCAGAGTCTTTGGCCGAAAGGGCTACGCCGAGGGTATGAGTGGCCATATCTCGCTCCGAGACCCAGAGCACCCTGACAGCTTTTGGACGAACCCGTGAGTCCTGCGTGCAATACTTTACTCATCAGCCGTCCCCCAGGCGGATGCTGACTTTGAGAACAGGCTGGGACTGCACTTCTCCCAAGTCAAGGTATCTGACCTCATTCTTCTTGGCTCTAACGGATCTGCCATTGGGGGCAACCGATCACGCCCGGCAAACGCGGCAGGGTTCCAGATCCACGGCGCAATTCACAGGATGTATCCCCATGTGAATGCAGCGTGCCATGCCCATTCCGTCAATGGTAAAGCTTGGTCAACCTTTGCCCAACCACTCGAGATGATCAATCAAGATTCCGCCATGTTCTATGGGGAGGCACAGGCCGTCTACCCAGAATTCGGAGGGGTCGTGTTGGACCCGGCAGAGAGTGTCCGCCTTGCAAGCAGCCTTGGGCCAAATGGAAAGCTTTTGATCCTCCGCAATCATGGCTTGTTGACCGCCGGACAGACGGTCGATGAGGCCGCCTACCTCTTCACCCTTGCGGAGAGAAGCTGTGAAATTCAGCTCAAGACCGAGGCTGCTGCCGCCAATGGAATGAAGAAGATGATCATAGACAAAGAGGCAGCTGAGTACACCTTCAAGATGACCAGCGACCCGGTGAGCCTCGAGGTTTGGTCTGCAAAGGAAGGACATCGCTGACATTTGGGACCAGGAGGCGCTTTACGTCGAATTCCAGCCCGACTATGAGTTGGAGAGAGAACTCACTGATGGTGCTTTCCTGAAGTAGAATACTATCGATTGACCGGATTGGCCGTCACGGGGAGCGGCCTCCTTCCACCCAATCCTGAGTTCAACCATATCATGTAGTCGTAAAATCAGCATATCATGAATAAAAAAGGCAGATGTTGTTTTTTCTCAGTACTTCTCGCCAGCTGTGTTTGTGAGCTCCGGTGCGCTTTGCGGCCCAGACCTGTTCCACTACCCCCAACATTGTGGTCATGGAGGGCAATCCTGTTTCTTCGATCCCCTGCTTGAACCACATGGAGAACGAGGCCTGCAACACGGGGTCAGTAGCTTCGCACGCGGCGATGAAGGCGGGCCAAATAAAGCCCGAATGGTAGCGTGCGAAGCCAGCATTTTGCTGGTCATATTGCAGCAGATGGTCTCTGACGAGGCTGATCTTTCCTTGTAGCATCGAAGCGTCGAGGTCGTAGACTCTTCTATAAAAGTAGATAGACAACGCGTGGTTGAGTGCTCCTAGAAGGTGGCCCAAGGCAGAGCGGCTGTCGTCAACATTGCGGTGTAACGTGCCAGTATTCCGATCCAACTCAATCTGGTAAGTCTCCTGCCATTGCAAGATGCACCGTTCCAATGAACTCGCTCGGCTCCAGAATTCGCTCCAGCTGAGTTCGGCATTACCAGCGTCCCCTTCGGCGCAATCCTTTTCGTTGCCAAGGCGAATGGCCTGCGACAAAAGGACTAAGAAAGACTCGGGAAGTCCGAAGATGTCGGGGTAAAGGGAGGCAGACCACAGCCCCGGTCTCTCTAGGTGGAGATCATTTTCGCCAGATTCCTTGCTCTTGATCTCGCGCATGGTCTCTTCCAGTCGACTCCAGCGGCCCAATTTGAACGTCGGGCTGTCTTGGTCGGCAATGCACGAGTTGCTCCGCTCAACTGCTCGGAGGACACTGTTCCGCTGACTATTCTCAGAAGCCAGGACAAACGTGCTTTCGTAGAGGATCCGCAGGTATGAGTAACAGTGATGCAGCAGGCGAACCCTTCGGGACTTTTGGGGTTTGGTCAAGCCGCGCAACCGAATCAGCTTCTCCGCGTCGAACAGATAGTACTCTGCCTGATCTGGTGCGCCCGATAGAATCTTCCCCGGAGTCAGTAGAAATTTCTGCTTCGAACAATGGATGGTAGAGACCTACAGCGACTTGAATCATGGTAAGTAATGCCACCAACAAAGACTTATATTTGAATTTTTTGGGTACGGCGGACGCCTCGCGTATGGCCTGTTTGAGGCTTTCCAATGCTTTCACCTTGTATTTGTTCGCTTGAACATGCCAAATTTGACTTGTTGAGGCGATCCTCGACCTATAGGCGCTGACAGAGAGAATGGCATAGAAGATACTCAAGCTGGCAGAATCCGGGGTTTGGCCCAGCGCCAAAGTCGCCACTGTCTCTTTGGCATGTGTATAAAAGATGATGTGCCAAGGGGATTTGGTGCCTCTGACGGGAGTCATGAAGCCGATCACGGAATTCACGTAGTGGTTGAGAAGAAACGCCGCATCCTCGGGGAGACAGTTGGTGGATACCGCCGGGCTCAAGGAGGTGACAAGTGGCAGCTGGGTCGGAGTCATACCCATCTCATCATCTTGGGCCGTAGTCTCCGGATCTATCCCTGTCCAGATCCCGCCCATTGAATTGCTCAGGTCTGGGAAGTCGGAATCTGCAGAGGCAAGAGGGGGCAACCCGTATTGTGAGTCTAAGTCGGGTGGTGCGATGTCGTCGAGAACGTCACAGTCCCAAGCGAATGAGTCTGGCACATCCTTCTCGCCTGAAACTGTGCAATCAGCAGGGCATGGCATGGGGACGGGGACATTCACGAGGTGCTGCTGTTCAACCGGCTTGATGAATCGGAGCACCCCGAAAGGTCCCCGAGCAGCTTCGAACGGCACAGACAAGGTCTCAGACACATTCTCACCCTCGGCGTCGATCTCCTGCAGGAATCTCACCGCATCTTCCTGCGGGGTAAGGGCCAGGAGCGACTCACTCATGGCGCGTTGCTCTGCGTCGGTGAAGAGATGTCGCCGGATGCGGTCTGCGGCGGCGCGGTCATCGGGCCAGAAGAAGATGTTCCTTACATATCCGGCGCATTCACGTCCATCTCGCTCGCAGATGAGGCAGAACGGTCGAGTCTCGTCGCACTTCAGATGGCGTCGGCGACACTTTTGACAGTCAGCAAAACACACCAACTCACTTGGCTGGCGGTCAAGCCATGGACATGCGGCACTCACGTTCTCGCAGCCACCAAATGAGCGACTGTGACCTCCTCTAGAGCCTTTCCCAGTGGACGGCATTTGAAACATGGCTGAATTTGCCGTTTGAGAAAATCAGGGAGAGCCATGCAACAGTGCCCAGTTTTGTCTCGCTCGAAGTTGAGGCCAAATCCAATCTGGTGGAAGTGGCAGAGGAAAGTGGGGGCGGCGTGACCGGTAGAAATTTCTTCTTTGGGATCCCGCACTCTTACTTGGTATATCACCTTTGCCCATTCCAGCCCGACAGCTTCGTCGTCCAACATTCCGTCGTATGCAGCAAGTCTAAACCCATAAAGGTGCTTAAGCATGTTCTTTGACCGGGTTCAAGACATCTACTCGCCCGTGTGCGAACTGGTGGCTCGACACTCTGTTTTTTTATCCGACACCACCGAGCTGGACCCTCTCTGCAATACCTAGCCCGAGCAATGGCTTCCAAGGCAAACACTCTCCTGATTGGTTGTGGCGGCATCGGCACCATTTCAGCCCTCAACCTTGAGGTTGGTGGAAGGGCTGCAGTCACGGCCGTGCTCCGCTCAAACTTCCAAGAGGTATCCCGAAAAGGGTTCGACATCAGATCGGTAGATCACGGCATCGTCAAGGGTTTCAAGCCGACCAAGAGTAGGTGTCTCGACGGCAGTCGACGGGGTGGTTGGCTGACCGGGCTGCTGTACAGTCCTCAACGCCATCCCCAACGTCGCTCGCGACGACTTGACGCCTTACAAGTACGTTATCTGCACGACGAAGAACTACCCGGACGTCCCGCCGACGGTGGTGGATCTCCTACGACCTGCTGTCACGCCAGGATACTCGGTCGTTGTTCTCATTCAGAATGGCTTGAATATTGAAAAGCCGCTGCTGGCAGCCTTCCCTGAAAATGTTATCCTCTCCGGAGTCAGCTTCTGTGGATCTCATGAAATTGCCTCGGGCGAAATCTTGCACGAGGACAGCGACAAATTATTTGTTGGTGCTTTCCGAAATCCCACGTTGGACCCTACCCTGGAAGACCTAGAAGCCCAAGAGTTCACCACAATATACGGTGCTGGCGGTAAGTGCATTGCTGAATATCAGCCTGACGTTGGTTTCACGAGATGGAGGAAGCTGCTGTATAACGCATGTCTGAACTCCATCTGTGCTATTACCGACCTTGATACGGGAAGACTTCAACTAGCCGATGGAATGGTAGAAAATCTGGCACGTCCTGCCATGGAAGAGATACGTGCCGCTGCCAAAGCTTTCGGCCATGACCTTCCCGCCGATCTGGTAGACTTCATGATTACCATGGACCCTATTACTATGTACAATCCACCAAGCATGCAGGTAGACGTCCGCAAGGTAAGTGTGGCAAAGTTCCCTCTCTCCTCTCCCACGGCTATTCACGCGGTGCCTCTTGCTTGTACATCGAGCTGACGATGCTATAATAGGGACGCTTCATTGAATTCGAGAACATTGTCGGAGAACCAGTCCGCGAAGGGACCTCTCGCGGAGTGCCGATGCCCATTCTCACTGTGTATTACCATATCTTGAGATCGCTGCAGTGGAAGCTTAAGGAGAAGAAAGGCCTGGTCACAATTCCTGCACCTTTTGATCATACCAACACATCATCCTAGAAGATAATTAGTCTGGTCCAGTGCAAGAGGCGAATAGAACCGTTTCAACCTGACCAATGGTTTTCTGCAGACCACTAGTCGCAGAGTGCGAACAGCATAACCACGGAAAGAAGATGTTCCGTTTCATGAATGGTCACGTCTACTGCGCACATGGAAAGAAACAAAGGGTTGACGCGCGTATTAAGACAGATGCTTCTCAGGGGTTCCGTTATCTTCTAATGATAAACCTTATTAATGCTATTGACATAGAGAATCGAGTGAGTGGCATAGGAATAGAGCACAAATAGACTAGAAAAGAATCTATGGAAAAGTGCCTCAGCCGTATAGGTATGACAGAACTTCAGAGTTCTCAATACATCGCATTTTATTTCAGAGTGCAACAAGACACGTGGTGATGGAGTTGGCAATATAGCCAAATGGTCTCTGCGGTGCGACTCTCTCTCCTTATTTGACCGAGATTCAATGAACGAAGGAAGCCTAAATCGATTCGGATTCATCTGCCTTGTCGGCAACAAGAGACTTCTGGTTGAACCGAATTGCGGCCTCCTCAGTCAACTTACTCACGGTACATAGGCATCCCATCGACTGGAGCATGAAACAGGTTGGTTTGCGCTCGAAGCCAAAAGCCCGCTTAAAGTGGAGCAATCAGTTCCAGTGATCAAGAGTGATGCAGTGAGGTATTATGTAGAAGTCAGAATTCAAGTGGATCTTTGGTCGAGATTTAGCCAAAAAAAAAACGATGGTGAGATATCGTGGAATATCATGAGGTCCACGGCCGACCCCTGTATAAGACTGGGCATTTGTTCTGGCGCCTATTCAAAGACATCGCTGGCCACCGATCGGAATGTCAATGGGGATCTCATTACAGGTGTCAGAGGTACGCGCCACGAGCTTCTCGGTATGGCTTGTCGCCACATTGTCAGATCTTCGACTGTGGTATCCCTTGCCCAAACTTTTCCTCATCGATACCATCTTGCATGTCAGGGGGCATAGGCTTCGTCCAGTGTCATATCCAGTCTTGTTCTTGGTAGATGGCATTCCGCTTATCATAGGGCCAAAGGCTGAGACCTAGCCGAGGGTCGACTCCCTCTAACGATACGCATCGGAGCAAAGAGATCATCCTGTAACCTTTTTGATGGTGCGGTTGAAACCACTCGGAGCCACTTTCGCGAAGGAGCCGGAGACAAAGTCTTACGCAGCGAGGAATTATGAAGAGCTGTTCCTGCTCCTTTTGCCGCATTCTATTTTCCATCCCATAACTTGCAATCGACACCACACGCCCGAAGGTTCTTGGACCTGAAGGTGGCATTCTAGGCCATTTACTCTCTAATTTTGCTACATGTGGAGAGTCTCCTGCAACCTGATTAACGGAGATCCAGAAACATGCGACCCCCGTTGGAACCCCTGTCTACTTACTTTACCTGACCTATCACAATTGCCAGGGGCCAGATTATCTATGCAGCCGCAGATGGCCGTAAATGGGGTTAGCCGGGGAAGATTTCTGCATATGAATTCCCCAGCCGATAAGGAGGGTCGTGGAAACTCTGAATTGAAGTTCCACAACCAGGATACCACTCATTACAGGCAATTTTTACACGTCACTGTGTCGCGGGCGGGGCCAACGCCAGTCTGATAAGACCTAGACTAGGTAAGGATAGACCCCCTGTTCCTCATTATGTATCGGCACTACCGTACTCCTGGGGAAGGGGGTCAATTGTCTGTGTATATAGATAGGTTGGTCCGGTTGGCATCAGTTGATCCTGCATCGATCCGGTACAGACTTGGACCTCATTGACCTTTCTGTGGAGCATCAATTCCTCAACTGGATCATGGCCGAAGTCACATTGACGAAAGGCCATGATGCGCCCCTTGAGAGCAAGGATGTCGATACTCTTGAAGCTGTTGTCTCAATCAACCAAGCAGATTACCACAACCTTACTCATGCCCCGAATGCTAATGTTATTGTGATTGCGAGCGAAAAGAAGACGGTTCGAAGCCTGCGACCCCGCCATATACAGCTCATGGGTCTATCCGGAGCCATTGGCACAGGCTTGTTCGTCGGCACAGGCTCAGCTCTCGCCAGAGCGGGACCTCTGGGTCTCTTCCTGGGGTACGCAATATATTCTCTTCTCGTGTGGTCTACATTCAATGCCATGGGCGAAATGGTTGTGTGGCTACCGGTCGATGGGTCCTTTGTCGTCTTTGCGCACGCCTATCTCGACGAAGCCTGGGGCTTTGCTCTTGGTTGGCTGTACATCATCACGAACTCCCTGGCTACCGCGGGTGAGGTCTCAGCCGTTGCAGCCATCTTCGGTTTCTGGACGGACTCGGTCAGCAACGGTATGTGCTTAACTACTAGGCGCATTCACAGCTGACAAGAACTTTACAGCTGTCTACGTGGCAATCATCACCACGTCTCTATTGGTCATGAACATCTTTGGTGTCCGTATATACGGTGAAGGAGAGTTCTATTTCTCTCTGTTCAAGATCATGCTGATCTTGGGGTTGGTCACAATGACTTGTAAGTCCAACATGAAAACGAAATAGAGCTTTGTGCTGACGCACTTCAGTCATTCTCATGGTTGGCGGCAATCCTCAACACCATGCCTTTGGCTTTCAGTACTGGAACAATCCAGGACCCATGAACGCATACATTGCAGTGGGATCTTGGGGTAACTTCCTAGGCTTTTGGTCTGTCTTTATTCAGGCCGCTTACGCTTTCGGTGGTCCCGATTACATTGCCCTCTGCGCTGGCGAAGCTCGAGCTCCTCGTCGCGTCATGCCATCGGTCTTCAAGCGTGTCATCTATCGACTAGCGGTTTTCTACATCTTGGGTGTGTTAGCCGTCGGTATCATTGTTCCACACAATGATCCGTCTCTCACGTCGGGAAAACCGGGTGCAGGAGCTTCGCCTTTCGTGATTGGTGTCACCCGACTGAAAATTCCCGTTCTCCCACACATCATCAATGCCGTTCTCATCACTTCCGCCTGGTCTTGCGGTCTCGAACTTTTCTTCGCGTCCACCCGATCATTGTACGCGCTTGCAATCGATGGGAAAACTCCCAAATTCTTCCTCTTCACGTGGAGAGGTGTTCCCACATTCTGTGTGCTTGTTGTCTGGCTAATCACTCTGATTTCCTACATGTCGGCATCGAACAATTCTCTCACCGTCTTCACTTGGATCACCAATATCGTCGGATCTTCGAATGTTCTGATTTATTCCATCTTCCACTTCATCTATATCCGGTTTCGACAAGCACAGCAGGCTCAAGGGGTCACGGATGATGATCGACCATGGTTCCGACGTCACCAGTACTACTACTCCATCGTCTCTCTCTTCTTCTACCTGATCATCTTCTTCACAAACGGATTTGCTGTCTTCACGAAAGGGAACTGGTCTACGGCCAACTTCATTTTCGCGTATTTCTCCTTCGCCCTGTTCGTGGTCATCTACGTGGGCTACAAAGTCATCAAGCGTCCCCATATGGTACCTCCGAAAGAAGTGCCTCTGTACGCAGGTCGGACTGAGGTTGACATGGATGACGGATATGTTGAGCCAGAGCCCACGACAAGGGTGGGGAAGTTCAACAGATGGCTGTGGGGTTAGTATGTGCTGTGAAGCAGGCTTGTAACCGCGTCGTGAGTAAGCTATGGCTACCGCGCAATGCAGTCATCGCAGAAATATTTGTAATTGAATATCCCGCTTCGTTGACTTTCTACTACCCTCCTTAATTTTTGTAGTCGCATGTCACATCGAGTGCCCATCTGTGATCTGAGCGATCACTTGTGCCAGATCCTGATGGCACCTTGGGCGATGGTGCGACGATGGCCCCTGTTAATAGACAGCAACGAATGTTGCCAAATCGACGTTTATGAAGTGCATTTCTTGGTCATTGGGCTCTACAACGATGGCTGGATTCGAAGAGACACTATTCGAGCCGGCATCCCTCCTATCGGAAACACCTTGTTGACGACGGATGGGATGTCGTGCACTCTATTAGGTGGCAATACTGTTTGGATAATGGCACATTCCCTCCTTCTTGGAACTTGAATGACGGCAAACCCAAATGATTCCGATCCGTGCCCAGAACCACTGAATCGGTATTTTTACGCTGTTGATTCCCTCGTTGAACGAGACGAAGGCCGATTGAACATCACCGAAGTCTTCGAATGCGTGAACTTCGAAAGCTTTGGCATTCAGTACATCTTCAAGCGCGTCCCGAGCAAAGAATATCTGAATTCTTATGAGTGGGGTCTCTTTGCGACCTACAATGCCAGAGCAATTATAGAGGGTGGCATTGAGGGTTTGGGCAGAGTAATAGTTGATTTCAGAACTTGTCGAGACTTGGTCAGAGACATTAATGCGGCCATCATTCGTGAAGAGAAATCGCCGTTACAATGGCCCAGGAGGGGAGCAAGTCAAGACAGCCACTGGCTCTACTTCTACACCATTTCAGTCTGCTAATCATGAAGAGGAAGTGGCGCAATCGGTCAGATATGCCGATACTCTCGGCTTCGTGATAACTCATTCGGTGTTGGCAGGTCTCTCAAACTGGACTGCGACTACCCTCATTAGCGTAGCTTAGGTGGCAGCAGGGGACGAATGAATGACATAGGATAATGATTGATAGATAAAAGTGACGAATCTTTGGAGCCGCGTGGCGTAGCCGTTGATGTGCTGAGTATGTTGAGATACATTTAATATACGGTGAAGTCTTTTTCTACGCTGAATGGCTTAAAATACGGTCTTGAAACCGCTCTCTGATGTGGATTTTGGCGTTTTCTGGTCCACGATACTGAGCTGTTTGATATACCGCGTCCAAGGCAGGTTCTTAGTCCTGTCAAGGGGGTGCTCAAGTCGATACGGCGAGAAGACGAGTCACTCAGCTCAATCTCGTTCTATTTGCCGAAGGATCTGTCTGCGTAGACTTCTCAACAAAGCGGAGGCGGCCGGCAGCTGAAACAAAAAGGCAAGCAAAAGCAGACGGTGGGTCTAGAAACGAGTAGAAGAGCCAACTGGAAATATCAAACGATTTGGTATTTTGCAAGCGTTCATAACTGAGAAAGTCTACGAGAATGAATCAACAAAACCAGCTCATCGGTCGGCCTGGGGGGTGGTGTGTCTTCCCAGCAAGCCACTTCAAGAAATGATGCGGTATCTACTCTCCAGCGGCTTCTGCTCCTTCGCACTGGGTCTCTCGCCCGCCGGCTTCCCGACGACCATCTGAGCTACCAGCTTCCACTTCTCATCAATGGACCACGTCTTCTTCACCTCCTCGTCGATGAGCGGATTGTAATGCTGTACGTTGACCCCCAGCCCCACCGCCTCCAGCGCGGTCCAGAGCACCAATTGATGCATGCCGCTCCCTTGCTCTCGCCACGCTTCGAATTTGTCGGCGTACGTCACGAACGACGAGAGCGGGTCGTACGTGGAGGGGTCTTCGAGGAACAGGATCGAAGCATATGCGGCTTGGAAGGAACTCAGCTTCGCCTCCGTAGCGGCGGCTCGCTCTTGGCTACCGGCCACGTGCGGCGCAACGGCTGCCTTGACAATGTCCCATAGCTTTCTGTGCTGGTCGCCCAGGAGGACAATGATGCGGGCGCTCTGGGTGTTGAATGCGGATGGAGTCACCAACAGGGTCTTCTTGACCAGTTCCTCGAGCTTCTCGTCCGAGATGGTCGATTCGCCGGTCAGGTTGTAAATGGAGCGCCGGTTGGCGGCGATGTCGAGGTAGGTGTCCGCTTCAGACATTGTGAATTTGGGCCGGGGATGGGAAAATGGAATAAGTTCAACTCAAGACAATGGTCTTCTGGTGTTTCTTGTTCTCGTTACTGCTCTGTCTCTATCTTGCTCTTGTTCTGGTACACTGGTCGAGGTCCATTCCTCTCATCCTTCTTATGTTCCACCACAGTGCGGATCCCACTTTCCTTTCCTTCCGCTTGAGTGACGCAGACGAGCGGCTCGCATTCCATAATGCTAGATAATATTTTAGGAAGCAAGTATATAATGCTAGGTAATTCCTTAGGAAGCAATATATAATGCTGAGGAACCGCGTTGAAGAGTGTCGTCCAAGTTGTCTTAGCCAAGTTCCCGGCGGGGTGGATGCTGGGCTTGCTGCTTGTTGAGCGCGGAAACGGTCCGATGCGATGCTGCAACGTGACGCAAACACGCAACCCGTCGCCAGTCAGTCACCGACCAGTGGTGGCTTGAGGATACAGCAGCTAGCAATAATATGCCTCAACCCAGCCAACCCTTGCTGCTCTAACAGTCGCTTAGATCGGTATATTGGCGGGCTCTCAGCGCTGATTTGGAATCCCGGAGTCTTTGTAATAGCTGGTCAGAATCCTCTCACTTGATGTTCCGGCAACCCGCGCATAGTTTTGGCGAGCATGGTCTCCATGGAATTAGACTATATCGCACGCTACCCTGGACCTGTGGGCCGGAAATAACCTCTCGATCTTCTCAGAGCTTTGCGCTTATGTACCAAGGCTGACTCTTTCGGCTCTCTGGCGACCGAGATGCCTTCTTTTCCTTGAGGAAATCACCACACGACTCGCAAATACATTCTTTGCTCCTAAACAATACACGCTCTGGACGATTGGCTTGGCTCAATTTTGTGGCTGGTGGCGAGGCTACATAGTATCGCCCATTTATAAAAGCTGACTCTACAGTGCATATCTGAACTCGAGGTTCTGCTTGTCCGTCAAATCCATGAACTCTGTGTCGGGAACGTGCACGTATCCCTCGGCGGCCGCGAGGTGATCCCGACGTCTGTTCTCCCAGGAGTACCAGAACCTCAAAGCCAACGCGGCAACGATGGCCAGGGATAGACAGGCCATGATGGCAACTTTGGCTGGAATGTACTCGGGGGCCGTGTAGCCAGTGAAGGTCAAGGGTCCGATAATGTTGGATGCACCATAAGCAAAAAGAATGATGGCGTTGATGCTGATTTTCTTGGTGTGTCCTGCATAGTTGGCCGCGGCCCAAGAGTACATCATCGAGAGATCTGTGGTATTGAATTGTGAGTACACGCACTTCGCACCCGGGAAACATGGGGATTATTCTTACTTGGCCCAAAAACCTGGGTAAGGTAGATGCCTGCCAGTTTCCCTGCCTTGTCACTCTTTGGCAGGAAAGCCATCAGACCGCCTCCCAGCACGCCAGGGAGGAGGAGAGCCACAATTCCGTATCCGCGGTTGTTGAATTTGCCCGCATACCATGACGCGGAGAGGACCGCGGTCATTGATATTGCACCGCTGGGGATATTGAGTAAGGCTGATTGCTTGGAGGTATACCCGAAGCCTTTGATCAGAGTCGAAGAGTATGTCCCACATGCGCCTGTGGGGACGTTCCCAGCAATTATGATGACGGCGATGAGCCACGTCCGCGGATCAAAAATAGTTTCCAGAAACTGCGGCCTTTTGAAAGTCTTGTTCTCGATCCCAGTCATGTTCTCGCGCAGTCGTTCAATTGCGAAGACTTTCTCTTCGTGCGTGAAGGGCGAAGCCATGGGAGAATCGGGCAGGATGAGGAAGACGACAATTCCCCAGGCGACAGTGATGATTCCAAAGACCAGGAACATGATCTTTGTGGGAATAGTTAGTTGCACAGGATCTTCTGCGTGACGGGGTGTGGATAAATTACTGACCTGCCACGATTTGAACGTCGTTGCATGATAGTATTGAAAGCCAAAGGAGGCGAGGGCTCCGACGATGGTTCCACCGCCCACACCAAGATACCAGATGGCCACTCTTAGAGGCTGCTCCGCGCGCTAAACGAAGTCAATGTTTGTGATCAGGTATAGTAGTCCCTCATCCTAGGGTTGCTGGTCACGTACTTTGTACCACATGCCGGTAATCAGAATCAAGCATGGAGCGCTGGCTGACTCAAAGACACCCAGAAGCAACCGAACAACGATGAGACCGGAGAAGTTATGGCATGCGCTGTGGACTACCGTGAGAGAAAAAGGTGTCAGCCCACAAAACATGTCTCTTTCAATCAATCATCTATCTTGTCTTTAGCATACCTGCCAGAGAGACGCCCCACAAGACAACGTTCACAGCGAGGTACTTTGCGGTTGGAAACTTCTGCATCAGGTACGCGTGCACTGGCTGGAAGACGGCAAAGGTGACATAGAAGAAAGTGGCCAGGTAGGAAAAGTCAGCCGCACTCATGTGCGTGTCCTTGCTCAGTCCCATCACGTTGGCATAGTTGACTATGTAGCACTATAGGTTAGCGACTGCCTCGTTTCCAGCGAGTAATACAAGAGAATGCACAATCCAAAAAGCCAACATACTTAGACTCTTGTCGATGTACTGGAGAATATAGACGCCAAATAGCATAGGCATGATGAGCCAGTCAATGCGGCGGAGAAGGCTCTTCTCGTCCAACTCGGCGATGGACGCATCGGCTTCGTTGCGGAGGAAGGCAAGAGCACCGTCGACCTGGTCAAGGGCGAGCTTCTCGTTGGTCTCGAGCACAGGTGTCTCGACTGGCGGGTTAACGCGGCCGATTTTCTCGACGTCGGTTGCCATTGCTGCTGTCAAGCTCCTCCTCTTTCCGTTCTCCCTTAAACGGCTGCAAATGTGGTGGGAGCCGAGTGTCAGTCAAATGATGGAGACGAGGACAGTGTTCGGTTTCCTGACCCGATCATGGATTTCGCTGGAGTTTGTGCTTCTTGCATTGAATCAATCTTCGCGAAAGCCAAGTTTATATAACCATGTGGATCACAGGCAGGGCTGGCATGATTGAGTGACGGTTTAGTTCGTTGCTCTCTTCGTCACCCCACTTCCAGTCAAGAATCACTGTCGATGGCGGTAAATAGGCGGTATGAACCCAGTATGGTCTCTATGGTCTCCATTGTAAAGGGCTAGCCTGCTGCTGGCAGGCCACTTTCCGTACTCTGTGACTGGACAGATCAGTAGAGATACAGTCCCGACGCTAATGCAGGCGGAGAAGATACAGTCCCGTCTCTAGCAGGTGGAGTCGGAAGATACAGTCCCGCCGTTGCTCCATCGATCAAGTATCAATAATGACGAACCCACTCGAGATACAGTCCCGCCATGAGCAATATGCAATATCATCTGGTCGAATGTTTCATCTGTCGGCGCAGCTTCAGCTCTTGAACTTACCATTCGAGTATAGTGGCGTGCCTCTTTGCTGCTGTACGAGTCGCTTCCACGTGGCGTTCCATTTCTGAAGCCCCCGTGTGTCCAAGAGTGTGCATACCTTGAGATTTCCCTTACAGAAATTCAACGTGTAATGGCGTGTAAAGTGCATGGTCCATGTCACATTTACCGCGGCTTCACTTAGGGTCAGTATGCGTCTCTCCGGCCTTCACAGTGGAGTTTATCCACACCGACGCAGTTCACGGGGAGGACAGGCTGGTATACATATAATATAGATGTTAAATCATCATGCCACGCCCCGAGGATGTTGACTTCACAGGGCCTCCTTTGTTTTCTTGTTCCATCTCGCGAAGTCTTTCAAGTCGGCCGTTCACGGTACCATCACAAAATGCTCATCACTCGAACGACGAGGGCGCTTGGCTTGTTTTCATCCACAATCAAGTCCACCTCGTATTCATCATTCTCGAGACTTGCTCCTTTCGGCCAAACGTACACCCGCACGCTGAGCACCACCACACAGGCCACTATTCCCTCGTACACCGTGAACAAAGATCGACTCTGGAACACTATCCACGAAACTGCACAATGGGGTGCTACTCCAGATGGAGGCATCCGTCGCCTCGCACTGACTGATACGGACAAAGCCGTACGCGAATGGTTCGTCTCCACGACGCAGTCATTAGGATGCACTGTGAAAGTCGACGAGATGGGCAGCTTGTTTGCTACGCGGGCGGGCATCTCCACTTCTCTTCCCCCCATCGGAATTGGGAGCCATCTTGATACCCAGCCGGCCGGTGGCCGCTACGATGGGATTCTGGGCGTCCAGGCTGGCATTGAGATCCTGCGGGTCCTCGAGGAAAACGGACACCAGACATATGCGCCGCTTGCGGTTATAGACTGGACAAATGAGGAAGGTGCTCGGTTCAACACCGGCATGGTTTCATCTGGCGTCTGGTCTGGCCGGTACGCTCTGGATTACGCTCACGCGCTTCCGGCTGCTGAGGACAAGACCAAGAAGGCGACATTGAAGAGCGAGTTGGAGCGGATCGGCTTTCTGGGAAGCGTACCCGCGTCGTACCAGGCGAATCCTCTGAGCGCGCATTTCGAGCTGCACATCGAACAGGGCCCCGTTCTTGAAGATGAGGGTAAAATGGTTGGCGTGGTAACTGGCGTGCAGAGTATGGGCTGGCTTATTGTCACGGTCCACGGGAAGAACCAGCATTCAGGCACCTGCCCAATGGCCCGACGGGCTTGTGCCCTCACATCTGCTGCCCGCATGATATCGCGGGTGGAGGAGATTGCCCTTGCTGCAGATGGCCTCTCGACTGTCGGAGTCATCAACTCGTGGCCTCAATCGCCAGCAACCGTGCCGCATAAAGTTGTTTTCAGCGTCGACTTGAGCCACCATTCCACCGAGGTGCGAGAACGCATGATTGCCGAGACGAGTGCAGAATTCGGCCGAATTGCCCAGGCAAACAAATGCACAGTTGAGATCGAAGACATATGGAACAGTCCGGCCGTGCAGTTCCATGAGGATTGTATCAGCTGTGTGCGCGAGGCAGCGCGGAACGCAGCCGGAGAGGACAATGTAAAAGAGATGATGGCAGGTGCCGGCCACGACAGTGTACACACAAGCGACCGTTGTCCAACGAGTATGGTGTTTGTGCCGTCCAAAGGAGGCATTTCTCATCACCCTGACGAATATTCTTCTCCGGAGCAATGGTATGTGTCCTCTGACTCCCAACCCTTATCACTTACAAGGCATTCTAATTGACAATTTTATATCCAGTGCTCTTGGGGCGCAAGTGTTGCTTGAAAGTGTGCTGCGATATGACGATCAGTTGAAGAAGGCTGCACTTTGACCGGGTTGAACGTTAGATGTTGATTGTTGTACTGAAACCGGGTAGTTGCTTGACGAAAGAAGAGGGTGCGCCACATCTGTGAACACTGGATGGCTCAAAAGAAAGCAACCAACTTGTCGGTCAAATCTATCACTTCAAAACGGGAACTTTGCAGCTCCTGTCAGGCCTTTCGTCTCTTATCTTGATCCGGAACATTGTTGTGGATTGATCGCCTCCGAAGTCGCATGCGTCGTATGGAATAATGGATAATTTTCCACAGTCATAGGCATATATTGCCAATTTGAAAAGTTCACTGAAAGCGCATCTGGGCAACGAAGAATGTTGTCTTGGTGCTCCAGATTCACCGGTGCCGACGTCTCCAAATTGTAGAAGACGTCGCTAACAGGCACCTCTGCTACCGCATGACAGGCTTCTGATGGATATATTGCTGGCACATCTTGCCAGGACTCGTTGAATATCGAACAAGGGTGTGGTGAAATTCCTGGATTTGGTGTTGTACAGTTTTGGACAGAAGAAAACACTTGTGGCTGCTCTGGCGCTAAAGGCACCTGACATGGCCAGGTTGAATGAGCATTAGGGTCAGATGGAGCCGCTGGTTGCAAATTGGCTGTCCGTGAAGTGCTAGATCCGTCCATCTGCTGACATGATTCCGAGGGTCCCCTGGTCTTGACGTGGCCTGCGAGTGCAGTGATCAGGACCAGGAACTGTTGTTGTAACAAACCATGGTTGGACGTACCGATTAGCCTCTGCACACGTAGAATGTTTTCGGGGGTTCCGTCTTCTCCCAATATATCAAGAGCTTCCATGACCTCCACTTTAACTACGACGCACGGGTAACCCAGGCGCACGCAGTTGGCACACCTGCGTAGAGGGTCTCCAATGGCTGGCATGCACCTAGCCTTTCGTTTTCGGCAATGACCTACCACATGAGCGAGTGTCCACATGTTTCCAATGGGCTTCTCAACCCCCTGTACTTACCGCACGCGACTGATGCCCGGTAGTAGCCCAACTTATCCCCCTTGGACCGTGCCCGCGAGAAGTAGCCACAATGAGACATGGCCACCTGGATGCCTTCAACCGGATTGTTGCTTCGTGGCTCTGGAGCGTTTATAAGAGGACTTTCTGAGACAGGGAAGGACCCCAAAGTGGCGTTGATTAGAGAGATTCTTTCGATGTGCAGTTGAAAATGAAGTCCCCAGGACCCTTATCACTACCAGCCCCCGCAAGAATTACCCAGATGCCTAGTCCGGAAAGGATGGTGAAACGTCAAACTTCTCTCCCTTCTCCTCCACAGAGGCTAGATAATGCTCGACAATTACGCCCACCAGCCCTGCTTTCCTAAGTAGAGTGCCAGTCAAACCTTGTCGGCCAAACGCCGTTTCTCCAAACCTAGAATCGGCATATCTTACCGCCAAGTCGGTTGCCATCCTACAATACTGGGTACCTACCATGTTCTTCTGCTTCTTCTCTTCCTGCCCTGCCCCCGCCTCCAGACCTGCTGATTTGAACATCCAGTCCTACAGGAGACGTGCCCTTAGAGTTCGTGTTGTTGGCCGGGGCTGTGATTGAGTGGCCTCTGCAGAGTGAAGCTCTCCGCTTTTTTAAGCTGACTCATTAATTAATCACAGACCGCTGCCTAATGGGTCCTTGAGTGGTGAGACTTACCAGAAGCTGCCTAGCGCGACACGGCAAAGGATAGTCTTATATATCTTGGCGGCCACCGCAATTACTCCCTCTCTCCTGAGCCAATACGACAAATGGCAATGGTCAAGTGGGAGTGTTCTGGATAATTTTCTACCTTGCTATAACGGAATGTGGGGTATTCCCATTTACTGCTACGAGACAAACCAACCTTCCATCGAAGCTGGCGCCCAAATGTCACCCTCCTGCAGCATTTGCTTCTCGAGCTCAATCAGTCTGCGGCGTGAACCGAGAATGGGGCGACTGCACGAGCCTGCGACGAAGTTGTTGGGACAGTCCTCGCGGGTTGGCCCGGTTGACCTATTGACATGGAAATTGGCCGAGAACATATGCCGCGCTAGCATCCCAAAGCGAGAGGTAGCTGAATAACCTGGCAGGGATTTGATTGAATGCTGCTATAAATGATGGACAAGGTGAGCAGTTAGCCCAAAGACTTAAGAGTCGCGAACTGCGTTTAAAACAATACAATTGTCCGTGTCCCTCAAATCAACATAGTATGCATGAGCTTGTGTGGTCTATTCCCCCCCTGATGTGCAGGAAACCCGTCGCCAGCGCAAGAAGCTACCAGCAAATACATGACCGAAGACCTAGATACGAAGTTGGTGTAGTAGCCTCTGGAGAGCAGATAGAAGGAGGAAGGTGAAATTTGACAAACATGAATATCAGATTGATGGTCGCTTCGCATGGGAGAAGATTTGGGAGAAGATCCAGAGAACCACACTGCACGAAGTGTCTGCATAACTGAAGAGGCGGATGAGGTACACTGATAGAAAGAACATTTTGTTTACCGAGTATGTATTCCAGCATCTTTGCTCTTATTCAACATTACTCCTCCGAAGCAAAGCATCTTTACATGCGGCGGCAGATTCTGTAATGGTTCGCCGTAGTTGACCGTAAACCCAAAGAAGGTTAGTGTGATAATTTCTCCGGACGCCAATGGAGGGACCGGCACCATGATGGCTGCGGTTACGGTTGCGGTCAGCTCCAATACTGGGTACCTCCAAGTGCTTCAGATTTGTTCCAGCCTGGCAAATCTGAGAGCCCATCGAGACTACAGGCCCAGTCTTGCCAGTTTCTCTTCAAGTTTCATTCATCCTCCGTCAACTCTCCTGTCAAAATTATGGCAGGCCGTTTCGTACGCTCTTCCAAATATCGGCACGTGTTCGGCCGTCCGACTCGCAAGGTGTGGCTTCACCCACTTTCAACTGGGAGGACTCCAGGCTAAGAGCTGCAAAGGAACAATGTTATGACAATGTGAGGGTATCGAAGAATGCCTGGGACACAAACTTGATCAAGGTCCGCACCGCCTGCAAGCTGCAATCCCAAATGCTGACAATGCCAGGCCAACCCAGAATATCTCGCCCTTAACTGGGATAGCAGCGGTGGTGGCGCGTTTGCCGTCATCCCCACGAAAGAGAAAGGCCGCCTGCCCGAACGCATACCACTCTTCCGAGGACATACCGCCGTGGTTCTGGACACCGATTGGTGGGTTTGACTATCAAGGAAAAACAAAGCAAGGACGCGGGACTGACAAGTGCAGGAATCCGTTCAATGACTCGTTGATCGCTTCGGGTTCTGATGACGGCAAGGTAGCGAGAGGTGCTCTTTTTAGCGGAAAGAAAATGCTGACCTGCACAGGTATTCTTGTGGAGAGTCCCCGACGAGTTCACCCTACACCTCGACCTTCCCCCAGACGAGATACAGGATATTGCCCCTGTTGGCAAGCTCAGTGGCCACCCCAAGTATGTAATCAGACATCATCTTTGAAGCAATGACTGACACCTTTCAGGAAAGTAGGGCACGTGCTCTTCAATCCCGCCGCTGAAAATATCCTGGCGTCGGCAGCGGGAGATTTTATGATCAAGATATGGGATATCGAGTCCGGCTCTTCCAAGCTCTCGCTGAAGGTTGGCGAGGTGATTCAGTCTTTATCGTGGAGCGCGAATGGTTCCCTTCTAGTCACGACTTCCCGAGACAAGAAATTGAGGATATGGGACACAAGACAAGAAAAAGCCGTTCATGAGGGCCCAGGCCACGCAGGTGCAAAGAACAGCCGTGCGGTGTGGATGGGGGAACACGATCGAATCGCTACGACTGGCTTTTCTAGAATGAGTGACCGTCAACTTGCACTTTGGGACGTCCGAAACGCCCAAGGACCCATTGACGGGTTCCAAATGCTTGACTCGATCTCTGGCGTATGCATGCCCTTTTGGGACGAAGGCACCCAGTGTTTATTCCTCGCAGGCAGGGGTGACGGCAACATCCGTTATTACGAGTATGAGCACGACAAATTCGAATACCTGTCCGAGTACAAATCATCCGATCCTCAACGTGGAGTGGCCTTCATTCCCAAGAGGGGAGTTAATCTGCATGAGAACGAGGTTGCTCGAGCATATAAGACGGTAAACGACAACTACATCGAGCCTATTTCTTTCATTGTACCCCGGAGAGCAGAGACCTTTCAGGAGGATATCTATCCCCCTACTGTTGGACTGAAAGCAGCAATGAACAGCAAAGAATGGCTTGACGGTGCTGAGGGTTTGCCACCAAAAATCTCCATGGAGAGTTTATATGAGGGTACTGGCCTCAAAGAGGTCGCTTCGGATGAGGTGAAGCCGGCCAAGAAGGCTCCTGAACCCATCAAGGCTGTTGAACCGAAGAAAGAAGTTCGCCAGTCGATTCCGGAACCAACACCGGCCACAATTCAATCTCCGCCTCCATCCATGAAGGAACAAGGTGCTACCATGATGGGTGCCGCCGACAAATTCAAAGATACCGAGCCTGCAGAAGTCGAGGATGACGAGTCGGATTTCGAGGAAGTCCAGAAGCCCGTGGAACGGACATCTGCAGCTAAACCGGTCGTGGCTGAAGAGAAAAAGGAGCAATCTCCTACCCCCGTTGCGAGTAAAGTATGGGAAGATGTCGAAGCCCCTGAACCTGCTCCGCCTAAACACAAGGTCCGCTACCAAGAATTCCACATGTTCTTCTAAACTAATATGAAGCAGATGACCGAAACGGAAATGTCAGATGAACAGACTGTCGAGGAGGGAGAAGCTTCGAACCTAGCTGAGGCGACTCCGATGTCAGATTCCATGGAGCGGGAGATGAAGAACATGAAGGCTTTGATTGCCCAGCAGTCACGGCAGCTGAGCAGCCTGACCAAGACGGTAACAGACCTCGTTGCAGAAGTGAAAGCTTTGAAAAGTCATAGATGATTCGCGTTGGATACATTGTTACTTGACATTAGCGAGTTGAGTCACAGAAGCCAAAACCCCTCACTAACTACTTCTGCCTTTCCGATCATATTTCTCGTTTGATGGTGGTCGTGCTGGTCTTACATATCCAGGACCTTTCATTGCCGTACGATCCCGTCGAACAGTTTATCGATTGTGCCTCCAAGAGTTCAAGCAACTGGCCATTGTCCTTCAACTTTCAACTCCAGCCAGATAGAAGGCCGAACGTCTCAGCCTATGCTTTACATTGGCCTTTGGAGATCGGCGTCGACCAAAGGTGGAACATTTCTGCAGCAAAATCGGGATCGAGAAATACATCTAACTGACCTAGGCGGCCGCAGAATCCTTTATCTTCACACATACTATGCGGAAACGGAGTACTGGGGACTGTATGATCGTGAGTGGTAAGACAAGGCGAGGGAATACCATTCAGCAACGGCTTTGCCAGCAGTATGGGGCCAAGTCAAAACTGCGCATAACAAGAAGCCGATCACGGCTTTAACGCCAGCCATCTCATGGCAATCTGCAGGATCCATCGGAATCCAGCATACCATCCGGAGCAAGGACTACTTGATTCATGGGAAGCCAAGCTGGACATATTGGATGCCGCGCCTCTCAAAGTAAATGTGGACTGGGCTCTGCAAGATGATTACCGGTGTTATAGCCCGCCCAAATGGGAGCCGTTCAGAAACTGACCTGACCAGCCACATGACAGGGCCGCCGTGGCCTCTTCCCCACGAGCTTTAGCTGTCATCGAGCAACAACAGGTTCACCGGAGATTCGGCATATTTCCAAGCATGCCTTATACATCAGAGACGAGAAGGAAGTGATCAGCCAGCCTCTCCGACGATCTGATATAAAGTTCCGCGATACCCAACGAAGCCCAGTGGAGAAATAAGTGGCACGAGGTGACACAAAGTAGTCGCTGCATCTGATGTAGCTGAAGAGTGCTCAACCACAACGAAGTGGCCGTTCTGCCAAGCACATCTAATATCATGGATTCCTGATATGGCACCACTATTCCCTCAGGTAAACGAAATGCTAATTATAAACGAAAGTCACCTTCGATCCAATCGCAAAATACCTTTTGATGTGTTACCAAGACTTTCTTGTCCGACCACGCCGCTTATCTTTCATTCTGGCTCTCTGAATACGCGCCACAAAGGCAACTCTTTTACCATTACCACGTGGATTCGGTTCCATGGAGACGCTGATCGCGAGTTTGATTCGCCGAATACTCGGTAGGAACTCAGAAGTGGGGAGAAATCAAAGATAAAATGACCAGATTCGGTCATCTCCAACCTGAATTGCGTGATCAGACTGAATCGGGGATGATCGTTTCTCATTATTATCTGGTTATCCTTAACTTTTTCTCTTTCTTTCAATGCATCAATATCGCTAAATTCGTTACGGACAACAGTAATTTTTATACGCGTGTTAAATATCAAAGTACAGATCTACTTTGTTCTCCATAGAGATCTCACAGCGAATCAGACACATAGTGCTAGAGAGTGATGGGTTCCATTGGCGAGACTTATTCAAACGGTCATTCGGCGGTGGCCAGCACCAGCGGTGGCCAGTACCCCCGAAAGCCGCTCAGGCAGAGCGGATTGCTCAACGAGAAATTCGAATCCGAAGATGTCACGCCTGTCATCGGTCGGGAATTTGCGAACGTGAACATCGTAGACGACTTGATGAAGTCTGCTGACGCGGACACGCTGTTGAGGGATCTTGCTATCACTAGTATGTCTACTCCGTACTGCAGTCCCATCCCATTCCACCCCACCCCAAGTCCTGCCCAAACATACCTATCCATAGTCTCGCGATCCGTGGAAGGGACTTACAGACTAAAATGTTGGCTGATCTTCGAATGGGATAGTCAGCGAGCGCGGCGTCGTCTTCTTTCGCAAACAGGACAATTTGACGGACGGTGTGCAGAAGAAGTTCATTCAGCGCCTCGGCGAATTGACGGGCAAGCCATCCTCATCAACATTGCACATTCACTCGATTCTCGTTGGATCTAGCGAGTTCGGGCATGATCTAGAGATTAGCAACATCTCGTTGTTGAATGATCAAAGGTTGTCCCCCGTTATTCAGTACGGGGACTACGGTAGACTATATAAACGGTACTGGGCGGCTGGGCTGGATCACGTGACTTCACAACCTTTTTAGTTTTGACACTCGTCTGTGTCGCGCAAGAAGCTCTTCGACGCCAACGGCGAAATCAACAACAAGCGCAAATACGACGCCGCGCAATGGCACAGCGATATCCAATTTGAGCCGGCGCCTGCGGATTACACGAGCCTGAGACTGACCCAGCTGCCCCAGACCGGGGGCGACACCCTCTGGGCGAGTGGGTATGAGATATACGATCGCATGAGCCGACCGTGGCAGCAATTCCTCGAAGGGTTGACGGCGACATTCATCGGGGATGGGTTCATCAGAGCCGAGCAGCAAGGGAGGGCGACCTTGTACGATCAGCCCAGGGGGTCGCCGTTGAACGTGGGCAAGCATTTGAGTGCTGTGCATCCCGCGGTGAGAACAAATCCGGTTACCGGGTGGAAGACGGTGTTTGCGATCGGGACGTTTCCCAAAGCTTTCAACGAGCTGAATGCGGAGGAGAGCGAGGAACTGTCTAGGAAACTGCATGGCATGATCGTGAATAACCATGATTTGCAGGTGAGGTTTAAGTGGAGAAATGAGAATGACATCGGTAAGTCCACACTGAATGGGCTCTGAAATGTTGCTGTGAGGGGTACAGGGATGCTGATTCGTTTCCCCATTGGAACAGCTATCTGGGATAATCGATGCGTCTTTCATTGTGCCACGTTCGATTATGATCAGTTGGGAGAGCGGTTTGGCCATCGCGCTGTTGGTATCGGTGAGGCTCCGTATCTGGATCCGAATAGTCAGTCGAGGTCTGAGGCCCTTGGTTCACTTGAGATCAGCCCTGAAAAGCGACCTGCTCGCCTGGAATAAACGTGCGCCCCGATAAAGGCAAAAGCCACAGATAGATGGCTTGCGGACACAGATACCGCTGATGCATCCACCTTTTATGAACTGTGCGACAGTCGGTTCTCGCTTCCATGGAAAGCCTGACTCGGGAAACCCCCCAGAACATGGCGACGACTGTGGGGCGTTCGCCATGTTCTTATCGTCAGGCTGGCACAGGGTCCCTTATAAAGGACTAGCTGATCTCAGTGGTTCAGTGCCCGAAAAGCCCTCTGCGGATCCCCGGCCGACTGGCCACTCAGCAGTTAGCTCCATACCTAGATTTATGCAATAGTGTACATTGTGGTGTTTTGCACTCCCAGGTTGCACGTTGCAGGGCTGAATGATATCCGATTCCAGAAGGCGTCCAACGCGCATTCGGGCCTTGAAGCCGAGACGAACATTCCATGCATGTTCCCATGGGCCCCCACAAACAGTCTCGAAACCCACCATGACAATTTTCCACGATCGGTTTTGCCGCCGCTCCTCCTACTAGCGGCACGTGGATATTCGTAGTGCATACTTGTACCCAGTAGGTAGGCGTTGACCGGGTGTGTCAGGATGCGATTTTGATACAGAGCACGCCATGACGGCTGTTATCTGCGAATCAAGTACCTGATGTCTATCTATACTGCTTACTGGGATGCAGACCTCAGCTCTTTCTTAGATGAGCACTGTTTCCTCTAGTTGTGTGACCTGCACCACCAGGCACCTTATAAGGAATGGCAACCAGCGGCCAGGAACTTGCCTTCGGATCGGGCTGCTCGCCTATACTGGCTACTAACCTGTTATGGACTAGCACGTGGCTATCAAGCCTAGTGGATCCACTGCCTTCTTCCTATTCGGTGCACTTAAAAAGCTTGAGCTTCACGTCATCACTGCAAACTGCAAGGGAAATTTTTTTCAAGGTTGCAGCCAAACCTCGCGGTTTGTTCCGTCGCGAGCCGCTATCAGTGCTGTTTGCTCGATTTCTCCTTCCGTCACTGGTCCATCGTCGTTCCTCGGGTCTTGCTTCCTCGCCGTCTCCATCGATAACGATGGCTTACAACCAAGCAAAGGTGCCTGCTCCCTCATCGGGGCTTGCTGAGGTGACCCCTGCCAAAACGCACCCAAACACGTCACTCGCTGCCGTTCAAGCCTTGCGATAAGCACTTGCAAGCTTCAAGCACCATCTTGATGGCATCGCCGCCCACGGCTCCGCAGATCCACTTGTGCTTTTTTTCATATTTTCGCCAATATCCTCCCCCAGCGCTGTTTTTCGCCCAGTCAATCCATCTCGCCGTCACTGTCGCGACGTCGATTTGGGTCTGCTTCTTGGGCTCTGTAATTGTCCTCCAACGACAGTGCGTTCCTGGCTCCCTTGAACCTGTCATTCGAGCCTTGTGAACCCCCTCTTCACCATGACGGGTGCCACAACGTTCCCGTCGGAGCCTACACCCGACATGCTCGAAAAGAAGGAAAGTGTACCACAAAACACCGACCTTGAGGCGACCATCGACCAAGAGGATCCCCTTGCTCTTCTCTCAAAGATCGAAACCAACTCGGATGCACATCCGATCAGATGGCCGCTATGGAAAAAGTGGTATATCGTCTTTGTGTACTGCCTTCTCCAAGTCTTCGTCACCCTGACATCGACGACGTACGTCTCGGTTGAATTCTTGATCATGGAGAAATGGACCAGCTCCACCCAGGTCGCCACGCTCGGCCAAAGCATGTTCATCGTCGGGACCGCCGTGGGACCCGCGTTCCTTGGCCCTCTTTCCGATATTGGAGGCAGGAAATGGGTATACGTCGGCTCGATCCTGCTCTATGCGATTCTCAATATCGGCACCGCTCTGGCCGACAACTTCCCAATGTTGGTCATCTTCTGCTTCCTCATCGGGTGCGCGGGCTCGGTTGCGTTGTGCAATGTTGCGGGAACGATTGCTGATCTCTTTGGCGATTCCGACGGCGCGGCGCAGCCCATGGCTCTCTTTGTCCTCTCGGCGAATTTCGGGCCTAGTTTGGGCTCCCCGATAGGAGAATGGATAGCAGAAGACGAGAGCCTGGGGTGGCGCTGGATATTTTATATCAATATCATCATCGGCGGCGCGTTCGCCTTTTTCCTGTGTTTCATACCCGAGACTCTACCCCGCATTGTCATTGCCAGGGCGGTCAAGAGACGGGGTAGCGTCGATCAAAACGCCCTGGAGATTGCGATGGGATCTAGCAAGCTGTCAGTTATGCGAGAGGTGAAGTTCGTCGCGACGATGGCTTTGAGAATCATGTTCACCGAACCCATCGTCATTTCGCTTGGCCTGTGAGTGATTCCATTTTCTGAGAGATTAAATCAACTGACTGGACGGCTCAGCTATAATGGGTTCGCTTATGGTTTGCTATTCCTCTACCTCGACGGTGTCTTTGATGTGTTCGTCTTCGACAACGGTCTCAGCTATATTGGGGCATCATTGACCTACCTCAATTTCTGTGTCGGTGTGTAAATGTGTCGGAGAAGTTGCGTGTTATTTCTAACCAGAAATTATAGGTGTCACGGTGACATTCATCTTCGTGCCTGTCCAGACCTACCTCTTCCGGCGGGATAGGATAAAGCACGGCCGCCACAGGCCCGAAGCCCGTTTTCTCACATCTCTGGTGGCTGTTTGGCTGTTCCCAATTAGTCTGTTCTGGTTTGCTTGGACGTGCGACGGTGAGCATCATCAAGGTGTCCAACTCTGCTATGGCGGGTTTTTGCGCTAACACACTCGGGGATCTAGGCTCTGTATCATATTGGTCTCCGGTCGTGGCGGGCGCAGTGCTTGGCTTCTGCGACCCACTCCTTTGGTTGGCAATGCTTAACTATATCACGGATTCGTATCCGAATGTCGCGGCCAGTGCCATCGCAGCGTTCCTCATCCCGAGTTTCCTCATCGCCGCAGGTTGTGCACATGCCGGTGTTGCGATGTTTGCAAACATGAATATCAGATGGGCGTTCTCAACCCTGGCATTCATCTCTATTGGCTTGGTGGTGCTGGTATATGTCCTGTTCTTCTTTGGGCCGACGTTGAGAAGGTGGAGTCCGTTGGCGAGGACGTTCTGAGTATATGCCGTAGAGGACGAGCGAAGCAACTTGTCCAGGTAGACAGTGACAGGAACGGGATAGCGGGATCGGTGGAAATTAGACAGGAAAGAGCGCAGTGTATGTCTGACTTCGAGGTCACCTTCTAATACATACACTCAACTTTGAATGAACCCGATCACGGCCACCATCACGAACCAGAAAATCCTAGTTCGTTACAGCTCAATCAGAGGAAGCTGTAGACACAAATACATCACGAGCCTACCTGCAGCGGGACAATACGCCTCGTGGGTGGTCAGATGCTCTTCCACCAAAACTGATGACAATGGCTATTTTGTGATTTCATCAGATGGGCCAATGGGAGGGCGCCGATGAAGATCTGATATTGGAACTGCTAGCGAGATGATTGCTTTTCTTGATGCTGGGATGGGTCTTTAGCAAGCGAGAAGGGGGGGGAATAATAAGAAGCAGAGGGAATAAAGAATTAGTCGCTGGCATTGGTCAAGTCCATCTGGTCCATCCAATGCCCAGCCATGTACCGAGCCAGGCGGGGCTCGGTGGGCTCCGGGTCAATCAGAGGGCGTCGATAAGGCAGCGGCTCACAGGCGTGTCCCGACGACGCTGTGACCCGGTTTGCCCGGTGTTCGGAGAAGTCTGCGTGATGCTCCCACGGCTGCTAACATGTAGGTATCCCTTCGCCAATGCCCGTCGATACCTCCAGAGTGCTCCAGGCCTCGTCGGCTGTGATTGCTTGTCGCCGCTGCCCGTCAATCTGGGACCCGCATTGCAGACTTTTTGGCCTGGCGATATGGCTCTTGGCTCTACAGATGGACATCTGGCCCGACGCCATAGTGATCAACGCCTGATCAACAAGAAATTGGGTTCCAGCTCTTCGTCGGAGCTGGCCATGGCCCGTCGAGTCAGAATCTGCGCTTCAGCTCGACAACATCGGTATAAAGAGAGCTGGCGACCATTCGAAGGCTGGTGACTGTGCACGCACGACGGACCTCAACTTGACTGAGCACGCGACCACAGCTCCTCCCTCGGCCAGCACAGCCCTCACCCCATCCTCGGCAGCTAATCAGGCCTCAGTCGAGAACGACACCAACATCATTGTTCGCAATGGGCGAAGCAGACCGCATTGGGCCAGACACGAGCCCCAAGAAGACCCTCGCCGATCGTATGAACAGCATCCGCAAGACCTTCTTCACCAAACACGGTCTGGTTGGCGACTATGACTATGCATTCCTTTTCCGGCCCAACCTCCCCTTTCTCAAGAAGCATCGTCGCGCATCCCCGTTCTTCGGCCTCCATGACCCTATGCCCATTGTTCTGGCGCTCTTGCTGGGCTTTCAGCATGCTCTGGCCATGTTGGCCGGTATCATGACGCCGCCCATTATCCTCGCCGGTCAAGGAGGTGTCAATTTGCCCGCCGACTATCAGCAATATCTTGTCAGCACCTCTTTGATCGTGTGCGGAATACTGTCCTCAATTCAGATTACGCGGTTCCATATCTGGAGGACGCCGTATTATGTTGGCACTGGCTTGATTTCGGTCGTGGGAACATCCTTTGCAATTATCCCCGTCGCCACCGGCGCTTTCGCGCAGATGTATGCGAACGGCAAGTGTCAATTGGATGCCGATGGAAATCGCTTGCCCTGCCCCGACGCCTATGGTGCGCTCATTGGCACATGTGCGCTCTGTGCTTTGGTGGAAATCGCACTTTCTTTCTTGCCACCGAAGGCGCTGCGGAACATCTTCCCGCCCATTGTCACCGGTCCAACTGTTATTCTCATCGGTGTGTCTCTGATCGAGTCGGGCTTTCAAGACTGGGCTGGCGGAGCCGGCTCTTGCGCCGCGCGTCCAGACAGCGGGCCCTTCACCGTCTGTCCTCAGGTGGGTGCTCCGCATGCTCTCCCCTGGGGAAGCGCCGAATTCATCGGACTGGGCTTCCTGGTGTTTGTGACCATCTTGATCTGTGAACGCTTCGGATCTCCCATCATGAAATCCACCAGCGTCATCATCGGTCTGTTGACTGGTTGCATTGTGGCCGCAGCCACTGGATACTTTGATGATTCAGGAATCAATGCCGCTCCTGTCGGCTCCTTCATCTGGGTCAAGACATTCAAGCTCTCACTCTATGGACCCATCGTCTTGCCAATCATGGTTGTCTTCATTATCTGCGCTTGCGAAGCTATTGGCGATATTACCGCCACTTGTGATGTCTCACGACTCGAGGTCGAAGGCCGAGAATTCGAGTCTCGCATCCAGGGAGGCGTTTTAGCCGATGGGCTCAATGGATGCCTGGCTGCCTTGATGACCATCACCCCCATGTCGACATTCGCCCAGAACAACGGTGTTATTGCCCTAACCCGCTGTGCAAACCGCAAGGCGGGTTACTTCTGCTGCTGTAGGTGAACCTTCCCATTAGAATCGTGATAGGTATCTGACATTTTGTGCAGTCTTCCTTATTGTGGCGGGCGTGTTCGCCAAATTCTCCGCAGCACTTGTGGCCATCCCATCACCAGTCCTTGGAGGCATGACGACCTTCCTCTTCTGCGCAGTGTAAGCAGGCCCCTTTCATGGGAACCGTTGATCTATGCTGACACTGGAATGATAGAGCCGTATCTGGGATGGCAATTGTGAACCGGGTCCCTTTCAACCGCCGCACGCGGTTCATCCTCACTGCATCGTTGGCACTCGGATACGGAGCCACCTTGGTCCCCACGTGGTTCAGCTATGTGTTTACCTATGACGGAGACAACCACGCGCTGCGAGGTTTCTTCGATGCCATTGTCCTGATCTGCGAGACGGGCTTTGCCATCACCGCCATGGTCTCTATGATCCTCAACTTGACGTTGCCCGAGGAAATCGAAGATATCCCGGCTGAGGAGGGGCCGAAAGACATGGACGAGGAAGGGCGATCCGAGGCCGCAAGCTCGGCGGATGAGGGTGCCCTCAAGAAGATCCAGATGGATGTGCCCACCAAGGAGGTTGTGTAATACCTAATGCTTTGCCAAAAATAAAATTACCGGGGTCCATAGAAGTGATAAAAGTGAGTTGAATAGTTCATGTTTGTATGAGAAATGTGTATGCCTCATTCATCTCCAAGCATTTGATAGCACATGCTTAGTTTGGTAGCCGGGCTACTATACATCGACGGAGCCAAGGAGCTACAAGAGCTTGCGACTGCACTCCCTCGTAGCCGTTAACGTTTGACCTGGTTATCAGCCGCAGCGTGTTTCGTGTTTTGTATGTTGCGTTGTCAGATTACAACCCTTCTCCCACTTGCCATGTCTCGGCTGGCTAATGTTGTCTTAGACTTAGAGGTCATCACTCATCAAGATTGCCTTTGGGCTTTGCCTCTGCTGTGGCACATTTTCGGTTCAATTCGGGAAGAACTTTCGTCGCTTTGTGTCAGAATCTAATCTTATAGGATGGTGGACCACTGGAAGCGTGGCTAAGATCTCGAACTACATACCACTAGTATGGCTACCATCGATACGCACCAAGTCGTCGCTTTGTACTTCCTCGTTCAGAACTGGATTGGTCCCCAAAGATGACAAACACCAGCAAAGTCACCAACATTTATCCCATTGAATTTAGCCTCGTGCTTCCCAGTCCGACATGCATCCTGCCCAAGCTCGGGTATCAACCACACGCCATGGATCCTGCGAGAGTCTTTCTGCAGTCTCAAATCAAGGGAAGAGGTCGCGGGATGGGCCGGAGGCGGAGCTAATCGAGCTCTCTCCACCATGGAGACGGATGGGAGAATTCGAAAATACCCCATGGGGGCTGCCCGACCATTAGCCTGATGGAATTTAGCCGGATTGCCCAGGAGCTAGAACTCTGCCACCGGACACAGAAGAACAGCTCCCGGCTCTGATTGATGGATCAGTCCCGTTTAGCCACCAAAGCCATCTCTCCCCGTTGTGGGAATTGCCACGCAAATCTGGGGTAAGGGGAGGAGTCTGGCGGTGGCACATGTCACTCGTGAGGAGTCCGCGTCCCAAAGAATCCGCCTTCAATGCAAGTCTGGTCCGTCGATTGGTTTCAACATGCATGGTCTCGTACAAGGCACGCACTTCTACTCTCCAGGACGTCATGAACGCCACCCTGCTCTACTCATCCTCCGTATTGCAAGTCTCACATGGAGGGCCAAGGCTGAAGCATTTGCCTTTAACGTGCAAGCAGCGGACTGCCCTCGGTATCCACACTCGCCACAAGGCTCCGGATTATCAACATCGGACAAAACAAATCAAATCAACTTGGCAGCCAAGGCAGTACAGCGAAGCCACTGGCGCCGTGACCCCTGTCTCGCCCAACAGGGTGTGGAAGGTGTTTGTCATGTTGCCGGAGTCAAGCTCTGCAAGCTATGCCGCTGAGAGGCATTCTAGCTTCGAGAAGGAGCGCTAAACCTCAAGCGAACGAATCGAACATGCGCCAGCACGCCACCCAGCATCTTGATGATTACAACTGGACACGAGCCGACTTCTGGTTACATTTCCCAAGAGGTCGAAAGGAGCTTCGGAGGGCACACTGTGATTCAGCACAGACTTTTGTCGATGGCACCTCGTGTCGATCCACTCTGGCGTGTCTTAATAACCGACCAGGCTGTTGCTCCTTTGGCTCAAAAGTGACATATCTCTTTCCGCAATTCAGCCGGAACCCTGGCCAAGTCGGCAGATGGCTCTATGGCTCTCTTGGGAGGCTTCCGGAGATCGACTTGCTCGACCCAGTACGGAGTACATATATGGTCGTGTCCGCTGGGTTGGACAGCCACTCTCTCAAGCCCGAGCGCAACACCTCGCCTGCCTCATCACTCCTTCTAGCTACCCGTCGTCATGGTTCCTAAAATCAAGAAGAGCGTGTCCCACGCCGACGAGGTCCAAATTGCCCAAGCCGAAGCACCAGAACTTGAAAGAGTCAGCTGGCTACAAGATCCTGGCTTGAGAAAGCTTTATTTCTATGCCGCCATCATCTGCGTTGCTTCCGCGACGACCGGCTACGATGGGTAAGTGCCGCGAAGTTGATGAAATGGTTGACATTTACCCTTGTGGACGCACGGCAGCTCACGTTCTTATAGATCTATGTTAAACAACATCCGTATTCTGGATCAATGGAAAACTTACTTCGACAACCCCCAAGGGTCAAATCTGGGTCTTCTGACCGCACTGTATAGTATTGGTTCTATCGCTAGTTTGCCGTTTGTGTAAGTCAGAACCAATGGGTGCGGGAGAAATGGCTTGGGAGATGTATTCCGCTGACGAGGACGCAGACCTTTCGTGGCCGATCACTTTGGTCGTAAAGTGGCCATCGTTGCCGGCTGCGTTCTCATGATCATTGCAGCGGCAATTCAGGGCGCCTCTCAGAATCTGGCCATGTTCAAGGGCGGTCGCTTCCTCATGGGTTTCGGAAACAGCATGGCCCAGCTGTCTTCGCCTTTGCTGCTGACCGAACTCTGCCATCCTCAACACAGAGGTCGCATCACGGCCATCTATAACTGCCTGTGGAACTTGGGTTCCATCATCAACACCTGGCTGTCGTTCGGCACCAAGCACATCCCCAGCGAGTGGTCGTGGAGAATCCCCACCATTGTGCAGGGGGCGCCGTCTATTATCCAGATCATCTTCATCTGGTGGATCCCCGAGTCACCGCGGTGGCTGATCTCGCGGGACCGCGCCGACGAGGCCCTCGCGATCCTCGCCAAATACCACGCCAACGGCAACGACCTCCACCCGACGGTGCAGTTCGAGTACGCCGAGATCAAAGAGACACTGCGGCTGGAATTCATCGCCAAGAAATCGTCCAGCTACCTCGACTTCCTCAAGTCGCGCGGGAACCGGTACCGACTGCTGCTGATCGCCTCCTTGGGGCTCTTTTCGCAGTGGTCCGGCAACGGCCTGGTATCCTACTACGCGACCGACATCTACAACTCGATCGGCATCACCAACTCGGACACGCAGCTCGGGCTGAACGGCGGGCTGGCCATCATGGCGCTGATTGTGTCGTGCACGTGCGCCATGCTCTGCGACAAGGTGGGCAGAAGACCGCTCTTCCTGGCTGCGACGGCAGGCATGCTTGTCTGCTTCACCGTCTGGACCATCTGCTCGAGCATCTACCAGGACCACCACAACAAGGGCGCCGGCCAGGCCGTCGTGGCCTTTATTTGGATCTTCAACTTCTCGTACGCGCTCGCCTGGTCGGGTTTGCTCGTCGCGTACACGGTCGAGATCCTGCCGTTCAAGATCCGCGCAAAGGGCCTCATGGTCATGAACTTCTGGGTCCAGGTCGCTCTCGTCATCAACCAGTACGTCAATCCGTTGGGCTTTGACCACCTGAAACCGAACTGGAAGCTGTACACCATCTACACTGTGAGTCCATTCCACTCCGTCCCCATCCGAGTCGTCTTAGTTATCTCTCTTCCTCGCTCCCTCCCTCTCTCTCTCTCTCTTTGTGTTTGGTTTGGCACACACACATATATACAAAGACAGTCCCGTCCCGTCCACTAACTCACCCACCTCTGCAGTGCTGGATCGCGCTCGAACTCGTCTTCGTCTACTTCCTGTACGTCGAGACCAAGGGCCCCACGCTCGAAGAGATCGCCAAGATCTTCGACGGCGAGGACGCAGAGGTCGGTATCGTCGACATCCAAATCGAGCCCAAGGCCATCCTGGCCTCGGGCACGGAGAAGATCGACGCCGCGGTCGTCGAGCATCGTAGCGTTGTCTAGCCTCCTCTCATGCGGCTCGTGTCTGTGCCGTGCCTGTGCTGTGTGAGCGAGGGGCGTAATGTCATGCCATGGCCGCGTGCCCCCTGGGATATGTCAATCTAGCGTAGTCGGCCCCCGAGAACTGGAATTTGAGATGTACATGAAGCTGGACAGCCGGGTTAGTCAGGCTAAGTCGAGTCAAGTCGAGTGAATAAGTGATTGAGTGTACGTGTCGAAAGTAATGAATATAGATTTCACAAAAGAAAAGAGAGAGAGAAAAAAATTCCTATTTCTCATTTTCAAACATTCTACGTCCTCGAATCCGTCCTCTTTCTCCCCCCTCTCTCCGTTTCCAAGAAAGAAAAAAGACATGAGGGCCTCTCTATCCTCGGATCTCAATCTCACAATCCATGCCGTTTCATTCGAAGTTGCCGCTACCGGCGAATGAATAAACACACACACACACACACACACACACACACACACACACACGTCTACACACACATGGGCACGCACAGACACCCGCGTGCGCGTGGGCGGGAGGTCGGTTGGGGAGTATCAGATATCAGGCTGAATAGGATCGTGCTGATGGGGCATGAGGTATGGGATACAGGGGGGGTTGGATGTCATGTTCTATCACATGGAAAGGACAGGACAGAGATAGACAGGAGAAGATAGAGGCATGAGATGTGAAACGTGTATGCTTGCATGTATGTACGCACGCCTGGCCGCGACTTTCTTCTTGACAATGCGCTTCTTCACCTTTAGATGACGCGATCTGCTTCGGCATGCACTGCACTGCACTATCCTTCATTGCACTTCATCGCGGGAGTAGCCGATGCGATCGGGAAAGGGCCATGTAGTACAAACCGGCAATGCGATCGGGAGAAGCACATGGATAAATCATGCAAAAGTACCAATACGATCGGCAGAGCGCATGGATGGGCGGATGAGTGTCAGGAGACAAAAGTCCGTCCCATGCCCACAGTATCCCCGTCCATCTTTGCCACATGGGAACCAAGACCTAGTTAGATCAGATCGTAGTTAGTCGTTGCAACATGCGGCATGCGGCACGCAGGCAGGTATCGATAACAGTGCCTCCATCTCTCTTGTCCCTAGATAGGCGAAGTGATGCGATGATGGTGGTGGCCAAGGCCGTGCTGCGATCGATAGAGATTGTGACAAATACGGTCTCTCTCCGCGGCCCCTTTTCTTGGTTGCGGTCCACATTTTGGAGTTAGTTCCTCGTCTTGCTGGCTGAACGGTTAGAGAACGGAGAGAGAAAAGAGGAAGCACTATCGCCCCATGGGAGATGACCGGACGCGAGACATTGTTCGAATTTAGCCGGACGAACGTGCTGATTGGCTGACGCTGACGCGCACGAGGAGCTCGAGCCTTGTTCGTTCAATAGGCAGAATGATTGTGCGAAGGACGAGAATGAGGGAGATGAGAGCTGAAGAAGAAATGTGGCAGATAGTGCGAAGAAGGAAGGTTGCTTTCCTTTTTTTGCTGGGGGGATTCGGCTTTTCATTCGGCTTTTGGGCCGAGAGTCTGCTGAGCACAAAGGAGACGATAGAGTTGGGAAGCCAAGTACGGATGGCGCAGCGTGGAAGTGCAGCCGAAGATGGAGCTGGCGCATCAGCGGCGGAACATCTGGGAGAGCGAGCGTGAACGACCACTCTTCGGTGGCGTGGGCGATGGCGCGATGAGTCGCATGATTCGTCACCTTTGGGGTCTGAGCCTGAAGCGGACTGCTGGGTCTGTGTTGTCGAGGCGGCTAGTACCAAGTAGATGCGTTTCTCGTTGAGCAGCCCCAGTCAAGGCCCGTAATTGCTTAGTGTTTGGTGTTTGTTCTGATGAGCGGTATGGACCATTCCTTGATTTTGTCACTTGTGCTTCTGGATATTGCTGCAAGTAGCCGCAGTCATAGACTCTGAGAAGTATGTCCGGGCTTGTAATTCTGTGCTCCCAGACGAGGCTGGATATCCAGTCAATCAGCAGCCCTTTTACCTGTGGTTTTTTTTTTTTTTTTTTTTTTTTGCGAAGGGGATTCTCGCAAATAAATAAATCAAGAATGGTTCGACACCTCTCTGTAGCACACTGTTTGTGCAACCGCCGTGCGCGAATACGCTGGGAAAAAGCCCAGTCATCACATAGTTATCCAAAAGTAGAGTTCGTCTGGAGATGGACATGTTACTGACAATGTGACCTACCCTAAGAGGGTGTATACGTGAGAGAGCAGCGGGGTCGAAAGAGCACACTGATTGGTTGGGCAAAACATCAGTTGACCGGGGACGCTGGCCTTGCCATATCCGACCACAGCTGAGGAAGTCACATACAGTGGTGAGTACAACAGCAGTCAATGGAAGCCTTGCAGTAATCATGAACCTGAGGTGCCACCACTTGGCGGAAGGTCTGGCACAAGCCTTCTGGGTTCTAGGAGGCCGCCAAACACAACCTCGACTAGGGTACAACAACCACACACACGAAGTCATATTTTCAAAATCCATCCTGCAAAAACACAAAAACTTTGCCACTAGCCCCTTCGAACTGGGGGTGGTGGTAAGTGAAACCTTGCCTTGCGGTAGGTTTTTCCGTGGGGTCGAGGACATATTGCCTTCCAGCTGGTGCTGGTTTGAACCTGATATATCCGTATTCGAAGCGGGACTCGAACCGAGACATGTTGCCTGCTAGCCCGATGCTAGTTGGACCAGACATGTCTGGGGTTGAATCTCAGATCGGTCGGGAGGATCGATTGAGGGAGGATCGCCTACTTGAACCATTCCATCGCTTGTTGACTTCGATAAGTCTCTTTCTGTTCTCTTGTGTGTTGACTCTTGTAGTCTCTTTCCTAGTAGGGGTCTTTGTGATTGTTGGAAGAAATTGTGTGGTTCCAAATTCTATGTCTTAAGATTCACATTCCCATGTGACTTCTGTTATCTTCCTTGGTTGTGTGTGAAGAATTGTAAAAGGGCGGGTCTGGGTGTGGCAGAACTCCTTCGATGGACTCCTCACGTGGAATTTGGCTTTTTGTCCATGCCTTACCTCTGCCACCATTCTCCTGCTGTACGGCGTGGACCACAAAAAGCCTACCAAAGAGCATTTACGTAGCATACGAGGTTGATATATTGTTCTTCCACGAAGTCAGCAATATCGACAAGGCTGCGAGGCTGTGGACGTCAGCCATGTGGAGTGACTGCTGACGTCATCCGGCATGTGTAGAGGGGGCAAGTCAGCCGAGCTGCCTTGCTCGCCTGCTTCTTCCGAAAATGTCAGGTGACGGAGATACGGAAGCAAATGCAAATTGGCAAAAGAATTTCTTGGTCCTAATCTCGGTACTTGGTCCTGGATGCTGGACATGCAACAATAACCACGACTTTCCCTCACGACTCCCTCGTCGCGTTGTAGACCTTTTCATTGCTATCCACCTAAATCTATCTGTTTTGCTTCAACCGAGCGACCGGTGAGGCGTGCGCAGAGTCTGCAAGGCCGCCAAACGCATCACTCGGTCACCTCAGTTGGCCCTCCACCTTCGGGCGCGCGCATGTGCTCTGTCCGAGTGAGCAATCCAGGCATCCCATTCACAACATCGAGGTAGGGAAGATAAACCATGCTAGCTAGACGTGGTCGCCCCTTCCCATAAGGCATACACACACTTCAACAGTGCTTGTCAACTATGGCCTTCAACTTCAACTGGTCTCCATTGTCTACCGACGCCGGGTTCCTGCCGCGCGCACAAGAACTCCTCACCAATGCCCTCAATCGAGCCGACCCCAAGCCTGCGATCATTGTCGACGACATCATCGTCAACGAACTCAACCTGGGAGATGTTCCCCCCGAACTGGAGATCTTGGAGATTGGGGATCTGGCCGAGGATAGGTTTCGCGGCACGTTTAAGATGATGTATAATGGGAATGCATATCTCACTCTGAAGACAAAAGTACAAGCAAACCCATTGAACACATACCTGCGCACTCGCTCAGCATTTGCCACACCACGACCTCTGGCTGCCGACACTGGCCTGACTATACCACTACAAATCACCTTGTCCGAGTTCCGCCTGTCCGGATTCATCATTCTTGTCTTCTCACGACAAAAAGGATTGACGCTCGTCTTTCGAAATGACCCTCTGGAGTCATTACGCGTATCGTCGACCTTCGACTCCATACCTTTCGTTGCAAACTTCCTGCAAAAAGAGATCGAAACTCAGCTGCGAGGTCTTTTGATGGACGAGTTACCTGCCATCATCCACCGACTTTCCTTGCAGTTGTTAGTGCCAGAGGATAAGGCGCGCGAAGAGCGTCAGCTTGGGGCCACACAGATATCAAAGGACGAAGTCGTGGTTGATCCATTGGCGAGTCCACCACAGGACCCAGTCGACTCTACCGGGGCTGTATTGACCCCCGCAGAAGTCGCATCTTTATCTTTGGATTCGTCGGTCGAAACTCAGTCATTGTTTTCACGAAAGAACCTGTTACGATTAGCTACCTTGACCGACTCACATCGCACATTGTCATTGTTCACTCCATCCATTGGAGATGCCGTTTTTCGAGCCTGGACTGGTCCATTGGAACGAGGGGAGATGACGGGGCTTTTGACCAGGACGACGACCCCGACCCTGTCTCGAAGCCACTCGTATGCTGGAAGTCTCAGTGCGTCGACGGCATACACGTTTGATAGCGGCTGGTCTCGCCCTCCCTTGTCGAGCTTCGCATCTTCGAGTCATGGTCTGAGCATGGGCGGTGGAAGACACGGGCAAGGCCACAGAGCACGCAAGAGGAAGAAGCGTGTGGTTGACCTGCGGCCTCACCCAGAAACTGGAGAACCTGAAATGGTCGTCGAAGAGGGTTCAACAGCTGATTCTACCAGTGTGTCGGAAAGCACATCGACTGCACCCTCAGTCTTCTCAGCACCTGCCGCCACCATGTCTTCTGATCCAACTCAAGGTCTCAATCCTGTCACCCCGCCCAGAAGCCCGGTTGCCATCAAACGAACAGCAACGTTTGGACCGGTCCTTCAGGGGGGAATGCGTAGTGTCAGTGAAGGCACGCCTGCACCTGATTCGACTATTCAGGTTGAGGAACTACCGTCGTCGGACATTCACCAAACTCCGCGAGCCAAAGATCCCGACGCCACAATTCGGATTCGAACGCGAAGAACACTTCCCGCATCTTTCGACGATGACGAGACGCCTCGAGCTTCGATGTATGCACTAGATCAGAAAGAGCCGCCTGTCCTTCAACAGGCGACCGAGCCTAAGGCTGTCGCCAGGGAGAAAGCCGAGCTCCACTCCACGCCAGGCCCGTCGCGGCCAGCCCTCTCGAATTTTCTTCAATTTGTCGCCGACCAGTCCAACGCAGGCAGCATTGCAGAGCGTGCCTGGATGATGAAAATGGCGAATGAATTGGCGCAGCGGTACGAAGAGGAAAGGCTTAAAGGCAGCTTCGGACCGGTGGCTCGTGAGGAAGATGCAAACCCTCCGCCAGCGTATGCGCGATGATGCTTGTGTTATCATTTCGACTTTCTTTCAGCGATGCTTTCAGACAAAAGTTTGCTTTCTTTCCTGTGTACCACTAACTAATGGCGTGATGAGGCTACGATGTTAATGTATATAGAGGTTGAGAAGCCTGCGAGGCTGGGGATCCTCTCGTGGATACAGAGGAGCTGGGGTTGTTACTATTTCTATGAACCGTTGTGCCATATATTTACATATACAATCTCATCGTTATCTGCATGTCTGGGGAATCGGCCGTTTCCTTCTCCCCTTGCACATTTAGTATTCGGAGGGGCAGAGGGTGATCTATTGTTCATGGATTTGGAGACATCGACGGTAGATGGCTTTCTACGAAGTATGTATTAGAGCTTCGTATACTCGGCGAGATCGGTACGAGGTGCCTCGTAGTGGATGCCACCTCAAGCCACGCGGAGTGCATTTTTGAAATTGTGGAGAGCTGGAGCAACTTAGTCCCTGCTCAGTCGTCTTGGGACTCCACTACCTCTTTTCTCTCTCCGTCCTTCGGTCAAAGCAACGCAGCGCAGCCCTCACCTGCGCACAGAGAACTGTCAGGGTCATTTATTTGATCCAGACTGTCACTTCACTTGTCCATCATGGACTACTTCAAAGCTCTGCTCGGCCCAAAGCCTTCGCAGGCGCCCGTCGTCGCCGAAGACGCAGGTGAATAAACAACGCTCCTCAACACTGGCCTGAAACTCACTCATGTCGGTTGTCTAGATTTCGCCGACTTTGCAGCCGCCCCTGCCCCTTCACCGGCCTCCATCCCCGTCTCTCCTGCGGTTGCGCAAGCTGCCGCCGCAACAGGAGCCACCGTCGAGGGTCGTCCAGTCGTCTATACGAAATGGTATCGCGTGTGGGAACGGACCCAGCTGTCCGACTTCATGATGGAGGGTGTCCTTATCCCTTTCATCCTTTTGGCACTCTTGGTGCATTTCTGGGGAACGAGGACGAACAGACGCAAGGCGAAGAAATGGATAGCCGTCCATGCCCCTCTTTTGGAGCGAGAGTTTGCGGTCGTTGGATACAGTGCGGTCCCGAAGGCTGAATCGACCGTGGAAGGAGGAGTGTCCCCGGGGGATGTGAGCTTGTTCCAAGAAATTGTGAAGAACAAAGGAGATCATGTGTCGGATGATCTGTTGAAGGAGAAAACTGCCTGGGAGTATGAGTCGTATGCGACCGGACGACAAAACGTCGCCTTCATGGATGCCAAGATCTACATGAAGAGACGAATGAATCCCATGATGATGCTGGCGGAGGAACTCACGGGCATGTTCATTGAGTCGATCAAACCAAAGCCCGAGAGAATGGAAGCCATCATCTACACGTTTGACGGTAAAGAGAAGGAGTTCGTGCCCCCATCCGTCCCCGGATCCGAGGAAGCTGGCAAGACAAAATCGGTGGGGAACTCAACCTACGACCCGTTTGTGTTTGCCGCGGTCAACAAATTGGCGATGCGCAAACTCCGCGAGGAACGGTACGATCTCTCTCTCACATTCACCAAGGACCACGCCAAACTCCCGGACTGGGCTACGTGCATGAGCGAGTCGGCAGAAATAAGTGATTGGATGCTCACAAAAGAACTCGTCGACGCGATCCAGGAAGCTGGTCCCGACTATTTCCAGTACCTTATCGTGACGGATCAACCTCAGGACAAGCCCGCCAACCTGAACGAAACGGCCCCGAAAAAGCGCCTGCACATCTCGCTTCGTCTCCCTTCCGACGGCAACTACCTCCCTACGCTGCCTCTGTTTGCTGTTTTCCTTCGCTTGCCCGATTTCATCGTCTCGCAGTCCCACCTTCGCCCCGAGGTGCTCAGGAAGATCACGGCGATCCGTGAGCAAGAAAAGACCAAGCTGAAGAAAATGTCGGACAAGGAGGCAGAAGAGGAGAGATTGAAACAACTGGACAAGATGAAGAAGGAGGAGAGGGAACGGAAGATGAAGGGGATGAGCGCGGAGGAGCAGCGGAAGTTTTTGGAAAGGGAGAACGAGAAGATGCGGAAGAAGCAGGAGAAGAAGATGACGAGGCGAGGCTGAGGACATTGCCTTGGACCATGTGCTGAGAGTGTGGAAGGACAGAGGCTTCATGACAAATGTGACAAGATGAGTGGCAGATCTTGGTCTTGTCTTGCTCTTTCTCAGTATATTCTTGCGGACATCAGCACCCCAGAAGTTTCTCGGTCTTGAATGTAAAAGCTGCACTTGCATTTTTGCCTGGATGGGCTTCCTGGTGAGACGTCGTATACTAGTGGTTCCTTTCCAGCTTCCAAAGATCGATGGTTGCGTTCTGTCAGCATCTTATCGAAAGACGTATGTATGTACCGAGTACAAATGATTACGAGTATGTACCCCAGATGGACCTTTTCCCTAAACGACCCAAATTATAAATATAGGGGCCTCAATAAGCGAGCGGCTGGGGTTGGCTGGTGGGCTGGTTGAGGCTGTGCTCGGGGCCTGAATACCAGCCCGAAACCAACGTTCTCTGTACTCCGCCTTGTCCGTCCTGTCCGTCTGGTCCACAGTCCGTCTATCCATCTCCATTGGGCACGTCAATCCTCGTTTCATGCTTGATTCATCCAGCTCAGTCTGAGACTCGTCGATCAGTTAGCCTCTCCGGCTCTGCCACCACCAAATCTATCTGGCCGCGCGGCTGGTGGCTTCTCGGTTTCATGCACAAGGCTTGTGAAAATGTCCAAGCCTCACTCGCTGTGACAACCATGCCTGCGGTCTTGCATCAAGGTTAGAAGCAGGCCTTCCGCACCTGTCCTCACCTTCTCCTTGCACTGTCTTTTGTTTGTCCTTTGCTTCCTGTCCACTCATTGGCGTGCTTCTTCCTGGACGACTTGACTGCTATTGCTGTTACACAGGTTGATCGAGATATCTCATCCAAGACGAGAAACGCTGTTAGCAACCACTGTCCGTGACCTCTCCCACCGTTGCAAAGATGCAGTTACGGTCTTTGCTGTCCTTTGTCTCCCTCCTCAGCCTGAGCGCTGCAGCATCAGTCGACGTATCGGTTGCAAGACGCCAATCGACCGCCTGCAACAACTCCCCCTCGCTGTGCTCGAAAGCCTATAATAGCATCGTCCACCTAGGTGCCCACGACTCGCCCTTCGTCCGGGACGCCACCACAGGCTTCTCGGCCTCGGGAAACCAGTATTACAACTCGACAGTCCAACTCTCAGCTGGTGTCCGTCTGCTTACGGCCCAAGTCCACAAGTCCAACGGAGAATACCACTTGTGCCACTCTTCCTGCGATCTGTTGGATGCGGGGATCCTGTCGGACTGGCTGGAAGAGATCAAGACCTGGCTGGATAATAACCCGAACGAGGTTGTCACCATCTTACTTGTCAACTCGGACAATGCCACCCCAGAGGACCTGGGGGCATATTTCACCACGGCCGAGATCACGAACTACGCATACGTCCCTCCTTCCACAAGCACGCCTCCCTCATCGGGGAGCTGGCCAACTTTACAAGACCTAATCACCGCGAATAAACGACTGATGGTCTTCGTGGCCTCCATCTCCGACCCTGCGTCCATTCCGAGCCAGTATGCCTACCTGATGGACGAGTTCACATTCATATTCGAAAACCCTTATGACAACACGTCCCCTAACAACTTCAGCTGCCTACCCGATCGACCAACCTCTGTTCAGGGAAACACCCAAGCCGCCATTGCCTCCAATCGCATGGCGTTCACCAATCATTTCCTCTATCAGGAGGGGCTGTTCAACATTGAAACCCCCAATGTGGACAACATCACCGTCACCAACTCGCCCGGCAACAGCCTTGGAAACCTCGGATACGCCTTGTCCCAATGTAACTCGGCGTACGGCAAGCCGTCTACATTCGTCCTGGTCGATTTCTTCGACCAAGGCCCCGCCATCGCTGCCGTCGACGCAATGAACGGCGTCACGAACCCCGTGGGCCGTGTCCCAGTGCCTCCAAGAAATACAAAAGAGAGCGTTAACGTGAACCAGTCGAGTTTCCAGGGCGTGATTGACCTCGTGAATGAAGTCAAAGATGGCCAAAAGCCCAAGCTAGGCGCGTGGATCTGGGCTGCTGGGCAATGGACATTCGGTGGGATCAATCTGAGTGGCGGTAACGTCTTCCAGAAGAAATAAGAGAGGCTCGACATGAGAAGGGGACCGAGGTTGAAGAGACTGACAGGAATGAACACAACTGAACTCTTCCGAAGGGATCTGTCTTGGCTTTTGATGGCCAGATGGCATATTAGCCTGGACTTTGGTCTCAGAACCACCTTCGGCTTGCGGCGGAGACAATTCGGCTTTGACCCATCACCACCACCTCCACCACCACCACACGCGCAACCATGCCTTGTGTCACCACAGACACAAATCTAGCGGTTTTCTGGGAAATGCAGTGTGGAACCAAGTTGACGGCACAGCCCCCCCGTCAAATCCGGCCCTCTAAAACAAAATTTCACGACGACATGGCAAATAACAGAACATGAGACGACACGACACTACACACGGCCGCCCAGTGCATATATTTTGTTTTTGTTTTTGGACATATTCTGAGTGGGAAAGCAAGTAAGCGAGATGTCCTATTGCGTCGGCACAGCACAGGCACGGGCGCGGCACAGGCACGGTTGGATATTGCGGTGCATTGCATAGCGACGGGCGTCTTCAAGAGTTTGGTCAAGGAAGGGGTCTGTCTGGATTATCATCATCCATCCAGTCAATTAGGATATGATCGGGTTTTTTGTCCGGAGAACCGAATTTTGGGCTATCAACTGGACGAATCCTGGAATGGATCGTGTTCGGGGAATCGAGATTGGAATAGGAATTCGAGTCCGAACCGGAAGGATCTCGATCTGGATCTGGATCTACCGAGTACTGTGGTATATATCCCTTGTAACGAGTCTTTAACGGGTCCATCCATCTACCAAGTACTTCAAAATTGCACAGTCATATCAGGATTGCTGGCTGGCTGGCTAGCTACACAGCAAGCTAGAACCCTAAATACTCCCCCAAATCGTCTTCTCCTAGTAAGATTCCCTAGCCTTCAACATCCTTCTTCACGGATTCACAGATTTCACAACCTCGCAAACACCCTCTTCAGCACCTCTCGTCCCTTGTACAGATTCTCCACCCTCATCCTCTCGTTATCCAAGTGCGCATTGTCGCTCGCCTGGCCCATGGGGAACATGGCGGCGGGGGCATCAAACTCGCTTTCCAAAAACGAAATCGCGGGGATACTACCGCCTTCGCGGATGAACAGGGGCTCTCTTGGAAGGGTGGACGGTGGGAAGAAGCCGGTCGTGGCGAGGGAGGAGGCGCGGCGGTGGGATGTGCGGGTCGGGACTTCTACTGCTGCTGCCGCCGCCGTTGATGATGATGAGGCCGCGGCAGACTTGGGGGTAGTGGATTTGGATAGTGTTGCTGCGACCCTCTCTGTTTCAGGCGTATTGTTGCCGCCAGCGGAAATCTTGAACGCTCGTTGCTGATGGGCTGCGATATCTGGATTCCAGACGTCGATGATGGCGTCCTTTAGGGCAGTGTAGATCTCGCTTTTCACATCGGCAAGCCAGGGATCTGCCTTCGACGTGATGGTGACGGTCAGAGTATTCGAGCTCTGTAGTTTGGCAAATTCGGCACGCAGATATTCTGTCAGGGACTGCGCAATCTGCTCGGCTGTCTGGGACGGGACTATTCGGATTGACAGTGTCGCCTTCGCAGAGCCAGAAATGGTGACGGCAGTCTTTGCTTCGGGCACTTCGATGCGGTGCACTGTCAGATTGGGATATCGCCACCGTTGCATGAGCGAGAGAGCGAAAGCCTTCTCATTCTTGATCTCTGGATGGCCCGGCAGGAAGGCCGAGGTGATGGATGCGTAGGCCTGTACTTCTGACTCAGACAGATCATCGACCGTGTCGTAGAAATCCGGAATTGTGACCTTTGTTCCAGAAGGACCGACAAGAGCAGCAAGCAAAACCGTGAGATCCTTGAGTGGCTCGTGCTGGACAGACTTGCCGTCCATCCCTGAATGCAGATCTGGTCGATTCGAAGTGACACTTACACTGGCATGAACAACTCCGCGCATGCCGAATGTGAGACAGGGAATGTGATCATCGAGCCAGTAACTATTGGATAGAAGAATGTAGTCCACTGGACCAATAGCGTCATGGGCAGATTGAACCGTCTGGCGAAAACCTCGAGAGCCAGCTTCTTCGTCGCCTTCAAGAAGAAACGTCACATTGCAGGACAATGAGTCGTGCTGGACTAGATCAGCCACAGCAAAGATGGCCGCTAAGATGGGACCTTTGTTGTCGGTCACGCCGCGACCGTAGAGATACGAGTTGAGTGGTTGAAGAACGAACGGATCCCCGTTCCACGTTGGATTTGAGCTGCTGGCATCAAACTCGGCGTCGACCACATCGTAGTGGCCGTAGAAAAGGATCGATCGCGTGGATTCGGTAGGTTTAGAGGCCGGAAATCTTGCGAGTAATATCGGATTGACACCTTGCTGAGGTGACAGGAGGCGGGTGGTCCCACCAAAGGCATTGCATTTTTTGCGGAGAAAGGTGACCGCTTCGTGACAGTCCCGAACACATATTGGGTTCAAAGCGACTGTACGGTACGCCACAAACTCTCGAAGGGCGTTGATGAGTTCATCTAGCCATTGTCAGCCTAACACAAGATGTTTGCACGTGGGTGGCAGGCTTACCATTGCTGCGTGCAGAAGCGGCTATGGAGACCTGAGAACCAGCTTTTCCGCTCCAAAAGGACAAAACGCTGTTGTTACCTCCCGTAGCGACCATATCATGATCAGGGGTTGTTGTCAACCCCATCGCTAGGATCTTTCCAGCAGTCGCTTGCCACGATTCGATCTCTGCGAAATGGTCGTCGTACCGCTGATAGACGTCAACGACTAGTTTCTCATTGAGTGATTGACTTACCTTGATCCATCCTTGGCTGGTACCGCACAAGATGCTCTCTGCACCTACCAGGATCTGACTGACATCGCCATGGCCCACCTGTAACTTTTGCACGAGTTGGTTTGATGCAAGATTGTAAATGTGAGCAACGCCATCCGACAAGCCAGCATAAAGGAACGAGCCTCTGTATGAGAGGCTCAACACATTAGAGTCTGCATTTTTGAATTTTGTGATCTGTTTCGGGCCAGATTCAGAGAGATCATCAATCGACCAGAGCTTGATGGTTCCGTCGCCACCACCGGTGATGAGGACTTCCTCATCCCTGCCACGAGTAAAGAGCCCTTTTACCAGTAGCATACTGTAAATGTAGCTTTTGTGGGCATAAGGCAGATAGTTGCTGCTTGGGACGGTTAAGACGCGACCACCCAGGCTGTTACGTCCACTGGTTGCAACTTCTTCATCGGCAATGACATTGGCTATGCCTCCAGGTCCCAAGGAATCGAAGAATCGATGTTTGCGGGAACCTGGTGAAAAGTTCAACACGGGAGACTTGGCCGTGGCGTCGGTGCTGAGCCTGTACCATTGAATGCTGGCATTCTGGGCGCCCCAAAACAGAGTCTGGATCTTGGTTGAATGGGCCACGCAGAAGACATCTCCGATTTCAAAATGCGAATAGAGAGAATGCAGTCTCTGTAAAGACTCGGTGGACCAGACATTGACAATGGCATCGGCACCAGTGGAGAACAGGAGCGACCTGTCGTCGGAGAGGGCGAGGCTCAGGACACTCTCTTTGTGGGCAGGGACAGTAGCCAGCAGCTCGTACGTCTCGAGAGACCAAACAACGATGCTGCCTCCTTGGGTGCCGGCAAAGATGACATCGTCGTCGACAGCAAGCGCCTGGACACTGCCAGGCGCTTTGATCTGATGGAGAGGGTGTTTGACTGGTGCCGAAGGAGATGTCACTGAAGTCGACGCAGGCTCGTCGGGTCCAGGGGTACTGGCCTCGTCCGAAGGTTCAACGGCTTCGGATTCGCTTGAAGCCGTGGAATGTGATTTGTGAGGTGACCCGTTCTGCTTGCCCGAATCAGTTGGGGCCATGGAAGAGACTAAGTAATATCAGATGATATGGAACAGAAGAGAAGACAAGGGCAGTCAATGGAGATGGTCGGGAGCTCGCACCTCCGAGTCGTCTCCCCAACGCCACGGACTTGGGCGCAGCTGCGGCGGCGGCTGCGGCTCACTGTCGCCGATTTGGCACATTGTCGCACCACGCTTAACAAGCTCATCGACAGCGACCTTTGTGCTATTCCCTCAGGTGACGACATTATAAATCCATCTTGCTCCTACTTTAAGGAACCCTTGCGCACGGTTAGAGCAAAAATCCAAAACGAGTTTGTCCAGCATCCAACCGAAAATTCTGAGCACCACGCACTTTCGCCTCTTTCGCCTGGTCGATGGCGTGATCGCGCATCAGCTCGCCAACAGCCTCGCCATCAACTACCAGGACAACTGCAATTCTCAAAATGACCTTTACCTTCACGCAGCCTTCAGCACTCGGCCCCTTCAAGCCGACTCTAATTCTCCACGGGGGTGCCGGCTCCCTCTCCCGTGCAAATCTTCCCCCAGACCTCTATGCTCGTTACCGGACCTCCCTGATCAGATATCTTACAGTGACCCGTGATTTACTCAACTCGGGCACACCCGCGCTTGACGCCGCATGTCATGCGGTTGCCTTGTTGGAAGATGATCCCTTGTTCAACTGCGGTCGTGGATCCGTCTTTACGGAGTCTGGAACCATCGAGATGGAAGCGAGTGTGATGGTTTCGTCGGTTGATCCCGCTGGGCCTCCTGCTGGCGGAATCAAACGGGCCGCTGCTGTCAGTCTCATCAAGAACACGAGACATCCAATTCTGCTCGCCAAGGAGGTTCTCTTGGAAGCAGACGAAGACGGTGGCTTGGGCGGCACGAGCACGATGCATTGCCAGCTGAGCGGGAGAGAGCTTGAGGAATGGGGTTGGAGGGAGAGGGCTCTCGAGAAGAAACCAGACCGTTGGTTCTGGACCAAAAAGCGCTGGGAGGAGCATAGGAAAGGCCTTCACCACGACGACACCTACTCGTTCAACAATCTCGTTGCCTCGCTTGATGCATATTCCGAGTCACCCTTTGAAGACGACGACTCCGAGGTGGATGAGATTCCGAGTCAAGGCACCGTCGGAGCCGTGTGTCTGGATTCTTGGGGCAATCTCGCCGTGGCAACATCGACCGGAGGACTCACCAACAAGAAAGCTGGGAGGATTGGTGACACGCCGACCATCGGGGCCGGATTTTGGGCAGAAGCCTGGGAAGAAGAATCCGTTAATGTGCCCCAGGTTCGACCAAGACCGTCTTCCCGCAGAACTTCAGGACTCGGCAAACTCCCCGTCCTAGACCAAATCCTGTCCCAGGCAAACGAGTCCTTGGGGTCTTGCCTCAATCCATCCCAACCAGAACATCCCTATCAACCGCTCACCGGAGCTCCTCCAGTATATTCCCCCTCAACAACTGCCTCATACCAACCGTATCCATCCCCTCCCGTACGACATCCCTGGTCATCTTCCACCCAACCAATTCGAAAACGTCGTCGCGCCGTAGCAATGAGCGGTACCGGCAACGGGGATTCCTTCCTCCGTCTCAACGCCGTGCGCACCGTCGCCGCACTTTGTCGCCTCTCAGGTCCGCCCTCCGTATCGCTCGCCGATGCAGTCAGAACGGTCACAGGCCCCAATGGCGAACTGCAACGCTCGGCCGGTGATCGCTGGGGACGGACCGGCGAAGGCCAAGGCGGCATCATCGGAATTGAAGTCATTGATGAGGAGCATGAGGAAGAAGACCCTCAGCCATGGGCGGCGGATGACTGCAAGAAGCGAACAACCGAGTGGGGAGTGTCCTCCTCCAAGAAGAAGAAGAGGGGCCACGTGGTGTCCGCCTTCAACTGTGGCGGTCTGTTCAGAGCGTATTACGAACTTGACGAATCGGGCGTCGAGATGCCCAAAGTCATGGTCTTCCATGAGGAGTACTGACTGACTGCCAATCTATACACGTATACAATGAACGGGCGACCGACTGATGGGCAGCGGCCAGAAGAATAATCCAGATTTAGATTTAGATTTAGATTACTCGTATAATGATAATCATGATCTAGGGCAACATTTGTCATATAGACTGTGACAAGATGAAATGGAAAGAAAGAGCCGCAGCGCGAAAATGATTGATGGACACGAGACATAATGACTTATCGTTTTCTAATACCAAAGATAGATTAGATTCTTCCCTGCCATATTCCTCCCTTTCTTCTATTCTTCCGAAGACCCGACTTGAGAGACATTGTCGCAAGAGGGCCTTCTAATCATCGCTCATGACGTTCCTCTATGTACAAACCGCGGAGCTGTGGTTACATATTTCAGCTCCCCCCTTCTCCTTACGTCTCTTTGCTTGCCACTCCGGAAAGCCTCGAGCTGGCCGGGTCACAGACCAGTTCATATGATGACTCTCTACCTCTCGCTTTGGTAGTTCACTTTCGGCCGACACTTCGCCTTTCGTGCTCATCTGCAATGTCAATGTCGACACCAGCTGTGAAGAGAGCGTCTCTGCCCTAGTTACATGCGTGCGTTGCGCCACTCGAATTGGGATTTCTCGCTCATGAGAACCCAGTTGTAGGGCTCATTGGAGCCTGGTCGAGGATGAACGGAGAGACGGAGGAGGAGAGAGTTGATGCTGAAACGGCTCCATAGTCTCCGGTTTTTGTCGAAGCAAGGCCGAATTCTCTGCCATCCAGATGTTCTGAAGTCCTTCCGGATTGATGGCATCGACGGCACCTCTTTTGCTTATAAAGAAGATCGGGCTGCGTCACGCAATGATCTTCAAGGCGAGACAAGATCGAATACAAATCTAAAACTAGATTAGTATTCCAGCGTTCTTTTCATAGTGTCGTATATTCCTATGCATAATTAGTCCCTGAAATTCTGCGTGACCTGCTGCCGAACGATGGACTTACTCGCAACGTCTGGAATGTTAAATTTCTCAAAGATCAGCCCCGGATGAGTACTCCAGCCCGTTACTCTGGCGACGGGAGCCTCCAGTCGAAGGAACGCCCCTTCTTGTATACTTGCAGCGACTTCGGCTCCGACGCCTGCATTGTACATGCTCTCGTGCACAACAACTGCGCGACCCGTCTTGTTCACGCTTTCCATGACAGTGGCTCGGTCCCAGGGATAGATGGTCCTCAGGTCGATGAGCTCGATGGTGAGACCCTTGATTTCCTTCTCCAAGGCTTCAATGGCAGCGGAGCAAAGGTACAACGGTTGGCCGTAAGCGATGACCGTGAGATCTTTGCCTTGCTTTAGGACCTCGGCTTTGTCTAGTGGTAGAGTATATGGGTCGCTTGGAACAAATTCCTCGGCAGCGCGGTAAAGGACTTTTGGTTCCATGAAGATGACTGGATCGTGGGAGTGAAGGATAGACGCGGTGAGCAGTCCCTTGGCCTGGCTGGGTGATCGAGGCATGATAACCCGGAGACCGGGGACGTGGGTGAATAGCGATTCTGGACTTTGCGAGTGGTACAGGGCGCCGTGGCCAACGCTACCGCAGGGCATTCGCACAACCAACCCTCCACAGTTGCCCCCCGTTGCGCCTTCTCTGTATCGGAATTTGGCTGCTTCGTTGACCAACTGATCAAACGCTGGAAAGACGTAATCTGCAAATTGGATTTCCGCAACGGGTTTCATGCCTTCAGCCGCACAACCAATGGCAAAGCCCACAATCCCTTGCTCAGAGAGCGGAGTGTTGAACACTCGACTGGTGCCGAACTCATCTGTCAAGCCCTTGGAACAGCGAAATACACCACCGAAAGCCACGTCTTCGCCGAACAGGAGCACATTCTCATCGCTCTTCAAAGCATGATGTAGGGACGCGTTGATGGCGCCATGCAGGTTCACCCAATCGACCGGAGCATCTTGAGAGAGCCCATAGGCAGTCCGGGCGCTGTTCTGTGATTGGTGAAGGACGGCCGTCTTTTTAAAGTCGATGGGCTTGTTCAAACGAGCTTCGGACGATACTTGACTGGCGTGTCGAAGCTGGTTTGCCGGCTTCAATGCTCTGAGAACCGCGTTGACCCTCCGACCAGCAAACATATTGGAGGCACGACAAGCGTATTGAGTTGTGTCAGAGCAAAATGAGAAGGGAAGCCAGACATTATGAAGGGGCTTCTTGGTAGATGGTGGAAGCCGACGATAAGCGCAGCTGGGCGGCGTTTGTAGCCGTCTCCGGACATCGGCAAGGGGGACTCAGAGCACGTGGAGAGCCTCGCGCAAGTTTCCCGATTCATTGGGACCATGACGCGGTACCAGGTACAGCGTCCAGTGGGGGACGAAGCTTGCTTTGCTTGGTAACGAGTAGATGCGCCTCTTGCTACTCGGTAGCTACGCAAGCTTTCAACATCGTCGAATAGGCATTTAGTAAGTTCAGGCTTCACCAGCCGCACCACGCCGCTCCATCCTCCTCCTCCACGCAGTTCCCTCTCCGCCAATCATTTCTCCATTCCACACAACGCAGATCTACAGGAACTCACCTTCAACCCCCTCACCTTTGTTCTTTCCGTTACTGTCTTTATCTGTACTCTTCAAAAAGACCAGACACTGCATTCACCTTAGAGGCTAATACAAAAGAAAGCCCAGAAACCTCACCGATCACGCCGGGCAGCGAATCGAGCAGAGCCGAGCCGAAGCATTCTCCCAGTCGAAGTTGAAAAGCTACATTCATCTGCGAAGATGTCGGAACCAGCATAGCGGACCTGATCAAACTATGCAACCACAAAGAACAAACCCCTCCTTGTCTGTGCGGCCCATCGTCTTAGGGCTCGCCAAAATCTTGTTCCTCTCCCTTGGGCAGGTACCCATCGTTCGAGCCGCCCCGGTCTACGCCGCGAAACTATTCTCTGTCGCCGAAGAACAGGAAGGGAAAGACCCCGATGACCCGAGCCTATGGATGTACTTGACTGTGGCCGCAGTGCTTGTTTTGTTGGGAGGGGCCTTTGCTGGGTTGACGATCGCGTTGATGGGACAGGTGAGTCAAACACAGGGAAGATACATTACGCAGGCACTGATACTGGGTCAAAGGATGAAATATACCTACAAGTCATCAAGGATTCTGGTGAAGGAAAAGAGAGGGCGCATGCTGCCAGGGTGCTTAAGTTGCTCCGGAAAGGAAAGCATTGGGTCCTGGTCACATTGTTGTTGAGCAATGTCATCACCAACGAAACTCTTCCCATCGTGCTAGATCGGTCGCTGGGTGGTGGGTGGCCTGCCGTCCTGGGATCGACCGTCTTAATTGGTATGACCCCCTTCAGCTGACCCTGCCGTCCCATGTTGCTAATTTTCTGCGCAGTCATTTTTGGTGAAATTGCTCCTCAGTCCGTCTGTGTTCGTTATGGCCTCCCGATCGGCTCCTGGATGGCGCCATTCGTCCTGATCCTCATGTACATCTTGGCCCCTGTGGCATGGCCAACCGCTAAACTGCTTGACTATCTCCTCGGTGAAGATCACGGAACAGTATACAAGAAAACCGGGCTGAAAACATTAGTGTCGTTACACAGGAGTCTTGGAGAAGCCAGTCAACGGCTCAATGCCGATGAAGTGACAATAATCAGTGCAGTTCTCGACCTAAAGGACAAGCCGGTCGGTAGCATCATGACGCCAATGGACGACGTCTTCACTCTGTCCCTCGACGATGTTCTAGACGAATCCACCATGGACGACATTCTGTCACAGGGCTACTCGAGAATACCCATCCACCACCCAGATAACGACTCCAACTTTGTGGGCATGTTGCTAGTCAAAATGCTCATCACATATGATCCAGAAGACGCGAAGCCTGTCCGGGACTTTGCTTTGGCAACTTTACCAGAGACTCGCCCTGACACTAGTTGTCTGGACATTGTGAACTTCTTTCAGGAAGGCAAATCCCACATGGTCCTTGTATCAGAGTTTCCTGGAGAAGATCACGGCGCCCTTGGTGTGGTAACCCTGGAAGACGTCATTGAAGAGCTGATTGGTGAAGAAATCGTGGACGAATCCGATGTGTTTGTCGACGTGCACAAAGCCATTCGACGAGCCATGCCTGCACCGACCAGGCGTATCCCAAAGACGTATTTCCTTCCGGATGAACCCTCGACTATCAATGGCGCCGGCCCAGACCTGGCCAATATAGACGAAAGTGAAATACTCTCACCCGAAGACTTACAGAGAGCGAAGACTGCGGATCATCCACCGCAGAAATCAAAAGGCCTGGTCGCTGCTAGAAGACGCTCGAGCGCAGGAAATAGCGCGACTGGAGACAGCAAGGCTGGACGAAGAGGCGCCAGCACAGATGAGATCAAGGAGCATCTGAAGCACCTTGGGCCGTCCAACCTGGCGAGTAGGCCGAGGTCGACACGGTATAACACTGTCAAGATCAAGCCAGGCAACAGCACAGCGTCCAAGGAGGATGAAACTCGCGTGACCCCGGTTCGCCGGATCTCTGAAAATGTTTCGGAATATCAGAGTGGCATTGGTGAAGGCATGCTCAGCTCGGGTGGTAAGGTTGCCAGTGGTGGCGTGCAGGCCTTAAAACAGGGGTATGGCTCTATTTCGGGTTCACCGAATGAGAGGAGGCTGCACCATACAATCCAGACGGAATCAGCACACGAAGAAGAAGATAACCATCATGATGCTGGAGCAAATGACGTACAACAATCCAGACCGCTTGCGAGGACGCTTGAGAGCCAGAGCACCATTGGTAGCTTGCCCGATTCACGAACTCCATCAAGAAGCCCATACTACCACTCTAAGGGTCCAGCCCGAAGTGGTAGTATCACAGAAAACATTGTCGACACTAACGGTTTCCGAAAGATTGTGCTTGAGATGACGTCAAGCAGCGAGTCGAACGAGGAAGAAGAGAACTCAGGGGCCAACAAAGGACATCACGGGTATGATGAACGCAAAAACCTATCTGGAGTGAAAATACGAGGCGGCAGCAATGAACATGTTCATGAACCCCATGATGACAACTCGAAGAAGAAAAAGCGCCGACGACGGAAGCATGGCCATGGAAGCGGAAAAGGGGAACGTGAGCCACTGTTGGGCGACTAGTAGAGCTGGTGGCCACTACGAAAAAGGAGGGCAACATGGTGATATTGTTTCGATCGCGCTGCCTTCGATATTCGGTCTGGACCATGTATTCTCAGAAAGGACACAGAGCTGACGCCAAGGGTACATTGTGAGACTGAGAGCAAAGGTCTGGCCGAAACAGGGTGAGAAATTGACTTCACTTGCTCTGAATAACAGTCTTCATTCACTAGACTGTTCATTCACGGCCTTGGGTTCAATCACCACAATAACAACACGACACGCTTGTAAGTCTTTGAAAAATCTTTCTCTTTCTCATTTTGTTTTCATTGCCTTGGTCTCTTTACCCTCCTTGCTCCTCCTGTGTCTGTTCGTACTCCTCCGTTGCCTCTTCGTGGCCCTGCTTTGTCTCTTTCTGCCCCTCCTTTGTCTCTGTGTGCTCCTCCGTTGTCTCCCCCTGCACGCTTGTTGGCGTTGAGGCACGACACCTATTCAAGGTCGCCAAAAGACACCTTTTCAAAATCACCGCGCAGACACACTTCACCATGGAGCCCCAGATAGACAACGCTTTCGCCATCCGCGGGTATATCAGAGCCGCCAGAGCCCAAACCACAGAAGATGACGTCGAATTTTTCAAGTATACGCTCATCAAACTCTGCCTCCTCTTCTTCGTCTACCACCTCGGTTGCAATGAAGTCCTCTCCTCGTTTTACCAGACCTTGGAGAACCCCAGAGATGGTCTCCCAAAGCTGAAGACCTCGGCGTCGACTTACCTCCAAAATGTCATAAACACCATTAAAGCTGGCTTCCTGTTGCTACTTATGGCACAGGTATTGGGCGTACCTGGAACCACGACCGTGTGTTGCGGCCTGCTCGTGTTCTCTTTTCTGCAAGAATGGCGGCCCGCCAGGGCAAGAATTTTCAATATCCTCACGCCAATTTTATCCAGCTTCCTCCACGAGCTTAAGGACTGCCTTGAACCGATCGCCCTTGGTGTGAGACTGGTGGTCCTCGTCCACAGACTATACTGCATCATCTGGCAGTTCGGCGCCTACATCGTCAACAGTCTTCCTTGGCACACGCTCAAGGATACTGTTCTCCCAGTCACTTGCCTGGCCTTCAGATATCCTTTCTTCGCTTTTGTCGGTTTTGTTTTAGAGCTCAAATTTCGGATGAGCAGGGGTCGAGAGGACCTTAGAAAAGCGTTGAAGGAGAGAGACGAGCTCCGTGAGGAGGTAGGGCGGCTTAAAGAAGACAATACAGCTCTGCGACTCCTGCAGGCGAGGCCCAAAGACAATCAAGGAGTTTGGATACGTGAGCGGCCGTCCTCTTCAGGACAACAGCACTCGCTCCAGCTCGAGCAACTCCGCAAGCATCGCCGGCAGAGTCAGGCGGCACACAAGCAAAGCCAGCGATGGCAGAAGTTGTTTGAAGAGCGCCAAGCCCGTATCGACGAGCTCGAGGCCATCGACGCCGACGTCGAGGCTCGCGTCCTAGCTGCCACCGCTCACAGAGATGAACGCATCCGAGCCTTGGAGGCCGAGATGAGGACCGCAGCCGCTTCGGCGGCTTCGGAAGTCAATGCCTTGACGTCGGCTCTTGAAGCTGAGAAGGCTAAGTCTGGCAATCTCGAGTCTCTCCTGGATTCTGAGAGGGTGGTCTCTCAGGGACTAGGTCAGGATGTTGCTGTGCTTCGGCGCGCGAGCGACGAAGCGTCAGCACTCCTCGACAAGGTGAGGATGGAGTCGGCTGAGGCCAAGAGAGCGGCTGCGGGCCTAGTTCGCCAACAGAAGGACGCTGAGATCAGCGTCCTGAAGCAAGAGCTGGCAGAGGCACAGGCCGACGCCGACGCCGCCGCGGTTGTCGTCGCAGACACCGCAGAGATTGGTGTCCAGACCGATCTTCCTGCTGAGGCATCTCCGGTGATCAAGACGGTAGATGTCAATGACGCAGGCACTCAGACCAAGTGCATCGGTTTGGACATCCAGTCTCAGCTCGACGCGTCCGCGAACTGTGAGTCCAAGCTCCTGGAGACGAAGAAAGCCCTCGAGGAAAGAGGCAAGGAGCTGTTCGACACCAAGAATGCTCTCGAGCAGAGAGGCATGGAGCTCGCCAGTTTCCAGCACGCATGGAAGAAAACCTCAGACTCCCTCATTCAGTGCAATGAGCATCTTCAAAGAACCCTAAAGGAAGCAAGCGAGCTGCGTTCATGCAACAACCGAGGCAACCATCAGTTGCAGCTGACCCAGCGAGAGGTCCAGCAGCTCAAGGAAACATTGGCCATCCGCGAGGAGCAAGCCAACAGTCTCATGAACCAGCTTCAGCAGTGTCAGAAGAGGGATCAGCAGCAGCAGCCGGTTACTCAAGAAGTTCAGTACTGGAGAGAACGCACGGAAGCAATCTCAAATGAGATGACAAGACTGCGAGCCGAGCACGTGGAGGTCAAAGGAAAACTGGAAGAAATCCAGCAGAGACTCACGGCCGGCGCCAGCCAGTTCCATAAACTGCAGCGAGACACGACGCAACAATTAGAGGCAAAAGAGAAACGGGAGAAACAATTGGAGGCTGAACTCGCGCGCCACAGAGACGCGCAGCGACTGGATTACAACAGCCAAGTTGAAAGCCTCCAAAAGCAGGTCGTGATCAAAGATGAAGAGATCCGTGGTCTCCGACGGCAGCTTGATCAACAAAACATGGCTGCGGAAGTGGCAGTGAGCACCCCTAAATCTGACAGGATTGGTGTGTCTCCCTTCCCGACGCCAACAAGGACTCCGATCACGAAGGTACTTGAAAACACCATCCTAGAACATGAAAAGGACAAGAAGAGACACGCCCTTGAAAAGGAGCAGTTTGAACGAAGAATCGCGGCGCAAGCCATAGACATCGTAACACTTCGGAATATGAACGATCGACTGGAGGAAGAGAACGAGAGCCTGGAGGACGAGAACCAGAGACTGCAGGCCGAGATCAAGAAGCTCCAGGACCAAATTGAAGGAAATGCCATGACTGTTGGCTTTGCTGAAGCGTTCCTCGAAGAGGACAAAGAGGAGATTAAACAAGCCCAAGAGGAGGCTGAAAGTTGGAAGACGCAGTACGACGAGGTGCAGGCGTCAGTGCAGAATATGCAACTCGATCTGCAATTCAAGGAAGGCCAGGTGGACGCGGCACGCATGGAAGCAGACTTGTACAAGACACAGGTACAGAACCTGCAAGTACAACAAGCGCCCACACCGCAGCCTGATCACCTCCCGTCGTTGCGGCTAAGGCCAAACAAGCGCATCGCGAGCGAAGGCCTCAAGGAGGAACTCAATCAACCAGGGCAGGAGAGAAAGAAGATCATGGCAAGAGGTCATTACCAAGGTCAGCCACCTGAAGCTCGACGCCCACAAGTTCCGATGGTCCAACCCTCTCAAGTGCAAACATTCCAATCTCAATACCGGCCAAATCCCCTCTTTCCCCGAGCGCAGGGAATTCCGCTGCAGCTTCCACAGATACAGGTCACTCAACCCCAACAGGCGCAGGTCACGCAGACCGCGGGGCAGGAAGATGAAGAAGCCGAAGAGAACATAGATGGCTCCTCCATCATCTCGGAAGAAGGCTGAAGCGCGGCACAGAAACCGTTACACAGAAATCTCAGGCCCTACAGAAGCAATCGCAAGGCGTTCAAGAAAGAACAGCCCATTCAGATTTACGAAGGACCAGAAGGAGTCAAGGTGGACTCGGTGGAGGGTTATGGGATATTCAGAGTGATGCAGATCTGTCGCAAGTCGACAAGTAGTCACAAGGCATTCGAAGAAAAGAGTGCATGGATCAGACAAATGGACACATGAGAGTCGATATGGACTCGACGGAGGATCAGGGGATATGCAAACCCGAAACGAGATGTATCGCAAGTCGACAAGCGATGACGAGGCATTCGAAGAAAATAGAGCGCACTCCGAAATCAGTCAAATAAATCACCGGATCGACAGGCCACCAGCAATCACGAGGCATTCCAAGAAAAGAGTGCGCTCAGAAATCACAACCCGGCAAGCAGTCGACGACGAGGCATTCAAAGACAAGAGTGCACTCAGAAACCAGTGAAAGAATCATGGATCGACGATGACGACAACACCCAGCCACAAGACATCCTAATAAAAGGGGTGTATAGGAAATCACAAAGCATTCAAAGAAAAGAGTGCATTCAGAAACCAGTGAAACCACAAAGAGTCACAACAGACTCGGAGGAGGAATGGGAATATGGGACCACACACCACAGATCATACAAGCTGGCAAAGGCAAAGGTAAAGGCAATCGGCAACAAGGGGCATTGGCATATAATCAGTGAACAAAGAAAGGTCACGGATTCGGCAGGCATATCAAATCAAAAAGTTTTGATAGAGACAGAAGGAGTAGAGCTGGCTGTAATCGCTCAGATGCATCATGAGTGGGTCGGTGTACCAAGAGATGTACGAAAGAGTCAAGAACGGACTGGGCGGAGGATGTACAGGGAAAGGGAAAGGAAAGCAAACCCAGATGCTGATACTCGGTTGAGAAGATGATGAAGTGAGTGACTGATTGAATGTCTTGATTACCTGCCTTGATGATGCTCAGTGCTCGGTGCTCAATATGAGAGCCAGCGAGCAGCAAGCCAGCCAGCCAGATAGACCGAAAAGAAAAGAAAGGAATCAAAGATCTTTGGATCAACGTGGCACTTCTGTTCCTCTCTCGCTGTCGCCTCGCCTTGTCGCAGGTGGTCTGGACGGGTGGTTCGGTACCTCTGGGCTACTGGTGACCTTTCAAGCTTCGGCAGGACTAACACTCTGCCTTGACTCTGACAGTGAGTGACAGGTTTGAAAAGCGCATTCCGTCGATAAAGCGCGCGTGCTCGAGAGTCGAGAGTGAAACACGCGCCGGAGTTGTGAAAAGCTCATTCTCCATTTCATCCCATCTGTTCCCCCATCCATGAATCCATCCGTCCTTCCCTCCCTTCCTTCCATCCACGCTTCCACCTTTGTTCGCCCTCACCCGAGACAAGATAAAGAGACAATACCGAGCCACAAGACGGGCAAGTCAAGTTAAGTCAAGTCAGAAGTCAACTTACTTAAGTCACCCAAGTCGATTCCCACCGCCGTCGCCGTCGCCGCCGACGGATCTACTTACTTTCCGAACCCGCCCTCGAAATCCCCTCGTGTGACCCTCTCTAGATTGATCGCCGCGGACACGTACGCCAGGTGGCTGAATGCCTGCGGCGTGTTGCCCAGCTGTTCGCCAGATAGCGCGATTTCTTCGCTCAGCATGCCTACACAGGAAAGCGCAGCAGCGCGCAGGAAGTCAGGTCAGGTCAGGTCAGGTCAGGTCAGGTCAGGTCAGGTGGAGATATACCGGGGGAAAAAAAATGAAGTAATATGGTGGGAAGACAAAAGAGAGGCAGAATTGGTGAGCCTCCGAAGGAAAATTGTGGACAGAGGCCTAGTTACAGACGGGTGGGTTTGGAATGGTTTCGCTCCCAGGACGGGCTTCTGACCTCAGAGCACGGGAAGAACGTCTGTGGTGAGGAATGCCAGACCGAAAGAGTCACTTACCGACGTGATTGCGAAAATTCGTGACCGTTTCAAACATGGTGTTCGCTAGGTCGAGGTACTTGGAGTCATATTTTGCCGCGCGGATCAGGGACTCGATGAGCCACAATGTGCACATCACGAATGTGCCTTCGCGGCCACCGACGCCTAGCACTCAGCAGCGTCAGCATCGACAGGTGGTTCATGAAAAGTGCGGGGGATAAGGTAAGAGGCTGGATACCCACCGTCATCAGTCTGCTCGTGATCATACCGAAACACAAACCCAGCGCTCGTGAGTCCCCCTTTTTCCGGCGTCCGCAAGATCCGGTCCAACGTGCCCACAAACTGCGGATCATTCGGACTCATGAAGAACACGAGTGGCGCAATCAACACCGCGGAATCCAACGTCGTGTTCGACTCGTAACTCTGCACGAAGCTATTCATCTGATAGTTGAATCCTTTCTGCATCACCTCCTCATAGATCGTATCTCTCGTCTGTAGCCATTTGTTGCGATTGGGACAGGGGAAGTTCCTCTTCTCGGAGAGACGAAGAGCACGGTCTACAGCGACCCACAGGAGAATTTTCGAGTAAGTGAAATGCTGCTTGGGGCCGCGGACCTCCCAGATAGACATGTCTTGTTCGGTCCAGACTTCGCAGATAAAGTCGGTGAGGTAGCGGATGTCAAGCCACTGGGCATAGAAGATGGGCTTGCCGTGTTTGTTGAACAGGTAGATCGAGTCCATGAGTTCGCCGTAGATGTCAAGTTGGACGTGGTCGGTGGCGGCGTTGCCGATGCGGACGGGAAGGCTGTCTTGATACCCACTGAGATGGTCGAGCGTGAGTTCTGGCAGACTCGTCGAACCGTCGATGCCGAACATTAGAGGGAGGTGGTGCCTCTCTCCGGCAGATGCTTCGGCGATCTTGCGCCATTCGGCAATGCGGGCAAAAATGAAGTTGATATAGGCTTCGGCTTCGGCCGGAAAGCCCATTTTGAGGAATACGTACACGGTGAAGCTGGCGTCCCGGACCCAGGAGTAGCGGTAGTCCCAATTTCGTGGCCCGCCTATGGCCTCTGGGAGGGAGAAGGTCGGTGCCGCGACAATTGCGCCTGTAGGGTCATATGTCAAGAGTTTGAGGACGAGCATGCTCCTTTCGACTTCTTGCTGGAAGCGCCCGCGGTAAAGGCACGCACGCACCCAGCTTGTCCAGAACTTGTAGGCCTCATTCTCGAGGTTCTTTACAAGATCGTTCGTGAGATGTGGAGCGACGTGGCGATTGCACATGATCATGAAGATCTGTTGGCCTTCTTGGAGGTCGAAGCGGGCGCGGAACGATCGTGGTTTGCTGTCAGTGTTGACATCTTCGCTGAGCTTGATCGGCTGGAACATTTTTGGTGGTCCATTGACCGGTCGGTCGTGGGTGCAGTATGTAGCGTGGAATTCTGGGATGTCGCCGCACCCATCCCTTTTCTTGTCGTCGGGAACCCAGGCAAGGGACTGGTGATAGGTGCCATCCTCGCTCTTGACTTCAGAGACTCGCATGGAGCCCTTGTGTCGTGCATAGTCAGGTCGGGGACACAGTTCGATATAAATGGACATTTTCCCACGGACGCACTCTAGCTTCCTCACCAGGGTAGACCCGCTCCATTTCTCTCTGAGGACTTTGTTGTGTTTGGATACGGCAAAGAAGTCAGTGAGATTGACCACGCCACCTTCGTCAATCCACTTTGTTTGAAGAAGGTTAGAAGATGTCCGATAGTTCTGTTTGCACACTGTACTGCTTTGCGGGCTGATCTTCCAATGCCCCCCGCCGCCTTTGGTTGTGTCAAGGATGTTGGCGAAGATAGATGGGGAGTCAAAGTGAGGCCAGCACATGAAGTCAATGCTTCCATTCTTGCCAACCAAGGCGCAGGTTCGCATGTCACCGATGAGCCCATAGTCTTCAATCTGGAGGGGTTTCGCATGTCGCGACATTTCACCCATGATGAAGCCAAACGGGTTATGGTATCTGGGACGAGGGTGAAAGAGTTAAGGAGAGAGATGGCAAAGAGGGATTGAGACTGGCAGATGAACAGGGTGCCGAAGCAAAAAGGAAGAATCTGGGGGGGGGACAGCTCGAACCGTCGAGAGTTTCGCATTGGATCACGGGGACATACCAAAAGAGACAAATACGGATGACTAAGGAGGGAGGGCAGAGTGGTAGAGTTGACGCCCAACACCAAAACTAGTGCTTGCTATTTGCCTGATTCATCAAGTCACACTGGCCTGCTACATATTTTTCATTGGCACGCAGGATGAAGTTATCTTTCGACTTGATATTGGTTGAAATCCGTGGCAGTTCATGTATCTCATTTGAGGTTGTTGTTGATAGACACTTTATGTAACAAGGACATACTTGTTAGTGGCTCGGATAAACCGTTCCGGCGCTAGAGTATGTCCAGTCACGTGAACGCCCAAACTGGTCTATTTGGACTGTTATGGGCTTAGCAGCTGACTTGCTGACACCAGATCTCCATATCACCCCTGTCTCTCAATCAAGTGCGACCCTCATTTATCACGAGCCATCATCTTCATCCATACCCGCCATATCTTGTCAGTTGTTCCCATCTCTCTCTCTCTCCATTCTTACTCTGGGCCTCAGGCTACCAGCCATTCGTTCATAGTCCGCCGCTCTTTCCACCCTGCGTCGCTTTCCAATGACTTGAATCCCCTCTTCCATATTCTCACTTGCCTGCCACGTCTCACGCCATTCCCATGGACACGACTCCCTACAGTGACCGCGCTTCGAGACCTGCTGTCGCTCCACCTACGGCTACCACTGACGAGGACTCCCTGTTCATAAATCCTCGTCGTAAGTACAAACGGCGAGGTACCGGCTCCATCTCCGACACCAAAAGCGAAGGCTCAGAAGATGAGGCAGGCTCCTCCATGTCGGAATCAGAAGAACACGAATTAGGGCTGCTGGACTCAGACGTGGACGCCGATGATGATGATGGAGAAAGTGGCTTGAACCAACATGAAAGACGCAAATACATCAAAAGAAAGAGGCGGCGTGACGGGCTGGATGCGAGAATTGCTGGCACAACCGGTTTGTCCAAAGACGAGGCCCGAGAAGCAGACAAGAACGTCGTCCGCAATCTGGTCATCAACGCCGTCCTCATCGGCCTGTGGTATTTCTTCTCTCTGTCCATATCCATTGTGAGTCTCGAGTGATCCTATTTCTGGCAACCACTGACCAGCTTGGCAGTACAATAAGATGATGTTCTCCTCCGATCACCTCGATTTCCACTTTCCGCTCTTCGCAACCTCGCTGCACATGGTTGTCCAATTCATCTTGGCCTCTTGTATCCTGTTGATATTCCCCTCCTTACGACCGTCTCAACCCCATCCTCCAGGATACGGAAACGAATCGCACTCCTCCAAACCACTTGTCACTCCTCTATTCTATTTTACGCGATTAGTGCCCACCGGTACGACGACATCTCTGGACATCGGCTTGGGCAACACCTCTCTTCGCTTCATCACCTTAACATTCTACACCATGTGTAAATCCTCGGTCTTGATCTTCGTTCTTGTGTTCGCCTTCCTCTTCCGACTTGAAAAGCCATCTCTCAAACTCATCCTCATTATCCTCACCATGACCCTTGGAGTGCTCATGATGGTCGCTGGCGAAACGGCCTTCCACGCACTCGGCTTTGCGTTGGCCATCTCCGCCTCTTTCTTTTCCGGCTTCCGATGGGCCTTGACCCAAATCCTCCTTCTGCGACATCCTGCCACCTCCAACCCGTTCGCCACGATGTTTTTCATCGCCCCAATTATGTTTGTCACGCTATTCTTCATCGCCTGCGTCTCTGAAACTCCATCCGCAGTTGTCACCGGCATTGTTCTCCTAGTTAGGGAACATGGGGTCGTCAAAGCCCTACTTCTTCTGGTAGTTCCAGGGTGCATCGCGTTCTGCATGATCGCGAGCGAATTCACACTACTTCAGCGTACCAGCGTCGTCACTCTCAGTATCTGCGGCATCTTCAAGGAGGTCGTTACCATCAGTGCCGCGGGGATCGTCTTCCATGACGAGCTGTCTATGGTCAATATTTCTGGGCTGATAATCACCATCATCAGCATCGCGAGCTACAATTACTTGAAAATTGTCAAGATGAGAGAAGAGGCACGAGAGAGATTGAAGAAGAAGGATGAGCAGCAGTATCGCGAGTTAGGTGATGAAGATGATGACGAAATCAGCAATGCCGCGGCGGCCGACTCGGCGTTACTGCGTGATGGCACCACTGTTGTACGCGATCCAACTACGAGCTCCAGTTCAGCTCCCAGGTCCGATTCCATACAGAATGGCGCTCTGGGACCCTCGGCGAAGAAAAAGGAAAATACGGAATAGAAGTCTTGTTTGTTGGCATTGGAATTTTGTACGTTTTGTCGGGAGAGAGGAGTGGATGCCGCATTTGTCCACAGCAGCTCCATTGCAATTCAATTCGATCCGTGCAGGTTTTATTCCCGCAACTTCTACGTCCTCTACTTAATGTTGTCCGTAATTCTTCCAACCTCACGTGTCTCTTCAGGGCACCGCGAGTCGCAAAAATCTTCCTTTTACAAAAGAAGGAACGACGCGGGACTTAGGAGTTCCTCATCTCAGGGGGGTCAGAAGAGGCAGCCTCACGTGCCAGGCTGGCACTAAATACCGAGGTACTTAAAGTGCTTAACCTAACCTGATTTAGCATAGTTCAATTGGCTCTGGACTCCAAGTACTGTACAAGTGCTCAGTGTGCAGTATCTCAATTGCGGGGAAATGGACTCTAGGTTGACTTCAGCACATACGATAGAACAGAAGGTCGAGACTACCTGTATCAGGTATGCAGCCTGTATTTTCTTGAAACAAGGTCTGAGTACCCACAGCTCATGAATCTGTCGGCGCGGCGTCCTCACTGTCGTTATTTTCATTGAGCTTTAAGACGCTCCCCTTGAGACTGAGTTCGATCTAGGCAGACACAGAGATATTGAAAGGGATGGCTCCTCTCTCTTCTTCGCAAACTCTTGAGATCCCGCTGCCCTCGTCCTCGTCCACAGTCGACCTGTACGTCATCGATACCGGAGCGCGGTTATGGGGTTTGCCGGGCTCGTCCATGATGGACCCTGTGCTTCCGGGCTTCGAGAAAGGAGAGGATGTCAAAGTGCCCTCGTACGCATTCTTGATCCACCACAGACAACCCAACATCCGCCTGCTGTTCGACCTGAGCCTGCGCGCGAACTGGGAGTCTGCTTTCCCGCCCGCGTTCGTGCAGGGGGTGCAGAGAATGGGGCTGAAAACCCAGGCCGGACGAGACGTCGCTGACGTGTTGTTGGCGCACGGCGTGGATCTTGCCGACATTGATGCTATTATTTTGAGCCATCATCACTTCGATCATACGGGAGACGTGGGCAGATTCCCAACCTCGACCGAAGTCTTGGTTGGTCCCGGCTATCGGAAGGCTTTCTTGCCGGGCTGGCCGGCGAATCGCAGACAGTTTGAGACAACATCCGACCTGTACGAGGGTCGTCGGACGATTGAGCTGGACTTTGCGCACGACAACCCAAAGGTCTCAACGATTGGAGGCTTCCTTGCTCATGATTACTTCTCCGACGGGAGTCTCTACATCCTCTCCACCCCTGGTCATACAGTCGGCCATCTCTCGGCGCTGGCACGCACGACGACCTCCAAGAACGGCGGCGCGTCGACATTCATATTCCTGGGCGGTGATATCGCCCACTCACACGCTGTGTTCAGGCCCAGCGCAAAACACCCGCTTCCAGCCCTGATTCCCGCGCCAAATGGTCGACCCTTCACATCTAATGCCTGCCACCGCAGTGAACGCATCGCCCAGATGCACCGCCTCTATTCCGAGCCAGAGGGCCAGGCGCTGTCCCGAACGACGCCGTTCAGCAAAGTTGCCGGCCCGGAGCACGATCTCGCCGAGTCGCAGCGTAGTGCAGACAAGCTGGCGAGCTTTGACGGCGCGCAGAACATCTTGACCATCCTGGCGCACGATGCGAGCCTGCTGGATGTGCTCGAGTTCTTCCCCAGGAAGGCCAACGGCTGGAAGGAGAAGGGGTGGAAGAGGGAAGGGCATTGGCGATGGCTGGCGCCGTGTCTGCAAGGCCATGCGTCATCGAAACTGTGAAATATCTCCAAAAACAGACTTTACCGTTGTCATTTCCGTCGCAGAAAAAGAATAACTCAAAGTTAGCGAGCAGACGTTGTGAAAATAGAGAAACACTCTGCAAAGTGGTCCCATGCTGAGGAGCTACTAATGGCGTCGTGGTGGTGGTGGTGGTGGTGGTGGTGCTGCTGCTGTATAAGAGGCGAGGTCTAATTTTCGGGCCCAAAAGACGCTCCATTCGGCGCCCGTCAAGTTTGTTTTTTCCTTTTCCTTTTGTAAGCGTACTATGTACGCTCATTTCGTTTAGTGCAAGAAACACACCAACCTGATGTTACATGTAGTAGCGGGCTTCATAGGATATTCTATCTCCGAGTAGGTAAGTAACACAACAAGGCAAGAATGATACTAGCTTGAGGATAACGAGTCACGGATAGTCTCTCATGAAGATTCTGAAAATATCGACACAGTTCATCCGTGTCACCTGCTAATAACTCTTCTCGCCGCCAATGCCAAAGCTCGTGCCACTGTATTCTCGCTCATTATGGGCCATCGTATTGACTCCAGCCATTCTGCGAGACGCACTCAACCGGGGCTTTGTTACACTTATACTTTTGATCTTGCTCAATCGCGATATTGAGTTGTTTGTACCTCTGCATTAGCCTTGTGCCTCTCATCGCCAGTCTCGGGAGCCCAGGTGTGGCAAGGGCATTTCTTATCGTCCGTAATTTTGTCTGGAGGTATGTCAGAGGATACAGGAATATTGTCTTAGTGTTGACCAGGCGATTTCATTCGGATTAAGCGTTATGAAGAAAATCGATGCCTCTCCTTTAATCGATCGGGATAGAGAGGTCGTCTGGGTGAGCTACCGCGGTCGTCGCCACAGCTTTGACGGTTCCCGATTCAAGAGGGTGAGAGAGCAATCTGGGTCTCCGGCCTGGAAGATCGCCCTGACACGGTGCTTCTTGGCCACAAGCCGCATAATGAACATTCCATCTCAATTCATAAAGCAAAAGACTTTGCCTCCAGGCGGCTGAACATTCCTAAATTACCGAATGCTGACCTCGACTTCGATACACCCCAAGCACGGTGGACCAAAGACGACAAAGTTCTCCTTACTGGCGGAATGGACTTGGAACCTATACTCCGCCTCTTGTTGGATGTCGACAGGCTGAACTACGTGGACATGGAGGGATTAGAACGGAGTACAGACTTTCAGTTCTCGGTGTCTTTGATGCGGTGCCTGGCCAAATGCGCATAGTCCTAAGTGTGCCGGCAGCAGGGCCCCGGATGTTACGCCGGGTACAAGTGCTCGTTGTCCAGATTGAAAGGGCTTAAGTTACACTGCGGCATTCCACCTAGCCATGTGGTATCGCACTCGAACACGCCAGAGTTCAAGAACATGTCGATGTCTGACATTTCAGGTAGTCTATTCGAGTCTCCATCATCACCGGCTGGACTGAGACCAACGTCTGCCGCTCGGGACACATACCTGAATGCAGGACAGCGACTTTGGTGTGTAGCCGATTTCCGAACGGTCTTTTCCGGTCCTTCCGAGAATGCATTTGCATGGACAGGTTGCCTGTCACTTGAGCTCAGAGACTTGGGGAGTGTTTTTAGTCGTTCGTAGCTGCGCTTGACATTGGTGAATATGGGGCACAGCAGGGAATACAGGTCCCGCCCACTAGGCTCCTCGAGCGTAGATCCTGTAGCCCGCTCCAAACGGTAGCACAGAAGGTCGAGGTATATGTCCAGCTTGGCAGCATCCCGGGCGACTCGGATGTCCCATTCGGGAAGCTGGGGAATACCCAGGCACAGACGATAGAGATATGCTGTGTTGCATATCAAAGCCCACCACTGCAGAATTGACAACTTTGGGTATTCCTCAAGAGGCAGCGAGAGGAATGTCTCAAATGCTTTCGAGGCAGAATGCAAACAGAACATCAGACACTCTCGACGGCTGGTGGTCAGGGCTATTATTTCTTCCGAGTCACTCGACAGCGGATGATTGCAGGGATTCAGGAGGTTCATTTCATGGCCATATGAAGCGGCGTACAAGCGTGCCAAATTCAGCGGCACACATTTTGACTGCTCTTTTGACTGGATCTTGTCCAGTCTCTCTTGAAACCTGTTCAGATTGGCCTCCATCTGAGCTAGACTGATCGAACTTGAATAATCAAATTTTGTGGGCAGGTAGGCACGATGTTGATCGTTTCCATACACATACGTTTGAAGAAGTGGCGATATCATAGTATCTGTAACGTACTCTGGCTCATCTGAGAGTGACCGGGCGCATCGCAAAAGGTAGTTGGTGCAATGGAAGTTGCTCGGTTTGCACCAAATCCAAGACGTGATCGTGGCAAGACAATAGCATCCGACGTATGCACGTCTAGCAGACCTGCTGTAGAATTGATCACTCGTTGCATCAGGAAGTAACGGGTCCTCAAGACTCCGTCCTCGTTGAAGTGTGCTCAAAGTGGCCGTTTCTGGAGGCCGGTCGAGTTTCAAGTCGACGCAAATGCTGATGGCAATCTGAAGCGTCTGGTAGAACTGCTGCTTGATAGGAATGTAGAAGAAGTGGTACCAGGCCAGGTAGACAATCAGGGCCATAAGGAGATCGATGCTCCTCTCGCCATCAATCATGACTGTCCGTAGGATTTGGTCTCGGAAGCTCTTTTCAAGCATTCTTTGTAAGTCCTTGTTCTCATCGGACGAGACCATGAGTATAGCATGTAGGGTGAATGGCTGAGTTGCCGCCAGTTCCTCGATCGAGACCTTTTCCGGTATGGGGACGAATGGGAAATACGCGCACATTTTCTGGTATTTGGATAGATATGAAGCCGCTTTGTCTTGTGCAAGGACGGCGTTTCCGAATAACCATTCTCCGGCCGGCATATGTTGCGTATTGCGCACGTCGTGGCCGTTGGGCACAGTGGCTGTTGAATAAGCACACTCGACATGGCTGCTTGAATCCTCGTAAAGTCCAGTACCATGCCCAAGACAACCATTTGCGCCAGCCAATGATATCCTTCCCCCAGACGTGCGCGACCTTTGCAGATTTGCGTCAATTTGCGTCGCGCCGAGGCTGCTCTCTGGTTGCGCTGTCAATTCGGCCACTTTCGCTTGCCGTGCGGTCACGGTGTCGAGGTCACCAGGAATCCTCCGCTTCTTCCGTGGTTTCGCTTCCTCGAAGACACAGCGTGCTCCCGATCGCTTGCACTTTTGGCAGATGTCATCCCTCTCCACGCAAGGCAGGCACCGGACCTTGAGATCGCGGCAAGGTTTACAAGCACGCTCTGCTTTTTTGATCCTTCCCACAACGTTGTTCATGGTGCACCACGTTGGTGGAAGGGCCGACTAGATACAGCACGGAATGCGGCACGCGCGTGAAAAACTCAATGGGTGCTTCACCAGCAGCGGTTGTCTTGAATCTTGCAGTTTGTCCTGTCCCAAGCCGAGTTTGACGATAAAATAAAACGCGGAACGTGAAAGTCGCCGGTAACAGTTGTAATGACGCAAGAATGGAACGCTCCAACGCCCGTGTCGCGAATTGATACATGTAAATGGGTTGTTATATTCTTACACTTATTGACAATTGACGTAGCCGAATTCAGCTGCTGCCGCTGGACCGAGTTGGGCCTCACATCGTGGTTACTCTCCGCTTGACCAGGGGGATCCCATAGCGAATGCTGCCGCCTCAGAGCACCCGTTGGATGTGCCATCCATAGCTGGAGGCCGCTTTTGTTGTACATTGAGAGCAAGACGGGTCCACTTGTTGGAGGCAGCACTAAGACGCGAATGGTCACCTCTTGCACGATTGTTGCTTTGACTTCGACTCGAGCGCAGTGTCTGCAGTACAGACCGAATGGCGAAGATTGCTAAAAGAAGGTGGAGATGCACGGAACGGGAAGACCAAGCTGGGATTCTTGTGGATGCTGATACTCAAGGTCCGTGGTTCCGCGATTCCTTTTAGTACTTAAAGCCTTGCTTCGGTGTAGATAGCTATAATCAACCCGACAAGCTCTTGATGGTTGTGGTGTCTCCACGGCATTTTCAAAATTTGCTTCTAGAGGTCGCCCCCGGTGTGACCTGATCAATCGAACACAACCCGCTATGGAGAACCAACCGAGAAGATACGGTGTGATTTTGTACGATGGTTTCCAACTCATCGATGTTTGTGGGCCACTCGACGTCCTCAACAGCCTTTCGGCCCGCGTCCCAGGCATCAGCCTTTCGCTCATTGCGGAGGATACCTCCCCAAAGTCCACCATCCCCAAAGAATGGCCTGCAAATATGGGAATGTCGCCTTTTTCAACGTCGCAGACCTTGCAGCCCACTCACGATTTCAAGACTGCCCCCGAACTCGATGTCCTCATTGTTCCCGGAGGCATGGGCTCCTTCGACCCCGTTAGAACCGGCAAACCCAATCCAGCCGTGGTTGACCCAATTGTCGAATTCGTGCGGGATCGATATCCAAAGTTGAAATATCTGCTCACCGTGTGCACAGGGTCTGGGATCGTTTCCCAGACCGGCCTGCTTGACGGCAAGAGGGCAACTTTGTTCAAGGGAGCATGGGAGGTCATCCCCAAGTGGCGGCCCCAGGTTCATTGGCAGCCGAGGGCCAGGTGGACAGAAGAGGGGAACATATGGACATCTTCCGGGGTGTCTAGCGGCATAGACTTGATGTTTGCTTTTGTGAAGCATATTCATGGTGATGAAATTGCCCAGGACATTTCGGTGTGGATGGAATATAGCAGGCAATTGAATCCCGACGATGATCCATTTGGGATCACCGTTGCAGAAGAACGCGAGTGAGACATGACTCAATAGCGCTACCTTTAGCCGTCGATGGGAATGCTGACCGACAGGATTTTCTCTTCGATATACTGCTCGTCTCCGTCCTTGCGTGGCAAATGACAGATATATTCAATGAGAATCTCGGTTCTTGGCTCTCCTCATCTCACATACGTCGAGCACTTTTCGTGTCCAAAGGGGCCGTTTCTAGGCTAGTCCAGGGTGCTCTGTGACATCGTAGGCGAGATCCGAAGCGATTCTATCCTTCTGTCCCTCGTTTTTTTTTTCCGGCTTGCCAGATCACATCAGCATGAAATATTTGTGGCAGTCTAAGGGGATGGGAAATCTGCCAGCGCCTGCTTGTTGGACTGCCCCGGTCCCTAATGCCTATTAGTTTTCCGTCCTTGGTATCTACTGTCTCAACTTTTGTTGCGCCTGCTGAAGGGCAATTGTCGAGAGCCTTGACCCTCTCCTCAAGAACCGCTGCTAAAAGTGTAGGAAAGACCGGCCTACATGGTAAGCACTGCCTCGTGTCGTTGAGCAGTAGTGCCAATACATTCTCTATTCTACGTCACTTCGGTGATCAGTGACCAGTGATAGGTTGGTATTCGTGAGCGCACTCCACCTTCGGACTGTTGTGTGGCACTATGTGGCCGTCGAAGATCTCCTGAGATATTGCTGGTTGGGAGGATCACGAGGCTGGGCACTTTCTGGACATTGCGAACTCTGTCCGGGGCAGAGAACGCCAAGAATGGCCCCCAAGGCACTAGCTCGTATTTGCTCGTATTACTTTCGCACTAGGTACTGAGTACTGAATACCAAGTAGAGTTTTGAGCCATCAGGCCACTCTCCACGCGAACTAATTCCACACTCAGACCGGACTTGCCTTGTCAAGATTGTCGATCGCCTTGCGAAGTTAACTTGACCACATGAACTAGGAATACAGAAACCACGAGGTATCCTTTTGCTAAGCTTTTCAGTTTTTATGATAGCATTTTGCGGGCGGGCCTCAGAGCAGCATCTCCAGGCTCGCCATGTACCCATTGAGGTAGACCTACTTGCGGGAAGAAGTCTTCGATGGGTAAATAGTCTACGAACCGCAGAAGATGCATGAAAATGCGAGAACAACCATAATTGACAACAGAGCATTATTTCTCGCCACTCGAGTGGTCGAAGTGCCCGCATCTTGCTGTGTCTGTCCTGTCGCACTAGGTCTGTCGATCCAAGACGTCGCCTGTGGAACAACCTGACTTGCTGTGGCTCCCTGACTGGCGCCTCCCAGTGCTGCTGTCGTTGCGGACAAGGAGCTCACTCGACTTTCGGTGCTAGAAGTGGCCTCAGCGGCGCGGCTCTCGCTTGCTGCACTCAGGCTACTGTAGAAGAGCTCGTCAGTCAGAATGGCGAGTGAATAGCTTTCACAGTCGAGGGCGACGATCCTGGATTCGAGGCTTATGAACAATGTATCCGTGGACGTCGCGTTGTAGTTGTAGCAGTCATTCCAACACCTAATTTTGAATTGCGAAGGTAAGTTAGGATGTTGAATTAAGCATTAATCTCAGGCTGGGTTTTGGATAGAGATGACAAATGTTTACTCACTGGGAGGAGCGTTCAAAGTAACCATTTGTGCACATGCAGTATCGTTTTTGGTAATAACTTGTCCCTCCGAATTCCCTGGAACAAGCGTTTTCTGAGCTTGTCGCCAACTGGCACGGTCCGTCCGCATCAGTACGGCATCCAGGGTAGGCGAAGCTCATTGTGCTGAGGAAACCGCGCGCCGAATGCCTTGCTGATGGTGTTGGTGTAAGACTCTCAGATGGGTTGGCGGTGCCCGCGCGATTTTGATCTTTCGCATGGTAGAAACTGAGGGCCGAGGAGAGTGAAGCGGTCACAAGAACTCACGAGACAGCGATACACACGACTAACAAGTACAGTACGCTTGCAGAGAGGCCCGCCAAGGCCCGCATATTAGTTGAACGTCTGGAGCGAGGGGATGAGGGGAGGGACGAGCAGGCGAGGCCGGGGCGGGAAATTGTACGGGTGTTTGCCAAGGGATTGTGTCTCCTTGGCAGCCTTTTTCCATTGGATCAAGTTGAGACATTACAAGGTCACCCCAAACTCGCGGTTCTTGGGTCGACATATAACTGGGGCGCTCAGGGCGCTCTCTCTACCAGAGTGAGTAACTTATACTCCTTCTTCCCAGGTCCCTTCATCTGCCGTTCACGGTCCGGCACACGGCATAGCGGCTGGGCCCGCCTGGCGATGAAAGCTTTCTCGTCGACTTAGAATGCCCCGGTAAACTGCCCGCGCCTCCAATGCCATTATTAAGGCAGAGGACGAGCAACACTTCCAGTTCCGCTCTTTTACTCGGAATATTCACCAGGGCAGAGTTCACCTTCCCATGACGGGCGAATCCACAGTAAGCGATCTGCAAGCATGCTAAGCATCGCCGAGGTTTCCGGCCTCATCGCCGCAGCTGTGATGATAGGTATATTGACTCACCTCTTTTGCACTCTTGGATCCCTTGAGGCGACTATTAACTGACAATGGTTGCAAGTCCAGTACGGGCTTCCGGCTGCCTTGATCGTGATCTTGGTCAAATATGTCGGGACCGAGAACAGTGCCGTGACATGGTATCCCTTCCCAGATATCACCAGTATGAAAAGAGTCTAATCTTTTCAGGTCTGTCGTCAATCGCGCCATCTCCACAACGATCTGGCCACATCTTGTCCGCGCAGACGCTGTCAATACGCGCCAAGTCCCACTGATAATCAAAATTCCAAGTTGGGCTTCGACGGTCGGTGCCGCCTTGTTGGTTCTAGCTAGCATACTTACACCTCTCGGACTATACGAGGAAATCATCCCAGGCGGACCCCAGGAGGTCGAATTCCAATATGTGAGAGATCCAGGTCCCTGGGGTAGGGTCACCATGCCTCGGCCAGATTCCTGGTTTACTCGATATTGCGAAATGGGCTTGACGATCAACTGTCCAGGCCAGTATCAAGGCGTCTACATGAAGGAAACAGAGCCGGGACACTGGGAAAGCGTGAAGACCGACGAGAACTCTACTATCAACATCACGATCCCGGCGAACTTCACGACCATGTTTACCAGCGCAACTTCGGACAGGGGGAACACTGTGTCTGGACTTTTTGACATTCAATATCGGCGCTGGAAGTTTGACCAAGTCGGCATCATAAACAAAGGCCAACCTTACGTGAAGGGCGACAGCCGCTACATTGGGACCTTGATCACACAGGACCAGATCTTACTCACGGAAGGACTCATAGTTGATATGAGAGAAAATCCAGGGGTTGGGTTCCGAAATCACACTATCCCGGTAGGACTGGAACACGGCGGAACCTGGGCCGAAGACATTACTTGGATCGAGCCGGTGACAAGATGTGCGGACACTAACTTGTCCATCGAAGTGAGGACCGAAAATAATATGGATTTCAGCGATAATTCTACATTCTATGTCGTCGACCGAGGTGCTTTCCTTGGACTAAACACGACAGCGCTGGAATCACCTCCCTGGATTGACAATCAGACTCTCGACCTATTCGGCCGCGCTCACAAAGCCGCTCGTATGCACAATGTGCTCGTTGCTTCGAGCCTCAACGTTCCTCTCCCTGCCAAACAAATCCTGCCCCGAATGGTGGTGAACGATACCAACAGTGCCCCGCCGGGCATGTACCTTGAGACGAAGATGGATACGATTTTGCTAGGTCAATTGACCGGTATTGGCGGCGCACCGCCAGAAGTACCCGAATATTATGCAGGAAACTCGTCTGTCCCATTCGTAAATCACTATCCTAACGGCTACAAAAAGCTTCTAGCCTTGAACTACTCTGCTATCAGTATGTCCCCAGGCTTTCTTTCATGGTCGATCGAGAGCTAACGTATGTAGCCCAGATATGCAGGGGATACTACGAGATAGGGACGACCGACAATGACTGGAGGGCCAACAACATCACCTACCCCATGGTGCAATGTGGCTTCGTTCTCGGAGCCCCCCTGCAAGCGCCCAACGAGAACCTTTCATTGTCAACATACACCGGCATCGAAACGTATCGGAAGAACCTTTATGTATGTGCCTCCAGCGTAAGAGCTAGCATCAAAACTGTGACTTTCAGTTACAACGGCACGGGAGGACAGTTCGCGAACCTTGAGGTGCTACGCGTCACAGACAAAGCCTATCCTGACGAGAAATCTAAACCGCTATGGGCCGCTGAGCACAGCTACGACAAGGTCATGCGGTTTGATCCTCTATGGGGCATCGTTGACGATCGCTATGAGAACTTGGGTTACAAGGACGGATTCTACACTCTGCGTGCAGAACAGCTGTGGCTTCCCACAAGTCCTTTTGTGAACCTCAACTTCGGAGAAAGAGAAGGATATGACGCGTTAGCCGGCGCTTCCGGGTTCGCCCGGCGGCTAGGAAATCTCTACGGCGGCTTGTCTGACCTTGACGGGCCTGACTACAGTGGACAATTTGATTACACCATGCTGGAGCGCTTTCAGCGACTATCCCACAACCAAACCGTGGCTGCACAAATACCCAGCCTGATTTTGACCGACGGACTTGCTGCGGGGTTGGTGGGGACGAAGACCTCTATCTCTGGCAAATATGTCCAGTGGCCCGCCAGCTTGGCCGTTGACGATACAGATCGCGCTATCCCACAAGCGAGCGTGATCGAATACAGGCGCGTCATCCGGTATGACCTACGATACGCCATCCCCGCATTTATCGTTTTAGCCACGTTGCTCTTGGCTCTTGTTTGGGCCGGCGGGATCCTTGTTTCATGTCGCTCCATCCTGCGTACGCTGAAGAATACGTACAACCAGACCAGCACCGGCCGTCTGGCCACCAACCTACTGCAGCCGGGCCAGAGCAATCCGACGCAACCGTCTCGCGAATGGGTGAGAGGAGATGGAAGGCTCCCTTTGAGATTCGGCTATATCACTGCTCCGGAGAAGGATGAATTCTGCACCGTCATCGAAGCGCCGTCTGATGCCAAGCCCCATCCCGATAGCGTGTCGGCGCCTGCAGTGAGAGACAGTGAGACCTTAATTACGATCACCACTAAATGAGATGGTGGTAGCCACAGGCACGGTATTACTGTTGGAAACGAGGAAAGATCTCCAAGAGTGCTTTTAGTGTTGTGCATCGTGTGATCCTAGATTTGGACATCCATATTGAGATGCCGGTCTCGACGTAAATGAATGAGCGATATGGCGTCGCCTGAGCTGCGTGAGCAGCGCTCACCTTCAATGCTTTCTAAGACCAGGACGAGTGAACTGCTAAGCTACGCCTACAAGTACATTCCAAGGGCGAAGCGCTACAGCATTTCCGTGAGGAGATAAGCATTTCCGACAGCGGTATCGTCTTGGAAAAAGTCTTGTTGGCAACATCCCTGTTCGCCACCCAGTGGATCAATTCCGGTTCACGAACAGCCACTGAGACTCGTTCTTTCTCGCAGGAGATGTCCGTCACCATTGGAAAGGGCCCATTATATGATCAATGCATCATGCGACACCATCAACGTATCCGATTATTTGCGGAACGCTTACTGCGCTGCTTAACCTCCTTAATCCTGGTACCTCTGCAAAGTGATCCTATGCTGCGGAGCTACTAATGGGGTGGTGCTGAGAGGAGAGACAAGGTCCGATTTCTCGCTCAAACCCGCTCTATCCGGTGCCATCAAGTTTGGCAAATCTACGGAGTTCTATGTACCTTCATACTTCATTTTGTGCAGTGCAAGAAACGCTCTTACCTGAGACGCACTTCTGTTAGCCTAGCTACTTTTAATATTCAGCCACACCCCCCAATTCTACCGAGCCTATTTAGAAATCTATGCGATGCTGTTTGGGCTTCCACAAGCTGGCCGGTACCCAGATAGGCTCAATTTCTCCACCTGGATCTCGATCTAGCCTTGCCGAATTGTGTTTGCGATCGAATGGCTGTGGATCTATCCAAGATTTATCCCATTGTCGGGATAACATCCTTCCTCACAAGAAGTGAAGTCGCCACCGAACCATCCTCAAACACATTCGACTGGTCCGAGTCTCTGATAGATGTCTCAGTCCCAACGCTCAGCGGGAAGTTGCCCTGCCTCCAGTCGTGAAACCTAAAGACAAAGACAAAGATAAATGATAGGTTGTGTCTTGAAAGGGTCTCGTTTGTAGCGACCTCATCCCAATGCCAATGGGCATCGACATGGCATGATTTATATCATCGAGACGTTGAATCTCAAGCTTTTGCAGGTGGCTTTGTAGCTTCTCGTAATTCATGTCGAATATTCCCGCCAGCTCAGGTTCCTGCCGTTTGTTGCCAAACTGCATGGTTTGACACTGCAATTCCATAAACCGATAGCCGTAGGGTACGGGGAGTTTATCTGGTCCAGCACAGGCCGTCTCAAGACTCAACGGTGCATATATTCGGCGCCTGTAGTCTGCGCATTCAGATCGACCAAACGTTTTGAGTAAGTCTTTTTGCTAACGAAGCATAGCCAACACTACTACAGTAACATCCGCCCATTTTGTGGCTCTTTTCCATAACCTCGCAGCAGCACGGTTTTCGTCTTTCTGAATTGCCGACGCTTGCAATCATCAGGTAGGATAGCAAGCCTTTTGCTAGGTTCTCTCTGACGGCCCCTGTCGATAGAAACCAAGTTCCAATCCTTCCGTTCTGAATGCTGTCAAATTTCTTTGGTTCTGGATCGAGTTGAATGGCGGATCTGGAAATCGATAGGGATCAAGACTTTACTTTTCCACGCCACAGTTAAAATTTGGAAAGGCAGAGGCTCAAATGCTGCTGGGTTCCCGAGGAGTAAATTGACACCCAGGCAAGATGCTCTTACCATATTGGACGTGTAAGAAACGAAAGGTGGCCATTGGAGACTTTCTCTATATCTATTTTGTGGTATAACGTCGCAATTGCTGGATGATGCTTCATCTTTTGACCCCGCGATGCTTGGTGCTGGCTTCAGCAAAAGTGACTCCATTTTTCAGGTCCTCTGCGACACGTTGATCTGCCTCTAGCTGTGCCGGAATGAGCTCCAACACCTTCTTCGCCATAGCTTTCGGAAGGCATACAACACCGTTGATATCACCCACGATATAATCGCCAGGTTCCACCACAGCGTCAATGGTATCATCGTAAAGCCTGAGAGGCACGTTAATCTGTGGTGGGACAATTAGCACATGAAGCCATTTACCAACAATCTTTTTCATCTTCCTCAAGAGGTGATCATACCTCACTCACACGCACAACCTCATAGGGCGCGGTCGTTCCAACATCACGGGCAAAGACCTGCATTGGTCAATCTTTAAACCTTCACTTTAGAGCGCTAGAGGTATCACTGGATAACCTAGCTTTCGGTGTTCTTGGACATCACGAATCCTTCCATCGACTACCGTCCCCGCAGCGCCTGAGGCTTGAGCTCTTGTACTCATCAAGCCACCATAAACGGCATTGACGATTCCTGGAGGAGATGACACGAAGACCACTGCGCCTTTGGGAATTGTATCGATCTGGAACAGGTCATTACCCAAGCCACAAGATCATTGGACAACCTCGACGAGAAGGACTAACATAGTGACTCGCAGGCTTGGGCTCATTTTCATAGTTTTTGCGGACATACTTCACAGTATATGCTGGGCCAGCCAATTTGGCCTCACCTTGCCTTTCGGGTGACCACATTGTGAGCCCTGGTAAGAACCCGCCATGCGGGTGCTTGAGTTTCATCAAGGCATCCGAAACATCACAGCTTAGCAAGGTGTCAGTTCGTGGTAGACCCAGTCCCCCTAGGGGAACTTACGTCGTGTACTGCCGGAGGGCTGCAACGATTGAGTCTTGATCAGCCATGCTCCGAAAAGTATGTGAATACATCAATCTCAAACCCGAGGGACGTGGGAGGATTACTTGTATCACGACGTGATCGTGGAAACGGGCAAACTCCGGGTCAAATCCCGATGCTGTACCTGGCAGGAGCCACAATAACACAGCATTGCCCATGAAATGCTGCAACAATCCGGAATAAATTTCTCTTTCTTCAGCGTACTGAGCAAGCAAAAGCTCGCAGACTCCAGTATGGGATCTATACCGAAAGTTGCGATCGTCTATGTGGTCGACCCGTATCATGAAGATGCCATCGCCAAACTTCAAAGTCAACGTAACTTGACTGTCATTTTACCGGGAGATCCGCGAATCAAATCCTACCACACGGACGCGACGCATATCCTTGTGAGATCCGAGACGACAATCGGTGAAGCGGACATTCTCAAGGCCCGCAATCTCAAAGCTATCATCAAACAAGGCGTCGGCGTCGATAATATCGACCTCCAGGCCGCACGAAGGCATGGTGTCATTGTTTGCAACACCCCCGGCATCAATAGCGAATCCGTGGCCGAATTGACGTTGGCGTTAGCTTTGAGCATTGCTAGGAGAGTTTGTGAAATTGATAGACGGGTGAGAAATGGGGAGAAGGTGATCAGAAGCAAGACCCTGGGCCACAGCCTGTTCCGCAAAACTATTGGGGTCATCGGCATGGGAAATATTGGCCGCGTTGTTGCAAAGAAGTGGGTTGGAGCAATGGAAGGGAAGGTGATTGCCTACGACCCTTATGCCCCTGATAGTGCATGGGACGATATGAAAGACGTTCAGCGAACTGCTCAACTGGGCGAGCTTCTGCAACAGGCGGACCTGGTCAGTCTACATGTCCCTCTGACCGAACAGACTCAGGGCTTGATAAGAAAGGAGGAGTTCGCGATGATGAAGAGTAACGCGATTCTCATCAATTGCGCAAGGGGTGGTATTGTAGACGAAGAAGCCTTGCTGGATGCTTTACGCGAAGGCCGGATCTTGGGCGCAGGCCTGGATGCGATGGACGTCGAGCCTCCAAGCCTCGAGAAGTACGGCAACACTTTACTGGATCACCCTGGAGTGATTATGACGCCGCACATTGGCGCCTCTACCATTGAGAACCAAAGCAGAAGTGGGATCGCAGCCGTCGACATCTTATGCAAGCTGCTTCGAGGCGAGGAAGTAGAAAGCCGCTTAACATAGTGTTGGAATACAAATGCAGGCCATCAGAACAGCTGGACAACTGCCTTCCTCCCGAATCCTGCTGATTGTGGTACCCTGGTCACTCGGCGCCGTGGGGGACATATTGTGCTAGTGAAACACCTTGATATTCCCTTGTAGGCGTTCTCCAATTTTACTGCGTTAGCACCTGGCTCAAAAGATCCGAGCTCGTACGGCTCATGCGTTTCTCAAATGGTTGGACACAAAATGTGAGGGTAAAACCTGTTGCTTTGGTGAAATGCGCTTTGGTGGAATACGAGCCGAGCTGTAAATGACCCCGGAGTTTGGCCCGGACAGTTTCCGGGGCAGATTCCGTCCTTTCGCTTGCATGCTCGGCGGCACTCGGCTATGCTATTGGGGATTGGTGCCGTCCTAGTATACAAATGGGGCAAGGGCGCGTTCCCACAGCCCTGTGGTGCAAGGCTAAAAGGACTTGGACGACTTTACTCCGTAACTTCGTTTTTTTTTTTTTTTGAAGGTAATTGATAGACCTCTTGGGTAGAAGAATGTCGGATACTTACATTTACGTCACGGCTGATACTGCCCAGAAGTTTGCTGAAGAGCTTCTAGAGTCAGCTGGATGCCGAAAGGAAGATGCGAGCATCATCGCACAGGCTTTGGTGCTGGCCGATCTCCGGGGAATCGATACCCATGGCATCAATAGGCTACCGGGGTACCTGGACAGAGTCAAAGCTGGTGTCCTAAATGTTACACCGGATCTTCATCTCATTCAAAAAACCCCGGTAATGGGGTTAATCGACGCGCAAAATACCTTCGGATTCCTCGCTGGATGTAAGGCTGTCGATGAGGCCATCAACATGGCTACGACCTACGGGGTTGGAATTGTGGCCGTCAAGAACAGCGGCCATTACGGGATGGGCGGCACATACTGTTTACGGGCCATGGAGAAAGGCTTTGGTGCAATGGCATTCACGAACTCGTCTCGAAGTATGCCGGCCTGGGGCTCCAAGGAGCCACTTCTCGGCACGAGTCCCTTTGCAGTAGGACTACCTGGGGGCCAAAATGGCGACTTTCTCTTGGACATGTCCCCTTCTGTGGTTGCTCGGGTTGGTATTGAGATGTCTAGGAAGCAAGGTAATGGCTGACTTTTTCACAGGGGAAGATCCGGAAAGCGGCAAGAAGAGGCGAGTCCATACCTGAAGGATGGGCGCTAGATGAAGAAGGGAGAACGACGACAGACCCCGTTGCAGCTCTAAAGGGAGTGGTGCTCCCTATTGGGGGGCCGAAAGGCTCCGGGATCGCCATGATGATGGACATTTTTGGCGGTCTGATGTCCGGGGCATCTTTCGCTGGAGGAGTCAACGACCAGTACCACGTCCTCGATAAGCCACAGGGCGTTGGGCACTTTTTCATGGTGTTTCGCCCCGATGTCTTTCTCGAGTCGACAACGGAATATACTCAGCGGATGGACCTGCTCATGCATAAAGTTCGGACATCAGACCCCGCCGGCGGTGTTAACCGGGTATACACTCCTGGAGAAATCGAGAAGTTAACAGAGGAACGTCGCAGAGTGGATGGTATACCATTCACGCGCGAAGAGGTCAATAGGCTTGAAACTTTGGCTGAAGAATGGGGTTGCGGCGTGAAACTAGGGCCTCAAGAAGTTGTCGGCTCAATCCAGTCAAGAAATTGAAAGAACCACTTTGCTCACTTCGAGTGGACGAGGAGGATGTTGTACTATAGACTTACAAGAGATGGCGAAATTACACAAAATCTGGCCAAAAATCATCCGACTTCGACAATATCGAGCTTTGGAATATAGTGCGGCGTGAGGGCAAAGTAGCCCGAAAATGGGATGAAGGATTGAAAAGTGAGACTCCTTCGGCATGTTTTGGTGAAAGAATACAAAAGCCGAGCGCCGTCTGTGACGATGGGGAAACATGGTAAACATTGAGAATCATTTACTATGGAGAATGTTGTCTAATGGTGTCAATTTTATGATCCAATAGCGATTGATCTTCCTTTCTCACGATCTGAACAAGATCAATGTAGTCTCTCTCCGGGTTATCGTTAGCCAAGCAGTTATTTTAGATCATGTAGCGGAACATTGGGTTGGCGTCGGCGTCTTCTGAAACATCGATAGACTGCCCTTTCTGCGGTGTGCCGTATTGTTGATCGCGTTGACGGTTAATCCGGTGCAGAGTCATGGTGTTTGCCAATGTTATGGCTGCGGTTGCAATCGACATTGCAAAACACAGATAATGTCCCTTCCGATACTGCGGCGCATCGGTAGAGGGATAAAAGAACGAGCCCGCAATTGAGCCTAGATTCCCCATCGCAGTATACGCGCCCATTCCAACAGCTCTTTTGGTTTCGTTGCCAAAATTGTTCGCAGCCCAAGCATGACTTGGGGGATAGGTTGCGTAGACACATGCGACAGCGATGCACTAAATGAAGGTCAGAGAAAACCTCATCTCGAATGAAACACAAGAAAAACGTACCATACAGCCATATTTTGCAGATAAATGATCGTTGTCCAAATTCGCAAGACAAGCATACATCACAGCTGCAGTACAGGAAAGAATGAAGATCGGAATTCCTCGGCTGCGATATCGGTCCGAGAGCCATGATGTGACATACATCAAAGCAAACGCACATGCATATGGTGGAACTGCAGGGTATATGTGAGCATAAGCATACTGGAGTGCCCGAAAACCATACCAGTCATCAGGTTTGCGGAAGTTGTAGCCTTGTATCCCAGGCTTCTGACTATTGACGGCAGAAACCCCGAGATCGAAGACAACAATGCGGCCGTAGGGACATATATTGCAGCTAGTATGGAGGCTTAGCGATGTCTGGGAATTTCCCTTCCGCGCAACAAACCTTGGACATAAAGTCTCCAATCGGTCAGAGCTAGCACAAAATGCTTCTTGCTGATACCAGGATTTTGGTCCGTGGTCTCCCTCCAATACCGAGCAAGTGCAACCTTCTGCATCATGCCTGTGAATCTGGAATTCTTCGTCGGCCGATCAGGTAGCCAATAGAGGCAGAAAAGACCAAGGCAGAAACCGGGGATCCCCTCAATTAGGAAAAGAAGTTTCCATTGCTGAACGTTGGACTGAATATGCCCGATGCCGAAAGCGATCAATCCGCCAAACGCTCTACACACGTGTTAACAATCTCCAACAGGATTAGGTATTGTGTGTTCTTGCCCTGCAATGGCTGTAGGTCCAAGAAACCAGAAAACCCGTATACCGAGTTCATCACGGTGGTACCAAATGCTCAGGTAGTAGACGATTCCGGTACCGAAAAGTCCCTCGAAAACACCAAGGAATACTCGACAAACGAGCAAAGTGGCCCAATTCAACGCCACTGTTTGGAGCACGCAGACTGCGCACCAGCCGCAGACTCCAAAAGCGATCCACTGCCAAATTCAGTAGATTCTTCTTTCAGTTACTGATAAGAATTACCTTAGAAGGTGGAAAGATCCGGTAACCGATACAACCGGGAACCTGGAATAGAATGAGGCCAACGTAGAAGATCATGATCACCGTTTGCCACTGCGTCGAGGACAGTTCCTGGGTTCCCGGGCCAACACCGTTGTCTAGAGTGTCATGGCCTTTATCAATGCCCAACAGTTTGGCATTCTGCTTTTGCTCAGTGAATGATAGTGAAGGCAACAAGGCAGACATACTGCTATATTGCCTCTGTCCAAATATTCGAAGAAATACAAGGCCGAGATTGTGGGCAAAACGATGAGGTTCAATTTCTTCATATATTTGCGTTCAGCATCACGAGCGTCTTCGGTGTCGAGGACATGCTGGTGCTCTTGAATCTCGGTGTCTGCGTAATATTGCTCTTGTGTCTTCAGTCCCTGGGGATTCGTGTCTGCAGACTTCCCAATAGAGTCGATCCAAGCTTCACTTGCCTTCAATTCAGCCATAGCAGACTCCCAGAAGTGTAGAGAGTGTGGAACGTGGAGAAAGGGTAATCGATCTTGTGAGACACTCAGGAACCTACTGGTTCATATAGGTTGCAGTACAGGTGCTGTATCTCCTGAGACAAGATCCGGAAACTGTCCGGGAACCTGGCCGGCCCCTCATCTTAGAGCTTGCAAGGTATGTTTGCATCCCCAGAAAGACCGACACAAGGGGAGATCATGAGGAGAATGGCGACTTACCGGAAATACACGCGGAGGAAGACAGGTATATGGGCAGGGTCTGGCATGACTGATCTCCTGTTGCTTGGGCCCCCAAAAAATCAAATCTCTTAGTGACTTGATTCTTGATCTAGGACAGATTGTTTCATCACCGGAGTCTCGCTCCCATCCCACGTGACCTCGCGCCGCTTTTGCTCAGGCTAGGTGGCTGGCGAGCTGGCCTCGCTGGCTCGCGTCCGGCTCAACGTCGGCTCAGGCTCGGCTGGGCCAGCTCACCTTAGTAACCACGTCGGGGCGGTGGCCCAAAGGTCGTCCCTCCTCTAGACCGTTAAGTTTTAACGAGGGCCTCAAAACGAGGTCCCTAGGGGGGAGGGTTCCCTAAAGACGCACCACGGTACGTTACCTCGTCGACTCTACGAGAACGAGTCGGTCTTTATAAGCGTAATAGGCTTCGTACGATATACGCGTAGTTGATAAAGGATAAATCCCAAAAAGCCGCGGATTTGATTGGCTGGGGAAAACCTGACTTCCCTGATTGGCTGGTTTATGTTGGAGTCAGGTGACCACAGCATGAATTACTTCACGTGACTCTAACATAAATTCGTCCTTGTGCCCTTTGGCTCTCTTCGGCATCTAGCAGTGTTGTCTGTCTTGTGTCTAACACAGTCGATTGGTACTTACGAGGTACTTCTAGGTACCATGTACTCTGGAGCAGTACAGTAGGTATGGACTATGTACGAGGTATGCCATGCATGCGACAGTCTCGTCCTCTGTAGTAACCGGACACAGATACCATCTTCCTCTCTCTTTGAACGTGCGAACCATGTCCATTCCGCTAAAGATATCACTCGCTCCGTGCGCCACTCTGCACATGAGCGGTGAACGGAAGAGGGTCGCCAACGGGGTCGCCAGTGGGGTCTCTAACGAGATCTCTCTAGCACCCCCCGACTGACTGTCCGTCTATATAATATTCTTTTGGACCGACCGGCCAGCCATAGTCTTTCATTCAACTTTTGCTACACGGTATATTTACTGTGTATATATACATAATACATGTCTTGATACTCACGATCGATCTGCCGGCCGGCTGATTCGACCTTGAGTGTTTTGCTTTTGCTTTTACTTTTGCTTGCGTCTCGCGGCTGGTTTCTTCCGGACAAGGTCTTCAAATACAAGTGGCTTTCCCAATCTGAGACAGGCGAGACGGGTGAGTGTGACAAGACTTGGGGATCCCATGATGGATGGATGGCTCCATTCATATCCGCACTTGCCCGACTGCCCGACTGCGTTGAGATACTGTTGTTGTTTTATCGACCACCCCCCCTTCTTCCTTTTTCACGACCGAGCTCGGTCCACAAACGAGTGTATGTGTGGGCTTTTTCCATCGCAGTGCCACCGCAGTCAATTTCCCCCATATGCGTCGCGGGGACGAGGCGTGTTTAAACGGCGTGAGACTCCCAGTGAATGTCCGTCTTGACGGTGATACCCTTTGACCCGGACTCATCACTGCCCTTGGTGCGCGTACTTCCCGGTCCCGTCGTGTAGGTGGTCAACTGAACCTCGTCGTCCCCAAAAGTAGGGTTGACGATGCGGTCCCAGTCCCGTTTGACTTTGATCGGGATACCCTGGCCAGACTTTCCCATGGTGGACCCATTCATGTTCCCGCTGGAAAAGCCGCTCGTGGGTACTGATCGGGACTGCAAGCCGGCCGATTTCCAAAAGCGCCGTAGCAGCGGCGCGTAGCAGGGCATGCAGGCGCAGAGGATGCCGATGAAGGGTTCGCAGCACGACCAGATGAAGACGCTGGCCATGGACCAGGTCAGGTCGTCGTTGTTGATGAGCTGATGGATCGAGATGACGCGCACGATTGAGGCGATGCAGACACTGTGTTTTATTGTTAGATTTTCTCAGGAAGAAAAAGGGGTAATTGCGGACTCTCTTACAAGCCTCCGAGTCCAAGGACTCCGCCAACCATGATCTTCTTCCTTGTGGACATGCGCAATCCCAGAACTGTAGCAAAGATTTTTAGCATGTGAAACACCGCCAGTATTTAACAGGAGTGGGAGGATACTCACGAGGTCGAATCGGGATGATCAAGATGCAAACATCGACAAGCATGGCCCAGATGCCGTTGGCGAAGAAGAATAACGGCACGTCAATACAGTGACCCTTAGCCCCGGGGGTGGTATACCGAGTCTAGTGGTTTTTGAAACGGGGTCAGTGTGTGTACAATTCCCCCTCCGTGTCGGTTTTTCTTTTGTTGTCACTCTACCGAGAGAGTATGTGGAAAGGGACCGACTCACCCAGAAATACTCCAATGGCTGACAACCGGTATTGATGGTGACGACAACGACGACGAAATAGCTCCAGACCAAGAAGAGACCGAGATAGGTGGACCACCTCTGGCGAAAGAGACGCCAGTAGTACATGACGATGGATGCTTTGGTGAAGCTGACGGCGCCTGCGTAGATCATCACGTAGGAGAATAGAATCTGTTCGGGAGAATTAAAGACTGGTCAAAACTGGGAGAGTTCGAGTTCGCCCAAAGCATTAGAGGCGACAGGGGCAACATAGATTGTTAGAGAAATGGGATGGATAAATACCTGCCAAATGGTCGTAAAGTCTTCTCCCGACACGGCCCAAAGATGCTTGCCACCACCGTATGGAAGACCTGGTCATTTTTGTCAATTTCTCCAACATCGTGTGCTGGGGGAAAAGATTTCAAACTCACTGACGAGCGAGCAGACTGCTGTACCATGTGCCAGAAGCTGGTTTTTTTTTTTTCGAGAATTAGTCCATGTTGTTTTATCCTTGTTCCTCAATATCGGGGAAACTCACCAATGCTGGGAGGATCAAGTAGTCATCCCAGGAGAATCTTCCTTTCTCCCGCATCAACTGCGACACAAAACGGAGCATGACGGTGAGGGTCCCGATGACCATCAGGCTGACAACTGCTCTGATAATGGCGCCATTCTTGGTTTCGGACAGGTCAATGCCCGGAGGTGCAGGTCCAAATGCTCCGCTTGCAGACATTGGATGGTTTGGTCGTGCTGAAAAAAACGGTGACACCCGAAAGATGAAGGGAAGGGACAAGTAAAGAAAGCCACTCGAGCTTGCGAGTCGACGGTATAAGAAGTGTAATAATGAAGGAAAAAGAGATGCTCAAAGAGTCACTCAAGGCGAAGGTATTACAAAAAAAAAAAAAAGGGTCTTTACTTGACTTGCCTCTCCTTGGGATATCCCCAGATCCCAGATCGTTTGGGTCTCGTCTCACTTCAGACTAGCCATGTACCGAGTACATAGTATACATTGAGGAGTACTGTGACCCAAATGGGAATCCACAAGGCCATACTCTGTACAAGAAGAGAACTGGAGCTGGACCTTGCGCAATCCCGGTTCCTGATCCCCGGTCCCTGGCAGTAGCTGTTCAAGGCGAACCGGATGATCTGCATAACCAAAACAACAGTATGAATCAAACTGGGTCATTCTGGGTATAGATCGTTCTCCGCTTCTTTAACTGAGAATGAGTTGGTGACAAGACACAAGGCGACGGGGCCGAATACGAAGTGGGCAGTAAGTAGTATTAGGCCTGAGGGTTTCATTCAGGAGGCCTTGGTCTCGAAAGAGTGGTCAAAGTCCTCGGTACTACTGTAATCTCGTATTTTCAAAAGCCCAATTTGTACTCGGTACCAGGTAGCACTCAGCGCCAGAGATTTCACTGCCTTCTGGAGTTCGTCGCGCGACATAATATGCCCGGGACCCATATCCGTTCCAGCCGTTGAGCTAGTTGCGCCGATCAGCCAAGACGCCTTTTCGACTTGCCTAGCACCTGGCAAGCAATCTGCAATGGTTCTCGAACTAGATTTTTTCGACCTAGACTTTTCGACATGCTTTGTACGGAGTACCTAAGTGTTGACCACTCGGTGGAGAAACTTCAATGCAGGTCGGGAGGTTGACAGTTGGCAGGTTGGGCAAAGCTAGGGATCCACAGTACGATCGGGTCAGTGCAAACGCATGGCTACCTAATATTGTGCAGATCAGAACTGTAGGGGTAAGCTTGAAGGACAGGCACAACAGGAACAGTATTCGGTCCTCGGATCCGAGTCCCTGGGCACAAGTGGCCGGAGCAAAACTATGCAAGGACTAAGAAGGGGGTGCACGTCTCCAGATGGGCATCCCAATAGGGACGAAGTATCGTCGATCTTGGGTGGGCCCCGACTTTCAGGTGTTTCAAGGCTGCAGCCGAGCCATGGCTGAGCCAACGCTACGAGTACTTGGTCCCTCGTACGGGTACCCAAGTACCTTGTACCTTGGATTGGAATCCTCGTTTCTAACGGTTTTTCTGGAGCCCCTTGCGAAGTAACTCTAGGGGGGAGTTACGGTGGATTGTGTTCGACGGGCCGGTCCAGATCTCCGAGTAAGGGTAAGTGCGGCCCCGGACTACTCAAGACTACTCTGACTTTGTTCGTGATCGTCGGCTGCTGGAGACAAATCGAGACACGAGTCAGTCACTCTCTTGTTTCGTGGCTCCGACGACTTGATGGTGGCCCGCTAGTCCGAGGCGATTCGGATGCCGCCCACGAAAAGGATGGCGAGTACGAGGGACAAAGTGGGGGGAAAGCTCTGTCACTGGGAAGGGGACGGGTACTGAGTAGGGAGTAGTTGTGTCCATTTGGTTAGGAGCTCAGGGACAGGATAGAGTACCTGCTCCGGATCACGACACTATACATTAGGTGGTATAAGCACTCGATAGGCTTGACGACAACACAGCAAAAAGCCACAGTGGAGTGACTTGGTACAATAGCCTACCTGGTGCTACCACTGATCTTGGCCGAGGTCCGTGGAAAAGGACGTTTTGCTCTATCATCCCAGCATGGTGGTGTGCTGTCGATCGGGCATCTTATGCGACGAATACCGTGACAACCTAATAGTTAGCTACCCTTTGGGCCTGAGCTTTCCCCAGCAGGCGAACTGGGGACCTGACTTGCCTGGGACCTGGGAACTGGGAATATCCCTACTCGATACTCTACTCGCACATATCCTTCGTTAAGCAGCGAATGGTACTGTCTTGCTGGAACCACAATGGGCATTTTACGTTTGGGACCAGCTGCCAGTTTCGTTTCACCCATAATACTACTGTCTACCGAGTGCATAGAACTGCTTGGTGCCCCGACCAAGTGTGCTCCACCATCATCCGTTAATATGAAACTGGTCCACGAGAAGGTCTCCACAGGAAGAGAGACTCGATGGGAGACTACTTCACACCGCTCTCGTGGCGCCCAATTCTTTTATTATTTATCAAGGGACGAAGGGCCCGGATGCCTCCCCGTGAAGATATATATTCCTTGTCGACACACAAAGTGACACAGGGCATCATCTTACCAAAAAGAAAATGGGATCTATCCAGGAAAAAGCACCCAACGATGTCAGCCAACGGCCAAACTGGGTCCCTTTGTTGGATACTCCGGTCCTGACCAGGAGAAAACTGAGGATTGTCTGTATCGGTGCTGGGTTCTCGGGCCTCACTCTGGCACACAAGATCCAGCATGAGTTGAAGCTGGAGGATGTCATTGACCTTCAGATCTACGAGAAGAACGCCGACGTCGGGGGGACCTGGTACGAGAACACGTATCCCGGTGCCGCGTGGTAAGAGTGTCTCTCTCCCCTAGATCCTTGTCAGCCAGAGCACATCAGAACCTGACCACAGAATTACTAGTGATATCCCAGCTCGTGAGGCTCTCACCTTGTGAAGACGGCATTGGCCCATGAAAGAAAGCACGCACACTAACATTTGGGGATCGTTTGTCTTAGATGCCTATACCTTCTTGTTTGAGCCGAACCCGGACTGGTCGCAGTTCTACCCTGCCCAGCCCGAGATTCACGCCTACATCAAGGCAACCGTGGCCAAGTACAACCTGGACAAATACGTCTCGCTCAAGTCCAAAATCTTGGAGACGATTTGGGATGATGAGGCGGGACGGTGGAAGATCAAATTTGATGCGAATGGAGTCGTCCGCGAGGATACCGCCGATATCCTGGTCAATGGCTCCGGGTTTCTGAAGTAAGTCAAGAAGACTCTGTATAGCATTCAGCGATGTCTAACCGAAAATCAAGCAAATGGAAATGGCCTGCGATTCCTGGTCTACATGACTTTAAAGGGAAACTCGTCCACAGCGCCAATTGGTACGTTTTCACAACGTCTAACTAGAAAGGGGTCAAGGCTGAGAAGTGTCTTTCTCTGTGCAGGGACAAGGACTACTCATGGGAGGGCAAGAAAGTGGCCGTGATCGGGAACGGGTCCTCGGGGATCCAAATCGTGCCGGCCATGCAACCAAAAGTGTCGAAGCTCGTCACCTACATCCGAAATCCCAGCTGGATCTCGATCAATTTCTGCGCCGACAAGACCATCGACGGCAAAAATTTTTCGTATACCGAAGAGCAACGAAAAGAATTCAGAGAAAACCCCGAATCTCATTTTACTCTGCGAAAGGAGTTGGAAGCGTCGTAAGTTTTTCTCGGATATTTTCTTGGGTTTGCAGAAAACTTCAGTGGCTAACCTTTCGGGAAATCCTCGACCACCAGGGTGAATGGGTTCTTCTTTGGAATGAAGACGGGTCATCCATTCCAGCAAGGTCTCGAGGCTGCGTGTAAAGCTCAGATGGGCGCCATCCTCAAGGATCACCCTGAGATGGCGGACAAATTGATCCCCAGCTTCCATCCTGGCTGCCGTCGCCTGACAGTATGTTCCGCCAGTATGTTCCGCTGAAAAGAGATTGAAGCCCACTAACAAGCTGGAAATCTCGATCAGCCCGGTGATGGATATCTCGAAGCTCTTCAACAACCAAACGCGAGCATCAACTGGTCTCCCATCACTCGAATCACGGCCAAGGGGATCGAGACGGCAGAAGGAGGGGAAGAAGAATTCGACATGATCGTCTGCGCCACGGGCTTTGACACAAGTTTCATCCCGTCGTGGAAACTCGTCGGGCTCAACGGGGCGATGTTGGACGAGAGATGGAAGACTGACCCCGAGGCCTTTTTCGCCGTTCAGGTCGACACCATGCCCAACTACTACATGTTCAATGGACCCAACTGTCCCATCTCACATGGCTCCGTCCTGACCGAGATTTCTTGGACCTGCGACTATATCCTCCGCTGGGCGGAGAAGATTGCCACTCAAGATATCAAGTAAGTTTTCGCACTTCTCTTATCGACGGGGACCACACTCTATTGTTTTAATGCTTTCCCCTTATTGGCCACGTCGGCCGTGGTATCTGTGATTAGCATCTGCAGGTGCAGGTGATTGCGCAGGTGAACGAGGGTGAAAAGAAACGGACGGACGGACAACTAGCTAATCTCGACGACTTACAATTTAGATCCATTACTCCAAAGGCTGAAGCGGTCGCCGACTTCAACACCTATTCCCAGGAGTTTCTCAAGTCCATGGTGTGGGCAGACAACTGCCGGTCCTGGTACAAGAACGGCAAGGAAAGTGGCACCGTCACCGGCACATACGCCGGGACCATTTTGCACTTTAAGGACTGTCTGGAGAGTCTGGGGGGCGAGCATTTCGACGTTGTCTGGCGGAGCAAGAATCGGTTCCGGTGGTTGGGCAACGGGCAGAGCAAGTGGGATAAAGATGGGAAGGGCGATTTGGCGTATTACATGAAGAGACTCTGAATGTCGAAGTGGTTGGTGCCTTGCCTGATAGCATACCGAAGAAGATGAAGAGAAGAGAAGAGAGTAACAGCACTCGAAGTCGGAAACAACTGACCTCTACCTCGTACACGGAATCCTCACCGATGCCCAATATTGAAACCCCACATATCTCTTGTCTGACTAAATTCACCGCGGGTGACTGAACAAACGCGTCCATCAGGGATCTCTCCGTGCTATCCGGACTAGGTGTGCGTCTTCGTCAGTGGTCCGAGATGGATGTTGGAGCCAAATGACCACTCTACTCTTCCCAGCGAGGGCAGACACACAGGCAAGACAGGTTACCGTTACCCACCCAAAGATATCACGCCGGTGCGGTAAGTGAGACGAAATTGTAAGACGAGAGACAACACAATAATAACAGGAGGCCGAGGGTCTCCCAAATAGGCTTAGCCCATACTTCACGTGAGTGAGATCGCACGTGACGGAACGCAGGGGGTCAAGCGCCACAAAGGACAACTACGAGTTCAGCCTCATTGAGGCAAGGCTGGGTGCAGTGGGGGGGAAATATGGACAAAGGTGGTTATATAGTCCCATGTTCTCGACTTGGTTCATAAACGCGATATCAGTGTAGATAATCCCGTTTAGAACAAATAACCCCACCGAGAGGCAGGTACCCGGTACAGCCGACGGGCCTGGAGACGACAAACGGGTCCTTCAGTCGGGATATCTGTTCTGGCTCGTGGGGTCTACGTCATTTACTGAGCCAGTCGATATAGATGAATCGGAATAGCCAGGCTCAGTCGATGATCTGCGGCGGTAGCGATGAACAGTAGACTCTGATCCAATGTTGGCTTCCTGATAGCTGTATCATGGAGTGAGGGTGGCCGACCTTATGAAAAAAAAAATACAACAATAAGCTAGGTTGTCGGCTCTTCGTCAACCCTGTCTACCTGGATCGACCTTACCGTCCAAATAACAACGAAAGCGCCAACATGCCTGAGCAATGAAGCACTTCGACTCAATGTCCTCGTGGCGATGCGGAACGGCAAGGGGGGATGCCGAAGACTAACCCAATTTGGAGAAAGGGAACTTTTGTGACCATTAACGTCAACTAGAATCGAGGCCAAGTTATGGGCACTGTAGGCTAGGCCGAGGCAATAAATTGGCAATTATAGGCGGGTGCTGGGAACAGGGCCCCTTGGCCAGATATGGGCGCGATTTGATCCGTTAGTCAGGCCGAATGACACCATGCTCAGTCACGTGCAGGAGCATCTCAGGTTGAAGCAGCGAGCCTCAGGGCCACCCTCAGGTCCAAAGATGGAAATGGAAAGTACGCTTGTCGAGATTCCGACCTCGAATTACCTGTTTCCAAACATCAGAAATCGTCTCAAAAGGACCACTGTGCACAGTACTACCCGCAATGGCAAGTTGCATTCAGGCACCTGGCAGGAGCGTCTCCTCTACGGCAACGCCGTCTTCAAAAGCAGGGGTTTGATTGCCTCCTGGGTCGTGGGACTCTCATGTTCATGTGGTTGACGAGGTAAGCACCATGTTGCGGCACCAGATCTTGGCTTATCGACTGAAGGATGAATATCCCTTCGATCCTAATTACCCATACCGACCGAAGAAGGCAAGCCTGGACGAACTGCTGGCGTTCGAGAAGGAATTGGGCATTGATCATGTCTGCCTTATCTGCATGTCAGTGTATGGTACTGACAACCGCTCCATGATGGCTGCTCTCCGGCAATTGAAGGGCCATGCTCGAGCAATTGTATGTATCGACCCTGCCACCATTACGGAACAAGAACTGCAAGAGATGCACCAGTTGGGAGCTCGGGGCGTCCGAGTCAACCTGAAAACCCGCAATGAGCAGATTTCCAAAGAAACCTTGGCTGCGAAACTTCTTCAGTACGCGGACAAAATTCGTCACCATGGCTGGGTTATCCAGGTCTACTTTGCCCTTGACCAGATCCCTCTCATCGTAGACGTGATTCCGGAGCTGAACATTCCGCTGGTGATTGATCATATGGGGTCCCCCAATCAAAGCACACGGCCTTCTGATCAACCAGGATATGCAGAATTACTCAACCTGCTCGAACGCAAGCTTGTGTGGGTCAAAATTAGTGGGATATATCGCTTTCCTAACACGCCTGAGCTTGATGCGTATGGAAGGGAGATAATTCGGAAGGCTCCTACGCAAGTCGTCTGGGTTAGTGACTGGCCACACTCAGGGGGAGTGGAGAAAAACATCAATGGAAATCGTCACGTCTATCAAGATTATCGGAAGATTGACGATGCTGCATTTGTTGAGAAGTGTTTGGAATGGTGCGACTTCGACGAGAAAATAATTCAGTTGTTGTTCGTCGAGAATCCGAGAAGACTGTGGAGGTATGAGGGAATACAGCAATGAACGAGCTAGGCTTTGAAAATGGTCGAGTATTCAGAAAGTAACAATAGAGGTCCTAGTTTCCACTTAGAGCTGCATCGGTGAAGTATTGGTTTAAAACTTCTTCTGAAAAATCGATACAGTTCTCTGGGAAGGAGTCGAGTGTCGATATATGCTGCGGGTTGAAAACAGGACCCGGAAAATCGACATTCAGTGCAGCATTTAGATTTTGATCGTAGAATGGGAATGCCGGCATCGGATGCGAGGCGAGGATCGCATATGAGTCGGGGAGATCGTCCTCCAACATATCCAGATTCCATGACGAGCCAATGCTAGCCATGATGATGTCCACGCTTCTTTGGATACCTGGACACGAGCTTTTGACGGCAGTAAGCGCACTAAGGTATGTTCGAGTTCTTTGGCTTGACCCTGCAAGACCTTCTCTCAAATCTTGTACCGCAATCGTAGCGGCAGTATACGTGCAATACGCCATGAGATAGGTGACCCGAGTAAAGCCAAAGGTGTTTTTGAGCCTCAGCAAAAGTTGTTCAACCTGCTCAGATGCTTTGCGACATATTGTTCTACATGTCGTCGAGGATTGAAACGGACGATGCAGGAGAATAAGTGCTGTATGGTAAAGGAGACTAATTAATGGTTAGAATTGAATAGGTCGAGGCGAGAAATAGGCAAATACTTCTGAGAAAGTACGTGTGGCGGTGGGCAAATGCCATTCTGGGCATCTTCAGCGACCTTCAAGTGGGCTGGCGTTGCTGCGCGCCAGCTCGACAACCGAGCGCTCGCCTTTTGTATGAATTCCAGCACCGCATTTGACGCTTGCCGACCGTATACATTGATTATTATGTCGGTCAGTATGACACCGAGTTGGCAAAAGTTCGTAAAGCATGAGATTGTACTGGCCGGAGTCGGTGGGAATCTGCTGGGCACCGGCTCACCGTCAAAGATTGGAATCCAGGGCTCGGTCTCGGCTGTATCATCAACTAGAAGATGATGTTAGCATTGGCTTCAAGCAGGATTCTTCTTCCGTACGAAGTTGAGCTTGGACAGACGGCGGATCTGGCAGAGCTGGCATTCGCCCGAGATACAAGCTAATAGCTCTGCAAATGTCAGTGAGTCTTTTACTATTGGTGGAGAGATCAGTACTTGTCCCAAAGGAAGCAGCCCCAAGCAAGACGAGTCTTCATCTCTTGCCCCTGAGTAGCGGCGATGGAGACGTCTGGCGGCTGAGGGGGGAAGGCAAATAACCCAATATCTGTTGCCATTCGAAACGCCATGCCGCTCAATAGCCACGCTTGAGAGGTCATCCCCTTGCCGATTTCAAGAGCGCTGAGCTGCAAAAGTGCTTGGATTGTAGACATTGTAGGGGTATTGTGTATCTCCTGCCCAAGCAAGAGTCTAGCTCGTGACAGCAACTGACCACTCAACTCTTGGTCCGTGAACCTTGTTGAATGAGCACAGACGGCACTCAAGAGCAAAGGTGAGAAGTCAGACCCCCCGGTTACCAAATTCTCTGGTATGAGTTAGCCAAAATCCTCCACGGAAAGAATCCAAGCGTACTCATAAACGAAGGGCGATATACAAACATAAAGACAGGATGGACCCATGTCCAGTGGGTCTGGAGGAGTTGCTGGATCGATTTTGCAGGAAGATGAAGATGAATCGAAGCAATCTCAACGGCAATATTCTCAAAGCCCTGCCAATGCAAAGAGTCCCTCACTAAAGACTCCTTCCGTGTGCGGAGCGATACGGAGTCTTCCCTGCCAGCAGTTATCGAAGTAACGTTCTCAGATGGATTATCAACGGCTGATGTGGACGAATAGTAGTCTGACTATGATTCTGATTAGCAGTCCTGCCCCTTGGCACGGGAAGGATATAGTGAGGTACTTTAGCCGCAGTCTTAAATGCCAAGAGTGATTCCACAGAGTCGCGTTTGCTGGATGTGGACATTGAGGAGTGTTGAGCATTGGTGGCTATAACACTGGACGGGTTCAATGGTGCTTTCCTCAGGATTGACTGGACCTGGGCATTGTCCACCTGCCGCAGCTCCTCAATGGCTTGTTCCAAACATTCATACCTCCTGGCCATCTCGAGTATGCGGCTCATAGGGGGGGCTGTGTCATATCGACACTCCTCTTTGTAGGCCAGACAGACCATGCATTGTGGCTGTTTGCCATCGCATCGAGTTTTTCGTAGGCGGCAATTGGTGCAGGTGAGATGGTAGGGCCGCCTTCTTTTACCAGGAGGCTTGTCTGAAGCAATTGTTCTCTTGTTAGTCATTGTGCGTTGACCGCGATATCTCGCAGGAGACGCATAAAGATTGATATGTTTATTGGGGTGCGGAGTAAGTGCCGGAATACCGAGGCGCTAAGTGAGTTCTACCTTTCGCCCTGAGCACTGGCCTAGGGCTGCATAGATGGCGAGCTCTGTGGGACAGAGGGCGTTATGATGGTACGAGGCGGTATGGTATTGAGTATCTAAGAGAGAGAGAGTCTGTCTGACAGCTATGTACGCTGTACTGAGCAAACTGAGCAATAGGCGCCAAGGCGCTAATGGCTCATGATCTCCCTACTTGTTACAAGTACCCAGTACATAAGCCACCACGCCCCTTATTAAGGCTCAGAAGGTTACCCCAAGCCCCAACTTGTTTTTGCGGGGTATGACAGAGAGCCCCTGATACACAGAAGCACAAGCAGCGTGAAGCTCTCCAAACCAATCAATCTTTTGTATTGTTGGTATCAACGAATCTCGATGCAAAACCAATTTGTGTCGACAGCAGCTCGGCGGTAGGGATTCACCAATGCACGGCTTCGCTGAAATAGAGATCCAGCCGAGAGTCAGCTTCAGAGCTGGATGAGGTCACATTAATGCACATCTAAGACAGCCAGCAGCGGTGAGACGTAAGTTGTTGAATGAGACGACTATGGGAAGCCTCGGTGTGGTATTCTCATCAACATAGAAAGCGAAGCATGATGTGCAAGGAGTGCTGGGATCTGTTAGAGAGCCAGGATGTCCCAACGTGAAGCCGAGAGCAGTATCGCAATGGGTGTCATTCGACGTGGCGACGCACAGTGGGTCGCTGATGGAATGAATTCGTTGGATAGGCAGCTAGTTGCCGCCTCAGTCTGAGCCAAGCTAACGGGACTGTCTCTGGACAGTCTTTCTGCAGTGACGGCGAGGTATGTGCGAGGGTTTGAAAAGGCCACAGGTTGTCGCAGTGCCAATTCCCTTCCAGCCTAGCCTAATTAGGCTAGCAACCTGCCCCAAGCTTATGCAAGCTCAGCCTCACGAGGCGCCGAAATGCGGATAAGGACGGGCCTCCACCACAAGCTGCCACGCAAAATCGTACCCGGTACCTCGTACATGTAATAGTATTCTTCTCACGACTCTAGTCTTGGCCCTTTCTTTGGTCTAGCTGGTTTACGAAACGACAAACGTTATGTATGATAGCTTGCTCCTTCCTAAGCCCAAGCGTCCTTCAAAGTTCGCAAAACTTGCTTCACGTCAACTATTTGTCCCCATCAGAAAATTTCACGAAAGCGACATGATTCGGTTGTTAGAAGTCTGCCCTTCCACCCATAGCTTTCCACGAGATGTTGTATGCAGATTGCTCTATTTTAGACTCTCCGAGAACCCGATCTTTGAGGCATTGTCCTATTGTTGGGGCACTAGCGAGAAAGAATATTTCATCTACTGCGATGGACTTCGCTATTGGGTCACCGAGTCACTTCTAAAGTTCCTCCTTCGTTACCGAGACAGCCGAGAATCCCAATTGCTATGGGTTGATCAGATTTGCATCAACCAAGATGATTCAGTTGAAAAGTCGTTACAGCTACGACTAATGGGGGACATCTACCGACAGGCAGAGCAAGTCATCATTTGGCTCGGCGATTTCCCCGGAACCTGGATTGGAACCCCTGAGCAAGCGTTGATAAAGGATCTCGCAAGGCTGCGGCACACACCTTTACACGGAGAGCTAGTTGCTCTTTTGCGCCAATTAGAGATCTTAAAGCTGTTTAAAAGGTTATCCAAGATACGATACGAGTCGACAGCGCAGCTAGGAAGCCTTGAAACTATTGGAACAATCATGACGAGTCCTTGGTTTACGCGAACATGGATTGTTCAAGAAATCAACGCCGCCAGAAGGGCAACTGCTTATATTGGCAACATCAGAGTGGGCTGGTCTACCTTTTCGGACGCCATAACATTCGTTGTGAATACCGGGATGAGATTTGCGTTGGCCAACAAGAACCTGGGACCGGCAATGAGACTGGTATCGATTTGTCTTACGTTGGCTGCAGATCGCAACTTGCCAATGCTTAGGTGTCTCTTGTATGCAAGGCACCTCAAAGCAAGCCTTGCCCAAGATAAGGTTTTAGGTCTGTGCCATTTATCCACCGATTTTGAACGCCTTGGGATCGACCTCAATTGCAGCTTGGACCCGAAACAGGTTTATCGAAACGTAGTGGAAGCACTGCTACGGAAGGATAACACTCTTGAGTTCCTCTCCGTTCCTCGGCCCCGATATTCAACTAGTACAGCTGGTCTTCCAAGCTGGGTGCCCGACTGGAACACGGGTTCAAACATCGTCATCCCTTTAGCGTTTGACATTCCCGGATTTGCTCCAAACTACCAAGCTAGCAAAAGGCCAAGGGCATCTTTGCACCCTGGAGTTGACGACTGGGTACTAACCATCGAAGGTATGCAGTTCGACACGTTATCTACTCTGAGTCGCGTTTATCCCTCCGAGCCGCATGCAAACTATATTGAAGATGTTGTCGTAGCATCGGAGAGAACAGCGGACGATATGCTGGCAGAGCTCGATACTCTTCTCGAATGGGCAAAGATGACAAAGTCGGTGGCCAAGTTAGAACCACGTAACGAGTCTCGGGCGGCCCTATTATTAAGAACGATTACTGCTGGCCAGCTATCAGCAGATATAGACGCTTGCCACCGCACGTTCAGATACCTTGTGGGAAGATACAGACTGAGGTTGAAGTTATTGTCGCTGCTGGAAACCAAAACGTCGATCATTGGACGAGCCTGCAGAGCCATTGAGAGGTCTTCTCGATAGCTGGGTTCTGCACCATCTTTCCAAGTTCTTTTGAGATCTTTAACTGTGTGTGTGGGCAGGACACTCGGTATCACCAGCAAGGGCTACTTGTGTCTCGTCCCTGCAGACACCGAGATGAGTGACAGCATCTTGCTAGCCAAAGGTAGCAAAACACCCTTAGTATTACGGAAAGAGGGGAAGCCTGGACTTTGGAGTTTTGTGGGTGATTGCTACGTTCATGGCATCATGGCCGGAGAAGCATTTGATCAAGATCAGTGCCGGATAATTCACATTGTATAGCAAGTGAACGGGTCAAGAAAGATAAATCTTTTTGAGAGGGATATTACGGCTCATGTGAGAGAAGGCAGCGAATATACCAACTGTTGTAGACAATTGTCAATACTGGTGACATTCCTACGTACAACATGTGTCGATTTATGCATATTCAGTCCACCTGCATGAACGTGGGCCCAAAATGCGACAATCTTAGCGTGTCCAGCTCTGCCGGAGGTTCCATCAGGATTCCAGGGCAAGTCGGAAATGAGATTACTTCATCTTACCAGGGGTGCAAAAATATGGCGGAAGGGGGGGATATAGTAATCGTTGAACTCTTCCAGAGGACGTTTGGAGTCCTTTGTTTTCGAGGCACATGTTGAGAGGGGATAACATTCCTTGGCCTCAGCTCATAGGCTGATGCCGCGACGTCTGCTGGTCTTCACAACATCCGTTTGTCGAAGTCATGAGGTGGGTGCCTAGTCGTTGAGGAAACAAGGTTCGACGTTGGGCGAAAAGACAGCCAGGCGACCAAGGCTAATCTCGAGTCACGCCTGACGCACGAGTCGGTGTCCCTCTCGTGTCCGATCGAAGCCGTCGCGCGTAGGAGGGACTACTATTCAGTCCGCCGTTTCCCCAGAGCGTTTCGATTTCACGCATGTCCCCGAGTTGAGTCAACATAGCTCACGTCAAATTGTGGAAGGTCATTGTGCAACTGTATCACAGGATTCAACCCCTGGGCGCTACCGCCATAGCAGCCCGTGAATAAACCGTCGAAGGCATCCCCGGGAAGGCCAAAACTAGGCCCGAGTAGCTCATCCACCGTATCGAAGCTCAAAGGGCCGTCCCAGAATGGCAATATTTCGGTTGTAGTACTGGTCATCAAGGGCCAGCCCTCCAAGGGGGAGTCAAGAATAGAGGTGTCGATATGTTTTTGCAATCGATTCTGGTAATCTGCATTCGGTCGGGTGTCGGAGTGATTCACTACTTGATCAAGGTCCTGGCCTAATCTTGGAACGGTACTGAGATTACAACGCTTGGACTCTTGAAGAATACGCTGCGCGCGTTCGAAAAGTCTGTACATAACCCCGGCGCTCCAGTACGTCTCGCGGAGCTTTGACAGGATAAGCATACAGAGTTGGAGGCGATTGCCCGCGAGACCGCTAATAAGAGGTTCAACGGACTTGTAATCGAAAAGGTGGATTTGCATCGAGGGAACTATGGCGGTAATTCTGGATCCAGTGGTTGAGAAGTTAGCATCAGGAACATCAACGGCACATCCCGACGACGAGACCACTCACATCATTGGTTTCAAAAACTGGATAGCATCGATTTCAATCAGCTTCTCTAGAATATTGTTGGTGTTTGAAGCTGCTGCTCTTGCTTTCGCCAAAGCTGTCTTGTGCCACAGAGGTGGAGCAGTAGCAGGAATGGCTGCAAGGCCGCCGAGGACATATGGGCGATAGAGGACCGTAACTGTGGCTCTAGGTTATTGTTTGTATCTAATGTCCTGGACTTGTTGGAAAAAAGGGAGACTTACTGGTAGAACAACTCGACCTGATAAGCATGCATGCGGAGCAGGTAATTGGAGACATCTGACAATTGGTCTTGTCGAGCGCATTCCTGCAACTCCTCTACAAGATTATCGACAGTTTCAAGGCTTGGCCGAGGGCCCCTGGCACGATAATGGGCACGCAGAATGTTTCCTAGTGCATAACTGGTTTGCACGAAGCGAACCCACATTGCTGCCAGTGCGTCGTACTCTGAGGGAATGAACCTCTCGCGATGCTCGCTTGAGACCTGCTCCAGATCAGTGAGAATGTCGTTAGCACACGGCATCGGCACATCGCAATCCTCGTGATGAATTCGCATCGGACGGCCTTTCGCCAGCGATACCCATCGGTCTCTAACAAAGCAAGTCCACCAGAGACGTCGCGCGTGTCTGACGAAAGAATCGGATACACCTTGTCCACGGAGGGTTGACTGGGGGTCCCGATGAAGGCCAAGATTCTGGCATAGAGAGATGGCAACACCAGTCCAATGCCATGCTCCGGTATGGTCTTGTGGATCAGTGTACCAGAATCCCATTAGGATGACGGATTGAATGAGGACAAGTTTATCAGTTCCTCGGTCGCAATCGTAGAGACACTGCCATAGGATGGTTAGTTGATTCTACAACACGAAGAGTTTCGGCAGACCTTGGCCCGCTCATACATCGCCTTTTTCATGACACGCCGGGATGAATATCCTGCCTTTTGCAGCAGGTCGGAGCTCACAAACTTGAGAAATCTCAGCAACGCCCCAGATATGAGAAGAAGCTTACCTTACATTGGCGGTGGCTAAAATCATACTCCAAAATAAAAGGGGGCTGATGTTATTGCGTTCATTTGTATACTGGGCCAAGAAAGTGCCAGCATCTACGACGGGAATGAAGAAATGGACATGTTCAAAATAGCAGCGGATGGCTTCGTCTGCAACATCGTTCGGAAGCGTGTCGAAAACACCTTTGCGGCGCATATATTCAATTTCGTAAGGTTCCTTAGGTATTCTGTTTGAGTCCTGTGGAATATATGGTCGAGCATCCTGTGCTTGAGTTGGATGGCAGATGTCGTAGACGGCAAGACGAGGTCCACGCCTGTCGCCTAAAGCATACAAATTAGTGGGTGATTCGCCAGGTCCTTGCTTCACCGGGTAACCCAACCGATGTATGAAAGTGAGGAATCGTCAGGCAATATGACATCGACATCCTCATCAGGCGTGGGAGTGGTTCTCGCAGCAGCAACCGATCCTTCGGCTGCACTATTAGATGACGCCGCAGGACTGCATTTATCGGGAGGACTCGGATTGATAGCTATCTGCTCAGGGTGGTGCTGAGTGTTTGAGGGTGCAGGGTCTAGAACGCGTCGTGATCCACGGGGTCGATGCTTCTTGCGTGGAAGCACCTCACACTTTGCCTTTGGCCTATCATGCTTGCAGTTGGAGCACGGAGGACCTGTGCTTGTCACGTCGCAGCGGACTTTGCGACGATTGCAGGGCTGGCAGGCTGCCCGTGAACGTGGTCGCACCCTATCAGTCGGCTGACTTGTTTCCTGCATGTAGACACCGGCGGCCTTGATGCCATGTGAGATAGAGAAGGAGTTTGCCGCGGGTAGAAGACGAATGGAACTCTGGGCTATTAAAGGGAGGGACACGAGGTGGAAGATTTCTCACGTCCCGGTTAATATTTGAATGAGCGAGGAAGTAGCTGCGGACGATCGGCTCAAAGGAAAAAAAGTGCAGTCTGACAAAGAGTCTTCTCGGCTCGCAATATTTCATACCTCGATGTTACCAGTCATAAGAAAACACTTTCTTGCAGCCTCAAGCAGCCCCTGCAAAAACCACAAATATTACCAGTCATTTCATTCGAGCTACCCGGCTAACTGGGTAAACATCCTCCTTGCAATTGACGAAGCCATGAAAGAGAACATGGCCATCGAGGCCGAGCGCGTTGGTGATATGGAGACGACCAAGACTGAAGGCGACGACTTTACGCCTGACGAAGAGGGCGCCTCGTTCGGAAGCTGGATTTCTGGTATGAGATGAAGCCGTCGTTAATGTCTACGAATAGCACTAACGAGATGTCCCCAGGCTCCTACCTCTCATGATGATGACCTATATGCTTCAAAGCTACGACAAAGGCATTATGAGCGCCGCAACCCAATTCAACTTCAATAGCGACCTCAAACTCACCACAATCGTGGGCTACCAAGCCGACGGCAAACCCATCACCAACAATCAAAAGTACTCAAATGCTGCCATGATGTTCTACATTGGCTATTTGGTCGGAACATATCCCATGATGTACTTGTCTCAACATTATCCCACCTCGAAAGTCCTTTCTCTGGCTACCTTTCTCTGGGGTGCAGTGGTTATGTCAACAGCGGGCTGCTCAAACTATGTGGGTATTATGCTCAATCGCTTCTTCCTGGGCTTTCTGGAATCTACTGTTGCTCCAGCCTTTACGGTGTTTGTTACCTTCTGGTGGACTCGCGATGAACAAGCCCTTCGAAACAGCCTCTGGTACAGTTGCGTGGGTGTTGCCACAACCATCTCGCCCTTGATTAATTACGGCCTGGGCCAGATCAACACCTCGATGCCTCGTTGGAAGCCTATGTTTCTGATCCTAGGAGCTGTGACGCTATTCTGGTCCATCGTTCTCTCCTTTGCTCTGCCAGACAGTCCTTTAACCACCAAGCGGTTGACTGAGTCGGAGAGGAAGATTGTCGTCCGCCGACTAGAACGAAACAACGCCGGCACCATCAGTCGCAAATTCAACAAGGGCCAGTTCCTTGAGGCATTTCGCGACTACAAGCTATACAGCTGTACTCTCATTATCCTCCTTACCGGTGTCCCGTCAGGGGCCTTGGGTACGTTTGGGACAGTGGTGATCAATGGGTTTGGCTTCGACCATTTCGACTCGTTGGCCTTGACCTGTCCCATTGGCGCCATCACCGCGACCAGCATTCTCTTTGTGGGCTACGTCACGCGCAAATGGAACAACCTTCGGTACCTGTCCATTGTTACCTGTGCTCTCATCTCCATTGCTGGTACTCTTATCTGCTGGCTTGGACCGCGAAACAATCGCGGCTTGTTGTTTGCGGGCGTCTTCCTTATTGCGGTTCAAGTCTCTGCCGGAGGAGTAGCAGTTTCTCTCGCTGCATCAAACATTGCAGGACACACGAGTAAGTCTCACAACCTAAACTTCAAGCTTATCAGGTTTGACATAGAATAGAAAAGGCCACCGTCAGCGCAACAACCTTCGTCGGATACTGCGTGGGGAACGTGATAGGGCCCGAGATTTTCGGCGCCTCACCCGGCCCTGTGTACCATGCAGGCTTCATGGGAAGTTGTATTTGCTTGTGCTGTGTGGTGGTTATTGCGACTGTCACTTACGTCCTTCTTCGTAGAGAGAATGCGAAGAGAGACAGAATTCATGGTGGACGAGGTGGCCAGCATGGCATCGAAGAGGATTTATCGGACATGAAGAATGGAGAGTTCCGATATGTACTGTAGGTGGGTAGCGGCCATTGTCAAAGGTCCAGGGGCCTCGAGTTCTGGTAAACTATAAGTTAGCGCTATTTAGCATAAGAAGAATGTAAAAAAAAAACCTATTCAATTTCCCTCATGCCGATGCCACTGTTTCCACGGACAGCCCCTAGATGACCTCGTGATCTTTCCTGATTGACAGATTACTTTCCCCAACCTGGCAGCCATTGAAGCGGAGGTGTTCCTATAAGCCGAAATTCCCGAAATTCCCGAGATTGCTCATGAGTTGGGCCGACAGCCACTCTGCAAAAACATTCATCGACTCCAACATTTCGACGTTATTCGGGCATTAGTATCTTCCCCTTCGGCTCGTTCTTTTCTTTTTGCCGAGTTGCCATCTAATGCACTGCCTTTGGACCCCTGCCTTGATAGAAACCGCGACGAGCAATCTCGGCGATGGCAACTTGAATGCGTGCTGGACCACTACAAACAACTGCACCTGGAGAGCTCATCTTGCGCTAATGTTTGCATGTGGGCATTTAACAACGACATTTTCCGGGGTATGCTTCTCAATCTAGTCTGTTGTGGAGATAGACAGGCAGAGGTTGTGGAGATGAGTGCTGCTATATCGACGCTATTCAGATGGCCATTTGAGGTACGACAGCAGACCGCAAAAGTCAATTGAAAGGGTCTTAAATCGAACTTTACCTGCTGTTTCTTTCTGCTCTGTTCGCATCTTTTTGCTTCCGTTATCACATTGATCAAGTTTCGAGAACGCCAAATCGACTGGAATGGCGTTGAGTAAATACTTGGTGCGAGTGTGTTTGTGCACTTTCACCATCAACACTCTGACAGCTTGGGCATCATCCATCGCTTCCCGAACCAACGTGAACCGTCAGCTTCTCGGTTGCGGAAAAGATCTTCCTGGCGGGCAGACTGTTGGACAGGTCTCAAACGTGACGATAACAAGTGATGGGAATAACCGGAGCTACTTCATCTTCATCCCGCCAGCCTACTGCAAAGACACTCCGACGTCAGCAATAGTGTCTTACCACGGAGGCGCGCGGACAGCAGAAGACCAGCTAGAGTTAGATCTCCTGACAAGCCCAGAATTCAACACCAAGTCGTTCGTGGTGTATCCCCAAGGGATTAATGTAAGGGCCTTTTCTCTCTGTGCTTGGCATGTAGCAACGAGCGAGGCTGAAACATCTGCAGAATACATGGCAAGGAGTGCCCGGGGTTACAACGAATGATCTCCAATTCACCACAGACATCCTCAACAAGATCGAAAACCTGTATTGCATTGACCCATCGCGGATTTATACGACTGGAAAGTCAGATGGTGCGGGTTTCTGCAACCTGTTAGCCTGTGACCCAGCCCTCTCGACAACTTTTGCCGCATTTGCTCCTGTTTCTGGAGCCTACTATGTTGACTCTTTACCCTGCATGCCTACGACGGTGGACCTACCATGTTCCCCAGGAAGGCCTCAGATTCCGGTCCTCGCTTTTCACGGCGGCAACGACACGACTATCCCATACACCGGGGAAGAGCGCAAAGGCGAATGTCTTCCGAGCATTCCTCACTTCATCCAGGAATGGGCGCTGCGGGAAGGACTTGGGACGACGAACATAACGACACCGGTGGCCAATGACACTGTCAAGTATAGCTATGGGGTGGGACGTGATGCAGGCTTGGTGGCTTTGGTCTTCGACTCGGATATCGGCCATGACTGGCCTAGCACAGCGCCAAATGGCGACAACCAGCATGCAGGTCATCATCCAGCCAGCTTTAATGCTACCCTGATCATCTTGGATTTTTTCCAACGTCATCGACTGACCTAAAACTTTCGGGATTAGAGGGCAAGACTTATTGGGAAGGGGCCAGGTAGTGAAGATCAAGCTTGAGAGAGGGGGCAAGACCCCTGCCCCTGAATTGGGCGGCATTTGCATGTACACCTAGTTTGCATTTTTTCATGCTGTTTACTTCGGTAATTTGCCATTCATTTTGCACGGTGACACCGGATGCTTATCATAATTGCCGTGCCTCGACCTTAGCCGACCTGTCCCGAACCCACAGCTCCTGTCGTTGGTCACACAGGCAAACCCTACATCCCACAGCAAGGGGATGTACCCGGGTGGAAAGATTGTAAGAAGGCCCGGTGTTTCTCTACTCGTACTTAGTGCTGGTGAGTGTAGTGGAGTGTCCCGGTTACAACATTGATAGTTGCGACTTGCACGTGCAGTAATTACCGAAGCACCTCGCCCCTCTGGCGCCTTTCTCCAATATCAAACCGAAGCCAAAAGCGTCTAGACTCTTGCTCCAGTCCCAATTTATTCCAAGTCTTAACATCGGTCAAGAATAAATCCCCTCCAGCAGTCCGCTAGCAAGCGGCGTACATGAAATAAGGGGGGATGAAGGAAGAAAGATGGGCCTCACAATGTCAGGAGACCACCACCAGCAGCAGCATTTACAAAAGTCCAGCCTAGAACCACGCTTCAGCCTGCCCCGGACTACACCGGCGTCCAGCAGAACGGACATCGTCATCGGCGGCATCAGAGTGTACGTGTATGGCCTGGACGAGCTCGCTCATAAGACCAACGCCGAGGTGGCCGTCCTGTACCTTGCGCATAATCGCAAACGATCGTATCTGGTGACCGAAGACATTGCCTACGAGGTCCTACACAGATATAGGACCGAGAAGGGAAGGAAGAAGAAGTATGAGCTTATTGCCCTGACTATCAATATGAGGAATCACGGGGACCGGGAGGTATGTGTCGATTTCCCCTTTCCCACTTCTGTGCCGATTTTTGCTGGCCGTATCCCATCAGATTCTAAACACGAATTTGAAAAGCAACTTTGGGTTTTTGGATCTGATGTATATGTATTCAATGGACAGGTCAGTCCGCAAGCGAACTATACGTGGGATGACGAAAATGATAACCACGGGTAAGCTGAGACAGATCCTCTCTCCTCCTTCTTCCTCCCCGACACGTTGCTATTGTTCAAGTCCAGTACAGCAATACCTCACAAGAACTCAACAGCATTCATTCGTGTATCTCTTTAAAGCTGACATTCTTCGAAACTTTGGGGGAAAAAAATAGAATGGACCTACTGTCCATGATCTCGGGCTCAGCCCAGGACTTCAAGCTCATCCTGGACTACCTGCCAGCGTATCTGCCGCAGTTCACGCGCTTCCACAACATCATGGCAGGCGTCTCGCTTGGCGGCCACACGGCGTGGCGGATGGCCCCGCTGGCATCGCCGGGCCAGATCGAAGGCTTTGCCATGGTCGTCGGTTGTCCGTCCCTAACCCCGCTGCTCCTTTCGCGCTTGGGCATCGACACTGCAGCAGACCTCACGACTGCGACCTACGACGACCTGGAGAAAGTCATGACGGCGGAGCAGAAGCGCCGCTGGCCGCGCGTGCTGGCGGAGCTGGTGCAAGAAGGCGACAGGGCTGTCGCGGACACCTTCCCCGCCGACCTTCCTGTTCTGCTGTGCAGCGGTGCGCTCGACCCATTGGTCCCCGCGCGGTACACGGCGGCTTGGGTCGAGAGGAGGAGACACCTCGAGAGAGGAGGCGACGAATGTAACGTTGGCAGTGACGATGGCCCAGTCCGCTTCTTCGTCCAGGAGAACACGGGACACAGCTGCACTAAGGAGATGGTGGCGTTGCTTGCGTCGTGGCTGGGCGACGTTTTTCAAGCATAAGACGCCAATCAAAGGGTTGGGGATTGCGATTTTCAATCACCCACTTGCGATATTCATTCACGCTCTCAAGCACGCACAATGCAATGCGCGCAACTGCATCTTCACCCATCTCCGGCAATCTTCGCCGGGCCGTCGACGAGCATGGAGGGGTATGTTGAACCAATCCGAGGTCCATAAGTTGATGGATTGAGAAGAGAAGAGAAGTTCTATTATCTAGTATCTGTGACGGAAGAGGCCAACCTGTGGCCGCAGTGCCAAGAGATATCACTACTAGCCTAATCTGGCCAGTTCAACGAGTTATGCAAAAGGGACGGGCTGGCGTTAGGTTAAAAGGTCCGAGGCACAAACAAAGAACTACAAGTAGAACTTCTTTCTCGTCCTTTACATGTGAACAACCCCCCTTTTAGGAGATAACGTAGACGCTTTGAGCGGATCTCAACCACCCCAAGGCTTCCAGTGTCCCCACTGAGGACTCTAGCCATTCTCCTTGCCTTGGTCGATCCTGTCTATCTTGCGAGACTTACATCACTGACAAATCAGGAAGCGCTCTTGGTCCAGTTTCCACCCGTTCCTTCAATTCCGCGTCGGGCACTCCATCCTTGATCTTCTGAATCAGTTCCTCCGCATCGAAATCCGTGCCAATCGGGTTCTCGGCGAAGTATTGGCTATTCATAAAGTCTTTGGCCGCTTTGACAGTGTCAAAGTTGTCAACCTGCGTCTCGAGCATGTTGCCATCCGGGTCTTTATAGTAGATGGACGTCGTGGGCCCGTGGTTGACGCACCAAACAGGCGAGATTCCGCGGGCTTTACGTTGCCGATAAGCCAGAAGCAGTGCGGAAAGCGATGGGAAGGTGAAAGCAATGTGCTCCAGTCCAGAACTAGTGTACGATTTAGGTCCCGTGTCTGGCGTACCAATAATAGCGATACGATGGTGTTCGTCGTCGTATGTGATGAACGAGATGAAGTCGTTCCCGTAACTGACTGTCCCCCCCAAGAAGTCCAGATAGAAGTCGACCATTTTCTTGAAATTGCCGGTGCGGAGGACGACATGCGCCAGGGTCGACGGACTCAGCACCTTAGGGCCCTTGTCGTCGAAGTCGATCTCTTGGAGGGAGCCCATGATTAAGTCGTATGTGTTCTCTTATTCGGGCTTTTACTTTTGGGAGAGCAAACGTGTCCTGCTCAGGAGGAGGATGTGCGGGGAGAGATATAGTGTACCGCCATAATCCCAGTACAATTGGGCTCCTGCCTTTCGAGCACTGCATCACCGATTGGGTCTTCTGCGAGATTTACATGGAAAGACCGGTCCGAAGCTTGAGGGATCTCTCGGACGAAGGGCCGAGCCCAACTAGCTAGTTCTCGGGCACCTTTCGGACAATGGCGACACGTGAAATCAGACATCTTCTGGCACACTCCAGGTGTTCCCTACTGCCAGCCTTCTCCGAAAACCCCTCAACCACGCAGAGCACCTGTGACGTCCTACGTAACAAAGGAAACTGTCTGGCCCGATCTGGTTGCCCACAATGACAGCGTCAAAGCTGGGAAATGAGCCTGACGAGTAGGGGGATCATAGGTACTAGCATGAATTAATGATACTCAGCATATCAAGGAGTGATCTATGTCAAAAACCGTATCGAGTCAAGGGCTGAAGCTGAGGTCTCTCAATTCTTCTCAATAGGCTTCCAAGCTCCAAATACCATCCCTTCTGGAACCTTCTTCCATTGTCCCGTTTCTGGGTGTAGCAATTCTTCGGCATCCTTGACAGCTTGGCGGATGATGGACGTCCTCTCAGGGCTTTTCGGCACGATATCAATAGGATACTGACGTGGATGGACCGTTATCCCTCCCACTAGATCATTGATATCCGGAGTAATCGGGTTGCCGGCTTTGTCCAGAGCTTTACGGAGGTGGAAACCCCACAGGATTCGAGACATTCCAAGGTAGAGAGATCTCTCAGCAATATGAACACCTTGGCACAACCGACGGCCGGCGCCAAAGTTGAAGTTATCTCGCTTCAGTGGCTCACCATTGGCAGACTCGTAAAGCGTTGTATTGTCTCCGATGTATCTGTCCGGGTTGAATCGGCGAGGCTCGGGAGATCGGTTGGGATCCATGTGAATGCCCCTAAGAAATGCTTGTTAGTAAGTGAGCCATACACGAAAGGAAACTTTTTGACCGTACCAAACGTTGTTGATGATAGTCGATCCCTTTGGAATCTTCCAACCGTTGTAGGTATCATCTTTCGTGACACTGTGTGGAACGCCCATAATAACGGTAGGCATCCATCGAAGCGTCTCCTTAACACAACAACGAATGTAAGGTAGTTTGGAGTAGTCATCCACGTTTGGCAGGCGGTCGGGCCCGACTACATTGTCGATTTCTTCCTGCGCCTTCTTCTGTACGTCTTGGAAGACTATCATGGCCAACATGAAGGCGTACATTGTCGAGGACGTGGTGTCGGAGCCTCCTTCGAGCAAGGATCCCACTATGTAGCCGACAGCCTCATCGGACAGATTTTCGCTCTGTTGAGCAAGCAGAAGATCGTTACAGATACATGGCTAAACTGGTTAGCTTTCTCTTCACAGTGCTGGTAGGATGCCATGGCAAACAGGCTTACTCACCAGGCCAGTTCCATCTTTGAGCTGTTGCTTAGCCTTCAACCAGTGTTCAGTGTAGAGCTCTCGCCCAACCTGGTGTACATGCCTGCCCTTGCGAACACTGGGAAGCATGAAGCTGGGTAGTTTCTGGAGAATTGGATACAGATCTGCCAGTTGAGAGGAAGCACTTTCCGACACCTCGCTCCATCCATTGACCACCTGTGAGACCCGCGCGTGTTAGACCGAAGAGGAGAGCGGACTGAAGGTGAGGCACATACGTAAAAAAGTTGTGCCAGTCTTTCGTCGCGGAAATCCGGGCAACGGTACCCGAAAATCATCTGAGTGGAGAGCGAGTAGGTAAATCTCCTCAAGTGTTTGAACAGATCCTCGGATCCGGGCGCATCCAGAAGTCCCTTGAGAAGGACCTTGTTCTCGAGGTCCTGGTAGGGGACGTACTTTGCAGCCACCTTGATGTTCAGAATATTGTGGATCAGTCGGTGAATGGTCCGCCATCTTTCACCGTATCTCTGTCCTCCATTAGCACTCAAGCCGGACGACTAAACCAGAGAGCCGTGGGAACTGCACTCGCCATGACTACCAATCTGTGGCCTCCGCTGGCCACATCTTGACTAATATACAAGTCGGGGCGGTCAGAATAAATGCCGCCGCGTTTGTCCAATAGTTCTTTGACGGCGATGTCGGACGACAGAACAATAGTAGGTTTGGTGCCCATCATCAGGGAATATACTGGCCTGTCTCAATGTCAGATGGCCTGAAAGGAAGAAAGCAAGATTGCACACCGTACCCATATTCTTCGGCCCACTTTTGGAACTGCAGATACGTCTTCTCGGAAGGTACCTGCCCAGCAGTTAGTGTTCACGAACAATATCTACTGAGAAACCTCACTACCTGGTGAAGATTCCCAAAAATTGGGAGAGTAGGAGGGCCTGGAGGGAGATCCTTCGGTCTCCGGCCTACGTGGGACAGCTTCCATAGTACGAAGGCCAGTCCCAGAACAATAGGAATGCCGATATATTTCGCAAGAAAGCCCGACGACTCCATGTTTGCTTGATACGTCGAGGAAGAGGAGAGTCAAGCAGTTGATATTCTTGCACGGAGGTGTGCATGGTACCAGGGGTCATTTATAGCTTCCATCAGGATGCTCCACGATGCCAGTCAAGCGTGGCCGTGGGATAATGCTGTACCCTGGTAGGCCATTCGTGGCTCGCCTGGGGTTGTGGAGGAGGGTCCGGGGTTTCTACCACCCCAGATGCGTATGGTCGACAACCCAAGGACGTCCAGACGAGACTTAAGATGGTCCCATGCCGGCTGGCGGGAGGTGTGGATGATCGTCCGGGCTTGGCGACCGAGGCTCCGACCGTTCGGGGTCGGGCAACGCAGCGGATGGTGTTGATTGGTTGAAAATTCCTAGGTTCCTACAGCTTGGTGTCAACTCTTCACCTTACACCAAACTTAACTGTTACTGTAATCGTGCATGTGAGAGGGGCCTACTGATGCTCGGTACAGCCGTCTCTTCACTCACGGCATCTGGCTCAAGATCTTCATTCTGGCCCACACGGAGAGGTTTTGCCGAAGCCGGCAGAGCTACCATAGACTGTGGTGCCTGAGCTTCACTGGGTCCTCTGGCAAAGCTGAACTCTTCAATCTAGAAATCCGTTACATTAATTACCTATCTTGATCATACAGAATTTACAGGATCAAGCGCATCACCATTGCTAACTCCATATTTACGCTGAACCACGGCTACCCGAGACAACTACACGTTCGAAAATAAATCTTCCATTCAAGCCCTGATTCCCGATCTGTTCGCAACCTTCTTTCGAATCTGGGACGACCCAGGCTCGACTGATGACTTCCTCAGCTTCTTCACTCCCGATGCTCACCTTGTCTTCAGCCCATCTGTACCTGCAAAAGGCCGGAGTGTAATTCAACAATTTAGTGACAACATGATCCATCCTGAAGCGGGGCCTGTCGGGGCTCTCTAGCACACGGTGAACAACTGCCGGTTTCCTACAGATGCCACGGCCGAGCGCGAGGAAAAAGAAGATCCTCATCACTGCAATATCTGTTATAAGCGAAGGAGTGGCCAGAAGGTGGGTGGAAACTTCGCCAGCATGGTGTTGCTCAAGGACAATGAGCAAGGAAGACTGGAGGCAACATTCCATGAAGTATATATCGATACACTCGAGCTGATGAATTTCCTGACTGAGCTGGAGAAAGACGGAAAATAAGCGTCTCGATTTCATTTACGCTTTGTGCTACCGCAGGTCGACATAAAGTGATCTGCCTACATTTGAAACGCTCCCATCTTATCTAACTTGAAATCATCCACCTGGGTCGTCAGCGCGTTCGTAGCTGTGAATGCAGATGTGGGTGCCGCGGCAATATTAGCTGCTCTTTCTCTCTTGCAGGACTTAGCCCTTCCTGTGACAACCTGTAACACCTTCTTTGCCTCTTCTGCGCTATTTATTTTGTCCCCTCTCCATGCGACGTGCTGATCCGGTCGGACTAAAACGAGACGCTTTTCATATAGTCTCTTCGCCAAGTCCTCGCCACCCAAGGCGACTTGTTCCAAGGGCACCGACAGAGTCCTGGCTGCCTCGTACATGAAATCTTCCCCGCAACTTTCGCTCGAAAAGATGAGGAGTGTCCAATCTCTGCCAAACTTGTCAAATATTGGTGTGTCGTCTGAGAGAAAGATGTGTGGAGGCCGGCCACCCGGCCAAGACGTTGGAGTGTATTTTGACGGCTCCCAGTGAGGCTCGGCTTCTAGTCTATCGTCCTGGATAATGACCGGTGACCTATATCGGTACCCCATTTCGATGCCAAAGTCCTTGTTCTCACCATCGTGCGATTGATAATGGTTGTGAATAATGGTTCGGATTCGACATGCGTCCTCTGTGTCCTCGTCAATACTGTGCGGATCCCGACCAGCTAAGAGTTCTCTGAGACTGTCGTGGACCTGGAAGTGAACGCCGGAGCGCTCGACGTTTCGAAGGGCTACGGGTCTTCGCTCCATCTCGTAAGACTCGAGTAAGTCGCTGCCACCTGTTCGATTGATGACGGCAGCAAGCTTCCATCCCAGATCGAAGGCGTCCGCAATGCCCATATTCATTCCGTAACCTCCAGTTGGGATATTTTGATGTGCTGCATCGCCAGCGATATGGACACGATAGTTCGGGCTGCTCCAGCGGCGAGCCACAGCAATATTAGGTCGCCAGACAGACCGAACAAGAATTTCGTCGATTTCGATTCGATATTCTCCGTAAATGCCGCCGAGAACTCTATACACGGCGTCTCGTGAGTCGATCTTTTCCGGTTCTGCATCCAGAGGTAGAAACAGGTGAGTAGTCCAGGTGTCGACTTCATCCTGGGCGATGACGGCTCCGCCAAAGCCGCCGTGTTCGGCTAGGAAAAAGATATGCCAGAACTGGCCTTGCTTATGTAGGCGGGTAAGGTCACGAGATTTAAAATGGACGAGAAGAACGCACGTCGGGCTGCCAAATTTCAGTAAAGAGGATTTAAACACGCTGTATAGAGAGACTTACACCGGTCCCCCGTCCAAAGGAAGACCCAGCGACTTTCGGACTCTGCTGGATGCACCGTCACAGCCAGCGACATAGTCCGAGTAAAATTGAAAAGAGGCGCCCGAGTCTGCGGATGTGACGGTCGTCTTGACGTGATCCTTCTCCTCCTGGACTGATTCAACCTTGTAGCCAAAATGGAGATCGATCAAAGGATCCTTATCGCAAATATCTTTCAGCCACTTCTCGAATATCGCTTGCGACAGCCTCTGCCAAGGTTCCGAGGGCTTAGTTCCGTCGTTTTTCTCTCGAATCTCTTTTCGGAACATCTCAACGCTCGGGAGATCCCACCTTGTTATAGGTTCCTTCGCGGAGAGGCCAGACGATACCAACACAGGCTGGCCAATGTGAGCGAGGACCCCCTGCCGTCTCAGGTCATCAGCTAGACCTAGCTTGCGAAACAATTCCATGGAGCGGGCATTTGTAAGATCCATCTTGGGCCAGCGGGTGGTGGTCTGATTGCGCTCGAACAGAACGGACCTGGTGCCATAATGTGACAGTACTTTGGCAAGAAGTAAACCGACAGGGCCACCGCCAGCTATGAGAACCGTCCCCTTTGGTAAAATATGACACTTCTGAGCTATGTAGTCATGACTTTGAGTTATTCCTCCGTTGGTGAGCATCTTTTCAGAACTTTGCATAGTAGAAAACACTGGGTTACGGAGGGACCGACGGACAAGCACGGAGGTTATGAAGAAACTGAATCACACGAAGTTTCTTTATCTATGTGTGAGGCACACGGCCTCAGCATCGACGGCTCCGTAGTACCACCAATAGCGCCAGCGCATCCAGATCATTTCATCCGCCTTACTCTCGGTCTAGTTCCCCCGTCGCTTACCTTGGACAATATACCGCTTTTAGTCGGCAAATCTCGGCCGGCAGCTTTTAGCTGCCCGAAAGTGGCGTTCCTCGGCAGGCGTGGGATAGATTTATTGGCCATGACATGCGATGAGAGGCCGCGTCTGATCCAGAAGGCTCGAATGGCCGCCAAGACGCTCAGTCCCACCTCCACTCCTCACTCCACGACTTCCCCGCCTCGTGGGTTGTTTCTTACAAGAGCTCCAACGTCGAAATTGCTGGTCCAACATTGCCTGGAGCTTTGCCTGGGCCTAATGATGACGATCATGTCCGCCGCACCAGTCTCTCTTACCGTTCCTCGTCCTCAACAGGCTCAGAATGCGAGGCCCAAACGCGTCGTGGCATGTAATTATTGCAGGTCCAAGAAGATTCGCTGTATGCCCTCATTCTCAACGAGATGAAAGCAAGATGCTTAGAGCCTACCTAGGTAATGGAGAGGGTGGTGGCCCATGTACAAACTGCCTCGATCGAGGCCAACATTGTACTTCAACCAGACCTCGTCGATGGCGTGTTACGGACGGAAGCAGAGAAGGCAAAGATTTAGTGGAGAGGTTGGAGCACTTAGAAACACTTCTCATGCAACAAAGATATGCTGTAAGTTGTAAGCTCATCCATCAAACTTCTGTCGCCGCTCATTTTGCTCAGCCCGCCACCACAAATCCCATCCCTCCACATGACTCCCCAGCTGCTTTAAGCAGTGACTTGTCTAGATTTACCGGGAGAAATGACCGAGATTCGTTGGACTCAGTGCTGCCTGTTAACTTGTCCTCTTCGTTGAGGACGGATGGTGAAGAAACTCAGAGCCCGTCCTGCTTCACGCTGCCCCACTCGTACAAGACGACAAACGCTCCTGGGGTGTTGGACCTGGTATCATTGATCCCTCAAGGACATCCCGCCCTCGCCGATACGACTTCATCACTTGATAGGAGTTCTGGGTATCATCCCACCCCTTCCGACAGCGCCGACGCCCCGGGTCTCGCGGAGAGCAGCCCTGAACAAATCAGAGAGAGAAGCAGTATCTCGTCGAGTGAAACAGTAGGTCATTCGAGCATTCCGTTTGCATTTGGATTGACTGACAGTGACTTCGAAGTCTAACTGGGAATATCACGGTAAGAGGCAACCGGCCCAATGTTTTCTTGAGTGCTAAGTGATTCTAGGACCCAGATCTTTCTTGTCTATCTGTTCAAGACCAGGAATCCAATGGGTCGCGAGCAAGACGGGAAGCTCGAGCTTCAATGCATCTGCGAGGACTTTTACTAACTACATCACGAGCCGCCTTAAAATCGAGAAGATGCTGTCCAAAAAGCGAAAGCCAGAGCCAGATCAAGAGACAGCGTGGAGATATACTCGAGGTAACAACCGCGACCAGCCTTGACCGTTTTGCTTCTAACCATACGTACTCTTGCCAGCTTTCTTCGAGGAGGGACTTGAATCTGCTCTAGGGATCGTGCACCGCCCCTGGTTCGACACGCAGCTCAAAGGCTACTTCGACGGAGACGTTATGGATACCGATCCCGCCTGGTATGCCCTCCGAAATGCTATCTACGCTTTCGGATGTCGAATCGAGCTTTCAAATTGCGGCTCCTTCCAGGAAGCCAATCAATCGGCGTGGGGTTATTTCGAAAATGCGTTGTCAGTGCATACGGAAATGCTATATTTCCGAACCTCGATTGTTGGTGTGCAAGCTCTGACGCTAATGGTAAGGGTGACGAGCCGAGCAATATTCAAATAGCTAATAACGGCAATCCAGGCCTATTTTACCCAGAATATTGCTAGCCCTTGTCTCGAATATGTGCTCTGTGGTATAGCTGTACGACTTGGCATCGCGAAAGGACTCCACCGACAAGCGATCGCCTCGTGGAATCTGACCGAATACGAAAACTCCCTACGCAGTTGTTTGTTTTGGGCCATATATTGTTTGGAGAAGCAAATCGTTTCTCAATCTGGACGCCATTCAGTACGTGGCCCATTTCTGTCCTTCAGAAAAGGTGACCGCCTTGGATTGCCATGCTGACTTTGCTTGAGCTGATTGATGATGACGACGTCAGTTGTCAAGTACCAACATCCGCCCCTCCCGACAGCACTGTGAACATCGAGTACTGCAATACCCTGATCAGACTGTCGCGACTTTCATCGTTGGTCTCTAAAAGACTCTCTACGGTTCAGGCCTTTCAGCAGGGCGCAGAGGCTTTGGTGAGATCCGTCGCTGAGCTCGACGAGCAACTCAATGTATTGAAGCGCTCGATTGACCCGATAATATCTTGTCCTTCTGCTCCTTGTCCGACCCAACTACCATCCAGAATGACGCCACAGCAGATCATGTATCTTCGCGGCGCCATCCAGAGCATAACTCTCGACATCCATACTTCTTTGACTTATCCGTGGAGTCGGAGTATGTGTGGCTTAACCCCTCATGCTGCGTTACGTGATCAGATCGAGACATCAACGCAGGTCGTGGCGGAGATCTGTCGCCAGGCCATTTTGGGAACTGAACACATACGCTTCGATGCAAGCACTCCTGTCCCGTGAGTATCCTACCTTCGTTCGCATCCAAACCGCCAACACTGTTTTATTTTAGGTTGAGCTTTTTTGGACCGATGTATGCTTTAATTAATCTCTTTATATACATTCTACAAAACCCCCAGAGACCTAGCATTCAGTCTGATCTTGCGCTGATGGAGGTGGGCGCGGGATACTTTGCACGGGTGAAATTTGCAACCGGTTCAGGAATTTCCATCAGCTTTGCGAGAGAGATGGCCACCCTCGCCCGAGAAGCCACAGAGAGAGTATATGGCAACACCGACGTCGCCTACGACCAAGATTTCTCCCGCCTTCCGCAAAAGCTCTCGGAGGACGTGGCTGTGGCCGGTCAATATCTTGGGATCGAAGATCAGCCATTCAGTGACCAAACCACCGTAAGTCTTCTTCGGGCCGCATGTGGTTTCAGAGGCAAACTCGTCACGGCGATACTGACACTCCTGATGTTAGGATGACATGAGCTCCCTTTTCGACCTCGAGTTGGAAAATTGGAGCACCTTTCTATCAACGGACTTCCACGGTACCATGGCGGATTTTTCCATTGTTCCCCGTCACTAGTCCATACGAAACTTAGCTCCAGAAAAGAGCTTGAGCCAAAAGAGGTCCAAAATACCCGACCGCAACATGCCGCCGACGCGAAGCTCCCGGCACCGAAACCCGAACCAAAGCAAGCGTTCGGGGAAATTTGTCTGGGCGCCGCCTGGGAGGCTCTGGGTTTGGCAAGGTGCCCGTAATTACGGGGTTCCACTCGGGAGCCTGTAACAAAGGCGGAAGGACCCCTGATTTGCTGCAAAGGACTGTAGCAGAAGTCCTAGGGAATAGCTTCCCCATTAGGACTATAGTCCGACTAACCCTAGTCCTAGCCCCCGGACCCCACAGGCACTTTACTTTTGTATTATATTATTAGCTGGACCAAAGTGATTCCGTACCTAGTGACGCTATTCCGAATTTAACCAGCAACTTTTCGTGGTCATCGTGACCCGACACTATTCTAAATTGGGGATTGCGAAGCTAAACACTATTATAGGGATAGCCGAGGGCTAGTTAGGACATACTCGGTACTTGGTAGTCCTACCAACGCTGCCTCCTTCATATGTAGAGTCTAGGATGGCGACGACAAAGACGGGACTGAGCCCAGCAGTCGGAATCCGATTGACTACCGAGTAATTGTTCAGTTTTCAAAGATGCAAATATTTCGCGCTTTGAAGCCCATCAGTCAAGCTTTGAGAAAATGCGGCGTCAGCGCGATGTTCACACAGCCTGTGCCGGCTTTGGACCCGATGCCCAAGGCCCATGAGGCCACATGCCTTCTTTGACGTGAACTTACTCGCCTTGGCTGCTGTGCGGCCGAATAAGACCTTGTATTCGCTTCCGGCGGTGCCGGAGATGGAAGAGATGCCCGCGTAGGTTCCGTTCTCTGCGGCGAGGCTGGAAGACGTCTGTTGGAGGATGAAAGTCGGCTGCGGGGTGTCGCATGGATTGCATTTCGTTGGTGTCGCGTTTGGTGCGATGATGCTGTTGGTACTTTTGCTGCTGGTGCTTGGTCGCGTCGAAGTACTGCTTCCCTTTGCACTCATTGATTTTTAGTCGTGCTCATCTTCGTCATTGTCGTCGTAGTCCTGGTTTTTGTTGTTGGCTTGGTGACGGCGGGCGGGAGGTCCCATGTCGATGTCAATGTCAATGTCGATACTGGTGTCGAAGGCGATATCGACGTCGTGGTCGTGGACGTAGACACCAAGGGCATTGCAGCACTCTTGATCAGCCGGGCAGCAGTGTACTAGAAATGGGCACATGGTCAACACAGCATAAACAGTCCTTGGAGGGATGCCATCGAAGAAGGAAACACCCAGTTTCAGCAAGAAGAGGGGGAGGAAGGAGGAGAAAGGAACATCAAAGACTGACTGGCACATCGGGTCAAGCCATTGCAGCATGGAGCATTGAGGGCATGCAGACAAGAGTTCAAAGGGGTCGACAGGTCGCGCTTCATGAGCTGGCCATGTAAATGTGGGGGACGAGAGCAGGGCGGCATTGGAGGCGGCATTCGAGCGAGCTTCAATCCGAGCTGCGTCGACGGTCAGACAGAGGAAGAAGAGAACGGCCATATAGTATCTCATCGCGAAAGGCAGATAGGGAACTATCCTTTGATGCTGTTGCAGTTGAAAGAGGACCGGGCAACAGTACCTCTAGCAGGTGGAAGGGCCAGATATATCTCCCCCAGGCGGCACAGATGTCTCTCGTGTCTTTAAGAGTACAGGCTGGAGACTAACTCGCTACTTTGTCGCCCAATGTTGTTGCTGAAAGACGGCAGGGCAAGGCCTTTTACGGACGAGAAGAGGACTCTGGAAGTTCGGCGTCATTAGACCAACGCGACAAGCACTGTACCATAAAAGCTTACCAGTTTTGACCAATGCAGACAGCAAGCCCGCTTTCACTCACTCTCTTTTCCGCTCTCTTCTTCTTTCCTCGGGTGAATGGTATATGAAATCTAGTAGTTGTTGGCCCCGTGGTAAGGCTGTGTTCCCTGCTATCCTGCCTTGCATCTACAGCGGCTGAACTGTGCACAAATTAGCATGAGCATCCACATTTGCTTTCACATTAGCTCTGGTGTAGAAAACGCAAGGGCAGGGCTGCTTCGTAGTCGATACAGGAAGTTTCTTTCCTTCTCTACCAGTATACACGCATGCACGGGGAATTACCCACATCCGGGAAGAGGAGTGGAGGGTTTCTCATGTTGTAGAAAAACTCTGGTACACAATGCTCGTGAAAGGCCCCGTCCACATCCAGACCGGTGAGTTTTTCCATCCTTTCGCCGAGCCGCTGGCATATGTACTGGCCTCGTAGAACGAACTCCGTCTGTCCTCGTCGTGATCGTGGGAGGGGATTAGGTTTTTCGGGAGGCTCTCAGGTATGCCCATCCCTCTTGTTACCCAGCTCACACCGTCTATCAAGGGCACTGCACTTGACTGCACCTGACTGACGTGTTTCCCTCGATCAATAATAGTTGCTACACATCCATCTGTGGAGACTCCATACCTTCAACGAGTGATATGATGTCCGTAAGCTCGAAATATTGTGGCGATTCCGGGGCGGCGGCGACCACGACAGACTCAGCTGCATCGACGTCAGGATCCCAGGCCAGCGTGACAGCCTCGGTCGCAAGTGCAACAAGCAGTGCCGGTGCTGAACATAAGAGGCTCTCGCAAGAGGTGTTCGTGGTCGCTGTGGTCGGACTAGTCGGCGCTCTAGTCTAGCTCAAGCCGCCATATAAAGGGAATATGAGGATTGTCGTTGGGACTGGAACATCGTTCTGCTCGAGCTGGGGTTTCCCTTAACAATCGTATCCATCGTTTTAACCTGTCGCCTTGACCTAGTACAAAGGTCCCTGTGTTGGTGAATATCTGAGGGGAGACCGTGATAGTGAATGGGTAAGAATCAGACTTTACTACTAAGTCTCTGATAGCAGCCATCGCGGCCGGCCGTAGGGACTCGCAATCGGTAGAAGGCCGACAAAACGATTTCAGTGTTCGGTCTGAATGCATATTGATCTCTCGTTCCATTCTCCACCTTGCTCTGGCCCGATCAGGTGGGTCTCTTCTCCCCTCGTGACTGATAGCATGAGCGATGTGACCTAGACCAAAAAGTTGGCAACACGCCATGCTGAATGGGAGCTCTCGAATGGAATTCAGTCAGACAAGAGGAAGGGCTATGGTTAGGGCCGAATTTCCTGAGCACTAGGGACTCCAAGCTGGCAGGGTGTACCATAGACAAGACAAACGGCAATGGTCGTTGTGCTCTTAATGGGGATAGAATTGCCAGGCATAGCCGGTTTAGGTCAACATCTTTATTTAAATTGTCAGAGTGCTGTCATCTGCCTCCCACTTGGTTACGGCCTCGACCACACTAAAAATGCAGTGCAATGGTCAATATTCCAATGGTCGATGCGCAGCACGGAATTCGCCTGTGGCCTCACATAGAGTGCTGCAAGTGGGTAAGAGACGACTCAGCAGGCTATTTGAAGCTGTTCGTAGTCCTGCCTATCTATTTCCCATATAACTAGTCTGAAAGAACAGTACAAAGCGTAGATGATCGCCTATATATTTCGATCGGTAGAGGTCAGGGACATAGTATTGGCGTCAGGTTTGGTCGCAGATACAGTCAATTGCATTGGCGTTTGCCTAGGACGGCGTTTGCCTAGGACGGCGAGGTGTGGCTTAGCCATGGCGCTGATGTCTTTCTTCAATCTAATGCGCCGGGTCTTCCCTCGGTGAGGTGGCAAGGCGTCGTTCGCGTTCAGGGATGGCTGCCAATGAGAGGTGCAGGGGCCAGCGCATAGAACGACAGTCCCAGTCGCCCTTCAGGCAGCACGCCCGAGCTCTGCTGCTGCCATAATATCAATCTTCGACATAGAGAATTCATATTGAATCGACGAGGGCCTCTCAGTGGACGTCATACTGATCCCGGACAATGCCTCGATGCATATGCCTGTCCCAGACCTAGATGGTCCGGAACATGACAATTAAGGGTTCCAAGGTTACGATAAACGACAGGGATGGAACATTGCAGCCCTTCGAAATGGCGACGTAGCTGAGGCTTGCGATCGATTCTTCGAATTCGCATTTACCGTGACCGGAGACATCTCCCCGGATGACGTGCCTGAGAATGAGGCATTTGTCAGTATGGTCATCGGGGCCTTCGTCCAGACGTGGATACTATTCGGAATCCTGCAGGAAGCCTTGAGGCGACCGGTATTTCGGCATGAGGTCTCCCAGACAATCACAACCACAAGCCCTGACGGTAAAGTTACCTCGATCAACAAATTACTCTACAAAAGGTTTTCAAAGAGTTCCTAGGCAAGGAGGACGAACTGAAAGCTGATGTGGCGTGGGCGAGTCATTTCGCTCGTTGTCTGCGGGATGCCGCTGCAATTCTCATGGATTTAGACTTTCTCTTGGAGAAGCTTGGTGTTTATATTGTCCCGATGCCCGTTCACTTGGCTCTGTCGGTACTTGTACAGAGTCTCAATGACTACAGAGTTACCTTCCGCCGGCAACAGTCTCAGCTTGGTGACAATTACTTTCATGCAGAGTGTCGGGCATTTGAGCTCAAGCTCCTGAGCGATGGGGGATGGTGTCCAAACATGACTCGGCGGACTTTTTCGGGTTTGGGAATGGGAGGCCTATGCTACGCTACGCAACTACCCGGTTTTGGTTTGAGTAAAGGCCACAACAAATGCGACATGAGTGCCTGCGTTGCTTCGAACATTAATCACGACAAATATGAAGTCATCCATGACCAAAGTTATTGCAGATGCCGCGATATGAGCTGCGATCATCAGCGGTCAGAATGCCTGTGTCCCTATGTTGGAGTGCAATTTGCTGAGACAGTCTCGGCATTTGAGGGCGGTGGGTTCCCTCTGATCAAGTTCCACCATGATGGGATCACGACCGTTGGTTACAAGCCGGGAATAGCCTACGTGGCTATCAGCCATGTCTGGTCGGATGGCAGAGGCAATTTAAAAGAGAACGCTTTACCGCAGTGTCAACTCCGAGCAATCCATCATTATGTCACATCCGTGGCTCCTGAGGATTCGTTTTTCTGGATAGATACTCTTTGCGTTCCTCTTCGGGAACCTCTACGAAATACGGCAATTATGCGCATGGCACAAGTATACTACTCTTCGGCGAATCATGTCCTGGTGCTTTCGAGGGACCTCTTATCGCACAAGCTACCATCTTCCCCTGACGAGGCAAGTTTCCGCATCTTTTGCAATCAGTGGGTCGCACGGCTATGGACTATGCAAGAGGCAATTTTGGCCGATGACCTCGTGTCCCAGTTCGCTGACCAAGCCATCAACTACAGTACACTGGACAGGCAGATTATACATGCTGATTTAAGCATAGGCGAGCAGGCTCGCCAATTTGGGTCGATGGCACACCACTGTATCGATTTCATGAAACGGCGGATCGACTTCGAGGACAATTTTCCTATAGTATGGTTTTGGTACGGCCTCCGCTATCGAACTACATCGAGACTATCGGATGTCGCTATATGTGGCTCAATATTGCCTGGGTACGGTCTGGAGACTGTATTGTCGGCGCTAGACGAAGACAAGATGCAAGCGTTCTGGTCCTGCCAGAAGACGGTCCCTGCAAGCGTCCTATGGGCAGGCGGTCCCCGCCTAAGAATTGATGGGCTTCGCTGGGCACCCTGCAATCTACTCAACCCCGAGACCTCAACCCAACCTGCCAACGAGACCGATCCAAGTGCAGAACCAACTATTGCCGGACTTCTGGTCCACGGTGTCGAGGCAGTGGTGTTAGAGCATGTGCCCTTGCCAGATGATGAACGAGTGGTCTTTCGCTTCCTGTTGCCCAGCACTCAACGGCGATATTTCTGTGTAAAGGTCAAAAATGCCGAAACTGAAACCTGGTCGGAACTCGAACAACTCTGGAGTGGTCATTGTGCTATACTGATGCCTCGGACCATCAACCTGAGCTCATTGGCTGCCTTGACCGTGCCAACCGACAATATGGTAGCCGCTGGTGACCGCGCTGAACAGGACACTGAGCCGATCAGAGTGCGGTACATTGCCCAAATTTGGATGTTGCTCGAGACTGGTACCCCTGACCACGAAACGCTTGAAGCGAAAGACGGTTTCGATGCTCTCCGATCGGCAATCCAGAACAATTTCATTCCAGTCTTAGATATAGCAGACTCGAAATCCGCTGTGCCTTCGCAGACGTGGTGCGTATACTAGGCTTGGTATGCTGGACCAACCTGGTGCGTGATTTGGCGTCACCTCGATGGGTTGCTCTTTGGACTGAAAGGGCCGAGGTAGCCACCAGTTTTGCTTGGAGACTCGAGCGCGTCAATGTCAGGGAGCCTAGTTTCGAGTCTGTTTTACTCGCATCAGCTTTCTCTGTATCGGAGAGGCTGTGAAACGGATAAGTCTCCACATGGTTGATAGCATTTGTCTATCCTGCGAGATGTCTGTCTGTCTGTCTGTCCTTTCAGCGAGTTCCTTCCTATTTATATAGTTATTTTATTAGTGGCGTAGGCACTTCGCGTCCGCAAGGCTGACGCTCGAAAAGGGGCGAGTTGATTGAAAGTTTACCGAGTACGAGGTATTCTGGACCTGCTCCGCTTGCCCCCGCACAAAATTGTCCGACTGTATCTGAGTCGACTTGTCGGTTAGCACTGCAAGTCGAGGGTGAATAACTGGGACACGTACTCAGTACGGCGACCGACTACTTCACCAGTATCCCGTATTTTGTGTACACTCAAATACGAGCCATACGAGAACGACGACATTTGCAAAGTATTGTTATTGACGTTGGGTTGGTCGAGATCAATGCACAACAACCGTCGGCATTCTTCTCGACCCAAGTTCATGGAGAGGTGGAATGCGAGCCTGTTTATCCTGCTGCTCCAACAATATGTTCTCCAAAAACTGAGATTGGTGAAGGCTCTTGTTTGGAGGAGGCCGACGGGCTGATCGAGGCGCAGTCACTAGGGCGTCAAAAGTCGTCAGCGCTTTGCGCCGTGCTGGTTGATATCCTGATGGTGATTCCAAGCAATGCGTCTCAATATCCAGGACCCGTGTGTATTTCTTCGCGGCTCCTGCGCGAGACTCCGCACAAGTAACCGAACCTCCCATGTCCTCCATTGTATACCAGAAATTCGGTTTTAATCCCAACCGTGCCCGTTAGCCACCCTTCTTCATGCCTGCGGCGGAAGCCGCTTTGACAGGCGAAACCTCAGATCCTAGCTTCCCATCGAGCGATCCTTTTGCAAATCTCAGTGTGATCTTCTGCCGCTCCATGTCTACCACCTTCTTCATTCGGTCAAGATCGCCGTCTCGGCCCTCGACATGTCGAACATTTGCCGCGCCATAGGGTTTATCGATCAGGAAAGTATCCGAGATCACCATCACGTTGTCAGACCAGCGAGCTGGATGTGTTCGCGAGAGGGCATCGAACAGTGCTTGATCTATTGGGCTAGTGCCTTTGGGACCGACGCGGGCTTGTGCTGCTTGTTGGGCAGCGATGTTCCTCGCAAGCCGGGCTTGCACAGCATTGGTGTCGACTGTATTAAGCGCTGCAATGCTCGCAGATTCGGGTGAGGGCTGAGGCAGCGAGAGAAGCTGGAAACTGCTAATTTGCGAGATGGGGATGATTCGGTAGGCGCCAGGGGGTGCGACGAGGGAAGTGGAGGTGATGGGAATGACGGAATTGGTATTGGTGTTCACCACAAGAAGGTTGGCCAGGGGATCAGCTGTGTAGACAGTACCTTCCACGGTCGATTGGTTTGGGGCAGCAGTGGTAAGGCGGACTCTATGACGGCTGTGAGCTACCGGAGACAAATTGATCTTGTGGAGCGCAGTCTTACCGACTTCCAATCGCTAATTGCAAACTGACATCCTGAGAGACCGAAGATGCTGCAGGCTGAGCTGGCTCACCCTTGGGTAAAGCAACCGGCACTCTTGTTCCTGCATTCTGGCGTCTGGTGTCTGCTGCCATCATCATGCGATAGGGGCCCGCAGACGAAGGCGAGGTATGAATTGACTCCTCCACAAGAAGTGATGCGCTTCCTACCAGGTTGCGCACGTCGTGGGTATGCGGGGAGGGAGGCGAGCAGATAGAAGCGACGTGGGCCTCGAGTCGTCGAAATCAAAGTCAAAGTGAGGCAGTGACAGGCCAGGCTCGTGGCGGCAGTCACGTTGCTCGGTTGCCCAAAATCCAAAGCCAAATTGATACGCCAGGCGCCCGATGCCAATGCTTTGGGAAATGGGAATGGAGAAGCAAAAGCGAAGCGAGAGAGAAAATGAAGCGCGTGGTCGATCAACCTGGACAGTTGATGAGCGCGAGAAGCCGCAACTGACGGGGTGCAGTCGCAGTTCTGGTCGACGAACTTATTTCGCAGGAAGGGGAAAGGGAAAGTCTGGAGACCGAGCGGGATACGAGCCTCGTTTGATTGGCCCATCGGACTTGAAGTTTTACCGACAACCGCAGCGCGGGCGAGAGAAAGGGGGCAGAGGACACCGGCGAGCCCAGGATACAAGTTTTATTTTCCAGGCACAAAAAAAAAGGCCCAATCATGAACACTAATCTATGCCTTAGATGCAATCCTGAAGTCCTCCAAGCAGAGTGCCATGCATAACACAGTTTGCATGGACGTGTATTCGAATGCCCTGTCTCCCAACACGATGCTAGCAGACATACGAAAAAGAGAGACTGATTGGTCATAGACGACGCATCTAAGCATTGTAGGTGGAAGCAGAGACGTTGCCACCCCGGCCAGTCCAGTTGACGTGGACGTGCTCGCCCTCGGGGTATTTCTCGTTGGCGTACTCGGGCTTGATCACAAAGGTGTGGGCACCGAAGTAGTCGCGCTGAGCCTGGAGCAAGTTGGCCGGGAGGTCCTTGGTGCGGTACCCATCAAAGAAGGCCAAGGCGGTGCTGAAGGCCGGCATGGGGATACCAGACTTGACGGCAAACGCAATCACGTCTCTCCAGCCGTCTTGTGCCTTGTGGATGGCCTTGTTGAAGAAGTCGTTGAACAGCAAGTTTTCAAGGCCAGGGTCAGCACGGTACGCAGAGGTAATGTCCTTCAAGAAGACAGATCGAATGATGCAACCGCCACGCCACATGAGGGCAATGGATGGCTTGTTGAGTTTCCAGCCGTACTGTTTGGCAGCCTGTCACGTTTCGAGTTAGCATCTCGAGCCGGGGAGATCCTCCATTTGAACTTACAGTCTGCATCAGCATGAAACCCTGGGCATATGAGATGATCTTGGAAGCATAGAGACCTTGTTCGAGGTTCTTGAGGAAAGCGGCCTTGTCGCCGGTGAAGGATGGCTTGGGGCCATCGATCAGCTTGGAAGCACGCGTACGCTCATCCTTGATGGAACTCAAGCAGCGAGCAAAGACAGCCTCGCCAATCAGCGTGACAGGCATGCCAAGATCAAGAGCATTGATGGCAGTCCACTTGCCGGTACCCTTTTGACCAGCAGAGTCAAGAATCTTCTCGACAAGAGGCTTACCATCGTCGTCATTATAGCGCAGGACGTCTCGGGTGATTTCAATGAGGAACGAGTCCAAGACACCCTTGTTCCAATCGGCGAAAACGTCACCCATCTCTGCGTAGCTCATTCCGAGACCACGCTTCATGATGTCGTACGCCTGCATACGGTCAATGGGACACACCCTCACAGGAATGGACCCAGTTGACTCACCTCACAAATCAATTGCATGTCACCGTATTCAATACCGTTGTGAACCATCTTGACATAGTGTCCAGCACCCTCATCACCGACCCAGTCGCAGCAGGGCTCGCCATCGGACTTGGCAGCAATGCTCTGGAAGATGTCCTTGATGTATGGCCAGGCCTCCTCGTTACCGCCAGGCATCAGAGAGGGGCCATAACGGGCACCTTCCTCGCCACCAGAAACACCAGTTCCGACGAAGCGAATGCCCTTCTCTGCAAGGTATTTTGTGCGGCGGTTGCTGTCCGGGTAGTGGGAGTTTCCGCCGTCGATAATGATATCACCTTTGTCGCAGTAGGGCAGCAATTTTTCAATGAAGTCGTCGACGGCAGGACCAGCCATGACCAAAAGCATCATACGGCGGGGCTTCTTGAGCTTGGAGACGAATTCCTCGATCGAGTGGGCTCCGACAATGGACTTGCCTGGGAAGTCTCGGTTAGCAGACTCTTCGTCGCTACGGACGGGAAGTGTTCCGTACCCTTGGCCTCATTTTCGAGGAAGCGGTCGACCTTGGAAACGGTTCGGTTGAAGGCAACAACGGTGAAACCATGGTCGGCAGCGTTCAAGATCAAATTCTGACCCATGACCGCGAGGCCAATGAGACCAAAATCACCACTGGGTTCGGCCTGCGCAGGGCCGACCTTGAGGCCAGCCAGTCGCGCTCTAAAGTCAGCATCCTGCTCGTCAATCGGGTGTAATTATATGACGCGGCGAATGTCAATTTGAGGCGCAGATTTAATACAGGAAAGGGGAATCGGGGAGAGGGCCTCGGGTTGAGGACGTACACTGGACCAGACATGTTGACGGCGGTAATGAAGTGAAGATTGAAAAGATCTAGGTATAGATAGGTTCAAGAGGGATTCAAGAACAAGTCTGAAAGTTCACAAGACGAGTCTCTGTCTAATGCACCGAAAAAGACGAGAGGCACGAATGTTCAGAAAGAGAAAAGAAAGGTGCAACAGGGGAATGGGCAGTAATAATACGATGATTAGACCAGGCAATGGGCTGCAATGGGCTGCAATGGGCATGGAGGGACGCTCAGGCACGGCTTCAACCCCACCAAACAAATTTCTCACAGTGGAGGGGCAGCCGTCACAACAGACGGCTCTACCCAGTACTACCCACTCTGCCACTTAGTTACTTAGTTACAGCCGACCATCGACCTGCGCTTCGGAAGTCTGGGTACTGAGTCGCCCTCGGCTGGCTGACTACTCCTACCACCCGGACTAGCCCTCTTGACCACTCATCGAGCCACGGTCAGTTCCCCAATAAAGAGACGCTGTCACCGCTGAGGATTACGTCTATCGGGTGTTATAAGCCAGCAACAATGTGCCACCGCGCCATGTGCTGCTGGGACTCGTGAATAACTAGGACCTTGGTGACTCAGCATTGAATCGTGTCATGCATTCAGATAGCCCTTTCTCAGCAGTATCATGACGCTGTCAACTGCGACTTCCGACATCCTGCCCCGAGCAGTCCGAAAACAGCCGGGGCCGTGCTTCCAAGAGACACCCGCGTACTACGGAGTACTGGTACACGTCGAGAACGTCTCCCCCACTGATGGAATTGGTTGATGGAGCCACGCGCGACGCCTCAACCAACGCTCTCTGCAAGGGCTTCGCTCCTCGATTGGTTACTTTACTAAAAGACCCGGAGCCTCTTCAACAACTGCCTCCGCAGGGAAAAGTTCACGTGCCAAGATCGATCACGTGCATTCTGTACGCACCTGAGCTATACTTTATGTAGCTAGCTCCTTCGTCAAACTTTCTTCTTCTGGATGGGGCAGTCGATTGCAGCGTTGGCTTCCAGGCCGTTCGGTATCGTTGTTGATCCCCAAGGCCTTTGCGGGCGATCGACAAACCGTCTTCTATCGAGTACAGATTTCGAAAGGCCGTCATCTGCATGTCACCGCACGACCTCCATCCTCCTTAGACTTGACTGCTACAAGATTCATTTGCATTAGGTCTCGTCTGCGGCACGTTAGATTCTGTTCATCCATCCAGCAGTCTCAACCACCGTATATACCGGCTGCGCTGGTGCAAGACTAACCTCGAAGGAGGTCTGTGGTACGTCTCGTCAACCAGTGGTTTTCACAGCCAGATCAAACATTCATCATGTCATATCCGGTCCCTCCAGGTCTCAATACCTCTCAACCGCCAGCTTCCCTTCCTGCGCGACCGCCACCTTCTGCAGTGAGCCCCGCACCCGGCCTCAAACCATCCTCTAGCAGCGCCGCTGCTAAACCGGCCTTCACAGCATTCGCGCCCCGGTCGATAGCGAACTCTTATCGCACGAGCAGTCCAGCGCATTACGCTGCTGCTCCAGTTACGACCTACAGCCCTGCTGCACAGTATCAGCAACCCACGTCGCTCCCTCAATATGACGCATCGTACTCGAGTGCCCCTCAGATCCGCAACCCCTTCGTGCCCTCGACGGACACGTCTTCCTCAGCCAACCCTTATCCAGGCTATGACGCCGACTACGAAGCCCAGGTTCAACAATGGCAAAGCGCCTACTTGAGTAGAGATACCAGCAGCACGTCAACACCGAAAGCAACAGGAGGAGCCTCCACGAACCCGACCCCGGTTACGAGCACGTCCCACAAAGAAACCACGGCTCATAGCAAGGATGAGGCCCCTAAAACGGTCCATCGCTCTGGCGGCGGCACGACCTGGACCGACCCAACCCTCTTGGAATGGGACCCGGCACACTTCCGCATTTTTGTCGGCAATCTCGCAGGCGAAGTAACCGATGATTCCCTGTTGAAGGCCTTCGCACAATACCCCTCGGTCCAGAAAGCCCGGGTGATCAGAGACAAGCGGACCACAAAGTCCAAGGGATATGGGTTCGTGAGTTTCGCCGATGGAGACGATTACTTCCGCGCTGCGAGAGATATGAATGGCAAGTATGTGGGCAGCCATCCGATTGTGGTAAAGAAAGCTGTAACAGACGTGCGACCAACAGCATCGAAGCAATCGGGAAATAAGGGCAAACATGGAGCGGGAGGACATGGGAAGGTCGAGCACGGTGGTGTGCATAAGAAACAGCCAAAGATGAAGGGTGGATTGAAGGTGCTTGGATGAGGCCGTCATGGTATCGTGGTCTTAATCGGAACCAAACGGCTTCAAACATGCATCGAGCTAATCACATCAACAATTGAGCTTATCGCCCGGCTTCTATTCACGACCGTTGCCGGAAATCGAAATCGAGACCGAAAGGCATGTTCATATGATTGGCGCCTTCTCAGACCGGAAAACGGGAGATTGAGGCAGATTGATTTCCCCAAGAGTCAGTAGCATATGCCTATGATGGAAAATGACGGCTTCAAAGCAAGGCGACCCATTTTCAAAGCTCCATATCCAGCCTCGTGTTCATCTGATTGGAGGATAAGATGTGTGGCAGCAGAGTTGCGACTATTTCTGTCGGAAGCCAAGACCGATGATATTCAGTGGATGATGGAACAACCGACTCGGCTCCGAGTGAATGAGAAAGTGAGTGGCAGGGCACCATCAGAGGGTTAAGAACATACGCGAAAAGGGGACGAACGAAATAGTATTTTGATCCCATGTAGAGAGGCAGCTAAGCCCATTATACCTGTACTCTCAGAGTGGATAATGGACCCGGTCATTATTGAGACGCCGAGCCGTATCTCATTGTTTCTCATAGCATCACGTCCCATTAAATCATATTCTGTCGTATCATCATTACATGTAACTAGACTATTTTAAGCACGCCCGTCCTTTTCGATCATTGAATGCTGTGCAATGTGGAGAAGAGAATAGAGGCAAGAGAACAAGTAGAAGGCGGAGAAGCGAAGAGAAGGGATAATAAGAAACGGGAGAGGAAAGAAATGAAATGAAATGGGTGAGTAGCAATCCCATAATATCCGAATCCGAATCCGAATCCGACGCCCTCAGTGTGTCCAGCCAAATTCGTTTGTAGCCTTGCGGGAGAGAGCTTCCTCCTCCTGCTCCTCCTTCCGGTGGTTCTGTCGAAGCCTCATCCCATCTCATTTCATCTCCGAGAAAGCTGAAGCTCCTTCTTCCCCCTCCGCCCGTTCTTTGTTGTTGTTGAAGAATTTGTCGAAGACATTCTCCCCCCAAGAGGACGAGGACGAGGACGGATACCCAGCTTTAGATCTCTGTTTCTGTTCCTGCCGCCGCCGCTGCTGGCGCTGGTGCTGCTGCCCAGTTTCATCCTGTCCGCCGGGTTCACGTCGCGGTCCTCGCCCTCGCCCTCGGGCTCCCCGGCGACAACGACGCCCGTGCTCTGCGGCTCAGCAGCCACGGCGCCCTTGGAGATGTCGTCTGGATCCAAGACCGCGTCTCCTCCTGCTTTCTTCTCCGCGTCCTTCTCGCTCTTGGCTCCCTTTGCGGTCTTGTGTTGCTCAGCGGCCTCCTCGTCGTCGGAATATCCACTGGGTCTGACGACTTTTAATTTGACCCCCGCGCCCTGCAACGTCGAGTAGACGCGCAGTCCCACGACGCACACGGCGTTCCACGGCTCTTCGGGTCCGTCGCCGTCGGACTCTGCTCTGTCATTGTTGGGTTGTTTCATGTTCGATCCGTCAATGTCGAGGGGCGGGTTCAGGAGCGGCGAGCGGGATCGTCCTCGGCGTCGACCACGGGCGACGTTCCGCCTGCTGAGGCGACCGAGGCCGGGTGTGAAGGTGCGGGTCGAGGAGGAGTCCGAGTCGGCGTCGTCGCTGCTGCTTAAGTACGGCGACATGTCGAGCTCCGAGTTCCAATCGAAAGGAGGGAAGGAGTCTGCGTCAGAGACTTCGTCGTCGTTCACGTGCTCTCTGTCGTCATTTTGGTGGTCCTGGTTGACATGAACGTTTTCGCGCTCGCTGTCATAGTCTCGGAGTTCGTCTCCGTCTTCTTCCTGCATGTCGTACTCGCTTCCATCGGCACCGCTTCCAATACCTAGCATCGCGGCTGTGGTGTTGAGCGTGTCGCTACGCGGAGGCTTGCGATGGCGGGGTCCATTTACCATGGCAGATTGAAGACCCCCTTGTGCTTGGATCACAGAAGCGCTTTCGTTGCTGGAGCTGGTGTCTTTAGAGTTCTCGTGCTGTGGACGAGACAGTACAGGCGATTTCAACAACGGCTTGATGTCCGTAATGACATTGGAGCCGGTGGTTCGAACCGACCTGTCATTGGCTCCAGACACGGTACTCTCAGGCTCTGCGGATTCCTTGTCAGGAAGATTTTCTGGTTCGTTGGCGCGGTCTTCTGCATCGGCGACCTTGATCACTTCCTCCAGCAGCTCGACGATTTTGTCGGCTGTGACTTCCTCCGTTGGTTTCTTCTGAGATATAGAAATCGGATTGGGCTCTTCTGACAACTCTGCAGGCTCCTTGACGCCCATTCTGACGACGATGCCATCAGAGGACTTGCTCTCGGTGGCTTCAGATCCAGGGTTCAGGTCTTTGACTTCGTCGACGTGCCCATTCTGCGTCGTTGGAATCACATCCTTGCTCTGGGAGCTCTCGTTGATCATGTTGTCCCAGGTACCTTGTCCTTCCTTCCCCTGCTCAACAGGCACACCACCAGTCACTCGATTTGCTCGTTCTTTCCTCTGTTTCCTCTGTTTGTTCCTCGCCAGTCTCTCTTTCTCTAGCTCATGCCTTTTCTTCTCCCTCCTCCAATGCTTCTCCGCCTGGGCTTTTGTCCTCTGCTTCACCTTATCCCTCTCTTTAGCCCGGCGGGCTTTCTCGCGTTCTTTGCGTTCTTTGCGTTCCGCCTCCGTTTCCACGATAACACCCTTCGCATGTGCAAGATCGTACGAGAGACCCATCTGGATGAGCTTCTCGCGTCTTGTTGCAGCATAGACGGGCAGTACGTCTTCGACGTGTTCCCTGTCGGTGTTTCTTGTTGCGGTAATCTTCATCAGGACCGAGTATGTGCCGGCTTCCAGCTCAATGTCTGTGCTGACAGATCTGGCCATGGCGTAATTGCCGTTCGATCGGACAATGTAGTCGTTTTCATCCTCCTTGTCATCAGACTCGAGGCGGAATTGCAGGTCAAATCCGTAACCGCCTTCCAAGCCGCCGAAATAGGTGTCGTCCAACTGCGCCAGCACGATCACCACGGGCGCCTTCTCTTCCAACGTCAACGAGAACTTTGTACAGTGATACTCGGCCGACCACGAGACATTGACGCTGGTCCAGCATTGCGTAACGTTCCACTCTGGGCCGAAGATCCTCGTGCGGTCGAAATGCTGGTACTTCTTGAGCAGGTCCTCGTAGCTGATCCAGAAGATGCCGTCGTTACCGAACTTGTGCTCCAGCAACTGCATCCACTCGGGCGTCCACTCGGAGCTGCCGTCGCTCCATTTCCCCGTCCACTCCTTCTTGCCCCACGGGTTGCGGAGTTTCAGGAGTCTCTGGCCCTTGATCTCCCTCGCGTCCATGATGCTGTAGGCGTGCCCCTCGGAAATACCCTCGCGCTCGCGCGGCGCCCCGCTTGTGTCCAGCCAGTTGGCATAGAAGCCCGTGGCGCAACCGAACAGGAACTTCGAGCCGACGTGCATCAGCTCGTCGCGCCAGAAGGCCTCGCGGTCGAGGATGTCGGTGCTGTAGATCTCCGTCGTCACGCCGCCGGTCAGATCCTCGATCGCCTCGCCCGTGAACCCGCCGTCGATGGAGGCGAAGTCTCCGTGCGCCTTTGCGTAGGCCTTTTCGAGGAGCGGGAGCCACGTCTCATTTTCGTCGCTGCATTGTGCAAAGTACAGCGCTCGCGAGCCTGTCAGGTGTGCTTTGCGGTATTCCTCTGCGCTGTCCACGCGGGTGATGTCGTCCCAGACGACGCGCTCGTCCTGGGCTTCGTCGTAGTCGGGTGCTCTGGCTGGAAAGAAAATCTTGGTCAGTCTTGGCCGATGTGGGGGTGAGCAATCACTCGTTGTATATATGTAGCAAGGAGGAAATGAAGACTTACTGTACAGTTTATCGTCGATTATCGTATGCTGCCATTCGCCATCTGAGAGAATAAATGGATTAGAATACTTCAAATCTAGAAGAGAGGTAGGAATTTTACCTCGAAAGAAGACAAAGCCGTAGACACCGACATCCTTGTCGTGTTTGACGCAGACTTTGTCAATCAGTCCTGGCATATTGCCCAAGCCGCACAGCGCTGCCATCAGGTAGCAATCTCCATCACGGCCCTGGCGCACATCCCCTGCCGTAGGGCCGTTGATGAAAAATTGAGGATTCTCGAAGATGTCCTAAGCCATATTCTTAGCCCACGTCAAATCTCTCTGCGACTCGGGCATTGAAAAAAGGCAGGGCGGTACCGTGACTCGTTTGACGCCCTTTGGCTTCATGGAATCGCCGGGTGTGCTGAGCCCATCTAGACAGTTCCGCTGACCAGACTTGAGATCCCATTCGATGTCGAAATGCATGTCGCGGTACTTCTGGTTCAGCCGCCGGCACTCCTGGATGATTCTGTTGACGTCCCTTTCGCACTCGGCGCGCGCCTCCTCGTATGATTTGGCGGCGCGTTGGCCAGACACAGTGCCATGGGGAGTCTTTGCCGCCTTTTTGCGAGCATAAGGGTTGTTGGGAAGGACCGTGTACACTTTACCGGGGTGTTTGGGGTTCAGCTTGTCCCAAAACTGGCTCACTGTCTCCTGGGGAGGCTGTCGACGCTGCTTGCGGCGCATCTTTGCTGGAGGTGGTGGAATGGAAAGATCCGGCGGAGGAGGACCGTAGTAGCGGCCCCCTCCGCCGATATTGTCTCTCCGATCGTCCATCGCTGTCTTTTTATGAATTGGGCACAAAGAGATAGATCAACACCAAGTGGGATGTATCAGTGACTCAATTATGAGGCCGCGAGTGCGAGGAAGCTTTGACGGCAGCAGCTGAAATGCAATCCGCCAGCCTAGCCAAGCACGAACAAGGCCCAACGGCGTGGCAGCCTGATGATGAACAGCAAAACACCTGTCAGACGACACGAAAATGAGGCGGATCCGAAGAGTCCATCCTTATCAGCCAAAACCCATCAGATTGGCAGTGCAAAAGAACAAAGCGACAACTGCAAAGCACCGTGCAGGGAGATGGAAAGGAGGCTGAAACTCCCCGATCAACAGCCACCTATACTCGGTTGCAACGCTTCATCAGAGACAGAACCACCTGGACCGGCCGCTAGCTCGACTACCCAGTCGTACGAGGATCCCGGTTCTGGACCACTGCATTAGCTAGAGCGAATCACCTCGCAGGGACTGTGCCCCCCTATGCATGAACGGAGGAGTCCTTGTGCGGCTGGGACGCCTGTCACGCTGCCAAAAAGCCCAGGACTTTGGACTTTTGGGAGGCATGGGCCGGCACGCCACGACGGTCACAAAACTGCGGGAAGGGCAACCAAGGAGGCGTGCTGCTGGCTTTTCCTTGTCGCCTTTTGTGTGGGCAGAAGTCATGCTGTTGACGCCCATCTTCTCCTCGACATATGACTGGTGGCTGCTTTCAGGGCCCTGAACGAACCTGTTGCAGGCAAACCCGGGCAGCGCGTACGTGGGCCTCCAAATGGCCCAACTGGTCTCCAAATTGCCTTGTGCGGGAATCATCTTGGCCGTGCTTGTCCCCCGTCTAGTTGCGCAAATTTCTCGGTGGATCATAAAAACCAGGAAAGTCCCTTCGGATTTTATCCGCAATGTGGTTGGCATAACCCATTATAATCAAATATATTCACACAGCTGCCTTGATGGAGATCCAATCTTGCCTCTGTTTCATGGTGACAACTAGTCGTTGTTTCTGCACTACCCAGAGAAAGCCGATATTACGACCTGCCGGCCTACAGGGCAAGTCCTACAGTCAGACATGCACAACAAGTCATCTCTTGAAGCCTTTTGGGCAGTACTATACGCCTTAGAGTCCCTGCTTCTCGGCGGCCACATCGTAGTCGCCAAACTCGTCGGGAACAATGACCAAGTTGTCCGAGCGATAGGGGTCGACCTTGACGGACTTGAATTTGCGCGCAGAGACTTTGTTCTCAAACAAGACATCAAGCTCGGCATAGGTGAGGCCCTGGGGGCGATGTCAGATGGCTGCGTGGGAATGAAAAAGGGACAGCGACTTACCTTGGGCTCTGGAAGACGGAAATAGGTCCAGATCAAGCCCAGCAAGTTGAGACCACCCCAAAAGAAGCATGTCTTTCCGCGCCAGCCCCACGCTGTTGGGTTCATCATGCGGGGTTGAAGAGTGCCAACAATTATACCCATGATGTTGTACACATTTCGGGACAAGACAACAGTCTTAATTCGAAGCCGAGTAGACGGAAGCTCAGCCACCAGCGAGTAGCAGACGGGCCCAACAGTGAAATCGTAGACGAAGGTGAGAATGAGAATCAAGGCACCAGACGCCCAACCAATCGAGGTGGACAAGCTCGGAACTCCAAGCCCACCGATGATCATCAGGATGATGAACATGGCTAGCTGACCTGCGAGATACAAAGTGCGACGGCCGAAGTGCGGCATGAGGAACCAAGACAGTACGGTCCCCATGAAGCCCATTGCGCTCTGGCCAACCCCAAGAGAGTATGCGTTGTTTTCGCTCAAGCCGGCTTGGATCATGAAATAGGTACCCCAGCCGATCATGGGAGATCCGGACGTCTGTTGGATTAACCAGGTGACGCAGGTGACTTCAGTTCGTCGGAGGTCAACGCCCTTGAAGCAATCCCAGTAGGTGGTACCTGCAGTCTGCTGAATTTCAAGCTCGTTGGTGTGGATCATCATAGCCAAGGTGTCCTCGACATTGAACTGCGCGTTCTTTTTAGACGTCAATCTGAGCAGTGCAGCCCGAGCTTGATCCAGTTTGCCGTGGCGGACAAGCCACCAAGGACTCTCAGGCGCAAGGAATGCAGTAAGAGCAATGGGAAGTGGCCAGATCCATTGGATCGCATACGGTACTCGGTATGCCCATTGATCGGTTTGGTTCACAAACCCTTTGAGAACACCGGCAGCAATGAGCTGGCCAATGACCCAGCAAAGGTTGACGTAGGTTGTCAAGTATGGTCGCAACGGGACTGGTGTGACCTCCGCGGCATATGTGGTAGTCAGAGTTTGGAAAACCTAGTTAAGATTCATGTTAGCGTCATTGCTCGAAGCCCAGTCGATCGCAGCGGAAGATCAACTCACACCCCATGGGAGACCTGACAAAACGTAACCAGCGAGCAGCATCTGCACATCGACCGCGAAGAAAGTGATGAAAATGGTTCCAGTAATGAAGACCAGAGCGCCGATCATGGTCCAGCGGTATCCAATACGCTCTGAGATGATGCCGTTCAGGAACAGTCCGATGATTTGAGCGGCAGCCGTGCCATTGCTGAGCGCCGATTGCCATGTCGCAGAAACCTGACAAGTTTGGACACCGTCAACGTTCCCAGTGGGCGACCCGTATTTGCAGGAAAACGTGGTCAATCCGAAGAAGTTGCCGAGGAGGTAGGTATCGTATCCCTCCATAATGACGGCCAGAGAAAGACAGAAGGAGAACAGGATAGCCTTGGGATACAACCGGCAACCCTCGCGGAAGCCCATCTTGTGTTCCAAATCTGCGGCAGCTTTGGCATCGGCAGAGAGCTCAGCCAAATTGGGGACTGCCACTGACATTTTGCGAAGAGTTTCATCCTTCTGGTTGAAGACCGTCTCCTCTTGCACTGCTGCGACTGCTGCAGCGGGGACAATAGAAGACCTGCGTCTAGTCGTGTCGTAGGTTGGTGCCCCCATATTGCTGGCATAGTGGGAGACACTCATGTGGCGGCCGGTACGTCCGGTACCACCCTCCTCGTCGTGTGCGAAGCTCATTGTGAGAGGTGGTCAGGCTCAGTCGAAGATGTGGGCAAAGAAGCACGCGACCTCGATGGTTCCCTGTTGAACAATTGAATGGTTATCCCAGATACCAGGGCTGTGGTCGAAGGATGCGAGCCACCAACGAAGGGGTTGCTATGTAGATATATACTTCTGTGCCTGGTGATTGAGCTCCCCTCGCCCTGGCGAACACAAATGACGCAGTGATTGTTCGAGGAAGCCAGAGCAGCAGTAAACTATAGCTCTCATCGTCCGCCAATGGCACAGGGTGGCCGGAGAAACTTCCAATGAGCACAACCACATCATTTGGGGAGCTTGCATGATCGAGGTACGACTTTCCCAAGTCAATGTTGCTCAGACTGTGCCGGTGGTCTGTCCAAGAGCCGATAGAGCAAGGTTAAGCGAATTGTCAAGGTCAGACGGGTCAGGTGTTGCCAGCCCGCAGACCAATGGATCCGAAAGAAGGGCGACCAAGAGGCTTGGATAGTCTCAGAGCCTTCCCAGAAACGCAGGTAGAAAGCACGACAAAAGGAAAAAAGAGACGACGAGCGGCCGTTGGCTAGCATGCGGGTTGAGCGGTGGAGCAGTGCTGGAGATCGCAGAAATGGCCGGCAAAAGAGTGGAGAGAATCCAGACAGCCTCGCTTTCGTATGTGCCACCCCATGTTTCTTCCCAAAGGCGCTACCACGACCCCTTCGTCTTGATCACCCATGTCCACCCCATCGGTGAACGCAGCAGGCCAAGTTGCTTACCAAAAAAAGGCGGGTTTAGACTCTCATGGATGCACCCTAACTGCTGCTGACGAGCCAGACCCCGCACTCTTGCCAATGTGCCCACTTATGTCAAACCCCAGATCTTCTCCACTCTGTCGATGGCTGGGGCACTTAATGTCTGGGTTTGCAAGACGCCTCCGAGCCAATCTGTAGCCTGAGGTCTGGTGTTCCCAGGCGTCTTAATGAGGACAGACGCTCGGTGCTTCAGGTGATCTGGGGGATCAGCTCTCTTACCCACATTCCTCGGTAATCCGCCGCCCGTCCACAGGCCTGGCCATCGCTCTCTAGATTGAAATCTCGTGATGTGTGTTGGAGGATCAGCGCTTGAGAAGTCGACATCATGGTGTCGACATCCGTATGGACTATTGCGACTTCTGTAATCAAATGACTCGGCAGCCACGAGTCTGCATTCCTATCTGAGGTTGAGACGAGAGCGGAGAAATTGTGATCCTAGCAGCAGCATCCTTCTGTCACCCCCTGGTCTTCAGCAAACAAAGGGCGGGCATTCAGCCTCGAATGGCTGCAGTAGGTCTGAACTTTGCGGATTATTGTTGCATCGAGATCCGTTCGGGCGCTGGGCAAAATGAAAAACGTCACCACTTAGTTTGGCTGTGGTGTCAGGATACCAAGGGAGGTTGTTTGCCGAAGGTACATGTTGCCTCTCGCTAAAACTGTCTATCATTGACGATCTTCCCGTCACTCGTGTTGTCCTTCGAGCCTAACAACTAGGAGAGGTCAGTGCTCAATCACAATAGGCTGAAGGCAAAGGTTGCTTAGGTGGCTTGGCCCTCGTATTAAGGAGGGGGAAGTCTGTTGGCATTCCAAGGCGAGCGTCACAGACTCATCCGTTCACCCTCAGCTTTAACGTCAGGATGGGGAAAAGGGTGCCCTTGAGCGACAGCGTCTTTTGCCTTTGCCTGTGCCACTCATGATCGAGGCGACTTACACCGTAGTTTTGAAATGGGATTAAGACACAACTCGGCCAGTGTTCGGTACCAGGTCAGCGCTCCTCTCATTATCCACGGCTCCGGAGTCGAGGCTGTCGACAGAGACCCGCTTGCGAAGACTCCATGGGGAATTGGTCTATGCAAGCTGCCGTCATCATGCGCACGGAAATGTCTGCCTCAGAAATGGAGATTCGGTCCGCTGGTTTGCTCCAATGTCGGTGACGGCCTAGCCACCTTTACAAGGGGCTGAAGTGCGCAAATCCAGTTGCAAGCCCTGCATTTGAACGCCAAACAGCCACCTCCGAACGTTGGCGGGGGCCCCATTGGGCGGTTAGTGTGCCTCTTTACCATACCGGGAAAGTTGTTGCGGTGCTGCGACGCAAAAAGGCTTGCAGTACGCTGACTCTTGTTGCCTCGGCGCATAAGATCTGCCCTACCAGGCAGGAACGGTGGCAGTCATTAACTGCGAGCAATTTCCCCAACAATCTAGGCAGAGTGGAATGCTGGTGGATTGGGTCGCAATAGAGACGCCGAAAACGCAATTGTTGGGCAGAGGAGGAAGAGAAAAAGTGGAAAAGGTTCCCAGAAGCAAATCTTCGCAGTGAGCAAGTAGCGCCGAGAATTTTGCCGATCGCATGAGGCAGAAGGGGCAAAAGGGGCTTGAACGGGCCCAGCGAGAACAGTTACAGTCTTACAGACCGACATCCACAATGAATCGCGCCGCAGAACATCTTTCATTTCTATCGACCTTCCAAAATTCTACTCGTTTCAGCTAATCTAGTGATCCAGCAACCTTCAAATCCTACGCTGGCAGCTTCTACTGCATTGCATTGTGGACATTGATGGCTTGAGCGAAGCAGCGGGACGTCTCGTGCAGTGATGTGACCTCTCATTTTGTACCAGCATGTCCACCGAACGGTCTCGTCACACTCTCCCAGTTCTTCATTTCGCTCATGTCGCAGGTCCGCATATTCCAGCGTACGATACCAACCAGATCCTCCCCGTACCAAGGACGGCGACGGGACGTTGGGGCGGTTCCTGAGAAGCCGATAGCCACCACTTCCACTGCTCAGGAAGGTTGACCATTGATCTCCAGGTTTGACATTGCCTGCTCTGCTGTCTTTCCCACCTCAACCTGTTCCTTCCCCTCGCCTTCAATTGATCCGTCTGGTCTGGCAGTTAACTTGGCTGCACCTGGGTGTCTCGAGCCTTTATCCTTCGGCTGCTTCTGCTTCTTCTTCTTCTCAGGCTCGGGAGGCGGAGGGTAGGCTTTCTTCTCAATCTCTTGCCATTCCGCTGATGCCTGGAATTCGGCTTGAATGGGCTCCAGCAATTCTATGATAGCGGTAGTGATGCCTGCTTTAAGCAATTGTGGGGTGAGCTTGTCAGTTCGGTAATCCTCCTTCAAAGTCTCAATGTCGCGGTAGACCAGCGGTCCTCCTTCCCCTTCCCTCCTCTCGCACACAAAAGTTCCTTTTCCTTCCGGATCACGCAAAGCGCTAATTGGGAGTAACACATATTCAACGAAAGATATTAGACCGTTTCCTTCAACTTCTCCCGTGGCGGCATACGCTTTGCGGAGCTTCTTTCTGACCGTCTCAGCCGTGTCGAGAATGTCAATTTTGGAGTCGGGGTCGGAGGCGGACATTTTACCACCCGCCAGACCCGGCACCATGGGATTCATCAAATGCGCCCGTTCTTTGTAGCCAACCTTTGGGAGAGCCTCCTGCGCAAGAGTAAAGATTTTTCGCTGATCGACTCCACCAAACTGCGCATCGACACCCAAATGGTGCTCGTCCAATGCCTGCATTAGGGGATAGATCAATCCTGAGAGCGTAGCATTTTCCACCTGCTTGACGACCTCAGCACCAGCTTTCTTGGCATCGTGCTCTGTGACCACGCTACTCAGTCGGAAGACATCCATGGTGTACTCTGCACTTAATTGGTAGGAGGAGCCGAGAACAAATTCCAATTTTTCCAGGCTCACACCGACGGCCCTGAGGAGAGACTGAATAACGTATTTGTAGTACTCTGCTCGGAATTTGACCAGTTCAATTGGCGCTTTCAGATTGTCGAGGAACCCATGAATGTCGGCAAGAAGGATCTTGACGCGACAGCCCGCTCGGAGGAAGTGGGCAATTTTCATCATTGGCACGAAGTAGCCGCAATGCGGTCGTCCCGTTGTGGCAGTTCCCCAGTAGATCACCAATGGTCTCTGCTCTTTTAGGATGACATTTTCGAGAATATCTTCACGCAGCACCTCTTGTAACTGGTCTTTGATCAATGCGAGCTTCTCTTGGGGCGACAACTCTTTGCCCGCCATCGCGGCAGGGTGAGATGGTAGGACCGTGCGCAGGAAGTGAAGGGGGCCAGGGAGGAGAATCCAAAGTCCGTAGATAACAAACCTGGAGGCCGACTTCGAGGCGCGGATGATGTTTCAGAGAGGGCGAAAGTGAATATCAGGCTCAATTCAGTTGTCTTTGAAGAGTCCTGGCGAAGATTAATGAGTCAATGAGCGGAGGGCGGGCGATTTTTTGAGATGGCCGCAATTCAGCCGAACTGCGAGGTGTGAACTGCAAACTGTGCAAACTGTGCAAACTGCGGGCGCGGAAATGTCTTGGCAGGTACCATCGCCTCCCAGCCAATCAGACGCGTCTCTGGCCTAAACAAACACTACGCATCAGACAACCATGCAGCACCGGTGGCACATCTTACATCAACTTGTGAAGAATTCCGTTGTAGCTTCTGGGTGAGAGTCGTGCATACTGTTCGGTGCCTTTGTATCGACATACTAATCTCTAGGTCCTTCGCCACATCTAAGCTTTTCTGTCGTCCTGAGGCAGCCCGGAAGAATCACACGATTGAAGGCGACCCCTTAGCTTGTTCTCTGCGTCCCTTCGACATTCAGAGTTCTGCTCTTCTGGTACCGGGTTGATGAAGCGATAGTGCTCACGAGAACAACATGGAGAACTACCAGAAAATTGAAAAGATTGGAGAAGGTGAGATGGGACACAGCCGCCGGTTAACAATTTCTGTGTTAGACTGACAATGGTGGGCGACTAGGCACATACGGCGTTGTGTACAAAGCTCGAGACCTCTCCAATGGCGGCCGAATCGTCGCTCTCAAGAAGATCCGCCTGGAAGCTGAAGATGAAGGCGTTCCCAGCACCGCAATCCGCGAGATATCCCTGCTGAAAGAAATGAACGACCCCAACATCGTGCGTTTACTAAACATAGTCCACGCCGACGGCCACAAGCTATACCTCGTCTTCGAGTTCCTTGACCTGGATCTGAAAAAGTACATGGAAGCATTGCCAGTCTCAGATGGTGGACGAGGCAAGGCCTTGCCAGAAGGTTCGAACTTGGATATGCAGAGACTTGGCTTGGGCAAGGATATGGTCAAGAAGTTTATGGCACAGCTCGTTGAAGGCGTTCGATACTGTCACAGCCATCGTGTCCTGCACCGAGACTTGAAACCCCAAAACCTCCTGATCGATCGCGAGGGCAATCTCAAGCTGGCCGATTTCGGTCTCGCAAGAGCTTTTGGTGTCCCGTTGAGAACATACACTCACGAAGTTGGTCAACTCCCGTCTCCTATCTCAACGCCGATACTGATTGATCTCATAGGTTGTTACCCTATGGTACCGTGCTCCAGAGATTCTCCTCGGCGGAAGACAATACTCCACGGGCGTAGATATGTGGTCCGTCGGCGCTATCTTCGCAGAAATGTGTACCCGCAAGCCTCTCTTCCCCGGCGACTCTGAAATCGACGAGATCTTCAAAATCTTCAAGTAGGCTCCCCCCGTGCACAACGTTCATCAGTATCATCTCTCGACTGACACGCAGCAGACTCCTTGGTACCCCCGACGAAACAACTTGGCCCGGCGTCACCTCGTTCCCAGACTTTAAAACTTCCTTTCCCAAATGGCGTCGGGAACCAACCTCAAAATTCGTGCCGAGCTTGGAGCCGGCGGGCCTTGAACTATTGGATGCTATGCTCGAGTATGACCCTGCGCACCGAATCTCAGCCAAGGCGGCGTGTAATCATCCTTACTTCGCGGCCGGATCGGCTGCCTATTCGCAACGTGGGCCTGGCGTGGTCAGAACGAATGGATTTCATTGATACACGACCGTAAAAAGGGGAGGATTCATGCATGTGTATGACGCGGAATGGGTTCAAGCCAGGGCTTTACCTCCGTTTTACCAGTCAAAGAGCGGCTTGCCTCACGAGCGGACTATGATATTTGTACCGAGTTGTGAATTGAAACGGAGCTGCACAGGGCTGGAGCGGGATAGGAGTGAATGGATGGGCGGTTGGGGTTGTTCGGCTAGCCTGGGCTAGGCTTGGCTAGATTGGGTTGGGTGGTAATGAATTATGTATGTTTTGGGCTAGAAACGACAAAGCACTCTAGGCGCAGAGTGTGTGATGGGTGAGGGAATGAGTGAGAAAGTGAGGGCTTCTTTCAGAGAATTTCCTTCTACACGGTGTGGTGTGTCCTCGGGCGACTGAAGGGTCCAGTCCCATAGCAACAACAGAGCTGATTTGAACGAGCTCCATCTATCCATCCATCCATCTATCCAAGCCCGCTTGGCCTATGACTAGTAACACCTTAAGTAATGATTAATTCCAACTTTTGGAGTTCTGCCATTCAAGATGGAGATGGAGATGGAGATGGTGGTGGAAATGGTGGTATGAGATATTTGTCTACAAACTACCGGGGGTATACTAAGTTTACTAAGACACGGCTGCTTGAAGGTTGAAGCTTCACTCTTCGTCGTCGTCGTTGTCGTCGTTCTTTTCTCTTCTCCTTCTCTTCCCCACTCCAGCCTCATGGCGCCGTCTGAGATCGATCGCAGTCTTCACTCGTCATCTCTCACGCCAGCTGCTGCTTGGCTCGATCATGCTCTGCGAGCGCGTCTCCGGCATCCATTGTAGACGAGAGCTCGCGTCTCACGCGTGGTCCTTCTCCACCAACGTCTCCTCCGTGACCGGTCCACTCACGCTAGCAATGCTATTCCTCTTGCCCACGTAAGAACTCACTTGCAGCATGTTCAGCTTGTCCTCTTCGCTGTCTAGTGTCTTGAAGTTGAGCCAGAATAGGATGCCACCCACGCCGGACAAGACTGCCACGACGCCGTAGTTCCACACAAGCAGGGGGTCGGCCGACAGCGCCACGAGACCCTGGGCAATGGCGCTGGAGAAGGCGTTCATCAGGAGGTTGATGGACATGACGAAGCTGCGCATGTTGTAGGGTGCCTTGGTGAAGGCGTACTCCAGCGACGTGATGCTTGCCATAATCTCGGAAAACCCGATGAGGACATACGGCACGGTTTGGACCCAAACGTTGATGGGTGCTGGTCCCGAGCAGTCTGGGTCGGAAGCGTTGTGGCCGCAGGGCGAGAGCCGGTAGATGTACACTTGTATAACGCAGGCCGACACCATGGCCAGACTGGCCAGCGCGAAGCCAAAGGCGATTCGCTTGATTGGGGTGAAGTTGATCCGTGCTTTGCGGAGAGCCGGGTAGACGACAAAGTCCATGAAGGGGATAAAGATGATGATGGAAATCGGGTTGAGGTTTTGGATGATGCTGGTTTACTGTTAGCCTCGAGGAACTAGCTGTCTCCACGGAGGTCAAGGGTTTCTGCAGCACTCGTTGCAGGTCATTGGGGAGGACTTACTCATTAGGGACGCCGTTGAGTTCCATGACACTAAAATGTGTAAGCAACGAGCGATTTCTCGACTGCGTGATGAACGGTGGATGTACTTACGCAGCCTGAGATGTAAGGTTGCCCGTCATCTGGCCATAGGCAAGCCAGTAAAGAGGCAGATACAAAAATACAGCACACGCCTTGAGTCCACGACGGACTTCGTCAACCCAAGCGTCGTCGAACGTCATCCATGTCGGTCGTTGAGCGGCGGAAATGTTGGAGGGTTTTACACGTTCCCAGAAATCCGGAGCAGACATATTCTTGTACGTCCTGACTGGATTGATGCTCCATTTTCCCTTGGATGCGTAGGTCCACAGTTTCCAGAACTTGGCCATCACGGAGCCGGTGGGCGGGGTTAACACGTAGTGTTTGCGACATACCAGGAGCACAACTGGCGCAAACAAGAACAAGCACGTGGGAAGCATGTAGGCAAGCCAGAAGCCGACGTATTTCTCGCAGTAGACCATACCCTGTGGCGTTATTAGCATCAAAGAGTGCCGTCGGGAAAGGCAGAGCTTGGAGGTCCTGGCAATTGGTGTACAGGAGTTTGGGAGGACTTACAATTTGTCCAACCAGGGAACCAATGTTGATGCAGAGATAAAAGTAAAGGAAGATTCTAGAAGTCGTCACTGTCGGGTCAACAATAACACGCTCGCCTGATGGGAGCACCTCGATCCTCTTCTTAGTCTCTGTTTGTTGCTCAGCTAAAAGTGGAGAGATGTTGGACTTGAAGCCGCCAGTTCCAACGCCCATAATGATTAGGCCAATGGAAAAAGCAGCGAGAGCAGAGCTTCCATGAGCAATGACACTGGGAGCTGCTGAAGCTGTCAAGATGACGTGTCCCACAACCGCGCAGATAATGGCGGCATGGATGGTTTTATAGCGGCCCCAGTGAGCATCAGCAATATACCTGCATATATCTATCAGCACGCACCGACATCGACACCATCTAATGGCAATGACTCGCTCAAAGACGAAGGTGGGTGTTTTTTTTGTTTTTTTTTTAAAGGAGACTCACGCGCCCAGCAAAGGCATCACATATGCCCAAAACTGGTTAAAGGTCACGAGCCCAGTTGAGGCACGCTGGCCCATTCCGAGCGCTCCAGACTGGCCCTCATGGCCTGCGCCAGTCGTAGAGCCTTCTGGAAGAGGTTGCTGGATGAAATTGACAACTGAATCGTGTCAGAAAGTGCCTTGTGGTTCCAGAGCCATTAACTGCCACTTACAGACAACAGTCGTGCCATAGTAGGAGAACCGCTCGCACAACTCGACAAAGGCGACAGTGAAAGCGGGCCAAGGGATCTTTCCGGAGACTCGACGGAGAGTGTTGAGGTCGGCCTCCGTGACCTCGTCGTCGTATGAGGTGTTTGTCTCTTGAAGGGAGTTTACATCGATGGAGCCACGCCCCAGGGTCTTCTCCATCGCCGTGCCGGCGAGGGCGGCATCGTCTATCTGGGCCTGGGCGATGATAGGAGCTTCGTTAGATGCGATTGCGCTCATATTGGCAAGATGGTGTTATTAATCTTGATGAGACAAGAGTTCTATCTGCTTCGGTGTCGTAATGAGGCATGGGTCGTCATTGCATAGATATATATCTCGATCCCATTTTGCCATCAGATGCATTCGTTTGCACATCACTTGAGCGTAGGCACGGAGCAGTCAGACAAATGAGGAAGGTGTCGTTGGTTGTTATCACTGAGAGGAGGGGTGGCACAATAGCGATGTATCCCAAGCACTTGGCGACATGGTTCGGTTTCTTGGTACACCTGGCTTGAAGCGGGTAGGATCAGAGACAGTCCTTTTCTCAGCCACACAGCCAGTGGGGCGTCTACTATGATGGACAAGCTCGGTGACCAAGATGCTCGCGCTGGAGCTTGAAAAGCATTCGAGAGCCCATTCGAGAGTCCTTCTCTCGAGGTCGCGTGTCACAAAAACTGTGCTGGTGATTGTTGTAACACGTACCGTCGGCAGCCTGCAGACGTGCTGCTCGCCAACGCCCAAGGGCAAAATGCCTCCCGCATAGCCTAGAGTCGCCATACACATCAATCCAGACGAGAGAGCAGACGGTGGTGGTTCGGAGGATCAGAGTTGGTATCAAAGGAGAGGAGGGATTTCGCCACTGCATGGAACGCTGCTTCCATTGCTTCTCTGCTTCGGATCTTCCGCCGCCAAGCTGCAGATCGCGACATTCCGCTGTCTTGGCCACGCCAGGTAATCAGAGGGAAGCCAGGTTGGTGTAACGTCAAGTTAGCAAAGAACAAGTGCCAGCGAAGACGTAGAAAAACTGCCACCGGGCGAGCTTATGGTCGCGGAGGACTCCGGGTGGGCCACCAATTCCCCGGATTCTCACGGTTACTTCGGCACAAGATAGGGGCTGGGCTTGGACTGAGATAGGAGCTTCAAGCACTCTCCTTGCTATGTACATAGGCAGTGGGTCATCAACCATCTTCAATGCACATGGCAGTTTGGGCCATGCGAGAGCTCCTTTGGGGATACCGAGGCATGAAAGTCGACAAATCCTACCTCACACATGTCAGAGGGGCGCATCGAGACTCACGTTGTTCTAGTCTTGCCATTGCCTTCGGGTTATCTAACGACCTGCCAATGCGACCTCACAATGTGTTCACATACTTGGCCTCGGGAGTGTCGTAGCGTTAGCCTTCGGTGTAGGCGAACTGGGCACTACAACATCCTGCTATTGTTGAACCCCGTGCTCAGCACTCTTCAGGCCCGTGTAGGCTTCAAATATTCCTGGGCAGCCCGAACTGGAATATGATCAGATTCTGGACCAACCAACCTCCCGTTCTCTCAAGACCGGTCATTAAATTCGATAAAGCGGCAGTAGGAGAAAGGTAGAGAGAGAGATATCAACCCTTGAGTCCGATTTCAACGGTGGCGCTATGATGAGATTTGGCGGGCATCAGGGCTCCCCATCGACATCTATAGTTGGTTGAAGCCTCCCGGGCGAGCCGCTGGCCGACGTAGACTTAGAGATTAGAATGACTTCGGAAGCTAGAGGGGCTTCCTGGGATCGTTCCGCATACCTTGTGGTTCCTTTGTCGGATTGTCATCCTCTTCCTGCGTGGACATATGACCTTTAACTCTGCTAAACCAGTTGTTGCGCATTTTAGTCTTAGCCATTTCAGTCTGATTCGGGGTTGGAAGAAATGTTAAAATGATGATGTTGCTAGTACGAGATACTGCTCGTTTAAACACAATCCAACGAGCATATCTGGTTTAACTGTTGACACCCAGGCCTCAGGATGAATAATCTCATCGTTGGGTCCGATCAAAGTAGTAGCGACCATCTGCATTAGCCTTTGATATTTGTTAATAGCTCAAGTAAACCTTAATGATACTCCCCATACCCGGCCTAGAGTACAGTATCAATCGAAAATGACTTACTCTTCATGTACGACATCGCTCCCACGGGAATTTGTAAGATCTCCCATCAGGGTCTTCGGACGTAATCAAAAGGACCTTTCGATCCCCGAGGTGCTGCAGCAGTAGTTTTCAACTCTTCTTTTTGCTTCTTTTATTGTTTCGGCCAACTTTTCTGCTGCAGCTTTCTTTGCCGCCGCTTCTTCGGCGGGCTTTTTCGCTTCTATGGACTGTATGATGATCCTATCGACGGAGAGATGGCTATTAGAGCCTCAGCCTTAATAGCTACCACCTCGCTATTTTGCTTTATATCATATTTTCGCAGCGGCCATGCATCATGTTTGAGATCGCTCTTCTTATACACTAGCCTGACTCTTTTGGGGTCCGTCTGCAGGGAGTGTGCGACGACTTTCCTGAGTTGGCCAACATAGGCTGTCCCTTCGTAAATAGAATATGGAGGGAATTCGACGGGGACCACCGAGGCCCTGTATCGCACAAGGACGACATCTGAGGCACCCGGATCTTCTATCGGGATTCGGTACTGAGAGCACCATTTTCCAGAACAATCTGGAAATGGTCCTTGTCCAAATAGTATGCGACGAAGAAGATATAGTAACATTGCTACAGCATCCTGACAATGACCTCTGGAAACGCAGCGAATACAATGCAGACCTTCAGAGAATGATAAACACCAGCTACGGAGCCTATATGGCGACTATGAATGAAATCGTCTATCTCTTCCATAGTCTGGAGGAAAAGCTGAGCACCGATTCCCTGCCGTCGAATACGATGCGGAATTTTAAAAGGATCAGTGACATCCTGTCCAAGGGGTTCTACGAAACGCTTCTCAACAAGATCAGAGCTGCAAATCAAACACTCTCTACCATCACCGAACAAGTCCACAAGTTGGCTGAGGCTCGGAAAACCCGTTGGCCGAACCGAGGGTTATTGCATGACTACGCCAAGATCAGACGGCATGCTCGCAGCGTGTACGATACATTTGTGTGTGGCAATTGCTGGAACTGTCCTTGCAAATCGGAACACATCCTTCAGCTGCGTCTAGAGAACCCGCCCCCAAAGGTCATGCTAGTGGGCCAAAGTATGTCCAGACCAAGTCCAAATTTGTCGTTCACCGACTTTCATACGAGGAAGGTAGCGAGCTAGGGGATTTGAAGGCGGGGGAAGAAGTCGAAATTGAGGCAGCCGACCTGCAAGATATGCAGACTGTGCAGCATCCCGAAACGCTGTACAAGGCGTGATCGTCAGTGAGCCGAAAGGGGTCCGTTTCAGTCTTGTCAAGTCAACCCTCGAGACGATCCCGTGGCTGATGAAGGACGACCATAGTCAACAGATTCTTGACATCTGCGATGCTCTTAAACTCTATCCACACGAAGGGTCGAAGCGCGAACACGTTGGCTTTCTCACCGATGATCTCAATCGGCGTCGGCATGATATTTATATCGTCGGACCGACCAATCCACTCGGACCATCAAAAGCATTCTCGCCGATCATTCTTTATCTCCAAAGGTGGGTGGCATTCCGCTGCCGCCCATCAGTCAACGAAGCAGACGGTATCTTGCGGCTATTTTGGCCTCTGTTTTCCAGCTCCACGGAAGTTGGTTGGAACCGCAATGGGGCCTCAACGATATCCTGCTCGAGTCGCAAGCAGACTACTATTCCAAAATTTTGATCAGTCTTCCGTATCTCTCTCGAGCTCTCGTTCATGCAGCCTTAAAAGCTGAGGCCCGATCCCCTCGCAAAATGATCAGCCCAGCCCTGATCAGAAGCAATGTTCTCTTCCCACTCGGCCTTGCGTTGGTCGAACTATCTCTTGGACAGCCCCTCGAAGTACTATATGAGACTGAAGACCATGATGCTATCGAAGCGGTGGCTAATCTCAAGACCGCGCTTCGGGTTCTGGACTTTGTGCATGATAGAAGTGGGAGTCGCTATTGTGATGTAGTGAAAATGTGCTTGCTCTGGACCGGCCCTGGTGGAGATCAACTTGACGATAAAGTGCTGCAAAGTGCGGTCTTTGAAAAGGTGGTCATGCCGCTTCTGGATGACCTTGATGACTTTGAAGGAAACTCTTTTATCCGTTAGACATCAGGGCTAGCGCATGTGCAGATTTGCCCTCCTCAGTCTTTCAATCCCCTTATTTTGCGCCAAATGAAACTCTAGCTTCTTTGTGAGAAGAATGTTCCCTTCCAGTGGAAACCTGCACGGAACTAGCGCCACTATTCATTTTCCACCGGAAGCATGCTTTATCGTTCGAGTCTGGAATGGAAGGGGGTTAAAGGGGCAAAGCGAACAAAATGACAGCTCTTGCTTTGTCGGCCAATAACTCTGCGGCGGATGTGCAGCGGAAATGCTTGGCGATACTACGGTCCGTCACAGAATGCGCGAGACGCAGATTCTCGGTGGTGGTTGCCTCGAGAATTACAACTTCGCTGTCTGTCTCTTCAAGACCAAGACACTGTCTTTTATTGCCTTCTTACAACCCAAGTCTCTACCACTCACTCCTGACCTCTTCAGACGCACCGCGAAGTCGCGTCCACCAGACCTGAACATCGACGAATCCTTCGCCAAACTTCTTTCCTCATCCCACCCTTTCACATCTATTCCTAGTCCGACATTATCTCTTTCTCAGTCCGCTTCCACGCTGCCTGCGCCCCTCGTTGTGTACTCTCTCAGCCCAGTGGACTCGTCCGCCGGTTCCAAATATCCCGCCCGAAGAACAGCCACAGAATAGTCCGATCTAATCCTTGTGCAAACTTCGGCGCATTCCTTAACATTCTTTCTCCGCTCCGGCTAGCTTAGGCAATATTGGATACCCAAAGCAAAGAACAGATGAGAAAATAAAGAGACTGAATCAATAAATACCGGTTGGTGGAAGGGTTTCGCCTGGCTGGCGCAAGCCAGGAGAGCATTGTAGCTAGGTGGTGTGGCTATTGTCTTACTTGTGCTCACTGAGAGGCTATCCCCGCCCTACGATCGTTCCAAGTGCCTGCCTATGCCCTGCACAATCTCTATCTTTCAGCTTTCACCACATTTCCTTCCGACTTCAATGCCTTTACGATTTGAACACGCTTGACTGCTATGGACACCCGCGAGTTTGCCACGAGAGACGAATTGTGGCGCATTCAAGAGACGCTAAACGATCTCTCTGCAACGCAGGCTCTTCACTCAGATCGCATTATGCGGTTAGAACAGAAGACTCCTGATGGCGGTAGACCTAGAAGTCTGTGGGGTGCAAGCTCTCCCTTCCCCTTGGGCTCTTCGCATCATGGTAAGCCGATCATGCCAGCAAACGCATCCATACTAATGCTCATACTTAGATTCGTCGCTCAACCCGGCTGCTGAAGCATTCCGCAATTTTGATGCAGATCCAATGATCAGTTCCTTAACCTTGGATCCAACCGACGACCCACGGAGAGCCGCTGCGTCAAGAGCCAACTCGGTCCGGTTCGACGAGAGTGCCAACAATCACTATGGCTCCTCAAGACAGTCAATGGAACTCCCTACACGTACAGGTAGTGGGCTTGGTGGCCATGCGCTCTCCGAAAGATCTCTTTCGCACCGATCTGACGGGAGGCCCGCGCCTACTGGATTTGGTCGGACAAACAGCTTCGGTCTTGAGCAGAGTCGCCTGCTCGGTTCGATTCACAACTCGCCTCGAGTTTCGGGCAATCCTCCGCCAGGCTTTTTCATCTTAGGACCATGCCCGGCCATCATCCGTTGCTGGTTAACTCAGTCCTTCTCTAACAGCTCACTGCTGTACGCTGCCATGTGCACTGGTTCAACGGTTTCATCTGTCAGCTATCCACTCTTGTGCAAACTTGACCTGACAGAGTCCATATTTGGGGATGGGGATAATCGCGCTATTCGGCTGCCCGTGTATCTGACTGAAGCCAAGATCCACAGTCCTGCCGCTGTGAGATCAGCTAGTCCAGTCCCACCAATTCCTACTTTGATGGTCAAGTTTGTAATCGACGAACTGACGGTGACGGATTCGTCGATTCAAATCATCCTGGGCAGCGATGTTCTGAGATCACACAATGCCGACATCTTGTTCTCACAGGACAAGGTCATGATCTTTGACGAGGAACGAAATCAGGTCTCGATTCCCTTATGCAGACCCGAAGATGATGCCTCTTTCAAGGATCTGTGCACGGTTTCTCGCCATCGATCATCCTCAATAGGAGAAGCTCTGCCACCTCCAGCTTCCCCAGTGGGGGTCATTGGCCAACAGGAAAGGCTCAACACGACCCAAAACATTGTATCACCTGGGGCAGCTCCATCCAGTAGTTTGCCTTCTGCTACGCCATCCGAGCCGGGAGATGTACACAGAATGGATCAGCCCGTGGAGCCCTCAACGCGATTCAGTCTAGATTCAAGTCAGCCGAGACTTGCCGACGACTCCAAGTCCACGACAGGGAGCGAGAAGTCGTTCACCATGCCCATGTCGAAATCTGGGTCAGGCGTTTGGTCCAGCTCGTGGCGTTCAGCGTCCTCTAGCAATCCTAACGATGCAAGCTCCAAGACTTCGTCTAGCTACGCACGACCTCACACCCAGAGAGCCATGAAAATCTTGCGCCCAGCGAAGACAATGGCCAATGCGTCCAGAACCCCCTCTGCGTCGGCCACAAGCCCCAATGGCACAGAAGCCACACAGGCAAAGCCGAACGAAAGTGGAAAGGTTGCAGCTCCATCAGATTCGAGCGGAGAGCTGAAATCTTTGCAAGCGACGCCGACAGCAAGGACTAATCCAATCGGCTCTGGTACTGCATTTGGTTGGTTGAACACAGGACCGCAGCGGAAAACAACGGCAAACGGTTGATGAGATGCTTAATAGAAGCCGCTCACTTTGACCCACCGCGGTTGACCTTCAACTAGGAGCCTGACGAAGCCCGTTTGATGCCATGATGATGAAGGTCACGGAGGATCATGGAGATTGGGGGGAGGGGGATGGTTTTTAAGCGCGGGCTTCAGTTGGCATGTGCCCAGTGTTCCAAGCTGTTGTCTTGCCTTGCCTCGTCGAGGCTGGGGACACAGGGCAGATAGAATTCAGAAGAGCCTCATAAGAGGCGAAGCTTGCGAAAATAATCTGAATATTCATTGAAAGGCGAAGGATGCGTGAGGCTGCGTCCCCACATGCTGCCATGGGCATTCCATTTGCCGCTTAATTACTTTATTACGACTTCGGCCATCGTCCCGTTCGTCCGATTCTCGCCGACAACAACTAGAAAGAGAAGTGAGATCATTGTCCATTTGGCGGATTTCAACAGCATCCTTTCCACTGTTTCTTTCTCATCTGAAACAACTTTAGATTCAACCTCAAGCACAGAAAGTCTCCTTCAGCAGAGGATCTTTTCCAAATTCAGTCCCTCCCCAATCCACGGTCTTCCTCGCAGCTTGACAGACACATTTTCACTTCGTCCCGCACGAAAGAGCCCACTGACCGGAGGACTCAGGATATAGACTGACTAATAGAGCGAGAAAGCGAGAAAGATGTCGGTGAATAGTAAAAGAATTGGTCAGTTCTTGTGTCCTCTTCTCCTCTTCTTTTTGGCTTTCCCATCTGGTGCTTTGTCAGATTCATCCTCTAGGGTGCTCCGTGATAGAAGGATTATATGGACGCATAGTTGAATCTATGGATGGATCTATGGATGGAAGCAAGGACACATAGATGGACCAGCCCAATCATCGTATTATGTTCGATTTTGAATCGCCGACTGACATTTTATCCCTCCCTGCGGGGGGGCATTCACAGCGAATCCGGTGTTATTGTACGTTTTCTCCCCTGTTTCCCCTCCAAGACACAGACGTACATGGTACCTGTCATGCCACCTGCCACCTATCGCCTTTCGCACCGGAAGATATGTTTGAGTTTGGCGCCGAAGGGACAATCATATATATGAGTCCACTCCCCATTAGCCTACCTACTCAATGTCCCTCGCTCATCAATTGATGGCTTGTGTTTGCTTTGCTCGGACATGTACAAGCAAGACCATGCCCACCGGGAAGATGGTGGCACGTGGAGGATTCGATTGAGTCTTGAGAGTTGGTTTGGTTTGGGCCACTATATCTTCGTTCACTGACATATGTTCGCTGCGCTACAGTATCTGCGACATCCAGGAGAAATTCCGCAATGCCATCTGGGAGTTTCCCAAGGTGTATGTTCTCTCCCCCTTCTCTCCCTCCGCCGCGGCGGAAGAAATGCATTCCCGTTTTTAGGGACGGATGCAGATATTGAATCTGTTGGACTGTACTTACCCTATGGCGGTGGCCGAATGGAACAGGATAGCTACGAGCCAAAAGCTGGTTAAAGCAGGTATGTGAAAGAAAGAAAGGAATGAGATTTTTGATTTCTCCCACGTCTTTTCTTCTCTCCTGCCCGCTTCCTCTCCCTAGCCTGCCTCCTCCTCTCTTCTTTCTTTCAAGCCGCATCCATCCATCCTCCCCACCGGCCCTCGCCCTTCTTCCCTTCCGCTCTTCTCGTGGAGAAACTAACATCCCACCCCTTTCCCGCCTACATAGCCAAAATCCTCAACATACCCATCCTGATCACAACCCAGAACGCCGCGCGCCTGGGCTCCACGGTCCCGGAACTCACGGACCTGATACCCTCGAGCAGTCCCGCGGTGATCGACAAGACCGCCTTCTCGATGCTCGTGCCGGATCTCCAATCCCAGCTCTCATCCCTCACAACCGCGCCTCGCGAGAAATTATCCGTCCTCCTCGTCGGCATCGAAACGCACATCTGCGTCACCCAGACGACCCTCGATCTTCTCGCGGCGGGCCACAGGGTCTACGTGATCGCCGACGGCGTCTCGTCTTGCAACGCCGCCGAACGACCCGTCGCATTGGCGCGGCTCGCGAGGGAGGGCGCAACCGTCACGACCTCCGAGAGCGTGCTCTTTGAACTCGTCGGCGATGCTAAGGATGAGAACTTCCGCGCCGTCAGTGGGCTGGTCAAAGATACCAAGGAGGAGACTAAGCTCGCTGTGGAGACGTTTTGTCGCTTGTAAATGGGCCCCTAGATACGTGGGTACGTATGTAGATCCGTACATAGGTCCGGGCTTCAAAAATGCAGGGGATTAAGAGGTTAGATGGGGGCACGAAGCGGAGGCGGAAAATGATCGGGGGCTTGGGTAGTAGGAGAAGAAGTAGTCCGAGAATGACAACGATGGCACTTCGACTATGGCTCTCGTGGGAAAAAGTAGTTGCCGCTCGCAGTCTTCTGTCTTGCGCTTCAGACCCATGTAAAGAAACAGTGAAATGGACGCGAGCTACCGAATCATACAGGACTTATCACGAGAAGGGATCAATGCTGAGAGACGAAGATCTACTGTGGCCTCATTGATTTTCCGGCATCGAGAACGAAAGAGTGCGTTTGCCAGAGTTTGAGGTAAGCATGAAAACGCAGAGTTGAAGATAGAAATCCGTTTTATACCTGGCGGGTCTCCGTCGGGGAGAAAATCCGAAATCAAGGACTGACAAATTCATACCGCCACCTGATTGTATTCTAACGCATTGCTCATGGAAGGCATGGAAATCATGCGTCCAGACCACTCCACGCTGCCTGGATCGACAGACATTGGCTGAGGTCTGCGTAGAAATAGTACCTGCACACTACCGACGCAGATAATATGATACTGCAAGAGGGACAGCAACCATTGCAACGACCAAAACTAGACTTCTTGAGAATATATCAGCCATGCAGATCATGGTAGACAAGGTTGAGGCTTACCTTGCTGTGCAAATTCGCGAAATGAACGATTTCGTTTTGGTTCCTGGTTTGCTGTTGGCAACTGGCTCAGATGGCTGTTTCTCAGGGGGAACAGCGTTAGCGGCTTCAGCAGCAGGCGGCGGAATCGTCCCGCTTGCAGCGATCGAGTAAGGGGGAGGAGCAAAGTCTGGGATCGAATCCTTCCTGGTGGCGACAATATCTTCGGTTACTTTACCCGCAGCCTCGTCAAAGTGAACCTGCTTCACGCCGCTGTCTTTGGCGTGGTGAGAGTCGAGGAGGTTCGACATAACCTCGCCGGCAGGAGGGTAAGGTTCAATGGCTTCGTGCTGAGGCAGCAGGCGATCCTCACTCGGATGATCAGGCTCATCTTCTATGATATGAGCACCCTTGGTATTGAGAATCGGAGCACCGGGTCGCGAGATCTCTTCAGGCGGGGATCCCGACACTTGAGCTTTGACGGAAATAACATTGTTGATATTGCCTTGTTCATCGTTTGCTAGACCCAGTCAGTGCTGGTCATTCTGATAGTAATCTTTCAAGAACTAGGCCAGACCTGTTGGGTTTGATTCATCTAGGACCCACCAATCACCAGGACCCAGCCTAAATTTGTATTGGTAATCGCCGGGCTCGAGTTCGGTCTTATAGGAGAAGACGTTCTTGGTAGAGCCGTCTGCTGCAGTCGATTCGAACCTCATCTCTATGGGCGCCCAATCGGTGAACGAACCAGCAATATATACTGGAGGTTGGACGTTGTCCTTTTCAAAGGCGATGGTGGTTGACACCATTTTGAAGGTTCGGAAAGTGACGAAGAGTCCGGTGAGCCTTCCAGATAGCGTTCAATCCAGAGAAGATGAGTTGACAACAATCGCAAAGCGACAGGAAGTTCACGGAAAGTGAAGGCGCGGGTATCGCTAGACCGAAAAAAACCATAATCAGCGAAGACCCGAAGATGTTAAGAATAGGGTTACAAGTGATGAAAAGCTGCGTCGCCATGGCTCCAAGGTGATGTGATATGGTTGGCTTTTGCGAGGTCGCGCCTGGAGAACTCATTCAGGCCACTTGCTCTGAGACAGCCACGACCGGCATGACTCTCATGGATCCTCCTTCTCTTTTGCTCCGAGGAGTGCTTGTTCATTTGCAAGACACAGGCTGAACGAAGCTCTATCCCTTGTTTGGAATTGCAGCCAGAAATCCATCAGCTAGTCACTGATAACATACATCCATGAGAAGTATTTGTCCTAGTGATGAAGGCCCTGGCACCAACCCAGCCTACCCGTTCCCCATGGGCGCGAATAAAGCCACGGAAGAGTTATTCAAACCTAACGAAGGTTGAAAGCCAGCAATCGCTACGTACCTCGTGGATGATGGGAATGAGAACTGCTTGGAAGCTGCGGAGCTATCCAGAACAGGAGGTGTTAATCAGCAGCAATGAAACCCAAACCGTAACGGCCACAACAGAGAAGATAAGAGCCCTAGATCCGAGAAATAGAGTCGGTCAAAACTCTCCACAGTCAGGAGACGTCAGCTGTCAAATATAAGAGCGGTTATACCCGATTGATGCTCAGCACAAATCCGCCGATGCTTTCGGACCGAGATTGTTTGGAGGGACGCAGCTTTGTGGGAGGAGAGGGATGGACGTTGTGTCAAGGGCGAACCGAGGACATGTCATCCACGGCGACCCTCCTTCCAAGGGCAGCATGTCAAGAACACCAAGGACGAGCTTGGAGACTGAAACCCAGCGTCATAGATCCCACCTGTCATACCACATCCCCCCAGTTTTCCGGGGAGCGCATGGGCGTGAGCTGCCGTGACAGGCGAGCCTCTCCATGCCGAGTCGAACAGGGGAATGGTGGAATGAACGACATGCAGCATCATTAGCTTAGAGGACCGGGGCATTTGTCTGGTGCCCGCAAGGTTTGTGCCGTCAATGCATGACATCCGTATCTCACAAGGGTGCAGCTGGCTGACATGTGCAATGTTCCAGGTTTTGTTGGGATGTTCGAGTGCTATCTCGATTAGCCCCTCCTCGCCTTCGCTAAAAGGCCCATCGTCATCAGCCACAAGCCACAGGTGGCGGTGATTTTCGCCAGAAGAAAGCCGTTGAACACATTGGGAATCCCATCAGTCACCCTTTCGAAGAGAAGAACAGGCTTCGGGCAACGTGTGCATGAAACGATTTGAACTGCTTGCCCTTCATCTCAGTCAGCAGCTATTGGATCTGCCGGAGCTTCTTGTTGCGTGAGTGTTTCTGCAACATCGCCTTCACAGACGGCGAAAGCAGTACGAGAAGAAGAGGGTTTTCCATAAAAGAATCAGAGACTAGACGGGTGTGGACGATATTTATATAGGCCTCAATTCACGGATTTGCACCATCTGGTGGAGGACGAACAGCCTCGCTTGGGGGGAAACATGTGAAATTTTACGGCTACATGCATCAAGTCATGCAGCATGTGCTCGAGAGATACGAGACACATTTAACTGGCCACAGGAAATTGCCCTTCCTCATTATCTGTGCATGTCTCTGATGATTCCTTCCACGCTCTGCGCCGATTCTCTGATTTTGGGACAGTAATGCCTCTTCAACAGCTCTAACTCCCAAACGCCGCTGCCGGTCCCCAACACATTGGTGCCTTCCACACTCTCGCTGTCGCCCCGATACACGCCGTCTCCTTTCCTTTCGTCACTGTGCCACAACGCCTCGATCTTGCGGCCGTGTTTGTCTGCGATCTTGGCCATTAGATTGAATACTGCCAGGGTGGATTTCTCAGGCAATTGCAGCGAGACAGTCAGGAGGCGTTTGAAGAACGACAGGACTGTCTGTGGGGGGGGTGGAGACGAGGGTATTAGCAGGATAGATGTCAAGACGCGCGTGAGCAGGAGAATGGGTGTGGAGATGTTGATTCTGTTGCTCGCTGCGTTTGACAACGGAGCTTTCGACGAGTGTGGATCGGCGAGACGTAGCGATTTCGGCCCCAGTTCGACGTCCGCGTCCAGTGAGAGCGGGTATAATGAACTGTAGATATGCCCTGTAAAAAAGCTCAGGTCGAGATGTAAGCTCGAGGCGGCTTTGGAGACATCCTGGCCCGAGAGCAGTGTGAATGCAGTCTGCGTCGCAAGAAGGCTTTCGCGTTTCCTGTTGCGGATTGTCTCGGCATCCAGGGTTGTCGCCTTGCTCTCTTCTTCAACTTCGCCCTCCACGTCCAATCCCCCTTTGACAGCGTCATCAGCTACGCCCACAATCTCCTTTAGCGCCTCTAATAGATCTCCAAAAAAATCCTGATTGATCAGATGCGCGTACTTTGCCAACCCTTCCAGCACAGCACCCATAAGCTCTGGGATCCTGGCCTTCAGAACGCGAAAATACGTGACAAACACCAATTTCAACGTTTCAGACTGGATTTTCTCTCTCTCTTCATGGTTTACCAGCGCCGAGGCTTCGGCCATGTCTTTCTCGACTTCACGGCGCTGCTTGAGCAATTTTCGTTCGCGTTTGGACATGTGCTGGGAGGTCTGCTGCTTGACCTTGCGTCCGTGTACCTTCGACGGCTGTTCCGGCCTACCTGGTTTGCCGGATGAGTCAGGTGGTGCCAGTTCAGACAAAAGACGTAAATGGAAGAATGTATTCAGCACTTCTTCCCTGACCCGGTAGTCTTTAGCTTTCATCATTTTAGTGAGCAGGCTGACGGCTTCAAGGGACGGGGCTCCGTCTTCATCGCGTGAGAAAAACTGCTCCAGAGTCTCCACGCATTTGAGGAAATCGGGTGAGGGTTCTCGACTCGAGACCTCGTGGACGAGAATATTCAACAGCTCGGTCCGGAAATTGAAATGTGGTACGGAGAGGAGGAGTGTGCATGCACAATTGATCGCAACACTTCGCAAGGACAGTGTAACTGCATCACTTTTTTGAGCCTTTGCGAGACTGCTCAGTTGTTTCAGGTATGCCTGATACCCAGTGACGAGAGCGTGCTCATACTGTCTCGTTTGCCGCACGTCCTTGGAAATCTTGTTCCCCAATTCGTCATCCTTGTAAGAGCGTATCCGATAGCCCGGAATCACGTCCTTGTACACCGCTGCTTGTGCAGCAAGGACCAGTTTCTGAACCGCGATTGGCGAAGTTGGTCCAGTGACTTGTGCCAGCTTTTTAAACGACCCGGCATGTTCTTCGGGGTCTTCATTTAGGAGACCCGCGATGCGAGCAATCTCTTCCTTCGCGGCGACAATTTGTTGCTTGAGAGGGACTTGCGGAACGGCGGGTTCTGTCTCGGTGGGAGGCGTCTCGTCCTTCTCGTCGTCCTCATCGTCAGTTCCAGATCCCATGAAACTATCGGAATCATCCTCCTTTTCAATCGGTGCCTTCTCTTCTACCCTTTGTGTCTTCCCTTCGGCAGTCTTGATCGGGAGTCTCGTGGATTCCTTGTTTTTTTTCTGCCTCGACTTCTTCTCATATTCTTGCTCAAGATCCCAATCTGCGGCGCGGACGAAGAGGTCGGTAGCCTTGATGGTCTCTGAGACTTTGCTGTCATCGATGGGCGGAGAGAGTCGCCTCCGTTTTGTTGGACGACCGTGAGGCATGGCTATGTTCAACGTGAAGCCTGACTCACTAAGCGCTACACGCGCACATTTTGAAGGTTGCGGAGGATCAAAATTTCGGCCAAGCAAGAGTGAAACTGGTCGCGGCTCACCCCCGCTTCTGGCTTAGGGTGATGCCGCCCTGTGCTCCGCCCGAGTCGCCCGCCGAGCCAGAGTAAAAACTGTCCGGGAGCTCACTTTGGAACTCATCCCGATCGTGCCGAGCCGAGAGAAAAGATGGAAATAAAGTTCCCAAATGCTGCAAATCTGCCCAGCGCGCCAGGTCCAAGCATTCTATGGGGTCGAAGTCTCGCTTAAGGTACTGTATGCCACTGAGTCCCTGAAACCTTTTCAACTGCCTCTGAAACCGGTGAATCTATTAAATTCCCCACGCAAGTTCATCTGCGGCTCCTGCATGATACCGTTTCATGACCCTGGGCTGGTTGGAAGCCGTTGCTTGCCGCCAACAAAATGGATTTAGATCACAACTCTTCAGGCATCTAATTGGTGCTTTTCGAACAGCTTGCGACAACACCAAAAATCGAGTCAAGGCAGCCGCTAATGCCGTAAGAGAGCATGCCAGTTACGTCCTGATGATGTGGCTTCAGACCGGATGATAAACGCTTCACACTGGATGCGGGATTCAGTATTATGTGTAATGGTTGTAGCTATACGGTACCAACCTCTCAAGACTTTCCCCCTTTTGCTCAGGGTAGATTGAAAGGTGTGACTTGGCTTTTGAATATTGATGGATTCACATATTATACAGGAAGACGCGTTTGGAGTTCCCGGCTGAACCTTAGCAGGCCCCCTGGCGATACCTAGATTTTTTTTGCTAAAGACAGTGTCTTGTGGCTGTATCAGCATTCAGGTTAGATTGCCATCACCCTAGTCGGCTGAGACCAATGACCGCCACACCCTAGTACCAGCAGCCGCTGTTTCTGTGAGGTATCTTTGCTGGCACTACAGGAGGTTTGGGTCATGCCGCTGTTGAGCATGAGTTTAGCGCCTACGTGGTGGCCTCACCAGCCCCCAATTACTAGGTCGTCGCGAGCGCCAAACTTGTACTTTTGTTGGCGAGCAGTCTCCGAAAGACTCCCATATGATATATCCAGAACCTCTACACCAATTCATACCAATTACCCGCAAGGTTATTTGATAGATTGCCTTTTAAGGTACACTTGGTCTGGGGCTTCCGTTTGCCTCAATTGGATTACTTGATACTACTATCTGCGAACTGGAGCGTCATACTCAGCGTTCTTGCACTGAAAGACGAGATCTGGGCCACCTGCAAAAGTGCTTGATACGAAGACATGCCACCGTTCAATCAATGCGAGCCAATGGACTTTGTCTCAATGATAACACCAGCGAGTGCGAACACGTCAGTGTCAAATACACAATTCGCAAAGGGCTGGGTCAACCAGCCAAACGGTCGTGGAACTTGGGATATAATACAAACATGTATTGTCACGCTGATCCTCTGCAGCTGGTCATCGCTCGTTTTGAACATATGTTCAAGAAAAGGTCGTGTGTCGTTTTTGAAGAATAAACTGCGCTGGATGCTCTTTACCCTCTTTTGGCCAGAGATCACATTGGGAGTCGCATATGAGCAATGGGAGTCCGCTTCCCAATGCGTGGAGGATTTTTCGAAAAAGAACAAACAAGGCTATGAAAAATGGACCATGCGGCATGCTTTCTTTGCAGACATGGGCGGCTTCCTGCTTAAGGCTCCAGACTTTCCTGCTTTTCCAGTGGACGGCCAACAGCTCCTATATCTTGTTGAGAACGATTATATACCATACCCGAATGTGGACAGTGGGACCATCTGGGACAAAAACAAGGCCGACGGATTCGCACGGGCAATCACACTGATACAAATCACCTGGTTCAGCATCCAGTGCATCGGGCGCGGCGTACAACACTTGACGTTGTCGACATTAGAGCTTCTGACGATTAATATGATCTTCTGCACGGTATTTACTTTCCATTTCTGGAACCACAAACCCTTGGACGTACAGACCCCTATCATCTTGCGAACCGACACCACCATTGCCGAGATCCTTGTCAAAGCTGGAGATCGAGCCCGCGAGCCATACAAACTGACGCCCCTGGATTTCATCACCGCTCAGCCAACTGCTGCAAATTTCGTCGCTGCTTGGTGGTGGGGCCTGGGTCTTTGCTTTGACGGCATCCTTTTCCAGATCAACGAAAAACATCGCCCTGTTTCAACGTTTTCCAACTCGAAAGCAATACCGCCCCGGGGCTATTCCTTCTGGTCCTGCTTCTTCAGGATTCTCATTTCGGCAGGATACTTCGCTCTTCATTTCGCGGGGTGGAACTTCATCTTTCCTACGACAATCGAGCGGAAGCTCTGGCGCGCTGCGATGATCTATTTCATGAGTCTCTATTTTACTTACCTGGTTGTATTTGCCGTGGTAACTCTCCTAAGCGGGTGGATTGCACGGAAATACTTTCACAAGGAGGCAAGCACCTTTATTGAAGTTGCATCAATGTTCCCAAGGTGGTTTCAGCTTGGTGCTCTAATACCCATCTACGGGTCATATGGTATTGTGCGAATTTATATAGTCTTTGAAGGCTTTTTCAGCCTGCGGATGTTGCCTATCGATGCCTACGATAGTGTCAACTGGTCTAATTTTATTGTCCATTTTTAGTCAACCCTCTAGATTATCTGGTCTATGCCCTTCGTGTTCAATCTTTCTACCAGCTGATCGGGGTACAGAGCCTCTGGGAGCATAGCTCATTCAACTGTAGGCTGCCCGTCAAGCCCTTCTCGGGGAGTATTGGATAAGTACCTCCGGTCAGATCCCAGCAGCGTAGTAGATGAATAGCATCATATATGCTGGTTCTGCGGCTAGCTTACTGGCCACTCCGTCCATGATTGTTAGCCCACCCTCAAGCGAGGTTGGGTTAAGCCTTGGGCTTATCTTGTTCCTGTCTCTTTTGATCTTCTTCTCAGTTCATCCGAATTTGAAAGCTCAACAAGTGGTTTTCTGGCTTTGACCATCAGGAACCGAACATCGTCGCTGTAACGCCATAACTCAACGGCAGCCATCGCGTTGACAAAATGCGCCTCCATGCCGAACAGCTTGATGATAAGGTAGGGGATGTAGGCTAAGAGGAAGAAGAAGCGCATCATTGGAGCGACGTTTTTGGAAAGATCCTGGACTTCCACATCTTGGAAGCCAACATTTTCAAGCCTTTTCCGAATAGTACCCAAGGGAAATTGGTCAAAAGCAGGCATGTGTGCGTAAGCATTGATTCGACGCATAGCACTTTGCCCAACTGGATTGTTGTCCATGTCGTGTTCATATTCGACATGTGTGACAACTCCACCGGGTTTCAGAACGCGGTAGAACTCTCTCATAGCCTGGTCGGGGTCGCCAGCGTGGACCAAGGTCTCCATAGTATAGGCACCATCGAAGGTATCGTTGTCAAAGTCCAGCTTCTCATAGTTGCCGCTTGATACCTCAATCTGGCCTCCTAAATGCTTGCGCTTGACGTTTTCTCGGGCCCACCGCACATGCATATCAAGGAGATCAATGGCTTTTATTCTCAGCCCCTTTTCTGCCATGAATATCGCAACGTCTCCATTACCCGTTCCGGCATCTAGCACCAACGAGTTGTCTGTCAAGCCAAGTGTGAGGTAGAGGCGCTCTTCCATCCGCCGCAAGGCAGCTCCGATAGGGAAGGGCCATAGTGTTCCCTCTTTGTAGTACCCAAAGTGCCTTGTTCCTCCCAGAATAAGCCTGTAGCCGATTCGAGACTCCAATGAATGATAATAGTCGGACACGGTAGAAGGCATTGCTGTTGTGGGAAGAGTGGAGCGCAAAGCTGGAGCAGTGTCGCCGTGGCGCTAGGCAAGGGACGGTATTGTTGCCTGTAAATAATTGAGGGCAACACAACAGAAGGAGATTGTTCAACTCTCTTAATGCATCTTGGTTAGGGAAGAGAGAGATAAAGTTTCTGAATCTGCATCCGAATAATGGAGAAACTGGTGCGAAAGGGAGATCGTCGGTTTGTATTTTGGACAGTTTGTTTGCCTCTGGCGCGTACGGCCTTCTGCTTCGCTAAATGCTCCCCCGCTGCAGTTGCCCACCATGTCGCACTGTCGATGCCAAGGCGCTAATGCCTCTCGGCCCCCAAGCCCCCAGGCGGCGAGCTGGCGATCAGCTGAAGCTGCTTGAGCTGCCCAGTCGAGGAAAAAGCTGCCCCGAAGTTCTGCCGCTCCGCAAAAATTGTTCGGCCTCGATTTTCACATCCTCTTCGCGCAACACAATCCTCCCTAGACCTCCTACGCTCGTTCCGTGTGTTGCCTGCTTCTTTCAAGAGTAGGACTCAATATGAGACCGCTCACTGATGTGGAGACGCAGACTCTCTTTACAAAATTGGCTAACTACACCGGCCGCTCCTTAACCCAACTCATCGCACCAAGCGACTCCTCCGAAAAAGACGATCGCTTCGTGTTCCGCTTGCACGAATCGCGCGTCTACTATGTCCGTCTCTCGATCGCCAATCTAGCCACTTCCATTGCCCGCGACAACCTCCTCTCCCTTGGCACCTGCATTGGAAAATTCACAAAGACAGGAAAATTCCGTCTACACATCACCGCGCTGGATGTGATTGCTCCGCATGCTCGTTACAAGCTATGGGTCAAGCCAAATGGCGAAATGCCGTTTCTCTATGGCGGGAATGTAGTAAAAGCGCACGTGGGTCGGTGGAGTGAAGACTGTCCTGAACATTCGGGCGTTGTGATCCTGGCGATGGATGATACCCCCTTGGGCTTCGGAGTTACTGCGAGGAGCACGGCTGAAGCGAGAAAACTGGAGCCCACCAGTATCGTGGCCTTCCGGCAGGGTGATGTTGGCGAGTATCTGAGGGAGGAGGATAGTTTGTTCACGACTTGATCGCTGAGTTGCAAGACGGTTCCAATTGTGGAGTTTTACAGCAGATGGTTGGGGAACAGAGAATCCAATACGAATGCCAGCGGACCAATGGGACATTGTCAACCCAGGTTGTCGCGAAAAGGTGTTGGAAGGCAGTCACCACTATGCCATCCCTCCGCGCTTCCGATATGTGATTGAGAACCAAGCTCGAAGCGTGAGCATGAATCACCAAAGAGCGAGCAGCCATACCATTTTGAAGAGCATTTCTTTATTAGACGATGCTCACAAGGTATAGCCAGGTTATTGGCGGCATGGATACGATGTATGCTCAAGATGAATGGACGATAGAGTTGGGCCGTTGGGCTTGGACAGAGGTCTCTGTGAGAGACCTAAGGAAGAGGAATGAGTTCCTGACCGTAAATTGGTCAATTAGTGTCACCAGCGTCTGAAAAATTGTCATGAAAGGAGATCAAGGTTGCTGGGGAAAGTTGATGAAACTCGAGATCCAACACAACGGATCGTTATCTCTCTTGACCAGACCAGTGTATTTTGTCCGGACCATGGAGTGAGCGCTCGACGCTCGTGTGAGTCCTCGCTATACACGACGCGAGATTTTGGCCGTGGTCTGGTCAACATCTATCCCGTAGTGCAAGGTCTTGGGGAGGACGACGAATGTTGATATTCTGCGCAGACATTTTTGCATGAGATCACAGACTTTCGATGTTTTCCTGCCCTGGTCTTTTTAACGCTTCTTCTGCAATGACATCGGCCCTGCCTACCGGGATGGGAATGTCCTCCGTACCTCAAGCGAGCTTGTATGCTTCAATATCACCCACATGTCCTTCCAGTTTTGGAACCTGCTCCCGTCCCCAGGTTGAGGTCACGCCTCAGTCCTCACCCCCCACCACTCAGACTAGGATTCCCATAGAATGCAATATGTCGCCGACGTTATCAACAGATCCTTCCTTTCCTAGCTATTCGCTCCGCAGACCTCCGCACCTAGTACTCTTGCAAAGACTTGACTTTATATTAGCCAGCCTCGCGACGGATCCAACTTCAAGCAACACATATGAATCCGGAGCGATGATTGGTGGAAGCTCATCGGGAGTTTTCACTCCTTGAGAGAAAGCTGGTGGTGCTGGTGGGGGTAGCGAATTGGAGTGCAGTTTTTATCGGTCTCTCTTTTTCGCTTGAAACAAAAGCCGTACGGATGGTCTACGGAGGCCGGTCCCCACGGTGCGAGTACCAACAGGGATACAGTATTGATATGGTCAGCTGGATGTCGAATGATCACGCGGGCAGGCGCTATCAGTCGACAATGGAAGGCTTTAAGACATGAAAGGGACAAACGCCATTGTTTTCTGTACATGTGAGCAAGTTAGTCGGCCACCAAAGCTTCATGAACACACTTGCTTGCCTCTAGGGCAAATATTTATCTTCTTTTCCCGTCCTCACCGTCCCCACGAACCCCGTCGTCTATTTACCCTTCGAAACCAAATCCTCGACGGTTTTCCTCGCCTCAGCCGCCTTCTCATCCGCCCAGTCCGTCGCAAATTTCGTGTGCTGCCTCGTCTGCTTCCATGCTTCTTTTACAAATCCACTGATTTGGGAATGAGTTTCACGGACCACGGGCACCTTTTTCTCGTACTCCCAGATCAGGTCCGAGGTATTCCGCATCGTCACCGGAATGAGATACCAACCCGCCGCAATGCCCACCGCAAGCGGGAAAGTTGTTCGCAAGAACATTCCGCGGTTTCGAGCTACTATAGAGCCTGTAAGTGTCGCCACTAACACGTAGATAGCTCCGGGCAGGAGTTGTTCTCCGGTCTCGGGAGCTGGGGCCAAGGAAGCAATCGTGTTGCTGAAGTCTGTTTCCTTGCGGAATGCCCATGATAGGAATTTGTTGAAGGATGTTTCGGCGGAGAGAGATCGGTCATACAAAAACAAGCGCGCTTTCTTCACCTGCTCTGTGAGTCGGTCGGTGGGTGTAGGTGAGTGTGGGTTTGGCTTGGAGACCGGCGAAGTAGGGGAGGGCTCCGGAGTGGTTGGTGCGACTGGATTGTCGGAGTACATGGGTTTCTTGTCAGGGAGCTATAGAGGCGTCAGAAAAGCAACTCTAAGGACGGAGGGGATCTTTTTTTGCACCTCATCTTTTGAGGGAGCTTCTGCATAAACTGTGCGGAATGGTGACGGAAATGAACGGACTTGAGTTGCAGCAGTTGCTCCCAGAGCGAATACTGCTGCCTGTTTCGACTATGCAAGCGTTAGTGTCATCGAGCAGGTCTGCGAAATCCACTTACAGCTCGCAGAAGCCTTAATCGCGCCATGTTGAGAGCCGTTGGGAAAGGACCGTAACTGGCGCAGGCTTGGACAACATTCGAGATTCAGTCAGTCGGAGCTTTGTATGCGGATCGGCCAAGCGGCCTTGGCAAGCCCGCCAACTCCAAAAAAAAAATATCACATTGAACATCACCTGAGCCTTTATCGGGATTGCGTGCATCAAAGACAAACCAGTAAGCCTCTCCTGAGATCTTCCCTACACGAGTCAACTATCTTCGTTGCGTTAACATATCCACAACTCCTCAATGGCCTTTGGCGAACATGAGGACGGTTCTTGTCAAACTTGAGAGTCAGGAGCTGTTAAGCTGTCGCCTTAATACTAGCTACTTGTAGGGATAGTCTTTCTACAGTGATGGTCTTATATAGCCTAGAGGTAAGTTCATCGTATCGTAATATAGGCTATGAAGTTCTATCCTGAAAACTTTCCTAAAGCTATCGTTATATTATACCGGAGCACTTCAGTGTTCGGCGTGCACGTGTAACAACGCACAGAGGCCTGTCCAGCAGGTCGGGAATCGAGAACGGATTTCTGGTTGATACTGACAAGACTAAAACACTTAGGAATTAGGTAAACGGCGCCAAAAACCATGGAATTTTTTGATACTCTTGTACTGTAAAGAATGGCACACTGCCAGCACTGTAAACTGTTCCGCACCCCCCTCTCTGCCAGCCCATTTTGGTTTGACATGTGACGAGGCAACTCTCTCCCCTTGCTACCCCTCTACTAGCCCAGCACAGCCACTTTGCCTTGTTACAATATATTTTTAAATAAGTAAATAAACTAGTATTACAGTCTAGATTCTTGTCATGGCTTTTCCCTTTCGTAGGCACGGCTCGCCCGCTTTCCTATTTGGGATTGGTAGAACGCTGATATGATTGGATGATTCTCTTCCTTGGCGTCTCGAGCCGCCATTCATAGTTGATTTTCAGTGACTGGGGTCTTGCTGAGGTCAGGAGTATGTATCGTAGGTCCCAGAATGTTTCTCTTCTAACCTTTGATAGAAGTTGTTTTCATGTTCTCAGAGCACCGAGGTAAATATCAGAATATTTCTGCCCAGCCGATTTGCTGAAACGTAACTGTTGTACACAAAATGAGAGTGGATCTATCTGCTTGATTGTGTTCTGTCCCCCTGGCTATTCAGAGAGACTCTGTCTGTTTATATACACTTTGGCCTGTGCTCGGAAGGCCGTTCCTGAAACTTCGTGGCGCAGTTGGTGAAACAGCTAGCGTCTCAGGTGGTTTGCCACACAGTGGCTATCTCGAGACCCTGTCAATAACACACTATCAGGCATAGATACCAGAGCTCTCCAGTTCATAGCGCATCAAAGTATTATTCGGGGTACGTGGCGTAAGGAAAATATCAACTCCGGGAATGCTCTGCTGGCTTATGGCAACGACGATCTCTTCAAATCAAGGAGTACAGGCGAGAATTCTGGCGAGCTTTCCTTTGCCGGAGCAAAAAGTAGTTGAAGGCTGACGTAGCATTGTTTAGCGCGAGGTAGCTGAGAATTGCACCGCGAACGAGTCATTACTTTGTAGCTCGGATTTCTAAACTCGTGCGTAGAAATTCTACTCCTAAGTACTAGACGACTTGGTGCGAATGATCTGGGCCATCCTCGTCCTCGCCACTACCACGATCTCCATGTTCTCTCCACTGAAAGGAAAATTTGAGAGGACCTGATCTAATGCGTCTCCAGCCTCCTATGGATTTTGTCCTCATGTCAGTCGGGCAAATCGCCGTTCCATCGTTTTGGGGCACGAGACAAGAACAATGCAGAAGCGAATGAAGCGGCAACACAAGTTTTTAGCTGTACGTACGGAGTACTCCGAACACATTTCCTAGTGTTATGTAGCTGCAATGCCCCGGATTGAGGACAGTCTGAGCACTTGCGTCGGGCTATTGGGCTTCGGCTTGGGCTTGGTGTGGGGCCAACAGTACGAGGAGATCGTGCTCGGCAATGTGATCGTCAGTCAAGCACTTATCCAGTATGAGTGGGGAGGCAGTATCCGAGAAGGGAGAAGGGGGGGGGGTTGACCTGTCAACTCCAAGTGTAACTAGTGCTGCATTGGTCGGTACGACACGGACGACTTGGCCTAGGAGCCTCTTCTCGCCTAGACTTTGTCACGGCGCTTAGGTACCAACGTCTCGACTATCGACCATCCACCCATCCAAGAGGAGAATGAACAACGGGGAATAGCCATGCCAATGATTAGGATACGCCTGCTGCCTCAACACGGCACAAGTTTCACGTAATCACCGTGTCCCTCGTCACCAATATCGGTGACTCCACGGATCCGACTGAACCTCCGACGTGCCGCTGCTGTTCCGGCGTTGAAGTTGTTCGAGTAGAACCTGCTGTCTGTCGAAAGAGAGAAAAGCGAGTTCGGTTTTCATATCTACAGTATTTGCACCTCTCGCATGGAGAATCTTCTGGAGGGCCTTCAGATGGATAGAGGCGATCTCGAACTCTTCGAGGAGCAGAGCCAGTCGCATGAACAACATCACTGTCTGTGCGCAATCATCGGTCCACACTGGGCCCTCCAGTTCTTGCCGGAGATATGGCAGTGATTTCGTCTGTAGATACAGCCATGTAAAGGCCCCTCCGGTGTTCGGACCTTCGTCTCCGAAGACGGTGATGAATGCTGCTGCGTACCCAGCGGCTGCATACAACAGCATTGGACAGGAACGGATTCTTCTGGCATCCGCGCACCAGGTCCATCGAGAGGAAAAGGAAAGGGCGATCGGCACCACCGTCTCGAGGTACAGGTCGAGGAGATGTTCAAGATGCGTTGTGCAGTGATCTGATGGTGCTGATGACAGACAGCTCACATTTTGTGGCTCAGGGGTAGACGCCGGAGAGGTTCCTTCGCTGTCACCCTCACTGCTGGCCGGCGGCGCCCTCTTCCACCCCGATGTGATCTGGCGCACCGACGCATCGGAATGCAAGAACTTGTTGTATTGCCGTTTTTGCTTCCTCTGATCCGCGACGTATTGGCGCAGGGCCTCCATTTGGGGTGATTTTGGGTGGATTTTGCCATTGTAGGTGTCGATTTCAATGAAGAAGAACTCTGAGAGAGGTTGCAGCTGCATTTCAGGCCGACAGTCCGACATCATGTCTAACTTTGATAGTGAAGTCTATCCCTGTCTGGTGCCGGAAATGCTGATTGTCGACGTAGACTCGGTTAGATTTCCGACCAAAGTTCCTTAGACTTCTTGTAATAATTTATCGAAGCTTATGCTTCCCCTTTTGCCCCCCCCTGAATCCCGATTCTTCTTGTTCTTGTCACGCAAGGGTTGATAATAATGCCAGGGTCTCGTCGGTTTTTGGGATCATGACAAACTCTACCGGTGTCAATGGTGACTTACTTTCATGTCAAGGTTCTGCCAATAGATGAACTCACGGCTTTACAGGCGGTGCATATACTTGGCCCAGAGTGACTGCTACGACAGACTGTGGCGTACAGCATGGAGAGGGAGGGATTCGACCACTTAATCTGGGTGCAGACTCGAACATCCTAACTAGGAAGTATCATAAAGTGGACGCCGCCCAGGTTGAATGCACGATTAGCAGATCCGGCAGGCTGGTGAACAAGCCTACATACATTTCTAGCAGTGTCACTGGAAGTTACTCTCTCTTTTTGCAGCACCGAATCATGATTAATCAAAGGCAGACGCGCTCAGACGAGTTTCTGTATTCTTTGCTTATGATACTTCTCGAAGAAGGGTCTCAGCACTACGAGACGGACGTGAATCGACCGGGACGGAGTACATAGTAAGAAAGTGCGGGGCTTGGAGGCTTGCCGCTAGCGTCAAGTCGGGACCAATGATACTTCCCAAATAGGAAGTATCTCGAAGGACCTAACCAGGGTCATTGCTAGTATACTTCGTGGTGCACGCTAATATAGGAGGCCGTCGGGAAAACGATACTGCCAGGGTCACTCAGTGGGTAAAGATATTAGTCATATTCCAAATATTGAAGCCGCCCCTGTCGCATGCCGAATCAATCCAGCCAAAGAGATGAAGCAGATCCTTCAAATCGTCATAGGTAGTAATGCCTAGACCTGAAATCAGCTGGCGGCACCGGGAGACAAACCACCCCCGGGTGTCGAGATCATCGTCGTCTACAGCCACAGCGGTAACCACGCACACCCATAAGAGAAGCTGCTGAGAACCCTCTACCGTCCTGAGATTGTCGAACCAGGCGACCTTCTCTAGAAGGTCGGGAATCAGTGTCTGTCTTATGGAAGCCGTTGTTGGAATCGGAAAGATGACATGGAGACTATACAGTTGTGCCGCTAATCTGGCACAGAGGTAAAGCATATGATACATCCCTTGATTCTGTGCGGCAAAGGCTGGATTTTCCTCTAGCGAAAGCGGGCCTCGCAACGTGTCTGGCAAACATAGCAGCCGGTACATGAGATCGTTGCGGCTGTCAAGGATGTCTGTCAATGCCCTCGACTGACGGTTATCGGCGAGGTAAATCTGGATGGCTTGCGACATCTCACTGATGTCTAAGAATGTCTGAATAATGTCGGGACGAATGCTTGTCCTTTCGAAGAGATGAAACCCTCCACGGGGCAATCGGAAATGGTACGGCATCTCAAACACCCTCAACAGTCGCAGAGGATTCTGATATTGATAAGGCTCACCGTGCACAGTGACGGGGGAAAACTCAGGTGGTGAGAGACGACTAGCTGCCCCCATTAATGCAGCACTGCAAGGTGAGTAAGTCAGAGGATGGGCAGCTCGGGTGAAGACGGATGTTTCAGTAGTCTGCAAACTTACAAAAAGATCAGCCATCCCAAACTATATGCCTCGAGGTTCGCAATGCCACCCTTGCGCTGAACCAAAGCCCGGATAGCGGCAAAGTGCGTGGGGTCAAAGTCCATTGTCCCGTACAAGGTGAGCCACTGCACCCCAAGAAACGGGGCGTCAAAGTTCGACCCGTCCGGAGTCCGCCGATCGGTAAGCGAGGCGTTCTGGTTGACTGCAAGACACAAGATGGCATATATTGTCTCATCGATCTGATCAAATGCAACGCCTCCTGCAAGACTGTCCCGCAGCGTCTTGATGGCCGCACCCTTCAATCGCAACTGACGGGAGAGCCTCATATGGTTAGCAGGAGACTGCTCGACATATAATCGCATCTCCTGGTGTATTGAGCCACTGAACAAGATGGCAGACATGACTGTTGCACTCCGAGCCGCGCGGGGGAACCAAAAGCGGGCAAAGTCATGGGCATAGGCTTGATGTGGTCGGAAAGCTGGCCACAACCCGGTAACACCTGGCACGAAGTGTTAAACGACATCCATTGATAAAAGTTTCCCGAGGCGGTCTCATACAGTAGTCCAGGATACTGTGACCAAACGCATCCTCGCTGCTCAGGCCGGTGGTTGAGAAAGGGTCGCTCCGCGCCGCACTCAGCAGGGACGCAGTCGAGCTAGGACAGCCTGCAGCGACATGTCTTGATACTGAAAGCAACCCTCCGCCCTCAACATGCTGTGATGCTGGTTGTGCCGTTGCAGTGTCTTCCGTTTCCTCTGCCGCTCGATCCGCCTCGCGGTTTGCTGCGTGCCTAGGTCCCCTCGACTGCTTTCGCGCCCTCCAGCTTGCCTTGATAATATTGGACCGGATTCTCTGCCTCTCCTCTCTCTCTTTCACCGTCTTCAAGGAGCCTCCGGCGACGAAGACTATACTTTTTGGCATAGTCTGCAGGCGTGGCGGATGTGCCGCCAAACAGCAGAAACGAGGGCGTGATTGTTGCGGTGGAACGGTCGTCTCGAAGTCACCGCGCCTGCCTGGCGGCACGGGGAAAGAGGAATTCTGTCAACTGCTTAAGGTATGGCATACATGGTCATCTGGAATCCTGATCCTATATGAGCATGTTCCCTCCGGGAAGCTCGTCATCGCGGCCGAGATGGAGACAAGCCATGAAGGCAGTCCAGGCTCTTTTTTTTCTGGCTGCTCGCTTTGGCCCGCACGCCAAGTCTTCAAATTACCACGCTCTTCCCTGTCCTTTGAACGTTCCCACTGGACCGCAGCTTGAAAACGACGCAGTGGGCCGGATCTGTGTCCTTTTCTCGTATTCAATACATCGAATCGAGCGGTCAGATAACTGAAGTATGTATTGGAAGAGATCGATTATATCTTTGTCAAGGGCGAGGCGCAAGATCGCCCGCACGACCGCCTTCATCGCCGTCTACACAACCAAATACAAAAAGAGGAACGGCGCGACCCAGTCGTTGCTAAGGGGGACAATGCTCAGATTGTAAAAATGAGCGACCACGCGCAGACTGATGCCTCGGCTGTCGCAAAGGTCTAGAATAGCGGGCAAGGAGTGGGAATCATTGGTCTCAGCTCAATCATGCCCTGCTGGAGTGGGTGTACTCTCAGGAAAAGATTGACGTTATTTCCAACGAGACGGCTTCTGATACTAGTATTCGTCCTCCCACTGGCCCTGGCCATGATGTTGATGCTCATGCTCACGTCCTCCATCCCCATAATCTGCTCCGTCATGGTAACCATAATGACCGTTATCTCCATCACCATTCCAATGATTGTGGTCATGGTAGCCTCCATTTCGCTGGTCAATCAGACCTCTGTCCCATCTGCCATGATTCCCGCCGCAACAACAGTCGTGCTCAGTACGGTTGTCATGATGTCCGTCGTAATGTTGGTCATGATTATACCCCGGATCCCCGAATTCGTCATCGCTGTCGCCGTACAGATCCGGATCTATATCGGACATATTGTCATCGTCATCATCCTCGCCGACAGCGGCGTCTCGGTTGTATGGTCTATGTTGCTCGGGATGCAGATGACGATGGCCGGGGAATTGGCCTCGGATAGTCAGACCGAACCACTTGTATAGCTTCCGGATGCCGGCGTTATTGGGGTCGTAGCCAAGGTATTGTTTCGACAAGCCATAGATATGCTTCGAGTGCTGGTGCAGGGCTGGTTGGTGTTCGCTCTCATCCATGCCTCTAAGATGGTCGATTAGTGGATTCCCTCGCTCCAAATTTGTATCTTGGAACAAAATCCCTGCTCTCAGCGACTCGGCATGGGAGAAATTAGTGGGTACTATATTTACATAGCGCTTCCTTGTAGAAACCTGGGAGGTTTGAGAAGCCTTGAGGTAAGGTAAGCAATTACGCTCCTTCCGATAAGCTTCGTCTAAGCAAGAGAGCGTACCAGCCTATTGCTCCTATAAGAAGTGTCCCCGCGTAAGCTTACATCCACATCAATCCAGAATACGAGCTCTATGTTGGTACTGCTCGAGGCAGGCCAATAGCCCAAGTCTCTTTTCAGCGCAAAATGTATTGAGTAGGAAGTGAGTGCGGAAGTGGACCCTCTAGCATTGCCGCTACTCGGCCACCTAACTCGTTTCACAGGGTACTACTTGTATAAGCAGGATTGTGTATTTTATTCAAACTTGGGTCTATCATCCTTTCTCCTCCTCTGTCGTAATAGTTCCTCTCTCCAGGCAATACTCACTTACAGAAAGACTGGCCTTCGAATTGTTGAGTATCAAATCGTGGCAATCCATTTTGTCGACGCGCACTGAGCCAGAATGAGTGCCCGTCCACCAATCCCGCCACCACAAGGGCCGGGATACAAATATCCGCCTGCGGGATCCAAAATTCCAGCAAAAGGAGAGTTGTTCTATGGAGCGGCAGGAAACAAACATGGCGCTAAAGAACCTTCCACCGCGACTGATCCTCTCCCAAGTTCAACCTTCGGCAATCTGGGAGGACACTCGGGCGGCCCGAACCAATCAGGCTACCCATTCTACGGAGCGAGGGTAGAAGATACGGATGGAGTTGACATAAGCGACAAGTACAGGAAACAACTTACAGGGAGTGCACCACCACCCCCGGCGCTTGCGACGGGACCACCTGCGGAGCCTGGGCAGCCCGAGATCAAAGGACCAGCAACCGACTTTTACGGGGCGAACACTCGTTTTCCAGCGAGAGATGAGAATGGAAATGCCGATACTATGCAGCCTCCTGTTTTCAATCAATTTAAGGCTATGAAAGATGAGGAAGGGCAAAATCAAGTTAATGAGGCTCTCAGGAAGGCCTCAGGCCCACTTGAAACAGGATCGAGCGGAATAGGCGCATCTCATGGACAGTTGCCAATTACTACAACCGATGGGTTCCATATATCTGAGGATCCTCGGGGTGAACATGCGACATTCGACGTGGACCCATCGGTGAATCCAGATGGTACTACGCATCTTTATCCCAATGGCTCAAGCAGTTCTCTCCAGCCACGCCAGCCGGGCCACGTCGGTAACTTGCCCTTGAATGATGTCCCTAACAAGATGGGCCACGGACCGCCAGAAATAATCCCGGGAGAGACGCATCCGCTTGATGGCTTGAAGCCTGTTCAAGAAACGAATCCAACCGGGGTAGGCTCTTTCTATCCGGATCCTAACCTGGCGGCGGCGGCTGCTGCGGGAACCTAGGATGTATTCGTTGGTTGGAAATGACAAAGTTGGTTCAAAACAACGCGCGCATAATGCTGGTATCAGGCAGAAGTATTGGCTCTAGAATGCAAGTTCCTGGTCGAGGAGGTCTAGCTTGTGGTCGGAGAAGACGACATGGGCTGACCAATCTTCTCTCAATGTATCTGGAATATTTGGATGCGATGAGTCTAGCGCAATTTGAAAAATCTAAGCGGTGCTAAAATGGAGTTGACCATCTAGGGTGTTATCCTACGTTGCTCGCGGAAGTGGGATCTTCTATACATGAGAGACATTCCGTGCTGGATTAGGTGGACTTTAGCAACAGAAAGGTAAGAACACGCTTCTATCACCAAACATAACCTTTGCCCATTTTCAACCCCCAAAGGCTTCGGACCTCGCCACTTGTGTGTCAGCAATCATCCCTTTCGCAGATTCGCATCAGGAAGAAATCCACCCACAAGGGAGGATACGGCATTCGTTCCGAACACTCGCTCGAGATACCAGCAGGAGCGGTATTGCATGGACATGCGTATGTCATTCGCTTGCTTGTAACAAGAGTAGAGAGGCTCTTATGTGACAGTTCGGTACTTGGCCTATGCCTTGGCCCAGAGACTTATGAAAGCGATCATGATGGCTTTTATGATCTGCGTAGGGACGACGAGGGTTCCGCCTCCAAACCGCCTTGCACCCTCCTCCAATTGTTTAAATGATTTTGATCTCCTGCCTCCGGGGGAAATAGGCTGGCTGGCTGGCTGTGAAATGGAGTGAGCATTTGCCAATGCGTTTCCGATACCCCTGTCTGCCATCAATTGGCACCAGCAGAAGTGCCACAACATATCGGTGGGAATCAGAGCTTGCTTGGCTGCCGGTCGAAAACTCGAGTGCCACCACACACCAGATGCTCGTGGAGGAGATCTCTTCCTCGTCAAGATTTGGAGGGACGCTAAAGCCACCGTCAAGTCTGCCAAGTCGAAATTCTCTTTGGGCAATCAAATCTAGAAGCAGATCGGGTTCTACCAAAGTTCGGATCTGCATGTGAAGGGCCATTAGGGGACCTCCGACGGTGAGAGTGTGCTCCAGGATCTTGTCGCTTCCGCTCCAAACAGTCTGGGTGCAACAAGATTTAGGCATATTTCTCACAGCCATGTGGAATTCCATGTGCGGTCCGAATGCGCTACATCCATGAACAGGCGTATCAACAAACAACCACGACCATATGGCGCTCCTTTCGCAATCCCTGCCCTGGGCGATGTGAGCTCCATAGAAGATCTCTGCCAAACACGTACTCAAGATGTCTTGCAGCTGCTTTCAACAGTTGCTGTATTGTAATGGAGCACTTCTGGTTTTGGCATACACGTGCAACAACGCACAAGGGTCTGTCAGACAGGTCGGTAATCGAGAATGCCTTTCTGGTCAGCGCTAGCAAAACAATACCACCACCAACACCACCCACAAGGAGGCAGCGGCTGGGGCAACGAGCGACTAGCACGGCGGCGGCGGTGAGGAATGGGAAAGGACAAAGAGAATGCTCAGGAATAGGTAGGCGGTACCAAAAAACCATGGAATACTCAGTTCAAACTGTAAAGAATGGCACATGGCCAGCACTGTAAACTGTCAAGCACTCTGGCAGCGATGGCATGCTCGCACAGCCATTCTGTCTCTGCTGTCACTGTTGTTATCCTCGTCCTGTTCTTGATCAATGCTCAATAACCGCATTCTGCCCCAAAGCCCTCGCCCATAGCCAAAACTAATGCTAGTCCTTCTTATCCTGACATGTGACCGGCCATACTAGGCCGTAGTCTATATCGAAGTATATAGCGGGGGGGGGGGGGGGGGAATTTATGGGGCGTGCTGCCGCCATTGCTCTAGTCTCGGACAACGTTTTCTAAGATGGTATTTAAATCGACGCTTCAACCTTATCGGAGAAGCCGTAGACCTTCGTAGCTCTAGTGCTATGACGGGGAGAAAATCAACCCGGCATTTCCAAAGTCCATGTAAATATGTAAATAGCGGAAATCCAGTCTCCCTTACACATTCTACGTGAATGTTGAAGTGGGCAAGCCAGTCAAGGCACTTTGTCTAGCCTAGGCCACTGTGGCAGATATCGGATATCAGGACAGTATCGACAGCTGTTTGATCAACCGCGCCGCCTGTAACAGGATAACGTTTGCAAGGATGGCGGCGACAGGAAAAGTTTCAGATATGTCTGCCAAACACAGGCCAAATGCCTATATAAACAGAAGCAACTCGCTGAAAGATAGACAGACACATCGTGGACAGATCAATGCTGTTCATTTTACGCAATCAAGGTGACAGATCTGAGTCTGACAGGACTGTATTATACTATACGTCAAGTCGTGCTTCGTATTTGTCTGCTGGCGACTATCGATACAATAAGATATCAATGAGGATTGTTTTGCTGGGAAGTTGAAAGAATGCAAGTTTCCATCTAGTCAACGACGCAAGGTGCAGTTCGATAAAGTGGATACACTGTTTAATCAGCCTTCGCGTTACAATTCCCCGGCAGCCTTCCGCATGTTAGTCCTCCATGTTTCGAAGTATGGCTTCATCAAGTCCAGCATCTGTTTTTTGGTGGGATTGTTTGCCAGGATTCGAAAATACCAGTCATCTTGCGCAGCGGTCTCGGGAGGATGGCTGTGAACTCGCATTTTATTCTGCGAGGATGTGGGATCGACAAAGAACTGAAACACCTTGCGCCTCTCATCCGAATAGACATCCAGCACTTTATCGGACCGACCTTCCCTCAGCACCATGACGAGTGCTTCGGCCAATGCATCGGCATCCAACATTCCACTGTTTAGACCGAGGGCACCCACAGGCTGTCAGCAAGTCAGTATCGAAAGCATCGCCCTGAGAACAGACCCTTGCTCACATTGCATACATGGGCGGCATCGCCGGCAAGTAGACAGTTTCCTTTCCTTAAAGTTGGCGCCAGACGTTGGTGTATCCGGTACAGGACTCGTGCTTCAATCTGAGCTTGCAGTGGCCGTGGGCCTGGCAATCGGCTTTCATAAATCCCAAGGATATACTCGTCGGAGAGCAGTTCATCATCCGCCTTGGTCACCTCCGGCGGAACAGCGATCGCATATCTCCAGAGAGTCTTCTCCCCAAGCACAGGCTCTTCAAGTGGCGTGGCCACTCCCCAATACTTCTCGGCCATGTAATAGTACGTATGCCACACAGGGTCCTCGACGTTGGGCACTCTCACATTGGTTGCCAACAGTCTCTCCGGCCATTGATGACCTGGAAACGGGAGACCGAGGGCTTTGCGCAAGTTCGAGTGAGCACCATCTGCTCCGATGCAATATTTTCCACGGTATTGTCTTTCCACCCCGGTATCGACGTCCCGAGCGAGGACGGTGACACCGTTCTCCTCACTATTCTCCAAGATCGAGACGAATTCTGCCCCGAAGTTGACACGGACTCGACCCGTCTGGAGTGCTTGATGGACGAAAAGCTTGTTGAGCTGACCCTGGGTGAGGTTCAGGAGCCCGGACCCGACAGGGAATGAAGTATCATCTGGGGCACAGAGAGGCTGGACCGCAACGATGTCGCCAAAGCGTTTCCCGTCCTTGCTATCATTGTCCTTTGGCAATCCTCGCCAACACAAGCCGCGGGTCATGAAGCCTTGATCCCGGATCAGTGTGTACAATCCAAGCTCGTCCAAAAACCCCTGGACGGCACCGAAATATCCGCAAGCCCGAGGCGCCTCACTCGTTTCCAGCAGTCTTTCCACGATCTGAACGTCAATCCCAGCCTGAGCTAGTTTGATCGCGGTGAGGCATCCTACTACTCCTGCGCCAATAATAAGAACCGTGGCATGATTGTCGTTAGCAGAAGTAGCATCACTTCGTAGCGTATCTATTGCAGCCATACGGTGCTAGAGATGAGTTCCAATCGCCGGCTTGCTTTAGCAGTTCGAAGAATGCAATTTACACGGCTTATGTGCACGATCTGCAAGGGTCTGCCCCAAGCTTTTCTATCGGAAAGTTGTGGCTCATGCCGTCCCTCTTCAAGTCTAGACGACGGCATGAAGTAGGTGGTTTCGTCAAGTGCCTCCTGACTGTCAGAATCTTTGTTTCTGGCACAAATCTAAAACTGTGTCTCTATGTGGACGGGGTGCCGAGCCGGTTTCCCCATCGCCTGACAGCACGGAGAAGGGCTTCGGCGCAGTTGTGGAGAAAGTGGAGTGAGGCCACAGGGCTCTCGGACCCCATAAGATGAAGTGCAACTTTGTTGTGTTCCGGAGTAAAGCGTGATCATACTCGCTTTGCTTTCGTTCAAGTCAAATCAAGGACCCGTCGGCTCAGGATTGTGGGTGTCATGCAACACTTGAATTGACCATGGCCAACTGCAGTGATGTACTTGAACCCATAGCCTTCTTGATGCACAAGACATATTGTGAAGATCTATCTGACCACAGGATTGAGATTTATCTCCTGGTGTCTCATAGAACCAATAAAAAACGATCACAATCAATATGTTCTATGCATTGACCTTGACGCCGCCCTATGTCTCGCTATGGGCACCGCTGGGACTGCTCGCCGCTCTCTCCATTCTCTATGCCGCTATATACCGGGCCTTTTTCCACCCGTTGGCCAAATATCCAGGGCCTCTACTCGCCAAAGTAACCGGCCTGTACATGGTGAACCAAGCAATACGATGTCGGGACACATACACTCGCTACGAATTGCACCAACGATACGGAAAGGTCGTACGCACTGGTCCCAATGAATTATGCTTCGCCGATGCCGCATCCATCAAGGACATCTACGGGCAGAGCTCGGAGCCTTGTCTCAAGGCCCCCTACTTTTATGACGGCTTTACCTTGACGGGAACCAGCTCAGTCTTCTCTTCGACGGACCGTATCGGACACGCACGCATGCGCCGCCTACTGTCGCATGGCTTCTCGGAGCGTGGCGTACTCTGCTTCCACGACGAGATCAGAATAATGGTTGAGAGATACCTTTCGATCATGTCCCAGTCGACACCGACAATCGCAAAAACAGAACCAGCGGTCGAACTACATGACCTCACTCATAATCTCTTCCTTGACATAACTAGTCAGCTCAGCTTCGGCAAGTCATTTGATATCCTGATTGGTGGGGACCATGACGGAGCACGAGACATCGAGACGTACTTCAACATCTGCCCCCTATTCGGCGTGTTCCCCGTGGCACGATACTTGCCCTTTGGCCCGTTCAAGGCGGCGCGCAAAGCACAGCCACGAATCATACGGTTCGTGCGGTCGTGTATCGACGATTTCAAGGTCCGATTGAGCCAAGGCACGTCCCAGGCCGGCCTGCTGAGATTGATGGTCGAGGCCAAGGATGAAGAGACTAACTCTTCGTTTTCGGTCAACGAATTAATCGAAAACGCGGTCATCTTCATCATCGCCGGATCCGGCACTACCGCTGCTACACTGCTGTATTTACTATACGAGGTTGGACGACGACTAGAAATACAAGGCAAGCTGGAGAGGGAAGTCAGAGCCACATTTCCAGACTTAGATGCGTTTCCAGATTTTGAAACTGCTACGAAATTGGTAAGTTAGCCATAATGACACCCCTTTCGTCTCCCGATCCGTCAAGTATCTTCTTTTTACATTCTGACAAGCAATTCACTCCTCTTCCGCTCCTATGCTGATGCACGGAAAGCCATATCTCAACTGCGTCGTGCAAGAAGTTCTCCGTCTTCGAGCCCCAATTCCTACTGTCGCGCCGCGCGTCTCGCCCGGAAAAGTCATCGGGGGCGAATATGTACCTGCTGGCACGATCGTGAGTAACTTGGCCTACACCACTCAGCGAGACGGGTCCGTCTTTCACAATCCGGACTCATTTATCCCCGAACGGTGGGAGCATCCTACGGCCGAGATGAAAGTCATGCACCGACCGTTCAGTACCGGACCACGGAATTGTGTTGGCATGCATTTGGCCAGAGTGCAGTTGCTGTTGACAGTGTGTGCATTGTACCAGAGGTTTGAGATTAGCTTGGATCCACGCATGACTGAGGACATGATGGTCCAGAGAGATCAGGGAGTCATGACTCCGGTTGCCAAACAGTTGTGGGTTCGGATCCGTCCTCGCAAAGTGGACTAGAGAGATCTATAGAGCAGAAGGTAACATATAACTCAATCTAAGGATCGACAGAACGAAGAGAAACCAAATAGAGACAAACTCTACTCCAGTTCCAAGGGAAAGGCTTATGCTTGGGTATGAAGATTCAAGTCGGTCTTCGAGACTAAAGTTACTCTCTCATTGATGTCTGCTTGACCAGGGCTGAGCGAGTAAACTCTTGTCTTCTTTTCTTGATTTAGACACACAGGTCATTCTCTCAGACATTGTTGTCGTTGCATCTCTCTCTGTGCTTCGTCGGCCAGTCGGTCAATGTCGATGCCCGGCGGCACTTGAATACCCTGCCATTGAGCCAATGCATGTGCGACCTTGGTGACCGCTTCTAATGTTCTCACAGTGTATCTAAACGCAACGCATGCCTTGATGTGACTTCCCGCCTGTCGTGTGGCCCCAAGAACTATCAGAGATGAAGTCAAGATCATTTCCACTTCAACAAGAGAAAAGCAAACTTCAGTGGCACGACCAATATTGTACCTGGAAGAGTGTCTAGTAGTCAGTCCCAATATCCCTTATCCATAGCACCCAAGGCATGATAGAGCATACTTGGAAGTTTGTATGAACAAGCGGGCAAGAGCAGCCAAGCAGTCAAGTGTTCTTGTTCAACTTACCCGAAACCAATCGAGTCCAGGGCATGGGCAAAATCCCCAAAGTATGTGCTCAGCATCCGAAACACCTCGCTGTTGGCAGAGGCTTTGTAGATCTCTTTTCGAGTTTGGAATCCTAAGTCCGTATCCTCGGGACGGATGCCACGGCTTTGGATCCATATACATGTTAGCGCTTTGAAACGATGATAGCAGCAGGCCTTGTTTTGGGCTAAAAGCTCCTCAGAACTCACTACTTACCGGATTAGAGTATTTTCCGGGTCCAAAGTCATGATCCCCTTCGACTGGAAATATCCAGCAAGCCCAAGACATGCTGAGATGACCTGAGGGACACCCACAAATGGCCAGATAATATTAATAGTCTCGCGCAGCTCCGAGAAGTGTTTCGAGATTGTATCTGCAGAGTTTGGTTCATGGGCCGTTTGGGTCATGCATAGAAACAAGCGAGGAACAAGATCTGCTCGCTTCATTGCGCAACACATTGCTGCCTTGTTTCCCCTCGGGTCAGCATAGATATCACTGGACAATTTAGCCAGCGAGAGCACATAGCTGTGAGAAAGAGCGTTTATACCAGCATGCAGATTCCAATCTTCTCCATGCCTTCCGTCTTATTGAGTTCACCTAGCAAGTTTCCCACCAGGAAAGGCTCGTCGAAAAGGGGAGAGCCCAGGTTGATGTTCGTGTCAACATATCTTGCCAGGAAGGCATCAAAGTCGAGTGTCGATGACATTGGTTCTCAGGTCACGTCCGCTAGCATTCTGGAAAACCTCGGACGATGGCCTCAGTGAGACAGAACTATGTGACCCATATCAGAGAATCCTAGCCTCTCTGCTCGGCGCCATCACAGGGCGCGAGAAGCGATAGCCGTTATCGTCTTACCATGCTTGGGTCATCACAATTGACAATCGGCTGCTTTCCACCTCTCCAAGTCTTCCGATTGGATCCAAACCTCGAAGAACATAGCTATAATAATTTCCCGGTCCCTAGCTCTCGGACCCCCACCTCTGTCCGAAGTTCGATAGACAGGGTTTGCCAAAAGCCAACTTGCCACCCCGAGAAGGTTGGATTGCTAGGCAGAGAGGTTTACTTCTCAGGTGGGGGAGCAGGCTGCCATAGTCGTCGGTTGAGGTCTGTTCCCGTGCGATCCAGTCTTCGATGGGGTTGCCTGACTTTCAGAGAGCAGGACGGCGCTCCAGTACAGACAGACCGCAATGAGACGCCAAAACGCGACCTGTCTGCCTTTGGCAAAGTCAAACCCCTCTGTGACTGGTTTTCTAAGATATGTTGGTAGAAACCGAAAAGAAGCAAAGACACAAAAGACTTTCCTTCACATTGAGTAGTAGGAGTGGTTTCAATCTCCGAACCCGGAGTCAAAGCAACAATACCTCAACTTGCTTGTAACGCTCTTTTCCCAAGACAAAACCACCATCGGCAACCATGACCAGAGACTCTTTCAGGAATCACATACATCGGGGCGGTCACCCTAGGCTCGGCGACGTCGACCTTTCCAAATATGATGTTGATTCTTGGGTGGAATTCGGCCTGGGTAAAGAGTTCATCCGCGAGCTATGGGAAGGCTGGCAAAAACTGTACAACGAACCATACCGGGGCATCACTGCCGACGGTCAGATACAGCCTGATCTCTATTCTATTCGAGCACAGGGTGCACCTGTCGACAAGATGGTCGAAGCAGCTCGCTCCCTGGTCAAAGAAGCTGACCGATTTCACCTTTCTCAGAAACTGCGCTATCCGGTCGACGCCGACGAGTGGCGGTGCTGGATGAACCCTGAGTTCAGTTTTCACAGACACGGCGTCCGATTCGAAAAGCACGACGAAGAAGTCTGGGTGGCGTCGCTGCGGTTGGTCCAAGCATCACTCTCGGATAGGGGCTACGAAGATGTCCTGGCTGCGATGAGGACCAATGCCTTCCTCGGAGGCCTCGTTGGGGCATCTCAACTGATGAACGAGCGAAGCTACAGTTTCATCTTGTTCGTAGAGCCCTCGACTACCGGGCCCTGGGGGTGGTCGATCTGGGGTCATCATTTGACCTTCTGCGTCTTTGTTCTGGGCACCCAGATGGTTGTCTCACCCGTGTTTCGTGGCTGTGAACCGAACGAGGTGGATCAAGGTCCATATCAGGGCACTGAAATGTTTACGCAGGAGATGCGACTTGCCAGTCGAGTGATGGAGGCTCTGTCCGCGGCAGAGAGGAGTCAGGTCGTCGTCTATGATCGCTTAGAGCATCCTGGTATGCCCGAAGGATTTCCTCATCCCGCAGATGGAAGGAACCTCGCGGGCGCATATCAAGATAATGCCATTGTCCCCTACCGTGGAGGAAAAGTTGTCAAATTCTCGCAACAAGCCCAACAAGCAGTCTGGGACTTGGTAGAGAGATCTATCGATTTCCTCCCAGAAGGACCGTTGAATGCAAAGATGGATGATGTGAGACGGCATACGGACGACACTTGGTTCATGTGGATGGGAGGATACAGCGAGGATGATGTCTTCCATTTCCGCATCCACAATCCCGTCCTGCTCTGTGAGTTTGATCATGAGTGCGGCATGTGGTTGACAAATGGCCCCCCTGGTCGTTTTCATGTTCATACCGTGGTGAGGACGCCTAATGGCAATGATTATGGGAGGGAGCTCCTGCGACTGTGGAGGTGCATTCCACAACAAGTCAAGTAAATGCCCATGATTATGCAATCAAAAAGTAGCTTGGAATTCTGTCCAGGTGGTACAGTACGCTTGTTCCTATAAAACCGGTGATAGTGGCAACCAGGAATTCTGACCTTGTGAACTGCCCACCTCAATGTTTCTGTGACAAGTCTTTCCCTGGCCTCCACCATAAAACCTAGACTCAGCCCTTTACCCTATGGAGTTGCCCGTCTGCGTTTGAACATATCCTTGGTCAAATGCACGTGTGTGTGGTTGGTCATATACTCTGTCGAGTCTTTGACAAAGAATGCCGCGATCAGAGCGACAATGCCAAAAGGGATTGTGCTGTAAAACACCATGCGATACGCCTGCGCGTAAGCCTCTTGGAAGGCGAGCAAAGTGGCAGTCTCAATGGCGGGAGTAATGCCTTGCACTTTGTCGAAGGCGAATGGAACATCCAACCCAGCCTCAATGGCAGCTGGGATCAAAGTAGACAGATCTCCACTATAGCCATTCTTGAGAGCCGCTGCGACGATTCGTTTCGGGAGTTCCTCATTGGAGACGGACCGTAGAATACTGCCAAACACCGCATTGCCCACACTGCCCCCCATACTTCGAAAGGTCCCCAGCACGCCAACGGCGATTCCAAGCTCTGACGGTCGAACATGAAGTCCTGCATTCAACACAGTGGTGACAACGATCAACCCAAAAGGGCCGGCTCCAAAGAACTGAAATGCCGTCCATGCAGCTTTGTGTTTGCCAATGGCGTAGGCGTAAAGACCCGTGAACAGAGTCTGCAGAAAGACGCCGCCGATGAGGTACAGTTTGGGACGTCCAGTCTTGGAGATAAACATGGGCATGAGAGCCGTTCCAACAAACTGTCCCAAGCCGTTGGGAAGAAGCATCACACCGATGTCCAGAGGCTTGGGGGTGTAGACGAACTGCGTCGCTTGAGGCAGGAAAGAAGACATGGTGTAGTAGACCATGGCAGAGGCAAAGATGGCGACGAGAGACACGGTGAACTCTCGAGTTTTAGTCAGTAGATGCCGTGGAAATAGTGCATGGTGGCCGGGTCCCTGGACAACACTAAAGTCATAAACAAAGGACGCAATGAAAAGAGATCCTCCTAGCGCGATGGGAGTGACCACCGAGGCAGATTTCCAAGCATGTCCCGGATTGCCGCCCCAAGACAAGCCGAGCAGAGCTGAAGTGAGGCCACATGTATACAAAAATATTCCCACGAAATCGAGATCGAGGAATTGTTGCCATCGTGTTTTCCCCGCGTCAACAACGGGCCGGGATGGGGGAAAGTACAAGACCGCAGTGCCAGTGAGACAGACCGTCGAGTATATGATGCAGATGTAATACACCCATCGCCAGGTCGCGTGCAAGAAAAGCAGATTTCCAATCAGAAATGCGAGGGCAACCCAAGGAATGGTCAAGAAACCTTCGATGCTGGCTATGCCGACGGCACTATTAAAAGGTCAGTCCGAGCTGGCATCCGTGAGTAAAAGGAGGCGGTTTTCTCACCGCCACCTATTTGGGCAGAGCTCTGGCACGGCCGCATAGGCTACCAGAACAAACCCGCAGGAGAATCCTAGCACCGTGGACCCTCCGATCAGGGCGCCAAGGCTGTGGGCAGTGGCAGCAACAATCTGTTAATCAGGATTAGCACAATCTTTTCTGAAGTTGAGCATATACGTACAGATCCAACCAGTGAGATTGACTGTCCAGCAAGAAGCACATTCCGTCGGCCAAAAATGTCACTTAAAGAACCCGCCAGCGAGAATGACACAGAGGAGGCAATCGACCATCCAGAAACAACCCAGCCCAGATTCGTGGTATCCCCAAGATCAGTGCCAATGCCGAGCAGGATCGATGTGGCAACAATGAAGCCACAACCCAATGGGGCGACGGTCGACATTCCGATAAACTGGTCAAGTGTTAGCATTCGACCTTGCTGTGTATTTTGCCCTTCCACATCAGACTTACCACGATCGAAAGAATAGTCGTCAAATTGGGCCTCTCGGCACCTTCGGGATTGTCTGCCAACGCTGCTTGATGGATATCATCGAAGTCGTATGAAGCCTTCTCATTCTGGGCATCATGCTGGCAAGACGCTTTTTCGAGCTCGTCCACGACGGCGACATTGACGTCTGGATTCGGAGACATTTGAGACAAATATAGATATTCCGCTGTGACGATTCCTCAAGGATAACAGACCGTAGGGACTATCCAAGTATCACGGCAGACATAACCTGAGACCTGGTGGTTGTGGGGATCAGCAGCAGCATCTTATATGCATGGCATCGGCCGGGACACAATGGTACAGATCAAGATATCGTTCTCAGGTGGGTCCTCTACCTCCTCTCTGGGTGTCCTCCTATGGCGACCTGTCCCACCCCATGGGGTGTCCAGGGTCGGATAAATTGCTAAACATATTTGCTCCACAGATGGGTTGAGAACAATGGACCTGAAGTTCGTATCGGTCCACAGACTCATTCCTGCAAAATATAGACGTCCAATGGCTTCCAGGCCGTTCATCCTTCTTTGGGCTTCTACGAAGAGGGTCGAGCGAACCAGGACTTCTGCTCGGGGGAGTTGGGGAGAAGGTGGCGCCCCCACGAGGCAAGGCCGAGGAGGCTCTCGGGCTTCGAGCTCCTTCAGGTCTTATGGTTTGGCCTTATGGTTTGGGGCCGAGAGCAGCCGGGAATAGGAATCTGTAGTGATGGCCGCTGGTTAAGTCCAGAGAAGGAGGATATTTTGTTTTCAGAGATCTTTCAGAGGATAAGACATGCTATGATCTGGTTGTCGATGTAAAAAAGCCTTGACATGAGCATAAAATCGAAATGGCTGAGATTCTTGTTCTGACTTGTGCTTCTGGCAAGCAATGCACTCAGATTATCCCGTCGCTCTACGAACAACCTCAGAAATACCGACTTCGACTTGTCGTGCATTCGCAAAAGTCGTTTGAGAAACTGGAGAAGCAGTACCCCGGCGCTGAAGTTCTCCAAGCCGACCTGAATGTGCCTGGTGATTGTGCTCGCCTTGTCGACGGGGCGACCACAATATACTATGTCAGTCCGACATTCCAACCACAGGAACAACATTTTGCGTTCAACGTCATCGATGCGGCCATGGCAGAGAAGGCAAAGCCAAACTCAAAGTTCTCACACTTCATCCTCAGTTCAGTGCTACATCCAGAAATCAGCAAGTTACTGAACCATGACCGGAAACGATTGATTGAGGAGTATTTGTGCGAGTCTTCACTTTGCTACACCATCCTTCAGCCTAGCCATTTTGCTGACAATGCGATCGGTCGACTTTTGGCCAAGAAGGACTGCCAGGCGCCCGTGTTCATGGCTGCACATGATCCGGAGGTGGCATTCTCATTCTCCTGTATCCGGGATCACGCGGAGGCTTCGGTGAAAATCATTCAGGAACAGTCAAGGCACTTTTTTGCCACATACCAGCTTGTGACTACGTGGCCAATGAAGTACACCCAATATGTCCAATCGATTGGAGATGTGTTGGGAAAGACTTTCGAGATCAAACGTGTCCCGTACGAACAAGCGGTCCAGAAGTATTGTGAACTTCTCTTTGGACCTGATCGAGTGCTTGACCAGAGCCTGCGAGATGCTCCAGAGCGTTTGTTGCTCTACTACAACAGCAGAGGCATCGTTGGTAATCCAGGTGTGTTGGAGTGGCTGCTTGGTAGGCCAGCAACCAGTCCGGCCCAATTGGCGAGCATGATGGTCGAGAAAGGGAAAAGCACATCGAGTTGAAAGGTTTCTCTGTATTTCACTATAGAGTCGTGCGGTGCTTGATGAGTGAAGAAATCTCGACTGATGGCCAGAGAACGTTTCTGATGCTGTTACACATTGCTAGAGGTGTTTCCGGAATTGTCATCATCGAGATTCGAGACACGAGGCCCTAGATGCCCCGAGGCTTGAGAAAGAATGATAATCAGCCGTTCCCACGTTCGGATTGTGATATAAGTGCTCGCAGAGTCTTCTTGAACACTGCCGCAACTGGTGAGGACGAGGAACCAAGGAGGTCGATGCCCAGAGAAATGGCAGTAGCCTCTTCATACAAAGATCTAGTGTCCGAGTGACCCGAATACCATAGTACCATCGAAGCATAGTATACAGCATGGCTGTAATGTGTTGGCTCCCCATCAACCGCTGCTGCAGCCTCTCTCAATAAATGCACACGCTTGCCAGTGTGCGATGGCAACCTCGCGCTCATGCTTTTCGCTATTTTCAGAATTCTGTGAGCATGCCAAATGGCCTTCTCCTGGTCCAGGTCTGAGGTAAAGCAGCCATTTTTTGGCAAACGTGGTTGCTGCCCTTGGGGGGCACTGAGGTTGACGGGGATAGCACTGTTGGCTGGAAGACAGGTTGATGGCTGGCGGGATGTGGCGTTGGGCCGAGTGAGACTGTCCCGTGCTGAACCTTCAAGGTTTGCAAAACTTGAGAACATACTGATGTGCATCGTATGAAACAACATCATCGTCCCTGGCGATGGTTCGGTCGTATGGAAAGAAAGCCATCTCTGAAATGCGACTTCCAGAAACTCTTGCCGCCACGCTCCTAAAGCTCCGTGGGGATTATTGTTTGAGCCTTGGAGATACTTGGACAGTGATGAGGGAAGTCGACGGCTATGAGACAATAGGAGGGACAAGGCGCACAGGGTTTGAATGCTGTCTGCCTGACAATCGATAAGCTTAGGGACACCGCTTGGAGAAGCTAGAGAGCGTAGTATGGACAACATCGAGTCCGGACCCGAAGGAGTACGGTCACGAGCAGAAATCATGTCGAATGTTGACAGACCAGGTAGCACGGAGAAAGGGTAGAGCATCGACGCTCGCTGAAGGAGAACGACTCGATAGCATTCCAGAAGATTGACTGCATGGAGGACCTGTCGCAATGAATTTCCATCGGCATCTGACTCGGTGTCTCTGCTGCTGCATGCCCGAACAGCTTGAATCAGGTGGGCATGATAAGTGTCCAGCAAGCTCACGCTCCTCTTATCCCCGGAGAGAAAAGCAAAAATTTCCGTGAGGATCCAGGCCTTCAAAACGTCCACGGTTTGTGTTTGCCCCAAGAAATGGTTCCCGTAAAAGGCGGTCAGGAGTTTACGACGAGAGAAGTGGTGCATCCATTTGGCTATCAATTCAGACTTCGGCGCAGGGCAGTACAATCCTCCTGCAGCTGCCATCGCTAGAGATACTTCCTCGCGCGTGGAGCTGTCAATGCGGAAACCTCGGAAGCAGGGAAAGGTGGGTGTAATATAAGTCTGGAAGAGGCCAATGAAGATGTCCATAATGAGGGAGTCGTCTGCCAGTGGCGCAAGGTTGCCCAGTTCCTCCAGAAACTGGGCATGAGTAGCCGCAGACCTGGGCGATGCTGCCCTAGAGGGATATGGCCACGTAGAGTACTCGTTGAGCTTGTTGTAAGCAGTCGCCAGTCGCTGCTGTTGCCTCTGCGCTTGGTTCGATACATGATCTGAGAAGGTCAGTCTGGGTCACTAGGTACTATCTTAATTCACTGACCTTCGACAGGTTCGACCATGTCAAACGAAGCATCGAAGGGATCCGGGCAAGGGTTGCTGACGAAGTCCAGAGGATTAAGCCCGGGTACCTGCCTGCGTGTCAGACCGATGCACGGTGCTACCAGCCACGGGACGATGGTTTGGAGAGATTTCACACCGTCACCAGATCTTCGAAAAAATTGTCCTGCGTCGGGGACATCAGGGATCGAAGAGGTATATCTTCGAAGATGCTCAAGTATGGGTCAGCAGCCATGAACATGTCATTGAAAGCAAGATCCTGATTGTCAGTGAGCAGCAGGAAGCCATTCTCTTGAGTGGCTTCTGGGTGAGAGACAAGGATGTTATCAACAGGCGCTTGTGTCTCATGTACTGAAGTCTGGCACTAATGTTAACCATGGAATCATTGAGGCCGTCGGAGCGAGAAGTTTACCAACGATCCATGAGCACTCCCATCATACTCAACACCAATACCGTCAGCACCGTGTCCCATTGACGATATGTCTTCCTGGACTGGCTGTCCGGGCGAAGGATTGAAAGCATAGTCCCGTCTTCCGCGAAAAGTGCAACCTAAACCAGCAGCTCTGCAGCGGGGACATGGTCGCTCGAACGGGTGACATTTGACTTTCCGATCACGGCACATATCACATGCCATGTGAGTATTCTGGCGTTTGGAGGCTGGCGCGGCCCACTTGGGATCATGGGTCCGGAGGTGTTTTTGATAGACATCACTACGCGCATAGCTCTTGCTGCAGCGTGGGCAAGTGAATGGCTTCTCGTTGGTATCTGACCCAAAGCCATCAGCCAGAAATTCCTCTTCATGGGTATGTTAGGGATACTGACGAGTGAGACGGTGCCTGTCGAGATGTTCGCGCCGTGAGAATCCTCGCCCACAGCAGGAGCAAGCAAAGCGCGTCGAGCTCATCGCCAAGGTACTGGGCGAATAGTCTGCCCTAGCCAAGTGATTATGTCGGGTAAGGTCCGGAACATTGCCTGGCTGAGCATTTCAGAGGGAGGGTATGGGAGTTGATATCTGGAATTGTAGGTGAAACAATGGTGTTGAGGAATATTCTTGGTGGTGTTAAGCTTGGACATTTGTCGGCAGAGCAGCCACATGACAGATAAAAAGTTCGATGTCAGACAAAAATCATTATTTCAGGGAAAACTTTGTCTCTCATTCACCACATATATCTTTCAACCCATAATTTACGGTCGGTCGTTGTATTGCTTTCGCAAAACGATTCCAAGGGCTTCGTAATGAAATTTCTTTAATTGATAAATCTCGCCACTGACAGTCGCATGGACACCAGTTTGGCTCAGAACTTGTGCTGTCGACGAAGTGATGGACCAACCGCAGCTGGAAAATCCACTAGCAGGTACATGAAGGCGTCGACATCAGATGTCGTCGTGACATGCTAATAAATTTAAAGAAGACTACCTTCCGCGCCACAGAGATTCGGCCCTAGCATTGGCGCGGCCAGAGTCTTCCTTTCTGGACTTTTTCAAACAGTCTCTCATCTATGCCAGCCCTTACTGTACCGAGCCTGGCTGCTGCACGTTCTTCGGTAGACCTGCAGGTCCAGAAGACTCGAGGGAAAGAACGGCCTTACCCGGACGAAATCGAACCTTGCACGAGGCACAGGGCGGTGTTGAGGTGACATATCCGCTGGCGTTGTTTGAAGAACTAAAAGATTTGCCTTCGCTGGAAGTTTTGCAGACTCTTCGAGACGAATTCCAGACAAGATTCCTCACTTCGGTACCGTTTCTGGCCGAGATCTCCTGTATGACATTGGATTGCAGAGAAACCCCGCCCTATCTTTTACTACCTCAGGCACTTTTAGGAGCTTCTGTGTCGAGAGACCCACAACATGAGTCTATAATCGAGAAACTCTGGCGTGCCAGCACAGCTTTGATGATAGGAACCGTAGAGGTCGACAACAGGCTCGGGAGGATGGTCGCGTGGCACACTGCAGTGAGATTGCTTGGTGAAATCATTCCGCTTTGCTATGGAGGTCTGACTCGCTCAGGGATATCTCATCGTTGCTTTTGGTATGATGCAATCAAACGGTCGCATCTGGTGCCATACAGAAATCGTCAATGGCGTGTCGCAATCGGTGAGTACGCATCGCCTGTTGATCTACTGTTCTACTCTGTTCATTCGACCCCTGGTAATGTGTCTGGTGTAGACTCTATACCGTGCTGGCTTTCTCACGAATCCCAAGTCGAATCGAACGGCAAACCGAGTTTTGCAGAGCCCGGTCGAGCCCGACGCATCCAAGTAAGTCTTGCAAGGAGCACTTGATACTTCCAATCGCTCATGAATATGAAACTCAATAGCTTGAAGAAATTTTGCTTCATCGTCGACACGCTGAGATCGACACATCTGCAAACACCCTCGACAGTTGAGACCACCTGGTCGGTCTGTGTTGGTTCTCAAGCTGAGTACGACTTCCGGGGACTGTGCGACTCCCTAGTCGTGGATGGACGCCTCTTGCCTCCTGAACTTCCTAATCGCGACTACCTTCTCATCCTCTTCGACATAATTTCCGATATCAATGTCCTTTTTTGTGCGATAGGGCCCCTCACTGCTTGCTGCATGTCAATTCGTGAGGCGAGCAAGCAGAAGAGCCATCAGAGCCAAGCTGGGCTTGAAAATATCATACCACCGCCACTGATCTCTCAGATTGAATCGACAGCGGCTGATTATAGCCAATATCTTCCTTTGGCCGCAGATCACGAGTTTCACCGTGTCCGAGCCAGATTAATGTGCGCCCTGGAAGTATGGCAAACTTCGTTCAGTGCCCGGGATGCTCGGCTATCGAATGATGGCTGGGTGGATGCATCGTCCCTTTTACCGCTGTTCCACTTTGCTCGACTTCTTCTCGTGGCCGGGCCGGGTGTCTACAATCTTCCGTCACTTGCCGGTTACACGCCAGAGGAGAATGGCGAACTTCTTGCGAGGCCTCAGCAACCTCGTGTCCCGCATACGTTGGGGTTGCGATTCCCTCAATCAACACTCGATGTTGTCATGGAACTCCTGGAAAGTGTAGAGTCTGACTCCGCCAGGCGCTCAGGCACTGCTCGTGAAATACAACGTCCTTGCCGGCCTATGTGGTATCCTCTCGTGCTCTTCTACGGTGCCTTGGTTGCATGGAGTCACATGTGTGATGAGTCCGCGGCAAAACAGGAATCATCGCGACCCAGCCATTTTCTGCTTACAACACGGAAGCTGCTGCAAATGTTCGGCTTTGAACTAGCCAAGTTGGAAGATGATTGGAATTGCGCCAGAAGCATGAGAGCTGTGGTTTCAAATTTGATTCAATGACCTTCCTCATTCGGCATATGTGGTTCTAAACCAGCCCTTTTGATCACCACCCTCGACGACAACAGACCTATCCGCTATCAGCCATTGGCCATTCGAACCCTTTCTAACCACGTCCCTCCATTGACCCCAGTGATCGACACTGGAAACATCGGTAGTGACCAAGAAGTAGGAACGAGTGTGTGCTTCGGTAGGTGAGACAAACTGAATATCGATACTGGTGACATGGTGGCGTATGAACTTGGGATTATTACCCCGGACAACTTCTAGCAGATTTCGCGGCTTCACGATGACGCCGTTCGGTAGACGAAAGACGCCACCTTCTTCGAAAACGGTCGCCATTTTCTCGATGTCGGGTTCTTCGGTTGCGAGGACAGCATAGCGATGGAACAGTGCTTCGATCTCGTTTTTGGCAACGAAGCGCTCAACAGAACCAAAGGCCATGAACGTGTCCATCTTTTAAAAACTCCCGGAGAGAAGCGGTTCACTGATGATGTTCTCTATCGGCAGAGCTGGGAAAGGAAACGGCGAATGTTGCTCGCCGATTGTTGATAAAGCTTGAAAGAGAGAGCCACAGTCTAATACTATGGCTGTCTCTGAATCTCTATGCGAGACCCAAACAGCAACGTACTCTTTCAAAGGGAAAAGGAAGCGGAGCCTATAGACGCCTCTGGGTCTGTCATGGGGTATTAGAAAACTCTACTCGTAGCTCCATGCTCGACGAGAGAGACACGTAGTATTACAGCCCTCAGATTGGAACTGCAGTGGGTCCGCAATGGGGGACCGAGCAACATGGGGCTTGCATGGGGGTCCAGGACCCTCTTTGGGCCATCCCAGTATGGTGTTCCGAGGTGGGGGAACACATTTCTTGTCAGACATTCAGATATTTGCCCACATTTCTCTACCGCCGAAATTGACGTCCGAGCCAACGACCGGTGTCAAAGTCATCCGGCGGGTACGGAAAAGAGCTAGGTGAGCTAGGTGATGGACGCTCATGCCTCAATCTTCCAATGGGATGGTATGAAAGCTCACTGGCCGTTCGAGGAAGACTTGCACGATGTGAAACAAATGCCGCCCCCCCACCGTTTCTGGAACGAAGATTATGGTTGCTCATGTTTCGATTTTATATCAGCAGTTTCAGCAAGACAGAGACCACGTATCATCAGCCACATGGGAAACCGTTTTCCTCTCGAGCTTCATTCTGGACGGTAATCTTCACTTCTTCCACTGCGTTGAATCCACCAAAAGCGTAGAGTCAAGTGGGAACGAAAAAGAGCACCATGACCTTCGACAAGGACTTCGGAGTTGCGGCCAACCCCGGACCAGGTCGCAGAATCCCTGGTGCTGTCCTTATTGCTGCGAACCGGATAGGTATGTCGCAGTGCGTGGGCTCAAGATCATCTCGTTCAACCAGGGTTAGGGAACATTGTCTATCTCAATGCTCAAGGTTTCACGTCGGTTGATGAGAGCCTCGCCAAGCCCATCAGAGCAGACACAACTTTCTGGGTGGCTTCATGTACGAAACTCGTGACCACGGTGGCCGCGTTACAGTGCGTCGAAAAAGGTCTCCTTTCTCTAGACGACGAGCATCAACTTTCGACCATTCTGCCCGAATATGCCTCCCCTAGTGTTCTGGCTGGGTTTGACTCTGTCTGGTTCGCCGCAGTTGAAAGCAGCGGCCAAACGACTTACCTTGCGTCAGCTACTTACGCACTCGAGTGGAATGGGATATGATTTCATGTCCCCAGCTTTGATGAGATGGAGAAGCTGGGACAAGGAAAACTCTCAACCCCGTGGGGAAGGAGTGGTATAGTCATTCCTCCCTTGACACATTTTCTCACCCTCACGCCCCCGTGCTTTAAAGTCGCCCTAGGTTGATTTATGGTACTCTGCACAGACAGCACAATGTTTCCAGCCCCTTCTGTTCGAACCCGGCGAAGGCTGGGAATGCGGCGTCTCCCTCGACTGGGTTGGGGTTATGATCGAGCGGATTAATGGTGGTCTACGGCTAGGCGAATACATGAAGCAGAACATCTGGGACCCTCTTGGAATGGACTCGACGACCATGCATCTCGGTAGTCGTCCAGACATTCAACAGCGGCTTTGCGGTGCATCTGTGCGCAGCGCCAGCGGCGAACTTGAGCCAACCCCGCCACATCCGTTGAAAGACAGCAAGGATGATCGAGGCGGAGGGGGCATGTGCATCAGCCCGAACGACTATATCAAAATTCTAGTCGCCCTGCTCAAAAACGATGGAGCACTGCTCAAGCCAGAGACTGTCCGTTCCATGTTTGAGCCTCAGCTGAGAGATAGACGATACCTCAACAGCTTTCTCGACCATCCACTTGGCGGGCCGATGTGCCGAGCAGGTGTGGAAAGCGACGCATGGAATTTTGGTTTGGGTGGAATCTTGAACTTGGAAAACGTCGACGGTGTGTGTAAGAAGGGCACCATGAGCTGGAGCGGTCTGCCCAATCTATACTGGGTAGGTTCGAGAGTGCTGTCCGACTTGAAGAACACGCTCTCAGGAGGGATGGTGTCGCTGAAGTGCACGCTGACCTTTGCTTTAGTGGATTGACCCTCAATCTGGCCTTTGCGGCATGTATGCCAGCTAACTTGTCCCTCCTGGGGACCCGATATCTCTCGACCTGGCACTGGCTTTTCGGAAGGAGGTATACGCCAGGTTTGCGTCGTCACCATAAACTTTGTCGGAAACTTGGACTGTTAAATAGGATCTCCGGACAGGATACTTTCTACGAGGCTGCCTAGTTATTAATAGAAAGCTTTCGGCTCCTCTAGGTATCTAAGCCTTGCTTGGCCTTGATAGATTCTCTCGGGTATAGTGAGTAGCACTAAATATGTATACTCTAGGTACTCCTAGAGCTTTATGAGTATCTAGAGACACCGATACTGTAGGTCTCCCAAGGCTTCTAGGGATCCCAAGCCCCTATAAGGGCGTAGAACGCACCCTATGGAAGCATACATTTTATGGCCCAAGTAGGCAGTTGTGCGAGTAGCGCATTACGTAGATACCTTATAGCACGTCTAGAATGCTAGGGCGAAGACACAGAACTCTCTGTGCAGTTGAACGTGAAATCGCGGGTGTCGGGTGAGTCCAATCAGGGACTTTCCTGCGGCACTCCCAAGTTTGCATCATGCTGATTCCTGCACATCCCAGTGGCACATGCGTTTTGTGCTCTCGTCTCTCTTCCTTTTCCTCTGCTTCGACCTCCTCATCCGCCATCACGAACCGTTTCTTTCACTCCCCATCACCTAACCAAGTCTGCGAGTCCACCGCACAGCATGGTCTCTCAGCCATGATGGACATCTTTGTCCGAAGCATTCGCGATATCTCGGATATTGCCGCACTCGCACCACGAAGTACCCGAGTCGTTCGAAGAGTGCCAGCTTTCCCAGAGCGACGCTTCAGATATCATGTTCCGAGACGGATGTCAACTTCCTGCGACTCAGAGAACGATGCAACGGGACTGTAACGAATAGTTTAAGAGGGTATAGGAGATAGGCGGACTTCACGGGCGCAACCCATCCGGATTGTTCCTCTGCTCACTCGTGCGCCTTTGAGTTGGAGGTGTGTCTCATGCACAGCGAGCTCAGACTTCCAGTTGCTTCGGCAAGATAGCTACCCAGATCGATTGAAAACACTTTCCCACCTATATTGCCGAAGTTTTTACGCCTTGCGCCACCACAGAGAGAAAGCAGACCCAACCAGAAGCAGACTCGACGAGCCACAAGGGAAAGAGAACTCAGCAAGACAGGTGTTGACAGGGTCACAAGATCGCCACTGTGGCAAACCACTCCCATTCTGTGTACAACAGAACGCGTTTGCCAATGCGACAAATCCACCCGATCGCCGTGGGATATGTACGAATCATTCTGACCAGTCAAGTGAACGGAGTTGCTGATAACAATCCAGCAATGAAGACGGCCGAGTGCCACTCTTTTCGCAAGCAATTGAGCGAATGATCTACCATGAAGACTTGAAGGATCTGGAGAGAGAGGGACTGAAGAAGCAGAGACCAGACTGAGTGATTGGACTTGGGTTAACTTTCCATCAAAGTGCTTTCTCATTGCGGACTTGTTTGATATTTCAACAACGTCTCCAAAAAGAGAGTGATGTCGACTTTCAGCGCCTGGTCTGGTTCTTCTGTTCTCGAGGTGAGGAATGGCAACTGTGTGCTGCAGTGCTTAGTAAAACGAAAACGGTTGGTCATGCGGTATCTCCAAATGTTTGCTTAATGGGTGCTGACGCAAAAATAGCAAGTGATCGACTTGTGGCATAGCTCCTTGATTTCGGAGGATAGAGCGCTGCAACTGGGCCTCGTCATAGATCACATCTGCACCTGGGCTCGTGATACTTATCGGGAAAATGTACTTTCCTGTCTAGCAATTGGAAGAGAGAATCTGTACGGGATAGCGATCTCATTATCATCCCAAAAAGATCGGGATGGTGCCAGCTGTCGCCAAAAGACTCTGCCATCTTCCTCAGAATCGATCTCCATGCCGGATTCAAACAGCGATCGCCAAGCTGAGCAGATTTTAAGGCGGCTTCCTGAGTGGACAAAAGAATCCTTCATAGATGGAGCACATCGAGCTTGACAATCATGCAAAGCCTGATGCATTGATACAGGAAGCCGTAGACCGGCTCTAGATTACGGGTACACGAGAGTAGAAGGTTAAAGATTCAGGCAAGTTGTCTGTCCATCATTGGATTGAAGCACTTCAAAGCAGCTGACAGGAATTTCGTATCTCGGATGGCCATCTCAAGTTTGCTGTCTCGCCGGTCTCCACGCAGGCTGAGCTTGCTAGCTGATGCCACCACAGATTGACTGGGTGCTTGCCGAATACGTAACTGATGAACTGATCATGGGAGTGCTCTTGGAGTGTAACACCGATCGAGATCTGTGTTGCACGCCAACACCAGATGATATACGCTGGTCAATTTCACTATAGAACAATGGTGGCGGCGGCGTTGAGACAGAAAGAAGTTTGATACTACAAAAAGGGGTATGTTTATTTGCTGTGCTAAGACTTGAGTCACAGAAGTAGCCGCGCACGGGATAAGGAGCTCGGTTTTGAACCATGGTTCCTAAAACCGCACCCTCGTAGATAGTCTTGTAAAGTTTCTATATTCTCAAACAGAGACCTCAAAGCATGGCGTAAGTATCCAATGACGGTGGAGATCCAGAAACGGGACCGAGTTCGCTTAACGAGAAGGACAAGGAGTTTGACCAGCGGCCTGAGCAGGCTGAGCAAATCAAGCTGAGGCTGAACCGAAGCTGAGCTAGGCCCCCTGATGCCTGGGTAAAGCGACAAGGTCACGGCTCCAAACGGTTGCCAGGTCCAGGCGCTCTGTCCCCGCTGAATACCACGACATCGCTGAGTCTTTGAAGAACCTGTGATTTTCAAATCAACCTCGGGCCTTTATTTAATTACATGAAAGGTTTCATCGACAAGATAGGAGTTCGCATAAGAGACGCATGAAAATATTGTACCCACTGATTGGCTTCTTGTCGTACGATGTGATAATTTGGAATACAGCAAGATTCTACGGTTCTGGTTCGCGTTGGGCTCCTGCTACGTTCGTTGCCAGAAATTTGGAAAGGCAAGATCCATTAAGCTGTCCATGCTGGGTTTTAAAGAATCTCGTCATCATCCTCTCGACTTATCTGAACCTACTAGCGATACTGGCCTTAGTGGCTCCTACTCAGCGCCTTGATGCGCTCAAGGACACAGCCTCTAGCACCGACGACATCGTCACGGCACTGATGTTGCGTGGCGAGACAGTCTGCTCTCATGTAGCAATACCTCTGAAAGCATGGACGAGATGAGACCTCTTTCTCCCCCATTTGCCCCTTTCAGCCTCGTCAAGCTGCGTTTACACTTCGGTAATACCTCGGATCGAATCGGATAAATACATACTCCGTTACCGCCTTCCATCGCCACTTAAGTGAAAACTTTGTTTCTCTGACATCCAGCTCGCCAGTATTCTCTGTATGCACATGCTTTCTTGGCCCGCGCAAAAAAATAGTCGAGTCATCTCATCACCAAAAACCAAAAGCGACGACGAGAATCATGTACATTGAGGTCCTACCCGGGTTCGAACCGGGGTTGCCGGAATGTTTCTCGCACAGAGAGTGAACGCCCTGCACAATCAAAATCCGGAGTGATCACCACTACACTATAGAACCTGGCGAATTTGGGGATGAATTTCTCACGTTTTAGTGGTGCTTAAATATATATCTAAATTCCGTTGGTGGGGCGTTGGCATGCCCGGAGAATCCCGATGCCCGGAGAATCCCGACTTTCCCAGGGCCATCTTCGATGCAAGGACTGACTCTGATCAACTCTGATCTAGCTCCTCTTCTCATCTGGTGTGAACAATTATGTATGGATGTGCCTTTGTCCCTTGACACTCAGGAGAGATAATCTTGTTCACACTTGGCTCTTGCTTTTAAATGCAGGCACAAAGGGTAACTAGGCAGCTGTTCCAGGACTCAGGCCGACTGACAGAAAGGCCCTTTAAGCTCGTCCAACAACTCTGACTCCCCTGATGGCACAGCCTTGTTTTCCTGTCTCGTCCGCCACCATCCGTCATCTTTGTTCGTGCTGCGGTCGCATCATGGCACTAGCCACGATGTTATTGGCTTGAAGAACAACTTAAGAGCAAACGAAATCAGCAGAAAACTCCAACCTTGATAAGCCTCACAGTGCTTGAAAACTAGGGGGATATTGTGATGTGTGTTTTTGTGTGAGTGCAGCATAAAACCAAAATGATAGAATAGGCTGGTATAACATTGAACAATAGGCGCAGTACGGCCGAGTCTATGCTTGCAGAATGTGCTTCGACGACTTCATGCTTTGTTTCAAATGTTTCAAGCGAAAGGAGTAGCTCCATATCCGCCATGATCAATGGGCATCTCATGAAAAGGAATTCGACGAGCATTCCAATGAAGACATCGCACTTCGTCACACAACAGAGCGTCTGCCTAACCAAGTTGGCCGGATAATGGGATAATGCAGATTGACCCTGACAATTCTGACGATGAGAGCTCAACTAAACCGCCGCCGACCAGTCATTCGGAGGTATAGGCATTGCGGCACGGCATGCCTTCTAGTGAGAAAAAAACCATCTTTCCCCAGCTTTTACACACACCACCTTCTGAACTTTGTAAAGCAAATATTTCCTGCACCTCAAATAGAGTGATCCGCCAAGGAGTGCTCGGAGTGGTGGTTATAGATTCCGGTAGGTTCAGGTAAAGATCCGTATGAGAGTAGACAAACAAGTGCGATTAAAGTCTTCAGGGAGGTGCGCTGAGACCATCAAGGTTTGTTGTTGCTTAGTGGTAGGGTATACAGTTTCTTGGGTGCAGGGTACATAATATTCTTTGTTGATTGCGAAACTTTCTACCATCCTTCTCAGAATGGTCTCTAACGCTAATTTTATTTCCTCCAGACTGCATTCGCTGGATCCGCCTGTTGGTGAACCAGCTCTGGAGCGAGTAATACAATAGAGATTGTCTGTGTAATAAAATAATAGGATAATGGAAAGGTTATGATTCTAGCCATGTTCATGATAACTGCTATGGCAAGACATAGCATAGCAAGGTCGACGACGAGGCTGTGGAAAAAAGGAAGCTGTGCCAGGGCGAGATTTCCACCAGACGGGAACATACCCACCACAAACACACTCACACTCACACTTAGTATCCGCCGCTCGATTTTTGGGGGGGGGCAACTTACGACTAGGTCAGCACGTCTACGCGAGGTGCAAAGGTGTGTCCTACGTGTCCTTCATATGCACCCGTATAGGCGGCAGATCCGCGAGGCTGGGAATTTATGCAATAATGCCCATTCAAACAGAGGCATATCTACGTTGGGTGGTACGGCACGACACAGCACAGCCTCGTCGAACAATCCAATCACTTCTTGATGCGACGTGACCATGGAGGGAGTCTTCAATTTTCATTATACGCCTGTTATACCGGCTCTCTTGGAGGGGGATGGTCGAGCTCTTTGTGAGCAACCTTCCCGTCCTGTACGCGGAGATAACACCCCAGAGTCTCCAATAAATATCTCTCTCGGTAACGTAACTGTGTTGGCCCTCTCTCGCTGACATGTATCTTTGCTATTTCCAATACCAGCGTAAGACTCTTTTGGTCCAGGTCTAGCAAAGTCTGCTCGCAGATCGTCAAACTTTCCTCTGATGCTTCCGAAATGGCTGTAGATAGCCGCGGCTCCCTCATAGCACGGATGCAAAAGCTTTCGAAAATATCGATCGAGATCATGAACTGAATGACCGAGGCGATCGATGTGGGATCAAGAGAAATATTATCTTTGCGAGAATTTAATGGTGCTCCGCTCCCTATGCATTTCTTCGTGAGGTCGACGTATTCCAACTCCTTGATTAGAGACTGTTTGTCAATCTGGACAACTTTGCCGGCCATGGGTCGCTCATATCCTATTTGGTGCCGCCACATCCAATTGCAGTAGATGTTGGAGACAATGCAGGGAACTAGGATGATATAACCCCACCACATGGTGGCGGTGATGAGACCTCCTGCGCCCGCAGCGAGGCCAGTAACAGCAAGGATCACTGCGTGAGTCTGAACTTTGCGTGTACGAAGCCGCAGCAGACGCCTGGCCAGATCCGACTCCAATTCGGCAAGTCCTGCGGACCGGTGTCGATAGGCTCGGATTGAAACATAGGTGGACCACCCCGCATTGACAAGACCGTAAAGTGCTCCGGCAGCATTCCCAATGTACCCTGACAGAAGGTTGCTAGCGGTGAATACGGTGGGATTCGCACCACCAATGGCCATGTAGGTTCCGACGCTCACTAGAAGGGCTCCAAAACCTAACAGCACATCCACAATGAGCCGATCCAGCAGCTCAGTGCCACTTTCTCGGAAGTTGACACCTAGGATGGCGTCCACACTCCGCAAACTGGTCTTATTGTTGCGGTATCGGGCCCTTTCCCGCTTCAGGTAGGACCTCTCCGCCCTCAAGACCTGGATATTGCGCCAGCTCAGGGTGACATCTCTGAGAGCGAAAAGGGAGGTCGCCAGGGCCAAGGTTGCTCCAAGGGCCATTAGTGCGGCGACCCATTTCTTCACTGGGACTCGGTTCCAGACATTAGCAGCGAAATCTCCAGCATTTCCCAGTTCAAGAAATCCAACCCCGGCGAGCAAACTGTTTCTCAACCGCCCGGGCTGTAACGGCCGGTAATGGCCACGTCGTCCTAATAAAGTGACCCAATCTGATGCTGGAAGGAATTTCTCTGTTTCACAGCCACTTTGACGCTTTTCTTCCTGCGTGGTATCCTCTGGAGTTTTCGTTTTGTTCGCATCGGACTCGATGTTCCTTGCGGCCGCTTCGGTGGCCATTAGACTGTTGAGCGTTGCGAGCGCCAATTTTGATTGAACAAACTCCGAGGAAGTGAGAGCTCTGCACTGCGGCTGCCTGAGCGCAGTGTCAACATTGAAGACGGGATGGTTTTGAGGGAAATCGTCTTGTCCACGCGTTAAAAGAGGTTATGATCAAGATCTAATAATAGTTTTGCCCATATACGTATGACCTGCCAAGAGTGGCAACGTTGCACTGATCCGAGCTCGCCGCTGCCGATGATCCATCCGGGGCGAGAGCGTGTAACAATTAGACTTTAGAGCACATATTTGTACTGCACAATTTATTACCTGGATTGCGGTAAACTCGGAGTCCAAGACCCAGTCGAAGGTCTCGAATCGAGCTCGTTGCTGAAGCATCTCTTGTGTTCGAAGTCTTGGCCCCCTTGATTTTGTGAGATGTCATATAGACTCTGCCCCCCTGCTTGCCCCCTGCAGGCGCCCTGTCACCGGTGCCTGTTCGCTAGATCCTCAGGGCTGAATGAGCCGAGGACAAGGATTTTGGATCCCGTTGGCGCTGGCCTTGGCGAAGCTCGCCGAATTTCGCGCATGCATTCGTATTTGCTTTTCCCTGCGCGAACTTCGTCATTGCAGTTGGCCAAGACCAAGGCCGAGAGATAAACCAAGTCGACAGCTCAGTGTAACAACAGTCAATGCGTTACAGGGGCAGCACATGCTCACTTCACTCGCGTCGACTGTCTAGGTATGCATAAGGTCCTGCGGCGGCAGCCATGGACCTGCCCGAGATGCCTGCGCAACCAGAAGACATACAATTCTACCGCCGCCGGCATTGCCGTGGCCGACGATAACACCTACGAATCTACCTCCCTTCACGCGTCTCCTTCTTCCAAGAGCGCCTACGATAATGCTCTCCTCCGTGAGGTTTTCAATAAAAAGACACTCTCAAAGACATCCTCCACCCGAAGCTCGGGCCTGATAGGAAACACGTTCCTGACTGTCCCCCAAGGTTTTCAAAAGTTCGCCGAGTCGTCCGTGATACAATGCAAGAGATTGGTAGAAAGGACGCTTGCCGCTTCTACCGTCGAGCAATACAAAGCCATACCCAAGGATCTTGATAGACTCAGCGACTTGCTATGTCGAGTGATAGATCTCTCCGACTTCATCAGGAGCATCCATCCGGGCGACGATGTGGCCGCCTCGGCATCTGCGTCGTATTCACTCATGTTCCAATACATGAATGAGCTCAATACGACCACTGGTTTAAACAAGCAGCTTAAGAAGGCTTGGGACATGCCCGAAGTTCGGTCCCAATGGAATGAAGAGGAAAAAATGGTTGCCGTGCTCTTGATGAGGGACTTTGCAAAATCAGGTATTCACCTGCCTGATAAGCAGAGGCAGCAATTTGTCTCGTTGTCCAACGAAATCGTGCAGTTAGGAACCGATTTCATCAACCAGATGGATCATGCAAGGGACTATGTGTCATTCAGCGTGCGACAGCTGGACGGCATCGATCCAACGCTGGTTCAAGGCTTCAAGAACCATGAAAGAGCACAGATCCCAGTGTCGAGCAAATGGTCCAAAATGGTTCTTAACTCCGTCAAAGACGCGGCGACGAGAAAAGAAATGTACATTGCCGAGAGAAGCGCCTCCAAGAAGACCATTGCAACACTTGAACAACTGCTTCTACGTCGTGCCCAGCTTGCCAAGCTGACGGGCTTCGACAACTTCGCACAGATGGCTCTGATAGAGAAAATGGCCAAGACGCCAGAAGCTGTGAATAATTTCCTGGAATCGGTCAATGCAAACAACAAGATACATGTTCAGAAGGAGCTTGCTCCGCTATTGGAGCTCAAGCGCAAGATGGACCAAGGTGCCGAAAGATTGAATCCGTGGGATCACCACTATCTCCTGGCCAAACTAGATCAACTGGAAGGAGCATCGGGACCGCGGACATCAAAGTCGCGTCTGCAGGAAAGTGCCAAACTCTACTTTGCCCTTGGCCATGTGATGCAGGGCTTGTCTAGCCTCTTCGAGTGTCTGTATGGCGTCCGATTTGTCCCAAGAGAGACCAAACAAGGCGAAGTCTGGCATCCCGACGTTAGGCGGTTGGACGTGTACACCGAGAACCAGGAGCATATTGCCACCATGTATTGTGACTTGTTCTCGCGGCCCGGAAAACAGAGTCATCCTGCTCACTTCACGCTCCTCTGCTCACGAGAAATCTCAGAGGAAGAGATCCGCGAATGCGAAGAACGCAATGAGCCATTGAACAACGGCATGCCGACACTTCTCAGTACTAACCCGGTATCTGGCGTGACCTCCCATCACCAAATCCCCATCATCGCTCTTGTGTGCGGCTTCCCACAATCCAGCGTCCCTGGCGAACCAGCTCTCCTCTCTCAATACAACCTCGTCTCATTATTCCACGAAATGGGCCATGCTATCCATAGCGTTCTGGGCCGCACTTCCATGCAAGGCATATCGGGGACGCGGGTCGCGACTGATTTCTCCGAACTCCCCTCTGTCCTCATGGAAAACTTCGCTACTGACCCCGCAGTATTGAAACTTTTTGCGAGACATTGGAAGACCGATGCGGCAATGCCCGATGAGATGCTCAAGGTATTGGCTGCAGAAGGGTCAAAGGAAGCTTCTAGGCAGGGCGCGTGGAACAACGAGAGCCAGATTCTCATGAGTCTCTTGGATCAGGTGTACCACGGAGACGGGCCCGTTCAAGCCCTCCGGAGCGGGCGGTATGATTCTACTGCTGTATATTACGACGTGTGGAACAAGCACGGCTCCGTTCCCGAGCCCTGGGGGACTTCCTGGCAAGGCTTCTTCGGCCACCTCCACGGGTATGGCGCAAGTTACTATTCGTACCTCTTCGACACAGCGATCGCACGACGGGTCTGGACGAATGTGTTTCGCGGCGGCAAGAACAATGGCGCAGTTGATCGTGCGAGTGGGGAGAAGTTCAAAGAGGAGGTTCTTAAATGGGGGGGAGGCAGGGACCCCTGGCTCTGTCTTGAGGGATTGCTTGGAGATGGCAGAGGCGCGTTAGCAGAGGGCGGCGAGCAGGCCATGTTACAGGTTGGAAGATGGGGAGTCGGTGTTGGGGCTGGAGCTGTCGATTGACAAAGTAGGCTCAATAGAAAGCGTGAATGTTCGTTGTCACAAGAGAGTAGAATTATGTAGGGCCTTCGTCATCTCTGTCTTTTATATACCAATGCATCGTCACGTTGAACTCCCCCCATTAAACGCCATTACCCAGAAGAATGCAACTGTACCTTGTTTCAATCTGGCACCGTGCGAAACCATCCGACTAGACTAGGTGATCGGAGACCCAGGAAACTCCACACGCAGAATTAGTGCATAGTGATGTCCGGATACGCCGTAGATACCCTGGGCGTCGATGAGCCGGGATTCCCAGGACCTCCAGGGCCTCCAGACCCTGCTGCCGCTGCCGCTGATGGCGGTGCCGATGTCGATCCTGATCTGGCATGCAATGCGCCCGCCGCGGCGGCGCCTGCACCCGTGACATCAGTGGCATAGCCCAGGCCCTCAATAGTCGCGAGGCCGGGATCCATGCCGAAGTCGAGGTCGGCGTTGAGGAAGGCGTCGCCGTCGAAGAGCGGGTCCTGGAAGATGGTCGGCATGCTGAGGTCGAAGAAGCCGTCGAACAGCTCGTCCAGGTTCGTGAACTGCGGGTCGTAAATGCCCGGGCCGAACGAAGATGGCACGTCGAGCGACGTAAACGCTCCACCACTCCCACTTGCTCCTCCTGTTGTCGTAGAGGAGGATGTCGGCGCGAGAGGATTGTGATGGCTGTAGGTGTAGCTATTAAGGGCGGATGATGTCTGGAATCGCGTGCTTTTGTTGTAGTTCTGGTACTGGAACGCGGACTCGGGTGGGATCTGGCTGAAGCCTGAGGCGTAGCTGCTGTTGTTGTTGTTGTTGCTGTTGTTGAACTGCTGGGGCTGTGATGTTTTGGGAGATGTGGCTGAGAGCGATGTGGGTGTTTTGGACACCGCCCTGGCGATCGCAGCATTCCCGCGACTCTTGCTGTTGCCGCTGCCAACGGAGGGTGAGGAAGCCAGATTTGTCGTTGTTCCAGTCGAGTGCGTAGCTGCTGCATCGGAAAGGACATGTAACCCATTTCCTCTCGACCCACCACCACCACCACCAGAAGACATTGATTTCGTCATCACCGTAGCAGCCCCGCCAAGAGTTGCAGCAGGGATAGAAGAACTGTGAGAATGATGATGTCCTCCTCCATGATGTCCTTTCGCCTCAAACGGTCCAAACTTGCACGCAGCAACCTCCGCTTCCATCGCACTCACGATCCCCGCCACGCTGGCTTTCCTTACTCCCGTCTGCTGCAAAGACTTCAACGCCTTCCGCCCTAGTCTAGCCATTGCATCTGCGGTCCACCAATACATGCTCAGTGCCTCCAAAGTCTCACATCGCGTAGCGAGATCGGCCTGTGCACGGTCGCTATCTTCGAATGCATTGTCACGGAGACCGCGGTATGTGACTGTTAGGGCGAGGCCGACCGCATAGGGAACCAAGGGGATGGGCAGAAGGGATGTGTGGCGGCCATTGGAGAGCAGTTCTTGGATCCGATCTGCCGCGGAGATGCGACGGGCGTAGGAGGTGGTAGAGGGACCTCCAGCACGGCAGGAGAGAATACAGATGACGTGGTAGCAGATTTCGAGGATGCCTAGAAAGAGGGTTAAAGGTATGCGACGAAGGTAGAACGAGATTTAGATGACCAGCAGAGTTCACTCACTTTGTTCGGAGATGGGGAGCAAGGATAAATCGATTCCCTCTGTCAGTGATCGATAAGGTGGGAACTCGGTTTCCCACCCTGTACACTCCGGGTCTGCTGTTGGTCTATAAAATTCGATGACCTCGTCGAGAAGATCCCCCAATCTCAACCACAGATTGATGACGTTACTTCTAGGAACGCCGCTCTCGAGCGGCGGGCGTGTGATGTCGATGTCACGATTTGCAATCACGATCGGCCGCCCACCGAGGCAGGCATTGATCTTGTCGAGGGTCCAGATGGTCCACCACAGCATGCTTGATTGATCTTTGGGAGATCGTCCTGGCGTGTGGATGTGTAGGCCCGCCGTCCATGCATCGTGGATGGCTTGCGACAAATGGAGTGATGACTCTTCGATGCCTCCTGGTCCGTCATTGTGCAAATGCATCAATGTCAGGATCTGGATTTTGGTGACTCTATCAGGTTCCAGATCAGCTTTCATGGCGGCGTCCAGTCCGGTATGCAGACTCCGGGCAAATGGGATGGGGTCGAGAAGTGGACCATCGTCGTAAAGCCGGAGATACGCTGCAGCCTCCTCGGTCTTGCAGGTGACAAGACATATCGCTTGCATAAGGAATATCGAACACCGTCCTTCGGTGTAGTCTCGAAGTAGTTTGATGCCGTTCAGAATAGGCAGAAGCCCGTCAAAACATGCAATGTAGGTGGTAACCAGCGCATCCTGAGTCGCTTTGGGCAGAACTCGAAAGGCGCCCACGGCTTGCAAGTAATTTCGTTGATGGCCAGTCAGGGTCCTCCGACCACCTTCAACCTTACCATACTTCTCGACGTTGAGTGGCGTTTTATCTCCCGACTTCTGTGGCGGCGGTGGGCCAAGGTCTTCTGGAGGGAGTCCATCTTGCAGATCTCGAGACTGTTCAACCCAGGTACCTACTCGGCTGATCCTCTGGGTTCCTTGTTTCCTGGATGACAAGTCCGTGAGTATGGATTCGGGATTCAGGTCTCCAACGAAGCGGATGGGTTCTTTGTGTGTCAAATTGGGCAGGACTCTCTCGAGCCCGTCAGAGTCTGCTTGCTGCTCTGGCGGGCGCTGAAAGGTGTGATGACAGCGCTTCTTCGCGGCGCGGCATTTCTGACATGCCCGAGCGGCTCTCTTGCGGCTTGCGAAGGCCGCCGTGTCCGCCTCCCAGACAACTTGCATCGAATCCCAAAGGCTGTCGGATATTAGATTTATTGATGAAAGGAATTGGTGGGTGGTGGGGGCACAGCCGGCGGCTGATCTGAAAGCAGATATCGCCCCGCGCTGCTGCCCACGTGCTGCCACGTGACCCGACGCGTTGTTGGCTCACCTGACGCGCACCAGATCCCTACCTGGCGAGGTGCCTACCCTGTACGGAAATAGTGCAAAGGACCCGAGTTGTCTTGGCTATCCTGGCTGTCCTGGCTGTCCTAGCTGGGTGGAAAGCTGTGGCTTTTCTCTTGCTGGGTCTCCCTTCATTCTACTAGGACTGTCCCTCCGTGACATCCAGAATTCTCAGCCCTACCGAAACTACCCACTGCTGCTTCTGGTCGCCCCAAGCAACATGACTGACCCGTTCTCGATTGCGGCAGGCGCCGCTGGGTTTATTTCGCTCGGTCTCCAAGTTAGCCAATCTCTCATTGACTTCTATACTGCATACAAAAATCAAGACGCCGATGTGGACAAAACCACCCGGAACTTAGAGAGTCTCCAGGCCACATTCCGGCTACTTCAGACCACGCTGCAAACTCGCACCTTCTCAGAGGCAGAAAGGGCTGCGGTGACGAATATCGAATCCCGACTGGAAAAATGTCTGGAAATCATTCAAGAGCTGGAGGAAGAGAGTAAGAAGTTCAAGAAAGCCACTGATCTCGGAATCGCCAGCAAAGTCAGGGTAGCCGGTCGTCGCTTAGCTTATCCGTTCCGGAAAAGCACACTACAGAAGCTTCATGAAGATATCGATGAAATACGTGAAAACGTAGACGTTTCTCTTGGAGTCTTGCAATTGAGGGATCATCAAATAATACACAATAGCGTTCGCGACGTCAAGATGCTCATTGAAGTTGTGAGAGCTGGTCTGATCTCCTTGGAGATACGCGGTTGGCTCAGAGCACCGGACGCCAGCACCAACCACAATGCCATATACACCAAGCGATACCTTAACACCGGTGCTTGGTTTGTGGAAGGGCCTCTTTTCGCTGACTGGATGACAAAACCAAATTCAATCATCTGGCTGAATGGATTTGCAGGGTGCGGGAAGTCCATTTTGTGCGCAACAGCGATCCAGCATGCTTTCCTCCACACACGATCGGACGCCCGTAAAGGTATCGCTTTTTTCTATTTCACTTTTGACGATGAGTCCAAACAAGACGAGTCTGCAATGTTGCGGGCAGTGCTTCTACAGCTCTCTGGTCAAGTTCCAGAGGGTAGTACCGACATTACGGAGTTGCACACTTCGTACCCTGACACCACGCCTCCATCCCGAGTCCTTCTGGAGTATCTCCAGCGTTTGATACAGAGGTTCACAGAAGTATACCTCTTTATTGATGCGCTAGATGAGAGTCCTCCATCTGGAAAACGCCCTCATGTATTGAGATCGTTGAGGGCCATTCAGGGTTGGAATCTGCCTGGGCTGCATTTGTTAGTGACAAGTCGCGATGAGTTGGACATTCGCCGGGCATTATTTGGTTCCCAGAGTCCAACAGCCGCGGAAGACGCAGTGAAAGTTGTTATGAATAATGAAGACATCGATCGGGATATTGCGAACTATATCTCTGGCCAATTACGAGATGATCCTGACATGCAAGATTGGTTGCAACATCACGACAAGATTCGCCAAGCTTTGACTGAGAAGGCAGGCGGAGTGTGAGGAGTATAGATCTGTGAGTTCTGTGCACGTTGCGCTGACAAAGACACAGGTTCCGCTGGGTTGAATGCCAATTTCAGATCTTGAGACGTTGCCCAAGAAGTGAATACCGCCTTGAGGAGTGCCTCGCATCCCTACCACGAACCCTCGATGAGACCTACGAGCGAATGCTTTCCACCATCGATTCGGATTATGTGGATGACGCTAAACGAATTCTGACTTTGGTCTGCTTCTCTGTTCGCCCCTTGACTGTACCTGAGCTCATGGATGGAATTGCTGTTGATCTCAGCGGCTCGGGATGGCTGGATCGACGACGACGATTGCATAGTGCAGATGACCTGCGAAGAATATGTCCTGGACTGTTGGCTTTCAATGCTGCAGAAAGTGATTTCACAGGCTCACCAGATGCTGACGACGAAGATGATCGCTTTACAGTGTTGACGGTTCACATCGCCCATTTTTCAGTCCAAGAATACATCGAATCAGAGCGCATAAGACAGCAAAAAGCAAGCGTGTACGCTTTACAACGAAGCTCAGCGAACCTCGATATTCTTCGCATCTGCCTGGTATGCTTGCTCGAACCAGGATTAAGCAGCAGAAGGCTAGACAGAAGCATTCTAGAAGAACATCCACTAGCCCGTTTTGCTGCCTCCTCTTGGTATGCATACTATCCTTACATCGCAAGCACAACAAATAACGTCCAGGAATTGGTCTTGAAACTGTTCGATCACCAAAAAGGCTCTTTTTCCAATTGGGTAAGGTTGCACGATCTGGATACGCCCTGGGTGAATGAAGTGAAGTTCCATATTGAGTCGGAACACATAGCATCTCCGCTCTACTATTCATCTATGCTGGGGTTCGACTGGATTGTGAGAGAGCTCATCGCTGCTGAGTCTGATGACGTTAACCGCGAAGTTCTCATCCATACTCTTGGCGGAGAAAACGGCAATGCGCTGCAGGCAGCATCGCTCCATGGCCACACTAAGGTGGTTGAAACCTTACTTGAAGCAGGGGCGGATGTTAATCTTCGTGGTGGGCTTCATGACAATGCACTCCAGGCAGCTTCTGCAGGGGGTCACGATGCCGTGATAAAATTATTGTTGGACAAGAACGCTGATGTGAATGCCCATGGCGGCAAATACAATAACTCATTATACGCTGCGTCGTTGAATGGCCATGAGAACGCTGTTCTCATGCTGCTTCGTCATGGAGCCGATCCGAATGTCCGAGGCGGTTTGTTTGGTCATCCGTTGCAAGCGGCATCATCAAGAGGCCATGAAACCATTGTGCAGATTCTCTTGGAAAATAATGCTGACGTGAACGCAGGAGGTGGTAGATTTGGCAATGCGTTGCAGGCGGCAGCATCAGCTGGTCATGAGAATGTAATGAAAATCTTGTTGAGCAAGGGGGCTGATGTCAATGCGTACGGAGGTAATTATGGGAGTGCGCTGCAAGCCGCATCTGCACGAGGCCGCACAGACATCGTCCAGATGCTGCTGAAGGAGAATGCTGAAGTGAACGCAGTTGCCGGATTCTATCATACTGCTCTGCAAGCTGCATCGGCCGAGGGTCATCATGAGATAGTCAAAATACTGCTAGATAGCGGCGCGGACGTGACCATTTCAGGAGGAGAATTTGGCAATGCGCTGGGTGCGGCACTACAACGCGGTCACAAGAGGGTTGCAGAGTTATTGCAGGGAGTGAGCACTGGTGAGGGACCGCCGCCAAACCACCTCGATGGAGTCGCTCTTCTTCAGTCCTTCAGAATAGATCCACGCCATGAAGCTCGTCCTTTCCGACCTTCCAGCGCCATAGCCTCGTCTTTGGCCCCAGCAAAAGATTCTTTCCACAACTTAACCGCGAAAGATATTAACCAGATAATTCTCAAAGCAAAAAGTGGGTCTACAACATTGGTTGATTCGATTGGGGTAAACCAAAGCTATCTTCATGATCTGGGGTCAAGACGTCACGTACGTTGAGAAGACGTGAATTTTTGCTAGGATCTTTATTGACAGTGGTCCCAGATCTTCCTGATTGACGACGCGAAATCGATGGAAAAGTATTGGCAAGATGTCAAATCAGTCACCCACGCCATGGCATATATCATTAAGCAGTCAAGAAAGCCACGAATGGAGCTGTGTTTTATGCGAAGCGACCGAAAGTACTCGTCCAAAACTTCGACGGGCCTTGTGAAGATCCTAGATGGAGCACATTTAGAAGGGCAGAGCGACATCAATATTCGACTTCAACAAATCTTCAAAGTTGGCAATAGTCAACCGCAGCACACCCTCTCCGAACAGGTGGGACGGCAACCGCTCAACGTCTACATTTTAACGGATGGAGCATGGACATCTAATATTCATGCCGACAACTCAATATGGTCCATTACAAACGCCCTCGACAAACAAAATTCAAGCCGTGGTAAAGTCGGACTGCAATTCGTCCTCTTTGGCGATGATCCGAAAGCCAGGAGTGAGCTGAATCGCCTTGAGTCGGGGCTTGCGCTGGTCAGGTAGCTAATTGCCCTTTCGGAACATCTCCGATTCTGATCCGATATTACCTTCCGCTGACATCAATGTGCAGGGACATCGTCGACTATGAACCAGCAAGTGGCAGCATTTTCAAAATGCTCATGGGTGCGACAGTCAAGTTTTATGACGACTGACTATTTTGATTCGGTCCCCTTCCTAGCATTAGTCGGGCGCCAGACTTGAAAAATTCTTTGTCGCCTTTCGGAAAGCCAAGCGAACACTCTACTGACTCCGCTTTTGGTATGTATTGCTTTAAACAATGCTCTAATATAGTCTATAAAACGCGCATAGAATAGCCTATGCTGAGAAAAATTCTTTCCAATTGACACGTAGGACTCAAGAGAGATGGGCAATGAATGTGCTATGTTTTTTTTTTTTCTGACAACTGAACTAAGTTGACGTCGATTCCCGCTGCGTGGCTTGACGATCTCGCCTTGCGGATTGATAGCTACGCCTGCTTCTTCACCAACAGCAATACGCCATACACGGTTGCCTTCAATTTCTCCTTTCCTTTCTCAACGCCGGCCTCCTGCAACAGTTGCTCAATCTTCTTGCGAAGTATCTTGAGCACATCTCGCTCCGTGCCGACGTCGTCGGGGTGCGCCTGGCGCCAACGTGTCTCTGCACTCCCCGTCGCCATCATCTTCTCAAACATGTCCAGGTCCGCTTCGGGCATACCCACAAAGAATTGTTCGCTCGGGTCCCACTCCTTTCGGACGAATGTTGTCTTGTCAAATTCGGAAACGGGCTGTGCCAGGGTCCACGGAAGGGGCAGGTCGGCATAGCGACCTCGCACAAGCAGGCTGCCTGGCTCAAGGTAGGGCTTCATGTCACGCTCCTGGTGCTCATCAAATGCCTCCTGAATGGCGGCAGCGTTGGGCATGGACGGGTGAGCACGAATCTCGCCGCTAGTCCACAACGCGACGGTGCCTCCAGGCTTGAGGACGCGGGCAGCGCTGGGCCAGAAGCCTGACATATCAAACCAGTGCGCAGCGTTGGCGGCGGTAATGAGGTCGACGCTAGAATCTGGAAGTGGCGGCGACAGGTTTGCTCCAAGTTCCTCAGCCGTGGATCTCTCGAAGCGTGCGGGTTCGGCAGTGGACGAAACAAGGCCTATTGAACGAGCCGTACTGATCATACCTTCGGAAGGGTCGAGGCCAATGACATGAGCAAAGTGAGACGCGAGCCCGCGGGCGGCAGTGCCGGGACCACAGCCAACATCAAGAATTGTGTCATGACCGCCGCCGGTGGATGTGTGGTGGTCAATGATGGCTTCATACACCTTTGGGTGGTAATCACGGCGGACCTGGGCATAAAATTTGCCTTGTTCCTTGTTGTAGGAGCTGAACGTCTTTTCTTTTGGAAAGGCCGTAGAAGCGGACTCTGGTTTAGACATAGCGTTTTCCAGGCAGCAGAAAACGGGTGTTCAGGACCGGCCGCCTTCGTACTTCAGTTTGAAGAGGGGAAAATTCGGGGTCAAATCTGAAGAAAAAGAGCAATTGCTTGACCCTGGCTTTGCAAAATAGAATTGAGGATTGCTTGGGGACAGATGGATGGAGGCTGACCTGAATTTGACGCAGATGTACAGGGTAGAGATATTTATCTCGGGTTTATTACGAGCAAGGCTGCCGAAGAGGAAAGCAGCCAATAGTAATGGTTTTTGTGAGCGAGCGGGCAGCCACTAGCCCGATACAGGGTACCATTGCGAGGCCCCAGTCCGCGCACCTTTAGCCGAGAGAAGGCAACAGATCTCATATACATCGATATCGGCGGTGAATGGACTTTCGACTCGCTTACGGATCACTGGAAGCTTTTCGAAGCGGTATCGGCCATGAAGCCCGCCTGTCGAATCCCCATTGTGGAATTGATGCGTCGGAGTTGCTCCACAGCGAAAGAGCGCGCAGAGAAATGATTCCGCTCTTCCAGGGCGACCACAAACAGTGGCTGCAAGAGCGACAAGATGCCTGCGGTGGTAGTTAGCTCATGAGCCTCCTCTTGAGTGAGATTGGGGGGCTAGTTACGTGGAGTGTCTTTGAAACTATATGTGGAGATGCAGATGTCATTGCACAACTGCTGAATGATGGAACAGGCGAGCGCCATCCGTGCATCGTCAGGCTCAGTCAAGCGAACCTCATTTTGCAGCGTGATTTGGTTGACTAGCACCCGAAGTGCGCGCCAATAGTTCCATGCCTCTGCGATCCAAAGATTGGGATAGATGTGCTTTTTCCCGTCGAAGCAGACATCATGGGGAGCACCAGGAACATGGACTACCGTGTATCCCCAAGCTGGCGACAAGCCTGCTTTCCAAGTCTCGAGGTCCCAATCGAGCTCCAGCGCTATTGCACGGATGGCCTGTGGATCTGTAGCCTCTTGACTTTTCAAGCCTGCCCAGAGGTTGACCACTCGGATACAAATCTCGGTGATGGACCCTGGGCTGGCAATATTGGCATGTTGCCAATCCTGTCTCAGGGCGCCTGTCTGGAAACTGAAGGTTGCCTTCACCATGGCGTTAGGCACGGCAACATGCTCGTGCATGCAAAACAGGAGCTATAATCGTAATGAGACTGTGGGGCCCAACAAGGAGTAATGGACAGCATTACTCACTATGGAGGAGCGAAATTGAACGTAGAGCAGGCCACCACGTTCACTGAGAAATTGCTCTCGACCCCGAAGCTCTAAGATGGCCGTGCCGGCTCTGACATGGGCCGCCCAATGGTGATATCGATCTCGATTTCCAAAACTGACGGTCTGTAAGCATGTGAGTAAAGGCTCTCTCAGAGGCTGATCCAACTAGCACCTTGACGCACCTCGAAAAAAGCCAATAAGATGAGTGCCATAAATGTCGTGTCCGAAATCGCTTGCACTGGATTGTTCAAAGCTTTTTGCATGGAGATCAAGGCCGTACAATACTGTGCGTGACATTGAGACTTAACACGAGGCGCATAGAAGACGTTTGACAATCCTGCCATGCCAACAGCTTCGATAACCGCACGTAAAACGTTGTTGGGCCCTTGGCCAAAGTAGGACTTGACCAGCCAAGCATGATAGTTGCTGAAGAAAGGACCATCGTCGGGGGAGTACTTAGCGAAGAAAAAATTGGCCCCGAGATCATGAACGGATTGGGAAAGCGGATATGTTATGGCCATAGAAGATTGAGAAGATGGGAACAATCTCTCCGTGGGAGCTCGTATGTAGCTTTGCTGGGACTGAGCGAGAGGTTCTTGTATCACGAACGAACCTGGCATTTCATCCTGGCGATGTCTGCGGGCCACCCGGTCGGACTCGTCCCGAAACCTGACGTCGCTAAGATTGCGGTAGCCCGGGCATTTTTGTTTCAATCTCGTGCACTTCAAACATTCAGGTCTACGTTCGTCGCACTGGCAAAAACGGCCAGGTGGTAAGTCGGATGTGGGCAAAGGTTCGGGAAGGGTTGAAGAAATACCACAACTTACCTTTACCTTCCGTTTGCGACACCTCTCACAGCCTTGGCTGGGAGCGCCACAGTATACCATGAGGCGGAAAGACCCTGTCTGTCGATGAATTCCTCGAGTATGCTTCTTGTACAAGCTTCCCGTGGGATTTGCTGTAGCCTGAAGGTGTAAGGGATGAAGGACTCGGACCCCACTGTCAGTTGAGTTCTTGTATTGCTTTTATACTCTCTGCTTCGACAATGGGCGATGCCGGCTGTTTTCCCGATAGAGTCTGGTTGTGGGCTTCTGAAGAGGGGAGCCTCTGTGCACGTAGCCCGCATACAGAAGCTCACTGCTGCGTTGGCGAGATACCCCAACCGATCCCGGAGAGGGAGTGCCCGTGGCGCAGAAAGAATGAATGACTCTGTACCTGGTGGCATGGAATTATAACAGGGTTGAACAGGGCCATTGATGAAACCGAGAAGTTGCCAACAGCTGAACCGAGCTCTATTTTACCCCTGTACCGAGTAACAACGTTGTTGCTTGGAAATCCGCTGTGACGGGCCTTTTAGCGCCTTGGCACTTCAATGCCTACTTCTTGCTACTTCTTGCTACTTCTTCCTGTCATCACTGCCATTTCTAGATAGACACCTATGTACACACAATACCATACCCCCACGTTACCGCGGCTATCCATGTCATACATGTCTTCTTCCTTCTTCCCTGATGCTACACCGCCTGCAATTAGGCTAGTGAGGCGGTCCTTCCGTTTCGGGTATGGTCGCGGGCTACGTGTGTATGAACCTCATCTCCCACCTTCATCCCCTCTCTCCTTCTCTCCATCTCTTCTATTAACTTAGCAACGCACTCAATGAACATATGCCATGGCCACATCAGTAAATGAAGCGCCTCTAAATGTTCTCGTCACGACTGTCAATCATCTCGATAGCACGAAGACAGCCGCTCCAGAGAACTCGAACAACCTGCCAGCCAAGCGGAATCGAACCCAGCTCAGCTGCACCCAATGCCGCCATGGGAAGTTGAAATGTGATCGAGAAAGGCCGTGCTCACAGTGTGTAAAGAAAGGACGGGCCTCTAAATGCACGTTTCTCCCTCCAGCGGCTCGGAAAAGACCGGCAGCAAGCATGCAGAATCGATTGAAACATCTAGAAAGCCTTGTCAAAGTTGCGATGGCAAGTCAGCCATCAAATGGAATTGATACATCTGCGAGTAATCCGCATACACCAGAGATAGATCCTAGTTCGCAGTGTCCAACCCCGACTGAAATCCCGGGAACTTTCGTTGAAGCGCGCGGGTGCGCCCAAGACGGCGTTTCGAACGCTGCCGGCCAGGTGGTCCAAGGACCAAATGAAACCACATATATCGGGGCAACACACTGGGCTGCAATGCTTGATGATGTAAGATTTCGCATGTTTCTGCCGACTTGATGTCGTTCAACTGATAATTGTTAGATTGAAGAAGTGAAAGGTTACTTCAACCAAGTCGTGGGGGAAACGTCGCAGCCTGACAACAGCGTGGGACCTGATCTTTCTTTGGTCTTCAAACACGATTCGCCCACTTCTAAGGAAAGCCTCTTGGCCACGCTACCCGATAGCGCCATCGTGAATCGATTTATCCATCGATACTTTAACTCTAATAGCCCTGCTCTCCGTCAGTGATTTCGAGTTTTCTTAGAAAGCAGCTAATTTCTCCCAGATATCATTCATAAACCAGCATTTCAAAGACACGTAGGTAGCAAATGCTCCTGGACGCATCGGTGCCTCTACATCTTGCAACACTAATGCCGCCCGCAGTACAGCAAATTCTGGGCTGACCCCCATGGCTCCCCGATCAGTTGGCTCGCTTTGATATACTCGATTATGGCTGTGGCGACTTTTTCAGCCCTCGGAGCTGGCGAGGAAATTATGGACACTCGCGGAACCCCAGTGGAGAAGATACGAGCTTACCGTGGATATTGTGCACAATGCCTCATGCTCACCAATTACGCTCAGCCAGGACCATATACTCTCGAGGCCTTCCTTGTATACATTGAGGGGGAACTGCTTCTCAGCAAAGGCGATCAAATCAACTGTTATTTAATAGTCAGTGTGGCAATTCGCCTGGCCATTCGAATGGGCCTCCATCGAGATCCCGACAATGTGAAGGGTAACTTGACACCTTATCGAGGCGAGATGCGCCGCCGGATCTGGCATTTGCTATTACAGATGGATTTGATGGTCAGCTTTCATCTTGGCTTACCATCAATGGTTCAAGCTATCAAAAGCGACACTAGAGTCCCGCTCAACCTTCGAGACCAAGACTTCGATGAAGATACAATTGAATTGCCACCTTCCAGACTGGAGACTGAAATGACAGGCATGTCATACACACTTGCCAAAGGTCGAATAGCGCGGATATCTGGCAAAGTTGTCGAGCAGGCAAATCTTCTGACTTCGCCTCACTATGGCCAGGTCATGGAGCTTGATCGGGAGCTGCAGCAAGCCTTCACTGCTGTGCCGTCTTTTCTTCGCTTTGTACCAATCGAGTTCTCAGTCACCGACTCCCCTCAACTTATTATTCAGAGACTCAGTCTGGCAGTACTGTTTCACAAATCTCGATGTGTCTTGCATCGCAAATATCTGACCACGGAGAAAGAGAATGCAGAGTTTTCATTTTCCAGAAAAGCAGCGGTAGATGCTTCCATGAAGCTTCTCATGATCCAATCCGAGGCCCACGACGCTGTTCAGCCTGGCGGCCCCTTGAGCAAGGACTTATGGTTTATTTCTTCAATATCGATGCACGACCTTCTGCTCGCAGGCACGATAGTATACTTGAGCCTCATTCAACAGAGCGACGGCATCACTCTAAAGGTGGGCGATCTGAGAGAGGCTACCACACAGCAGGCAGAGATGATCATAGCTTTGGAAAGATCATATAGGATCTGGACAGAGACGAAAAGCATGTCGGTTGATACTAAGAAAGCCTACGATGTGCTTGGCAACATGGTGAAACGAGTCAATTCAATCTTCCGACATCGCAGTGGAGACACGGTGGTCTCCACTGAGAAGAACGATGCTGGATATACTCACGGTAGAGAATCTCTTTTGAGACTCTCGTTGAATGGTATGTGCGCCCAAACTTCCGAGTTACGTCACGAATTAGCCTGTACTTCTGAAAAACAATTGGAGAGAAAGTCGCTGATCAAGCTCTAGAGCCGATGCCATCATTGGCCTCATCAATTGGTGTCACCGATCTTCTTATTGACGGACTGTACAACGAATCAAATAGCAATCGTTCAGCATCAGGTCTCACCATGCAGTCTGATATTGATGAAATGAATATTCCCATGGACTCTTTAAGGGCTATAATTGACACACCCACGAATTTTGACTGGGTATTTGATGTTCTAGTTACGGGACACTTGACAAACCAAGCTAATGAACCTATTTAACAGGATGTTTTCGACAGTCACGTTCGCCCACCATATATTGACGAGCAAGCTTGGCCAGATTACTCTTTTCCGGACTTCAACTTCGGGGATGATTTCAATTACACCATCTGAGCGGGCAACAGGGTTTAATAAAATGTGCGCAAATCATCGGGCGCTTCCCGAAATCACGACTTCTGGAAATCCTTCGTCTCTCGCGCGCAATAGTCCAAGAACATTTTTGCAGCACCACTCCCACCCTCGGCTCTACTCTTGAGCCCTTTAGTGATATCTTCGGGTAGGTCTGCAATTCTTCCCCAAGCCATCACATATCCGCCATTATTTTCTGCTTTGAGCTGTGGAGAGAAAGCAGCATAGAGCTCGGAGTAGGCGCCGTGCACGGGAGGCTTGAAGATGTACTTCTACACAGAGCGTCAGCAACAACTGCGTCTCCGAGAACTGGGAGACATACCATCACCACTCGGTCGATAACACTCATGTTGCGCTGCAACTCAGTTCTCATCAATCCTGGATGCACGGACTAGCACTCAATCAGTACAATTATCTTCAAATCACGGCTTAGGCTTACCACGCTGAGAATTCCTTTGCTTCCGAGTTGCTGCGCAAATCCAGCTGCTAACCACGTCCCACCCACTTTGCTCTGCATGTAAGTATCCCATTGCTTCGGCGGGATCTTTGGATCTCCATGGTCGTCAAACGACATTTTCCCGGCGGGATTGCCGTATTGCATAAGCGCTACAACAAAAACGACTCTGACGCTAAGTGGAGGGCTCGAAGCTGCGGTTCGGATGAGAATAGGCTCGAGGAGAGTTGTGAGGAGGTATGGCGCCACGCAATTAGTAGCCATTTCGAGGTTCTGCCCCTGCACCCGCACTCTTGTCAGCTTTCTTCCACTGACACAAAACGGAATGCCGACGGACCTGTTTGCTTTTGCTTCCAGTGGGCGGAAGCATCACAGCCGCATTGTTAAACAGGACATCGAGCCGGGTTTCTCGACGCAGAAATTCATCGACAGCAACTTTCACCGTCTCTAGATCTGCTAGGTCGATCACCATGGTTTTCAACTTCCCTGCATATTTCTGGCTGCTTGTTTGGGCCTTGATTTTCTCGATGGCACCCTCACATCGTGATGCTGAGCGAGCAGCAACATACACGGTTCCGCCCGCGACGTAGATGATCTTCACAAGGTCGAACCCTACTCCAGAGGCTGCGCCGGTGACGATGAACACTTTGCCAGCGAGAGATGGCAGATCCTTATCCGTGAAAGTTGGATCAGGTGGGAAGAAGGCTGAGAATAAGGAAGGCATGTGTCTGGTCGGACTGAATTTTGGGTATTGATTGAATGTATTGTGATGCTCCGCAATTGAGGACGGGGAGGATTAATGGATGGGGAGTGAAATCCGAGACACGAACGAACAAATAAAGAGCTTTCCTAGTGCCTCATTGTTATACACATTATGTTGCAACGGACATAATGCTCTCTCAAATATGATAGGTGCTAACGGACGTAGCGTCCTCTAAGAAGTTGCAAATTGTATGACGGACATAACGTTCCTAGACAGGAAACGCATTTTAAGTTCTATGACTACGATTGGCTACGACGTTAAATCCGTTCGGGAAAATAAGGGGACGAGAAGACGCTCACCCCTTGCCTGGTAAAATCCCCTCGAGGGATAATAGAAACATGACCAAGGTGCCTCGTGGTGCCACTTCAGATCTATGCTACATACCACCACAACAGCTGGGAATGTTAGTGGACGGACGTCGTCGTTTATCTCGAGAGAGGATTCGAATAGCATTCTAATGCAACAGCGATGTGGACGCCATTGAGTAGCGCACTGACTGGCAGATGCCACGTTCTATGCTCAGGTAGGCTGAGATACTGCAGCGGTGGGTTTCGATTAACTCTTCGAGAAGAAATTCTGCGGGTGGACATTGCTACAGGTTTTATCTCGATCCCATTATTGCGCTAGGATCGAGGTCTCCAACGTCACCCGTCATGTTAAACAGTAGCAGCGAAGTTGAGCCCATTCACATGGACTAGGAAGCACACCATCATAGGTTCGTGGTTGCTCACTTGACTGCGTCTTGTACAAACATGGTAGCTCTCGAGTTACTCACGCCACTCGTCCTCTCAGTCTAACTTGGACGCAAGAGAGCATAGTCGAGGGGAGAGTCCCTTGTGGAAGAGGGGGACAGAGACAAGGCTTCCGATGACTGGCTCAAACATGAAACTTAGGTAGAGCTGGTCGACTACATGAAAGGAGACGGGATATTGGACGGCGGTCGAGATGATTTCGTGAAGGTCAGAAAAGGTCTTCTCCTTCTCCCTCTAGGAGAATATACAAGAAAATCCGTGGAAACTCTCCCTACACGACCTCGAGGCGCCAGGGCTAGAATAGTGCGGTTACAGGCACCCTTTTTTCCCGAGGCGTTGACGATTCCCTTGGTGTTTCTGAAGGGGGCTGTTTCTGGCCCCATTGAAGTCGCGTGGGGAGAGGACACTGTTAGCGTGCTTGAGATCAAGGGGAAAAACCCTCCCAAAGCGGCGGCACTGAGCGCCAAATTCGGCGGGAAATTTCCTGCCGCCTGACACGAAGCCGGCGCCAAGTCCACTAGAGTCGTAATCTTCTCTCACAAGCTTTGGCGAAGCCTTACGGTGGACACTTCCGAGCGTTCCATTCCCACGCAGTACTTAAGGTGGTCGCATTGAATATTCTGAGTACTGGAGCTGAAGAGCATCTTTGCGAACACAAAGCAGCGATTCAGAAACCAGCAGTGCTTGCTCACGAGTCACGAACTTCACTTACCGTCATCCAGACTTGGTCCTCATACTTCTTCGAGGTCGCGCTTCACCGGAGTGAAGTGTCTTCCGGCAATGTCATCAGAGACCAGCAATAAAGCACAATGGGCCAATTTAGAAGTCGTCGTTGTGGCGTAGTAAGAGTAGCTAGAACAAGTTAGTTTGAGGATATACCAGGGAAGGACGCAAGGGCCATATTGTTGAAGAAAACCGAGGCCTACACACACGGCATGGAATAGAAGTCGATATCGTCGCCAACCCACCCCCTCCCCCCCAGTCCAGACATTGCAGACATTGACGGACAAGCTGGGCATTAGCCGAACTCATGCGACCTGGGGGCGCTTTCTTCTTAGAGCATGTACCAAAGATTTTTACAGTGATAGAGACAATGTAGAGTTCGACAACTTTCGCACGGCTCCAATCTTTTATCAGTTCGGTAGCTTCATTATTGTTGCGAAGACTGAGAAGATGAACGATACACTCTCAGCTGAGCTTGCCAAGGCGCGAACCGCAACCACATAGGATTCAAATCGGATGATGCAGTCCTTTGGTTAGCTTAATGGAGAACACTTTGAAAGACCAGGAAGATTGTAAAGGTTGCATATGTCCACCGACTTGTTTTGGTGGAAAATGGACAGAAGTGGAAGACTTTGCGTGTGGATTGTAGTGATGGGAAGAGAGAAGACGCCCATATATAGGCTCACTGAGAGGGTCGCTGGTCTATTGCCACGCGGTGCCGCTGATAGCCTCCGTACGAACCACCCAAATTAATTTTAGCAAGGCGGGCAGATCGATTGAGTGGCACTTTATCACTGCTCTTGAACCCAAGCACTCAGATGAAATCCATCTATCTTTTCTCCTTGAAGATCGCTAATCTCGGGTTGAAAGGTTTAGAGTCTCCCCAGAGACATTAAGCAAGTTGGTTGGTACCTCGCTCTCTTTGGCCGTAGACAAGGCATGACACAACCCACCTCTGGTAGACAAACCACTGATAGATGGGAAAAAAGCGACCTAAAATGCGGTCGGAAAATAAAAAATCGGTGAGAATCACCCAATTGATACGGCCCCTTCGGCTTTGAATTTCGAAGGATCAAACAAGTATCTGCCCATGGGCGAGATCGTCCGAGAAATTACGGACCATAGCCTCGCGTCGAATCATCTACAAGCTTCAATCGAGGTCTGGGTGTTGAACCGGTCTGGCAAGTGGTAATAATTCCCTTGTTGTCATTTATGAGGTACGGGGAGCATAGGGAGCGCAAGGAATACGACACACTCGCACGCGCTGACGGCGAGTCTCCGGCAAACGGGAATCTTCTACTTCGGTAACTTATCGCAGAGGTTCTCTTCTCAAGTTATTTCTGGAACTTCCAAGAACATGGCCAAAGATCAAGGACTGCTGGGGCCGAGAAGGGAAGAATTTGGTAAAGGAAGTGGAAGACTGATAGTTTAGTTCAGATAATGATACGAAAGTATTGGCTATCAGAAATTCCTTCGAAAACTGTTACAACAAACGAGAAAATCTCGTGGCTACTTGCAATTGACGTCCGAAATCTTCTGTCGCTTAACCTTTCCTTCAAAATGTGCCCAGAATGCTACGGGAACTCCTGTCTGACTAGTAGGTGTATCGCACTATGAGAACGTCAAAGCAAGAGTGGGAGCCTCCAACGCTGCATACGACTCTAGACGAGACGCAAAAGGCGGGAGTCGAAAGCCTGAATGTGTTTTCGCACAATGCGTGCATCTCGTGGTATATGGAATGTCGCGATCTTGCGGCGGGAACGAATGGAGTGGAATGCCGGCGCTCTCATCACTGTTTTGGCCGTCCTGGGGGGTGCGTTTCGCTGTCATGTCAAAATTCATGTTTGACTGATACCAAGGTGCGAGTCTGCAACGCCTGATCCACATGAGCTTCGAGTCTGTTATCCCCAGGGCTTCTCTTCCCAAGCACGACGTTGCTAACTTTACCCTCACAGGAATTGCGTGCCACTTCGAGACAGCCTAAACGTCTCATCTGCCGCCAACTCTGGCAGCAACCTTTGGGCTAAAGTCTATCCGGCAGGCTCTTTGAGAAGAGTCTATGCTGTCCGATGCCTTGCATCATTGGTCGATCGACAAACAGGCATTCTGCACACAACCAACCTCGTCCCAATGAACAGTCTGTACGAGGGCTGGAGAAAATGCTTCGAGGGCGGAGGAAACGATAGGAAGCTAAGATCAAGACTAGAGAAGATGGGAAGGATGAAACCACTACTCTGGCCTGCTCCGATCAAGGAAATGGCTCTCTGGGACATAGTGGGTGCCGTTGGGGTACCGATGCCCTGGGGCCGTCATCAGCTCTCAAAGCAAGAATTTGTCTTTTTGTCTTTTGTCAAGGACGATTTTCCCCGGACCCTGAATAATGCCCTTCATACTCCAGCTCTCAATGAACAGCAAAATAGCCATCGATCAATCCTATGGTTGAGACTAGTGATAGATGCGAACCTCAGTCGGTTTTGGTTCCAGGTCGGACTCGACTCAGCATCGCTACTAAAGAGCGATCGTTCTACGGGGGCTGTTCTCGTGGACTAGTGCAAGATTGTGACAGGCAGGTGCTGGCATGTTATATTCCGTCTTCCTTTTCCACGTGGTGGCAGTTAAGCCAGGCTTGATTTGCATTCCTGGGTGGCGTCTAGCGGAGACGACCGACTAATCAACTGCGCAGGAGAAGTCACTCAATCATTCACTGGCTGGTTCAAGTTTCGAGGGCAGCATCCTCGGGCGTTTGCTGACTTCGGCGTTGTTCGAAAGCTGAAACCCGCTTCCAATGGATATAATCAGACCAAATGCGATAGCGTCGTGATCGAGAGGCACAGGGAGTCTGAGGTTGTAGGGCGAAAATGTGCCGATGCCGACCGCGTAAAAGATGACAGTTTGCTAACCAGCTCCCTTCAACTCTGGGCGAAAGAGGCAGAGGAGCTGACGACCATGTTCGTACCACGAGGGTTTGCCCCTACGGTTCATGGTATTCTCTTTGGCAAAGATCCATGAGCCTTCGTGGGGCAGACTGGCCATATCCTGCTAGCGTTGCGCTGGCATCTAGCGTGGCATGACAATTACTCGTCCAGGAGCGTTTGATCTACCAGAATCTCGGATAGCCAAAGTGGTGAAGTGGCTTCAGGGGTGAGCGAAGTCGCTGTTGTCACGAAGTCGCTTTCGAAGTCGCTGTCTGGAGCCGTCCCGGAGTTTGTGGAGCCGCCTCGTGAAAAAAAAAAAAAAAATTCGGCTTCCCGCATTGCCAACTTCCACAGCGATGCGCGGTAATAGAAACAGAACATTTGGAGTGAAGTCAAGGAATGCGGAAGACCACAAGCTCAAAGTAGGTTCCGTGATTAGCCTTGTTTTTCTCTTGCCAGCTGGGGCTTTTCGCAATTGTGTTCGTGGTTGATGTATTGCGGGCAGTCCCGATCAACAACTCCTCTCCTCCCGAGGATATGATCTCTACATGACCGTGTCTTCATTTGAGGTTGATGCTGAAGAATGTTGGTCAATTTGATGCCGCAATTTACCTCGATGTGGTCTTGACGGCCGTCATGTCGGAATCTGATTTTTAATTGTGCTGAAAGGTACATGCAGCGTGACGGACGGTATCATCGGGGTGGAAATTATCAGCGGAATTGACGAGTCCATTATTAGTTCGCAGAGCTCCGATCTAGTATTAAAATTATTCTGCGTTGAAAGTGCTGGGGGTTTCTCAGTTGAAACGGTCTACATCATTCTAAGCGTCGTCCAGACGAACGACGTCCGATAAACAACTGGCTTCGCAGGAGACATATCGGGATGTATTCTCGAAAACAAAACATGTGAGCCTAAGATGAAGTTGGCCCCGAAAGGAACCTCTAACTCTACACCCCGGCTGCCGGCGTGCGCAACCGGCGTTCATCCTCGCCATTTCTTGGTCCAGGGATGGCCGTGTCATGTAGTCCGCATTTGCTCGTCAAAGCCCGTGGTATCCAAATCTCAAACGATAGATTCATCTCGGACAGATTCACGGACACTCCGGATCCCGTAGCGGTAAGCAGGATTGAGCAAAGAAATCTGCGGGCGAGTAGCTCAGTCGAGAATATATTCACATCAAGCCCCCGGAGATCTAATGTGCCGGAATGCTCTTGTGTGTCACCACCCGATAAAGGAACCTTTCCGGGACCAGCTTGAAATCCAGCAAGTACGGCGGTGAACGTGCTATTTCTATCCTGAGCATCCGGGTATGACGAGCTACCTTGATTCCATCAATTTCCGTATTTCAGGCCGTCTCATTGACAGGGCTGATATTAATATGGGCTGGATTACCACCATCTACGCCACAAAATCCACCGTACCACGTACGGTGATGCTTGTCTGCACGGAATACTCGGTGCTTGGTTAATCACATCTGTTCCGTGAACCGAACCGAGAGAATCCGTTGGCTCGAAAATATATACGCCGATTATGATTGGCGCACTCCGACGCCTGAGCTCAACGTCAAGAAAGCCGTCGCAGAATGAGGATGGATTTAAAGCTCACGATATTCAGCACAATCCAACTCCTTTCGAGAACAACCTTCTGCCACTTTACGACTACACTAAGGATGGCTTCGATTTAAGGGAACGACATCGTGGGAGATGCAGATTATCTGAAGCTTACTTTAATTTGTTGCAGCCCGCCCATCAACCTTCCTAAGATCTGTTCTCTCCCATCAGCGCAATCTCGACGCTCAAGGCTGGGCCGAGGCTTTGATGCACAGCTGGAGATGGAGAGAGGATTGAGTTGAGTCCTTGATCATTATTACTCCGGTCGCCAGTCCATGAACCATGCCAACCACATTCAAATCTCAAAATGAATCTCACATGAGTGTTCAGTTTCTAGCGTGTTCCGGAGGCACTGAATTCTGGATGGAAGTGCGTCGACAATCACTCATTCATGTCTGGCGGAATATTCCGCCGAGGCTGTAACCGGTGTGGCCATTACCACCTATGAGCAACAGTTGTCGATGCCTGGCCAGCCACAATATGCAACTCTCTACGACTCAACAAGAGTGAGTCGCACATTCAACTGAGAAGCCTTAAAGATCACAGAAATCGAGCCAGCTACCGTCTGACACGTCACCATTTCTTCTTGCATTCAAGCAGAGGGATGCATATGCCGCCGCGTATCTCGATGTGCATATGTGGAGGTCCTGGAGGTCTTCTTACAAATATTTTGCCCAATTTCACCTGGACCTTCTTTTCCGACTTTGAATCACATGCCCTCAATACGAAGAGCACTGCAATACAACACCACTTGATGGCTGGGGACATGAAATGGCGTTGTAGGTGGCAGGCTTTGGTTTGCTAGGGTGGCCTGTATGCCTGCATATTCGCCGCAAATCTGCAGCTGCATGTTCTCTTCTTGGTAAGAGGCATCAAATTGGCCCCGCCTGGAATGGTAAAGAGCCTGCAACAATCCCTTTGGGCAAATGCGACATATGTCATCCTGAAGCTTCTCAGGCATACGTGTCACCAGCGCCACTTCCCTGCACAAAATTGTTGGGCTGCTTGTCGCTTTGACGTCCGAGCGTTCTTTGAAGGCTGTGACGTTCTATTCGACAGCTTTGCCAGTCTTCGGGCGCAAGAGCAAACTTTCGAGCGTCTGTCGTTCGAGATGCTCTTGACAACATCATCTCCACCCGGGAGCAAGCGAAGTGAGGCATCCAAGGAGAAGCTGCACAGTTGATGTCCTGGTTGGCATGATCCCTCTGCCCATTTCGAGAGTTTGGAGGCGTAAAGAATTCTTCAGGGTCAACGAATGGCCCGTCCCCTCAGTCGCCTCACGGAGTCCGTGGCTCTTCATTCGCTATACTGGTATCTATCCCGGTCTCCAAGGAAGAAGGAATTCAATGATTAGAATTTCCATGTATAAAAGTAGAGAGAAGCTGTTTGTTTGAGAATTATCCTTTGTCTTTCCTTGAAACCTTGGATTTTTACATTTGCGACCCCAAAGATGGGAGCAAAACCCAAGGCTGGCCCAACAACCAAAGACTCACCCAGCCGGTGGACCAAGCCTGACCTGAAGCTCCTCATTGCAAAGCTCAAAGAAGGCCTCTCTCTAGAACAGATCGTCAGGGATTATTTGCCAGGCAAGAGCGTTAGATCTTGCCGGGATCGAGCTCGGCCCTTCCAGTGGACTGGTCAGTTACCGGAATCATGCCTACAAACCTCTACTCCAGGAAAGCGCAGAGGACGGCCAAGGACCCGGCATTTACCCAGCCCAGAAACAAAAGCCTCATCCTCTAAACATCAACTGAGAGACAAGCGGGGACGTTATGCATGTCAATCTGGTGGTCCTCCTGACAGTCATGCACGCATGGTCGGTAAGAGTTCTCCGCTTGCGCAATCAATTTATTCGAATGATGACCATTCTTTAGGAGATCGAGAGAACCATATCCGGGATACGGACACTGACTCTCTCCCAGACGATGATAGCAACTACATCGTGAGCGAGACAGAGGACGAAGAATCCACAACTAAGGTTGGTCCCGCTCGTGATGCAGCCATTCAATCCGATGCGAGCCCGTCAGACACAGGCCCTCGCGTGCCTGATTCAAGCATCTCAATCAATGATGGACGACAGATCAACCAAGTTTCTTCGATTGAGACTGGCGTACCTGAACTTCAAGGCCTTACGGAGCTCTGCGAAGAGACTAATAAATTCAACCTTGACAGTTCCACTGCGAATGTGGATGACATAGCGAATATGGAAGAGTGGCTGATGAAGTTTGGCAGCCTGGAGAGTCGACATATTGAGTAAGGACACTGGGTAGCTCCTCCAACAAAGTTGAACTGACCACTCAACAGACGGGCATTTCGATACCGAACCCTGATGCAGGAGGACACTGACAACGCTTCTTTGGGGCTCTCTCGGGGCCGGATCCGTCATCTGTGCTCATGGATCTCACTCTATGCTCCTGTAGCTTATCACAAACGGCTCTGGGCCTTCAGCTGCATCCAAAAACGATCTGACTTCTTCGCGATGGAATGCGTGAATGCGGCAAAGGAGATTGTGCTAACTGTCGAACGATATCTTGCGAAGCTTTCAGTCGGCATCACAAAAGACTTGTCCCATGCCTTATGCTTTGCTCGAAAAGTCCTTTCAGGTAATGTCTTGATTTTCATCGACCTCCATTGATTGACCATGATTTCAGACCACGCACTTTATCGCGAATCACCCGAGGCAACAATCTTTGAGAAGATATCACAGCTACTTGCAGCTATTGAGCAACGGTCGAACTCCGCCATTCCGGCAAATTCAATGATATTGGAAAACGAAAACGGGAATCAGCCGGCTGCGGCCGCGCTGCGAGGGCCCTATCCCAGCAGCGTTCATTTGCCTAGTGTCGTCACGTCCGACTCACGTGCACCAAACGAAGAGGGTTCATACAACGGCAGTAGAATTGACCAGTCTGATAAGTCCCCGGACAACCACATTATTCGTCCGTCTACCGTACAACACGCAGCAAACCTACCCACAGTCGACAATACAAGCGGGGATCTCCAGCAGAAAAGCGATGCTGCATTCCCGGATATAGCGTCGTACGACCCATACGACGCTTCTTTCGAGGTGAGAGTTCACGTTCTTTTGCGTAGCGAAATTCCATTTGATTGTATCCCCTAAAGGGTCGAAGTGATGTAGCTCACTGGGTGAGAATCATGGACAGGCCCTCGGCAACGATACCTTTGACTACCAGAGCTTTTGCGACGCTTACCAGGACTTGACCGGGCCCTTGGCTTGAACAAGCTACTTGCTTTCTACTTCGCAGCTTCTGATAGATGGCCTTAGCCTAAGATCGAGCCATCATACAATGGGGAAAGAGGTCTGCAGCGCGGAAGCTCAAGACTTTTCAGCTCACGAGTGAAGGGGTTTGTTTCATGGAGGATATTGAAAACGTGGTATTGTGGCCCTGCGGACTCATGAGGATCACTTTGGAAGGAATCTGCCTAATTGGGCCAAAGACAGTGGTCATGGTTTCATACTGGCTTGAAGCGGGCGTTCTGGAGGGTTAATCCTAGCACTCGGTTCATAATCGCGTGTTTATTGTATCCTTGAAAGGCGTGGCGGGATTCGAATAAGGGACGGCGACACGCTTGCAGGGCCTAAAAATAGGGAACCTATTCGTCTAGGTACTAGCGTGCGATGCTGGTCTGGCGTAGGGGCAGAAGCTAGTATGGAGAAAGGAAAGAGGGTCGCGAGTGAGTTGAAGGTGAGTGGAGGGTGAGTGGTGTTTAAAAGCGGCGTAGGTCGAGTGAGTTGTCGAGAGGGGGGCTCGGTGTCGATTTACCTTCTGTTTTTGTCGCAAAACACCCTTTGGTTCGCAGTTAGGCCCACTAGCCTGCGCCTCGACCACCAACTGTCACAATGTCGAGCCGCGACTTCCCTCTACCAGCATAACGGGTCGATGTGAAGCGTCTTAGTGATCATAAACGATGAGCGGTCAGTATGCCTATATTGTCACGTTTCTGGGCACTGGAGCCTTTGGCATGGTGATGACGGCGAGGCGGAAAAGGGACGGACGAGAGGGTGAGTCCAGGCCCCAGTCCACGTCCAGAAAGCTGACGGTGCAACGTGCAGGAGCTCGTTTGTAAGAAAATTGTTGTATCAACAGCCGTAGCTCGTAGGAGTCTTCCTCAGCAGAGATAGCACCAGGGAACGAGTGGAGGGTGAATGCAAAATCCTCAGGGATCTCCGCCATCCTCATATCGTCCAATATACACACCATATTCTTGAAGACATGCTGGATCCTCCCTGCTGCAACCTCTACATGGAACTCTGTGAGCACTGCGATTCGGGCAATTCCATTACAACCGAGTTCTGACAGATGTGAGTCTGATCGAGCGCAGCCACACTAGAGCCCCCATGCAATTGGCACATTGAGAGTGGAAAGGACCTACCCCCGGCACCTCGCAGCCGGTGCTCGGGGAGTCTGAGCAGTTTGATCATGTCCCGCCTCAGGATTTCGCCAGAAATTCGCCCAAAAGCCTCCAAACTTCCGCAAGACGCCAGCCAAAAATTGGCGCCAGGGTGGAGATAATGGAGAGAAAAAGGCGCCTCCATTGACATTCATGTCTTTTTCCTTGAGGAGGACCTTCCTCGGGCCCATTTTGCCTTTGATCCGTTTCGATTCTTTCACCTCAGCCTCTCCGAGACGCAGGCCGGCTTCGTCAGAGACTACTCCGACAGGGGAAGGTGGAGGAAGAGGAAGAAGAGGAGGAGGAAGAAGAAGAAGAAGAAGAAGGAAAAAAGGCAAGGAGCGCGCACGACCTTCTTGTTCATGAGCTTGGTTCGTGAATCAGCACTTGCCTGGTCAATTGGCCAGGCCACAGTTCTTCTCGTAACTGTTGTCCTCACCCCGCTCATCGGCGCGATATTGCTACGAGAGGGTCTCAACGCTTGGTCTTACATCGCTGCTAGGATCGCCACTGGCGGCGATTCAACAATCGCGCTCCAAGCTGGATCGCTTTTCAGGATCTTACCGTCGGCACCATCATCTTCTGGGCCAATGTTATCTTCATTGCAGTAGCTTTTAACAGCAGAACACCTCAACAACCTTGGTGCCAACCCTTTGTGAAATTCCAGCATTATTCAAAACTTTACAAACACTTTTACATATATTTGTCGCAACCTCTTAACTATTCGTAGTCGTTGCGCTGAGAATTTGTCAATTTTCTCTAATGGGGAGAGGTAACATATCTCATGTACTAATAGACACCTACGTAGCTCAACAGCCACGAAACAGGTTAGGAGCTACGATAAATAGATATATAAATATATCAAAAGCCTTTGCCAAGTTCCTAAATAATGCTAGAATTTCACTGGCGTTGTGAAAAGGGGCCATATTTTGGTTGGTGTGGCAATGGCCAAAGGGCGAGAACATATATCCCTAGCCTTTTACTGTATGTCAAGCCACCGAGCCAGCGAGCGAGTCAGTATAGAAGCCAGCGCTACGAATGGGCAAGAGAGAGAATTTCTTGCTCTCTCAGCATCCCCCCCCTCTCTCTCTCTCTCTGTGTGTGTGTGTGTTTCAGTGCTTTTTCGTCGCTGTGTAAAGGGAGAAAGAAGCCTCGTATTGTCGAGAACTTAAGACCTTCTACGACAGAATGAACGGAGTTCCTTGGAATTTCTTAAATCGGTTTCAATCAACACTTTCGTTCTTCTGGCCTAATTCGCATTCTACCTCGCTGCATATCATCTGCTCATTGACCGCCGACCAAATCCACTTTGCGTGATGGATCTTCTATGTTCGTGACCTGGCTTCGTCCATAACAGGACCAAGATCTGATTTCATCTTCACGTTGAGATTCTCGAAGACCGGCCAAGTCAGTCATTTCCCTCCATACTTCGTAGGATATCAATCACTCTGCATTTCGTTTCTCGTGTTGGTCAGGGCGAGGACATATCGACTGATCTTATCCTTTGCATCCACCTTGGATGCCGGTACACACGTTCACCCCTCGGTCTCTGGAAGCTCCACTAGACCAGTTGATTGTCGTGCATCTCTCCGACCCGGCCTTGCCCGAAGCGCAGAGTCTTCATCGGGATAACCCACGGAAAATAACAAAAGTCGAAAGCTTCAAAACTCCATTCTCTCCCAGTCGCGGGCAATCACGAAAAAGCAAGGCGTAGAAATGCAACCGCGTAGAGTAGTTTACAGTTCGTCATGCTCTTGGACGCCACCATCATCGGTATCAGCGAGGATTGTCTGTGCCGCCTCTGCCGCCTCACTAACTACACTCTTGATAGCATCAGCAGCTCCCGAAGAAGCCTCTTCAGTCGCCGCAGGAGCAGCCTTCGCAACGGTGTCACTGGTAGTAGTTGAGACATCTTCCATTTCGACGTTCTCATCCTTCTTAGCGAGGGCGATGCCGTCAACACCGTGCTTGCCATTGTCGCGTATGAAGGCAGCCAGGTCTTCCATCGTGCGGGAGCCAGAATATTCGACCGGAGAGTCTTTGGCGCCAGCGGGGTACAACTTGATGGTGGGAAAGCCGGCGATCTCATCAGGGACGTCGTTCATCGTCGCATCAATCTTGGCCACCGTCACTTTAGAGGAGAGATCACCAGTGTAGAGTTCTGCAAGCTTCTCATATGTTGGAGCCAGACTGCAGCTCGTTAGCGAAGGACCTGCTAAGTGGATGGAAACTTACGCTTTGCAATGTCCGCACCAAGGAGCGTAGAACTCAATCAGCACATCCTTGGAGTCATCGAGGACGAGGTCCTTATACGAATGAGCGACAACCACAGTGACAGGACCTTCCTGCTTCTCTGGAACGGGCTCGGATTTGATGCTTGGCTCAAGTTTGCCTGCCACAAAGTCCTTGACGAAAGCACCGATCTTCTTCTCAGTCAGGTCATTGCCGGCGAATGGGTACTTCTCGTTCTTCACTGTCTCTTGAATTGCGAAGGACGGGAATTTGTCTGTAGGTAGGTTCAGGTTGCCGGCGTGGGCGCCAAAGGCCTTGGCGTCGATGGTTGCGAAATTGATGACGCCCTTGTATTTCTCAGCGACAGGTCTCAGAGCCTCGGCCAGGGAGGTTCGTTCTTCTGGGGTTTCGGCGAAGATGTAGGCGAGAGGAATTCCAGCCTGTCAAGGACGTTAGTATCAAAGCTTTGCGACTAGTTGGGGGAACACTTACACCCATGTATCCAGCATAGGTCTCCGGCCCAACTTCGCCGACCAAAGGAGTCGAGGCGGTCTTGATGAACTTCGAAATAGCCTCTTCGTCGAATGACTCGGTGAAGGTGTTCTTGCCCTCGTCGAAATCCTTGTAGAGAACAATGGCAGGCTGCTTAACGCCTTCTGCTTTAGCGAGTGCGGCATCGTTCGAGGCTCCGAAGATGTATTCGTCTCTTAGTGATTCGGCGAGGGAAGTAAAAGTCTGGTTGGATGATTTGTCGTCGGCTGAAATGTACGCTACGATGACGACTTTGTCTGTAGTTTTGAATTCCTCCAGGGTCTCGGGGGTGAGGAGGGATACAGCAGGTAATTGCTGCTTGGTCATGTATGAGACAATACTGCCCAGCATTAGCCGCGTGGATCTTCTGAAGCATGAAGGTGACTTACGCTGGGGCTTTTCGGGCGCCAGGGTATGGCTTGATGTTGTCGAGGCCGCGGAATACCTTGACGGTAGGATAGCCTTCAACGCCATAGTCTTTGCACAGATCCCCTTCGGCTGTACAGTCAACTTTCACGAGAGGAATATTCTTCTCTTTCAATGTGGTTGCGGCCTCTTCATACTCGGGTGCCAGAGCTTTGCAATGCCCGCACCATGGGGCAAAGAACTCTGCTAGGACCAGTTCATGCTCGGAGATGAATTCTTTGAAGTTGTCTGTTTTGAGGTCATGAACGTCGCTCGCAGAGGAGAGGCCGGCGAGGGCAAGGCTGATCGCAGCCAAAGATGCGAATGATCGCATGGTGGGACGACTATTGGAGCCGTGTATGTGTCGGGGAAAAGAGCGTTCGCAGACGTTATGAGATGAAGGAATGGAAAGATCGGACGAGTGATCAAGATGTCAGGACGGGAAGATATCAGGAGATAATGAACCCTTTATTCTCGAGGCTCGGTCTGGGACGTGAATACCAGCAAGCATTAACTAGCAGATGGCTCATTGAGGAGAGGTGTCAACTACTTTTTTGGGGCTTCACAGCAACTCCACATGCGGGCGTCAAGCAGCTTGCCCCCTTCAAGTTCAGCTCACTAGCCGCAGCCCCTTTCCGCCGACTCATTGACCCTGAAACGCGGAACTGAAGATCTAGGGGCCTGCTCCCACAGGGCAACAGGTCTGTGAGGCCCTTTCGAGCAATCGCCTTTAATACTATCAATTCCTCCGAGGTCCAGATATGCAATATGTCAATGCATTCTATTTCTAGATCAGCACTCATCTCAAATGGACTGCCTCGAAGGCGGCGGTGCATTCGCGAGACTTGATGATCTGGCCATTTGTGACTGCTGAGCAGCCCAGTATGCAAAAAAGGTACCGAGGACTTTACCGTCATGGTATTTCTAAGCAATGATGACTATCTCTATCAATGCCCCCTTTTCCCAGCCACAAATCGCCGCCGCCTCGAGCCTCTCTATTCCAAGAGGTAAGCTCAATCCTCCGCGTCCGAGAGTACTATTGTAGGTATCGTCCTGTGTCTTGATTCCTCGTCTCCTGCTTTGCGGTATCCTTCGAGCTCCAATGCCATTTTGTACGCTTCAGCCTTGCCTCGATCGACATCGACCAATAGCATCAGCGGCAATGGAAGAAAGATGAGCACAGCCAAAAAGACAAATGCAGGTCGTATCTCCCCATATCGATCTGTGATGGCCCCAACGATGGCTGGTCCAAAGATGCTGGATCCTTTGTCTGTGATGGCGTACAGGGCGTAAAATGCCGCCTCGAACCCCGGGGGAATTAATTCGCCAAAGAATGCTCGACAGTACGACGATAACCCTCCAAGAACGAACCCATAGATTGCCCCCAGAGGGTACATCTCCCATGGCTGTTGCAAGCCAAAAACACCATATCGTTTGATGGCAGGGATAAAACCCAAGAGTCCGTACAAAGGAATAATCTCAAACAAGCAGATGCATGCAACGATTGTCCTGGAAGCGCCAAGGTTGAAAATCCGAGAAATGTAACTCCAGTAAAAGGCGCCAATGACGCCCGCTATTGTTGCAATGACGTTGATCAGGCCAAGGGCTGGGGTGTTCATTCCCAGACTCGTTTTGGCGAAGAGCACTGCCGTCCTGCATGCCATCAGCAAGGTGCCTCTCAATCGCTTAGTCAGGATTTCATAACTTACCCGCTCACTGTGGCAATGCTGTCGCTCAGTAAAAACCACGCGCAAAGAAAGATCATGATATCCTTGAGCTTTTTGGCATGTCCTATTGTTGTGAATAGTGCTTTCCACGCATAGGTGACATATGTCACCCAGGCGTAGTGTCCCGTCAACTCGCTCGGCAAGGGCGGTCCGGGTCGGGGTCGCAACCAGAGAGCGGCTGGGATGCTGAACACGAACCACCATAGTCCCACAAGCAGGAGAACCAGTCTCAAGGATAGGAGTGTGGATTTTGTTGCCGCCACTATGCCGATACCAATAATTTGGACAAATAATCCGGCAATGTATCCAATTCCGATTCCATTTGACGATATCTTGGTGGACAGTTTCAGCGCCGGCGAGATCGCGGCAGGAGATTCTTGGGTGGGAGAGGTGGTGTCGGCGCGATCACGAGGTAAGAGACCTGAAGTCGAGCTCGTCAAGACGTGGTCCTCGTGCTCGACGTATTCCTCATCGTCGCCTGCAGCCGGATCTTGTTCATGGTTTCTCTCAAGAGAAGGGTGATGTCGCACCAGCAAGGGCAAGAAAGAATTCAGTAATACAAACGATGCTCCAAAGCATGTGTTCGCAACAATGGCGAAGAGAGCCCCCAGCAAGTAGACCTTGGGTATAACGCTGATGAATAGGGCGGTAGCAGTTGCGCCGGTAAAAGCGAAGGCGAGAAGGAATGTCTTCCGAAACCTGCCGTGATCGGCTGCTGCAGACATGGAGATGATGAGGAGAGCCTGAATCAGGACACTGATCGAGAAGGTATACATGGCGAAACTCGCAGTATTGATCTCGGCGCCGAGGATGTATACGACACAGGCAGGAAGCTCATTGTGCGGGTGCTTAGGAGAATCGAAGACGGTGGCATTGGGCGAAGTGCCATCGTCGCTTTTCCAACCTGCGCTGCACGGTGTTGTTTTATCTTTCAATAGCACTCCTCGCTCCCTGGCCAGTTGTTCAAGGGTAATGGGAAGAAATGATCCTGTGGCGAGAGGTCAATGGGAATGCGCAATGCAAATTGTAGCCCAGTGCCGTGCTCACCCATTGCGCAGATGGCAAAGACCTCTGCGGCCCAGCCATAGGAATACCATCCCCATAACTCTTTCTGACTTGTTGGCCTAGTGTCTTCATCCGCGTACCTCATCTCTACTTCAGGTTCTGCAAGGTCACCCATGTCGGAATCCGAATAACCCCACGATGATTCGCGCTCGTCATCTGCTTCTACGGAAGGTGTTGGGGAGATCAAGCTGATTTGTGACTGATGGGACGACTGGCGGGACAGAGGTGGTCGCGGACGGACTGCAGAAGAGGTGCGATCATGGCGAGGGACCTGTTGTAACAATGAGAAGAGTTGTTCGTTGGAAATGAAAAAGGCGAGAACAGAGGGATGGAGGACACGTTCAAGACAGCTGATGGCCGTAATGATGATGGTCGAGGGCAGGTGTAAGCAGGCCTGCAGAGGGGCCTCTGAGTGTTGGCGATTGGCGGAAGAGACTTACCATGTTTCCTGAAGGGATCCCTCCAAAGCTCCACCATTAGGCTACACACACCCTCTCTACACTATCAGATCCTCCTGAACTTCCAATCCTTCCTCCATCTTACAAGCTGGAACGGAAGAAGGAATCATCAGTCATTGCGGAGGGTCGTTGGGTCTTTATCTTTGGTGCGCGAGAGCAATTTGCGGGTCGAAATAGACCAGAAGGCGCCAAAATTGCGGTGTCAATGCCAGATGCAGTGTTGATCAATGCTTCAAGAGAAGATCCACGCCCAGTGGGATTTGCCGGTCTTCTTATTCGACTAGGATCTATCCTTAGTTACCTTGAGTGCCAGGCGATATCTAAGTCCATATCTCTTGTTTCGTGCAACTAGCACCTCAAACTTCTCCCAAAGCATATCAAAAGACTGCGACCATGGGTGGTGAGGACACAAGGGGGACTTATCTCATGACCACTGAGAGTCCGTTGACTACAACCAGGTGGGCTAGACGGCGGTGATCTTGCATTGTTCATGGGCTGTGCAGCCTACCAAAGGCCGTGCAAGAGCACACCCTCTCCAATGACTTGCTTCCCGCCAAGGGATGGCGCCCATAGGATGGCGTCGAGCCTGCAGAGGCGTGCAGCTGGTGAGTAGCTCAGCTACATACCACCATATCCACGTCCACAAAGTCGAATCAACTGACCAATCAAGCGCGTCTCCTTGGGAGTTTGTTCGGCGACACAACTTGGAAAGGGTGTGCACTTGACACAGTCGCGGCTGCATGTGTTTCGCAGTCCCGTCACAGATCTGATCTCCCGATCCAGGCCCAATCAATCATGTACCTAGTATGGAATATATAGGACTTGGGTAGATAATGGAGGACGATGGCGGAGTCTTTCTCCGAGCACTAATCCCTTGAGCACAAATTAATAGGAAGTGACTTTCGTGGATGGGTATCTACCGAGAGGTAGTGCAGATACTCCTGGTGGGTGCTCAGTGGGTTGGGTACGAGGTACTGGGTAGTATGTTTAGTACTCGGTATGTGCAAGGTATGCCCTCGCAACCTCCGCAACCCTCGCTGAGTCGAATGGGCTTGAACGGGCAAAACGGGCTGGATGGGTTGCAAACCCAGGCTAAACTATTCCCAGAGGTTACTCCTGCCGCTTTTTCAACCCTCCTAGACGCCTTGACGCCTTAGCCGCTACCCAATCGGCGTTTGAGTCACAAAGCCATGCCGCTTGGCGCCAGCCTAGGTGCAGCCTCCGGCCAAGTGCAGAGTAACAGGTTGCTGTCCTGATCCTTTGACAGCCGACTTCCGCGCGGGTCTCATTCATTCATTCATTCATTCATTCATTCAACCATCATCCCATCCCAACTGCACGCAATCATCCCTTCACAACTCTGTCACTCTCCCAACTTGACACAGGCACCAAATCCACCACCACCCCTGTGCAAGAGCGTCGGTTTAAGGGCCTTGTTTGATACCTGCTGCTGGCCTCGCGCGCAGTGTCTATCTTCCACGAAATTGCTCCTCTGCGAACGGGTAACCCGCCATCTCGATCTCGCCTTTCTCGCCGCTTCCATCCTCTCACTCCTAGCCTTCGACCGCTATCACTATCAATCCCACTTTCGATATCGCTATCGGAAGAGACCTGCGCATACAATTCCTACGAACCCGGATCGTTTGATTGCGCTCGAATCGATTTCCCTCAGCGCGCTTGAAAATTCGGGGTGTGGAAAAAAACGGTGATTTCCCATTTCGGGCTTCCAGTTGGCGTTGGGGGCGCACGTTCAGGTGTGCCGGCCATGCATTGCTTGATGGTTGATTCCGTTTCAATATGAACGGGGAAAGACCCGCGGCCAACGGGGAGCACATCGCAAATGGCTTCCAACAGCCTGTCGCAGATTCCACGCCCGATGCTGGACATTTGAAACAAGGATCGCTGCCTCAGAATCCTCTGCCGCCTTCCATCGACCACACCCTGACCTATGCAAATGGAGAAGTTGGGTCGAGTCAGCAGCGTTCTGACAACGGAGGTCACAATGACACCAACCTCCCGCCACAAGCGCCGTCAGAGATCCTGCAGCTCATCTCTCAAGAGAGCTATCTCCCGATAGCCGCTCTGATAAACCGGGCTTCACAATCATGCTGGAATGGTCTGTCGGATCTGGTGACGCAGTTGGCGTCGATGCCCGTCCTTGAGCTGCCACCAGAACAAGCGAAAGTCTTGCCCAATGGGTTGCCTAACAATCAGTCCAAGACAAATTTGGACAAGAAGGACCGGCTACTGAAGTTTTCAAATGATCAAAAGGCGGATTTTATAAAACTTTTGGTATTGCTGCAATGGAGCAAGAACGTGGAGGAAGTGAGCAAGACCATCTCGATCAATTATTGGCTTATGCAACGGCGGGAAGCGTACTGGAATGCTATCGGATCGATGGCCCTTCTCAAGCAGGAATCTTCAGCTTTCCAAATCCCCAACCCCGATCTCAGAACAGCAGCAGAAGTACTGTCGAGAGGCAGGGTACTCAGTTTTCCCCACCTGGGTTATAATCCGCAAAAAGACCTGTCCAGCAGACAGATACTTCGAATCCTCCAGTCACTCAACCGGGCGCTGAGCGTTAAGCTAGCGCTTTCGGAAGACTTACCCCTTCACCTGCGAAGATTCCGAATTCACGACGGTCGTGCAACGTTCGCTGTGCCCAACGAGTTTGAGCTGGATGTCTCGGTATTGGATGATAGCATAGACTCTCCCTTTCGCGTGGTTGATTTCCGGTTTTCCTTCCAACCATCTCCCCACATCCCTGATCGTCTACACTCCGAGATCGAGCTTTATGCGAATTCCAACATCGATCGAGAGGGACTGAAGGGATGCTATGACTTCCTTCATGAATTGGCTTTATCATACAAGCTGGCTGAACTCCACAAGCAAGCCATCGATTTGGGTCGAAAGCAATGGGCTGGCAACTTGCGCGTTGAACTTATTCGTCGCAACCTCATCGTGCAATATTGGCCTGAGAGACAGTTTGGGAAAAGCTGGATTGAGGTTGGCATCACCAGCGGTCGAGGGAAGCAGGCTAGTACCAAGGTTGAGTCGGCGCCGTCTCTCGAGATCAAATGGATGCGGCAAGGCAAAAGAGTGGATTCTTTGCAATTACACCTGGATGATGCAGTGCTCTGTTTTGAAGACATCCTCCGGCAAGTGATCGCACAGAGTTCAACACAGATCTTGGACAGTATCTATGATAAGTTGGTTCTCACGCCTCTGTTTGCCAACGCCGAACTCTTTCTGGAACAATCGCTTTCCTACGCAGAGCCAGAAGCGTGCTCCCTTACGATTCAGGTCACTCGCTCCTCCGAACTCCAGCTGAAAGTTGATCCTGTGACAGGACTGCTTGTTCTTAGCCCTGTTACCGAAAGAACGGAACGACTTCAGTATGAGATCAATCGGATCCAAGGTATCACAGATGATATTGTCTCTAAGCTTCTCAATTACAGGTGCAGTATCATGGAAAGTATGGTCCTTGTCGGCACTTTGGGCACCTGTTGGGAAGTCTTGCGTTCCTTCAAGCTTAGCCAAGCAGAAGTGAAAGCATTGTTCGGAGGGCCAGTTCCAAGGATGAACATGTTGCGCCAGAACCAATGGACACTAGACTATACTCTAGCAATCACACACACCTCAGACGGAGACCATTGGTGGCTATTACAACAAGTTTCCGGAGGCGCTTTGAAGTCTCCGGCACGCTATAGGGTTCTTCACAAGCAGAGGATAGAGGTCAAAGAAGAACTGTGTTCAGCGTACTTCGATCGACTGGCAGAATACTCAATGGGCTTGATTTTTCTGCAACGCAATGTCGACTTCTTCAGGGATAGGAAGGAGAAGTTCGATCTACGACCCTTGCCAGCCTTCGGGCGGCATTACGAACTGCCTGAAATATCTTTTGACTTGGATATGGCTAGGCCAGCCTTTTCGAAACAACCGTTGCCTCCCGCTGCTTCCGCCGGCGCCTCTCACTTGCAAATGACCAACGGTCCACCCAAGTCCGCAACTGCACAAAAAGGCATCCAAGTTCGTTTTGGTGGAGTTGATCGATCTACGAACAAAGTTAGGGCAATCGCTCAGTATCAATGTCAGGCCAGTTCTGCGGTGCTTAGACATCTACAGGAGTCTGTCCTTGATGCTAGCGTCACTCTCAATCCCGAAGACAGGATCGGCATGATTCGAGTGGCAACTCCAATGGCGGAAGCTGCCATTCCCGAGATTGTCGACAAAGCCATGGACCTGGAAAAGATAGTGTCGACAGTCGAGCAGATTCATCGCCTTCCAGGACTCAAGTTGAAGACCATATCACATTCCAGCTTTACGATAGCGTACCACGAAGGATCGCCCACAGAGCTCGAACTGAGGATCGGATTTCCGAGCGGCAATCAAGCACCGCAGCTTGATTTCTTCCCGGCTCAGGAAAATCCACATCAGTTCCTCGCAGCACAATACACTAAACTGATTGCCGCCAGCCATGGCCCGTTCGCCACAAGAATACGTGACTTCCTTACCTCGTTGACTTTGACACTTCCTTTGTTGACCTACCTCCGAAACCTTCAGCAGAAACATGGACTCGACCCCGAGAGACTACAGCAAACAGCTCCGCCCGAACGAGAAGACCATCTGCGGGTGCACATCCTCGTCAGGAACGCCACCGCTTTTGCGATCCAATATTTCACCCCGGCAGGTCAGGCCCCTAAGGATGTCAAGGCTGATTCCCAACCACACATGCTGGCACGGCTCGAGATCCTGCACCATATTAATGTGTCAAGGAAACCGATGTGGCTGGTGCGCGCCGCTCTTGAGGAGTTCCAATCATACTCTAGGCCGTCCTATTCAACGCCAGAATTAGGTTTAAAGTTAAAGCAGGAAATTTTCACTCGGTCAGACGGACAGTCCAAATGGCTTGCGCTGGATAAAGCGGCGGCCTGCATGGCTGACCAGCCAGAGCCTTTGCTGCAAGCTATGCATGATCTTTTGTGGGATTGGGCTAAGCTGGCGAAATCATCTGAAGGCAAGGCGCTCAATAACCAGGCATCCAATAAGGCCAAAGCTGCCCCAGGCCACGCGAATGCGACCAACACCAATCTGCCGAATGGTACCAATAGCAGGATATCTGCTCCAATGAAAGCTCCTCCTGGCAGAATGCAACCCCCTGGTAGTGCGATTCCCAACGGTGCAAATGTCAAGGCCCAAAGACCTCCGGCCAATTTTCCTGGAGGAAGAACGATGCCGCCAAATCATAAAGCGAACGCTAACACCGCGCAAAAACAAGAGGTCATCACGCTGGACTAGCTTGCATCCAGCCTGTGGCTCGTGTATCAATGTTTCTTTGACGATTTCAAATTCTTCACTTGCTCGACTTTGTTCATAATTGTCCCGAAGGAGCTTGACTAGGGGGTGACGATATACCCAAAATGGGATGGATAACTCATTTATGCAAGGCCGACAGGTGGCTGGAGCCCCTTTATGAGAGTCAATACCTATGGATGGAGTTTCTCTGCTGGCATCATGAGTAATTGCCAGCAGACTGCGTTTTTGAATGATGGATAGAAATTCTTTGCATCATAGGGACCACTTTTAATGACAATGCTGATCGACCCCTTTCTCCCCCTTGTGGCAGACAAAAATGATCGGTTGGCATTTTGCCCTTTTCGACCTAGCTGGTCAGCCTGACCGGGGGCGATGAGGCTGAAGAGGGCCTTGTAATTTACGCGTCAGTCAGGCGCGACGTGACCGTGTCTTCGCTTCCCACCAACCTCTCAACTGATTATGGTGTTATAACTGCATGAACTAATTGTGCATGCTGAGCTCTCGCGTGTCTTACCGTACTGCGGCATTGATTTCTCCCTTCTCTCTCAGAATCGTTTCTAAACAGTGTTGCCACTTGTCCGCCATGTCTTTCTACAAACGAAAGGATCCACCAACCTCTTCGCCCGATGACTCGAAGAAACCCAAGAAGAATGGCAGTTTGACTTCCTTCTTTGGCCCTCCAAAAGCCACTCCAACAAGTGGAGGGAGACCAGGATCACTCACGAACGGAGTTCTCACAGCTTCGAACGAACCTCCACCACCGAAGTTCGACAAGGACAAATGGGTAGCAGGTCTCACTGATGAGCAGAGAAAGCTCCTCAAGTTGGAGATTGAGACACTGGATCCTAGTTGGCTGTCTGTGTTGAAAGAAGAGATCATGACACCGGGCTTTCTGGACTTGAAACGGTTCTTGCAAAAGGAGATCGACGCGAAGCAGAAGATCTATCCACCGTTGGAGGATGTCTACAGCTGGTAGGTTCAGCTCTCCCGTCCAAAGCCGACAGACTGACACGACGCCCCCCAGGTCTCGGCATTGTCCCCTCCATCAAGTCCGCGTCGTAATCATAGGCCAAGATCCCTACCACGGCCATAACCAAGCGCATGGCCTCTGCTTTTCCGTGCGTCCACCAACGCCTGCTCCTCCTTCCCTAAAGAACATATACATCGCAATCAAGAAGGACTATCCGAGCTTCAGCCCACCACCCAAGAATGGAGGACTTCTTACTCCTTGGGCGAACCAAGGTGTCCTTCTCCTCAACACCTGCCTGACCGTACGCGCGGGCCAAGCAAATTCCCACTCTAACCACGGCTGGGAGAAGTTTACTCAGAAGGTCATCGACACAGTTGTCAAGTTACGAACCCGCGGCGTGGTGTTCTTGGGATGGGGTACCCCGGCGCAAAAGCGATGTGAAAAGATCACGGGAGCGCGTCATCTGGTGTTGAAAAGTGTACACCCTTCCCCCCTCAGTGCCAGTAGGGGTTTCTTTGATTGCGGACATTTCAGAAAGACGAATAATTGGCTGGAAGAACGCTACGGGAAGGAAGGGACCATAAACTGGGATTTGAATGTGCCACAGCAACCCATCAAGGCGCCAGACATGCAAGAGCCGCCAAAAGTTACCGAGACGCAGAAGGGAGAACCCCAAAATGCCGGGCCGGCTACTGAATTACCCGAGAAGAACAATGGCAAGAAAATAGTGCAGCAAGAGGAGTTTGAAGGGGAAGATGATGAGGATGCGATTGCAGCACTTGAAGAGATTGCCGTGATGGAGGCAGAGGCAGCAGCGGGCGGCAAGGCCAAGGCTGATGTTGAGATCGAGAAGACGAGCACGTGAAAGAGAGACGAGAGCTTGAAGTTTGTCTTCAAACGTGCCTTTTTTTTTCGTTTGAGAGTCTGCGTGAGCGTTGATATTACAGCTGAAGGAGCTCCTCACATTCATTTCAGCGGGCTATGTTTGGAAAGGAGTGAAGGACCATTGCACAAAGCCACCCCTGCCGAGAAAGAAAACGTTGAGCATGGTGTTCTGGCGTTCATGATTGATATGGTCATGTCTGTACTAGAATGAGAGTCATATGATATCAAGTACGCTGCCCTGATGCAGGAGATACAGACAGACCGAGACAAACAGGACTTTTCTTTCCTCCCTGGGATTTTTCGATGATCAGATCAGCGCATGTCCAACTGGCATCATTCTGGTCATGCCGGAGTACAAATAACCATGACCGCAATATCGAGTGCCTTGTTGCACACTCTCCGGCCCAGCAATTTCTCGCCCATCTTATGCAACCATTCTCCTAATTAACCTACCTAGGTAGGTAACTAACTATCCACAGAGAGCACCTTCGATCTCACTGCGAGGGAGGTTGTGTTTGCTCCTCGTTTGCTACGAAGACTATCTCGTCTGATCTAACCTCTTAACCGTGCCGTTTGGTTTTCATTTGGGCACGCGGGGTACGATGTCGCAGGCACCAAGCTGAATCGAGAAAGAAGTAGCACGCTCGAAGTCCTTCGCTTTTCAAGCGGAGGCGGCCTTCGTTGGCAAGGAACATTCCGTTACATCTACGGAGTAGAAATAGAGGTACACCCCAGTGCCCTTTGCATATCCCGTTCGCTCTGTTCGAGACGATAGCGACCCCGTCGTCGTTAAGTACCTGTATATATGCAGTCTTCGGCTAGGCTATATCGGATACAGCGTGTAATTTGGGTCAGATTGTGTTCACTTGTTCTTCAAGTTTGCCTGCTATTGAGATATGAGAGACTTGCAACAGGTATGGCTGAGTTGGGTTGATTCGCGGCGTTGGTTTGCGCTGCGAACGTTGCACTGCAGAGGACATGGTGTATATAACTTGTGAGGGGGACGCTGTGTTTCGATGATGGGTAGATATAGGCAGGGTGCACCATTGGACAAAGCCCTGTTGGGTTGGGGGTTGGGTGTTGGAGGGATTCACGCCGTGATTGTTCAGCCTTGTGGTTCAGCCTTGTGATTCAGCCTCGTCATCACCCATCCACCAACTCAACCCCCTCCTCCGCCATTGTGCTACTTTAATACTTCGCAATCCCCTCCTCCAACGCCTGGAGTTGCAACGCCAGCAACTTGGAATAGTACCGACACAGCGCCAGGTTGCCACCGTGGAACCAGAACCCCGGATGTCCTGACCGCCGCCAGATAGTCCGCATCTCGCCCTCGGCGTCAAACCCCCAGACATCGCCAACACGGTCCGCGACCTCGTCGCCAAAGATGTCCCTCGCCGTCGTCCGCATGTTCTTGTATCCCGTGGCGAACACTATCTCGTCTGCCTCTAACTCGCTGCCGTCCGCGAAGCGCAGTCCGTGGGGCAGGATTTCGTCGATTTCTTGCCCTTGTTTAATCTTGATCTTGCCGTCGATGATCGATTGAGAAGCAGAAACATTGATGTAGTACCCGCCCCCGCGTTGGAAGTATTTCATAAAGAGTCCTGCACCGTCTGGTCCTTGGTCAATCTTGAAACCAACTTTTTGTAGACCTTCAAGGATTTTCGCATCGTGCCGGTTTTGCAATTCGGTAACTTTGACCTGCAGAGCTTTCAGGACTTCGCTGGGTAGACTGTGGAGAAATAGATCTGCGTCGTCCACTGGCGGACCATTTTCGTCGTACAGCCCAGCCAAGGCGATCTCGGTAATCGCTTCGCTGGAGATGACACAGGTGGTAGACCTCTGCACCATCGTAACGTCATATCCATTTTCGTAGAAGTCCTGCGAGATGTCGTGGCCTGAATTGCAGGATCCAACTACGACGGCCTTTTTGCCTTTGCCATCGGGGCGTGCTCCCTTGAACTCAGAAGAATGGCAGAGTACGTCACCCTTGAAACCGTCCATTCCTTTCACGGTGGGATAGTTTTTCTTGCCAGAGTGACCGGTGCATTGGATGACGTGCTTAGGATGCAGTGTGCGGGTCTCCGTGCCATCCTCTTTGGTGCGCTTGATAGTAACGGTCCATAGCTTCTTGCCCTCATCCCACGAGCTCGACTCTATGCTCGTCTTGACCCAAACGTTGAGCTCCATCAGCTTAGCGTAAGATTCAAAGAACTCGGCGAGCTTATCCTTTGGCGTGAAGATCGGCCAATTTGGCGGAAATGATAGGTACGGCATGTGGTCGTACCAAACCGGGTCATGAAGGACGAGCTGATGATATCGTCTCCGCCAATTGTCACCGATGGTGTTTTCGGTATCAATGATCAGGGTGTCAATTCCGAGCATCTTGAGACGGGCGGCCACCGTCAGCCCAGCTTGGCCGGCACCTGTATTCAACAATCAGTGACTGAACATTGATCTGAAGTAGTTGGTTTGTACTCGCCAACAATCATAACGACGGGATCCCGGTCTTTCAATTCAATCTCTTTACGTCTCCTCTCCTGCCAGTTCTTCCGATTTATCTTTTCGCCATGCTCGACTCCTTTCGGTCTTCTAGGGCCTGTATTTTCTTCGTGGCCCGCAATTTCACGTAAAGTGGTAAAGAAAGTGAAAATCTTCCATTGGCCGTCTCTCTCGGCCAGGCGAGCAACGCCTTGACCAGTTCCAACTTTGGAGGTGAAATTGAAGAAGAACTGAATGCCCTTCACATCCCCTGTGCCGTCGAAAGATCCCAGTTGGGGTGAACGGTAAGCTGTAGTCTTGTCGATTTCAAGCTTTGCCAAAGGACATCCGTTGTCGGCAAGGAAGCTTGTGAGTTTGTCCTTTCCTTTGATTGTGTGCAGGTCCCAGGAGAGACCGAGGTGGTCCCGCCAATAGCCATCCTCAAGAAACAGCTCAGCAATTGATTTTGTGTCGTCGTTCTTTAGAGCAGTGTTGACTGACTCGACGATCTTTGCAGCAACGGCATCAGCATCGACAGACGTAGATTCTGCCGTCTTTGGCCATTTGCATAGCGGGATGTTGACAGAACCAGGTTCACAACGATCCTTGGACAATGTGAGACCTGGGTCAGTTGCGGACTGCACCTGGACGCTCATGGTGGTGGATGATTGTTTTGGCGTCTTGGAACAGTGAATGTAATTGGAGACGTGAACCAAGTAATTGGGCCTTGTAGATGAAGAAGATTCTTTGCTCGACAGCTACGAGGAGAGGAGGTCTTTGTATTCTTCATGATGTTGCACAGCATAGCAGTGTTTTGGTGGAGAACTCCCACCACAGTTCGACTGGTCCAATTGGTGACAGTGTTCTAAAGGCCCAACTTCGGACGAACCCCGCGCTACGTCGACAAATCTAGGCCATAGCCTCGTAAAAAATGAGGAGACAGCTTCCTCTGCCCCGAAGTCGCATCCACAGGCATACAGATAATGGGGGCTTGGTGGTCTGCTTTATCTCCACATAATTCAATGCCAGACCATCAATTGGTAGGAGGTGCGCCATCAACACGCCACTTCTCATCCATCGGGGACGTGATACAATGACGAGAGCAAATCGAAATCCTTGGCAATTGTTGGACTCGAATCGACAAAATCGTAAATGAACTTTAGCATCCTGGTGCACCAAGCTTCGAACCCAGAGGGAAGCGTGTCTCTGAGCCGACGATCAGGTGAGTTTTTGAAGGCATGGAAGATGAGTAGCTGCCCAAAGAACTGTCCACATGCGAAATATTTCAAAGGCTCAAAGTTCTGCATTCTTGCACAGACGTCCAATGTCATGTGCCAGTCCATGGCATACTCCAGCGCTTGTGCACATAATTTCAGCTCGGTCTCGTTGACCGACGCGGGATTCTGAATGGCTTTATACAAAAAAGGTCGCCCGAGATGGAAAATTGACACTCGATAACGCATTTGAAGCAAGGCGACAACAACGGCGTCGGCGGGGCAGTCAAAACTTTGGTGTTCCTGGTCACTTGCGTACCGAAGCGCCTGGGGAAGGTTAGCACGCCATTGCTCAAGCTGGTGGCGCAGCTCTTCTGCAACTTTGGTTGAAGGGTTGCTGAAGAACAGCTCATCCTTTATCCGATTGAGGATGATTCTGTGAGCAATCTGTGCCAGGAAGTGGTAGTGATAGAGTGAGTCGTCCGAATGTTGCGGGCGCGAACTGCTGGCATAAGGATACGTGGTAAATTTTGGAAGAGGCACCTCATCTTCCCACGCCTTCAGCCCGCTGGACGGTAGCTCCAACTCTTGAACGACAAGACTCTCAAGAACGAGCGAGCACCAGAATAGCCTTGCGTGCATGTCTGCCAACCACTCATCGACAGGTTCGGGTGGGCATTTCCAGAAAGCGGTGCAAATAACCGCCGCCCGACCGGTTTCCAACCACTTGTCAACCGGTCGCATGACTTGCGCAAAGAACACGGCCGATGTCAGGTAATATTGGCAAGCCTGAATGTCCCGCTCGCAAAGACAGAGGCCCACACGTCTCCGGGCTTCATTGAAAAAGCTTAAGCCGGCGATCTCTTCGTCCATGATGTGTCGAATGATTGGAGTGATCGAAGCTTGACTGGCTATTTCGAAACCACCTTCCTCATATGCTTTGAAACCCATGCACCCAAGGGCCATGACATTCAGGACGAGACATGACTCTATGTCGTGGCCGAAACCTTCTCGGACTACAACGGCAAGAGTGCTGAGAAAGTAAAAGTCGCGGTCGATGCACGGATAGACGCGATTGAAGGTGTCGAAATACGCATTCGACAGGTCTTTCACGGAAGAGAGGCTGAGGGAGGCGAGCCAGTCAAGCGTTGGAATTGCACCCTGCGCTGAGATAACAGGCTCTAGTGGTGGTCGTCCGGATTCCAGATGAGTAGGATAGCTTTTCTCCAGGTTGCGAACCGCTGAAGTTAGGCTGCTTGGAAGTAGAGCCTCCACGCCCGGCCAATGAATCGTTCGACGGGCACTAAATGATAGAATACCAGATTGGGTGCTCGAATGTCGAAGTAACTGTCTGGTACTTGATAAAGGTGATGAAAAGGATTGATGGGAGATGACAGAATCCATGTGATAGGGGCTTTCTGCGTGTGGGAGATTGAAGTCGGCCCTGTTGGCCTCATGCTCATGAGAGGACTTCGCGGACGCTGGGACGGACATGTGATCAATCTTCGATTCCATCCGCTTCAGCGTGTTGAATATCATGCTCATTGAGATCTCATTCCTGTTGTTTTCGGTCAGCCTCTGGTCAACGGACGTCCATCTCGACGCACTTTGTTGGCTTGCGCTCTGCATAAGTACACTCAATCCCCAGGCTTTTGCAGAGACTGCAAGGCATATCTTCGTCACATCTGGTCTTCTTGGAGCGACACGCCTCGCATGCTTGTCGCGCAATAAAGTTGCGCTGTCTCTTTAGGGGTCTCGAATCGTCATTAGGCGCCTCGTCGCCCGGCGGTAGGGCGCTGCGATTGTTGTCACCCATTGGCACAATTGGCTATTCTTCCTAAGCGTCTTCGCTCGAAACGCAAAGCCCAGCTCATTGCTATCTACTGACAGCCCTCACCCTCCAAACGGCGACAAAATGGCCGACTTCACTCCATGCTCATGTAACACCAACGTTGGCGGTCATGTTTGTTATGACTTGCGGTCCGAGTCAGACCAGTCGCTGCCAAGAGGCTAGTCTAAAAGTAGATTAGCCTACCCTGAAGCTCCCACAAGCTCCCACAAGCTGCTAACACCAGTTGAGCTTCCCTGGTTTTCCCACATCATTAAAGGCATGATAAGGCTGTTTCGATCGACCATTTGGGAGATCGCCGAGGCTGATAACGACTTGTATCTCTCATGCAGTTCAAACGGCGGCCCTTAAAGGAAGGTGGCTGCAGCGTTTCAATGGTAAGGTAGTATCGTGAGGAGGGAAGAGGTAAGGTACAGACATGTTCCCCGCAGCCATCACAATCTCAGCCTTACCAGCCACATTGACGGTATTGACAGGGCTTCACTAGCCACCGTCAATCAATGTCACGGTCGCAACACCAATCGGTAAACTGGGAGACCTCAATCCTCCTCAACAGTTGACGGCTGCCAAAGTTACATCAGAGTGTATCTTGTAACTATCACAACTCCAAACCGTTCGACCGAGTACCATGGCCATTTTCACAACATCAATTACCATCTCTACGGAACGTTGCATATGCTGTGTCACCTGAACATGCGGTGACTGGACGGGCTGCCAGGAGCTTCAGGCTGTACTACCTCAGCCGCTCCAAGGCATAATACTCTTTCATCCCTCCAAAGTTTCAAGCGAGCGGTTCACAGGTCTCAGTCATTCTCCTCTTGTGTCTGAGATACGAGATGCATCTCGCTCAACTATTCCCGGCGGCTGCTCTCGTCGCCAGCCTCTTCAGCGGCCTGGGAGATGCCATTGCCGTCAACCCTCTTCCGGCACCTCAGACCGTCACCTGGGGCAGTTCGGGGCCAAAGTCATTAGCCGGCTATTTGGTGCTGAACTCGCCGTACAATCAAATCGTCAATGATGCGTGGACACGGGCGTGGAGTACCATCAGCACTTTGAAATGGGTCCCAGTAGCCGTTGAGGCTCCAATTAGCACATACGAGCCATTCCCAACTGCTACGCCATCATCTAGGGTCAAGCGATGGAATTCTTTCCTCAGCCAAATTGACCTCACCATTGCGGACACCCAAGCCGATTTGCAACAAGGAGTGGACGAATCGTACACCATCGACATAACCCAAGCCTCGCAATCGGTCAATATCACTGCCAAGACCATCTGGGGCGCCCTTCATGCCTTCACCACTCTCCAACAAATCATCATCTCCGATGGCCAAGGAGGTCTTATGATTGAGCAACCAGTCTCGATTGTGGACTATCCAAACTATCCTTACCGGGGAGTAATGATTGATACAGGCCGGAACTACATCGGCATTCCCAAGATCTACGAGCAGATCGACGGCATGGCGCTCTCAAAGTTGAATGTGCTCCACTGGCATATGGTCGATGCTCAATCGTGGCCTATCCAGATCGAGAGCTACCCACAGATGACTCAAGCTGCTTATTCTTCCCAAATGGTCTACTCACAAGACGACATTCGAGCCATCATTGCTTATGCGCGAGCTCGGGGCGTTCGAATCATTCCTGAAATTGATATGCCAGGCCATGCATCATCTGGTTGGACAGAGGTTGATCCAAGCATTGTCGCGTGCGCGAACTCCTGGTGGTCGAATGATGTCTGGGAATACCATACAGCAGTGGAGCCGAATCCTGGACAACTCGACATTCTCAACAACAAGACATACGAAGTTATCAAGAACATCTACAGTGAACTTGCGGGTTTGTTCACCGACAACATCTTCCATGTTGGTGCCGACGAGATACAGACTGGCTGCTACAATTTCAGCACGCTGGTGCAACAATATTTCGCCCAAAACTCTTCACGGGATTTCAATGACCTTCTTCAAATCTGGATTGACACTGCAGTTCCCATTTTCACTTCCGTTTCAAACAAGACGTTGATGATGTGGGAAGATGTCGTCCTCAATTCCTATCCACATGCGCACACGGTCCCCACGAATATTATCATGCAGACCTGGAACAACGGATTGGAAAACATCCAAAACCTGACCGCACTGGGCTACGACATTGTCGTGTCATCTTCCGACTTTTTCTATCTGGACTGCGGATTTGGGGGCTGGGTGACTAACGATCCTCGATACAACGAAATGGCCAACCCCAACGCCTCGGTGCCGACATTCAATTACGGAGGTGGGGGAGGCTCATGGTGCGCACCGTACAAGACCTGGCAACGCATCTACGACTACGACTTCACCCTCAATCTCACCGACGTGCAGAAGAGCCACGTGTTAGGCTCGGAGGTTCCTCTCTGGTCAGAACAGGTCGACGACACGGTCATTTCCTCCAAGATGTGGCCGAGGGCCGCCGCCATGGCTGAGCTCTCTTGGTCCGGCAACAGGGACTCCACAACCGGGATCAAGCGGACGACGCAGATGACGCAGCGGATTCTGAACTTCCGCGAGTACTTGGTTGCCAACGGTGTACAAGCGACGCCACTGGTTCCGAAGTATTGTCTGCAGCATCCGCACGCCTGCGACCTGTACTACAATCAAACGGCGCTTGCAGACTACGCGACGACGCAATAATCTGAGTGCAGATAACCTTTGTTCTTCTGGCTTGAGAGCCACTCTATGGTACAGACGGGAAATGGCATGGCACATGTCCATATATGCTACTGAAGCTTGGGAAGGAGGGCCGCTGAAAAAAATATTTGCTTGCTATATACGCAAACAGGCTCGCTTTGCTGTATTGATAATGCGACTCTTCGACGCAGGGGTCAGTCGCAGAGGCTGAATATGTAGCTCACGACGAGGAAAACGATGCCACTGAATTCGCCAAGCATCGTGACTGCTGCTTCATACCTAAGGATCATGATTCATGGGGAAGTCGCCAGCCTTGTTACTCGCGCACCTACGTACGCATGCGTTGCTTCTTCCAAGAAATTCCGAGACGCCACCGGGCTTCAACTCCGAGATCGGCCGGTGCGAGGTTTCGAGACCCCGTCCTCGCAAACCCCGTTTCGGCCCCTTCTCCAACTGTGTACATTTAGTTCCCGAGGCGAAAGCGCGCTCGAAACGCGCGATAATGAGGGGTCTCGGCAATTGATTGGGGGGAAACCCGAAATATATATAAGTATTCGGTACCGAGAGTATTATAACATGGTCCTATATCCATATATGTGATTTCTGTTTTCTGTTTTCTGGTGAGTCCTAAGCCGTCCGTCGCGAGATAGAGTCCCGGCTGGTGCATTTGTCCTGCCTAGAAACTCTCGTATTCATCAGCTAGCGCTTCAAGGTCCCAAGATACCCAAGTACAGTCCCATAATGCCCGCTACCGCGGAGGCCGTCAACGGCCATGACTCACAAAATGGTGTAAATGGAACACATAAACCAGACGAGATACCCGTCACGAGCATCTTCGCGAACTTTGTCGCCAATGCAAATACCGATGATCTCACTCCTCACATACGAGACCGTCTCAAAGAATACATTATCGACTTCTTCGGCGTCTCACTCGCCGCGGGCCACTCGTCGGAATCGACGCTGCCATTCTGCAACGCCGTCAAGGCTCTGGGAGGACAGAATAATGGCTCATGTACAGTCCTTGGTAAAGGCAAAACTTTTACTCCTCAATATGCCGGTTTATTGAATGCCACCCTGGGCCATTCTTTGGATTTTGACGACACCTACGCGAAAGGGACGCTGCACGCCGGTGTCACTGCCATCGGCGCAGGCTTGACACAAGCAGAACTGTTGGGCGATCAAGCGAGCATGGACCGGTTTCTGCTGGCCGTTGCTGTGGGATATGAAATCACCTGTCGCTTGGGCAAGGAACTTGGCAATGATGCATACGCTCGCGGCTTTCACAATACGTCCACGGCCGGAATCTTTGGTGCAGTTGCAACCATCGCAGTCCTCAAAGGCTTGCCCATCGAGACCGTCGAAAACGCATTTGGCCTGGCGGGCTCAAAGGCAGCCGGATCAATGCAATATCTCGAGAACGGAAGTTGGAACAAGAGACTCCACCCGGGCTTCGCAGTGCATGATGCGTTTATGTGCGTGGCTCTGGCCGAGGCAGGCGTTATTGGCGCGGCCAAGATCTTCGAAGGGACATTCGGTTTTCTGCATGCGTACAGTCCGAAACCAGATAAGGATCTGACCTATCTCACTGCAGATCTAGGTAAGAGATGGGAGTTTCTTGAGACCTCTCTGAAGCCATTCCCAGCATGCCGAATGACACACGGCTTCATCGAGCATGCGGTGAAATTGGGGCGTGACAAGGGCTGCTCGAAAGCCCAGGATGTCAAGAGCATTACTTTGGCCCTGAGTCCCGCAAACGTGGGCGTTGTCGGTGCACCAATTCCCAACAAAGTCCATCCGGAGAACATGGTCGACGCCCAATTTTCTGCTTATTTCACCACGGCGAACAGTTTCCTGTACGGCTCCGACAATGGCGTCCGCTGCTATGAAAAGGACAGGCTCATGGACCCCCAGATCCGAGAGCTATCCGACAAGATTAGATGTGTTGGCGACAGCTCCATCCGGGAATTTGGTTCGAAGATGAAAGTCGAGTATGCAAATGGGGAGGTTGCCGAGATTGACATTCCCTATCCCCTAGGAGAGTTGCAACATCCTTTCACGAGGGAGCAGGTTGATGCGAAGTTCTTCAGTCTCGTCAACCCGATCTACGGGGAAAAGACGGCGAGGAGGATACGTGATGCGGTGGACAGCATTGAGAAACATACTGTGAGCGAGTTGCTCGGGATGTGTTGAGTAATTCATGGTCAAAGGAGAATGAATCGATATGCATCATGTAAGTTAGCGGTTTAGTTTGATCTTTCCCAAGTTGATGGGGTTATCAGTCTTGTAGATGGCCTTGCCCGATGCATTCACGTTTCTGATGCTTGTCGAGACTAGAGTGTGATGAGGCTCTAAATGGGCCTATGCAAGTGTGCCTGAAATGTGATAGAGATGGTTGCCTGCTCTTCATCCACGTGGTTTCCGCCAAGGTCGCTGCCTACGAAAAGGTGAAAATACGACTAGTGGTTCGTCTCTAACGTTTCCCATCCCCCCAGCTTGGTATCTCAGTACGATACGAACTCAGCCTGACCGAGACATGACTTCGCTTTTCATCATCTTTCCTCGCTCAGGCATTGCACTCTTGCCCAGGTAGAATGGATCCAGTCACGGCGGTCGGCTTACGCGCAAGCATCGTCCAGCTGATCGATTCGACTACCAAAGCCATCAAATACCTGAACAATGTCAATAATGCCCCTAAGGATCGAGCAAGGCTTGCGCGGGAAGCCACCAGTCTTTTGGCACTGCTAACAGACTTGAGGCATAGACTCGAAGAGGCAAGCTCAACAGACCAATGGCTCACTGGTATTCGATCACTTGGAGTGAAGGGGGGCCACTGGAGCAGTTTAACGAAGCAATAACAGCCCTCACGAAGAAATTGAATCCTGAGAAGGGAGTAAAGAAGGCTGCTCAGAGGCTGCTCAGGACACTTGATAAAAAGGAGATCGACAGGATTCTGTTTGAAATTGAACGGTTGAAGACACTAGTCAATCTTTCGTTGCAAGGGGATCAATTGTGGGCTTCCAGATGACCTCCGAGGCCACTCTCAGTTTACGCGCTATATATTGACTACTTTTAGCTCGCTGTCACAAGCAATAAAAAATGATACTGCGCAGGTAGCAAAGGGGCTCCAAGACAAAGGAAACCAAGACATTGTGACCTGGATATGCTCCTCTGAACTTTTCTACTTAACAGGAATATTTTCTCAGCAGTCGCCAGGAAGGGACTTACGAGTGGTTACTTGAAAATGACGGTTTTAAGAATTGGATGAATGGAACAGGAACAGGAGAAACTCTATGGTGCTCTGGACTCCGTATGCATTTCAGCTAAGCAGCGCCCTTCACGGTTTTGCTATACAGACATTCTTCAAGCGGGTGCTGGCAAAACGATTCTCGCGTATGAATCCTCATCCCGCCGACCATACGCGTGCAAGCTAACCGTCGCCAATTCATAGGTCGATTGTTATTGACTCTCTTGAACGATATTTTGAATATGAGAACGTTGCTATCGCGTACATCTACTGCAGCTATGAAGATCAGGACAACCAAACCGCCACCAATCTCCTTGCAAGCCTGTTGCAACAACTAGTGCGGAAAGCGTCTAATGTTTCAGAAAATATCATATCCGTCTATAAGAGCCACGCTCCAAGACAAACACGGCCGTCACTCGACATATTTTCAACCCTTCTTCGATCGGAAGCTCGCCGACTTTCGAAGGTTTTCGTTGTCATTGATGCATTGGACGAATGCTCTAAGAACAACGGCACTAGGAGAAGCTTGGTTGAGGAGATTCGAAAACTGCAGCCCAGCATCCAACTATTGACCACCTGGCGGCACGACGCCGCTATCGAACGCGAGTCTAAAAGTGTGACACATATTGAAGTCCGCGCAAGTGATCAAGATATTAGAAGGTATATTGAAAATCGGATCAAGAGGGCCGATCGCTTGGTGCTGCATGCCAAAAATGACCCATCGCTCCAAGACACCATCGTACATACCATCTCAGAGAAAGGCAAAGGAATGTAAGTACAACAGGTGCTAATTGAGGCATAAAAGATTTAGTGATTCTTCCCAAGGTTCTTGCTGGCTCAGCTTCATATGGACCGTCTGGCAGGGAAGTACTCTTGTCGAAATGTCCGCAGGGCTCTGCAGAATCTACCAAAGGAATTGGATGACATTTATGACAAAGCCATGCACAATCGCGAGTCACTTAAAGCGCCTGGCTGTTAAGAGGAGGACAAGGCAGATTCAAGAGTCACGAAGACAATAGACGATTCGTGGAAACAGATGTTCGCGAGAAGAGATATTGACCGGCACGATGCATAGACAATTATATGCGCATTCTCAGTGCCCAGTCAAGAGAGGAGGAAGGAAAATGCTGTAGGGGATCGAGGCTGATAATAAGGATGCGAATCGGGCAGAGGGGAAAGTGCAGCTGGAAGATGCGTTAAGTCCAATTAGGGTTAAAAAGCACAGTTACGCGGGGGATCCGGCGCAGGGTTTAGCGCGGGGCCTTCCCAGTGTTTTGGCGATGCTTGGACAGGACATTCCGGGCGGTGTTCGATGCCAAATTTAAGCATTTGTGTCTAGGCTTGGCATGACAACCGCCTAAACTGACCTCCAACGACCACCTAGCTTTTATTACCTACCTGGTATCCAGTAGACTGTGCCTCAATGGACTCTCTAGGGAAAATCTCGGGACTCGAGTCTTTACACCAGTCAAAGAAGGCAGAAGGAGAAAATAGCTTCTTTTCGAATAGTTATCAACTGAGACTGATGACATGATCTGTAGCGGAACTATTGTGATAAGGAAAGAGAGGATTCTCAAGCCGTGCCGAGGGGAGATGTTCAGGGTGATTGTTGATAGCGACAGCAATGGTACATAGATCTGTGTTGATCTGTGCTTGTACAGTATTCCCACCACTCCTGCGCTCGCGGCGTTGGTGAACTTGGGTGGAGTAATTATGGCTCACGTGCAAATTGATCATTCTTCGGAATTAAGGGTACCGGGCTCCGGCTTGGCGACAGCGGGGTGCACATTTGGGGCCTAGCGACAACGTTTTTCTCAAATTTTCTTCACACGGCGTCCTCACTCTTGCCCGCTCCTCTTCCAACGGCACTCCCACCATCGTTCTATTCCCGTGTCATCCCTCATGGTAAGGAACATGACTCGTGGTTGCGCCAAGTCCCCCCCTGTGTCAACCTCAAGCGTCGCTCCGGGCTTGATCTTGTCGACCTCGATGACTCGGTGGGATTCCGGTCTGTCCGGCCTAGAGCACTGAATGATAATAATCTGTGCGGCTGCTGGATACTCAATCTCAAGGAAGAGCTCCATATCATGAAAGTCGATTCTTCGGCTCATGCCATCCGAACGTGGCGTGCTGAATTGACCCCGTGGTCGTCCATGCATGCCACGCTCGAACGGCATGTCGCAGGTTCGACTTTTATGATCTCTTATGACACGAGCAGCTGGTGGAAGCTGCTCGGAATCGAGATTCATGGAAGATCGAACCTGCCTCTGTGTTCTTCGTCCGGGTGAGTGTTGCAGTCCAGGAATCTCCCCAATGCCCGGAGACGAATAGGATATACCTAGTTTTGAGATCAAGGCATTTCTCGGTAACAGGTGTCCCTCGGCTTGTTCTTCATTGTTGATATAGGGTCCCAGAATGGCCGGCACGGTCTGTACGAGTGGAAGTGGAGGATTGTTGTGGTTGGCAGATGGTGGCGAGTATGGGAACAAGTTCAGCTGGGACAATGCCTGCCAACTCATGGCAGCATCGAGCCGGCGTGGGTGCGGAATTTTGATCAGTCTTTGGAGCTCGCGGTTCATCGAGCCAATAATGTTTTGGTACCGACTCAGTTGAGTTGGGCTGAATTGGTCAAGATCTGGGATCGTCCAGTGGGGAGTCAAATTACCGTGCGTTTGTGGAACAAAATACCTCCCGTGTCCATTGACGAACATTTCACAAAGAAAGCATGCCGCTTTGCTGGAGGCAATTGCTCGTGGATATCTCCAGTTCGAAGGCTCTCTCAAATCCAGGTCGACCACTAGCTGGACTTCGGCATGCACGTGACAATCCCGACTCCCCCCGTCGACTGCGGGGATGGGCGATGGAACAGTTCTATACGCACGTACATAGCGGATACTGAGATTGACACAGAAGCGTCGATATTCTTGGTGTGAGGCGATCGTACTCAACGTCTCCGCGATGTGACAGTAGCTGGCAATCTTCCCAATCTGTCGAAGGTGTGGATTTCCTCGTGACCCGTCGACGTCGACGCCAACCTGACGGAGCATGTTCGTCACATTCTCCCCATCTGATGTCGCTTCGAAGAAGCCATAACATGCAACCACGAGTCTCTTGACATCCTCGAGCGTCTTTCGTCCCTTGGCCCGATTACAATAGTCTCCTAGAGAGGTGCACAGGGTTTGAAGTCGACTAGACAGAGTTTCGCGATGGCCCGAATGCGAGGCCGCTTTCGTCAATATACCCAGCAACCCGTCTCGGACGATATACCGCGAGCGCTTGCTCTTGAGACGGTCGTCAATCCGGGCCTGGTTCAAGCGTACAATCGACTCCAGAATGCCATCTTTGCATTGATCTCTAGTCTTCTCTGCGATGCCGTCAGCCACGGTCTTTCGTGACTCCGCTCTGAAATATCCGATTACCTTCTCGGGCCGTTTCTCGCAAGATCGCGGCTACCTCGTCCATCCTATCCTTGACTCCCGGCCGAATCTCTTCGTTGGTCGCCAAATTCAGTCGGAATCCTTGAGATGGGTTCTGAGGTTGCTCTATCGCCACCGCCGCAACGGATTCCACGCCCTTTTTGGCCGCGGAGATGAATGCAATGCCCTTGGCGAGCTGAAGCTCTACTGTAATTGGAACAACGTCGTCTCTAGAGGTACTTTCTGTAGCTAGAGGATACGTTTGGGGATCCTTGGGCCGTCCATGGGTGATTTTCCACAGTTCAGCGATATTCTGCTGGAACTGTGCTTCTTTCAAAGCGCCCCATATCGATCTTTGCGCAGGAGCTGTTCGAGGATCCATACTTCGAAAGCCCCATTGAACAATTTGTGTAGCTGAGAGTCCAGGAGCATTTGCTTCAAACTACCCCGCCTCGCCCGATCAGCCCAGCAGGATTTGGCATCCCCTCCGCTTGGCTGGAATGTGTCCAACCGGACCACTGTATTAATTGCCTCGCCATTGGGTTTTACCTCACGCGTCAGCCGCCTGCCCAGGCTGCGTCTTGAGGCATATCAACCAATATTTGTCGCTTGCAGACGGTCACGCATGAATTCTTTCATCCGGTCTCGATGAGTGAGTATCATTTTTGGGTGGTTTCAGTATCTGATTTTGTTTGGCCTTGCCGTGTTACTTTAGGCATAGGTCTCTGCGGTGTAGTGGCTGTTCCCAGAACGCCCAAATCTAGCGCCTTCTCTGAGACATCCTCCGTCACCCCGTTCCTTTCCCAGATCCGAGCGACCAAAGCCAGCGCCTGCTGCTTCGCAGGATTGACACCTGTGCCTTGTGCTACAGAGCCAAGTTCGTGGATCCTCGTCCTACGCGCAGGTGAAAAAAGCATGGTGGCAATATAAACCAAACAGGCGGATCCGGGGGGGAAGCCTTGCTTGTTCACCATCGTCCAAAGCGAGTCGCAAGGATGGGCAAAGAGCTGGCTACTGCCGATGCACCGGCAGACCCGTGTCGGTGGATAGTTAGATACACCTATCAGTTCTAGCTCGATGAGATACAGGCTTTCTGAAGGGGCGTGCCGACCGTTCGTAGGTAGGTGAGCTGAACGAGAAATAGAATACGATGGCTGACCGCGGTGCGCGTGCTCGTTGGCGGTTTGCCTGGCCTGCCTTTCTGACGTACCTAATACCTAAACCATGAAGAGCTACAAGTCACCGTTAACCCCTTAATTACCCAGTACTTATCTCGCCCTTTTCCATTCGACATAGTGCTCAAGCCCGGTTAAACTGGATCCCAACAGAACATCGAACTCTTCTTGAGCACCATCTTGACCTGGTTGCAGCTTCAACTGGGTCGGCCATGATTCGGTCACAGTGTTGGCTTTCATCTCCACCTCCAGGTCGCGTGAGATCTCCATCTCCCGGAATTGATGGATATTCATATATCTAGAAGAATCATCAGCTTCTGTCCAACGATTCTAAACTTGCGAGCCAGGTCTCTCTTGTCTTCCCGCTCACCTTTCAAAGAATTTATCCACATCGAGTGCCAAAGTACGAGCATCCCAGAGGCGTAACATTTCGGCGCTGTTGTTCGTAGGAGGTGGAAAAAGTCGAAGGCCTGGTAGATATTGAGTGAGAAGCCCCACGTCTGGTACCTGGTCCTTTTTGGGTCCTGTTTTGATGACTTCCATGACTGCGTTCAAGTAGAGTGTGATCAACACTGCATGTGGATTCTGCTTGAGTGACCGGAGTAGTGGCACCAGAGTCGCGAGCACTCCTCGGGTTCCGACATATCCTGCATCGGAGATGTTGGCCACCTGCTACCGTATAAGTCCCACGAATCCCTTTTCCGAGTACCGACATACCTACCTCTATCCTATCGTATCGGTTTAGACCCAGATGATGCGGAAGTGCTGTCACGTCACAAATGTAAAGTTCAAAATCAGTTGTGCCAGCGTCGAGAAAAAGCAAAAATTTTCCTAAGACCACGCCAAGGTAAACAAACAGCTTTCCGTACGCATCTTGCGAGGCCGTCCAGGACGTCCGGCGCAGTTCCCAAACTGGCCATCCCGATAAAGGGTTCGCTTGATCATCCATGGGCCAGCCCTGGGACGATTGAAAGAACATCCTAACAGAGAGCATGTCAGATGCAAAAGGTCCTCTCCGGGATGCAAGAATCCCACCACCACTAGCACTCACGGGTTGGGGATCCTGAATTCATGACGCGGATGCCCAAAGGGTAGCAGGAGACCATCTTCTCGGAACCGTTGCTTAGCAATTCGCATAGACGGCGTCTCATCCTTGAAATACCAGCGATCTCGATAATCAGCTCGCTCGGGAGCAAGAGTAACCGCAACACGGATTTTCCGCGCCTGGTCCTCAGTCAGTCCTTTCGGCATGTCAACGAAGCTTTGGAACAGAAGCCAGTCCTCTTTCTTTAGAACAAGCCGCAGACTACTTCCGGACGGAAATCTCCAGGTCTTCCCCAGGAGGCTATCTGCCGGTTTGTGAGCAATCCCACGGCAGACCTCATCGATTAGTGGTTTGACTCGGATTTGCAACTCTGATGAGACTTTTGGAGGCAGCAACGCCGAGTACCAAACATGAATCAGGGTTTCTGTCAAAGCGCACGGCTCGGCCGCACTGCCAGTAGACCTTGAGTCTTGACTTGTCAGGGCGAGGAGAAGCAGGGTAGCGTTACGCATAACGACATGCAGTTCTCGATCGTTGATGCAAACTTGAACTCGGCCAGGATATTGATTCGGTAGACTCCCAATCGTTTTCACCACATTTCGTAGGTCCCCCGATGCTAACGTTAGGCGTCTGTATCAGTTTGGTTTTTCCTTTTCCTCTCCCCTTTTGAAACGTATCAAACGGAAAATACATTACCGGCGAACAATAGTGCAAGGTCTTTATTGTAGTTATGGCCCTCATTTTGTTCGAGTCGTAGGATGTCAATAGCCGGTACGTTTCCCCACAGATATTTGCCGCCTCCGTAAGGATTGTGGAGGTTCCTCGAAGCATCACCGCTAGCAAACGCAGCCTCGCGTCCGTCGAGTTCCCATCGCGGGCGCCAACCGGGCCTGTTGAGCGATGATTTGCAGACCTTCTTGTGTTCCGGCCAATGGTTCTTCTGGCAAGCTTTCCCACAGTACTGCTTTTCACATCAGAAAATAAACATCTCAGGTCAAGACTGGAGAGGCTCTAACTGCGAGCAGTCTACAACCTCCACAGGCAAGCTTGCCGTTGTTCACACAGGTGTTGCCGTCGGGTGTCCAATTGGCACAAGCCAGTGGAATCGCTGCGACAGTTTCCATCGTAGCGTAGGTGGCATACGTTCATTTAGAGGGTAAATGTCAGATTCGACGGAGGATCCAGGATGCATGTACACTTGTTCTGTGGATTGGTTGTCATTGATTCTGGCGTCTGCTGCCTCTTATGGCACCTGAAGATGAGGGAAAGGCTCTCCGAGCTCACGTGCGACTCACTCACCGTGCACTCGACTCGACCGGTCCCTCTTGACGGCTTTTCGACTTTCGACCACTTCGGTATCCCCCCTCGCTCGATCGAGCCTCGACGTTTTGCCTCAATCCTTCCAATGGAGGACAAACCCGCCTTGGTGCCCGTTCGGGCAGCGAGCTCTCCTCCTCCAATCGTGTCTCCCGTGCGAAGCAAAATATCTAGGCCAGGGTTCTACAACACTCCTTGTGAGAATGCGTAGGCCTTCGGTAGCGTCACGGTCAGGGGCATCTCCTCGCCTATGGAGTCCGCAGGCTACATCAAGTTTGCCTAGCTAGGTATCTTGTGCCATGGCTTGTGTGGCAATTCTAGCGTTACTTGCTGTCCGAAACCAAGCCGACGTGCGGAATATACCTGGATCAAGTCTCTCGATCATATAATCGTCCAATAGGCCTTGCGCTTCCGGCAGAAACATGAGCAGAAGGCTATAGATCAGCCTGGCGGACAGAGGGATACTGAAATCTTCCGCTGCTTTCTTCTCTTTATGGTTGACGATGACGATGTCCTTTGGTTGCGAACCTTTGTAATGGCCTCTCCACTGCTAGTTGGATCGATTCGTGCAACTCTTTCTCGGAGTGCGAAGAGCGACGGCCTATAAAAACGAGGATATGCAGGCGATGTCGGGATATGGATGTTTGAAGGTTGAGACGGCGGCATTTGGCACATCACCGACTACTACAATTCACTGTTCTCATTGGTGCGCTCGGGCGGCTTCAAAGGTCCGATATCTTACGAAGTGCTTGTCACACGCCTATGATGTATCAACAACACCGTTTCTGGACAATCCAACCCCAGTCAATCCGCGTTGAAATCCATTTATATTTTTGGATTTGTCCTATTTGCCTTACAAGACACCTCCTTCCTTCCCCCTTTGCGCGTTTCATCATCTCATTCCCCCTTTCTAAACCCACTCTCCCTTTGTACTCTCTCACACACAGAGAGAAAGCAAGATCGCCGCAGAAGTCGAACAAAATGCCCGAGGCCGGCTACATTTCACAACGGGCACTGTCCAACCTTGCGCCATCGACGGGGCCAGACCTGCATGCCGTGCGCGCGCACTGCTTCTACAACCAGTACGACCCGACGAGCAACCCAGGAGGCATCGTAGCGCTCGCCATCGCCGAGAACAAGCTCATGCGCGACGAGATCTGCGTGCACGTCAACGCCCACATGGCCATCACGCCCTGGCACTTGACCTACGGCCACGGTCCGACGGGGGCCATCGAGCTACGTAGGGCGCTCGCCTCGTTCGTGCGCGACGTCTTCAGGCCGAGCATGCCGATTGACGAGAAGAACGTCTGCATATGTCTGGGCGCGGGCAATGCCGTGGATAACCTATCTTTCTGTCTCGCGGATCCTGGCCAGGGAATCTTGGTCGGGAGGCCGCTTTATGTGGGTTTCTTCCCGGACATTGAGGCCAGGGCGAAGTACGTTTCTCCCTCTCTCCCTCCCCTAGTTCTGTTTTGCGATTTCTCTGCCTAGGGTGTCCTTTTGATTCCACAATCTCGACTCGACGCTGGAGGAAGGTTTGGCCGTCTCTTTTGAAAGCTTACCATGGGTCGAGGACGTCAGAGTCAAGCCCGTCCTTGTGCCCTTCGGTGCAGATACGGATCCCACCTCGGCCGCGGCGGTACCCTTCTACGAAGCGGCCTTGCACCGATCCAATGCCTCGGGGGTGCCAATTAGGGCGATCCTCCTCTCTAACCCGCACAACCCGCTCGGGAGACCATACGAGAAGGGCTTTCTCATCGCTATCATGCGTCTCTGCTCGAAGTACAACATCCACCTGATCTCCGACGAAGTCTATGCACGCTCGAACTTCCCCAGCACCGATCTCCCCAATCCGCCTCCTTTCGTGTCGGTCCTTTCGTTTAACCTGGACGAGTACATCGATGCGTCTCTGGTCCATGTGATATATGCAATGAGCAAGGACTTTTGCGCCAATGGGATCCGCATTGGTGCTTTGATTTCACCCTCCAATGGCAAAGTGATGAAATCTTTCCGCGCCGTGGCCAGTTTCAGCCGTGCGTCGCAGCTCGCGGAGCATGCATGGCTGAATTTACTCAACGATCGGCCCTTTCTGGATACCTATTTTTCGCTCCTTCAACAGAGGATGACAGATGCTTATGAATTCACCACGTCGTTTCTGAAACAGCACGCTATTCCATATAACAAGGCCAGCGTGACGAGTTTCATTTGGGTCGATCTGAGTAGCTATCTCGGGGAGGATAGTGTCGAGGGAGAGCTAGAGTTGAATTGGAAAATGGCCCATGGTGGTGTGTGGTTGGCTATGGGAGCGAGTTTTGCCAGCGAAAAGAATGGGAATTTTAGAATTACCTTTGCGACGCCGAGAGAGGAACTGAAGATGGGACTGGAAAGGTATGATTTTGCAGCTCCGTGCTGGCTTGTTTTCCATGGGGCGTGGACATCAAAAATGCTGATCTTTTCATCGCTAGGTTAATTAAGGTTTTGAAGGACGTTGAAGAAGAGATGAAAAGGTAAACAGCATGAGCTTCGGCTAAATTGCCTTTGCCAGACGAATGGAAAGAGATTGGACCTCGATCCAAGGGTTGTGAGGGAATCTGTTAGATTAGACGGAAGGAAGAAGCTCGGGCCCTCATGGAGGTGTAGTGTCGAGAAAGATGCGAATGGAGATAAGTGAAGAGCAGAGTGAAGCCCTCGAGGTCAGAGAGGACTTGTCTGAGCACAAGGCAACATGAATCGCCTAAGATGATCGAGTCATTGGGTCCCAAAACTGCAACACGTTATGGGTGGATTTCTGGACTTCGCAGGCGACGACTCATTCGTTTGGCTACTATGCCGGGTGAGATGTCGAGGGCCATCATAACATAACACTCCCAGAGCTGCGCAGCGAAAGTCAAGATATTCTCCAGCATCGAACTGTTTTATGCCGTTCATTGCACCAAACATGGATGTTGGATGGCCGCTAGTAGACTCCGTTGTAACGGGAAGGTCTCTATCGAGGGTGGGACCATCAGCATGAGCGCCATGCGAATGTAGGGCGACAGGAAAGTCATCGGGAGTTGCAGAAGAAGTAGCATGAGGCTGGTCGTGGCAGGAGAAGGGGGTTAATGAAGCTGCAGCTGACATGTGCCGTGGTGAGAAGATCATCAAACGAGGCGGGGCAACATTTTTGCGGGCATCAACTTCCTCAATTTTACTGGGTACTCACAAACCATCAACCGCATCCACGTACCCAGTACTGTATCATCAGTTGCACAAATCTCGATGTGAAGAATAAACACCTGATGCTCTCCGTCAACACGCACCGGAAATACACTTACGTTGCACCCTGCTTGACCCTGTCAGTGGCTTAGGGTTGGCGATGGACTTATTATCGCCAGTGCCGGCTGCGGCTACTGCCAAGGGTAAGAGACAATCATCCTGCTACACGCTAGCTTAAAACCACTTCCCCTGTGGTACCAGACGAGCAAAGCTGGCCTTGAGGCGTCCCGCTAGGTGCCCAGTACCCAGTACCTCGACAGGCCCTCGCAGCATCGCGCCGTTCCGCTCGTTGTTGATGCTTCGGTGGGTTAACTCACGGAACTATTTCCTGACTCGCAACGCTGGTTTGTTGACATCGGCACTCCGTCTTGCACCGATGGATTCCAACATTCACCAATGACGATCCGGTGGTTGGTTGTGTTCTCGCTAGTCCAGTGCCAGCGAGGCGGTGTATCAACGTGCATGTCTCAGCACCCATGGTGGATTGTGATTGAGACATGAAGATCTGCAGAAACAAACAAATGTGCTTGCGTGAGCGTCCTTCTTATCATCAACTCTGTCAAAATGGGCTCCATGTGCAGTCTGGAAAAGGCGAGCTGCAGGGCACGCTCCGCTCGCTTGATCCAAGGAATTCTTGGGCCCAGGCGCTTGGGCGAGAGGACCCGCAAGCCTCGACGAACTTAGGAGACATGCCGGGATTTCGTGATCCAGATGTCGCCGGAGATTGTTGTGGTCCCTTCCCGGCGCCCTTTTCTGCAGAAGCAGCCACTTGCCAGCTGGCATCAGGATTCGTCAGGAATTCCAGTTGTCCAACAAGTACAAACCTGCATCCACTGCCGTCGTTTTGTCCGAGGTAAAAGATGCTTGTGGCAAGCCTGAGCGAATTCCAAACTGGCCTGGATCAGCGGGTTTTGAGTCCCACCAGCCTGCTGGCGGTCTCTCATCCCCCAACTCGAACATTGAAGATGGAGAGATTATTCATGGCGGGAAGGCTAGCATCATTCCCCGAGGCCTAAGTTGCTCCCAGCCCCAGAACCCCGCAGGAAAGACACTCCAGGGTCCCTTTGCAGAGGCTCGAGAAACACTTTCTCCAGACTTTTTTCATTCTCCGGCAACATGGCTGCTGGACACAGCAAACCACATTATCCCCGTCTCCTCCTCTGAACCGATCGCTCGGATTGTCATCTCTTCTTTTTCCTGACCTACCCTTTCCTGAGGACTGCTTGTCGCCGTTCGAGATACTCCGTACTTGGCTGGTGGTTCCTTTGTTCAGCAGTACCAGCAATCATGGGAGCCGGAAAGAAACATGCATCGTCTCACTCGAGTCGGTACAATAGGCTTGTGACGGTGGCCGTCGCCTTTGGTTCGATGGTAAGTAGCGGTCCACACCCTGACCGTCGACTTCCCAAATGTTTTGCTGTTGAGAGAAAGCGACTGACTCTCGCAGACCTATGGCTACTGCTCAGCCATCATTGGGAGCACCATTGGACAGCCAGGATGGTATCAGTTCTTCGACCTGCCCATGCAAGGAGAACCTGGTTATGGCGGAAAGACCACAAATGCAATTGCAACGGCAAACGGTCTATACAGTGCAGGCGGAGCGGTCGGATCTCTTTTCATTGCTTGGTCAGCCACTGCCATTGGCCGCAAACGAAGTATTCAACTCGGAGCACTCTTGGCCATCATCGGAGGTGCGTTTCAAGGCGGTGCAGCAGCCCTTGCGTAAGTTGCCACTTCCGAGCATCCTGTTTCACTCCAAAATGGATGGTCCTGATATCATCGCCAGCATGTTCCACGTGGGCCGAGTCATATCAGGTTTAGGCATCGGAATTCTCGTCACGGCCTGTCCAATGTATCTGTCTGAGCTAGCCCCCCCTGAAAACCGTGGCTGGCTGGTCGGGCACCATGTAGGTTCCCTTTACTCGAACAGATAATCCGCGTTACTTACTTTTAAGGCCATCTTTCTCGTTTTTGGGTACATGCTTTCTGGCTGGCTCGGGTATGCCTGTTATTTCGCGACGGACAAGAACCCGTCCTTCGCCTGGAGATTTCCCCTCTGCGTCCAGACTCTGCCCCCCTTGGTATTGGCAGTCACGTCGCTCTGGATCCCCATGTCGCCGAGATGGCTCCTCCAAAAAGGCAGGACTGAAGAGGCCTGGACCGTGATCCAGGCCCTGCGCCGCTCCCCAGACGACCCGGATGATCTCGTTGCGAAGGAGGAACTGTACCAGACCAAAGAACAGATTGCGCTGGATGCTGCCAAACTTAGAGCCGTCGGGTATGGTCCGTGGATGGCTTGTATCAAGAAGAAGAGTTATCGCAAGAGAATGATCATTGGATTCTTGACTCAATGGGGAGCCGAGTTTGCTGGTCCCTTGGTCATCGTATGTGGCAATCCTCGATCGTTCGTCTGCCCGGATCAAGTACTAACACGTTCTAGAACAATTACATGGTGATTCTATACACGAATCTAGGCCAGACAGGATCCATGCCTCTCCTCCTCTCCGCCGTCTGGCTCACCACAGCCGGTAAGTATTGCCGTTCCCTTTCCATTTCGATAAGCATTTTCCACTCACATATTTCCCTCGTTTCAGGCGTCATCTATAACCCGACGGGCGCCTGGCTCCACGACAAAGTCAACTCGCGCCGCTTCATGTACATGTTCGGCACGGCAGGGTGCCTGGTAACGACGTCGATTCTGTGCGCGCTGCTCGCGACCTACGCCGGCACGACAGACAAGGGCGGGAACGCGGGCGGCGTCTTCATCGTGTTCCTGTACCTGACCTTCCAAGGCACCTTCTGCGACACGACCATGTACCTGTACGTCAGCGAGATCTTCCCGACCGAGATCCGGCCGATCGGGATGGGCTTTTCGCTGTTTGGCCAGTTCGCAGCGACCATCATCTTGCTGCAGACGGCGCCCATCGGCTTCGTGAATGTCGGCTGGAAGTACTATTTGGTCATCGTGGTGTGGTGTGCCATCTACCTGCCCATGATCTACTTCTTCTGGCCCGAGACCGCGCGCCTCTCGCTCGAGGAGATCTCAAAGCAGTTTGGCGACGACGTTGCCGTGCATGTCAACGACATCAGCGAGGAGCAGCGCAGAGAGCTCGACGAGTTCCTCAAGTCAAAGGACATCGTGCATTCGCCCCCCACAGAGGCCGAGTCCCTGTCCCCGCCCACCACCGAGATCCAGGAAAAGCCCGAGGAGAAGGTCTGAAGGTCTGAAAAATGGCGGGCTAGCATGGCATGCTGTATGTAGGCAGGGCAAAAAGCTTCAGGGAAACCGGACAAACTTGGATGTGCGTGACCTGCGTACATACATGCACGCGACTTTTGGAGAAGGCCAGCCAATGTCCGTCCGTTCAGACCCGAACGCCGAACTGAGAAAGAACCGAGAAAGGATGAGGAGGCGGGGAGGAGATGAAATGAAACGAAAAAGGATCGGGCGATCGATCAACGACAGGGAGTCTTCGGCCTTCAGCCTTTAACCTTGGGCTTCATATTCAACTTCAATCCCCTTCCTCTTCCTCTTCGGCTACTGGCCGAGTACATACATGAAACGCAAATTGATTGGACATTTTGCATGCATATAATAATATATCTTCTGTCTGTCTGCATGGCGTACGGTGAAATGGAGTGCAGTATTTCAATCTTGGAGAGGCAGGCAGTGCATGGTAGGAGCAAATGCCAAAGAAGTTTATATCCTTTTCCCGTTCCTTGTCAAGTTTTCATTGTATTCGTTCTTGTCAACGGGTACCCAATTCTACTGCTCGGGCGAAGAATAATGTCGAGAACTAGACGCCTCTGGACTGTCTCCGTCGTGATCATGATCACCTCGCAGTTCCCCCCCATCCGCCACCCAAAGTCTCCGCAGCGGTTGCTTAGAAGATGGCTATGCAATTCGGCGGGCTGCTAACACCCCCCTTCATATTGAAAGGAGAGCTGGCGACGAAAAACTCCCAGCGTGATTCCCTCTTACACATCTCACTCAACGCATCAAGATCAAAGAGCTCCCCGATCGGCATGCCCCAACCCGCGAGTAAATATTCGTGCATAAAGAGTCCCTCCACCTCAGGCTCTCCTTCACCACGGGGAAAACTTTTCTTTGCAGGATAAACTTCAAATGATATTGCATCGCTGGCCACGGCAGAGAATCCACTGTCCCACAGCCAACGGAGCATTTCTTCGGTTCCTTCGACGCCGGCGTGTTGAGGCGTCTTTGCGGTGGCGTAGGCATTTTTGTCCTCAGCTGTCATGCGCGTGTCCCATTCCTTGGTCACTCCCACGCGTACGAAGAGAATGTCGCCCCTTTTGAACGTTAAATTCTCCTCTCGGGCGATCTCGAGAAGAACACTTAGTGGGATCGAATGATCGCTGAATGTCGAATACTCGATGCCTCTCTTTTCTGCGTACGAAACGTAGTCCAACAGCACACCCCGCCCACAGATCCCTTCTTTCGCCCAGTATTGCAATCCTATCCGGTGGTTCGTTGGATCCATAATCTCGTGATTCGTCACACCACCATAAAACACCCTCTTGTCAGGCTCTCTCTCAGTCGGATCGGGCTGGGAGAAATGCCTGAGTCCATCCCACTGGCTGCTCTGCTGCGGGTTGAATGTGTAAATGTCGTCAAAAGCCGCGCCGTCAAGGAGGCCGACAATCTCGTGCTTGCAAGGCAGCCGGCCGAAGTTAGCGACTTCCAGCTTATTCAACTCCCAGCCTAGATTTACACGGCGCCCGCTTCGAATGCTCGTTGCAGCCGCAGAGGCGACGACGTCACGCGTGAGAAGGACGAGGCGACCTAGTCCCTCTTCTCTCGAATTAGGATCGCTGGGCCATACTCGCTTCTTGTTGGGCAGCTCATCGAATGGCGTCAAGTGGAGGGGGTGTATCTGAGGGTCCTCGTCATGAACGTCACTTTGAAGAGAGCCCATGGTGAAGTGAAAGCGAGACCAGCAAGGCCGATACCCCCGCGTCTAGTTGGATCTAGTCTGCCAGGATAGAGAAAGTTTTGAGAGACGTCGACTGTGTACACTCTGCAGAACGCCTTCCTGAGAGCGCGGGGTTTTCGAGCGGGTAAATTGGTGTGTTTGCGGCAAGTGGATGTTCGTCGAAGCTCAAAAGTTGGGGGGCAAGCTCGCGGGTGAATTTCTCCGAATTTTGTCATAGGCGAATCACAACGTGTTACCGCCATGGTGGCAAGCAACCGTTTCCCAATTGTTCGTCAAGTGCCCGCGCCTTCGAGAGTAACAAGCCTTCGCATCGTCTCCACTCGTCGGTTTACATTCGGAGTTCGGACGTCCCACAACAGCACTGTCGAAGTCGCTCGCTGTGGTGGGCGGTACACGAGACCCCAGCCCTCAAACAACAGTATTTCGAGCGTCTGCTGTCGGGCAAGTGGGCGATTGTTTGTCGCATCTGTCACGTCCAAGTCCCCTGGTTTCGAATTCACGACGACCCCGCCCCCGGATCCGCGCTGAGGGGCGTACCACTCCATGGTCAAATGGCTTGCTTCGGTCGTCGGGCGCAAAATCGGGTAGGCGGCAGTTCGCACGGAGTCAGGATGTCCACCTTGCTGCAGCTGCTGAAGCGTGAATGCTGAGAGATGGCCAGGTTTGACATCCCTAGCCCTAGGCGCATTGTTTAATCCGAATCAAAGTCAAAGCTCTCGAGTATCCGGCTGAATTTGTTGGAGAGCTTCCAGAATCGCATTTTCCTCAGCATGGTTTGAGCTTCCCGGCTGATTGCTTCGAGACTGCCACTGCTGTAGATGTTTTCAACCGCGCCAATGCTTGCGGGCCCTCCGTTCTCGATCCAGGTTGCGATGGCCGTCCTCTGACCGTCAATCCGATTCGGCAGATCGAGTCGGACCGGACACGAGGCGTAACTAGGTTCTGAGCAGGGTTGTGGCCCGAATTTGGCAAAGGCAAGGATGAAGATATAGCCCATGAACGTCCGCATGATCTCACAAGGTGCAGAGACCAGGTATTCATTTGCCACAGCGATGATTTGAGCTGCATGCCAGGCCAGATTACGGGCCTTGGTGGGATTTTTCACCAATATCGAACATAGGCGTCGCTTAGCCGACACAAGGCTCTGGTCGATTTGCTTTGACTGTGAAGCGGAAGTGCGGAAAATATGGACAATGAGGTCCATAGCCTCGTCCGCACTGTACAGGTGGGAATAATGACAGATGAGCGCCGTAAGACTGCGGACATTTGGTCAACCATAGCTTGAACTATTTGACATTGGAAAAGACTTACTTGTAGTGAATGAGATCAGCTGTAGAGGACAGGGCATACATGGACTCGCACAGCGCATTGAGGCCTTGGAGTAGAGTGCTTTTGGTCTGTCTCTGGGCCGCAGCTAGAGAAGGTAGTTTCAGGTACTCGGTCGTCGCCATGATATCCAGCTGCTTGATATCCCAAAGAAGTCGGCCAATGCTTTGGGCGCAGAGCCTCTTGCCCCATGCTGGCAGTTCCTCTGGAATACCCTTTCCAGCCAGAAGGTTCCGGAGCACTTTCGCCGTCGATGCGCCCCGGGCGGTTGGAGTCAGTCGAGAGTAGAGTGCCGCCCAAGCCTGGGGCGACCTAGCATCCCACAGAGGCTCTGCGCAGGGTAGAAAGCATGGAAGCTCCTGCAAATCAGCAGCACCTCGGCGCGCGGTCAACGTGCACAAAGTGCAGTCATACTCGAATGAAGACCAGGCAATGCGCTTCTCCTGCTCCTGATCTTTCCATCGCAGCCATTCGGTGGACGCATTGTCGTTGGGCAGCGGCTTTTTGAAGTCTTCCCACTCTACCTCGGTGCTGACACGGGACTTGAGCAGACCCATCCCACGGAGACAACCCATCAATATGCCCCTTGAACAGTCTGCGTTTGCGTAAAGTCTCATATTTCCCGAGCCAAGAGAATAGATCTGGTGAAGGCAGCAAGCTATGAGATAGGGTGAATTGTAAAAGCGAGTGCTGTCTCCCACACCCTAATTTAAAACATCAGCTACACCTATCTTCTTCGCTTCGGGTGCGAAGACTTACCAGCCATGCAATCATCTGACCACACATCTCACTCAAGGACCACGACTGTTCTGTTCCATGCTGATCGTCCGAGTACATTGCTCCAATACAAGCCATAGCGGCCAGCGTCACGGTAGGAACCTTGGTTATCTGAAAGGTGGGGATATGTACGAGCGGCAAAATGTTGTGAAACTCGGCAAAGTACAACTCCAAAGAGTTTTTCAGCAGTTCCATAGCCGACTTCATATTTACGTCCTGAGAGGGGTCTTTCTCCGGCAAGTACGGCGACGATAGCAGCTGGATCAGGCTCCTAATGGTGGCTCCGTTGTTAGATTCACTTGAGGCAACAGTGCCTTGCAGAATGTCTCGTAACGGGGGAAGCCTGTATCGCTGAGATTCGGGATTCCGCGTGTGATCAAAAGGCCATTGGTGAGCAGCGCCTCGCGATTCGGGCGACTTGGCCGATATCCCTTTGGACTCTTGGTTTCGCAGTGGCATTAATTGTGCAGATATGGTCTGATGGTTTCTGTTTTGCAGCGCTTCTTCCGGACCAGTTGAAATTGAGGGCGGAAAATACATTGATTGCATAACACCCCCAGTCTGGTACTGAGCTTGAAAATTGCCGTTGTTGGGAGAGTCGAGATCTAGGTTGAGCCAATCCACTCCGCCAACAATCCTTGGGGCTGGGTTGTAAGGCATAAAATTGAAATCACCAGGCAGATATCCCTCGAATCCCATCATGGAATGATTGAACTCAGCGCCGCCATTCGGGCTGGTAGTTGGGAAAGCAACGAGATCTGGGGAGATCATTTCTATCGAATTGGGTTCGGAAGTTGGCTGGAAGAAAGGCGGGCTACCATTGAAATTCCGATCACTGCCTGGTCTCTGAGCTACATTAGGCATCAGACCAGGGGCGCCATTAGCGATTCCGAGATGGGCCTCTGCTTCATTCTGATAGTTCTGCGGGCTGTGAAAAGAGCCGGTCTGGGATGGCTGGTGCTGCTCTGGGAACGTCGACGTGGGAGCTGGCGACTCAACCTTGCCCTCAGGAACCCCACTCTCCATATGTTCCTCATCTGTCGGATATTTGCAAAACGAAGCAGACTTTGTGCACGGCAGGCAAGGTTGCGACCGATCGCATTTCAACTTTTTCTTGACGCAGCGAAAGCATGACTTTTGCGCAGACCTCTTTCGGGATATGGTTGCTTGGTGGGCAGTCCGAAGATGCCGGAGTAGGACATCATTTCGCGAAAATTGACGTCCGCATTGGTCGCAGGAGTAGTGCTCACGTTGCGAAGGGTGTAGATGCGATTGTACATGACGGGCGAGGTGACTCGGGCGAGCGACAACAAGGTCGCAGTTGGGGCAGCGAAGCGTTCGTGGGGTCTTGGTAGCGGACTATCGGAGCCTCAGTCAGTGGGCGCCGGGCATTTCTGAGGTGTTTAGGCATATCGAACCATTGTATCTCGAGGAGTCTAGTCAAGGCCTGATATCTCGCAACTCCCGTCGAAGATCAACGATCATCGTACCGCGGCTACTCGATGAGAGGTGGAATTGCCCTCAAGGAGTTGACCATTCTCTTTCTGTCTCATGTAGAAGATGGACAGATTGGGCCGATGTCGATGCTGCTGCCGAGGATCGTCAAAGAGGTAAATTGTGGAGGAGGCTGAGGTGTGAGGAGGGCGATGTTGTCGAAAGAGAGATGCACGGGACGAGCGGAGAAATGTGTGGTGACGGGGATTCAGTGGAAAATCATCATAGTCGCAGGCTGTTGCACACACCCCGAAATCTGGGGAAGGGGAAAGGTTGGAAGTACAGTAGCACCCGGGACCCATAAACCCGGGACTTGGCCTGGGCCTAGTGAGCCCCTGTCATCACTCCCCGATCACTATTCGACTCGGGGAACCGACCTCCCTTGTACAAGTACATAGGTGGCTGTTAGGCGCCTCGGTGCCTTCCAAATACGGGTAGTTAGAGGCACCAAGGGAGCATCGGGGTACTCGCTAGGCTTGGGTTTAGGCACTGGCCTGAAGCCCGCCCCTTTTTCTGAAACCTTGGTCATCCTCGCGTCGTTGCTGTGAACAGATAACATGTCGATCATGACCTTCTTTGAATCTCACCTGTCGTGCTGATGCCCAAGTGCCCAGTAGATCTTGCCGACTCGAATGCAGATACCAGGACTCATCAATGGCGTGCTCAACACCACGAGTCGGCGACCTGAGCTCGAGGACGTCGACGCCCGTGCACATGCCTTGTATTTCAGTCCTCGCTAAGCAGTTGAACGAGCTGACCCACGAACGGAGTACTTGATTCTCCTCAGCCTTTTAATACCCATCCCTCGGGTCTCACACAATCGGGACAGCTTCTGGAATGTCGGCCTTGCCAGAACTCGCTTCCGTCCAATCCAAGAATCCTTCAAGCCCTATCGAGTGGGCACCCGTGTTCACAGGCGCGCATCGAGCCTTTTCAATCGTGTCTTGTAATCTTACCGCACCGATGGGAGAGAAGAATCGAAGCATCTTCTCCGTGTATTCCCACCAAATTTTGTGACCAGGTAAGCTATATTAATTATCAGAATTACTACGACTGGAAGCAAAGATAGTTGCACGCCAAGCGTTGCGTATGGCCTCTCGCGGAGAATAACTGACGGCATCATAACTTCAATGGAGAGCCTACCTCAGCCTGATGGCATTTCGAAGGAGAGCCAACCAATGCTTTGTCCCTTGTTCATTCGAGCTACCCCGGTGCAGAAGGGTGCTGGCCGCCTCCATTGACGGAGTGTGGTCCGAGGATATCAAAGATGCGGGGAAAGATACCGCGCCGAATTGGAGAACAGATGGTAAGAAGGCATCGGATTTCCGCCGTCACACTGCCACAGGCGGTCTACCTTCGTTCTTGAGAGATGTGAGTTGTTCCAAGTGACAAGGACTCATAGGACAACTTACTTTTCAAGAAAGCATGGCAAGCTCAAAGAAACTGGTCTCGGCAGCCGCCGTGCAATCACATACCACCCGCGATGACTGCTGGATTGTCGTCGAGGGAAAAGTGTATAACATGACAAGATTCGCCCCAGAGCATCCAGGCGGAGCAGAGAGTAAGGTCCCCTGCATGGAAGATCATCCCAGGCTCACGAGACATCCCAGTAATATACACATATGCTGGCAGAGATGCAACCGAGGCTTATTTGGAGATCCATGAACCGAATCTCATCAAGTCCAACCTCTTGTCGGAGGAGCAAGTCGGGGATCTTGACCCAAGTACCCAGCTTCCAGACGTCCCACCGGGTCGAGATTCGAGGCCAAAGCAGAAGAAAGGAGACAAACCGTCGCTCGACACTTTCATCAACCTGTACGATTTCGAAGATGCGGCGAGGAAATCACTCTCAGAGAAGAGCTGGACCTTCATCTCGGGCGCTTCGAACGACAACATAACGCGAGATGCCAATCATGATTTATTCAGAAGGATATGGTTCAGGCCTCGGGTATTAAGGGACGTCTCGACGGTATCTACAAAAGGCACCATGATGGGTTGCCAAGTGTCTCTTCCCATTTGGATCGCGCGTAAGTCCCCTAAAGCTTTGTGTCGAGGTCGTTTGCAGTATTTCCACTGGTCCCCGTCTTCATAACAGCCCTATGCGATGCTGATAGTCAACCAGCGGCGGGTGTGGGCAAGACAGCCGGACCGGAGGGTGAGTTGGCGCTGAGTAAGGGCGCAGCGGCCACCGGTATCATTCAGACAGTTAGTTGCCCCCGGCGCGGATGAGTTTCTGGCGAAATTAACTACGTCCAGATATCGACCACGGCATCATTTCCGCTGCTTGAAATCCTCGACGCCGCGGGCAAGGACCATCCCTTCTTCTTCCAGTTATACATCAACAAGGACAGGTCAAAAACCGAAGAGCTTCTCAGAGTCATCAACAGTCGGCCGCAGATCAAAGCGTTGTTCGTCACCGTCGACCTTCCCGTCGTCTCGAAAAGAGAAGCAGACGAACGAATAAAGCACGATACCTTACATTCCAGCGGTCTGGGAGGTGCCTCAGCTGGGAGCGACCACAAGGGCTCGGGCCTCGCGAGAAGTGTTGGATCTTTCATTGACCCCGCGTTCTGCTGGGACGACCTCGCCTGGCTGCGCCGACAGACCCAACTGCCGATTGTTCTAAAGGGCATCCAATCAGCAGCTGATGCTAAGATCGCCATGCACATGGGATGTCAGGGGATTGTGGTGAGCAATCATGGAGGCCGGGCTCTGGATGGTGCTCCAGCCTCCATTCTCGTGCTCTTGGAGCTTCACAGGGAGTGTGCTGAGGTTTTTGATCACATGGAAGTGTTTATCGACGGAGGGTTCAGGAGAGGATCCGACATTCTCAAAGCCATCTGTCTTGGAGCCAGCGGCGTCGGCCTAGGCAGACCTTTCATGTATGCCATCAACTACGGCAAAGAGGGCGTCATGCATGTCGTCAACAGTAAGTTATCCATCCCCCACCTTTTTTGGGCAATTCTCTAGTTACGTCGCTTGTGGTGCGCTAACCAAGCTCTTTTTCATGGGTCAGTTCTCAAAGACGAAGTTGAGACGGCCATGCGCCTGGCAGGGCTCAAATCTCTTGACGAAGCCGACCCAGCTCTGGTCAATACCGCCGATTTGGATACTCTCGTCCCTCGCGGATCACTCCATCCTTATGCCCGCAGACGCGAAGGTCCGAGGAGACAATACCGTCTTTAAATGCTCCGAGGTGGGGATAATTGGGTGATTCACAATACCACTATCTAGATACTGAATTCGTGAAGTCTATGCCAAGTGCGAACAGCAGCCTCTTTCGAAGAGAGGGGGCGGTGCCCACCGTACGTGAGCCAGGGGACCCCATTGAAGTTGGCAGACATTAAGACAGAAAAGGCGTATTCCGTGAGCAGGGTGCTATATTTCCTCAAAAGAGCAAGCGCAGGGCACGATCCAGCGTCTCTCAAGTACTATTTTTTTTTTTTTTTTTTTGAAAGAGCATTCATAGTTTTTAAGAGGAAAGTACGATCAGATATGCCGAAACTGATCCGAACGAGTATTACCACTCTACAAGAACAGCAGCGTAGTGCTTCGCACGTACCTACATACATGATTCAATGGCTCCAGGCGCAAGACTTCCCCGAAATACGAATATGCTTGTTATTTTCCCGCCTGAGTGTGCATTCAGCTTCGGCGCGCCCACAATCTCCGGCATTGGCGGTGGTTGTGGTGGTGGCACGGCCAGGAACAGGAGGATTTCGCCACCACCACGACACCAAGGGTATGGAGAGTACCACGAGCAACTCCGCCTCGGGGCCCATGAGCGGCGCTCTTCCTCCATGCAGAAACTTCCCAAAGCCAATACACAGAACCGCTGTTCGATGTCACTACTAGCTAGCCAGCTAGCTACGGAGGACAGATACCTCACACACGTCGCTGGTGGTCGTGGGGTGGGCGTTCATCGATGCGATTGGAAGAAGAAACGCGAGTCACGAGGTATGTCTCGACGTTCCTTGCGAACGCCACGCAGGGAATTTCCGAAGCGCCAGAAAAGGTCCGCGAGCAAGAAACAGGCGGGGACCACAAAACACAGGCCCAGCATGTAAGCGATGGGTTTCTGCCAATCGGCCACTCTCCCCCACCACTCCAGGTCCAGCTCGACGTACTCGGACGTCCCAGTCGCGACCCGCAACGTCCCCGGTAGTAGGTTGTAGCCCAGATACTTGATCATCATGCCGCGGACGAGGTAAAGTGGATAAGAGATTTTACCAACGTACGTGGAGACAGGGTTGTTGAAAATCGGGTAGAGGGAGGAGCGCGTGGCCACGCTCCAGGCCACGAGGATCGAGCCGGTCAGGAGCACGCTGTTGTCGGGGCCTTGAATGCCCCAGCTGCAGAGGGGCGTTTGAAGGTAGTTTGGGGTTTGTTGGATCTCTTGAGGAGAGGAGATCATGAAGGCGCCGAATGCTCAGGGTAATCCACATGAGCTTGTAGAAGATACCTGGCAGATTCATAAGGGATTCGAGGCCTGCCAGTTGGTCCCAATGTTGTCTCTGTTTGCCGCGAGGATGACCCAGAAAGTATTATACCCCTAAAACAGGCGAAAAATACGCCTCGAGCCAAGTCGAGTTCCGCGCAGACCATACCAACGAAGGATAGCGATTCATACCATCGAGGAGTGTAGACGGCGTAGATGAAGAGTAAGGAAAATGAGAATGATACGCATGGAGCTGCACATTCTTGATGTTTTAACAAGAAGTGCAAAAACCGCCATGCTCGCACGGAACTCGATTGGTATCGTCCATTGGTGGTCATCGTACATGAGATAGTGATTTACATCTCTATCCTTGTCGAAGGGAGTTGTTGCGCTGACAATGAAATCCATATTAGTGAAGTATCCACTAACTGGTTAAATAGGGCCATGTGCGGCGGCGACTCTTCCTTCAAATAGACAAAGCCGCGATAATGTTGATAGATGTGGTTGGACCGATCGAAAAGACCCAGGCTGGTCAAAAGGCATGCAAAGAAGCTGCCTATCATGCGGGGTAGAAGCTAGAGGAGATAGTCTTCTGAAATTCGAGATAGGATTTGGACTGGATCAGTTGGACAGGCTTGTACCTAAGTACGTGACCGGAGATGACGAAGAAGAGGAAGACCGCAGCCTTGCCGTACCAGAAACAGCCGGATGAAGAACACTCGCATGATCCGGATTTGGGTCTCCATTGATTGATAGCAAATGACATGGTGCTCGTTGAAGACAAATAGACAAGTTATGCCCCTGTGGCCGGTGAGGCTCGAAATGCCGGCTTTGGAAGGCTTCGTCGCTGATGCGGCCGTTATGCAGCTGGGTACCAAGGCATGGCCAAACTTTTTTCAGGCTCGCAAGCACATCGAATTCACCATATGCACGGACCATTCACCAGCAGCGCCGGGATGTATTCCTGAAATCTGACAATATGCTCTCGCCCCCAACTGCTGGATTGAATGGAGTTCTCTCATCGAAGTACAAGCCCTGGTCGGAGTATAGGGAATCAATGCGCTGACGTCGCTCCTCGTAAGCCATTTCGAGACAATCCCCTGCAAATCCGGGTGGAAGCACCTCCGGAATCGCGCTGAATATGGAGAACTCCCGGCACAGCACGCTGTAAAATGGACACGGAGTCGCAGTAGACTTCTCGTGAAAAAGATTCGAGAGTATATGCTCCAACCTCAAGCGCTCGACAACAATATCATGACCTGCCCTGACATCTGGACCCTTGAGCATTGTTATGTCATGTTCAACAGCAGAGGTTTCTCTGCTCCACGGGTTGACTGGACTGAGAATGTCCCCCCAAATTGAGACAACCGTGGATGTCCAAAAGTAGAGACACGAAGGATCTAGATAGTAGGCGTATGTCAAGGTAAATTTATTAGTTCCTTGGCTTATCCAAAGGTGTGAGTAAACAGTGCTGTGCTTGAAAAGTCTGCTGTCTGTTCCATGCTGCCAGTCCAGCGTTTCAGCGGTCTAGTCAAGAATTCAGGGGTTGCCAAGGCTGGTCGAGGCTGAGGAGTGGTAAACTAGGTACGACAGACCAGCACAATATTTCATTCGGGACTGAGAACCGCGAGAAACCAGGATCCTCAACAGCTTCTAATGACCTAGAGGAGCTTGAGAGTGGTTGAGATCAGTGTTTGAGCTCCTGGGAAATCAAAGTCGATCACACAAAGTGGACCGTGTCTGACAGACATCATTAGGAGCAGTCAATCGAGCAATTTCTTCCCAGGTTGGCTACGTAGTGTCCCATTTCCGAGCTTGTCCATCGGGAAGGGTGCGTGGTTGCATCGACTCTAATGCAGCTCAGTACGCGTGATGGTCCATTGCCGACTGCACCTTGTCGCGATTGCTCGCTTCCAGAGTAGTTAAGGCGTATATCAGGAGGCAAAATCAGGTTTGGTTAGTGCTTGGGACACGGCGAAAGGCTCTCGAGGCTGTGCTCCCTTTCCCCAAGACTTCTACCCCACAATTACCCCTTTACTCATTCACCTTCATGTACCCCACATTGGTGGTATGACGAACAGAGTCACTCCGATTTGCTTTGAGCGAAGGATATTATAGAAACTCAGCTACGATCTGACCGCTGTTTGTTATTTTCATTTTGACAGGTTTGTTCGAGTTTCGCATTATTCCATCCGTTGTCGACCTGAGAGACTTCCTCCTCGTTGGCCCGAGATGTCCTCATCGTCGTCGAAGCCATGGGCTATAATCGTCGGAGCGGGGCCATCGGGCCTTCTTCTTGGCCTGATGCTCGCAAAGAAAGGCATACCTGTCCACCTGATCGACATGTCCGTCAAGCTCGACGAACAGCCACGAGCAACACACTACGGGTCCCCTGCCATGTACGAGCTGAGACGGGCTGGGATCGTCGAGGATATGCGTGCCCAAGGATTCCACCCGGACACCGTTTGCTGGAGAAAGTTGGACGGCACATATCTCGCCGGCGTGAAAATGGGTGTAGAGCACGACCCGGATCGAATGGTCTGTTTGCCGCTGAATAGGCTGGGGAAGATCCTCGTGGACCACATTGGTCGGCAGCCCTCAGCGACCGTGTCTTGGGGACACAAGGTTGTTTCGATCGGGCAGGACGACCACAAGGCCTGGGTCATTTGCGAGACCCCAGAGGGCGAGAAACGACTTGAAGCTGAATATATCATTGGATGTGACGGTGCGAATAGTCAGGTAAGACGCTCTTTATTTGGGGATAAAGAGTTCCCAGGGAAGACATGGGACGAGCAGATTGTTGCTACCAATGTAAGTTCTCATCTACCAGGGGGAAATTCGTACGTGACTGACGAAGGCAAGACATACTACGATTTCTCGAAGTTCAACTGGCTTGACTCTAATTTCATTATTCATCCCGAGCACTGGTACATGGCTGCCAAAATCGGCAATGATGGTCTTTACCGAATCACGTATGGTGAGATGCCAGGCCTCACCAACGAGCAGCTACGAGACAGGCAGCCTTGGAAGTTCAAAGCCATGCTGCCAGGGAATCCTGAGCCAGATCAGTACCGAATAGTGAACTTTAGTCCATATCGAATTCACCAGAGACTGGCGCCGAGTATGCGCGTCGGACGGGTTTGTCTGGCAGCGGATGCGGCTCATTGTAAGCACCCAAGAGATCAGGAAGAAGACCTCTTTGCTGACATGACACAGTGTGTAACCCCTTCGGCGGTATGGGACTGACAGGCGGAATCGTCGACATTGGTGGCCTGTACGACTGTCTCGTTGGCATCCACGATGGGCTGGCAGACGACTCGATCCTGGACAAGTACTCCGAGATAAGGCGGCAGAAATACAACGAGGTTGTGAACCCAATATCTAGTGCCAATATTGTGCGCTTGTTTGGGCAGGATCCCGACAAAGCTCTGGAAAACGATGAATTTCTGCAAATGTGTAAGCGGACGGAGACGGATGAAGAGTTTGCGAAGGACTTCCGATACAGTGCGAACGTTTTGAAGCATGATTTCACTCAGTACTATCGCAAGAATCCAACAAATGGTGACGCTAAGGGCGCTAATGGATATGTGGAGCTTGGTAAGGACTCGACAAGTGCAGCGCAAGTGACGGCTGCGGGAGTAACAGACTGAGGTAGAATCAGCGTACATACTTGCTGCAGAAAATTTGGAAGATATCTAAGGATCAACGAGGGCGTTCATCTCTAGCTTGCATCAGGTTCAGCCACTCTGTGTCTTGCAGTTTTTAGGCAACACACTACGCCTTGGCCTCCTGGATTTGCTGTTCGACCTCATGGCTTTCTTCGGTAGGCGAGAAGACCTTTCCAAATCTGAAATAAGCGATATCACTCATACCCCGGGTAACGTTCCTGAGATTCTTTCTCACGAGTTGACTTGTCGGCTGCCTGAAAATAAGGTCGATCTCCTCCAAAGTCTTATTCTTCGTCTCAGGCATGAACAAAAGTTGATAGATCCAACCGAGCACTGCGATGCCTCCATAAACGCCGAGGGTCAACCCCGTCTTAGTCATCGCGCGCTGCATATCCGAAAAGAAGTAGGTTACTAGCCAGCTGCCGAAGAAAAGGTTGGCGTCGGTGGACTCCATGCCGTAGGAACGGAGGTAGGTAGGGAAGACCTCACTGGGCAGAACCCAAGTAAGGCGTGCGTATGACCCGAAGAAACGGTTGTAGAGAATGATCCCAGTGAGATACATCCCCTCTGTGGCTGTGACAGAGTTCAATTGATAGGAGACACCAACGAAGATGAGACCGACGAAGAAGCACGGAAGCATAGTGTTTGCCCAGAAGCGACGACCGAACTTCTCCATGTACAACACGCCTGGTATGGTGCCCAAAAGGAGGGATCCGCCGCCCACGAGAGATATGAAAACGGATTGCTTCTTATCAAATCCAATCTGGGACATCAGGGTGGACATGTAGTACATCTATTGGACCAAAGAGCGGTTATATTAGTAATTTTGATCTAGTGCGAAACGAAACCGACATAAGACTTACAATTGCATTGATTCCGGTTAACTGGCCAAGCGCGATCATGATGTTTGCGTAAACGATAGCTCTCCGTGCACGGGGATCGGTGAAGAAGTCCAGCCATACGAATCTTCGGCGTTTTTTTGTCACCCTCGTTGACCTCCGCATCGAGAGCGTGGTGCATGATGAAGAATTCCTTGTGATCCTCAGCACTGGCGAGTCCTCGGATTCGCTTCCAAACGGCGAATGCTTCCAAAGTTCGACCTCTGTGTAGAAGCATTCGCGGAGACTCGGGCATAAAGAGCATCTAATCTGCGGTTAGCATCGAACAGATATATCCAGAAGGACTTTGTAAAGAAAGCCTCTTCAGAAATCCGTTTCGAGGATACTTACGCCCACAAGCATAATGGTGCTGAAGACCAGGGACGAGCAAAGCATATATCTCCAAGACCCAGACGGGACGTTGACAAAAATAGCGGCGACCACATACCCAATGACTTCTCCAAAAGCGATCATGAATTGATACAGACTGACCAGGTTGCCGCGGTATTTCTTCTCGACCGATTCTGCACCGTAGACTGGAACCGTACCTCCTTCGAGACCAAGGCCCATGCCGAGGATCACTCTCGCTCCGACAATCATGCCGAAGTTGATAGCACCGGCTTCCAGAGCGCCTCCGATTGTATAGAGGATCAAGGAAATGATGATCGCCATCTTCCGACCGACCAGTTCATTTGATGGGACCGAGGATAGGAGCACCTCCGATTGCGCCAAGTGGCACAGCAGAGCTTGTCAAACTGACTTGGGACGTGCTGAGATGCAGATCTTCGGGCATGTAGAGCAAGGCACCAGAGATGACACTCTGATCAAGGCCGGAGAGCATCCCACCCATCGAAGCAAACCCGACAAGGAGCCAGGTGAAGTGGCGGGGATCATTGAACGAAATTTGCGGATTGAGAAAGGAGCTCTTGACCGGCTGTGCTTCGAGGGCGGGTTCGAATTCTGCGATTTCTTCATCAACGATGGCAATGTCGTCCTCAGCCAGTTTCATTGCCTGGGCTTCACTCAGACGTCGAGATGCGACTGATTGTTGTCTCCTAAGAGCTCGTTGTGGTGTCTTTTCATCTTCGACATGAGTCGGGTCCTGGGAATTGTCGAGGCCCATCTCTGCAGAGAGGACGTGAAATCCGGAATAAGAAAACTGCAGAATGAAGTATTTTTGGTTTGATACCGCGAGGTTTCCACGCGACCGCATTTTCATTGTCTTTATATTCCTCACGTCGGAAACCTTCAGCAGATCCCTCGTGGCCCCGGCACGCCCTTCTCATATCAATGCAGGGTTTAGGATATGATCGCATTGCATGGTTGAGCAAAGAGGTTGCGATCGGCGAATGTCTCGGGGGAATTGCAAAGGCTGCTGGCCAACTGTACTGCGTATGCAGACCCATTGAGGATTGTTGTGGCATAGCTTCACGCCTTTTCATGCGGTTAACCGGCAATTGATCAGCAAAGATTGACAATCGAAGCTTTTTTCAAGCTTCTAGCTCATCCGTTGCTTCTTCGCGGGATCATCGCATTCAACCTGAAGATTGGCTGCTTTTGGCAGCCTGTGGGTTCGTCTCATGAGCAATATCGTCATCCACAATTCTCCGCTGAAAATCTTTGCAGTAGCGGCAGTAGCGCCAGGATCGGCTATTGAAAGGTAAGGGGAGCAGACTGGGGAGAGCGTCGCCAGCTTGACCGCTCAAATTACCTCATGCCTGGGTTATAAGTGGCCAATCGTCTCTTTCAAAGTCGGCTTCTGAGGAGGCCTTGGGTGATGCAGGGTACATGATTAACGACAGTTCAACTTGAGCTGAGTCGTGTCAAGGTCCCTGGGTCCTAGGTCTTTCAGTCGACGAGCCATAATGACAGCCGAAGAACAGCATGCTGATGGTACCATTGGTAATGTGTCCCAGGCAGAAGGGCCACGACAAATCTTTCAACGCAATCCGAAGCTTCTGTCGCCCTTTTGGTACAATCTCGACAATGTCAGAAACAAGAAAAGTCTCGGCTTTCCCCTTCAAGTTCGGTTGTGACTGGTCCTCGGCAAGTCGGGGCAGGTCTTGAGGAGCCTTGGTGGATGATGAGGGGTTCCGATAAAGCCCTTAACGGGGAGCTCACAGGCTGCATACCTGGTTATTGCCGAGGCATGTGGATTGGTATGAGGCTGCACCAGCCTTGTCGTTGAACGCGTCCTTCACATTCATCTTATTCTAATCTTCCGTGCCGGCTGTACAATCAATCAAGATAGTTGCATATCTGAAAGGCAATTAAACATTTGAAAGCTGTCTGCGCAACAAGACTCGCCTGGTGTGTACCGGCCTGACGTAAGACAGCATCAAACAGCTGTGCCTAAAGGAAGCCCATCATGACCATTGACGATACTGCTCAAGGCAAGACGAAGGCAAGTGTCCGACTTGATCAGATCCAGCAACAGGTTTTGGGGAAATCAAATCCCCGCCGTCAGAAGAAGACGAAGGCAGCTGAAGGCCCGGCAGATTGGTCCGACGTGCTCGCGGAACTGGACCAAGTTCGAAAACTCGCCCAAACTCCAAAAACCAACACCACCGGTTACATTCGTCACAAAGAGGCAGGGAAACTATGGGTTAGGGAAAGGGTGGAAATGCTCCTTGATGCGGGAAGTTTTCGAGAAGTTGGGAGCGCCGCGGGTACAGCTACATGGGTTAAAGCAAATCCCTCATCCGACAACATCGTTGAGGCGGAAAAGGAGATTATTGCCGACTTCGTTCCCAGCAACAATGTCCAGGGTAAGAGAGCCGTCCACTTGCGGTGTGCCAACTGACAGTGATTTCAGGATTCGGCAACATCCGGGGTCGAAGAGTACTATTGACTGCGGACGACTTCACTCTCCGCGCGGGCCATGCGGATGGAGCACTGATGGCAAAGACACTGTATATGGAAAAGCTTGCGGTGCACATGAAGCTCCCCATGATCAAATTAGTTGACGGCTCTTCGGGTACGAAGGCGATTGTCCTATCTTGTTTGTTCTCACATGCTTATGTGTCATAGGCGGTGGGTCGATAACCACCTACCGAGTCCAGAAAGCATCTTACATTCCTCAATTGGAACTGTTACCATGGGTGGTAGGTTGTGGAAATTCATAACCTGGATGCTTCACTGATATTTATGCAGATGCGGCAATTAGATCTGGGCATTCCGAATTGTGCAGCTGTGGTTGGTCCGGCCGTTGGGCTGGGTGCTGCGAGGGCTGCTGGATGCCACTTCTCCGTCATGGCGAACGACATTGGGTCACTCTTCAATGCCGGACCAAAAGTGGTTGAAGGGGCCACCTTCGAAGAAGACCTGAGGTTTGTATCGTCGATCGTTGTGGTTGCGCCGGTCTCTGACGTACCAACAGTCCGAAGGAACTTGGCGGAGCGGATATTCATTGCTGCAATGGAGTTATCGATAACTTAGCGGCAGATGAGCGTGGCTGCTATGATCAAATAGCACAATTCTTGCAATACGTACCGAACCATGGCGGCGTACTACCGCCTGTCTTGCCTTCGACGGACGAGCCCAACCGGTTGTGCCCGGAACTGAGGGAGGCCATACCTCGAAGGCGGCAACGTTCCTACGATGTCAGGTCGATTATCCACCACCTTGTTGACAGGGACTCTTTTTTCGAAATTGGCCGACTCTGGGGCAGAACAGTCGTGGTAGGCTTAGCCCGTTTAGGTGGCAGGCCGGTGGGCATTTTCGCAGAGTACGTCCCTTTCCTTCTTGATCGAGTGTAGCTTTCTTTCTTTCGAGGAGCAATGACTACTCCACCGCTTCGATGCAGGCTAAGAACAGTGCATAGTGATCCTCAATTCAATGCCGGAGCCATGGACACGCCCGGCTGTCAGAAACTAATGAAGCATATCAAGCTTTGCGACGTGATGGGCCTTCCTCTGATTCAACTTTTGGATATCCCAGGGCAAGTTCCCCAGCTTCCCGTCTCTCCTAACATAACTCCTTGATACTAACAGAACATCAGATTTGCCATCGGGACTGCCGCAGAGAGGAGTGCTTGCATGAAATGGGCGATGGAGCTTTGCAAGGTCTGTTTTCTGATACTTAACCCCTGTTCGTTTACTCATCAGTGAATAGGCTTACTTCTCCACCACGATTCCCATCTATACCATCATCATTCGGCGATGCTATGGTATTGGAGGGGCTATTCTCGCCGACAACCGAAATCCAAATTGCAGGGTTGCATGGTAAGATCGCGATAACATAATCCAATGGCGTAACTGACAGAATCGAGGCCGTCAGTGAATTGGGGTTCGCTTCCCCTGGATGGTGGGATTGAAGGCATGAAATTTCATATTCCATTGACAGTGGTTTAGTCAACTAACGATGATTAGTCAACCACCGAGCCGAGCTTCGAAGAGCTGGAGAAAACTACAAACAGGTCTATGGCCGGCTTGAAGCAGAGTACCTCAACCTTATGAATCCAGTCCGCACGGCAAACTACTTTGGGATAGAAGAAATTATCGATCCAGCGATGACGAGAACTCTGGCTTGTGAATGGACAAAGGACATGTAAGAAAAATTCCTGCTCCGTCGCTGTCCCTTTCACTGACGCAAATATTCACTGACCAACAAACGCTCTAGGTATGAAACAAATCTGCCTGAGCGACTAAAACAAAGGGACTGTGGCAAGATTCAGCCGTCCTTTGCTTGACAAGAACAGGTGCATTGAAATTCTTGGTAGCCCTTCTGACTCCTTGAACATTACCATTGATTATGAATGACCGCAAATAACCTCTCTAAGTCTGAAAGGCCCTTGCCGTCCAGATTCCTCCTTCCCTGAGACACAGTACTGGTTGCTGAATCTTTCAGAATTCAATGATTGTTTTAATGCGACCACCCAAACCTGGAACTTCCATCCGTATTTGTCCCTTTCTCTTTATTCATTTGTGTGAATCATTTTCATAGAATGTTCCCCTTCATGAGGACCACAACATCAACTCTCTATTCCACCGACACCGATCTCTAGCCTTGCTTGAAACGTGCCCATGTCACCATAACATCGACGGCCAGTCATGGGCTGCTCCTTCTCTCTTGATGATTTCTGCAAAGGCCACTGTCAATGACAGAAATGCCTCACTTTCAACAATTCAGCTTGGTGGGCCTTCGTGGAATGGCCCTCACAAGTGAAAGACTACAGTGGAAATATAACCCCAGAAGCTATCCATCCATAGCAATGTGGCCGAAGAGTAATCGACATGCAACCATTTCAGGCAATTTACTGGAATTTCAAGTTTGGCTGATTCAGCAGTATGCTGGCGGAGCTGGACACCACTGTCAAGTGCCTGAAGGATAGCAGTACAGCATCGGCTAACTACGAGGAGCCAAAGGTAAGGACCGTAATATGGTGTGTAAGCACGACAGTGATAGCATCAACACCAACATCAGTAGTAGATAAATATGCGAACTATTACTCCGTACGAGGGCTCTGATGTGGCTCGCCGGGTCTTCGGAGGTCTTTCGCCAAGAGCCAGCCTTCCGGATTCTACTGTACTTCCATTTTCTAATATCTATGTGCGACTGATCAACTACATCCCCAAAGGGACTTACCTGTAAAGTTGGATTCGTATTGTGGAACTCCAACAAGACACGAATGTCGCTACAGTCGGCCTTTCCTTTTCGTCTCCGGCAGCCCCCAACCTTCAGAAGGGATGTTCAACACCTCGCCACATCACCGGTTCGCCAGTTTCGGGCGAGCTATTCGCGGACGTCTGGAAAACTCTTCGTATTTGTGAATCTCTTTTGCCGTTCCAGTTAGGAAAAGGTGAGGTGTTCAGCTTGGGCTTGTTTTGATGAATACTAGTAAACAAGGATTTCAACTCACCTTGCCCATGTATCTCACATTGCACCATAGCCCCGACCACTGGACCGCTCCTCATCAGGCTGAGCTGTTCATTATATTGCAAAGACGAGGACCGAATAAGAAAGAAGATGGTTCACCAACATCACGTCCGCTGCGTGTCTCTCAGGGGTGGCCTAAGTGATCGTAGTCAAGGTTTAAGTCCGTTACTCACATCTCAGGGCGGTGGCGAGCCCGTTCATATGGTCCTATCTAGTAAGTACCGTCAAATCGCTTCATTCCCTCCCAGGACTGCATTCCTCGGAGCCCACTGTGCTTACTGCAACTCCTAGGCTCGGGTTCTGGATGGGCCCGGCCCAGCAGACCTGAACTGTCATCAATAGTGTTACCAAGATGTCGGGCGTTGAACCTGCTCGCTCGGTTAGAACGATTTGGAATATATGGTATTTAAGGTCGTCGCATTCTCGATCGGCTAGGATGTTATGAGACGATTGAAAGCCACGCGATCCCGTTGACCAACATTCAGATATGGATGGATGGTCGGATGCTCAGAGATTCGGATCAACTGCTCCTCAATCATAAGAGGTACGAGTATATAGCTTGTGATGGCAGATGTTCTCTGACCCTATGACAGGTTGGGCTATCCGGTGTTTTTCGTCGATCGCCATCTTCTTCTAAGAAAGATTTATGACAATATCGAGGATAAAAGCCGCCTTCTGTTTGATGAAAGAGTGTCTGGAATTGACCACAACCAAGAAGCCGCAACGGTTCGATGCAGGGACGGAACGGCATACACCGGAGATGTGGTGATCGGTGCAGACGGAGTCCACAGCATTGTACATCAAGAAATGTTCCGACATATGGAGGTCAACCGACCGGGCTTACGGGACGCTGAAGAGTAATGGTAAGCATTAAGGAGAAATAGACCGTAAACACAGAGACTCTAACGAATTACAGCAATTTTATCAGAGTATAAGTGCATGTATGGAGTGTCCAGACCAGTTGAAGGTTTGAGGCCGGGGGCCTTCTCTCAGGTGTTGGGCCATGATCTCTCCTTCTTGCACACCCTGGACAAATCAGGGCGCGTCTTCTGGTTCGTCTTCGAAAGGATGGACAAGGAACACCATCTTCCAAATATCTCCAAGTTCAAGGAGGACGACGCAGTGGCTTTGGCTCAGCGATCGCCGTCACTTCCACTGAGCGAGAAAGTCAAGTTCGCTAATCTCTTGGAGAATCGCTTGGCTTACAAGCTCGTACCATCGGAAGAGGGAATGTTCCATCACTGGACATGGCGCCGTCTCATATGTATAGGGGACTCCATCCACAAGGTTTGGCTATCTTTGGAATTTTCGAGCGTTAGCTGACCTTTACTAGTGGACTCCTAATATCGGCCAAGGGGGTAATAATGCCATCGAGTCAGCAGCATGTGTGGCGAATGCTCTTTACCGACTCGCATCGTTGCATGAAACTCCGCCAGAGAAAGAAGTTGAACGAGGTCTCAGCAGTGTGCCTGAGCGACGAAAACCGCGAGCGACGTCGACATTTAAGAACTCAACACCTCGCTACGAGACATGAGGCTTTGAAAGGCCCGAAGGAGGAACTATTGATGCTGTCCATATTCCCACGGGTGCGTGAATGGCTCGTCAACAGAGCTGCACTTGCTGCCGTAGGTGCAGAGAAACTCAACTTCCTTCCAGACCCACCTAGGTCATACCAAGGGACCATGGCCTTCAACCAGAACTACGGTCTGGGGGCCAAGAAATATGTCAAAACAAGAGCGGTCACTGCTCTGCCTCTCTTGATGTTGGGATTATTGGCGCATAGGATATTCTCGAACATCCTCTCACAAGCTGCTTTGCAGGGTTAGGTCACTCAATCATTGAGATCTGGTCAGATGGGGTTCGGTGCTCAAGCCTGTAGTCTTCCAACAAATAGCAAACCCTTCAACTTCCTTGTCACATTGTTCTCACCCTCAGTCCTGAACATCGAACCTCTGCAAAGAATTCAGACGACATCGTTTCTGACCGATCTGGCACCGCTGTGGCTTATTTTCCCCTTGGAAGCCGACCGTCGGGCTAATTAGTTCAAGATTATTACGCTCCCACTTTTTCGGCATCGCCTTCCAGTTACTAGGAATTGGCGTTGTCGGGCCTGTCTGATGCTTTCTCCATTTCTTGCAGAGCCCTGTTTCCGACTACGCAGCACTTGATTGGAGACTTGTCAATGTGGCTGCTGCGAAGACAGCCGGTTTTGCTGTTGCCCTGACCCTCACCATCCCAACGTTGGCGATATACTATGTTCCAGAATCTTCGCAACGTTTAATGATCAACGCAGTCTGGCAGGCATTTCCTGTTCTTACTGGCGTTGTCCATTACCTCCTTCGAAAGTATGCTGTGGATTACACTACGACGCATGGCCGCATCTACAATGTTGAGGCAGACCTATCATACGTTAGACTCACGGTGTGGGCTTTTGCAGGAATATCGACAACGTTCTTCAACTGGACCCGGTTCTTTTCGGGTACTTATTTGGCCAGGATCTCCTTTCCCGACGGGACAACCTTGACATCTATCATCTTTTTGGGACAAGACCAGCTTGATCTCGTCACCGGCACGAGGCTCCTTTTCCAGGCCGACGAGATTGCATGTTTTGCCGCCGCAGTTTTATGGCTAGCATTTCTCACCCGCGACCTTAAGGAGGCCGAGATGGCTTCTATCAGCTGGTTAAAAGCAATTGCGCTTGCTATTGCAGGCACATATCTACTCGGGCCTGGGGCGGTGGTTGCACTGACTTGGTGGTGGAGAGAGAATATCCTCGCGACGAAGAAGGCAAAGGGCTCCGTCATCGGTCGCATTTGAACAAATCCAGAATACCGTACTCTCGGCGATGCAACAGAAACGACAATGAATACTTGGTGCCTTGCGTCGTGTCCGCGGCATGCTCTAAGGGGCGGATCGACTAGCTCAGACTTGAAGGGCATCTATCAAGTAGGAGGCTGTTTTCCAGATATGGCAATCAAAACATCCGGTCGGCAGGCAATATCGGTCTCTTCCCATCGAGCCGCGTCCAGGACTGGACCACTTGATTGGTGGCTTTCCGCCCCTCGAACTTGTCTGTTTTAAGGAATGTGCTCATCTTGGTTAAGCGTTGTGTTGGCTCATCGTGAGTTGTGACATCCCCACGCTCATTTCGTGTCCTCTCGCTCTTGCCTTGTCATCCAACCAACCAACTTTGAATCCTTTAAAAGACATATCCCCAAATTCCTCTGGCCTCTTTTCTCTCTCATTTCTTCCCATATTTCGGCTTATCTACTCACGTCACTTGCCTCTAGTATATCCTCTCTGCCTAGCCTTTCCCGACTTCCCACCACTCCTCTACCTGTAACAGTGGATGCAGGGCTCTTTGATCATCCAAATGTCAAATAATACCAAAAGACTCAAGTTCGCTATGGATAGCGCCTCCAGCAATGGAGTGCTGCACCCCGCATTGCTTTGTGACTCCCCAGGGCCTTCTACAAGCGCTAGACAAAGAATCCCAGAAGAGTCAACCGAGTCGCGCCAGCGGGGGAAACGTGCCGGAAGACCGTGGTCATTAAAACCGCCGCCGCCGGGGACTCTTGTATTGGCTGTTGATCGAAACCTCGAAGAAGTACCGATCGTCCAGGCCAAGAGAAAGGACCCGCCGGCGTGGGACAGTTCTTCAGAAAGCAAGTGCTCGAAACGCTCGTTGGGACACAGACAAAACTATTCTCTCGCTCTTGAAAACGACCCAATAATAGAAAAACTGGGACAACTACAGGAACTACTGCATATTGAAGCGAGAGCAAAGCTGCGACCCAAGTCCCCGAACAACAAGCTGTTAGAATGCTGGGAGAATGATGGAGTAGACTCGCCGTGGCTGAAAATGAAGGAACAACTCGTAGCGGAGGTCAAAGGTAGTTTTTCCTCGACGCCGAGAAACTTATGCTGATTGAGATGGCAGAAAAATACGTACGTCTTCTCTGCGCCGAGAAGGAAGTCATCGAAGGAACTGGGGCTTTTTCAGCATCTCCAGTGAAAGAATTGGACAAAGCGCAGTGGTCAGTGCTGATCGGGCTGACGCGAACATTACCCCATGAGCAGGAAGACTTTTTCCTTGCATCCCATGATCCTGTACTTGCCAGAGTGGTGCAACGGTTAGCAGGGCACTATGATCTCCCCGAGCGGCTTTGGCGGAACAGCAACAAGGCCATCCTGGAAATCTTACAACAACGAATCCCAGACCACCTGGAGAATATGATTGCGTATGTCGACTTGTCCTTCAAGATGCTGTCACGGCTCGACGCTAAATTTCCAGAACTTGGGGACCGCTGGGCCGAATGCATGCAGGACCTCGAGACTTATCGAGACTTCCTCGAAGGAATTCGTGTCAACGGGTCAAATTCCGATGAGGAACTTCCACCGAGTAGCGTCGCAGATCAGCATCTGTGCCAATGCTCGGAAAACGGAGAAGCGTCATCTAGTGGTGGTAGTCGTTCCTCGGACGCTACCTTTCAACTACCACCACAGAGAGATGGCACACATTATTTTCCGTTCCTCGGTGCAGGACAATCCATCCATTGGCTGTTTGGAAGCGGTGGTTCAGAATCGAGCGACGACAGTCAGTCCTTGGCGCCGGACAACGATTTCGGCGGATGCACCGATGACGAGACCAAGATTCAAGAAGAATTCGACCGGTGGTTCAGCGGGCTGACTCCAAAGCTGTTTGACGCCGAAGGAAAGAACAAGTGGGTGTTGCTCGGCTGGCTCCACTATGGGAAGCATCTTGCTAGGAGTTTCTGGTCGTACCAGAGGGTCTTCAAGGTGCTGCTCCTGAATGTGCTTCTGTGAGGTCTGCTGTGGGGAATCATGGAGAAAAAAGAAAGGACAAAGTTTACGATCAGTGGAATCTCGCATGCCGAATCTTGCGTAGTCTTCGACCCATCGACCTACCCACACTGTGCTGGTATTTTGGAAGAACTACCCCTATATGCAGGCACAGAAAAATGAACAAAACAGCATCTCTTTTACACTTGTCAGGAGTTCTTGTTATGGGATGTACATCCAGATTTATCTCGATCCAAGGCTCTTCATCTTCTACAGTCGACAACGCCTGGCAGATGCTATTCCAAAAAACTAGTCTCCGCTTGCGGAGCTTCACCGTGTGCGCTATTGCATAGCTATCAGCGCAGCCACAAGTTTGGTTCTCTCAGACATGTAGGCCATAAGTTGTTGAAGCTATGCCTTAGCATCGTGGATCGCCAACCCCTCTAGGACCACAGGAAGAACTCGTACTAGTTTGACACATGAAAACGGGAGGCTCGAATAATTAGCTGGTATTTGACACCTAGGCCGTTGGGCTGCCTGTAGCGAGGCCGAGGCAGGTGATGATCCAGCCTATGGCGTTGTGGATGTGTCTGAGATGATGTCAAGTCGGCAGCACCAGGGCGCCTTAATTGGCCTTGTCTATACGCGTACGAGGTAATGGCTCCAAGCCTTTGATACCAAGAAGCACGCTAAGGCCTTGTCAAAGAAGGGCGTACATTTGAGTACACTGATGCAAACAAATATCTTTGTAGAACATCGCAAGGTCGGACTACCTCATCGCTTCAGACGACTTTGTGATCCTTGGGAATCCTTCCCCTTGCTAACACAATGGTGCAACTCGCTACCTTCCAACTTGCCAATGTAAGTCTCCAGACCTTCAGATTTTTTTTTTTCAAGAGAGCTGTTGTTCACCTCGAGGTTTCTTAGTGGATTGAAGGCAACAAGGATAGCGCTCAATATGTCCTCGGCGGGAGCGCTGCCCCGAGCATATCGCTGGATGATCTTGTTTCTCTCTCCAGAGACTCTGCCGCGACTGAGGAAGCGTTGAAGTTTCGATCCATGAAATTGAATCTCGGGACACCGGAGGGCGCGCTGGAGCTGCGCAGGCAAATTGCGAACTTGTACAGCGAGGACGTTTTGCCAGAGAATGTCATCACTGCCCCGGGAACCACGGGGGCCAACTTGACGGTTTTTCAGAGTCTTCTGCAGGCCGGCGACCACGTAATCTGCCAGTATCCGACATATCCACAACTTCTTGCGCTGCCAGAAAGCTTCCCGTGTGAAATGTCCTACTTGAACCTTGATCCTGGCAACGGATGGCAGCCTAGCGTTGAAGAGCTTCGTGGATTGATCAAACCATCGACCAAGATGATCGTCCTGAACAATCCGAGCAACCCAACAGGTTCACATCTCGACGGGGCGCTCCAAAAGAAAATTCTGGACGTTGCTCGCGAACACAACATCATAGTGTTTGCAGACGAGATATTTCGGCCACTCTATCACGTTCCCTCTGCTGCATCCACTCCCTCGCTGGTGGAACATGGATACAGTAAAGTCATCGTCACAAGTTCAATGAGCAAAGTATGGGGTATGTCGGGGGTGAGGATCGGATGGATCGTATCTCGCGACCGCGACATTCTCGACCTCCTCCTAAATACCCGTCAATATACAGTCATGTCAACGGGCCTCATCGATGAAGTCGTTGCCACAGAGACGTTGAGCGATCGCTGTCGTCCGCTCATCCTGAAAAGACATCTCGAATACGCGCAGGAGAATCTGGCCGTGTTAGATGCATTCATCAAGAAGAATAGCGACATGTGCTCCTGGATACGGCCAACAGCTGGAGCAATTGCTTTTGTCAAATTCTCCTCTCCAAATGGAGAAGTGATGGATGAGGTTGAGTTCTGTCAACAACTCCTGAAAGAAAAAAGGGTGCTCATAAGTCCCGGCAGTCTCTGCTTTAGCACAGAAAGGCAGAGAGACTTTCGCGGCTATGTTCGCATTCACTTCACGCTCATGCCAGAATATTTGAGTAAAGCTCTCGAAATGGTTGATGCCTTTCTAGCCGACAGGCGCAGAGTGTTGGGCGCGACGCCTCGATTATAAGCAGATAGAGAGATCTGAGCACTTGTTTCCTATCTCTAACTCTACCGCCAATAAAGTCCTTTTTCACTTTGCAGAGATGCATTCCAAACTGCGTAGCCTAGTTATCATATCAAACAAGCTGGTCTTATGCTGCAGTCTGCAGGCGATGCGAGTGCATCTGGGCTATAGTACTACTTACCGAGAAGATGGTGCATTCCATCACCGTGGGGAACCGACACAGACATCAAAAAGCTCCGAGACCAGCACAGTTCACAGGGCTGAGCGGAGCATTGAGCTAGAGACACGCGGTCAACTTGAGCCTCCCATTTCCAAGCGTGTTTGGCGTGGACTAGCCATGATCTGTCGTTTCTGATTGATTTGGACCGTGTTGAAATCCATGCTGAAGCCCCTGTGACTCCGGCACCTGGCAGTCCTGGCAGTCCTGGCAGTCCTGGCCTGGCACCTCTGTACGGGTCACATATCAACGTCGATCACGTCCAGCAAAAGCCTTGCCGCAGTTGTTCTTTTCCTTCCCTGGATAGGCGAAGCAATTTGCCGAGTTTCAAAAAGATAAATGCAAAGCTAAATCCATCTGGGGTCAATTTGACCCAGTGGCAAGCTGAAGCGGCAGTCCGCATATTTGCGTGATGCCAAATCTCGGTCCTACTTCCGGAATTGCCACGACATAAGTCCTCTAAATATACCGACGGGGCCCAGAGTGCTCTGCGTGAGATCGATTTGGAAGGAGCGGAAGGAGCATCACCAGATGCCGCGAGCATGAGCGCATCCTTGAGCGAACTGGTGGCGACGATAAACCCATGAAAAGGGGGAAATCAACAGGAATCCCTGTACTCTTCCGGGCTGGGTAGGTCCTTATTCGCAGAAACATCTCCGGGCAGACGAGGCGCCCATGGCGAGCCGATCTCGCCTGTTTTGGGACGACCTGGAGAAGCCCTGGCGGCCCTGGAGCCTTGGCGAGCAAGCCTGATGAGGCCCCCAAAGACCAATTGACGCCGCCGAGGGCACCATCTGTGCTCCAACAAGCGGGCGAGGCTTGTCATAGTTGTTTCAGACCTGGAGGCCTTCAACTCTGTAAACAATGAGCACGGGGATGAACGCGTCTGTTTGGGTGGGTGGGTATGGAAAACGAATCGATGGGAAGGATAGACACCATATGCAGGATAACATTCGGCACCGAATACCAGCATGTCCACAGAGGTAACAGACTCCGTCCACTGGCACGCACAGCCTTGATACCGAAACAACATGGAAGAGGGGCAGAGAAACACTGACCACCAACCCAAACCTAGGGCTTGGGTAGAAACATCCACGAATTCTCCGAAAGGTGTAAGCAGTAATACTCCGTACGGAGGGCCGAGTATATATTATGTACGTACTTTCTTGGACTATGGCGTCCAGGTGGAAATTAGCCGAAAGATGGAGATGGAAAACATCCTCAAACACCTCGTGGGCGAGCAGGATGACGAATTCTGATTTCCCCATGTCATGATTCTTCGTCCTGAGCTGCTTCGATCCTTCCGCAAACCGCAAATGCAGCCGGGGTCACCGCTCATCTTTCCCAGAGCCCTGCACCCAGGTGTTTCGTCCAGGTAGCTCTTTGCGCCAGGTGGGTGAACGCCACAAACTACAAGTACAGTATATACGTACATGGCTCATGGGCGTCCACAGCCTTGGACCCTCAACCCTCCTATACTGGCTCAGTCATGCCTAACAAATCCCATCCAGATGAGGCCGCTGTTCATATCCCCGTCCATCTCCTTCTAGGAAGTATGTTCGTTTCCAGCTTCAAATCCAGCTTTGTGCCACTTCGCCCGCTGCCAACGGATGCCTCAGCAAGCCACATCTGGGTCTTTTGGAGCCCGGCATCTCCAGCCGCACTGGTGGATCAAAGCAAACTACAGAGTAGAGTAGTCGCACACCCATTCAATGACGCCCTGACAAGGCCTCGATGCTTCATCACACCAATGGCGCACCGTCGATAATCGAAATCGATATCAGCCGCATGGTCAAAACCGCCATGGTGGTAGGTGGCTGTCGCGACAATTTCGGCACCTATTTAGTTCGGAGCTCGTCCCTCTGGGGCCAATAGCCGAAGACGCATTGCGCCATCTTGCCGATTCGAGGGCGCGTTCATCTCAATACACGTCGGAATCTAGGCGAATTTCCATTGTAAAGGTTCTCCAGCCGGCCTTGCAGGGACAGGGACAGGGACCCAACGAGCCCTCTTCCACGTTGACAAGCTCCTCAGCCCTTGGAGGGAACATCGGGGTCCGCGACAGTCATGTCCTGGTCCACGGTGATGGCTGTCTTGATAAAAGATGGTAGATGGGACAGCGAGAGGAAGTATGCCCATCAGACCTTGTCCACCTCTCTTGTTGAACAGCCATTGTCAATATGTCGGCCATCAGAGACACACCGGCTGGCCAGTTCTTGCGTCTAATCGGGTTCAAGTCATGGCTGTATTATCCAGAGGAAGTCACCGGTTTCGAGTTACCTAACCTGCCTTTTGTCTCGGAGGCAGTCCTTCCTCCCTTAGGCGACGATGCCAGCGAAAGGGACATTGAGAAGCGTCTCCCCAGTGTCTTGGTCAGATTGGCCACTCCTCCTGACGAGCTCTCAAGTGCCATCTCGCAGAAGGCTCTGGCCGAGCCCATTGTGGTCTCCTTCACCGATGACGACAACGAGAACCCCCGAAACTGGTCTGCCGCGAAGAAGACATGGACCGTCACCTTGATCAATGTTTATACTTTCGTCGTTTACTGCACGGCTTCGATTATCACCCCCACTGCTGGCTTCATCGTTGAACGATTCAATGTCTCGGTTTCTGTTGCCAGTCTTGGTCTCTCGATGTACGTCGTCGGTTGTAAGTCAAGACCCCTTACCAACACTTGCCTCGAGAATAACTTATGGATACTAATTTGCTCAGACGGAACGGGCCCGATGTTCTTTTCCCCTCTCAGTGAAGTCCCAACTATAGGACGGAACCCCCCGTACCTATATTCCTTCTTCGCATTCTTCCTTGTCTCCATTGGCCTAGCATTCGTCGATAACTTCCCCGGCCTGATCATCCTCCGGTTCCTTCAGGGCTGGTTTGGCAGCCCTTGCCTGGCCAGCGGTGCCGCCTCCATCGAAGATGTCTACGACGTATACAGCGCCCCATACGGCTACATCTGGTGGGTAGCCAGCATGTACTGCGGCCCTGCCTTCGGGCCACTGTTGGCCGGCTACGTCGTCTCGCATAACTGGCGATGGCCGCTATATGAAGTCGTCATCATGGGCGCTGTGGTCCTTGTCTTCCTCTCTTTCCTCCCCGAGACATCCCCCCAGACCATCCTTCTCAACCGTGCCAGACGTCTCCGCAAAGCCACAGGCAACAACGCATATAAAGCACCCTGCGAACTCAAACCTCTCGCGTTTGCCAAGATGCTCCTTGCAGCACTTAACAAGCCGTTGGAAATCACCGTCAAGGACCCCGCCATCCTCTATGCCTGTGTCTACGGCTCCATTGTCTATGCCACTTACTATTCTTTCTTCGAGGCTTTCCCGCTCGTCTACCTAGGCACCTACCGTATGTCCCTCGGCGGCATGGGACTCATCTTTACCTCCCTAACCGTCGGCTGTATATGTGGTCTGATCACCTACTCTCTCTACATTACGTACTACTTCATCCCTCGGGCGCGAGCATACCACACAGAAAAAGGCGAACTCGTCGCTCAAGAGCAGTGGCTCCTCCCGGGCCTCTTTGGGGTCTGGGGCCCGCCGGTCGGTCTGCTGACGTTCGCCTGGACTGCGCGCACGGGCATTCACTGGGTGGTGCCGACGCTGGGCATCGGCATCTTCGCCTTCTCGACCTTTTTCATCTTCCAGGCCCTGATCTGCTACGTGCCGCTGTCGTACCCTCGCTACGTCGCCAGCCTGCTCGCTGCCAATGACTGCGCGCGCTCCTTGCTGGCCGCCGCCTTCGTCCAGTTCTCCCGCCAGATGTACATGAACCTCGGCATCGATAGGGGCGTCACCCTCGTGGCGGGTCTGTCTGTCGTCGGTATCTTCGGCATGTACGGCCTCTATTTCTACGGCGCCAGTCTGAGGGCCCGGAGCAAGTTCACCGGGTGAATTTTCTTGTCCTCTGTTGCTAGGATATTCTTCTCTTTCGGTTTTCTCTTCTTTCTGATTTGGATACCCTGTTGGCATCGGGTTGAGTTGATTTAGTCTGGCTTGGACAATACACTGGTTATGAGGGAAAACAGCACCGGGCCATGTGTATATGTGTGTTTGTGTGTCTATGTTTGGCATGGCGTTGGTGGTCCGCTGTATCTATCCGCGACGACTTCAGCGGGCCTCCCTTGTTTATATTTGTCCGATTGCCTTCCCCTGTCTGTCTGCCTGTCTATCTATCTGTAGGTCGATCTGCCTGTCGGTCTGGGAAATCGGTATATCTATTGGCGCGCCCTGGGACCAGCGAGATTCGTTTTACCACGGGAAAAAAAACAGAACCCGCCACGACGGAATTCTAATTGATATTTTTTGATTCCTCGTCCATCCAGCTCGGGTTAAGGGCTCCGTCTCCTTCCCCTTCCCTTTTTCCTTTCCTTTTCAACCCACTTACATTTCTGTTAAAGGGGGAAAGGATTCAGTGAGGCAGAGCAGAGAGAGACACATGAGAGAGAATTGTAATCCTTGACCAGGGGTTGATTTCCGTCGCAGAAGTATGTATGGATTGATGTGTTTAATTCGTGGAATGAAAGTGAGATACAAGTGCTGCGTATGCAAAGGCCCATCGTCCATCATCTATCATCTATCGTCCGCTCACTATCTATCTATCTCCATCGACTCGACACTTCACCCATCGTTTATCGTTCACTATTTGCAAGTCGTTGTTCATCGTTTCATGGCAATTGCCATCATACCTCGTCGGCAAAAGAGCCGTCAAAATCGTCACCGTCATCGCCATCGTATACCTCGCGCCTATTTACCTCTTGAGAATGCCCTGGGTCGACAGGTTGCATCACGCCAATATCTACCTACTCATTATCTACTGCTTGACTTCCTCCCAGCCGAAAGAGACGGTTCTTTCTATCCAGCTATTCTCTATCACACATGGACTCTACGCCACTCCACTGTATCGGACTCACTCCGTTCCGGTGTATTTACTTGAAGGTCGTGTTTGCTTTTGTTCAGGCCAGCACGATCTCCCGCCACTCGGGCCCTGGACTGAGGGTCTTCCCCTCCAGCACCGAGGTCTTCAGGACGTGGCCGACGCCTCGGCGTTCATAGACGGCCTTCTCAGGCAGGTATTCGACCATCATGACCCAGTACGTGTTATTGTCGACGAAATTCGCAACGGCATCGTCGTAGTCGTCGTCCCCGGGCGCCGCGGCCGTCAGGTTCGGCTTGTGGTGTCGTTCAGAGAGGAGAAGGAACTCAAAGAGCGGATGCTCGGGCGGCAATCGTGTTGCTTCTGTGTGTGCCTCTGCGTCTGCACCTGCGTCTCCTTCAGCACCGGTGGCTCTGTCATTGGTGTCTGTGTTGGCAGACACGGGGAGGAAGTCAGGTATGACTTCACCGCAGCTCGAGCCAGTGTTGTCGAGGATGGAGAAGAGGCAGTAGGAATCTGAGCCTGGCCCTGGGGCAGCAAGGGCCATGCGGATGACGACAGTCTGGAAGATTAAGAGGGGATAGGGCATGTCTGGCGGGATTTTCGAGGCCTGTTCTCGTATAGCCCACGGCATTTGATCGAATGGAGGAGGTATAGATCTCTCTACGTGTGCTGTCGCGGGGCTGTGCATGTCATCTGCCTTCGCTCTGTCTCCTTCGTCCGCGAAAAATTGGTTTCTGATGGTTGACGGATCATGAAAAACTTCAGGCGCCCCGCCTTCTTTGGACACAGACCATATGATCCAATTCGCTCCCGTAAGCCAGGCGAGGATCTCGTCTTCACCTTCTGTAACGTCGATTTCTTTCCAAAAGTCCCAAAAAGACGGGGCCCGCCATCCCGCCCAAGACCAGCTCGGAAAATCCGACCTACGCCGCACGTCCGGAGAAAAGTCTGGATTGTCGGCGCGGTTCCGAAAGATCATAGCTACAGGGAGGAGCTTGACGGGTAGACCTTCGATCATTTCGGTCTTTCCAGCTTCGGCCACTCGCTGGAGGAAGCCAGCCATGGCATTCAGCGCGTCGCTGTCCATGGTGATGTTGCGTTTTTGGAATTCCTCCAGAGCGCTGAAGAGGAAATCATAGGGTTGTAAGAGATATTCCATCTCGTCCATGCCTTCTCGGGCCAGAGCGATGTAATTGGTTGCCCATTCGATAGGATTTTGCGACTGAGGCGCCAGGTCTCTACACAAGTCCTCAGACCATATTCGCTGCCGACAGCGGAAGTATACTTGGCCATTGACAAAATTCATCGTTCGGCGTGAGAGATGTTGTTCCTGAAGTCTACGTCAATGATGATTAGCAGCAGCTTGACAGAAGGGCCGCATTGCAGGAAAGATGAAAGACAAGGTCATACGTCCAACCGCGCGTCGACCATACCGATGTTTTCAGATGGGCATCCAGCGGGGCAATATTTATGAGACTGATGCCAGGCTTTATGTGTTGTATCATCTGGTTCGGGGTGCGAGATGTCCCCACTCCTGGAAGACCACCATCAGCACCAGGACTGTTAGCAGCGACAATAGTCACGTATGCCCTCTCATATATCATGTCCATGTTGCTGATGCTTTTCCGAAGGTCTTCGAGGTCATCTTGTAGGAGACACAGCGAATCAAACCAGAAGTAACGTAAGTTGAGTTTCGTGACCACTTCCATAGAGTCGCGAATGGTTCGGGGAAAGGTGTCGGCTCGGCATCGGATCGAATTGGGCGTTTTCCACACGTCCAACGCGTGTTTGAGAAGCCGAGGAGGAGTTGCTCCTCCCCACACATAGCTCAAGGCCACATACTTTTCAGTCCATGGAATATCGGTCAGACACATTTCCTGAACATCGACAACGCGGAGGTGAGGGAGAAGATTTAGGCGATGTGGGCTCTTCCCCGTCGCCGTGGCCGGACAGACATCGTGTAATTGCTCGCAGAGCGCTAGCCAGGATATCATACGTTGGTAATCTACCCCTTTGGGATCCACGAGCCTTCCCGCCTCGGGAACTCGGACGCTGTCGTTTGCAAGGAATGTAATCTGTTCTCCGAATTTGGTCATGAGATAGTGAGCTCGGCCATTTGGTTTGTGGTGGGCAAGGCTGAAACGTAAGTGTGTTTTAGGAAAAGAAGCGAAATACGTCGTATCTGGGGGTCCTCTGTCACCGGTGCAGCTTTCTAGGATGGTGAGGGCGAATCTGCAAGAAGGGCAGTGATCTCTGGCGGCAATAGTTTGGAAGGTCCCTATCTCGAGTTCATAGAAGGTCATAACATGGGGGAAGCGCCGGCTCAAGGCCTGTCCAATTACGTCGAATGCATTGAGTGCTGGGTCGAACTGCAAAGCGGCAAGGAACTGGCAGAATTGCGAGTCGCAGAGTCGGTCCAAGCCGCCATTGGCATTCTCTTGTCGAAGGGTGTCCATTGGGATCGGGGGGAGAGGGGGCAGGCCTGCGGTCAGTGTGTGGCTGTGATGGGTGACCATTCGACATGAGGTCAGGCCATGCTAGAAGGGCCCTTGACATCCTCGACGCGGGGTCACGGGAATGGCCCAAGGGGTTGAGCGGAGACGACTCTCGAGCCCAACCGTGCAGCGCCGATGATAGATGAGGTGCGACGGCAATGGTGACGGAGTACCGAGCGAGGAAGAGGGACCACCTCGTGACACAGTGCCTGCACGGTGCCAAGGAATCAGTCAGAAAATGGCCTAGTGAAGAGTCGCCTCAACAACACTAAAAGTGCAGTGCAGTCCAGGAGTACTCCCAGGACGTACTCCCAGGACGTACTCCCAGGAGGCACTCCCAGTGTCACGGAAGGCGTTGCCAAGACGGGTTTGGCAATATTCATTCGTTCGCTCTCGTAGTTAGACACGATAAACCATCTCACGACTCACGCTTCCGCCTGCCACCCAGGCCAACGGGAAAGAGGTGCTAGCACTACATTTCTAGTCTTGGGCAGGGAATGTACCTAATTACTACGTATACTCGGTCAACTCCATACGAGTGAGGAATTCGGGTCGACACGTTTGGTTTCCAAGGGGGTGAGTCTTAAGTGTCAGTCTGATAGCCACTCAATGTGCCCTTCAGCCAGCATTCCCTGCCACAAGAATGCTGGTTGGGTTTTAGGCAGTCAGGTAGGCAGCGCTGCAGGACACTAGAATTACAGTCCACATGCAACTCATCGTTATATAGTCGAATTTTTCACGGCAGTAACAAGTTAACCAAGGCTGACTCTCTCTCTCTCTCTCTCTCTCTCTCTCTCTCTCTCTCTCTCTCTCTCTGTGTGTGTGTGTGTGTGACAACGCCGCTTTATGTACGTAGTCATGGTGGTAAATCAAATCAGGATTCAGGATTCAGAGTTCCTGTTCGCTGGACGTACCATCTCACGAAGAATCATGGGGTGTTCGGTGTTGGCAAGGACGCAGACAAGGTCGCCCGGCTTCGGACTTGCTGGTCCCACTCCAATATACCCGCTTTCCGCGGTGAAGAAAATTTTTCCGCAAAAACCATCTGTGAGCCTACTAGGTCGAGCACAACTCATCCTCTGTAAGATAATTAATGCTCTTGAGTCGTGCCTCCCCTGGACTCAATGTAAAGTATTTTACAACAGAAAGTGGTAGTGAGGGCACCGCTTGAGAGCACTAAAATTGCAATGCAAAATGCTGATGCCTTTCCAGACCAGGATACCTCGACGCCTGGGTGCTCGGGTCATATATGGGGGTGAAAGCTGATGGCGAGGGTCCTTGTTGCAGATTTGAATTCAGCATATCTGCCCAAAGCTATGAATGCCGCTCTCCATACAACTCCTCATCAGCCTCATCGTCGGTGCTCGTGGATCTTTTCATGTCTCTTACAATCATTTTTCCGAGCGAAAGCCTTGCCGCAACGTGCACACTCATATGGCTTTTCACCTTTATGTACTCGTTCATGGTCTCGTAATATCGATTTGCGGACAAAGCTCTTTTCACACTCTCCGCAGGGATACATCGCCCGGCTGCTTGTAGCTGGCATCATTTCCTTGAAGAGAAGAGCTTTCATCTCCGCATCCGCATGAAAGTTTTGCATGTGGTTCTCGAGTTCTTTTTTCGACCCAAACCCCAAGTCGGCTCCGGTGCAATCCGGCTGGTCGCATTGAAATGGCCGGTCGTGCCTGTTGACATGCTTTTTTCTGCTTTTTCCATCAGTAAACCCTTCGTGGAAGTAATAGCACGTCACTTTTGGACATCGGAAAAATTTGGAACCGTAATATGACTCCAGCTCCTTGCGATCTTTCGGCGTCAATGTCTTGTTCTGAGAGAGCTCTTCCAATGCGGTTCGTATTTTATCCATCGCGGTCCGAAGCCTCTCCAAGCTAATTTCATTGCGCTTTTCCGAACCCTTGATCTCGTGCAGTTTTATATGCGTCCACAGGGACAGGAATACTTCTTCAGCGCCCTCGAATGCCGCAAGCAGGCGGCACAACCCAGGCTCCAGCCTGAAGACTTTTGATTGCATGTCTTCGCATTCGGTGCGCTTCGGTGCGGCTGATTTCAAGGTCGAACTTGTACTGCACGGTTATTTTCTCCACTGCCTCCCAGAGCTCCTGCACCGCAATTTCGTACATTTCCAATTGGACTGCATCAACGTTGCTGGCCAGTTGACCGAGTATCTTCTTAAAGTGGTACATCCACTTGGCAACTGCGTAGTCCGCAAAAGCATACGAACCGTCCAAGATATATGCCTCTAAGTCGTCTCCGTCGAAGCAGGGGAAAGCAAGGTACTCCAAACACAAGCTCGCAAGCCTGCATTCCACGGCCAAAAGATCGATGTGCTTTGACTCCGCGATGTACCTGTTGGCAATTAGCCCAAACAGAAGAGAGAAAAAAAAAACAGTGAGGAAATATGCAAGCTATGCAATGAAGTCTACACCATATCAATCTTGTAAAACGTACCTCTTGGCTGTGCCGTGCACGAGAATTACACGGTTATCGCACTCAGTTACCAAAGGTCCGCAATATTCATGGGCTGATTTAGAGCTCCGACGTTTCTTATTTACTTTTTGTTCGTCCAGAGATATTGACATTGCACCTTGTATTTCGTGCCATTTGAGTGGCCGAGCAGCACAAGTCATCCACCCGAGAAATTGTTGTACGAAATCCCATTCATTTTCACCAAGCCGGCTTTTGATGCGTTTAATGATGCGATCGTATCTGGTGCAAAAGGTTAACCCTGACAAAGGATTTGTTCGTGGATTTTAGATGACTGCAACCAGAGGTGAACCCTAACTACGTACGAATCGGAGATAGTTGATACTCACACTTCTGCCAACTCCTTTGGAAAAGCCTCAAATTTGACTTCCTTTTCAAGCCTTTCACGCGTGGGTTGCTGATACAGGTATTCCATGACCAGTTTAGCGAAGAGAAATTGACCTTTTTGATATTAGCGATCTGTTCTGTTAGCAACAAGGTATCCATACCCGCTGCGTTACGGCATGTGAGCCGCGTTAACAGAGATGAATCGTCGTCACTAAGATCGAACTTTGTCTGGATCATGGCAGTCCAAGCTTGCACAAATGTGCGTATATCCTGGCTGTTGTCATCGCGTTTGATTGGGAACTCGTCCGCCGACGATAATGCTCTCCGGATATCAGGCTCTTCCTGGCTGATAATGAGGACACGAAGTTTTGACGGCTCTTTGGCGTCAACTTGGTTCACCAAATCCGTTAAAATCTTTAGTATCGACTTCCGTTCCGGCATTTGGCATTCGTCCAGCCCATCAACGATGATGTAATGACGCTTGCCCTCTCCGGAAACAGTTTCGAAAAGGGGTTTTGCGGCTTTGTCCGAAGTCAGGACAGCTTCGCGGCTTCGCTGCCGCTGTTCATGAAAATAGGGCACAAGATCCGGATACCAATCAACTTGGTGAGCGAGAAGGCCCTTCAAGATTTTGCCACAAGTAGTCCCCTCAGAGTCATCATGTCTACAGTAAAAGTACGCGGTTTGGGCTTGCGGTTGTTTTCTGCACGCTTCAATGATGATCGACGCCAATGTCGTTTTCCCTAAACCACTTCAGCTGACATCTATCTTGGAGTCATAAATTCCTCACCAGCGCCTGGAATGCCGTGCATCCACAGAATTGAGGACCGTGGAATGTCATCCGTGAGCCAGCTTGACACCTTTGGATGCTGTGTGACCCAGAGTCCGGTCTGAGGATAGTCCTCGCGGGCTTTTAAAGCCAATGCGTGGTAGTCGGAAATAGGAGTTCCGGCTATCCAGACACGTACCGCACGCAGCTGGTCAGCTCTGCGATCCTCTTCAGCACGTTGAAGTTTTTCTTGCGCGACACGCACTTCCTGCTGGACTTTCCGAATTTCCTCCTCCACCGTCTGGATCTTCTGAATCCCCTGCCTCACATTCTGAATATTCTGAAGGACGTCAGCGCGGTGTTTCTCATGCTCGGAAGCCTGTAGCAGGATGAATTGTGATTCAATCAAACGCCTGTGCCGTTCGAGATTCCTGACAATTCCCTCGAACTTTGACCTGAAGTCACCCCATGATGATCGAAAAAACTGTCGCCATTCTCCGGGAAAGTTAGTCGGGGCACAACAGGGAGTTTATTTACAAACTATTGCTCACTTGAACGGTTGAGAAAGCTGACTGCGGGCAGATGGAAATCAAGAATGTCCGTATACATCATGACAAGCACCTTTTGCATCTTCGGACATTTTGTGAAAAGTGACTCATACTGCTTGAGCAGGGGTAATGCTTCGCCAATTTGCTCATATGCTTCCAGAATCTTATCAAGGGAATTCGCCCAGGTGCTTGACACCTGCAGGAGAAATTTGAGCGGGCCCCAGATGAAAGCAACGATATCATTTGTGTTGGTGAAGACTTCGACGACATTGCCAAATTGCTCCATCGCCTCCAGGAAGCGACGAATTCGAGTCAAATTGCGTAGTTCCCGCTGTGCGGTCTGACGGGTTTGAATTTCAGCGAGCGCCGCCTCGACATCTCTGAGAGTTGTAATCTTGAAGCTTTGCAACTGCTTCCCGTCCAGATGACTTTTGAACTTGGTCAGCGCGACTTCGAACGCACCAGGTCCCGCTGAAGGGGCTTGTGTTGGGGCAGACATTTCGCACAGGGAGGGTATAGAGCACAACGAGGGTCATCAATTCCACTAAATCTTTATGGCTTCGTGGCCTTTTGCTGCTCAATGTCCCTAGATCGTGCGAGTCATGCGCAGGGTATCTCGAAGGCGGCTTTAGGGATTCGAAAAGTGAGAGTAAGCACGAACCGGTGCGTTGAGCCCAGTCGATGACAGCGTTGAATTGTCCAGGGAAGGAGTGTCTAAGGTCCTAGAGGACATGTTAAGGAGGAGCACGATCAGGCTGAGGGGTCGACACAGAACGAGGCGCAGGCGCAGACGCGAGAAGGCAGACTCGCTTGCATGAGAAGGCGTCCAGGCTGAGGCGGAGCCAGCCACTCCTCAGCTGCATTGTTGTGTAGCCTCATAACCTTCCTGGGTGTCCCCGAGGCTGGCATGGCTGACTTCTTTGTCGCATTGATGTGTTAGAGCGAATGTGGTAGCACTTCAGACGTTGATGCCAGGTACATAGTAGTCAGTGCCGCTGTTGTTGCATTTAGGAGGCATCTTTGCAGCCCAGGCCCTTGCGCGGCACTATGACATCACTGAAACGTTCGGCCGACTACATCGACCAGCTCGATCAGCTCCATCACTTCCAATACCCTGACCAATGCGACGCCTTCTCGTCTCAGCCCTTTTCTTCACAGCCGTCGGAGAGCTTTGGTGACGGCTCGGAGCCCCATCTAGATGTCGGCGCCCGTGACTGGAACAATGTCTGGAACGAATTGATTGGAGATCCAAACATTAACGCTGGCATTCTCAATGTTGAAGAGGGACATGAGCCATCAAATGCCTTCTTTCCTGCCATCCACAATGTGCAGGACGATATTGAAACCTGGTTAGCAAAAGACCTGGGAATGGCTCCCTTTGGAGATGCAGATGAGCTGCTGGTAGGTGGAGGAGACACCGGCTGTCAACAGCAAAATGGCTTCAATCGATGCTATGGCATGGTAAGTGAATTCCGTCGCCTCCCAAATGCCCACTATGGCTGAATAGACTTCACCCTGAAAGGCCCAGACTATTAATACTTCTCACACAGATCTACCGTGCAAAAGCTAAGCTCGAAGGGGACATGCGTGAGGTTTCGCAATGTCTCAGGGGTAATGTGCCTCAGACCCGGACACATTTCATCCTGGACGTCGTTTTCGACAACGATAGTCTGTACATCTGCATCCCAGATGGCATGCGGATTGCAAACCTCAACTGTTACTTGACCGAGTCATTGGTGGAGCACGTAAAGTCCCAACACATTCGTCTTGAAGCGCTGGTCCATAGAAGGATGATCTTCGAGTAAGTGCCTGACCCGAGCATGCGAAAAAGCATTTGCAAGCTATTTAATGGAGTGAAATCTGCTTTTTGACTCGGCCCCTCCACTTCTCAAGCGTCAACTAGGTTTGCATGACTATCTCTTCCCTTTAATGCTGTCTAGAAAATGTATAAAATAGGACTGACTCAATCAGAGACATTGGGGCCGCCAAAAAAGCGAAAGATGCGCTTACAACTATCAACATCAACGTCTATGGAACTGAAGAGTCACAGAGTTCTATTGGCCATGATTTTTCCGTCAAGAAAATCTGGCTTCAGCGGCCCGATTGGGTGAGCCCACATTCAATATATGACAACCCACATGTCTTGAAGTTGAATAATATTCAGCAACAGAGTGAGCCGGAGATACCTAGTCAAACTGAGCAGTCCTCTAGAACCTCTGGCTTTCGGGATTCGGTTGAACAAATGTACTCGATGCTGACGCGCGATTCGCATCTCAAGGGCGTGGCTGGTGACGAGCGCCTCCGTACACCACTTCTTCACCATCAGGAGAAGGCCCTCGACTTCATGATACAGCGAGAGACAGGCCCTATCCCAGAGGAATTTCAACTATGGGAGCCTACGCTCATCGAATCGGAGCCCTGGTATCGCCATAAAATCACAGGGATAAAATCTCGGACGCTGCCAGTCGAGGCTGGTGGCGGTATTCTAGCAGACGAAATGGGCATGGGGAAGACCTACTCGATACTAGCTTTGATCGTCAGGACACTGGACGAGGCAACGATATGGTCCAATGACCGGGATGTGCACATTGCGGAGGAGATCCTCCCCAGCAAAATACCTTCGAGGGCGACATTGGTGGTTGTTCCATCCCCGTTATTGCTGGCTACGTGGGAAGATGAGATCCGGGATCGCGTCAATGGACACTTGAAGATACTAAAATATCACGGCAATACGAGAACCAAAGACTCCAGAATCATGGCCGAATGTGACATCGTCTTGACAACATATCATACCATTATCGCAGATAAGCACAGAGCCAACCCTGCCACAGAGGTTGCCTGGTATCGCATCGTTCTGGACGAGGCGCACTTCATACGACGAAATTCTACCTTTCTATACAGGGGCGTTGCTGAACTGGACGCGAAATTTCGCTGGTGTCTTTCCGGCACTCCCATACAAAATACTCTGGATGATATCGGTTCCTTGTTCACATTCATCAAGATATTCCCGTTTGACAGATTGGCCGTCTTCCGCAAATATATAACGGTCCCATTCAACGATGGGGGCATCAGGCGCCTGGAGGGCCAACGCAATCTCGTCCGGTTGTTTGACTCAATCTGCATTCGGCGTACGAAGGACTACCTAAATATGGCCGTCCCAATCGAGACGATACACAGCATCCAGTTGTCGCCGAAAGAGCGAGATCAGTATAACAAGACAAAAGATGACATGAAACGAGCCTTGCATCATCTCGTCGTGGTATCTGAGAGCCAGAGCAAGTTCAGCATGTTCCAAGCTCAACTTCAACTGCGGCTTCTCTGCAATCATGGGACTTTCCAGCACCAGTTCCATTGGGCTAAGAGCAGGAACGCGCGGGATTCCCGAGAAGACGCGTTGACCTCTGTGGGGAGCGACGGAGAGGTTAAATGTTCGGCGTGTGAACAGACTGTGTACGGCATCCTCCCGAACCGGGCGCTTGGCCTGTCCGACACGTGTACACATATTCTGTGCAAAGAGTGCAAAGACGGCACAGGCGATAGCTGTCCGGTGTGCGAGGCGACGCTCCGACCGTCCAAAATTCAACGTTCCGCGTTAGGAGCAGGGGAGATATCCCAGTCCCGTCTGCACCAAGGCGATCTCCGCTCCGAAGGCTGCTCATCGAAGATAATCGCGCTAGTGCAGGACCTCGCAGCCGCCACCGCAGCAGGCGACAAGAGCATCGTCTTCTCGTGCTGGACAACCACTCTGGACCTAATCAGCCGACACCTGCGAGAGCGAAGCATGACCTTCGAGCGCATCGACGGCAAACACAGCGTCGAGCACCGCCAGCAGGTGCTCGCGCGCTTCGAGAGAGACCCGTGGGTCCCCGTGCTGATCATGACCACGGGCGTCGGCGCCTTTGGGCTCAGTATCATCGCCGCCAACCGCGTGTTCCTGGTCGAGCCCCAGTGGAACCCCAGCGTCGAGGCCCAGGCCATCGGCCGCACCATCCGCATCGGCCAGCAAAAACCCGTCCTGGTCACCCGCTACGTCGTCCAGAATTCCGTCGAAGATGACATCCAGCAGCTGCAGCGGCGCAAGCGTGGCATCGCCAAGATGACCACAAAGGACATAGAGATAGCCGATACGTACATCAAGCCCGAGTATACGGCGTTCAATTGATCCTCGGGCTTCGAGGGGGGAAATTTTAACTGTTCAGAACGATACGAACTACATTTGAATGAAGACTGGGACGAAAGTGATGTTAAAACGAAATTAATGACCCTTACGTACTGGGTACGTACGTACAACCTCTTTCTCTTGCCTTGGCGTCTGCCAAGGCCGGATTTTACGAGCCGAATGAATGGTCACTGTGCACTCACGTGCCGCATACCAGGCTGGCGAGCATCGACTCTGTACGGAAGATGTACAGAGTCCTCTGTAGCAATACCGAACTTTCACTTTCTTATTGTTTCCCATCTTTTCTGCTACACCTCCTGCCTCTCTATTCAGCGGTTTGTTCGATAATTCCCTGACTCCAAGTTCTGCAAAATGGGAGCAAGTAAGGCGCAACATTCTCTATGTCTTCGCCCCAGAACCCCCTCAAAGAAATAAGCAACATGGAAAGAAATATGTAGGTGCTGTAGTGAACGGCGAGTATGTTCCCGCCACCGCTTGAAATAGAATCCTGCTGTTCGCCGGAGCGAGGTTGTCTATGTCCACGTATTGGTTCGATGTAGACAGATTCACGAGAGTGGAGGCAAGATTCTTGAGGAGGCGGCCAAAAGATTTTGTCCGAGATCCAGGCGCAAGGCTTTCTGGTGAGCCCACGCGACTCTCCCACGCAACTCTCCCACGCGACTCTCCCACGCGACTCGATCGCAGCCCAGTCTTGATTCGATACCAATTCGCCAAATTGTCGGCCTAGTCCCTCAACATGACTTAGTCGCCAAGTTGCCTCCGGTCCCGCCTGTCCCTGAGTTCTAGGCGTCATTACAAATTCAGAACACGGATTGTTGGGTCGAGGCTGGTTAAGGAGTGGCAAACCTTTCAGGCGATATTCGGGGAATGACGAAGTTCATAGGCATCTCGCCCTTTGCCATTGCTGGAATTCCACCTCAACTACCGAGTAACTCAGTCTTTCTCAGACCCAGAGTGGGGACGGGAATTTTTCGATTTCCAACGGTGAGTACCAGGATTGTGTGTCCACTCTGATCCGTGCAGCCGGTCATTGCGACTGCCGACTAGAGACTCCGACTGCCGAAGGCTTGTGTTCGAGGAAAATTTTGCTCCAGCTCTCCATTGAACAGTCCAGTCTTAAGGAGACCGATGCTGTGGAGCTCACCAGCCTTGGTGGTGCGCGCTCACCGTATTTTTCTTTTAGACACAAGGGCCATTGCGTGTTCACTCAGTTTTCCATTCTTCATCCTGTAACCATCTTGTAAGGAAAGTTGAGTGCAAGTCGGTTCTGGCCTGAGTTGAGATATTTTGTTTTGGCATCTTCGAGCAGCTCCCCTCGCAGGCCCACGCGTCACCTTGATTGTCCGGGAAGATCAAGCTAGAACATTATCCTAACCTTCGTGCAGGCATTGGGCAGCAACTGTGGACTTGGTCTGCGCCGGCAAGAGGGCCGTCTCGCTCCATATCGGCTTTCGGCCCTCCTCTGTCTTTTAGGAGGGAGGTCTCTGTCCTGGTCGACAGGACGGGAATGGAGTTGCAGGTTACGCAAGTAATTGCTCCTTGCCGCCATTCTCCTTTGTCCTGCATATGTATCGGTTTCTTACTCCCTCGCATGCAGGCTGATGCTCTGAACCCCGAGGGCGGAGACGCATCCGGACCATACACTACGTTGAGACGAACAATTATCGTACGTGGAGCCAGTTGATGAATCGACCACCCTTTTCTCTCATGAATGGGACAGCCGGCAGACCGACCTGCACATTCCCCTGGAATCGGCGGTCAATGCACCAGGATTGGTCTCGTCTCGTCATCAACCACCTCTGGCTTGTGGGAATTGCTTCCAGTTGGGGCACTGGCATTGTGCTATTGCCACCGACCGCATTTATTATCCTTTGATCGGCTTTGGGACCGTGACCATTGGAATCTTGCACATTTGAGAGGGCAAAAATTTACCCTTCTGTGAACGCCAAAGGTAGAGCCTTCAAGCAACTGAGCCCTTCCGAAAGCTCATATCAGGCGACGATCCGACCATGGACCAGGAGCGAGTCGAACCATGGTTCGTTGGATGAGGTCAGTCGCAAGTCATGTTACGGTAATCGGGGTCGTCCGGGAGTCGGACAACCTTTTCGTGAGATGCCAACAGCCGCACAGGCCGGCAATCGAGGTATTAAGTGGCAAGATCGCTTTTCGGTGCGGGAGTCGGCCATTATTGTGATTCGTCCAATGCACAAGGCTCTGGTATCGACGCATAGCTCTTGCTGTATTTGTAGCGTAAATGACAGTATTCTTGTCAGATATGCCCTCGGACTGTCAACTGGGGATCTCGAAGGTGAGCAGACACCAGAAGCCTTGCAGGATAATGGGACCAGACCTGCGTAGAGAGGGGCCAGCCCAGCAAGGTGGTATTCCCAGTGCTGGGAATCCCGATGCGCGGTTTCCACAAATACTGGCGGGTTTCTTGCTCGCTTTTGAGAAACACCACACTTTCTTCTCTCACCAGCAAGCCAGTTGGAAACCCGTTTCTCAAGCCGCGCATCTTACTCATTTTCACCTCGCTCCACCTCGGCAATGCGTTCCACGAATGATGATAGCAGCGTCTCGAGCGCAACGAAAGAGCATGACCATCCAGCGCAGGTCGACCTCACCATCAAGCAATCACAAGAGAAGACAGTCGCGATACGGCTGAAAGAACACTTGACCAGCCATATCCGAGTAAATATTCTCGCCGAGACCGAACTCCTGATCCTCACTTTCTGCACGGGAATGCAAGATGCAACAACCTTCCCAGATTACCATTGCTTTGCCTCGAACCAGACTGGAAACACGGTCATGCTGGCAATGGCTATCCTCCTGCCGGACCTGACTGGAAAATTGTTCAAGACGGAAAACATTGGGGTGGGTCTGGGGTTCTTCCTGGCTGCAGGATGGATAACAGGGCAAGTGGGTCATCACGTCGGCCCTCGCTCTCGTATTTGGATCGTATTTTGCAATTTGATCCAGAGCATACTCGTCTTCATGGCGGCTGCCATTCAATACGCTTACGGCATCGAGCTGGAAGGCACAAAAACAATGGTGGTTATCGGCTTGCTGGCTTTCGCGGCCGGGAGTCAGGTCGTCCTACCGAGAGCGTTGGCGACCACAGAAATCAGCACAGCGATGGCAACGGCTGCATGGGTTGATCTGTTAATCGACCCTCGTCTCTTCGCGGCGAAGAATCGCCCCCGAAACCGACGAGTAAGCTTTCTTACTGCCCTTGTGGCGGGGGCTTTCTTCGGCGCTGGAATATATCGAGTCATAGGTCCAGCAACCTCGGTCTTGTTTTCGGCTATTGGTAAACTCATCGTGACTCTCATGTTCTTGTTCAATAAGGCAGAGAAGGCACAGGAATCCAGAAGTATCGTATGAGAGCCGAGCATGTGTAAGTTGCAGTGACTCCGCTTCGAGCTGGCAGCATTGCGAGAATCCTTGTCGACAGCATTCGCAGCGCAGGCGCAGGCTGATCTGCTGATTTGAATGAGCATCAAGTTGGCGTTGATTGCGGTGAGGTTACATGGGGGGACAATATAGGCTAGAAATATTCGTCGTCTAGATCTTGAGAAAATCCATATGTTTCCAACGTTTCGGGCCATCCCATCCAAGGATTGAAGGCGAGGCGCATGCCGTCCAGCCACTGGCCCTGATCTTCTTGGGCGTAATTTGTTGGCTCATTGCTTCCGCTTTCAATCATTCGATCGGGCTGTTTAGATTGTGTTGGTTGGGTCGCTCCAGGGACACTCTGAGAGCGGAGGATTTGAGGGTTTGGTTTGACATTCATAGAATTTCTTACCAGGCGCTGTCTTTGCAGCCTTGAGGACGTGGTCGAGGCGCCGTTGGAATGGCTCTCCCTGGGCGGTGCAGGGCTGGTGACTTCATTACTGTCGTCGACAAAATCTGCTCGGCCTATTAGACTATGGATTGCTAGTCTCTGTCTGGTCCTAGCTTCATCTGCGAGCCTTGATAAATGATCCTCCAGTACTTCTTCAGGATGGGGTAGTTGTATGCCAGTATTAGTGTTCTGGGACGAATGCCGCGCGATGAGCATCTCGAGTTCTTTCTTCATCGGTTCGACCACGGGAGAGGTGCGAAAAAACCTGTTCATGATCGACTGACAGAAGCGAGCTTTCTCCAGGGCGGCGGGCATACTCAAACTTTGGGTTACAACATCCGTTTGTGCGCTAAAGAGGATGATTCGGGCACTATGATACGCGCAAATTGCAGTGTCAAAGTCGATTGTCAGGACCTTACACTGCTCGGAGAATGCTGCGAAAATCTGAACAATTGACAATGCATGATTTAAGCACAGGGTACGCCTGCGGAGGATGTCTTCACGATTAATTCCTTCCATGGCTGAGGGAGGAGCGGCTTCTCGGTAACCTGTCAAAAAGATTCGGTAAAGATCAGTATATGCTTGGTGCCAACATTCGTGCACCATAAGGATTCGGGCCGGTCTTTCACAGTAGGAGAATATTTTGGGGTTGTATCGATCAGAGTCGGCAAGGCTTCGATATAGGTGCTGCAACTCATCTTCAAATCGCCGCACCATATGCATGAGCTCCCCAGGTGGAACCACCGAAGAAGCAAGCCGGCGCGTCAGTCTGGGTCAGTCAGCGCAGAGCCACCAATTCGACAGCTTACGGTATACCTCATGATATCCGTTCTTATTGCGGCAAGTCTTATACATGCAGCATAGGTGCCAATGCGTTCAGGCCTATCGAAAGAAGTTGCCCTGAGCGGGGCTGTCTCCACAGGTGCATCCTGCTCAAAAGCCGTTTCTGGACATGGAAGTTGAAGGAAGACGTTTTCCGGCGGACACGTCTCGAATTCTCGCAGGCCGACAGAAAAGTTGCCATCGAGGGCAAAACACGACCACATCAATCGCCGACGGACTTCTTGGGCCAAGAAACGTAGTTCAGGGCGTTCGTAGTTCAGGCGCAGTGCAACGGCAGATCGGCCAGCCAGTGCGGCGAGCATGAAAGCTCTCGAGAAGTGACCTACTTCTACCCGGTATCGCACGATCAGGATGAGGGCCTGGAGCCGAGAAGTTGAAGGACTCTCCAGGTGTTGTAAGAGGAAGTCTTCGGCCCTCTGAGCCCACTGGGCACTCAACTCCCGAGCGTATGGTTCAATCTTGAGACGTTGACTTGTCACTGCACAGATTGCAAATGTCAAACAGTCTTCAATCGTCCCTTCGTGACACCTTTGCATGACCGATCGTTTGTGCAAGAATGCATACCATGGAAGCGCGTAGATGTGCTGGAAATACGCCTCGATCAAAGAAATGATTTCTTGGCGGTCCGGCAAAGCGCCATCGCTCGAAAGAGGAGTTTGGCCAACTTCGCTAGCCGGCTGCTCCAACTCGGATGGGAATTGCGGCTGATTTTCAGGGCGCTGCACAACAGCAGGCGATGGTAAGCTAGAAGTCTGCGGCGTCCGATGCGGCCTTTTGAGGGCAGGATAGACGCAAGGTCGATTCCTTCGAAGACAGTTGGAACATGCAGGCGACTCTCCGCCGCACCGAATCTTCTGAGAACGACATTCTGTGCAGGCACGAATCCCGCGTCTTCGCTCCAGCTGAACGAGGGATTGGTCGCCTGATGGCGAATCGCCCGCAGGACCAGCTTCTCTCGGTTGAAACGAACAGTCAAACCTCAAGCGTTCGCAGTTGCGACAGCAATTCGGACGCCCGTCGCAACGCACCTGCCGTCTAATTTCAGCCGCTGGCCCAACGAACTCACAATGTCTGGAGCGATTCGTCCTCCGCTTACCTTCCGAGCACGACATTGCATACAAGTGGTCTTGGACTTCCTCGAAGTCGGGGCCATTTCATCCATCTTGTGTCGCACTCGTCTCAGCAGGAATTGTTGCCGGCGATGCAGACAACATTATGCGAGACTATAGATATTATCAAAAAAAAAAAAAAATATAGACGAGACGCTGTTTCAGTCGCATGGGCCACAGCGCTTTTTGTTGAACAAAGTTCGCAAACGCGTGATTGGAAGACCCGGTTTTTGAGAAGTTTGAACCTACGACGGTTTTGCGGTTATGCTTCTCCGTAGCGCTTGGCAAAGCACTTTTCCGCAAAACGCACTTTCCGTCTCGCGATTATTTCCATCCTGAAACTGATGCCTCACAAATGCCTCATTCCTCTGTGTGGTTCCTCACCATGTATGCTCTCCTCTTTTTACGGCCCTTTGTAGGCAACTCTCATTCCTGAACCCAAGTATAAGACACCTTTGCCAGATATTCTCTCAATGATGACCAACCGGTGCATCAAGGGGTTTTTCGCAGCAGCCTCTTATTCCTCGCTGCTTTGCTCCTACGTTGCCATGACAGTACCCAATGACTAGTTCACAGATCAAGATCAACTTCCCACTCTTGCTCTTGCCGTGGAATACCCATCTTGGGACCCAACACCTGCTCAATCCCACCACGCACTCCTCAGTCTCCTTGCTGCGACAACCACACGGACACCTGGGGGCCGTTCAGTTCTGCAAAATCGAACAGAAGCAGGAGTTTCGGCAAAACAGTCAAGCCAAGAGCCTCCACATTGGCTGCGCAAGAGCTGTGACGAGAGATACGTGGTATCGGAAAGAAAACCTTGCTCAAGGGTGTCGACATTTCATATTTGGCTGGCCCTCCAAAATACCCGGCTTGGTAAGATTGCGAAGGACGTGCGCATGGGATTGAGTCGAGGCAATCCCACGGCGCTGCGTCCTTCCATAGGGTCATCGCATACAGTAAAGAGAATGAACATTTGATCGCATACTCAGTCCGGATACACCTACTTTCCATACCTAATAATCACGTGCAAATTACCACTCTTTCTACGAGTACCTTTCTCGAAGGCTTTGCTTTCTAACCTGACCGGTGGATGGTGTGGCCCGCGCATTCATTGAGGATGACTTTTGACAGAACCAACCCAACACACAAAACCCTATCTCAATTGCCGTCTCAGCATTCATGTCTGCCTAATCTGCACAAGCATGTAAACCCTTGCCTCCCTCCCTTCTCTGTGCACTTTCTCTCTCTCACTCTCTCCAGATCATTATCCTCCCATTATCCCTATCATATTCTTAACATATTCTTCGCCCGACAAGTCGAGAGCGGTATCTATTGCAACAAATTTTGGAACTAAAACACTGAAAGCATTTTTTTGGTTGCTTTCAGTCTTGTCTTTACCTTGTCGCAAAGCTTTGGAGAAGAGGGAAGCGGTTTTATTCGAAAGCGCAAAACGTGGCCGTCCTGTTCGAACATCCCATCCCCATATACGTATCCCTCGGTTTAGAAAGTGGATCGAATGAATGCAGGGGGGCCAGGAGAGGGCGTTGTCTGGTTTATTCCAACCGGAGGGAGGTTTCCTTTGAAATCTGCTTCCGCAAGAGTTCGATCTGGTGCTTCAGCTTCCTCCACAGGATGTAGTCGTCCAAATCCTTGTCCCTGGCCGAGGCATTAACGCGACCTTCACAGTCGATTTCCAACAAATCCCACTGTTCGTGTAGCTCTTCCATCTTCTCGTCCTTTCCGGTGGCCGTTTCTCCTCCACGGCCTCCTCTGTCCGTGTCCCTCGCAATCTCCAACAGCGCAGTCACAAATGCCTCCTGAATGTACGCGAAGGAGAAGTCGTCCGTGATCTTGGCGGCCGCCGGACATATCTCATCTGGAAACTCGATCTCCTCGTTATCGCGCAGCTTCTTCTGCCAATACTTGCAATACTGGACCCGCTGCTGGAAGTTCGGGTTGTCGAACAGATACTTCCGGTCGAACCTGGACGGGCGCTTGGCGATACCGGGGTCCAACCTGTCGAGATGATTTGTGCTGCCGATCATGAAGATGCCGTCGTTCTCGGAGAGGCCGTCGACGGCGTTGAGGAAGAAGCTGCGCACCTGGTCGGTGACGAGGCTGTCGAGGTCTTCGAAGACCAGGTAGCAGGGCGCTTCTTGTCGGGCCTTCTGGAAAATCGTGTCGATGCTGAACTCGGGTGGGAAGAAACTTACCAGCGACTTCACGTACAGCGTCGGTACCGGCGGGTCACGGCTGTACAGAGTGTGCATGGTGGCTTTGATTGAAATGGTCTTGCCGTTCCCCGGCGGGCCGTAGAAAATCACGCCTCGCTTCCAAGGAACACCAAGGTGGCTGTACTGTTCCCTCGAATCGAAGAATCGTTGGACTGTGTCGATGAGATCATCCTTCAGGTCCTTGTCGAGAATAACGTCCTCCCAACGAGATTTCATGATGCTCCGATACAGGAGCGCATCCTTCTGCCAGTAACCCTTGTCGAACACCCACACCTCGTCATGCAGGATAGATTCCCATCGTCCAACGGTCGCTACCAGGGTTCGCGCGGCCGCTTTATCGCCCAAGATATACTGGTTCCGGACTTGCGGATATGACAAAAGCCCGTCTCTACCGTCAACGAAGTAGACCAAGAACGTTAAGTTCCCCCATTCATAGATGTAACTTTCAAAAAAGACCTCCTCGGCGACAATACCATTGCCGCCGTCCATGCGCTTGACTGGCGGGAGGAACAAGGTCCATCTAAGCGAATCCGGCCAGATCTTGGGGTCAATATTGCTTTGTTCAAGAATCTCGATCGAGGCATGGCCAGCTGCAGCATAGGCCTTCAAGTTGCAATTGAATTCTGGGACGATAGTGATGGGTACGCCGGGATGGGCGTTGGAGATGGTGTCAAATATGACCGCGTCAGTGTCGACGCGGGACGCTGTGGCGTTGCGGAAAAAGGCGCCAGAGACCGATTCCGCGGCTTCTTGAGCATTGTGGAAATCCATTGGTCTTATTCGCCCACAGCCGTTGGGAAGTCTCACTTGAGAGCTTTCAAAGCGCCAAGGTCGTGAGCTACAAATCGAAGTAATAGGCGTGGTGAAGTAGTACGGACCATGGACAGGGCGGTTATTTGGAGGTGTAATATTTCCTGCCAGGCACCAGCATTGATCGGCAAAGGAGCTTTCGAGCTCTGGGTCGATCGCTTCTCCGGGGGTTTCAGTTGCACTGCCCCAATCCTTCGAGCTTGGGGGCTAAAGAATCAGCCTCGTGGTTTGAAGGCCCAGTCGATGATGCCTCGCGAAACGCCCTCATTCCTGAATAATGCTCTGACTTGGCCATCAATCCACGAGAGCGCAGTTTCACGTGTCTCTGCCATCTTTTGCTGGTATTCATTCCAGAAGTCGCCTTCTTTCGTTACATTTTGAAGTGCCTCGTCAACCATATTTTCCAGCTTTCCGTTCGACCGGACCCCTTCGTTCAGGATTCTGTAAGTGTCATCGATCAGCACACAGCTCAAGGACATGAGCATCTGTGGGTCAAGTTGGATGTTGTCCGACTCTCTCTCCTTTAGCAAACCGGATTCCAAACACAGGTGGCAAAGATTCCAGAACGTGAACATCTGCACAAGTCGGGTTGGATGATACTCTTGTTCGTACAGAACAGGATGTATTGCTCTGACAAATGCTGCCGAGTGCAAGAATGCCTCTGAATACCTTTTGGAGTCGAGTAGCCCGAGGAGCAATTGTTGCCGCAACTGAGGGTAAGGGTACCGGTGCAGTGGCCAGCCTCTCGTTTGTGCCAGCCGATGCATGATGTATTTGATGCTGTCAATTTGGGTGTGCTCAAGTCCGCTTTGAGACTGCAATCCTATGAGGAGTTGCTCTGCCTGGTCGCCAGTCTCCGCAATTATGGCAGGAGTTGCCGGTTGCAATGGACCTGGCGCCACGACATTGATGAACGGATGAAAACTATCTCTAGTAGAGTGTCGACCTCTTGAGCACAAGCTGCAATTGCAAGTGAAGAAATACCTATCTTTCAGTTCTTCTTGTCTTTTGTCGAAAGGGAAGGTTGTGTCAATGTAAGAAAGCGTAAGTTCCTCGTCTTTGGCAATTGGCCGCAACGCAATGAAAGATATGTTTCCGTAAGGTGGAAAGTCCTCTTGAGCGCCCACCGGCGGGATGTCAAATCTCACGAACACATTCGGATCACAGGAGTGGTTCAGAAGGGCTGGTGTTGGATGGAGGATTAATCCCAAAGAGTCGAACGTCGGATTTGTAAGAGTAAACGAGTTGATGAGCAGCTTGAGAGTTCTCAGCTTCACTTCACGACAGGCGCTGAAGGCATGCTTACCACACAAGCCAGTCGAAGTATCGTTTCCTCACTGTGGTCAGTACCGCAATAGGATTTAATGCCTTTCATCATGATGAAGATTTCCTGACAACGCTGGCCTCCCGCGTTCAGCAAATCCCCCTGATGACTCTCTAGTGCCAAAAGCTGATCCCATTCAGAATGAAGGAGAAGATGTGCCTTGTGCTGCTTCAGTAATCGAACGATAGCTCTGACTGTGCTAGGAAGTATCCGAGGGTGCAATCTACCGTAGAGCTTACACTCCAGCCGATGGTACTCTGACCACGCCCGAGTCTGGCACTTCTGCACACGAAATTAGAACATAATATTCCTGAGTTCTCTTGTCTGAGGGCAGCCGGGCGACAAACGTACCTGGCTACAGAATTTGGCGACTTTGCACCCGCTGCACGTCTTCAACGTCCGGCTTTTAGTGATGTCAAGAGGAAGACTGTGGTCCCCAGGGGAACTGTAGCAGTAATAGCAACGGGTTTGTAGTTGCGAAGTGTCTAGTGCCACCATAAGCGGCCGCGCAACAAAAAGGACCTCTGACTTGGGTGCGATATCATGTACTGCAAAAATACCATTTCCGCGATCTGGCGACTGCTTTGTGTAAACTGTCGCGGCTCTGACCAGTTGTTTCAAGGAGGTTGCCATGATGAAGAGGGCAGGGCTTATGGAGTCATCAAATCCTTGTCTGCTGTAAGATACGCGGTGCACTGGCAATGCTCAGTCTCGAATTTTGTGTCGCTACCTAGATTACTCGCCAGTCGAGGGCGAAAAAAACCTAATACATAATTGCAGTCTCCTTTTCCGTCCGCTGGCCGCCGTTTTTCTTGGCATTTATTAGGTTTGCCTATCTTAACTACTGTAGAAGTTGGTTCGGTTTAGTTACAAGAGACCGCCTATAACCATTGCATTATACGGGGTATGCGTAAAAATCATACAAGAGTTATCAAACTCATCGCGGAGAATGGTATATTCGAAACCCAAGAGAAAACAGTCGTCACTCGTTCCGCCCTTGTCTGAACCAACAATTCAACTCACTTTGACGGGTCAATCACTCCTACCGTCACTCCAATCCAGCGGCTCTCGTCGCTCTCGAGGTCATCCGCGATAAACTCTGCGTTCTGCTCAAGCGTGGTCTTATAGCGTTGAGCATTCATGACGCACAAAATCACCTTCCCGATCAAGGGGATGTGCTTGACCCAGGAATCTCGCCAAGACGGTGGAGACCAAGCGTTGCCGATCAGCTTTGCATGCGAACTTGCCGTAGGGACCTTGATCTCTGAGCCTTCAGGGGTCATGACGGCCGGGCAAAGCAGAGACCAGTCAATCGTGTTCTGCGGGAGGGATTGGAGAAGCTGCAGGTTCTGGCGGTGTTCTAGGTAGATGGGAATACTGCGTATAGGTTCTTCTTAGAATTTTCGGAGTTGATAAATCTTGGAGCCTTCTTCCTCCCACCCCCAAAGAAAGGGGACAAAACGAACGGCCGTATATGGGGGGGTTGAGAGATGTCGTTTGTGAAATCTGTACTTACTAGTTCGAGAGCAATGTTTCTGATCCGGGGAAATATAGCGCTCCTAGGCCGGCTAAGAGCCAGGCTCTCAAGGGTTTCTTTCTCTCCGCTCCCGCTTCTCGTGCAGCGTCCACGACGGCGCGGAATATTTTGGGGAGGTCGCTTTTTCCCCAAGGAGGCAAGGCCGCTAAGCCGGCGGTATTGACGACAGCATCACAGCCGGCGTCCAAGATCGCCTTCTTGATTGCCGCTGAATCCGTGGCGTCACCCTGAACAACGGTGATTTGTTGGTATACGGATGCTGGAATGAGAGACTCGAGTTTTTTCGGGGACCGCACGAAGGCAACAACGCTGTGGCCATGTGTGAGGAGGGCTGCGACGAGGCGAAGACCCAGATTGCCGGTTGCGCCAAGGAGAAGGACCTTCATGATAATGATGAGTTGCGGTTGAGTTGCACTGGCGGGTATGGGATTGACGCTGGGTGGGTTTTTCGTGGTTTAAGAGTATTCCGTGCAGCTACATAGCTGGTACATGGACAGAGTAGAGGACTTTGGTCGTGGCCAACTTGGAAGCCGGGTTAAGTTTCTTCCCGTCGACCGCCGGAATGGAGTTGCACCGCGCGCTAACTTTGAAGGCGGAGTCGAGTCGAGCCGCGACCAGCGAGGGATACACTCTCACTCGGCGACTGTGTCCATCAATTTGTCAGTGTTCGTGTGCAACCAGAGGCCATGACAGTGGCTGTGCGGAGTACGGTGTACGTTGTACGGGATACAGTATATTTCTAGTCAATATATATCTCTCGCCAACCGCCTGCAACTGTGGAGTTGGCGGTGGGTTGTACTACTTCTTTCTAGGCGAGAAACTGGGCAATATGTCTTCTCATTGGGCGGATGAGCCGTATTCCCTTATTTCCACCCTTCCATTCTCAAAAGATGTACGTCTTTGTCATTTCTCTGCTGGAAAGTTTGTATCAACTGAATGTATCTTCGTAGTCCTCGCACGCGGCATACTATGTGGCGACGCAGATGGCCCTCGCGCACAATGGCATCCTCCGAGGGCTGAACTCGATCTACCTCCAAGCGACGCACATCCCCCGTGAAGACCTGGCCGCGATCTGCGACTTCTTGACATATTGCCAATGCTGGGGTGAATCCATGCAACACCACCACGATGCCGAAGAAGAGGTTTTCTTCCCGAGCATCGAGCAGATCTCGGGTGTCCAAGGAATTATGGATCGCAATATAGAGCAACACCGAGCATTCACCCCTGGGTTTGACCTGTTTCAGGAATACGCGCGGACTTGTCCTCCCCAAGACTATGACGGAGCGAAGGTCAGGAGCCTGATCGAAGGGTTTGCAGAGTCATTATCTCGACATCTGCGCGAAGAGATTGACACTCTGCGAGCTCTCGACGCGTACGACAGTGAGCGTGTCCGGCAAGCTTATAAGCGTCTGGAGAAGTCCCTAATGGCTACGGACAATGTTAGACGTCCCTGTGATGTACAAGCATAACCCATCAACTGTCACTGAACTGATGCCGTCTTAGTATCGAATCGCACCCCTCGTGTTTGGGACCGCGGACAGAAGCTTCGAAGGCGGCTTGCATGACTTCCCATCTGTCCCATTCTTTGTGCCGTATATAATCCACTACTTATTCGCGAGGCGGCATCGCGGCGCCTGGCGATTCAATCCTTGCACGATTTGGAGGGATCGCAGGGAGTTGGCCTTCAACAATGTAAGCACAACGCCTTGATTGCGTGTGTGCCGGCTCTTCAAGACTCAGGTAATGGGAAATCGCTCTCAGCGAGCGGCAGGTTGAAATTTGACGGATCGGGAGACGAGTAAGATCCGTCCAAGTACTTCGTCTTATCGGCCAAATTGCAAGGCCGCCCTAAAGACGTTCACGGCGAACAACTGTGGAAGACTTGTAACAGCAGTCCGCGGTCCACCAAGGAGCATCACGAGTTTCATCGTCTTTTGACAGAAAAGGAGTTATTTTAGTTACTGGCACTGACTCATTCTGGCCTGTCTATGTCTCAGGTGACCACCTATTTCCGCAATTTTCTACCAACCCACAGGTCAAAAAATGTAGGACCACCACGGCGTATTTTTCTACCACCTTGGAAGAGGCTTGATCTCTCATGCCCTACGTCCCCTACGTCCTAAGGCCACCAGCAATCATTCAATATCCATGTTCGCTAAGTTATTCGACATGTCCCTTGGCGGGCTGGCTAGACTTTGGAGTACCCGCTTGACGGAGCCCAGTGTGGCTGGCACTGGACGATTCCATCCGCGCGACCCTGTAATGTACGGTACGTCGGATGGCAACAGTCTTCTCTGTCAGACTCTCGTGCTGTTGCATTCTTGGGAATGGCTCATTCGCCCACGTTTCAGATCTACCACCTGGTCGTCTCCCTCTCCCTATCATCGGCACCCGTCTCTTGCACTCTATTCTGGGTCTTCCACGGCTCGCTCGGAGCGTCCATTTCCGCAAACGGCCCCCGTGGGACAGCCTGATATTTACTGTGATCGCAGAACAATGGTCCGGGGTCGGTTGCATCTTGATCCGAATTTAACCTCCTGGGTCGGTGTCTGGTGGGTGGCTGCTCGTCGTCCTCGTCCTCGTCGGAAGAGCATATATGCACCTAGAATCAAAAGAGCCATAAAGAACACGTCACCAATGATACCGCCGACGATCGCGCCATCATGGTTTGAAGATGGATGAGAAGTTTCTGGCGGGGTTGCAGGGGTTGACGCGGTCACTGCGGAAGTTGTCTCGAGCTGCTAATAGACGGGGAGTTTAAGCTGGAAATGGCACTAATTGAGATGGATGTCTTAGTAGAGATGGTCGGGGTGCTCGTCCCGGAGATGGTGGTGGCCGCGGTCGTCGAGGTTGTGCCAGAAGAAGGGGAGCTGGACGAAATGGGGCCTTGGGTAGCCGAAGAAGGCTTCGAGATCCTTAATGGCGTCGAAGCGGTAGCAGTGGAGGTACCGACGAGAGTCGCCGCGGGAGACCCAGTCGAGGTGACACGGGATGAAGTACTCCCCGGAATTGGCTCCCCGTGGAGGCAATACTGGTGGTACCCGACGACGCGAGACCGCCAGTGGAAGACGTACCGTGAGATAGATCGAGAATAAAGCCATTTAGAGAGTCTGTTTGATCGATTGCGCAGATTAGAGCACGATGGCCTCGCCATGGTTCAGAGGTAGCCTTCTTGGCACGGGTCAAATGTCTATATAAAGAGGAAGGAAGTCGCTGAAAGGACAGATAGACAGCCATCTCTGGGAACAGACCAATGTTCTCAACCAACTGGGTAGCTCTCAGTCTCACACTTGGCATGTATTTCCCAAGTGCAGTTTCAGAAGCCGAGGACAGTCGTATCCAGTGGAATAGCGAGAAGTTGACTTTCGAGTGAGAAAGAGTAGCGAACAAATCGCTCGGCACCGGCAAGGCTAGACTCGGCCTTTCACAGAGTATTTTATGGATCATCCAGATAAATATTTGAGGTAATAGTAGACTCGCGATTTCAGGTCTCACATCTACAAAACCATCGAATATCGACGCGGGATGATTATGCCTCAGGGTTGAGGATTTGTCGATGTGCACCCGATCCAACATCAGCTAGCATGACTTGATTGGTAAGACTGTACAATACGAACTCACGCTGTGGAGACGTCTGTTGGGGGAAGCGAGACAGACTGGTGAGCTGGGGGTAAGAGGGTAAAGACATTCACGATTACGAACATGCGCAAGAGGCAGTAACCTAGATTCGAGTCACCTTGAACTTAGTATCGACGTTGGCAGATATACAAGTTATTCTAGGAACACTAATATAACTTACAAGGCCATGGATACTTGCACTGATGTTATTCATGCGGTTCAGGCCCGTCTCATTCCTGTAGACATCACAGCCTTCGTCAAGTCAGAGACATCCGAGCCCTGTCTACATGAAAACGGGAAACTGTCCGATTTCCAGCGGATACACCGGGCTCAACAATTGTATCAGAGTTACAGGGTAATAGAGATGATGGGGCATAAATTTTGAATCACTTCTCCCAGGATCTCGTGAGGTATCATACGCCTCTGTTGTGCCTTGAACCATCGTCGCCAGATTTCCAAGTTCTTCGGTTTTCCCAGAATGGCATGTCCATGCGAGCTTCTCGCTCTCCACTGAAAGCAAAGTCGAGCGATCATTGGCGCTCTCCAAGTTACCGACTCCGCTTACCAGGAAATACTCTACACCATAGGGTGACTCGATGAATCGTATAAGTGCTCCACCTATCGCGAATATCCGAATCTTGGTGTCAACCGTCTGACGGTAGAGACATATATAAGTTAGACGGTCGCCCTGCGCCAGATACCGCGCGTTGCGAGCTTGTCGATTAGACTCTTTTGTTCTAAGTTGTAGCCTTTTGAACCTGGTTGCCACCCCAGATCTGTCGTGATGTTGTCCCGAGAAGGATACCACTGGAACGCCACGGAAGGGCTTGTGAAAGGTCTTCCATGCATAGGGAAAATAGAGCCGGCGTCGAACCTACAGGGCGAGAACCGTTCGGGTTATGATGTTGTCGTCCTCGGAGCTGGGTACGCAGGCCTCACGGCTGCTCGTGATTTGACTCTGGCCGGTAACACGAGCGTACCTGCAAAGCCCAAAGTTGGTATACTGATAAGGACCAGGCTATCGCACCTTAATTCTGGAGGCTCGTGATCGCATTGGAGGCCGCTCATGGTCTTCGAACATTGGAAGTTACCCTTATGAGATGGGGGGCACCTGGGTGTCGTGGCGTCAACCACATGTTTGGAGAGAGATCTCACGTTATGAGATGCGTGATCAACTCGAAGTGTCACCAAACCAGTCGACAGGCAAGAACTTCTCTACATTGACGACCAAATATGGGCAGAGGGATATGGCCCACCATGAAGAGGTATGAGACCGTGGAGGTCGAGAAAGACCGGTATGCTGATCAGCCTCAGGACGCACTGATACAATCAGCTCTTCGCAAGCTCGCGAACGTTGACGACGCGGAAGGCAAGAATGCCATGCCATTTCCGCACAACGAGGGTTTCGTGCCGGAGACGAGTAAACTCGATTCGCTGTCCCTGTCCGACCGCTTGAAACAGATCGAACATTCACTCTCTCCGGACGAGCTTGCTATTGCTAAAGAATGGGTTCTAGCAACCAGCGGTGGCACTCCGGAGAACACGAGTTTCTATGAATTTCTACATTGGTGGGCACTTTCTGGGCACTCGTACCAAGGCTGGGTTGAGGACATGATTAAGTATAAGTTTCGCGGCGGCCAGTCAAGCTTTGCCATCAGATTCTTCCAGGAAGCCCTCGCCACGGGCAAGCTGGCTTATGCATTCGACAATAGAGTGACCAGCGTTGTTGATTCCGGGAAGGATATCACCATCCAGACGGCGTCAGGACAGACTTTCCGGGGAGCAAAGGTGGTATGCACCATTCCTCTGAACGTCCTGCACACGATATCATTTTCGCCACCGCTCTCTCCAGCCAAGGCACAAGCCATCAAGATCGGCCATGTGAACAAAATGTCGAAGGTGCATTGCGAATCCCGAGGACTCGATCTCAGGTCCTGGAGCGGGCTCAATTCGAGTTGCAATCCACTGACCTTCGCATTCGGGGATGGTATCACCCCAGACAACAATACACATATTGTCGCGTTTGGGCCGAGTGAAAAGCAACTCCATCCTGAGCGAGATGTAGAAGCCACCAAGCGCGCGTTGCAGAACCTGACCAGCATGGATATCAAGCGATTGGTAAATTCTCATCACTACCCATCCGGTGCGACCATCATCCAACTGACATCCTTTGCGCAGGTTTTTCACAATTGGGCTGAGGATGAATTCGCACAAGGCGCATGGTACGCACCATTAGCAACGTGTATGTGTATTTGCTAAAACTCGATCTCTAGGTTCTTCTCGGGCCCTGGATTCATAACCAAGTATCTTCAGGATTTGCGGGGCTCCCACGGGAACATCTATTTTGCAAACTCGGATTGGGCTGTTGGGTGGAGAAGCTTCATCGACGGCGCAATTGAAGAGGGCACTCGAGCCGCACTGAACATCCAGCGGTCGCTCAGGCAGAAGACGATCTAATGGGCCCCAAACCCCTATTCCGTTGTCGGGGTGCTTGTTCACCTAAATTGTATAATTTGAGTTGTGCCGCCTCTTGTGTAAGAGAAATATTTATGCACTCCTCCATCTGCTCTTTCAGACGAAACGGCCAGGTAAGACGGAGCGAAGTATCCGATACACTTCTCTCCGTCTCACAAAATAAGGTAATGACAAAGGAGCAGGATCGAATTGGGTACCAACGAAGCCTAGATTAGCGTACATAGCCATTGAGCAGGCGTGTTTATGACCACAGATATTTGAAGATTCCCTCATGCTTCGAGGTATTTCAACACTCTTCTTCCTTTCATTGCCTGAAAATGTCACGATATACTGATTCAGGGCAGGCAACCCTCTGGACTTCCGCTTACTGCTGCTTTCAAGCACATGCAGATTTTCAGAACGCGGCAAGACTGACACTCAGCATCCCATTCAGTTCTGTGCCTTCTTAGCTTTCGCCGCCTTCTTGGCCGCGATCTGAGCTTCGGTGTGACGAGGCTCCCGAGACTGACGCATGTTTGCCGCCGCCTTCTTGGCTGCAATTTGCGCTTCTGCGTGGCGAGGCTCTCGCGATTGACGATGCTTGACCGCTGCTTCTCTGGCCGCGATCTGTGCCTCGGTGTGATGTAGCTCTCTGGATTGGCGATGCTTGGCCGCTGCTCCCTTTGCTGCAAGTTGCGCTTCTGTGTGATTTGGCTCTCGCGATTGACGATGCTTGGCCGCTGCTTCTTTGGCCGCAACCTGTGCTTCGGTATGGTGTGGGTATCGCTTATCACGAGCTTGATTGCCTTTCGCCTTTGCTGCCTCCTTGGCAACGGTTTGGGTGTCGGCTTGATGGCGACGCTCGATATCGGGTATCACTGCTCTGACAACCTTTCGACGCCACGGAAACCAATGGACGCCATCTGCTGTTAGCTACTACTCGTTGGGGTTGAGTTTGGATTTCAGTTACCACATGTCTCCTTTTCACATCTCGGCCACGAACCTCAGCTGTGAATTCAGAAGTAATTGGCACGGAAACCAAAAAGCCAAAGATCAAAGCTGGGGTGACCGAAAGCCTCGCGTATGTCGCGATCGAGAGGAAGATATTGGTTGGACCGATGCGAGGGGGTTGGATGATTTGCAGGACATTGTTGGCCCGTAATCACAATGGAACACGGATCTTTGGGCATCGCCCGCATGAGATAGAGAATTGAGTGTTTCCCATTAGATGTCCCTTCTTTCTGGGCCAAGTGGATATAAGGAGGAAGTATACGAGGTATGCCACCATTTATTTTGAAGTACGGAGCTGTACACCGTATTTTCCCCTTGTTCCCCCCTCGCCCCCAATTGCCGTCGCCCAGCTCCAGCGGCTAAACCTCGGACAAAATTTCATCTCCGCAATGTGGCACACCTTGCATACCCTCCAATTTTTTCCTCCCTGGCAGTGCAGTTTTCCCAATCTTCCTCTTTCTGCGAGTTGGCGGTGAAGGTGGTGAAGGGCCGCGGAGCAACATGGAGTCTCAAGCCAACAGGCCTCATCGGCCCTCGAAAGAAAAGAAGCAACCCAAAAAGGGGGAAAAGAATGTCAAGGCCTTCGCCGTCGCGAGACCGGGGCGACTCGCAAAGCAGGCCGTGCGGTCCAGCGATATCAAAGAAAAGCGCCTCCATGTGCCTCAAGTCGACCGAATTCCAGAAGAAGCCCCCCCGATCGTCGTTGCCGTCGTCGGCCCTCCCGGTGTCGGAAAAACTACTCTCATAAAAAGCCTGATCAGGCGTTACGCAAAACAAACGCTGTCGCACCCGACCGGGCCTCTTACAGTGGTGACCTCCAAGAGAAGGCGCCTCACCTTCCTAGAATGTCCCTCCGACTCGCTCGCTGCCATGATCGACGTTGCGAAGATAGCCGATATTGTCCTCCTCATGATTGACGGCAACTACGGTTTCGAGATGGAGACAATGGAGTTTCTCAACGCCTTGAGCGTCTCCGGCATGCCAGGAAATGTTTTTGGCATTCTCACACATTTAGATTTGTTTAAAAAGCAGAGCACGCTCCGTGTGGCCAAAAAGAGATTAAAGCATAGGTTCTGGTCGGAGCTGTACCACGGCGCAAAATTGTTCTATTTGTCTGGTGTGATCAATGGAAGATATCCCGACCGCGAGATCCACAATCTGTCGAGGTTTCTCTCGGTCATGAAGAATCCGAGACCCCTGATATGGAGAAACAGTCACCCGTATTGTCTCGCAGACCGTTTCCTGGATGTGACGCCACCTACCGAGATTGAAGAGAACGAGAAATGTGACAGGCAGGTGGCACTGTATGGCTATCTTCGGGGCACAAACTTTCCGGCGGAGGGTGCCCGAGTGCACATCCCGGGTGTGGGAGACTTGACTGTCAAGCAAATTGAAGCCCTGCCAGATCCTTGTCCAACGCCGTTCCTCGACCAAGCGATAGCCAAAGCAAGTGGCAAATCTCATCGTCGAAAGTTGGGCGAGAAGCAAAAGGTTTTATTTGCACCTATGTCTGATGTTGGTGGCGTTTTGGTTGATAAAGATGCTGTCTACATCGACGTGAAGACGAATACGTTTGACCGGGACGCAGAAGATTCCGAGGAAAGAGGGCTAGGCGAACAATTGATGATGAGTCTACAATCAGAACGGAGGCTACTTGGACAGGTGGATAGTGGTGTACGGCTGTTTCAGGGCAGCCGACAGCTTACTTCGAATGATGCCGCGGGAAATGATACTGGCCGCAAGACGATGAGAGGTATCCGTGCGTTTGGTGGCAATGGCGGTCTTGCTGAAGACGTCGAAGAGGAAGATGACGAAGATGAAGGATTCGTCAGCGGGGAGGACGATGACGAAGCAGCTGAAGAGGACATCAACGACTTCCCCGAGCATACGGGCAGACCTGGGTTCATCGCGAAAGGTGATTCTGACCAGCGTGATGGTGTAGATGATGTTGCATTTGCTGAAAGCGACTCCGATATGGGCTCTGTTTCAGATGACGACGACGACGGCAGCAGAGATCTCTTGGCCGATGAACTTGAGACCTCCGAAGACGAGGACGAGGACGATGGAGATCTGCGATGGAAAGAGAATCTCGCTGAGAGTGCTCGCAAGTTGCATTCCACCAAAGTCGCGTTTCGAGCTGCCGATCTTTCCAGATTGATGTATGACCTCAGTCTATCTGCCTCCCAAGTTATTTCAAAATGGGCAGGGCGAAAGCCGGACCACGACGTGCCTGCCGAGGAGGACGAAGATGAAGATGAAGATGATATTTTCTTTCAGAAAGCGAAGACTGATCAAGAAACCAACCTTGAGGATCGGCAGACGCCCAAGTACGACTACGACGCGTTAGCGGAGAAGTGGGAAGACGATGTGCAAATCCGGTCGCTTATTTCCCGTTTCACTAAAGGCTCAATTTCTACTGGAGGTAATGCAGATTCAGAAGCTGAAGGCGATGAAAATGGAGGTGATGGATCTGACGAAGGAGATGGCGAATTCGAAGACCTGGAAGCTGCCGCGGATGAGGATTCGGGGACTACAGCTGAGCTCACACTCGAGGAAGAGCGGGCCAAAAATGCCAAACGCAAAGAAGAACTAAAGTTACGCTTCGAGGAAGAAGACCGAGAAGGCTTCGCCAATGCCGCAAAGAAGGATATCGAAGCGACAGAGCAAGAGTTTGGGGAAGACGAATGGTATGACGCTCAAAAAGCAATGCTCCAGAAACAACTCGACATCAACCGAGCAGAATTCGACAGCCTCGACCCCGTCTCGCGAGCAAGAGCTGAAGGTTTTAAGGCCGGAACATATGCGCGGATAGTGTTGGACAAAGTGCCTTACGAATTTGTGCGGTCGTTCAATCCAAAGCTGCCCGTCATCGTCGGCGGACTGGCGCCAACTGAAGATCGGTTTGGATTTGTGCAGGTTCGCATCAAGCGACATCGGTGGCACAAGAAAATTCTCAAGACGAACGATCCGCTCATCTTCTCGCTCGGCTGGCGGCGATTCCAAACACTGCCTCTCTACTCAATATCGGACTCGCGGACCCGCAATCGGATGCTGAAATATACACCCGAGCATATGCACTGCTTTGGCACTTTCTACGGACCACTCGTTGCTCCGAACACGGGATTCTGCTGTGTTCAATCATTCTCAAACGCCAATCCAGGCTTCAGGATAGCTGCAACCGGAGTGGTGCTGAACGTCGACGAGACCACCGAGATCGTCAAGAAGCTCAAGTTGACCGGGTACCCGTACAAGATCTTCCGCAACACAGCCTTCATTCGCGACATGTTCGATTCGTCACTGGAAATTGCAAAGTTTGAAGGAGCTGGCATTCGTACAGTTTCTGGGATTCGTGGACAGATCAAGAGAGCCCTTAGCAAGCCCGAAGGGCATTTTCGAGCAACATTCGAGGACAAGATTCTCATGTCTGATATCGTCTTCCTGCGGGCATGGTATCCTGTGAAACCACATCGGTTTTACAACCCAGTGACCAATCTCCTGGATGCCCCTCCAACAACTGGTGCAGATGCCGGGGAGGAAGGACAAGGCCTTGACGACGGATCTAGCGGATGGCAGGCGATGCGTCTGACTGGCGCCGTGCGAGCAGCGATGGGTATACCGACCCCCCTGGTGAAAGATTCAGCGTACCACAAGATTGATCGACCAGTTCGACATTTCAATCCCCTAAGAGTTCCACGGACTCTGGCCGCGGACCTTCCGTTCAAGTCGCAGATCACACGACAGAAGGCACGCAAAGCACCGACGTATCTGCAGAAACGGGCAGTTGTTTTGGGCGGAGAGGAGAAGAAGGCACGGGACCTCATGCAAAAGCTGCAAACTTTGAGGAATGAGAAAGCGGAGAAGAGGGCGAAAAAGCAGGAAGAAAGACGTGCAGTCTATCGCAAGAAGGTGGCTGAGAACCTGGAGAAGAAGGAAGAGCGAGAGAAGAGAGAGCGAGATGAGTTTTGGAGACGAGAGGGACGAAAACGAAAGACGAATGAGGGCAACGGTGGAGGAGGGAAGCGGTTTAAACGATGATGTCTGGTCTGTTGGATGTGACGATACATGCGACGTCAAATATGATACCCCTTCCATTGCGCTATCTATATATGCGAAAGACTGCATTAGAGAACAACGACGGTGGCCCCAATGTGCTCAAAGCGGATAATACACAGGCCGTTGAAGGGATGGTGAGGGTATGACGGTAGGACAGTAGGACAGTAGGACGGTAGGACGATACGACCATTTGACGATCACCTGCAGCGAAAACGGAGCAAAGGAGAATAGCGCGTGAATGGCACGAGCAAAAACTTTGTCACCATCTTCAGATATCACAGTACGTATTTCACCCACGGCGAGATGAGCCCGCGAACCTGCTGTCTCTGTCTCTGTCGCCGTTGATGCGCGTTGTCTGTTCTACTTGCTGCAATTTCGTTTCCATCTCGTCCTCGCCCACGCACCAAATAACAACGCGTCGGCACTTGACCCGAACACGCAACAACGCGTTGCAACGCAAATCAGGTCCTCGCCCCACCATCTCGACCAGACTGCGAGGATTCGAACTCCACCGCTGCCACACGAGTCACGACCGCTTCCCACGCTTCCCACGCTTCCCACGCTTCCCACGCGACAACGCTTCGCTGTCCCGTCGTTCCCTTTCGGTTCGTACTCCTGGTGCTGTCTTCCTCCTCGTATGTGAAGCGTCGCGGTCTCTACCCATTCTTACTCTAGACCTACTATCTCTCATGAGCGTGACCGACGTCGCCGAATCGATTGAGTCGAATATGCAGCATGCCACGGCGCATGATGCTTCAGCCATGCCGGATCCACCTCACTTTACACCTGCACCCTTGCCGCCAGAATCTCTCCGCTCCGCTCGCCAGTCTGGAGACTCGAATGCTGCCCATTCCTCCAAACCGACGAACCTGAACTTGTCTATCGGTGACACATCTGGCGGCGTGGGTAATTCGTCAGCGGACCGTGGCGAGACACCGCCCCCGACTTCTGCTATATCAAGTTATGGAGGCTCGCAGGCAACGGAGACGTTTTCGCAGCAGGAGGAACGATTGATTGGGGAGGCTACAAGGATCGAAGGGGCCCAGCAGCAAAAGATCAAATCCACCTCCCAAAGTCCTCCACCGAATAATTCGTCGGGCATCAAACGAACTGCGAGTGGTGAAGTCAAGAGATCAAGCGTGAATGTGGTGGCAGATGGTATTCCGACCTCTAATGGTGTCGGTCATTCTTATACGTTGAGCACCGCTTCAGACCGAACCAAAGGAAATGTTCTCGAGGTAAGTCATTCACGGTTGCCTCGACAAGCTCGGCGTTCTAACAACTTTCAGCTCTCGCAACAGTTGCGCACCAAACTGAAATATGCCATGGTTAAAGTTCAAAACGGTTGGCAAACTCGTTCCCTAGACGAGGTCGAGTCGCTGGCATCACAATCACCACGGTCAACCGTGTCTGGGTTTCATCACCTTCAGGAGCAGCATTTGCTTTCACCCAGGACCGCCATGTCTAGAAAATATCAGCGGCAATCGAGCGAAAGCGAATCATCCGATAGCACTGTGGCTCTCGAGAGCCGCGGCCTGGTGAGCATGGTCGGTAGTCCTTCAGCCACATCACGTCGCGCTCTTGCTCCCCCTGCCGATATTGTTCCTGGTTCTCGTCGACGTCCGACCCCAAATGCGGCAGTTCAGAGTGTCAACGGAGTACATGTCCAGTCTCGAAACGTACACTCTTCAAGGCCACATACCAATCAACGGACTCCAAGTCAGAACGCTGCGATGGAAGCCGACGCGGTCGAAACCCTTCTTTTCATGGCCAGCCCTAACAATTCAGGGTATAACCCACCCTCCCATGCTTCGCAAGATTCTTCGCTCCGCTCGGCCCAGGTGTTCTCCTCCCAGACCTCACCACTCCGAACTCAGTTCAGCCAAACCTCGGTCACGTCCCCCAAGAAAGTAGTATTTTCAGACGCGGGCTCCCCACACCCTTCCTTTGACAAGGCGGCCCTCATTGACCGCATGCTGGACGAACTATCTGACGACAGTGACGATGAATTGGAGCAAGCATTTCAACTTGCTGAGAAAAGCAAAATCCCAGCGCCAGTCACCACGTGAAAGTTATCTATATACCTACCCGTTGTGCTCGTCATTCGTGTTGGAAGAGACCTCATTCTGCGTCTTCAAATCATGCCCAGTGAGGCTACGAGGATTATGACTTGTACAGCGACCCTCTCATGTCATCTCAAAGGCAATATATCGGTTTACATATCGGGGAAACAAAAACCATGTTTTGTATGTGCACGTGCCACTTTTGGAATGCTAGGCTTGCAGATCTTTTTGTTCCTTTCCCATTTTTCTATCCTCGGTTACAAGGATGAACTCTCCGCGTCCTCCTAATCGGTGAAATGCCGGCTAAACCCCTTTCGTCGTTGAAATCCAGTTGCGCATCTGTTTTGCGAGGCATGAGGCAAGTAAACACCTACAAAAAAGACTTCCAGCGATATTGTGGGCACAGAGCAGGATTCGCCTTCGCGCAGATCTAACCGATGTTGACTTCTCATCTCCCCTTTTCCGCTGCTGTACGTGGGAGCATACAAGGCATTTTCCTCAATGGCAAATTGCACCAGGCCACTCAGGTGCTGTTGACATGGTTTCTTAGGCCGGGGAGAACAAACCTACCGGTCTCGGGAGATCTGTGTCATGAACGGGTACAAAAGTCCACAATTGCGACGGAGTGCAAGCATGTCTCTTGAGTATTGAGTGTGGGCGGCTTGGGTCTGCCACGGCCATCTATAACTCTTCCCTTCTCTGACACGGAAAGAAACGGACACGAACATTCCCCTCGCTCTATTATTGAGAGACTTCCCTTTCGTCCTCTCCTCGTCTTCACATCCCTTTCTCACACAAAGAACGTCCACTCACTCACTGTGCCAGATAGCCGCCGTCCACCACGACCGACTGGCCGGTTATCCAACTAGCGCCGTCGCCGGCGAGGAAGACGGCGGCGCGGGCAATGTCCTCTGCTTTGCCGGTGTGGCCCCAGGGGTGCCAGGTCTTCATCAAGGCGTCCATGTTGTCGCGGCCGATCTTGGAGTACATGTTCTCGAGCATGTGTGTGTCTGTGAAGCCGGGCTGGATGGCGTTGATGTGGATGCCATCCTTTGCATACTCGAGCGCCGTCGCGCGTGTCAGGTTCAGCACCGCCCCCTTGCTCGCGCAGTACGGCGACGCCCCCGCCAGTCCCACGCTCGACAGGATGGAACCCATGTTGATGATCCATCCGCGGTGCACGTCCGTCGTCGCGGTGCCGCCCGTGTGCGAGAACCGTGGGTGCGGCTCCTGCCCGAGCATCTGTGTCACAGCATACTTCGTGCCCAGCCACACGCCCCGGATGTTCACCGCGTACGTCTGGTCCAGCGCCGCCACGGACGTCTCGTGGATGCGTTTGAATGTGCCGGCGTAGTCTTTCGCGCCGGTTTCGGCGGAGATTCCTGGTTGGTGGTGTTGGTGAGAATTGTGTGTGCGTATATATGTAAGCACATAGGAACTGCGGGAAGGAGGGAAAGGGAAAACTCAAGAATCTTGTGCGATTGCCGGCGGTGGGATAAAGGGGGAGAATGTGGTGGGAGGGTCCAGGCGCATATTAAGCCCCGGCAAATGTCGATATCAAGATAATTACAAGCAGCGACACTGTAACTGGAAAAGGTGATAATAGACGGGGCCCCTTTTCATCGAATCACGTTTCATATCCCGTTCCTCCAGCCCGATGGGCTTCCAACCTTGGAGATGCACACCGATTGATGCCACGACGCGGCCAAATGCGGAAACGGCAAAAGGGCAAAAGGGCAAAAGGGCAAAAGGGCAAAAAGGCAGACGCGAGACCGAAAACAACAGGCAGAGACAGAAGGTTCGTGAAACCAGGAAACCGAAAGGCTCAGACCTACCAGCATTGTTGACCATGATATCCAACCGGCCATACTTCTGTACGGTAAAAGCCACCGCCCCTTTCACGCTCTCCTCGTCCGTCACGTCACATTGGACGAAGCTGGCCCTGTCCACGCCCGGCTTGGTCGTGGGCCACTTGGAATTCACCAGCTCAACCGTGGGCGTCGCCAAGTCGGCGTCCTTGAGCATGCCAGCGATGGTGGGCTGCGGCGGAGGCGAGGGCTTCAAGTCCGCCGAGACAATATATGCTCCTGCGGCGGCGTATGCTTGTGCAATGGCTCTCCCAAGCCCCGACGACCCGCCCGTGATCAGCGCGACTTTATCCTCGAGAGAGGCAATGTTGCCGACGGGCGAGTTGGCGGCGGGATACGTTTGTGCCATTGCTTCCGCGATTGGGGGACCGGCTGTTGTCGGGGAGGTGGATATGCTTTTGGTGGCCAATTTGAATAGTCCTGGAGATGGACAGAGGGCGGTTGGGACTGATGAAGTCGTATGTAGCGTAGGACGTCAATGGGTATTAGAGTAGAGTTGCCGAGCAAAGAGGGGAGGTATTCCTTTTTTTTTTTGCCCCTTCATCTCATAAATATACTTTGCTCCTCATTGCTTGGATTCCTTTCGAGCGGGCCTCCGACTCGGTGGTCTATTTCAAACTCGCCCTCGAGAAAACAGGTCCACGCTTCCAATTGGTGTATCCGGGACTTTGAGGACCATCCCATGCCCGAATGACGAGTCGCGGGGAAAGACATCGAAACCTGTGATAGTGGTCTGAGGGGAAATAGAATCGAGGCCCCGATGCCGAGTCAGCTTCTCAACTAACCTTGAAGATCCTTCGCGCGCTTGCCGAGGCTCAATCGTTTGAAACCAAAGTTGGGATTGGAGTGTCGGATAGAGAAACGGATGTATGTCAGCACATGTCTTTGCTCAACAGAAGAATATGGACAAGAGAACTGAATCAGGCCTTTCGAGCTTTCCTCCGCGAACCTGTTACACACACCGTGAGCTAACTTGTCTTGGTTGGCTACTGTGTTCCATTCAAATGACTCCAACGCTCACTTCCATTCAGGCTCATACGTGCCCTGGGTGGCTGCTTGAGAACCATCACCATCACTGTCGGTCTCGCTGCCACCGTCGGATGATGTCAGTGGTCTGCTCCTTTTCATAGGGGATTTGTGCAAATACTGGTGGGATCTGCACCAAACCAGATATGCGAGATTTGAATCTCGATTGTCAAGAGTGAGAATTGTGGCGCCCTTGTCCTCGTTCCACTCACCTCCTGAGTAGGTGCTAGCTAAGGACCTACGCCCTCGTCATCGATCAAGACATCAAAGCCGTCGTCATCATGCGGACTCCGAGCGTTTGTATCTTGTAGGTCGTAAGCAAACTTGCGAGCCAAGCCCGAGGAAAAGCTGCTGAATACGATCGTGGCGGTCCATGCCAGGTTGAGCTCGCCGAGTCTCCTGAACAATGGCATAAAAAAAGAGCAGAGTCAACAGTCTTCGTCCATGATCGTCGATCGGCCGTGGTGACGATCATGATACAACACCGTGCTCTTCCTCATCGTCATCATCACAGGCCCCTGTTGAAGATTTGGCCATGAGCGAGTGCTTCGGTTGTTACTCAATGATATTTCGACCGGGGCTTGGGATCTATTGGATTCATTCTTAATCCCGTTCTATTCCCTGATTATGGGTCTCCATTCTTGCTTGCCACCGGCGTCACCCGGCGCGGATTTGGAAACGATAGAGTTCGTATTCCAGTGTCTAGTCGAATCACAATGTTCAACTCTAGCCCAATGCGGTATACAACATTGCCCTTGAATTGACCCGTTTGCACCATATCTGATTGCTGTTGAGGGTAAATGGGTCTCCAAGTCAGTCCTCACAGGCTAGATTCGATACAGATATCACTACATTTCATACTTGTGATCTCTTTACCATCTTCGTACCCTGCACTCAGTTATGAGGAGGATTCTCCGTCACAGAACTCATCCAAAATCAAAGAGACATGGGGAACGCAATGCCACTTTTCAAAATCTATTCCTCCACCGCTTATTAATGGGCAGGCGTCCCTCTCTTGGGTCTTGCCGAGGCAGGGTATCCTGAAAGGGAGCTTGGAAGTGAAAGATATTGATTTGCGTAAGTAGGGCCCTGCTATTTCAGTATGATTACCCCGGGCTGATGAGCGGGCTTCAATGCCAGTGGGCGCCCGCAATTTCCATCCAGATTATTTGAAGATCAATCGCAACGGGACCATACCCTCGTTAACCAGCCCATCGCTATCAGAACCTTTGATCGAAAGCACCGACATCCTAGTGCATCTCAAAAGCTCTCGGCCCTCGGGGCTGGATTCTTCACCCAAGGACGACGACACTTCTCTCACGATGAAGAAGCAAATTGATCTCGTCCATTCCCCCCAAGGCAGTGGTGGGGGAACATGATGAAGCGAAAGTCCTTTCAGAAAGCGTATCCGCATCTACATTAAGATGAAGGACCTCAAAGGGTCCGCTAAGTCAGCGTAGAAAGGCAGAACTGATATTAGTTAATATGAATTTGCTGAAATACCAGAAATCATGGTCAACGTCTCTGAGCTGCGTATCACAGGCGAGGTGAGTGAATGGCGGCAGAATTCAACCACAAGGCTTCCCCGGGCCAATAGTTCTCGATCACCACTGGAGAAGAATAATTCCCGACAATTACGTTCTCACAGGCCCCTTTTCCTCTCTTCCATTCATGCATCGAGGACGTTGCTGCCAAATTGTCCTGCGATGTTACCTTTTGGCTGGAATTTGCAGAAGAGGTAATAATCGCCGTTGGTCGTCGGGCATTGATTCGGAGACCAAGAGCAGCCAATCTTGGTGGTGCTCTTCCATACCAACTGTGTAAAGTGATACTGGGAAGAGTGGTCGGCCCAGGAAAAGTAGTCCCTGACTTCCCCATACCACCAGTCAATTCCCTTTTTGAGCCAGAGGCTAAAGTCGGGAACTGTGGTCTTCGGGGTAAGATAGAAGCTGTAGATGTTCTCGCCATACGGGTTACTAGGCTGATTGAAAATGTCAACGTCAGTGGGAGGGTTGAAATGGTCTCTTGGTAGGGAATGCATCGGAAGGGTAGTGGAGCACTTACCGTATGGCTGGAACTACATCTTGCAGCGGCTGTCTTTGCGCTTTGTGCGAGGGTTGTGTCCCAGGTTAAGGCGGGTGCAGAATGCAAGGCTCGATAGGCGTTGACTCTTGCCAGTACCGTATTAACGAAAGTGACATCAGTTGGCAGGGGCGGTACTGCCCTCTTTTCGAGAGGCTGTAGCCCATGCGGCACATCATTGGATAGTGGGTTCGCTATACTCGAGGAGAGCAATAGGAGGAAGAGAATAGGACTAGTCAAAATATGATAACGCATGATGACAGCCGCGGCTACTGCGCCTGTGCTATTGAGTAGTCTGTTCAAAGTAAGAGATAGAATGATTGCCAGATAAAGAGAAGAAGACGTGGATTTTCATGATGAGGAAGAGGGATGGAGAATATAACCGGCATTACAGACTTCAGGTCTTCAGCTCCAGCTTCGTATTCTGCGGTACAAGAAGGAAGAACCTTGAGAAGACCTTTGGAGGCTGGGGAAGGTGCTTCACCCTTGGGGCTGAATACGGGGAAGGCAGTCATCTGAGCTCTCCTAAGCGAACGGTGGGAGCCTTGTTAGCACAAAGCCGACGTCCAATTTGCTCACATCGTGTCGTATCTATACGCGTGATGGAGTCTGGGGGGTTGCAAGCGGTCCAACCCTGACTTTCCCAGTCGACATCAGTACAGTTTTGCTGCCTGCCAACCTTCGCCCAGCAAGTAGAGAGCCGGTGCCATGTATTACGAGAGCTGAATGACCACGGGACATGGACGCAAGTATAAGGCTGCCAGGAGGGGGGGGGGGCATAGCAGGGCGGAAGGACTTTCTCTCTGAGCTGAATATAACGAGATTGGCTCGACGGGTTGTAGGAAGCATCCACTAGCCTAATTAGGACTAGAGCAATATAGTCTTGGCACTGGAGTAACCTCTCCCCGAGTTCCAAACAATTTAAACCTCCGCATCACTCAGATACATTTCTCAATCAGCCAATCAACCTATTCCTAACCCCCAAATTGGTTCAAGAGTTCGTCGATGCCCTCCATATTGCTGCTTTGAGAAGAGCACTAAGGAATTATCTCGGCAAAAGTCCGTTTATGGACGCTAGAGTTGCTCGAAGATGCCGTGACAAGCCTGTTCTGTAATTCACTTTGGGTTCCTGGAAGACTGGATGCACAGCCATTAGGAGGACATCCTAGACGATACCAATGCGTGCCTCGAACATCTCAAAGACCATAGCCACGCTGCCTACTTCCACGACCGAGACCCGTCAGAACCTCTGGATAGCGCTCGCAATGGCTGCCACTTTTGAACCACAATATGGTATGTACTGTTTTGTTCACGGGCCGAAGGTCCCTGTCACCTGATTGCAGACAATTCGACTTCCCCCTGCAGAAATCCCGTAGTACTCAAATTCCCATATTATAAGCAGCGAACTCTGAGGGAACGCCTTCTTGCGGGGCGGTTAGCGTTTATTTAGGTACATTGTGGCTCATACTCTTTCACCTTCTTCGGAAAGGACGAACCACATGGTGAGGGATGCTGGCTTGTTTGAGTGTATAAAACACTATTGCCTCGAAATTGAAGGGGTCCATCACCGAGGAAGTGAACTGGCCGAATCCTTCTCTAGGTACGGGATCAGACCTATCCCTCTACTTGACTCAAGAATGGTGTCACACCTGCGTCGAAAACCATCCAAACTGCAGGGTGGCTGAACCTCGATTGCCTACGAGAGTCATCGACGTTCGCTCATCTGGGGACTTGCGGAACCCGGTCATGATCGAACCACCAAAGAGTGCCAATATTGCAGAGTATATCACTCTAAGCCATTGCTGGGGAGGCGCAACGGCACTAGCAGCCAAGGTCGCCGACACTCCTGGGCTTTGGAATTTGCCTTCACTGTCGGAATGGCATCCTACTTCCGGAGACACAGTCAAAGTTTGTCGTGCCTTCGGAATCCGGTACCTCTGGATTGACGCACCGTGCATACTGCAAGGAAACGAAAAGGTCTGAGATGAAATCCACAGAAATGGCCGATGATTTCCGCAACCCTGCTTTTACTGCGGCTGTGGCGGCTGCCAAATCAAACTATGAAGGCCTATTCTGGCACAATAGCCCATACCTCAGGTCTTTGTGCCATATCCCAGTCCACGAAAAGCCGTCTGGCCCTCGGTTTGAATTATACTTCACACCCGGACCAGACGCTCAACATCCCCCGCCAGAGCCATGCATGATCGAGGCTGGGTGCTTCAAGAGGAGATCCTTTCTCCACGAACACTCAGTTTCGAGGGAGGGATATCATGGAAATATTTTACCACTCGGTCGTTAGAAGACGGCCTTCCTCGGCTCATGACGATTCGAAGATTGGGTGTGACATGGGTGGACCAGTCGACATAATGCATACGTAGAGTCGACCGGCGCCAAATGCGATACTTCACGGTTGAACAAGGATGGCATACTTTATCATCACGGCCATGTCCAATAGTACATCTAAAGGGCCAAGGCGACGGAATCTTCCAATGCGTAGACCTACAATCAAAGCTTGGGCTTCCTACACAAATAGAAAGAAACTCGCGAAATCCGACGCAGAAAAGTAAATCCACCGGGAGCAGGCAGAGCGCGGGTACAATATTAATTTTTCAATTGAAGGAACACCCATTTTATTATGCATGGTCAATTTTGCCATGTGACTGTTAGGCAGTCAATGGCCCAGGACAAAGTTTGAAATCGCTTGCTGTGGGATGATCCATAACGCCTCCCTCCCCTCATGACTCGTTCATAATTCCACCTGGTAGCTCATCCGACCCTGCCTCCACATTTCATATCCCGTCCGCGAATCGACACGGGTGGCCGCCGTCATCAAATACATTCACGAAACCCATTTAATAACCAAAACCATATCCGTTCCGTTCCCCAATCCGTCCGATGACCAAAAAGACAAGCGGAAGAAATGGGACAGAAGATCTGATCGGGTTGCCAACCGAGAACTAACACGGGCATTCTATACCGGTGCTCACAGCACTCAGTCTCGTATAAGAGAAAGTCGCTGCTCTCGACAGATGCCCCCTTTACACCCCGGGCTTCTTGGCTGTCATATTAGGCCGTCTTTGAAAGTGACAAGATTATCGGGTCAAGTATAACCTAATATCAAGAGTCAGCGACTGCCAGTAGCAATCCAGTCACAAATAGAACTCACTTCTCATGGCATCCGTGTATCCGGTACCACCCTTAAGGTCCATCTCAAAGCTCTCTGCCACATCAATCACACGCTTGATGTGTACCATACTCAAAGGCACTTCTTCATGGACAGCCAGAGCTTGTGCAGCACGCACGAGGTTCTTGATCTGTCTCCCATTGACCTCGCGGCGTGCGAGGTCGTTGTAGTCTTGCTCTGTGATAGCCGCAACTTGCATCCCTTCTTGGTTTTTGACGCGGTCAAGAAAGAGTTTCCACACCGTGCGCTTGGCCTTGGTAGTGAGGTTCTGGAAGCGCAACGACAGGTGGATACGTGACACAAAGGCGGCGTCGAAGGTTTCCACTCTATTCGTGGTCAAGAAAAGAATGCCTTGGAAGTATTCGAGAAGGCGAAGGAAGATGCTGACAAGAGCGTTACGATGGATATCGTGGATTGAACGTTGTTCCAAAAAAACATCGGCTTCGTCGAGCAACAGGATCGCACCCCAGCTGTGGGCGATGTCCAGGATATTCTGAAGTTCCTTCTCCAGCTTGGTTGGTTCAGTGCCTAGATCGCCAGCGCTGACCATGTACAACGGACACTTGAGAAGATCTGCGATCCCTTCAGCGGTAAGCGTCTTGCCGGTGCCTGGTGGCCCATGGAGAACCGCCACCAAGCCACGGCCTTTGCCAGAGATGATATCGTCTATGCTTTTGTGGGCTTGAAAGGCATGGCTCGAGACGAGAGCCTTGACGATGGACTTGTGGTTGTCAGGAAGGACGAGACTTTCAAATGCTTGGTCGTTGAATACAACATCGGAGATTCCGGAGACGGTGAACTCAAGCCAAAGTTTTTCACCAAAGGCGAAGCCTAAGACGACAGGGCTGGCAATGAGCAGCTCTTCCTCGGTGAATTCATGGGGTGACAGCTTGTCGTCACCGATCGGTTCGGCATTCTGGCTCCAATCGATGTCCTCCTTCGAGTTGACCTCCACAACGGCATTTTGTCCTTCTGGCGTCTTGACCACTTTGTACTTCTTCGTCTCTTGAACCTGGATGGTTTCGTCAGAAGGAGTGGTCTGATTGTTGCCACCGACGTCGGAGCCGCTATCAAAGCCGCATCCGCACTCGTCATCCGTGTCGTCAAGGATGACGCCATCTGGATCATCCTTTGGCTTGATGACGCTGGCAGGATAGTTGGGATTGATTCGCCGATGGATGGAAGGATCAACCATGACACGCCCGTCAATGTTGATCTTCAAGACTTGCTTCTTGCGTTTGGTGTATGCCATGCCCTTGTGATGGCGGTAATTCATGCCTTGGAGGGACACGAAGATCTTTCCTCGGTCAATCAGCTGAGATCTCATCTTGTCGGCATGTTTGTGATACTGGAGCGGATAGCAGTCTAGAGAGGTGATCTTACGCACTCCCTGGAATGAGGATATTTCCGAGTGCGTGGTGCCCATTCCAAAATTCTTGCCATCGTACTCGAGATATCGGCCTTCGATAATGTACCAACTGCCCCTCATGAAGTGCGATTCTTTGGTTGTGAAGTCAATCTTGAAAGCCCGAGGTTCGTCCTGATCTCCGTAGGTGGACGAGTACACAATGGCGTTTGGCTTGTACAGAGCCCAAAGGAGGTCAAAGGTGATCATGCCGGTTTCCAGCATTGGATAGAGATTCTTCTTCGTCTCGGCAAAATCCTTGTCTAGGTATTTAACCATCACTCGGAGGTGTTTGGCTTTGGTCTTCAAAACCTTTGCCTCCTTGCGCTTCTTCCCTCGAGCGTCGTCCTCGAGGGCCTTGGCATAGTCCCTCATCTCTTCCAGATACAGGAAGAGCATGTTTGGATCCAGATGAGGTGTGTCTTCAAACAGACTGATGCCCTTAACGCCCGCCATAACATGTTGAAGGCACTCCTTGAGAGGTTCGGATTTGATGTCCACGATCGTAGCCAAATACTTGTGCTCCCAGTCAAACCGGCGACGGACTGTAAAGATATACTGGTCCCAAATGGCTTCGCCGGTATTTTTGACGGTTTCAGTGAGTTTGAAGTTGTGTATGGACTGGTCCCAAAGTTGGTCGACTCGCTTGTAGGCCACTTTAGAGGCACGTTTCGGCTTCTTCTGCTTCTTGGGCTTGACTTCCTCGAAGTCGTCGAGCAGAACCCCATCGTCAAGGACCGCGTCTCTACGACGGCTTCTTCGAGGATTGTCATAGTTGGTGATGGGAATCACCGGCTCCGGATTGATTTGCGTCCTCGGCAGCCCCAAGACGGCAGACGGAGGAGGGAGGGTATTATTGTCAAAGTCAAGCTTTCGCAGTGAGGATTTCAGATGGCGCAGTCTTGTAGATTTGGGATCTTCACGGATCTCGATCACGTCACGTTCATCTGGATCAGGGCTGTCATGTCTCCTAGATACCCTCTTGGACGACTTAACTCGCACTCTCGACCGGGGTCTAATGACTTCCTCTTCAAAGTCATCCTCGCTGTATGAGTCATCCTCTTCAGTTGTTACCTTCTTCTTGGATCTCTTCTTTTGCTTCTTCAGCTCCTTGGCGAGTGCTTTCGCCTGGGCCTTCAGTTTCTTAACTTTCAATTTCTTCTTGGAGACTTCGAGAACGGAGGAAGAGTCGCTGTCTGAATCGCTCGAGTCGTCACTATCCGTCGAGACATCCGAGGAGGAATCTGACTCTGTGGAATCGTCTTCGGTCTCAACGATCTCTTTCTTCTTGCTGCCATGCTTTGGCTTTGCCTTGGTCGAAGGTCCAACATGCTTCTTGCATTTCTTCTGCTCTTTGGCAGCCTCAGGGGCAGGAATCTTGCTAGAGGTAGGACGTTCGGCTGAAGATTCCGCCTTCTTTGTTTCTGCAGCACCAGGGCTTTGGTCCATCTTGCGCGGTTGGTAGAGGTGGGGAAGGAGGAGGAGGAGGAGGGTAGAGGGTCCAGTAAACTGAAGGTTGTACTGCAATGTAGGTCAACAGTAAAGAGCTGTGCTCCAGGAAGAGATGAGCAGCCAGCGCCTCAATACACAGGGCAATAAAGGGAGATATGAGAGTCACGCAAGTGCGAAAGAGAGAAGGAGGGCTTCTTAGGCAGAACTGAGGCTGAGGCTGAGACAGAGGCTGCGGGAAAGGTCGAGTCACAGGCAGGAAGATTCTATTCTGCCTTTTCTGAAGTCAGCCAAGAAGGACACCAAGCAAAATCTGGCAAAAAAGATGGACAGGCAGAAATCAGGATGGCTGAGTAGTGAATGATGAATGATGAATGTCAAGTGTGCGCGAACCAGGGCCCTCGAGCCACGACTGTTCACATTGGAAGAAGCGTTTGATGCCCTGTTGCAGCCTGCGCATTCTTTGGGCCAACCAAGCCATTTGTTCGCCTGAAAGGCAGGTGCCCATCCAAGGTTTTTTTAGTCAATTTTCCAGCAGCCATCGCAGCCTGAGGGCAGAAGGCCATGTCAAGCTTGTCGGTTGAAGGTGGCATGGCAAAAAGCATCGCCATCCCTGGAGGAAGAGCAGCGCAGACGTGCATGGATGATGGTTCTGTGTGGTCTCCTGATCAGCGGCGGCGCAGACGACATGGACCGTGAGTGGACAACCATGCTCCAGCCACCCAGGACAGTCCGCACAATTCCACTGGCACCACTGGTGCTGGATGCCCAACAACTGAGCCGACCAGGCGAGCAGGGAGCTTTCATCCGTGCATCCGATCTGTGGAGGAGCGGCTCGTTTAAACCGCTTCAGGCCTACGCTTCGCTTTCTGCAAGACGTACAAAGACCCCCAGAAAAGCAAAAGATCCCCATCCAAGTGGGCACGACCTGCAACACAGCAAACCACAGGCATCACTTCCCACTCAAAAGGCCTTCGGGACTCGCCTTGGACACCTCCGGACCAAACGCCACCGTCATCTCTTCGACTTCAATTGGAAGAAACGCCCAGGATGGCGGCCCAGCTCCCCAGCTCACGAAATAATCTATCGCACCAGAAATCTGATGAAAATGCCGACGGGGCCCTTTGGCTGATCGATTGCAGATCTTTTACGGATATCAATCATAAGAGCAAACAACGAGGCTTTGCAAATGGATCTACCATCTATTAGCCACTTGAACCTAAGTCTCTGTCCATTTGCCCATCTATCAATCACAAAGAGGCTGAAAATGAGAAATAGAGACGAGAGAAAAGAGAAAAGAGAAAAGAGAAAAACCGCTACAATATTCCGAGAACTCGTTCAAATCAGACGCACCAGCTCCATGGTTTCACGCCCTCGCGTCCATGACCTCTCAATAACCCGGAGCAGCTGGCACAAATTTGGCAATCTCCAAGTCCCTGATGTCGTGTAAGCCAGCTTTAATAAAAGAGCACTTGGGGTTTCCGCAGTTGTTGTTTCCCCACTGCATCGTCATCAGCATCGAACCGTCACGACAGCAAACAGGTTGCGGGGATGACATACCGGACATTGGTGCCCGTAAAAACAATCGATTCGCCGGCACTTGGATCCTTGGGTACACGCAATGCTTCTCGCCTTGTAGCGCAGGGTGTTTTTCATGGCAGCGTCAATCGGTTCATGATCGTAACGGCAGTTGTAGGATTCACAGTTGTCTCGCAGGTGATGCTCGTTACAGAGTTTCCGAATGGCGATACGATCCTCAAACTTCTCCATTTCCGCCGTGGTGGGGATCCGCATCTTCAGATCAACCCTCTGCCCCATGCGGTTGACTGGAATTCCGCTCTTGCCATCGTGGATTCCATTGATAGCTGTGGCATGAGCTTGACTCGCGGGCTTCGGCTTCGCTACTTCGGTAGGCGGAGTGGGCGACGACTTGGCCTGAGACGAGGCCCTGGTACTAGTATTGAGCGGGATCGCAGCCAGCGATGGTGTGGTCTGCGGGACAGAGTTGGACGAATAGCTCGATCTGCTGATTACTGGGGTCAAATCCGAGCCACCGTTTTCGGTAGTGGACGGCGACGCCAGGCCGGGAGCCTCGGGTGCTGGTTGAATATAAACCGGATCAGGTTTGGGTAGGATTTCTAAGGGAGAGGACTCGAAAACATGGTCAAACCTTGTCCACTTGAAAGGCAAGGTGCTGTAGGCGCGAGCAGCCGCGATTGTCTGGGCGCCATGGACCAGGACGATCTTGGGGGCAATAGGATCATGTCGATATTTGTCGAACTCGGCGATATAGCCATTATCATGAGAACATGCCAGGTAGATGCGTTGACATTGAGCGTTATTTGCATAGAAACGGAAGGTATCTAGAGATGAGATGGCTCGGATTAGCAATGTCATTCATTACCCAGAGTAGGCTTTTGTCAAGATTTACCTCGTAGTTTAGCGTCGACTCTCTCCTTTCCGGGACCACAATCAATAAACTGGAAGAGGCTGCGGCTCTGGGTAAAGGAGCAAAAGAAGGAATCGATGTGAGCGGGGTGGGCAAGATAGTCGGCGGCAACGAGGGTTCTAGCCAGACCTTGCTTATTTGCATAGATGTTGACCAGGACTTCACAGTCGGGATTAATACCTGAAAGCGAATCGGCGGCTTTTAGGTGGTTGATAACCTGGTTGTAAAGCTCATTGGCCGCCTTGGAACCGCCAGATGTGGCCAGGGCATCAAAGAAGGCCTTTCGAAAAATGAAGCCGTCGCCGTCGACCAGGACCACGGTATACTTGCGGGCCATGGCGGCTTCCGCATCTTCGGCGCGCATCTTCCACGTGCGACGCGTATTTCTCTCGTCGTCTAGATCGGATTCCAGGGTGGAGCAGGCGGTGTTGAGTTTAATGCAGCTCTGAATCAAAAACTCGATCTCTGACTGGCGGTTTTCGTCAAAGGCTTGATAGTCGCGAAGGCGCTGAAGCAGGTCATGTTGAGAAGGCAAGGCAGCCATAGTGGCATGAGAATTGGCCATGTCGCGACGATAAAATGTTACTGGGTTTGATCCAAGTTGCAGGCGACACGAAGCAGCCTAGCAGCGTAGCAAGAGCGGAATTAGGCGCAGCTTGGAGAGTCGGTGGACAAGGCGATTCAAAGCAACAAAAGCTAAGAGGGGCTGAGTAACAAAAAGGATGAAGATCAAGATTAACGCAAGCTGACAATAATTTAGTGACAAGGCTGGGGCAAAGGAAGAATGAAGTGCATGGAAGCTCTACAGCTAGGAAGAAGTAGCTTGGCCAGGTGGTGGTGGCTGCACAAAATGAGGTGGAAAAAGGGGGACAAATGAAACAAGAAGCAGTGATGTGTAGCCGCGACAATGGCCTACCGTTGTGGAGACGATCAACGGAATAGAGACGAGAGGCAACAAGGGCGACGACGGTGACGTTAATGGTGATGGTGATAGTGACTAGTCGTTTGTTTCCATGGTAAGAATCAAAGAGTGCCGAGAGAACAAATTGTGAATTCAAATCTGCATGTGTGAGTTGTGTGTCAGTGGCACCGAATTTGGCATTTTTGATTTTGGGCAGCGAACAAGAACAACGAAGAAACGTGGTCGATTCGGTTCAGGTTTTAGGCAGCCGCCGCTGACATGTTTGACAAGCAGCAGGGAGGCAGGTAGGCAGGGAGGCAGTCATCATTGACAACCACCCAAGAGGAAGAAGAAGAAGAAATGAGAGGAGAGAGGCTGCAAAAGCGCTTAAATAGTCCTTTCTCCTCGAGGTCCGAGGATTTATACATACCTAGGTATGTGCCTAGACAAGTGCCTGTGCAGCTAGTTAGGTGGCCATCTTTTGTTGCTGGCTATGCCTTCGGCTGCTTACTATATGGGAAGCAATGGGGGCCATCGGGGCGTCACGGGCACAATGACCACTGACTAGCCCCTAAACAGTTTAACCAGCTTTAACTACCTATTACTTGGGTGGACGCGCCTGCTAAGACGCATTGGACACAAGAGCAAGAGCCATCCCTCACTCCATCCTCACTTTCTGACTGGCCGTGGCCACGACCTATCACCCTAATAAATCATACCTACTTGTACTGTAGCTCATCATCCACATCATGTCACGTTCTTTGTCCCATTCACTTCGAGCCCGTCATGTCATGTCCAGACAGGCAGGACTCTCAAAGGTCTCACCACCTCCCACCCAAGCTCCAGCTATCACTGGCTGCAGCAGATGCAGAGGGTTAACAAATATCCGATTACTTATGCACCCTGGGGTTAACTTAACTTGTATTAACAATCAATGCCTCCATTCGACACATCTACCGAGGCAAACTGGATAACCTTTGACCTTGCTGGTGGTGCTTACCACATTAAACTGGTTGGCGATACCCGTTCCCGTCACCATTAGCCAGAATTCGAGGCCCTCCCCGAAGCAAAAGTAGGGACTTATACTCTTTATGGATCTCCTATATTATGACGACCGTCTTCTCAAGAGCAGCAGGAAACTTCGTACGAAGAACAACACATAGGAGCCCCTGCTACCTTCTTCATCTCTCTAGGTCCCTACTCCTCCATCCGCCTCACTCACAAAATGGTTCAGAACAAAGCTTTCATCTACAAGGTGCGTAACATTCATTTTCCTTCTCTTTGAAGGTGAGAGGGGGAACTTCCCAGTGGTCTGGCATACATTCCAACTAACCACATATTCCCCCAAAAGGCCGTACCCAACGGCTGGCCCGTCCCAGGCAAAGACCTGACGGTGGAAGATATTGGCTTTGATGACACCGCGCCCCCGCCCAAGGGCGGCTTTACCACCAAGAACTTCTATGCAGCCTATGACCCCAGCCAGCGCGGGCGGATGCGCGACCCGAGCATCCCGTCGTACTCGCCGGCCATGACAACGGGCAAACCCGTGGTAAGCGTCAGCGTCATCGGCAAGGTGCTGAAGAGCGACAACCCCAAGATCCAGCCGGGCGCCATTGTCATGATGCAGAGCTCCGGCACCGAGTCGTACTCGGCCAAGGAGGAATCGGCGGTGGCCACGACGCAGATCATCGAGCCAAAGGAAGGCGTGCCCTTGACCGCATACCTGGGCCTGTTGGGTATGACGGGCATGACGGCCTACGGCTCCTTGCACGAGATCGGTCAGCCGAAGAAAGGCGACGTCATTCTCATCAGCGCTGCTGCCGGAGCGGTGGGCCAGATGGTCGGACAGATTGCGGTGCGAGAAGGTCTACATGTAAGTTTTGTTCCTCTCCTGTTCCTATTTCCTGCCTCGACAAACACCCAAAGAAACACGCATGCACCCAAGCCAAGAAGAGTAACCAAGAAAAAAAATAAAATACCACAGGTAATCGGCTCAGTCGGTGACGACCGCAAGCTCGACTTCATCCTGAACGACCTGCACTTCACCTCGGGGTTCAACTACAAGAAAGAGTCTATGGCCGAGGCGGTGAAGCGCCTGGCACCTGGGGGACTGGACATCTTCTACGACAACGTCGGCGGCGAGCTTTTGGACGTTGCCTTGGCCAACATGAAGGAATTCGGCCGCATTGTAGCGTGCGGCTCCATCTCGACGTACAACAACGCCAAGGACACAACCCCCTACGGCATTAAAAACTACGCCGCCATGGTCCGCAAGAGGTTGCGCTGGCAGGGGTTCTTGGTCTTTGACCCTAATATCGCGCAGTGGCGCGCTGAAAGAGACGCAAACGTCACACGCTGGATCGAGGACGGCAGCTTCAAGAGCGTCGACTTTGTCACCGAGGGCATGGACCACGCCATCGAAGGGTTCCTCGGCATGCTCCGCGGCGAGAACCTGGGCAAGAGTATCCTCAAGATTGCGGACCCGGAATGAATATGAAAAAGTCAAAGCCAAATCCAAAGCTAAAGTTATTTCGAAGGAAAGGAGAGGAAAGGCAAAGAGCGAGCAAACGTTGGATGGGCCAAATCCAGACGGGGACGATTAGGATGAATAGGCTGGATAGGCTGGACAGGCGGCAAATGAACCATATGCATGCATACCTAGGTACATATCATATTGCATGGTAAAACCGGAACAACAACTACTATCTAACCAGATAGCAAAGTATCCTAACCTAGCCTTCCCTAACCTGACAAGCGAGCCAGGTAGCCGTACACCCATTATATTCTATCCTATCCTCTCCCTCTCTGTTGTTATGATTATCAAGTACACTTTCCCTTTCGGCCTTATGCATGGATGTATGGATGTAGCTTTGGTTGGTACCCACGGTCAAAATACACCATCAAAGACGCCGCAATCAATCCACTTCAAGACAATCCAATACAACCCTAGGTCCATTCCAGGTTCCCAGGTCCAGTTCAATTCAAAGCGTAAATATCGTTCCTACAGGTATGCCTCCTGTCTGTTCTGCCGTGGTATTTCCTCAAGACATTACCCGTTGCCGTTGCCTTTGCCCTTGCGTGCGGTCCAATTCGTCCAGTCCGCCCCATCCATGACAACATCCTGTACCGTTATCTGCTCAACGCCAGAGAGAGAGAGAGAGAGAGAAGGGGGGGAGAAATTCCGTGACCGACAGAAAAGACAAGACAGGAGATAAACGTCTCAGCATCGGAGGGATCTCTGCCAAAACCAACAAAGCCCCAACCCTTTGCTTCCGCCGCCGGCTAGTAGACTTTTGCCTCCCTTTGCAGTTTCAAAACATGCAGCGATCTTTAGAGGCTGCGCCGCCTCATCATCAACGCGCCGGCCAGCCCGCTTGTCCTCTCTGAAACAACTCGTAGAAAGGGCGGCCCGTCTGAGCTTGCCACGCACGTTGCACCATCTCGTGCACGCTGTCTATACTTGGAATACACAGCTGCGACCGACAGTCAGGACACTCCCACAGCCTATCCACCCTCAAGTACATCTGACATGTTGACCCGGTGCCCCGCAAGAGGACGCCGCCGCGGTGAAAACAATGACGAGCGGCGGCCTGATTGACGCCGAGGGCATCGGGCAGCTAGCTGCCCAAGAACTTGGTCATCGCAATCATCATAATTCAACGTAGAACACCTCGGCGCAGCGCAATAAAAAGTGACGGGTTGCACTGAATCCAGCTTCAATCCCTTGGTCGCGCTCTATCACATCATATTCGAGCACGCTCCCTAAAGCAGAGATGCGAAGAGGGACCCTGTGGCACTTGGGCGGGAAGGACCCCCGATCCGCGCAGCCTACTCGGAATGCATGGTTGAGACAGGTAAGACAATGGGCACACTTGCAGTGATGTAAAACAACTAGCTCACCCTTTCTTGTTTCTTCGAAACAGACAGAACACGCAATCTTGGGTGGTGATGGTCGAGTTTGGATTGCAGCAGGTACTGTAGCTCGTGGTGCATGACATAATCACTGGCAGCATGTCCCTGTTCTGCCCTGTTCCAAAACGCCCCGAGCGGGATGAGGGGGTACCCCATGTACTCTCCTCAATTGGGTAATGTACTCCTTCCACCTCTCTCTGGCCACAGCAGGGATCACAGAAATCAGGGGCGGAAGGGCTTCTATCCTAGGAGGACGGGGTCAGGGCCTGGCTCTTCGTGGGCCGTCTTAGGTAATGCTATAAATACGGATTATTCGGAGTGAGTTGGGGGGAGGACGTATAGAGGTGACTAGGGGTGGAATTTGGAGGTGTGGGTGGTCACGCTTCGAGATATCTGCTTCCACCGGACCTTCCCGTCGCGGAGAGGCCATATGGGACTGTAGAATTTGTTGCTCTCCACGCGAAAGATGGGAGCCATAGCGTGCTCCCCGTCTTGGAGGGAGCCTGACAGCAGCGGACACTGGCTCAATTATATCCTGGTCGACGTGTGCAGATGGGTTCCCGATGCGTTGGAAGATCAATTGAGGCGGGCCAAGTGTGAGAGACGAAGGGTATTACGAGGTACGGAGTTCTGTTACCACTTGGGTCAACAGGCTAGTTCATGGGCCGTGGCTGAGGTGGTGGGGGCGATTGCGGGGAAAGTGCGACATGTCTGGAGTACGAGGTACCGGCTACGGAGTTGTGATTTGGATCCCCAGGAACCTGTGGCGGGGGAGATTATATCAGCCAGAGACCGCAACAACCACAGGACATGGGACAGATGTGGTAACGAGGCGAATTGGGTGAGGTCGATTGACATTCTGTCCGAGTGAAGGTCGAGTTCAACTTTCAGCTGGGGCAAATGGCAGTTTGGGTTTTGGGTTATGGCCTTGTCTGGGCGGCTGGTATGGAGCAAGCGGACAGAGGCAACGGTGCCAGTAGCAGCCCAACTGTGACATCCAACTTCAAAGCGAAGGCAGATTTTGAAGTCAGGCAGACTGATGGCAAGGTTGTCGGGACCAGATCGACCAGACAGCAGGGCGGGAAGGGGTATTAATATGCCTGCAGTGGTGATGCGTGCGTGGTAGACCTTCCTGTTGCTGTGGCCTTCCCGGTCCCATCTGTCTGTCTGTTGGGACCATCCATCCAGCTGCCAGCTGCGAGGTGCATTTTGCCAGGCCTGGTCTTCAATCCATTGAGCATCCTCTTCTGGCACGGGATGCTCCAACCTGGCGCGGGAGCTTGGACCAGCTGCCCCAAGACCTGTCAGGATCTGTCAATTCGCAAACTATCACACCGCTGCTGTCCCCCTGATTGGAGACCAAGTCTCGGGTCATCCGCCGCATCCGCATCGGCAAAGATGGTCAAGGTTGTCTACTTTGGCGCACGGGGGAAAAGCACAGTGGGCTCGATTCGCACACTGGCGGCGGGATTTGAGAGGCCTCGAGAAAGAAAAAAAAAGAAAAAGAGATGCACACCATGAACAGGCGGGTGGTTGATTGGTGTGTGCAAAGGGCTGCCCGGCTCCAGGTGCATCCAACGAGAAGAGCCCGATGAATGGGCAACTCATGTTTGTCTGTCTGTCTTCCACAAGAACCCCCGCCCGGAAAACTTCAACGTCGGCTGTTTATACATGCTAGCTCCAAAAAGGCCCCCTGGTTCGATCCCATTGTCTATGGGTTAGCCTTGACAAAGTCCACACCCTTCTGAATGTTCTTCTTCAAGTCTGTAAACTCCGTCAGTGCTGCATCACTTGTGGGATCTGTAGGGGCAAAACTCACCTCCCATGGCTGCCTCCAGCAGATTTTCCTCGTACTTGTTGATGCGGCCCACCTCGTGGATCTTCTGGACACCGTCGGGGCCAAGCTCGACTTTTGAGGAGAAGAAGTCGATGCCCTGGTCCTTGTACAAGGGGCTGTCCACGAACGTGCACTCAACCACACCCTTCTCACCCTGTGAAGCCTTGAGCAAGCTCTCGGCAAACCGCGCTCCGGCCATAGCCATAGACAGAGTAGCAGAACCGGCACCGTCCTTGGCCTTGACGACTTCATCACCGCCGAATTGGATTCGGTTGATCAAGGCGTCAAGCTTCTCACCAGTGATGTCGTGGTGGCCAGACTGCGAGATCAGGGGGACGATGGTGACGCCCGAATGTCCACCGACAACGGTGATTTTCTCATCGGCCGGGTCTGTCCCCTTGAGTTCCGAGACGAATTTGGACGCACGGACAAGATCGAGAGTGGTGACACCAAAGAGACGCTTAGGGTTGTAGACACCCTTGCTCTTGAACACCTCGGCGCAGATGGGGACAGTCGAGTTGACCTAGCAAGAATGTTAGACGGGGATGCTAGGTTATACAGTGAAGAGCTGCTTCGTGTTCTCGTACAGGGTTGGAGATGATCAGAAGATTGGCATTGGGCGCAGCATCAGCCGCAGCCTTTGCCAGGTCCCGAACGATGCTAGCATTGGTGTTGAACAGATCTACTACTGTCAGCCACTGCGTCTTTGATGTGCGTAAGTCATCCCCCTACCATCACGAGTCATTCCAGGCTTTCGGGGAACGCCAGCAGGAATGAGGATAATGTCACTTCCTTCCAGACATTCTCGGAGACCCGAGGGAGTCGGGTCGTAGCCCTTGACCGTGCTCTTCGTGTTGATGTGGCTGATATCAGCGGCGACACCTGTGTTTTGCAGTCTTTATCAACATCTTTTCCTATGTCCATACAAGCTCGGGGAGTGAACGGACCTGGACCCAGGCGGATATCGTAGAGGGCTAATTGAGAAACACGGGGGTTGAGCTTCATCAACAGCGACAGGGGCTGACCGATGCCACCGGCGGCACCGAGAACTGCAACTTTCGAGGACTGTGGCAGGGCTCAAACATCAGCTTCACATCCAATTGATAGAAGGCATCGTATGATGGTGGAGATGGAACAAACCTGTCGAGCAGACGCCGAGAAAGCTCGACGCTGGACCTGTCCAAACATTTGCCTGGCGAAAGACATAGCGGCACGACAAACAGAAGAGATTCTAGGGAACGGGGGGAGAGACGATGGACAACGAGACGAGTGTGTTGAATTGAAATCGAAGAGAGAGATGGATGAAGCTGGCGTGATATTATCTGAGAGGAGATCTGCTTGAGAAAAGGTTTACACCGAAGCTTTGCTCAGATTCACCACCCCAAGGCCACGACTCCAATGGACGCCAGACGGCTCAGTCAGGGCTCGCTTGGGTTGCCGTTGCCGCAGTCCCGAGCTGCTGCGGAGCAGCAAGGAGCCTTGGGCGCAGTCTGGTGGCAGTCAAGCTCCCCTTTTCGGTGCCCTCGTGACTGGCTTGGCATCTCTGCTCCGGGTGTCCGGCGAGCACCCCGGTTTATCCGATGTTCTTTGCTCATACGAATTTTACTCCTCACCTGTTAAAAGAGTACCAAATAGAGAAACCTATCGACCTATTGTATAAATTGTCTCAAAGTCTGGCTGGGGGAGCCGCACGATAAGACTCAGCCTGATGATGACGCACCCTTGATCTCAAGGCATCTTCT